AAACTGTCATGTAAGGTGGCATGTAGTCTTTACTTTGTCCCGTTGTTTGTGTATATCCTGAAACGAAATGTGTATGGTTTCCTTCTCCCTGAGTGTCATCCCAGTAACAATTTATAGCAAACTTAACCTCGTCTTTAACATCATATCCTTTACCTTTTGTCATTCCTGACCAATCCCAATATCTATGCTTATGCCAACCTGCTTGAGATGTACTTAAATCTATGTAGTGACTGTGTGCAGGTAAATTTTCACCTGAAATCGTTTTACTTCCACCTGTTTCCTTTGAAGAGTTTGCACAATACAAAAACCTGTCGACTATTTGAGTCCAAGTTCCGAGACCAAGTACTACTTCTGGTCTGGTAGAGTTCATTGACGTATAATAGAACCTATAGGATATACTGTTTGAAGTATTTCTGTCTTTAATGTTTGAAGCTCTGTTTTGTCTGCTTTTTTATATAACTTTTCTTCAAGTTCATTTACGTCAGAGATGCTATGTCTATGATATTTTTGTGGGTATGTTCCTTCTGTCCATGCTAAAATACGTTCTTTTGTTGCATCTACATATCCAGCTATCCATGTCGAGTCTGCTTTTGTATTCCTTAACTCTGTAACACCTTTCTCAAGCTCTTTCAACTGTTGTCCATCTTCCATTAAACCTCTGGTATGACTTGAAACCGTTTGTGTCAACATATCTACAGTTTCTTTGTCGGCTTTAAGGTCTAAACATCCTGAAACCCACCCTGTATTGGCTTTACCTTCTAAAATCTTCGATGTCCGTTCATGGTACCATTCAACCCTTTTTATAATTTCATTGTCTTTTTCATCCACATATTCCTTATCTGCCTTCTTCACTAACCCACTAGCCAGATATGCTAACTCATCGTCAACATACTCTTTTGTCAGCTTTCTTTTCAACATCCTCTTTTGTTGCATATGTTGTCTGCTCTGTCATGTTCTTCTTGAACTTTTTCAATGACATACTCTTTGTCAGCTTTGTTGTCAATATCTGCTTTCAAAAGAAGTTCATCTATAGGTTTCTCGTTTAAAGTTCCTTTTGTTGGATTTATACAGACAGTATGGTTCTTATTTGTCTTGAAACAGAAACTCATCTGTCATTGGGTTTAATGTCAGTTTTAAGTTTCCTTCTTTCAATGACTCAGATATCTTAGAATAGTTGAAAAGTTTGTTGTGTTCTTATTTAGAGCTTGTATAATGAGTTGTCGGTTGTGTTGTATTTCTCTCATAGACGCTGTTTCATTTGACATTTTTATTCTAGATAAAATATGCTTCCAATAGAAAAAGAAAATTCAAGAGTTGCTACAACTAAACCATTAGATGAACTTTTTACTAATGTCGGTCAAAAAGTTTGAGACAGAGACCGTAAAGCATGAAGGCTATCGTTTTGACTACCCATTAAGATGGCTAAGAGACCCATCTGTCACAAAAGCTATTGGCTTTCGTAGAATGAAGTTTGTGTCTGTAGAAGATAAAAGTTTTCCATTTATTGTAAGGTTTCATATAGATTATATATCTGAAGGGAAACGAAAAATGTGGAAGAAATTGAGCTAATACAAGTTGACCTTTCATCTTCTCTACAGACTGCGTTAAAAAATATAGAAGATAAAATAAATTCATGTTATGCAAAATATGCTGATGAATATGCAAATACCGAGAGCACACTTTATGTGAGAATTGTATATGACAACAAAAAATTCACAAGTGTCATTTCAAATCTACGAAGACAATCCAAAGAAAGACGAACAAATATATACAGAATTCACTGCAATGTCATGGTATTATTTGCAAAGAATGTTAAATCAGAAAGTCGAACTTCCTTTAGCAAATATTTACAGTCGATATGCAAGAGATGAACCATATTTATTTAAAGATGTTTTCGACCCAGCTGCTATTATTGTTCATGCTTCATTTTCTGGTGCACAAAACTCTTTTTTATGCTTGGCAAATGACTTTTACGAAAAACCTACAAAGCTATATGAACCACCGAGTGGAAGTATTTCAGACTTTCAAGTATGGTTTACAACAGATGGAAGAAAGAGAATAGTTCCATTATACCATGCGTTTTACTTAGAACTTAGTTTCATATACAACTACTATCGAACGGTAAAAATATAATTTTTTAATACGGTTGAGGTGTTGGATTTGGTTGCCAACTAGACTGTGGTGCAGGTTCAGGCTGTTGTATAACAGGAGCTTGTTCTTCTGGTTCAGGGTCTTTAGGTATAATACCAACGAACTGACCTACCCTTTTACCAATATTTTTGACTCCGTTCCAAATTCCTCTTCCGACAGATTTTATTCCATTCCATATACCTCTTCCAACTCTTCTGAAGAAGTTTCCAATACTACTGAAGAAACCCATTTTACTATATGTAAAAATCTAATGTCCGCCTAGTCTCTTACGTTTCCTGTTGAGTTCCATAGCATTCTTTAACTGGAGCTCATACATTCTGTTTCTCCTCTGGTAGAAAACATATTCTGGGTCAACTCCTGTGTTCGCGTCATCTGCATAAAGTTGTTTATATCCCACTTCAGGGTTTGTATAAAACTCTTTCCATCTCATATTTGCATACCATGGTGGCAAACCTAACGCAGCGTCATTTGACATGGCAGTTTGCATTTGTACATCTGTTGGCACTTGACCATAGTTTGCCATTGCAGTTTGTATTCTAACTTCATTTGGAATATTCTCTGGGTTTGGTTGTCCAGGTTGCTGTGCATTCGCTAAGTTCTGTGCGTCCATTTAATATTAGATAAAAATATCTCTTACGAGTACATATACTGAACATTTGCAGGCATTGGTTCATCTTCATATTCTCTGTACTTTTCTGCCACGTCAAATAAATAAATGACACAATGGAAAAAACCTAAAACAAGTAGTCCTATTTCAAACCACATTTACTTACTAATAAAATTTCTTTGTTATGACACCTTCTCCGGTTTATAGGACCTCTCTCATATTCTATCTTGTCATATCTAAACTCATAGTCATGTATGTCCTCTAGCCATCTCATAACGGTTTCCAAACCACTTTTATCGGATGTAAAGTAAAAGCATGGATGGTTATGTAAAACGTCTAAAGTTTCTAAAGAGTCTCTCAAAGTCCAGTCTACTTGGTATTGAAAATCCCATGTGTTATAGAACGGTGGGTCCACTATAAAGAAAACATTTTCCTTGTCTTTATATTTTTCATACAACTCTGTCCAATGACATCTCACAAACTCTATACCCTCAATATATTTTTCTATGTCCTCTTTGAAAACATTTGTATAGTTAAGATATAAAACTTTTGACATAAGTGTTTCAATGTCATGAACTCTTATAGAACCACTATATAATAGTCTAGCAGATATACTATCCCAGTCTATATATTCTGCTTTTTTCAAAACCTCTCTCACAATATTTTTCTTATCTAATGGTATACGTTCCATCTTACCTATAGGTATCTTTTCTTTTAACTCTTTCAATATATTGTTTGTGTCTGGTATATGTTTGAGACGGTTCATATAGTTGTCGAAGTCATTGCATATAATCTTTGAGTCAGGAAATATTGTATGGCACAAATGAGATATATAGAAACTTCCACCGAACAAGTCTACAAATGTTAGACCATTCGGTAGTTTCTTAAGTTCTCTCAATAGAATATCTTTACATCTACTCTTATTTCCAAAGAAGGGTAACGGTGGTTTTGTAAAATTCATTTTATATATATAATAAAAATGTTTTTTCCTGAAAAGTGACAGAAAAGTGACAAAACATTTACGAAGAAGTCTTGACAAAACATTTACGATGAAATCATGAAAATTCATGAGGTGAAAAAACAGGTGAAAAAACAGGTGAGATGTCACCTCTTCACCTAAACATTATTTTTGTCTGATTTTACGAAGAAGTCTTGACAAAACATTTACGAAGAAGTCTTGACAAAACATTTACGAAGAAGTCTTGACAAAACATTTACGAAGAAGTCTTGACAAAACATTTACGAAGAAGTCTTGACAAAACATTTACGAAGAAGTCTTGACAAAACATGAAAACATATATAATTTGTGAAAAGCTCCTGGAAGACCTCCGAATAAAAACTTCATTTATGTGGGCTAGAAGGCACGAAGTGCCTGGAAGGTCACCCCAAGAAAAAAAAAACTTCATTATACTCATTCATCCTCAGGGCTAGAAGGCACGAAGTGCCTGGAAGCCCCACTACCCTTTTTTTTTTTTTTTTTTTTCTTTTTTTTTTTTTTTTATATACATGATAAATAAAATTCATAAAACATTAAAAATCAAAAAATTAGATGAACCTTGGCAATTAAACTTTATTAAATAATAGTTGTTTATAAATTATATTATATTATCATTTAATATTATTTTGATAATGAAGATTTTATTTTGCAATAATATAAACGAAATTTTTTACCTTATGAACTTTTGATGGAAATATGCAAATTTAAAATAATAAAGAAAGCCGCGAGCGAAGCGATCGGCTTAGTTCGAAGATTTTGATTCAAATCTTTGCTGATCTGTAATTCGCGGAAGCCGCGAGCGAATCGAGCGGCTTAGGTCTAAGATTTTGATTCAAATTTTTGCTTATATTCCTTAAATTCTTTATGAAACTCGCAACAGTTCCATAAAAAATTTTAAATTCTAAACTGTCGAAATTACCGATCGGTAATCACACCCTTCACGAGTGTGTCACTTTTAGCTAAAATTACCCCTACTCGATTAGTTTTCGAAAATTGAGAGAAATTCGATAAAATAAATTATTTTTATAAATAATGGCAGATGATTTATCAATCCTATTTCTTCCACATATTAAAGAAAAAGGACTTCAAATATTTGAAATACCCAGGCAAGATCTGCCGCCTTTAACTCTTTCAGTTCTTAAAAAGGTTGTAACTTTTTATTCACAAGCGAATACTCAAACTTATTTCGAAAATCGCGAATCTATTATAGCATGTCTTAATTTAATAGAGCAAATATTTCATTCTATGCCTGCCGAGACAATAATTTACACAAATTTAGAGACATTTGTTCCAAAATTATTTGAGAAGCCTTCTCTTACAAATGATCTTAATAAATTATTATCTAGTTTCTTTATCTCAATCTCGGCCGTATTCAAATTATATACCGCGCAATCAGAATTTGTTGCTGATATTTTATCTTCAATTTGCAAGCTTTTAGAAACAATTACACAATTTTCTTCTAAGGCAGAACTCGAAGTTCAAACCTACAAAGAATTATTTTACGTAGTTGTCGGAATCATGGATTTCTTGTTGATAAATGAAAATCAGACAATTAACACAACTACGCAGCAAACATACATCAAAACTCTTATGGACATTTTACTCGTACTTTCTCTCGAAAGAGATCAGTTCTGGAACGACACAAAAAATATTTGGATCGAATGGAACAAAAATAACATGTTTACATGCGTTCTCTGCCAGCAATTCGAAAGATACACGTTCGAATACCTCAAGATACACTTCGAAGATGACAAAAACGCTACTTCGTGGCTACCTGGAGAACTCGAATTTGATTTGAACGCAATTACAAGACTTCTTGATGTTTCGAAGGTTGTCAAGATCGCTGACTTCGTTAAGAACTACACTACAACAATGAACAGGCTTAATTCTAAGGTTTCTTCGTTATGTAAATCAAAATCGAACATTTTCTCAAGCAAGTTCCCTGTTTCAATCATAGCAGCATACTTTATTGATAAGTCACTTGATATTCTCTCTCGATCCGTTTCCGTTGATCTTTTGAACGAATTAATTTCTTTGATTTCGTATTGCGGATATACAAAAGAAACTTATCCATTTGTTGAGCGCACAATACAAGTAATCAACAGTATCATCTCCAAATTCATCTCTTCTTCCACAAACGCCTCAGAAAAACTCAGTTTTATCAGTATTTACTACAACCCGAATTTTGTCCCTTACATGACAATCTCCAACCACGCATTAAATCTCGCCCACATTATTATCGGCGGATTTACAGAATACAACGGCGTTGTACAGATTTACAAATTCTTGTCGATTTTCAACTGCATCAGCCACATCCCGCAGTTCAAATTCTCCAGCAAGAGCATCCAGACTCTCTACCAGAACGCAAAACGCGACAAGAATGAAGTAAAGTCCGTAATTCCAGCTCTCAAAATTATTTACTCGAATGGAACAGATGAAGACGCTGCCAATATATTCACTTCCATCCTCGATGAAATTACTTCACTCGATGAAGACCTTCTTTCCTCTGTTTACACATTATTCAGCGCATTACCTTATTCCAACAACGCCGACAGGACAAAGAAGTTCTTCCCTCAAGAGAAGCTTAAGCATTTTGTAGAAGAAGCCTCGAAGAGTTCTAAAGTCGTTCCGCCCGCTTTATTACTTGCTTTGATCGAAATTTCCGCTTATTCTGAGCATCTCATCACCGGACTCTCCAAGTCCAAGGATACATTTGAAAAGTTCCCAGAGTTGCTCTACCTCTTGACCCAAGCTCGCATCAAAAAGCTCAAATTCGAAGTACGTTGGGATAATTCAATTCCAAGTGACACTTTTATCGTCAACGATAAACTTTACACCGTTTCAGGTGGCGACGACAATCACTACACAATTGTTGTCCGCGATGCCGGCGGCGTCTCGGTATTGACATTAGACGAACTTCTTACAGACACAGGCAAGAACCCAACACTCGTTGACTTACCTAAAGGAACTGCATCACCAGCACATGCGATGCAAGTCCTCCAGATCGATGTTCCTCAGACACCAGAGATCTCGACAGAGGATATCCCATCTCCCGAGCCAGTAAAGTCACTTACAATGAAGCCATTTGGACCAGTTCCAAGAAATCCAGGCCGTCCTCCGATTTTCGACGTATTGAGGATGCTTGATTTGATATCAAACCCAGAAGTCCGCATTCTTCCACGTTCAAACAACACGATCAAGACACTTAATGAGTTAGATCAGACTCCATCTCTCCCAACAATCGATGTTCCGATCTACTACATCAACCAGATATCTAAGTCATTCGGTATCGAAGCGAATAACGAGGTACTTGCCAAGTTCTTCAACAGTTTCACTAAGGAAGATACATCATTAAACTACACAAGGTATCTTCTCACAACGAATACTGTTAGATTCGCATTCGCCTCCAAAGAAAACAAGCCATCACCGTTCGGAATTGTTTTCAATAACTCTGTCTTAGATATCAAGGAAGAATCAATGAAAGATTTACCACATAAGATTATTCTTTCTATTACACCACTCGGACAGTCCATGTTCAAGGTCCAGTTGCATAGAAACTCCCTTTCAATTCCGATGGCAATCGATGGAAAGATTCCGCAGATAGTCAGCATCAGATCAATGGCGTTCATCTTCGTATACTTCGGCCACTTGGCTATTTCCGACAATTACGATATCTACGCTTCACAAGTTAAGAAGAGAAAGGATATCATTTCAAAGATCAACGAAGGAATGACACCAATCGACTTCTTGTGTGATATTCAGGCTTAACTTCTATTAAGTTTAGCATCTTTTTTTCTAATTTTTTTAATTTTTTTTTATATTAAAAGAAAAATCGAGTTTTTTTTATTTGATTTATTAAACACTTAAATTTCATTGCGATTTTATGAATTAAATCACAATTTTTCTTCAGAGTTGAAACGAAATTTACATACAATCAATAACTCTCCTAATAATAAGAACATATCACTGAAGGTAGCAGTTTTCAACCAAATCTCATAATCAGAAAAGAATATTAAAGTTTGTGGCTGAGATGACATACTTGATCCGCTGAAAAAATAGACATCCACAGATTCTTACTTCATACAAGAAGTTGATGTAACAGAAGACGATGCTATGTAATTTATATCAACTTATCATCAATTTTTCACTCAATATCGACCTCACAAAGATGATAGAAATTAAAGATGAATTAGTAGACATATAACTGGACAATCTTTTAAATACCGTATTGTCATGGTTTTATTCATATAAAATGTAATATATTTCAGAATATTCAAAAAATAAATTCAATAAAATTGGAGATGGCCGGTGCTAACAATACTTGCTGATTTAATTATAGATAGAAACGCTACGAAAACATTAAATTTTTAAATTAAGTTAGTGGAAAAAAATTCAAAGCTTTTGTAAAGTTTATATTTTAACTAATGAGTCAAGCGCTGATTCAAAATTTTGAATACACTGCTGCTCATATCAACGATTACATTGATGAAGGTAAGTTATTTACTATCTTCGAAATAGAAGATATCAAAAAATCATGAAATTTACAAATTTAACAACAAATGACTTCATTACTCTTCTGAAACAATCGCAGTCTATAGTCAAAGCAAACGAGTTATATACATGTATTCGAAATGCGAATGTTTCTATACAAAATTATGAAGATGTCATCAATATTCTGAAATCTTCTAAGAAATACCTTAAACTGGCATTTCTTGATGGAATTATTGATTTTTTAATACAATCGACAAAGGAACAATCGGATTATACAAAGAAAATCCAAACTCTTCAAGCCGAGTTAAAAACCATTCAAGAACTAAAACAAAAAAGCGACAAACAGGTTGAATCACTTAATTCCCAACTCAATCAAATATACAATGATGCTAATTATGGCGAAAATTTTATATCAAAAATTTCAGAACTTAAAAAATCTAATGATTTCGAAAGAATTTACAAGTTCTTTGAAGCACTTTCATCTCAAGGAAATCATAAAAAGATTTCAAAATCATGCAAAGAAGGTCTTTGGCTAATAGAAGCTCCTAAAAGTAAAAATGGAGATGAAAAAATAAATATACTTCATGCAGCATGTGAAAATGGAAATCTCAGACTTGTAAAATCTCTCATTGAATGTGGCTGTGATAAAGAATCGCCTTCTCAACATAAAAATACTCCACTAGAACATGCATCATTGAATGGAAAACTTGAAGTTGTTAAATATCATATATCTATTGGAGCTAATAGAGATGCAAGGAGTGACGATGGATGGACTCCACTCATTTTTGCATCACGATATGGTTATCTTGAAGTTGTTAAATATCTTATCTCTGTTGGGGCAAATAAAGAAGGAAGCAATGATTATGGATGGACTCCACCCATTTTTGCATCAGCTAATGGTCAACTTGAAGTTGTTAAATATCTTATCTCTGTTGGGGCAAATAAAGAAGCAAAGACTAATTCTGGCTATACTCCACTCATTTTAGCATCAAGATATGGTTATCTTGAAGTTGTTATATATCTTATCTCTATTGGAGCTGATAAAGAAGCAAAGAATAAAGATGGAAAAACATGTTTCGATCTTGGAAATAGTGAAATAAGAGAATACATTTCTTCAATATGATAAATTATATAAAAAACTAATTTATGTTTCAAAGTTTTCAATTTCTTATGAGTTTTTCTCATTTCAAAGACCATATTTTTGAAATTATCACTTAATGTCATACCACACAGACAACATTTCTTATAATATCAATTAAAAATTTCTAATATTACATTTATGTTCCTACCCAACCCTCACCCTATGGGGTGGATTTTTGGAGAGTAGTTGGTAAATGGCTTAAATTTTTTTCTCTGACACATAAATTGTTAGAGACCACAACTACATTATACTAGGGCAGAGTTCTTCCGAGGCCTCTCATCAAATGAGAGACTTCGGAAGAACTCTGCCCTATTCGATTAATTACAGAATCCTATACCTTTTGGGACCAGGAAAGAGTAGTAAGAGTACTTTAAGGCAATGCTCATTACGAAGTCTCTCATCGAATGAGAGATTTCGTAATGAACATTGTCCATTTCAAGCAAATTTACTCCCCTAACCCTCGGAGGTTAAGGGAGTAGTACTACAGTCAACGAGGGCAATAACGTATAACTAATATCGACAGAAGCACAGCCTAGCTACGCTATCCTAGCATCTAGGCTGCATAGTTATTGTGCTTCTGGCTTGCGTAACCCTCATGGAAGACCGATTGGAGATCTCCCGCCGAAATCACTTGCTGATATGGATGGAACAGCACTATGATTGGCCAGATCAAAGGCTGAGTAGCATCCCAGCAAGTGGATAGTCGGCGGTGACTCCAGCTGTGGTCCACCATGAGATTATGGCAATTTTGTATTTTGGCAGGAAATATTTATGCAAAAAATGAAAATATATAACCACAATATGATGCTCCACGATCATTTTTAATTTTATAGAAATTTGATCGACAGAAATTGAGATACTGATATTTCCAAAAATTTCTATACGAAAAAAATTCAAAACCGAAATTTACAGGGGGTTAAGGTGAATCATAGTGCCTCAATCTCAATCATAGTGGCCTCTCAATTTTGAGACACTATTGAATTTTTAAATACTTGCATAAAATATTTCTATACCCACTATGATTGTATATTCAATATTATATATTATATAACTCAATTTTCTGTCACTTCACCTTCGAGTGCATTTGTCGATATTTCTTATTTTTATTCATATATTTTTTTTTATTTTCCCCGCCAAAATTTCCCTCTCAATTTCCCCGCCATTTTCATTTGGCCTCAGTGTTCCCCAGTAGCGTGACCTTCGCTCACTCACCCCAAGAGTTTGAACCTGAGCCCCCTCACTACACTCCTGATGGCTCCACAATGCCTGGCCCTTGAGCTTTCCTTAAGCTCGTGAAATTCCCCAGAAATTTTTCGCTTGCCCCTCCCAATTCCCCCGCCAGCCGAATTTTTGCCACTTTGCAACCCCAAAACTGCCCCGATGGCTACATTTCGGCGGCATTTTCCCAAATTTCCTCCATTAGAGGCGGAACACCTCTCCAAATCGAGCCCCAGGGCTTGCTAAGTGAAGCTCTCCATATATCCAATAGCTTCTTTTACCAGTTTTACTCATTCTACCAGATTGTTGTTAAATTTCGAGGCAGATCTCCCAAAATTTGCAGATAATTCGGCAAATTTCGCTAGATATGCCTCGAAATTACTAACCAATAGATGTTCTTCTTCTTACTCTCTGGATTCTTGAAATTTGCAAACAAATTTCATTGAATGTAACAGAGAATTCAATCCGAGTCTATTACTCGTGTTTTATTACTAAACATCCCTTTACCAGCTATATTTCTTCTATTTTTTTTAAAAAAAAACCAAATATTTAATGAAATTATGAGCTTAATATGAATAAATATGCTATCGTATATTAGAATAATAATTGTCTATGCATTCTGCTTATTTATACTAACAAAATATAAGATTTTTACTCCAAATTTTTTCGATTTCATGAAAAATGACCAAAAAAAGTACAAATTTCCTAACACAACTTTTTTATTTGAAAAATCTTTAGTAAATATTTTATAATTTTGTTGATTGCTGCATGCAGAATTTTTTTCTCACTCCAGTCCTCTCTCAAAATTTGAGAACAAATCACGTTTTAGCAATTTAAAATCAGAAAATCGAGATCTATATATGATATTTAGCAATATTTATAACTTCGTCTCTCAAAATTATTGAGGCACTATGAGTGAAATTGAGAGACTTGGATTCAATTTAACCCCCTGTACTCCACTTATAGTATAACAATGCTTATTATTTAATCTAAAATGCTATCATTATTTTTTTACGAAATTGAGTTAATGGTGCACCATTTTTTTATTATTGATTTATAAATAAAATTCTTTTTATATGCCAATTATTGAATCAAATATATCAACTTTTTTTCAGAAGTGTAAACCTGGGTATAAAACCGCCAGTTTTTACCGGCCAAAACCACATTCAAATTTCAAAACCTACTCTTAAATTTTGAATGGAGGGGGTACCATTGTTTTTTTTACCCTCTTACCTCAGATAGCGAATAATGTGAAATATAAGCATGTTATTAGGACATATATATATCTAATAAACTAGGATTCTATGATTATTTGAGCATCATACAATTTATCTGGAATGAAATATTCGAGTGCGGGACAAATTTGCCAGGTGTCACTTTTTCAATAACCTTAAATTACGCTTTTCTAATTTTTTAAAATAACCTTAAATTATATTTGAAGAAATTATGTCTATGATATATGTTTTATGCTAGAATCTTGGAGTTTTCATGCACTACACAAGAGCTCCAAGGTTCCAAGAGTGAATGCTCAATAGCAATTATAGAGATGTACCTTTTCAAAATGACTTTTACTGATTAAATTTAATCAATAGAAGACATTTTGAAAAGGTACCTCTACAATTAGATATACAAGAGATTCAAAGCTTCATTTCAGATAGATTTGAAACTTTGAAACTCTTGGTAGATTTTGAGTGAATGCTGACAATCATCTTTGAGAAGGTTTTCTTTAAGAAAACCTTCTCAAAGAGGTTTCTCAGGAGCCCTGAGGCTCCCTTTCGTAATGATTGGGAGCCTTGGGACTCCTGAGACGAAGAATGGCTTCGCCGAATCTTTGATCAGCAGAGGCCAAATGAAAAGGCCTCTGCTGATGGATTCTCAGGAGCCCTGAGGCTCCCTTTCGTAATGATTGGGAGCCTTGGGACTCCTGAGACGAAGAATGGCTTCGCCGAATCTTTGATCAGCAGAGGCCAAATGAAAAGGCCTCTGCTGATGGATTCTCAGGAGCCCTGAGGCTCCCTTTCGTAATGATTGGGAGCCTTGGGACTCCTGAGACGAAGAATGGCTTCGCCGAATCTTTGATCAGCAGAGGCCAAATGAAAAGGCCTCTGCTGATGGATTCTCAGGAGCCCTGAGGCTCCCTTTCGTAATGATTGGGAGCCTTGGGACTCCTGAGACGAAGAATGGCTTCGCCGAATCTTTGATCAGCAGAGGCCAAATGAAAAGGCCTCTGCTGATGGATTCTCAGGAGCCCTGAGGCTCCCTTTCGTAATGATTGGGAGCCTTGGGGCTCCTGCAGCAGAGTATCGCTCCGCTCCATTAAATTTTCTAAAAAAAGTGCCGTGTGGCAAATTTGTCCTGTTCCCCATCTTTATTATTTTTTTTATTCCTTTGAAAAGTGACACTGGATAGTTTGTCCCTTTCTCGAAATATTCAAAGTAACTCTTTAATTTGATGTGCAATCTAATTTATGGAAATTTAATAATTTCATCTGAAATTTCAACCAAAAAAATACATATTTTCATCAATTATTCTGATATATTTTTAAGATTGTTTTAATGCAAAAATTTCACCTTTTCGAAATTATGATTTAATGGAACATGGCTGAATATCTGCCTAATTCTCAATTCTTTTTATTTTTTGTTTAATTGTTACTGAGATGAATTTGATGGATGATTACAAATTCTTCAATTATGAGGATGATATCGATCAAGCTTATAAAGCAAGCATATATACTATATCAGACACATCAAATTCCGAGTTCTTTCAACAAAAAGATGAATTGAAAATCAGAATTAACTTAATGGACAGCATTAGAGCGGCACAAGAGCATTATAATGCTAAAAATGCAGATATGCTGAATGAAGCACTATCGAATATTAGGTTATTGCTTCCTTGTATTTTTAATGGAGTAAATCAAATAATAAAAGACCTTAAACTCATTGAATTCCTAATTAATTTGGCTAATGAAGAAGTTCAAGAGTGCTTTTATCATGTTATTAGTTGTTTATCAAATGTTTATGCTTGTAAATTTGACAAAGATATGGAATTACATCTTGATGAGCTATTTCCTATTATTTTCAAGCATATAGAAAGCGAAGACATTCCTTTGAGGTTCCAAATATTTGCTTGTTTATCAAATGTTATCCAATATTCTGAAGTTTATATCGATCAAATTTTAGAACTGCTTCCATTGGATATGATGATTGAGAACTCTTTAAACTATGGAGTTCCTTTCATTCAAGTAACTTTATTGATAATTACTCAAGTAATGAATTATTTCAAGATATGTCCACAGGAAGATGTCTTAATTGAATTCTTTATGCATGTTATTACTAGTGGTGCTGGAAAACAACTTTTTGATAATTTAGGAATTGCATTAATTGCAACTCTCAAAGTTAGCAAAGAAATATTGCAACAATATTTCCAATCAGGTCTGTTTGTTAAGTTGTCTGAGCTGATTCGAACGATTTTACCCGATAGCACCTCAATTTTATTCCAATTTCTTTCAATTGCGTTTGATAGGATTCCTAGTGATGCAGAATGTGATGGACAGCTAGTTAGAAGTATTATTCTACAATCATATCCTATTTCAGATTTATTTTTATTATATCAAAAAACATCTTTATATGAATTAAGAGATATTTTACTCAAACTAAGCAAATATAGTTTGGTTTATAACCTAGATAATGTTAATGGATCTGATACTCTTAAATTTGTTATGGAGCTGCTTGAACAATTTAATGATATGCAATTTAGTACCAAATCTGCTGCACTTGGTTTTATAATGGCATTTGCATTATTAACTGATGAAAGTACCCTTGATTTGATGTTGAAAAACGATTTGGCCGAAACAATTTTATCAGGTTTAGAGTGGGGATCTGAAAGTTTGAAAGGAAAGATTATTAATAATGTTTGGGAAATGATACAGAAGACACAAGGTAGCATAATTCATGATGAATTAATAAACCAACTCCGTGACGCTGAATTAATGGAAAGAATCAATGATGTTTTAGATTGTGATGACTTAGAAGACGAAAGAAACGCAGAAAATATACTTGATTACATTTCAAAGCCCGAAGATGAAACAAATTAAACATATTTAACCATTTTATTGTATTCTTGTAGTAAATAATAGATGTATATATCATAAATTAAAAACACTTGTTTAACATGTAAACATCATGCAAAAATTTATGATAATTTCAATAATTTTTATCATATATTTTTTGAAAAAATACTTAAAGTGTTTAAATATTATCTACTTCGAGGAATTGAATTTAAGTGCAAAGAAAATTCTTAAAAATCTTTTGTTGCAATTCTTGATGAAATTTTGAAATCACAAGAAAAAATGATATTTCATAAATAAGAATATTTTAATAAACAAAAAGGTTATAAAAAGACAAAAATATAAAAAATAATTATTGAACATCAATATAAGACATAATTGTTGGGATTAACAAAGAAACGCCCATTAATCTGAGCATTGGCTCTTCTCCTTCAGCAATCTTCATCATTAATGTTCCTCCGAAGTTCACTTCTTCAAGCCAATCCTCTATTTCAACTGGTTCTGTTGATCTGTAAATTGGAATTGGAACAAAAGATTTATCCAGAGAATCTTTGAGAACAGGCTGTATCATCAAGTACTTAATAGTTGTATATGAGTTAGCACTTGCTGTAACTTCTCTGTTTTGATTCAAAGCTGCTCCCATCAGTTCGAAACCGGACATCAAATGTCCGTCATTTGGAACTTCTTCTGGTTCTTGTTCCAACGGAGTTGCCTTCATCAAGAAATCACTTGTTGGGATATTCATTGCTTGAGCGAGTCTTATCTTAATGGATCTAGTCATTATCCTCATGAATCTGAACGCTGAAGCCTGGAAAACTTTTGGTTTTCCTCTTCTCACCCAAGATTTGAAGAAATCGGCAGTGACATTGAGTTGAACTTTCCATGATTCAACCATGCGTGGAGAGAAGCCAATATCCCATTCTTTGGGACGAATGTACTCTGCGAGCTTCATGATTTTCTCGATATCTGATTCTCTTGGTGGTTTAACTCGCTTTGCGACATTCAACAAATGATTTGCAGAAGCTTGTATAATTTGTAATTTTTGCATCAAATAACGAATTTCTCTGGCCAAAACCATCATCATTGGATCGGACAACTGCATCATTTCGTCAGTGCTTCCGATATCTTCTAATACAGGGAGATTAGAGATAACGTTTTGTAGAACTCCTGCAGCTGTTTCGTACACAGTTGTTGAGAGTTTATTCTCGAAGAATTCGTTGATTCTGTTGATAGAAAGCAAAGCGCTTCTTTCAACAGATTTTTCGAATCTCATGTGATGAGGAAGGAAGCAATCGAAGTCTCCCATTGCATGGATGCATCTTATTATCTCGTCGATGCCTCCTTGCTTTGGAAGAGTGACGTTTTGGCAGAAAGGAGAACTGAATTGAATCAAAGCATTGACAACTTTTTGACACATAATTTTATCATATTCAGAACAAATCAATCCACCGTAAGCATCATTCAAAATTACGTGTTTGACTTCATCTAGAGGGAAAACATCTGGTTTTGGATTGATATTCCTCTTCTGGATCTGTCGAAGTCCTGAACATATGATGCACCACTCAGGAATTCCAAATTTGTATTCTACAGCGAAAGCAGACCATAAATGTCTTCTTATGCAGAAGCAGGAATGAATGTACAAAGCCATATAAATGATTCTTGTCCATGTTGCAGACTTCAACATGATTTTATCGATGTAGGAACTCAATGTTATCATTGTATCAGTCAAAGAAGGATCTTTAATATGAACTTTGTAACTTGAAGAAGCCAAACTCGACAACAAAACTGTTTTTCTTGTTGTTGCAACGATCCTGAAGTTACTTGACACTTTGTTTCTTAATCCGAACAAAATGTTTCCGATGTTTGGATTCAAATGGATGTCAGGAACGAAAACAACACCTGAATTGTTGATTGTGTCTTCAACAACATTCATCAGTGTTTTCTCTGAGTAAGAATCTGTTGTAATAACTGTAAATCTCTTTGTTTGGCTGTTTTCTATCTGTCTTTGCAGCATAAGTTCTCTTACAAACGCTCTTTGGTCGATGGAATTGCATGTAGAGATCATTAAAACTGGTTTTTGCGATGCTTGTGTATTAGAAAACGCGCTTTGCATTGACATGTCGTTTATATCGAATTCGTCATCGCCAAACACGTTACTAATCATTTCTTTGACTAATCCAAACAAGTCATTTATCTTGAAGATTCTTGTCACAATCAGTTCTTGAACAATCGAAAGATTTTCCAATCTTTTTCCTGGAGTTTTGATCCATTCAATGAAATTCGTTGGATCATTTGTAACTTTCATCATCAGTTCGTGTATTGGCTTTATCTTCTCTGCGCATGCACTCAAGTTCAGCCAATATGTCTGTGCAATAGATTTAGGTGCTGGATTCTCTATAAATGGTTTGACTGTCTTCATATGCGTCAAGAACCAAAATTCTTCTGCATTTGATTCTTTTCTGTCAATTAAAACAGAGAAAGAAACCAAAAACAGGACTAAGAATCTGTCATTAACATTCATAGCGTGTATTACATAGTTAACAATGTATTTAGTGATGGGAGCCACTATATTCTCTGTTCCTTCCGTTTCATTCAATGCATTTGACAAACTTTCCATCAATGCTTCATGAGAAGTCTTGAACAAAGGATTGTAACGTGAAATATTACTCATCAAGTAGAAGATCAATGACAAATGCTGTGCTGTGTCATCGAACTGTAGTTTCTCTTGCTCGAGAGCTTTGATTTGATCTCTTAATTCCTTGTATTTCTGGTATTCACTTGAATAATTTTCTTTCATCTCCAAAATTGCTCTTTCCAAAACATCATCGTCAATGAAGTTTCCATCTTTTTGTGTGCACAAATCGAACAGTCTATCTTCACTATTCTGGTAATTCTTCTCAGCATTGGCGAGAGTTTCGTACAATGAATTGTATTTCTCTTCCAAAGCAGGGTCTTTAACTTTGATGATTTGGCTTGAAATAGTCATTTGATAGGCCATTCTTCCTGGTTTGAATGAAACAACAACAGTTTTCTGGAAAACTTCAGGTGAAACAACAGTAACTGTTGAAGAATTCAACAAGAACAAAGTGAAATGGGAATCAACTTCGATTGATCTTTCTCCAACTTTCGTCAAATATTTTCCTTTATCTGTTGTATTTCTATTGATGAAAGCATCAATGAAAGGATCGAAAGAATTGGCGGTGAAATTCTCAATCAATGCTGATTTACCATTTCTTGCACATGTCTCTATAATCCTTGAGTAGTTCTGCATTCCTGGCTGCAAAACAGCGATTTGATTCTGTTCTTCGACTTTCTTCAGCCAATTCAAACAGATTTCGTTAGGATCATAGATATAAGGAACTAAGAAACCATATTTAACAATGACAGCATTCTCTGTTGCTTGTGCATTTGGAGGTAATCCCATTGTGATCCATTTGCGAATTGTTGAAGGAGAAACGAAACAATGCTCGAACTTAAATTCAGGATCAATCTCGAGATTTTGTTCTCTTATTTTCGCTTTAACTTCTTCAACAATTTTAATTCTGTATTCTGAATCAAATGGTCCCAAATAAATGAAATACAATGTGCATAACATCGTATGAGCAACATTGTATTTCATTTTATCATTTATATCTTGGATTTTTGCTTTCCACTCTTCTAAAATTGGTTTCATCTTCTCTTTGAACGCGTTAAATTTATCAGCACGTGCTTTGAGTTCGTCCTTCTTTCTTCCGAGCTTGTAAGCGTCATGGGATGATTCGTTTTGGCTTTGATGAGCTGCTAATTGATCATTTACGATTTCAAGTTTTTGGTATCTTCTCTTTATTGTTGCTCTTCTTGTTCTGAGGCTTGCAAGCAACTGTTGGTACTGTGTTTGCTTAGGAAGATATGCTGGATAGTTGTCTTCGAACTTGATCAAATTCTGTATGAAATTGACAATTTTGACAAAAGATTCTGGCAAATTTGACAATTTTGTTTCAGGACCCATTATTTCTTTGATTTTAGCAAGTGTCTTTGGTGTCAAATGGTTCTGTTCGTTGTATTTAAGGGACAACTTCTGGCAGAATGTTGGATCATTGAATAACATGTTGAAAGTTCCTTTGTTTGTGTTTTGTTGGTCACTTAAAATACAAATAACTCCAACAACAGTTGTCAAGAAAGGATAATCAACAGTTTCGAATCCAACAACTTCATCAATCTCGTCATGTGAGAATTTACCAAATGCTTCACAAGCAGCCTTGAAATCATTGTTTATCTTTCCAAATGAATCTTCAATTTCTCTCAATAATTTCGTCGCTTTGTTGTTTTCTTCTTCTAATTCTTTTTCATCGTTTTCGATCTTCTTCTTGATTTTGTCGTGTTTCTGGGAAGTATCAACGATTTTCGCGTAGACATCATCTAAATTATCTTTAGATCTTCTCATTTGGCGCATGATTTCTGTGATTTCATGGTTTGCCAATTCAATTATTTTGTCGGCATCATCAAATCTATCCAAAGCAGCTTTGATTGGAGCAATTTGTGCTTCGGCTTGTGCGATGAATTTGTTAAATACTAATGAACATGTTCTCAAGTATTTAACAAACAAGAAAGGAGAAAGAACGTAAGAGAAGATTGTTCTATCCAAATGAGGTGCATATTTTTCGACTGTCTTGTAAACGAATGTTGCAATTTCCAAAGCAGCTTTTTTATCAACTCTTGAATTAGTTTCAACTCTTATGTAATCTTCGCCATAGGTGAACAAATCTTGGTCATTGAGGTGTTTGTAATAATCAATATCACAGAATCTCCAAAGAGAAGAATATTGGGAACAATATCTCATTAATGTTGGAACATCATCTTGTATTGAAACGATGCAATGCATGTTTTCAAGAACTCTTTCTTTGAATAAGTTCAAAAGCTGTTGATTTGATTCACCTTTTCCTGCTTTCTTCGAGAAACCACAGATATCTGAACAGATTCTATCTAATTCATCATTAGAAAACAGTGTTAATATTCCTGTACCTGTTATTAACATGTTTGCAAGTTCAATTCCTTTGTATTCTGAATTCTGGTCGAGAGTTAATAAGAAAACAACTCTTTTTCCGTTGATTCCCGCTCTCATTAAATTGATTTTGACTTCTTCTGTTTGCATGTTGTTGTCATCGTATTCAATACAATCTGCATCAATAATGAAAGAAGCCAATCTCGCAACAGTTCTCTTTCCTGATCCATAAGGACCAATAAGCATCGCGTGGCCACGACAGAACCTGAGAACTCTGCACAATCTTGAGAGATGAACAGCTGTATGTGTCAAGATAACAACTGATTTGGATTTGGCGAGTTTTGAATAGTTGAAATCTTCTAAATGACCATGGAAAACAGCTTTGACTTCATCCAATGATTTGTACTCTTGTATATTTGAGATTTCTTCTTCCATTGTATGAACAGAACGTGTGAAATCTCCGAAATAAGAGCCAAACAAGACATTTGGTTTTTGGTCTGATCCCATTTTGTTTTTCGCAATTCCTTCGAACATATCTGTGAATTTCTTGAGTTCTGTTTCATTGTTCATTTTATCAGCGTAAACTCTCATTAATTCATGAGAAAAGAACCTTTCAAGAGCTCTTTGATCAGTTATTACTTTGTCATTGCATTTCAGCAATGAACTCAAGATCTTTCCGAAGTCATGCATGTTGAAAACAATCCATGGAGTTTCAACTTGTCTCGTGAAAATTTTTTCAACAGATTCTAAGGTATAAATCAATGTATTTGTGATCTTTCCAACTGAATTACGAACAGCTTCTGGGTAATTATTGAACATTACAGCTAAAACGGATTGGAAGATCTGGAATTCACTTGAACTTGTCAATGGCATCATTGTTAAATTGACGAATTTACTTGCAAGAGATTTATCAATTGGATTCATCAAATTCAATGTTGAAATTCCAATGAATGATGTTTTTCTAATTGATAATTTCTTCTTGAGTATTGTTGATCCGAAAGAATGATACTCAATCAGTTCTCTGAGATGTTCATTGACAATATTCACTCCTTCATCATTGAGTTTGGGAGAATTGAATCCGTCAATGAAAATAATTGATTGTTTATCACCTGTTGGATACAACTTGTGTCCTTTCTCCATTTGCATTCTACTGATGAGTGTTTCTTCAACATTACTACGTTTGCAGTTTGGAGAGAACAAGAATTCGATATGTCTATAATCATTTTTCTCGAATTCCTGCAATAAATCATTAACAATTAATGATTTTCCAATTCCTGGTTCTCCGCTCAGCAAAACATCATGATTTCCTTTGAGTAACAGTCTAAGAAGATGTTTTGTTCGCTCTGTTTCTAATGTTGGAACAATAACATTATATGCTTTAACAGTTGATGGATTAATTTCTAAATCAGCTGGTGCGATATCAACAAACTTAGGAACATTGTCTGCCCAACTTGCCCAAGAATATTCTGGTTCTGTTTTCTGGACAAACCAATCGAAAACAAGGCCTCTTACTGGAATAACATTAATGTTGTTGAATGTATCTCTTACAATTGTATCGAAGATGTTTCTTTGGTTGTTATCCATGTAACCACCAAATCCCCAAATGTAAGAGAAAACGAAATAAATCGTCATGTTGTGTGAACCATTTTCATCAAGGAAAACTGTGTCTCCAACCAAACTTGTGAAGATCTTAAAGAATGTTCTGATGCAAGAGATGAATGTTACATAAGCTGGTTTAGCTTCGTTCGTCTCGATGTAATAGTTATGAACAACTTTTATTGATACATCGCATAATTCTTTGAATTTCTGCAAAATGTATTTTTGTGTTTCCATCTTAAACAAAGGTTCAACAAGTTGTTTCGTCAATGAATGGACAACATCCATTGGAGATATGTTATCCTGTTTGAAATTAATGATTGCACATCGAGAAATAGTCGAAGGACTTGCGCATGACAAAGATTTTGATTCGAAAATAAATCGTGTTGAATCTCTTCTTGGAATACGAGTTCCACTTGGGAACAAAATCGTTCCTCCATAAGAGATTGCTGTATGCAAACTTTCGATCCATTCTGACAAAATCAAACCATCGAAAACAAACCAGTTTTGGAGTTCTGGATCTGCATTTATACACTCGGTTTCAACATGTCCTAAATGAGCTTTATTTGTTTTTTCATCGTAGTAACCAATCAAGTCTTGCAGTTCAAATGAATTAGGAAATATTCTATGAACAACAACAGTTGGAATGATTCTGTTTGCCAATGAAAATGTCTTGTGTAATTCCATCAAAATGTTCAACATCATGGATTTTCCTGAATCAGTATCTCCCAAGAAAATCACTGCTTTATGATGTGTCAAGACATCATTGATGTGGAGAACAGATTGACATAATTGTTCTGAGTATGAAAGATTGAGAGAATTGATGCAATATTTGACAGTTTTGAGATAATCTTCTGAAAACTCTTCAACCAAAATTTCAACATCAGGGAAGTTTTCTTTGATCAAATCAATGAAAATGACTTGTAAATCACTCTTCAGATACCTCTGTGCGTAGTGATTCAATGCGAAAACTACTAATTTAGGTGCTTCTAGCTCTGAATCTTCAATTGCAGTCTCTTTCATGTACTCGAATGCTTGGTTGAAAATAATTCTCTCCATTTTAGAAGCGTACAATGAATAAGTATGGAGGAGCTTCTTGATTTTCAATGCCAATTCATGAGCATTTGCTAAACCAATAGAAAGGAGCTTGATTTCGATGTATCCGGTCATATCTATTGAAGTTAAATTCAAAATTCTGAAAAGAGATCTGAAATTTGAAGGAAGAGGAGTATGACCTTTAGATCCAGGTGTTATTGTAGCGAAGAAAGCTGAAGATGGGTTGATAGGGATTTCAACACCATGGAAATTCAATTTCTTGATACCGGAGAAGTTCGAATCTCTGTAAATAATGAGATTTTCACTGATAACACTCAATGCTTGTTCAGATAAACGATCTATATCAATGAAAACGCCCCAAACACCTGAATGAATAACACCACGGCATGCATTAGCTACTTGTGCAATTCCAAGTGTCGGATCGCAATAGAATTGTACGGAGAAAACACCAAACATTCTTGCGATTTCTGTCAACAAAGAGTTCTTTCCAACATTGGAAGGACCGCTCAACAAAACAGGCAATTTAGAGTTCAATGCAACAGTCATGTAATTGAAGACTTGCGCTGTATCTTGAGTGATTGGTAATCTTGGTGCTGTTCCACTGAATTCGAATCCGTATCTCATGCAAAAGTCTCCTTGTAACACTAAAATATCTTTTTTGTTTTCATCAAATTTGAACTTTAATTTACTGAGCCAAAACCATGAATTAGCATCAAAGATTTGTTTGGACAATATGGTGTTCAAGAGATCTCTTTGTCTAAATAACAATGTAATATAGTTTGCGAACTTCTTGAATTCCAAAGCATCTAGTTTTGTTCGCATCAAATTTGAGAATAAATCCAATCTCGACAAAATTTCATTCTTCAAATTTGTTATTCCTTGTACAGGAGATTGTGTTGTAAATGCCAATTCTATTGCTTCTGTGAAATAGACTTGGCTTAGCACGAAACCACACTGTGCCAATGAGTTTCCAATCCATCCTTCGTGAACCATTTCGTGGTACTTCGAATCATCATTCTTGAATTCGAATCTCAATGATCTTTTAGAGATTTCGTCCAAGTTTTGTAACCATGCTTCGACATTTGATCTGTACTTGACTTGTGTAAGTTTTAGGACTTCACCTTCTGCAGATAATACAGCTGAAATGAATGGAACATGGTTCTCTGTTTCGATGTAATAATTCGCGATTCCATCGAAGAAAAATGGTAAATAAGATCTGATAGAAAATGGTTCTTTTTGCATTGCAATCAATTTGAGTAATTGTTCGTCGGAAATGAAGTATAATCTTGGGAATACGGCTCTCTTTGCTTCTAATGCTTCTATGATTGATTGCTGTGTTTTCTCCAATAGTTCAATTGCTTGTTCTAAATCAGGCATCGTTTGATTTGACATGCAAACTTTGAAAGCATTTGGATCATCTTTAGCTCTTACGTACAAACCTTTCCAAAGCTTTTCAAGGGATGTAATATCCTTAGAATTTGGCACTTGACGTAATGTATCCGTGCTGTGGAGAATTCCTGATATGAAATCCCACAATTTTTGTGCGTAATCCAATTTTTTGACAACTTTTTCAAATGCTGATAATGATCTCACCCATTCATCAGCATTTGCTCTTAATGTAGACACATAATGGGAAGCTCTGACAGTAGCAATTGTCGCTTTGACATCTTCAATGGAATACAAAATTTCCTGTATTCCACCGAAATAAACCTTCAAATTTGTACCATTTGTAAGGTTAAATTGCAAATTGTCAATTGTGTCTTTAACATTATGTAAGTGGTCGAGTAATGTTTGTTCATTAGAAGCTTGTTCAGTAACATGAGCGATATCTTTCGCGAGATTGAAGGCTTGCAAGTCATGAAGGTATTTGATCTTGTACAAACCTTTTTCGAACACTTTTCCACCGATGAGAGTATCGATTCTTTCTTTGTGTTCTTGTTTGAGGGCTTTGTTGTTGAGATCTTTGATGACAGGAAGCAAATTCTTGAAATCTTCGATCATGCCCATGAATTCAACACAAACTGCATTGCCAGGAAGATTCTTAAGTGCTTCATGCGCTCTGTCATGATAAGAATCAATGTCACTTGCAATTTTATCGACATCTACAGTTGTGAAATCCATTTCGTACCAATGTGCTGTTGAAACTCTCCATTCACTCAATGTTTCCCAAAGTAGTTGTTTGTATTTGACGTCTTTGACTAAGTCATTGACATCATTGAACTTGAAGCCTTGTACGCCAATCTTCCGCTGATAGAAATCGTAATCATCAGCGAGTTTCTTGATTTCGTCTGTTTTCGCAATCAAAACAACGAAAATCATCGCGATTTGTTTGTGTCCTGTTTCGATGTTGTTGAGTTCTGGAGTGTTCGCGAGTTCTTGGAGTGTTTTAACTCTTGCATGTAGATCGTCCACATTCTTCTCGAGTTCAGACACGAATCTTCTTGATAATTCATCCATTTTGTCGCGAGATCCAACGAGATTTGTGTGGATTTCGTCCAAAATTGGTTGTAATTCCGAAAAATCATTCTCCATTTCAGCGGGAATATAAGCTGCTTGATCCGTAGCGAGTTTGAAGAATTCTTTGATCAAGTCCATATGTGTTTTCAGTGCTTTGACTTCTTCATTGTATCTTTCGACCGCCAAAATGTAAACAACATAAGTTTTGACGTCAGTTATGTCTGCTGTGAGAGAATTAAATGCTCTGTGGATGTTCGCTTCGAGTTTGATGAGATTACGACGTGTAATGGAAGGAATCTCAACTCTGACCATCTGCAGACATTTTCCTGGAGAAGTAATGAACAAAGAACGCATCTTTTGCGTGTAAACACATAATAATCCAACATCTGACTTTTCCGCAATGGATTTCATGAGTTTTTCTTGGTCCCTGATATCGTTAATATGCATTCTAATATCTGAAGCTGTTGTATTGTCATCGTTCATGAAGGAAACATCGAAGTTTTCGTTCTCCCTGAAAACATCGATCGCATGTTGGAAATTCTTCGTGAAAAAGTTGAGCATATTGACTGAGGATACAATAATAGTGTTCTGGTTCGAACTTGTCTCTTTGAATAACTCGTCGTTGAACAGGATTTGGCCTAAATCTGGAACATTTATAGATTCCGGATTGAAAAGTGCATCTTCTGTGTCTGCATTGTGTAGAGGAGCAAAGATTGGATTGACAATAAGACGTGGGAACTTGAAAATTACATCTATGAAGTCATTTCGAACTTGACCAATTAAATCCATAATTTCGTTATCACCTGGACTGTAAACAAGCTTATTATCGACAAATGAGAAGTCCACTCTGAAGATTGGTGAGTGATAAACCTCTGCAATTCTTAATTTAATCATCTCATAAACACGAACGAATTCTGGAGATAAAGAGAGGTCACGGACTGGACCAGCTTCATTCTCAAACCCTGTTTTTGTTGCTCCGACGTTGTAAAGATGTCTGAAAATAGAATATAATTCTAATAATGAAGAAAAACATATGTAACGAAGACATCCAATGATATGGTAATCGACCAATTTAATAAATCTTACTAATTTGAAGCATAACGCTTTATAAGAAGCTTTCTGAGTGTAATTCATTTCAGCAGCTGTTTTTGCTTTATGAGTTTTCTGTTTTTGTGACTTATAATGGTTGATCATTAAGTCTAAAGGCCTTGAACCTTTCTTGGCGTTCTGAAATCTCTCAGGACTCGTTAATTCATCTTGAGATCTTTCACAAGCTTCTTGAACGATTTTGGTAATCTTCTTATAGTAGGATTCGAATGTTTGGGATACTGTTTGTCTGTATTCTGAGTTCTCATCTATGAATTGTTGTAATGTATAAGCGCCATCTGATCTTAAAGAGAATAATTTTGTTCTTTGTAACTCGTTAAGGGCTACTCGTACTTGTAAGAATGAATTTCGTAATGTTGTATCGGCAAAGAAGAAATCTCCGTTAATTCTTGTTAAAGAAGTTTGAATTTTTGTGCATTGAACGCCTCTCCTCCACAGTGAGAAGAACTTCCATTCTCTATGCTTCTTGAAGAATGGAATTTGTAATAAGCGCTTGAATTTCTCGATAGATGCTAACCAGACATCAAGTGGTATGAAATCAACATCACCATCCCTAATATGTGTTAAGCCTTCGAGTGATAATGTCCATACTTCGCGTTGTTTTGTATCTACATTAGCACGTGGTATAGGAACGAGATTAATTGGTTTATCTGCTGTTTCAATTTCATGTGTACTGCGTAAAAATATGTACTCTTTTGTCAGGTTGTGCTTTTTTGCAAAATCTATGAACTCGAAAGGTGAATTAAACTTATCAATGATGCTTTCGTATTGAGTATAGTCGTCTTCATTGTCCTTTTTGAATTCTGCAGATGTTTCTTTGGATGGTGGATCTGGTAAAGGTGGTAATGCAGTGTTCATTGTGTGAGAATGTTTTTGAGATTTGGTGAGAGGGTTAAGTGTGCCTTTTAAAGTGACTTGAGGTGCTACAACTGGTTGCTTTGGAACCAATCTAGATCTTAGATCAGAAGCAATCCTCTGCGTCATATAGTTAAATCTCTCACTTTTTTTGAGAGATTTTAGTAACAGATTTTTGCCAGATAATAATATATTCATATACTGTAAGACATATTGAATATTTTATCTCGTATAATTGGGTACTGAATCAAAAATTATTTGGAAAATTTTCTGAAAACAATTAAAATTATGATGAAATATGTATAGTGAATAGATGTTGATATGACATTTTTTGTATTGAGAAAAATACCAAGATATGATGAACAAAATATGAAAATTATCACAAAAAATCTATGTCAATAATTTATAGCTACATATTTGATTGTATTTTCCATATAAAATGAAAAGAATTTCAAATAAGCAAATTTTGGAAATGAAAAAAGAAAAATTTAGGGGCAGGCCGGAATCGAACCGACTACCCAGGGATCTGCAATCCCTTGCTCTACCGGTGAGCTACTACCCCCTCACATATACATTGTTTTATAATGTCTTGTAATATTTATTTGGAACTTTCTCAATATTATCAATCTTCATTATCTTTTGAATGATATCAGAGAAAATCTATTTTCATCATAACAATATGATTAATTTTTTCATATAATGATACTCATCTCCCAATCTTTTGATTTACCACCAATATTTACAGAATTTATAATATTTCATATTATTCTATTTCCTTTAAATATATGCTCTTTCAACAAATTTCCAATACAATTTTATAAGTTTCAACTATCTGAAGGACACGGAATTTTTGGACAAAAATTCTCCAAGAATTGTCACTTTTTTCAATGTCCACGAATACAAACAAGTATGTTGAGCTATTTCGCTCATTAAGAGAAAAAGAGAAATACGGATCCATTGCTATTGTCGTTATTACAGTTTTCTCAAAGGTTATCACAGAATCAAAGAGCAAAACAATCAGTGGTCTTGTACAAGAATTCAACGAAGTTGCTAAGTTGATCGAAGATTCTTTCCCAGATCTTCCTTTCCAATTCAAAGCCGCTGCACAAATGTACAAAGCTGCTATCAGATCTACAAAAGAAAATGATATGTCTAAATGGCTTTCATCTTTTCATGCAAATGCTCAAATTCAACTTGATGTAGCTCGTAAAGCTCTTGAAACAATTCCATATCACGTTCATCCATTTTTACAGCATGGTATGACAATCATGACAAGAGGTTACGATCCACTCGTTTTGAAATGCCTTTCTGATAGAAGTGATATCCAATTCCACATTTTCATTGCTGAAGGTGCACCAGAAAAGGAAGGTTTGCTTCTTGCAAACGAATTAGCGCGAACAACCAAACACCAGATTACTTTAATCCCAGATTCAGCCATTGGTGCATGCATGCATACAACAAACATCGTTTTAATCGGAACAGAAATTGTTTTAGATGATGGCTCCCTTCTTGCTCCTGTTGGAACATATACGATGGCAGCTCTTGCTTCTATATCACGCCGCCCAGTTTACTGCGTTTGCGACTCTTTCAGATTCTATCGTTACGAAGATTTCATCCTTAATCCAAACGATCTCGGCGATTTACAAAGAAAAGTCAAGTATCAGCCAGAGGGCACATTTGACGAGAATATCCGCTTCTATAACGATAAATACGATTTGACTCCAGCTAAATACGTTCAGATGTTAGTTACAGAAAAGGGACCTTTGCCAACCTCTGATGTAACTCACGAATTGACCAAGCTCCTTGGTTTCAAGACTTTCAAGAACGATTAATTTATTGATTTTATAAATGTTCCTTTTTATACATTATTACTATTCTTTTTAAACTTGTTAAAATTTTTTCGAATAGTTTGCAAAGAATAGAGACATTTTACTTATAATTTTGATTTTGAAATTCGAATTCAAAAAAAAATTTCAATAAATGTCTATTCACAAAGGATAATATGCCGATAGTATATGACTCGTTTTGATCATGATCTATTTTTGCTGGTTATTACATCTACTAGATTATGTTTTTCTTGATTTAGATTAAAAACTTATATTTTCGTGAAAAATAGTTGAGATTACATATAAAAAAAATACAATTTACATACATGATAAAAAAGGATTAGATTAACTTAAGGAAACAGCGAGGACAACAACTAATGATATGATTGGAATCAACATAAATGGTAAGTTGATGATAGAGAATTTGAATGTCAATGCTCTTGAAAGGCTTTTTGCACTGAAGTAAATACAAAATCCAAGAGAAAGAACATAGAAAACAATATCAATAATAAACCAGTAAGAGAAGTTCTTTGTGAATGGAAGAATTGATGCAAGGAATATTAAAGGAAGAGTCACAAAAGCAGCATGAAGAAGTAAGTAAAGATATGTATAAATGGATCTAATCGATTTCTTAAAGTTGGTATATCCATAAACGGTGTAGATTCCAATATGACCTCCAATTGGCATGAAAGAAATCGGACAAAATAGAGGAACTAATAGGATAACAAACAAATATATCATGCATGTGTAATTGTAATTAATAAGCAAGTATCTCAAGCATAAAAAGCCAAAGATAACATTGAGGAAATGTCTTCCTCCAGAATGTCCATCTTTTTTGTTGAATTGGTAACTGAGAGTTTGTTCCATGTAATCTTTAAGATTATCTGAACTCTTCTCGATCTTTGCAGGGAATGTTATAATGAACAAAATTATAAACATTAATAGATAAACGAAAAGAGGATATTTGTAAATTTGTCTTTCATCAGCAATTGTTTCTGTTGTTGGTGGAAGTTTTTCGCCTACAAAAAACTCATATTCATTTGTTTCACTTGCTAATTCAAACTTGATTTTGTGAAATCCATTATCATAATTCCTTTCAAGCTGGTATAAAGACATTCCTTCACCAAGACTTCTAACGAAATCCATTTTATATCCATCGCAAAGTAAATTCAAGTTTTGATCATCACTAAAAGCTAAAACACGAATAAAAATGTGTCCATTGTCGAAAGAAACAAACTTAGACAATTGATTTGATGGAATTGGATATACAGGAACGAAAGATGGCCTATCCAATGCATGATATTTATGATAAAAGATATTTTCATTATCATTTGTAACAATTCCAACACTTTGATGCGAAACAACTTCACTGCAAATAATTTCAAGAGATTCGTCATGATGTTGTGGTATGATATCTCTTGGATGTGTGTGCCCTGTTAATACAACTGAGACGTTATATGAAGTAATCAGATCTTTGAATCTTTTTCCTGTTTGTGACTTCACATTGTTGAATTGTTCGACTGTGAAATGCGTGATTAAGATGATTGACTTGTCTGGAAATTCGTTTTGGATTGTGACAATCTTCTTCTCAATGATATCCAAAACTTCAGAATTTGTAAAAAGATAAGGATCGAGAGCTCTTTCTCTTGGATAGTTAAATGGATTGACAACAATGAAAGCATTGTTATCATGTATGTAACTTGATGCAACAAATTCTTCATAATTGATATCTCGATTTTGGAACATCGTTGCTGAATTAATGTAGTAGTTTGTTGAGATATCTAGCGAAAATAGATTAAATTGATCATGATTTCCTGATGCATCTAGGAATAATGAGCATTTTGGAGCGCATTCTGCATTAATCTCTCGGTATAGTTTAAAATCTTCTTCATTTTGTCCAGCAACTTGTTGGTATGTTCCAACGTTCTCCCAATCGTCAGCTAAATCTCCGCTGTTTACGACTACATCACTCTTATAAAATTTGCAAAATTCTAAAGCATTTTTATAGTGTTCATTGTTAGTAAGTTTGTAATGACTAACATGGACATCTGTCATATGTGTGAAAAATGAAGGATTCAAATCAACATTAAATTCTCTGTTGCAACTATGGATTTCTTTTGTCCTTTTACAGGGAGTGATCTTTATAACCGAAACAGCAATGATAATGACGATAAAAAACCAAACAAATGACATTAAAAAATGTCGATAACCAATCATTTTTAAATCATCAGCTTGAGAGGCGTCAAGTAGCTCACGATCATCATGTTTTGGGCTATGCACTTCATACAATTGGATATTTGCATAAAGTATGCATAGAAAAAGAAACATCGCAAATAACGTCTTTAGTATGGACAACAAATGATTTTGTCCAAATGCAAAGCACATAAAATTTTTGATACCAGGGTGTTCTCGATAGGAAAATAACGGCTTTCTGGTTCTTTCAATAATCGTTCATAATTTTTATCTTAAATATATGAAATTCGTATGCGATTCAGCTTTAGATATCATCTACTGAGTGATTTTACGAAAACACGGATCATGTTTACGTAAATTATTTCGCTTTGATGATGAATTCTAAAAAAATCTGAAAATTCCTTTCAATATTGATTTGTATGCTTATGTGTATGCTTTGTTTTTGTTGTTTTCTCTTAGAACATGATATTATGAAATCATTGAAATATCTACCTAAAAAATTATAAGATATGTATACAAACACTTTATTATTATAAAGATAAGAACATTAATATAATTGTTCTGGAATATATCCTTTGTAGTAAAGAGAAGCAACAAAAGTTATTTGGAATGTAAAAACTCCTTGAATAAAAGATCTTCTTATTCCTCCTGTTCTTCTTTCATCCCATTGTTTATCAACAATACGGAAGCAAATTGGTAAATATGGCTTCTCAGCTTCAAATAAAATTGCAGTATATCTATAATTCGGATCTGGAACTGGTTCATTTGGATCTAAATACTCAGGACATAATCTATAACGTGGAGGACTACAAACTTTGTCAGCGAGAGCTGGATAATAGATTCTGAAACAGTACCCACGAATAGATTTTGGTGGAGGATGATCCGGATCGTATTTCTGTCTTTTATGAACGTTCCAATCGTATCCCATATATTGTACGGCTTCAAAATCAGGAATTACCATTGATCCGTCCTTTACTTTTAGCTTCAATTGAATTGTATCATTAAATTCGACTTCTTCATCACCCCAATACTGCATGCCTTCGATGGAAAGTTGTGGCATTAATTTTGTAGGATGTTCGCTCTGTATATGACGTCTGGCATCGAAATATCTTCTTGAAAAATGATTAAACATTTTTTGACCATTTTCTTGCATTAAAAGTCTTTGTTTGAATTTCTTTTGTGTCTTAGTAAGGAACGATACATCTCCTTCTTCGAATTTTGCTAATTCTCGTTTTGGTAATAATTTTATCGTTTTCTTTAATAAATTGTTATGGTATCTGTCAAGCCATGCAGTTGATAACAAAAATTTCATACGATGAAAGAGCTGTTTGTAAAATTCGGCGTGATCTTCGATGTCAAATTTTTGTTGTAAGGCAAATGTATGAAATAGGGCTTCTAGTTCGTCAACAGATATATCTGTGATGTGTATGATATCTTCATTAAATGGAGTTATTAAATTCTCTTCTACTTCTTCGGATCGAAATTCCAAAAATAGTTTAATATAATACCAATAATCATGAGCATTCGTAACAAAGCACTCTACATTGGATATTAAAGTTTCAATATCTTCAGCAGGTACATTTCGTGGATAATTAAGCTCAAGATATTTTTTAACGCCTTCTGTATCAAGTAAAATATAGGGTGAACAGATTGAAGGATACCAATTTGCTTCATTTTCGTGTGTAATGTTTTTATCATATGCGCCTTCCCAATTGATGAAAAAATTATCAAATAAATTAGGCCTTTCTTCCTTTAATCTTCTAACAGATCCCTTAATTAAGCGTTCTCTATTAAGGTCTTCGTCATTTTGGAAGATCAAAGGTGTCTCTTCAGCCATAATTTCTCAATCAAATTTTTTTGAAATTCACAAGAGTCAAATTTAATTCCCACATTTCTAAGCAATCTTAAGTAAGTTTCAACAATACTTCTCATATTTTCGGATAATTGACCTGTTTTCGATAAATTTAAAAATAAAAATTATGATATTCAAGAGATCATTGAATAATCAATAGCAACATTTCATAGAGTTTTAAAAATTAATCAAGCTGTATTTCAAAAAAATTCTTGAAAATCATATTATATGAGTAAATTCTTAGTTTTTCATATTATTTTTGAATTTTTGAAATTTTTTTGGAATTTCAAAACTCGGAAATATACAATATTCATGAAAGACATTCGTATGTTACTAATACTATTATCTAGAAATAGTACTTTTTCCTTTTAAATGAAAGATATCAAAGATTATTTCAATTAAAAGGTAAAAAATATAAATAGATTTAATGTAAACTCTATTGTTTATTCGTAATATTCTCGTTCTGATATTTAAATAATGATGATATGCAATTATTGCTTGTATTTTTGATGGAAGTTATCAATATTGATCTTATCGATAGAAAACAAACATATATCTTGTAATACTATTGCAGCGGGATATGTTTTTGAAAGATGTTTTACAAGGATTTTGGAAATAAAAGATTTTGAAATTCAAATATTGAGATTTTCATATTGATAAACTAAAAACGAAAATTATTGCTGAATCTAGAAACAATGAGCGGAACTGTAACATTATCTTTACTATCAAATGCAATGGGAATACCTTGAAATTTGAGCGTTAACGAGTGAATTAACACACACTTAATACTTCTCCGCTCTTAGAAAATTAGTAAGATAACTGTACTATGCTCAGTTAGCCATGAGATTGAGTTTTGGGTGATTTTGCATTTTTCCGTTTCATAAATTAACGCTCAAAAATGTCTAAGAAAGTAGCAGTACGTTCTACTGGTAGAAGAGAACATCGTGAAAATCAGGTACAACTCAATGAAGAGCAGCGCCTTGAAATAAAATCAGCTTTTGAAGTATTCGATGCTGATAAAAATGGAAAAATTGATAAACAAGAATTAAAAATTTGCGTGAAAGCAATGGGATTTGATGTTAGCAAAGAAGAATTAAACGATTATATTCAAGAAAGAGGCGATCCAGAACGCGAAATGATCGATTATCCTGCATTTTATGATTTCATAGGACTTAAGATGCAAAAACGCAATAACACAGAAGAAATCAAGCGATCTTACAAATTATTCAAGGATGGTGCATCAGGAAATATTACCATTAATGATTTACGTAAAATCGCCAAAGAAATGGGCACTGGCCTTACTGAAGATGATTTACAAATAATGATCAAGGAATTTGATCAAGATGGTGATGGAGAAATTAATATAGCCGAATTTATGGCCATTATGGATCCATCATTAGCTAATTAAGTCATACATCTGATATAAACTAACTATCTATTTGTTACTAATAGTAAATACTCTTTGTTAATTATATTTTCTTATGAAATTTACAAAATTTATATAACCATCATCTGAAACATCTAAAAAGTTGAAGCTGATCTTATATATGTCTCGTCAGAATTTCATTATTTTAAATGAGATTCAAGCGCTCTTTGATTATTTTTGTACTTGCAGCAGAACTTTCAGTAATGCTGCTCAGTTCGATATTCATATTTAGGAAAATGCCAAATACAGAGTTTATCAAAGAATACGGTCTCATAAATGAATCCCGATTCAATACACCCTTTAAAATACCAAATAATGAAATCAATAACTACGCAAGAGAGAAAATTAAAGTAGCTTTTGATGAATATTGGTCACATTGTCGTTACAGTGATTATTATAAACCATTTTCAGGAACATGTTCAAATAGTTCTGGCCTTTCATTATCATTATTTGGCTTCTTAGATGCACTATATTTAGCAAACCTTACATACGAATACAATTTAGCTTCAAATTTTGTATTGAATAAAGTACGACCATCACAAAGCGATTTCATAAGTACATATGAATTAGGAACAACAGTTATTGGTTCCTTACTTGGTATTTATGGAATTTCGGGTGAAGATTTGTTTTTGCAAAAAGCAATTGAATTTGCTGATCTTCTACTCACAAGTTTTACAGGACCCATTCCACATCCATTTGTCGATGGTATTAAGAGAAAACCAATAGGATTCGGATTTACAGAAGGAACTTTTTTAGGCGAATCTAGCGGTTTCTTGCTAGAATTCGCAGTTCTTGCTATGCTTACAAAATATGAGAGATATGAAAAGCCCATTTATAATTTCATCCAATGTGTTACAAATTATTCTAAAAATATTAGTTACGGTATATGGTCAACTGAAGAATGCAAGCCATTAATAAGATCGAATCAGTATACACAGCTCACAGCTTCATTTTATATTAATTTCTTGAAGATAAGTGGCTTTTTCAAACCAAATATCACACAAAAAATAATTGACCAATTATATGATACACTGAATGACATCCAATTCGGAGCCAGAGGAAATGAGGATAATAAGTTTGTTTATTATTCTGAATCTTTATGCGAAATTTTAGGTCTTAAGATTGAAAACTTCGACGTTAAACGTTTATTTGCCATGGAAAGAATGTGTTCTCACATGAGGGAACAAAGTCTCCCTGCTTCATTTATGGGAAAAGAAGCAGTTTTTAATTTTGACTCTACCATGATAGCAGAAGATTTCAATCGATCAATTTCTCTCGAGCAGGTGAAGAAGCTTGAATGCGGTAATGTGATTTGCTCATCATCTTCCATCTCCAATAGATATTTAGATGATTTGATGCCAAGTAAAGGAATTTCAAAATGGTTGAAGTTTTTGTTACTTCGAAATGTAACTGATTCAGGATACTCTTTTGTTATGAATGATGCTGGTTTTCTTCTACCAGTTACTCATGAATATTTGTTTAACTTATAATAATTCAAAAATCTAAACACTGTTTGTACTTTAATACTAATAAAAGCTTTTTGCATGTATCGGTAAATTGATTTGACATGTTTTGGAGATATAATTTTTCCTTGGTTTAGTTTTACTCATAATGCATGTCATCTTCTTTATTTATTCAAAAAATTATTAAGATCTATATATGACATCACCGTAATATGTTATATTTTGGTTCATTGACAATCAATTTCTTTCGGATATTAGAAGTAGGAATTCATCAGGAAAATCAATAAATATCAATCATTATTTCCGAAAGGTGATAATTCTGGAATTTTTAAATCAACGGAATTTTCTTCGTCGTTATCTTTAATTCGAAGTCAAGATTTCAAGACTATATGATATGCTGCGAATATGTAAATAAAAAATGGTCGACAAGCCAATCGTTTATAAAAATAAATCAAAACGATAGACACTATTAACATTATAAACCATTATTAAAAAGAGTCTGGAATGAATTCTCTCAATTCAGAGCAATACGGCTCTTCTCTGATGTCAACTTTCTTGATTAAATTAACATCAGCTCCATTATTGAGCATAATAGCCGTAAGATCAAACTTCTTTATTGACAGAGAGAATTCCAACAGGTTGTCGCCATCTTTGGTCTTATAGTCGAAGTCCGGATGGAATTTGCAAATGTATTCGACAACTCTTGGGCAATAAGCGTTGATAGCATGATACAATTCGACGGCTGTTGGTGCGCAGTTGTCATGTGAATACAAGTGCTGTAACATGAAGAGGGCGACATCTTCTTTGGCACAGTCTATCGCAGTAATTGAAGCGCGTTTGATGTCTTCAGCGGCGTAAAGGTTGGTGGCAATAGCTGTTTTAGCTATTTCAAGATGACCGAAGAGAGCTGTGATGGTCAAAATGTTGTTGCCATCTGGATCTCTTGCATGAATATCAAAACCGCATTGGAGGAGGATTTTGAAAAGCTCAGCATTACCGGCAATTGCAGATGAAACCAATGGATCAACTTCATTTGTCTCGTAGTCTTCCTGGTTCTCTACGCATTGGATGAAAAATGCCGTATCCTTGTTTAATATGGCACTTTGAATAAATGAAGTCTCACTTTTGACCTTTTCATAGAAGATTTGAACAAAATTGTGGCGATGGTAGCTAATGGCAATATCTAATAATTCGGCAAAATTTGTCACATCGCTTGAAAAGAGCGAATAACAGTGGATACTACCTGATTTGACCGAATTAGTAATGCATCTGTAACTCATGTTCGCTCCAAGGTCAAGTAAATATTTACAAATTTGATACGATCCGAAAAATGAAGCATATTCTATTAGGCTTACTTGATCAGGAGAATCTGCCTTCTGATCGTTCAAGAAAACAAATCTTCTGTTAAGGTCCTCGTTCCTAAATTGACTCTTAAATTCTTCAACATCGTCACAAATGATTGATCTAAGTATTCTGCTTGTTTTCATATTATCTTCAAATGTCTTTACAATTGAGGCCGAGATTGTGAACAATTTTTCATTGAACTCATCCAATGAACTAAAGTTTTCCATAGGAGAATCCGGATAGAGGCTCTCCCATAATATTTTGTAGTCAAGGCTCTCTTTTGTTGCTCTTACATAGCCTTCAAAGATTAAGATCTGGGCATATTCTCGGGCAGATTCGTCCAAGCTTTTGACAAGATTCGAAACAAACTCGAACTTATCAGGGGTGTAGTTTAACAGTATTGATTCCAGATATATGGTCCGCTTCAATCTATCTTTGCAAAGTTGAAGGTCTATCAAATACATTTTGAGATCATAGACCTATTCAAATAATATCTACACAATTTTTCTTTTTTCTCAATTTATCAATTTCGAATAAATTAATTTAATAACATGGAAACATTTAAATGCAGCGTGATAGTTTTACCCGAATATTTAATTTTGAGATCTTCTCAAACGGATAACTTTCAAAATATGTGCAAAATAATATACACTTAAATCTCATTAAATATTTTTACAAATTAAGTGTAAAAAATTTCTGATAAAATCCATTCAATTATGCTGGATTTACATATGAGATATAAGAAAATTGGTAATTCAATCTCAGAGATCGAATTTTTACAACTCTTGGCGAGATGTAAGCAGTTCATGATTTTTTTATTCTCTAGCGTGTCGATAATTAGTTGAAAGTTGGTTTTTACTGTAATAATCCTTCACACTTTTATGGACATCTAATTTCATGACAGATATTATATTGTGGAATTTTTTATTATGTTTTTTTCCTTAAATTATATTTAATCAGAGATTTTACATTTTTATCGATTTGCATGTTAATCGGTATCATCATCCGACTCATATATTAAATATTTTTATTATGTATTTTATTAGCTCTTTAATTTTCTTTGAACCTGCAAATTGCATTATTAATTCCCATCATTATCATATTATATATAATCAATATTCAAGTTCCTGAAAAAATCTTTCGACTTCTTCAATGACCTGCTTTTTGGCTCAAGATATCTTTTGACACTCTATTTTCTTTTTATGTATGCCACTTTAACCAACTCTCACGTAGTAAAGAATTAATGAGTAATTATTCCCATGTATTCAATCGAATAATATCTTTTCTATAAAACCGTCAGATTTTCAGAACTTTTCTTATCACACTTTTGCTCCCTAAGAAGAATAAATTGCTATTACACCATAAAAGATTAATATTCATCCATATATGAATTGTATGGCCTTCAATTGAGCGTCAAAATACAACATCTTTGAGTACATCTGACCAAGACAAACCACTTTTAAGGTCAAACATGATACCATTCAAATAAGAACCGTGAAAAAGTTCAAAAATATTCATTGCTTTACAGGACATTTTAATAGGGAAATTAAATGTATGTCAATAATAAAACAAGAACGCTTCAAAATGAATAACCACTAACATGCGGTCGAAATCACAATTGCTAATTATAATTAAAATAATTCATTAAAAAATGATATTTTTTCGATGATATTTTCTTTCAGAAATGGAATTACTGCGTCATATACATATGAAAAACAAAACAGCATCTGATAAAATTCATATAAAAATAAATAATTAATTCGAAAAATTCTAATTTTAGCTACATGTTATTCCAATAGGAAATTATACTTATTTTAGTATGTATCGAATTTATTCTTATTGCTTGAATATATATTATTTGCTCTGTACGAATTATTTTTCCAATTTTATTGTATTATATAGATTTCAAGTTAATTAGGCATGACAATACTTGACCATATGAATAATATGGAATGAAGATATACAATATTATGCAGGTTTCATAGAACTTTTTTTTATATATATTTTAAGGTATAGATATCTTTTTGGTAAAAGAGTAAGAATAAATTAGTCATCGCAAAAATATAAAGATAATATTTAAACAACAAACAGAAATATATATAAAAGTTAGATTATTTTGGGAATTGTAAAATACTAAGGCAATCACCAATTTGGAAGTCAGAATGTTCAACTGGGACAATTTTGTCTGGTAACTCTCCATTAAAATATAAAAACTTCCATATTGCGTTATAATCTTCTTCTGAAATATAAATTTTTGATGTCGAGTAAGGATAGAGCATCTTAAATTGATGAATAATATCATCTTTTGTGATCGGTCTTGTTATTTTGCCTCCTGCCAATGAACTTGCAACTTCCAGGACAACAGTTCCTTCTGGTGTCTCCGGAACAATTCTGATCCACTTGATAGGATCACTAATAGTTCTAATTGGCAATCCCCAGCCTCTTGGCAAACTAAGGGCCCTAATTTGTTCATGGAGTACGGCAACTTCTTCGGGTAAAGCCCTTGAGTATATTAAAATATAAGCGTTACTACTATATACCTCTTGAGGATCTACAATGGAAACTTTCGAATCATCATATAATTTCCATCCTTCAAAGGTCGAACAGTAAGCAACATAGTGTCCATACGACATATTACCTTTGTGGGCTATGATTGACCTGATTTTATACTTCGTTGGTCCTGCTTCGATATCCGGTGGAACAAAGTGTCCGAAATCAATCTTTCCTTCAATAGGAAAATCAATAAAATTGTAAATCTTTCCAACACCAAACCATCTCATGGTGAATCTCTTTAATTCTACAATCAAAATTTCTGGAAGAGAAGTCAAAGCTTCGGTAATTGAAGCATTTTGGGATTTGCATTCAGAACATTGCATTTTGGAAGGAGAAAACATAGTCTCAATGCACTTTTCCAATGAAATTGAATTAGAATTTCCATGCATCATAACAGATATAAATGATGAAGTAGTAGTTGCTTCATGATCTATATTCCATATCGCTTGACTGCCAAAGGACCTTGGAAGATGGTTTCTATTAGTTTCTAAGTCAGAATTTAACCATCCCTGAGGATTTATATCAATTGGAAAAATTGAAAATGGTTGACTTGTAGTTTTGCACATTTTGCAGTCCGCGCATGAATAAAATGTTGTAGTTCTTCCTCCAAATAATGTTTTGACGTTTGGATCTTGAAATAATAGTTCAAGTAATGCTAAAATAAATTCTCCTGCATCAGAACATGTGGTTGGCGAAAATTCTGGGAGTAAAGAATGGAAAATTTTATTAACATGACGATTTCCTTGTATAACAGTAGCCATTAATCTACATGCTGGATATGATGACTCCAGTATTGCTGTTGTTAGTGGTTTGACATTACTTAATGCTATTAAACTTGCATTTGCATAACAAGATCTTCCAAGATTTGGAAATCCAGTAGATAATTCTACCATTGGGTTTGTAGGGATAGCAGTCAGGCAAGCATTTGTTAATAGTTTTGTGGAAAGAAAATGATTTTTACATCTACAACAATAAATACTAAGGGATATAATTTCAAAGAATAGATCATGATTATGTTTCTTGTTGTGCTTTTTCATTTTCGACTCTTGGATTTTGATTGAATTACATGTCAGACAAATATAAATAGCTTTCGGGACTTTCTGTTCAGGGTAAAGGATATATTTCCATGCATCTGTAAATGTCATTGATAAATATAACCTTTGCGCAAGTTTGGAATCATCAATGACATGATTACAGCTCATTTTTTAGTTGGAGATTTTTTTTCCTTGTGAACTTAAGGGTGGCTTCCGACCAAATTGTCACTTTTTAGCCCAAGTGAGAAAATTTCGTAATTTATAACCAAGTTTTTTAAAATCTATATTTAATAAAGATTCTATTTTTCTTATTAAATTTCAAAAATGAGGGGGTTCGGAATCGTCCACAAATTGCCGAAAGGGTTTTTGCCAGTTTTGAATCCGCTTATTTTTATCGACCAAAATTATAATAAATATAATTTTCGGTAAGTATTCTACCCAAATGATTCTTCAAAAAATTATTTTTCGGATTTTATTCCGTTAAAAAACGTTACAGAAAACGCCTAGAAAATTTCGAATTTTCCCTAAAAAATTCAGTGCAGGTCGATTTAAGAGATTTTTCAAAAATAATCATATCAGTAGATAGGGTATAATATAGAGGAGCTTTATGAATAACTCAAAATCCGGGAAACTCAATATTCAACGAGAAAAACGCTTAACGAATCTCACTTTTGGTGTAAACATCACAAAAAATTGAGAGAGTTTTCTGGTCGGAAGCCTCCCTTAAAGATCTGAAATCTTGAATTTATAACATTAAAAATTGGAACTGTTGTAAACAGAAATTCATCAAAAGTGACACCTCAGAAAAGCTAAAATATTGAATTTTTGGAACTTTTGATAGAGCACGTTTTTAAATATTAATTAAAGTAAATGTATATTTTGTAAAGATTCTTTTTAATAAAAAATAAAATTTTGAAGAAGAACACAAAATCTTCTGAAAATAATATCACATAAACTCATATTTATTTTCTAATATATAACTATTTTATATAAAAATCAAATTCAATGATCTTAAAAGCGAAGGATAAACCTCAAAATTTACGAATATAATGAGTGGGAATATAATGCTTATCTATCATAAAACCATATGAAATATCAATTTTTGCTTTACGCCTAATTTTTGACGACAATTAGCAAAAAATGTTAAATGTTAACACTCAGTCCATTTGAATATGAGAAATAAAATTGACTTTGATTAAATGTTTTTATTTATCATGCAATTCTTCTTGCGACCAAAGATTTGAATAAAATTTCAAAAAATAAGATAGCTTAAGAAATAATATACGGTAGTGTTTACTAATAGATGAATAGTATATAAATTCTATTAAAATGGATTTGATCCAAAAAAATATAAAACCAAAAATAATTGTTATAATTTAAATGAAGAAGTCATTTAAAACGATTTTATTTATGATCAAATTTTATATATTTTTTTGGATCAAATCCATTTTAATAGAATTTATATACTATTCATCTATTAGTAAACACTACCGTATATTATTTTTTAAGCTATCTTATTTTTTGAACTTTTATTCAAATCTTTGGTCGCAAGAAGAATTGCATGATAAATAAAAACATTTAATCAAAGTCAATTTTATTTCTCATATTCAAATGGACTGAGTGTTAACATTTAACATTTTTTGCTAATTGTCGTCAAAAATTAGGCGTAAAGCAAAAATTGATATTTCATATGGTTTTATGATAGATAAGCATTATATTCCCACTCATTATATTCGTAAATTTTGAGGTTTATCCTTCGCTTTTAAGATCATTGAATTTGATTTTTATATAAAATAGTTATATATTAGAAAATAATATGAGTTTATGTGATATTATTTTTCAGAAGATTTCATTCTATATGCCTATGAAAAGTACTCTCAAAACTAACTTTTTCCTAATTATAATTAAATCTAGAATATTGTATTATGCTTAGTATTATTTCATTTTTCTCATTCAATTTAGAATTTACAAATGTCAAAAAATTGAGAGCTGTCACTTTTGATGAATTTCTGTTTATTACAGAACATTTTATTAATCTATGGACAGACTCATTATTGGAATTCCATTTATTTTCCTTTGGAAACTCTATGTATTGATCGTCAAATTTGCAAATTGACAAACGAAATTGAGCTAATATCATGATTGTAAATCAATATATAAACTTAGTAATGAGTTGTCAATCAATAATACCTCATGTTAATTTAGATTATGCGATCAAAACCAGATAATGACTCGGGATCTTTCATATCTTTATTGGATAATGAATACAAACTAATAAATACGGATAAATCTACAGTTTTGTTGCTATCGATGACAAAAATTGATTATTATATAAATAAAGCATGATATCTTCAAACTTTATAGTTTTTAAATTAATAAGCGCTGAAATGCACATATATCGAATAACGCAGGTAAAACAAAGATAATTATATGAAATACTATTATATTATCTACTTGATATGCATATGAAGCAATATCTGATATAGACATGCGTAAAAAGATAAGATAGATGATTATTCATAAATGAAATAGCATGTGCCATAAATAATTATATGTAAAATATAAAGTTAATTTTGTTACAATAATGTGGAGGACCTAGAGAAAGATAGTATAGAAAGTTAGCAAGTCAGAATTCTTGATTTTCGGGAGAACTCCGACTTGAATATATTGGAATAACGCTAGATCACGGAGGAAAAAAATTAAACATTGATGAAATGGAAAGACTTATCACACCCGCATTCTGTGATATAGATAGCTTATAAGAAAATGAAACTAAATATGCTAACGCACAGAGTTATCAATTTTCAAAATTTGGCACTTTTCCATATGAATTTTTAAGAATAAAAATGGGTAGTTGCTGCTCAAAGACCGAAGCATTAGGAGCTGAAGAAGAGGACTCAGAAGAAGGTTTTCAGGAAATACAAGGTATGCCAGAACCTGGCCAGCCACCTCCACCAGCCGAAAATCCAATAAATTCACCCTCTCATATTTCAATTTATCATAACGCAGACAATCCGCTAGATGGTAAAGAAGAATTTCCAGAAGTAGAATTATCTCCTGTCAGTGATCATTTTGATGATTAATTTTTTAACTAGGTTAATCTCATGATGATAACCGATTAAGTTAATCGCAAGATTTCATGACTTATACCGTTGTTTATTTTATTTGTTTCTATATTATGAACTTTCATTACATCATTTATTTCAGATCGAGATGTTTTCTGCTGTAAAACAGAAGATTATGTATCTCTATTGTGATTATTTTAGTAAATATACAAGTTCTTTATGAAATTTTACTTCCAATTGATACGATTATTTCTAACAGTAATATTTTCAACATCAATAGATCTTTCTATTGTTGTTGGATCGATTTGTTCTACTCCTGTTGCCTCAGGAGGTAATTCATTTTGTACATAATAGCTAATCCTAATAAATTCCTGATCATTATAGTATGCTTTAAGCATAACTACTGTAAGCGCTAACTCTTCGAATGGAATACTCTCAATTTTAGGGGGTGTTGCAATTAATATAAAACGATTCATTCCAACCTCGATTGGTCCTACATGTGCAGTTGTAAGTATTTGATCGTACTCGTGAACTTTAGCACTTCCAATATAAACAACTTCCCATTTAACAAATGTTTGGATTGGTTTTGTGCATTCAAACTGGATATCAAATTGCATCTCGTCTGAGAACTTGGCTTTCTCATTAAGCACTGTTACCTTATCAATGTTAATACTCATTTCTAAAAAAGTGACAAAATTTACCAAAGCAATTTCTAAACCGACCTTGCTTATGCAGAAAATATGGTATTAAAATTAAACAAAAAACAAACAATTTTATTAATCATTATATAATAACATTAATCGAACTTAAAAGGGCTGCCGCAAGTCCTGAGCTATTATTCTGAGCAGAAACAGACATGATTCCAGTAAGATAACTCTTGAATGTAATAAATCCATCGTTGAAGTCAAAAATATCATCTTCATTCGGTTCTTCTTTGATACTAGAAAGCTTGAAACCTAAATCAAAAAGTCTGTTAAATTGTTCCTGTGAATCCGGAATCTCTGCTAGAGAAGCAGTATTCACAAGTTTAATGAAATCTGCATGATACTTAATGAGTTCATTAAGATTTTTGGCATTGGACAGCTTTTTAATGAGTCTTAAAAGGCCAACATCAACCTTAAAGAACAAAGTTTGCTGAAATGCAATAATTAACTGGAAAAATTGAAGGCGGATGGAAATAATCGAGCGGAATATTTTCATTCTAGATAAAGCATATTGAAGTTTTCTCATTTTGAGCATCAATCCATAGTATTTGTTGTAGATTTTAATCTGATCTCTTGTTACAATCTTTCTAAGTCTAATTGGTAGGGAAGCTAAGATTGTATCAGGATTTGTGAATCTGAATTCGAAAAATGGAATTGATCCAAGATGAGTTTTGAAAAAATCTGCAGCAGCTTCTCTTCTAATTGAGCCTTCTATATAAGCAAGATGTAAATCACCTCTTTTCACCAAATAAAGATCACCGAGATACTTGATAATATCCAATAATTTTTGATCTTTATTAAGATACAAAACCAATTCTCTCTGAATTGTTTGTGCTTTTGGCCATAGAGGTGATGTTATTATATCAGAAACAGCTGCATCCAAAGATGGATATTCTTTTATCACATTTTGCTTTTTCTTTATCATAGGAGCTTTTGAAAGTGACCAAGCTGCTGCTCTGAAGTTTGCAATGGCCTGATCTGGTGTTTGAATGTCAGGAATTGACTCAGGAAGAATCAAATCGAAAGATATTAAGTTATCTGTTGAGATCTCCGTTAATGTTTTTGGAAAAATGTATTCTTCCTCTTCATGTTCGATTTTGGAAGGAGATGAGCGAATAATATGCGCCAAACATGTCTCAGCAATATCTTTTGCAAAGTCATTTGGAATTGGTGATGGAATATCATGTAATTCAATTCCATTTTCGGTTTGTTTGATAAAAAAGTCAGGGGATTTCAATAAAGCTTCTGCAGGAGATGTAACAACGATCTTAATTTGCTCTGCATAGTACTTCAAAAGACAAACTGCGACGTTCATCATTGGTTTATAACCATTTCTGGCAAGTGTAAATACTTTTTCTACAGCTTGAGGATCTAATACAAGTTGGCGTGTAATTCTGAGTTCTTTGAATTGCGGTTTCATTTTAACTAAAAAATCCAAAATAATATCTGTGCGAGAGTTTTCTGTAAATTGATAAAATGGAGTAACAATATATGTCTGTATTGCATCTTGTAAGGCTGAAATTAAAGACGATTTGGTTTCTCGAGAAATAAAAGATTTGATAATAAATAAATCGTTTGCAGCTTCTAAAGCAGGCTTAAGAAGGCTTTTTAATGATTTAGGCGTGAATTCAGGAGTTGCTATTGATTCTCTTAATGTGAATAAACCAGATTGACAATTAAATGGATATGTGCCTTTTAAATGAAAAAATAATGCTAGTACACTTTCTGATATGAACTTTTCTGTTAATATATCAACATTTAATGCATGTTCACTGTTCAAAAAGTTCACTAAATGTTGCATTTTTTTTTGAAAAAAAGTGAACGTTTAAAAATTTAATTGGCATAAAAACATGATTTCTACTTTCATCTCTACTTCATTATGAAATAACTATTATTTTACTTCAAAAATAGATAGAATTCAAGAACAAAAACAATTCAATTCTAGAATGTAAATCTGAATAGCTTAAATAGGACTTTATAATAAGATATTGTAATAAACAGAAATTCATCAAAAGTGACAGCTCTCAATTTTTTGACATTTGTAAATTCTAAATTGAATGAGAAAAATGAAATAATACTAAGCATAATACAATATTCTAGATTTAATTATAATTAGGAAAAAGTTAGTTTTGAGAGTACTTTTCATAGGCATATAGAATGAAATCTTCTGAAAAATAATATCACATAAACTCATATTATTTTCTAATATATAACTATTTTATATAAAAATCAAATTCAATGATCTTAAAAGCGAAGGATAAACCTCAAAATTTACGAATATAATGAGTGGGAATATAATGCTTATCTATCATAAAACCATATGAAATATCAATTTTTGCTTTACGCCTAATTTTTGACGACAATTAGCAAAAAATGTTAAATGTTAACACTCAGTCCATTTGAATATGAGAAATAAAATTGACTTTGATTAAATGTTTTTATTTATCATGCAATTCTTCTTGCGACCAAAGATTTGAATAAAATTTCAAAAAATAAGATAGCTTAAGAAATAATATACGGTAGTGTTTACTAATAGATGAATAGTATATAAATTCTATTAAAATGGATTTGATCCAAAAAATATAAAACCAAAAATAATTGTTATAATTTAAATGAAGAAGTCATTTAAAACGATTTTATTTATGATCAAATTTATATATTTTTTTGGATCAAATCCATTTTAATAGAATTTATATACTATTCATCTATTAGTAAACACTACCGTATATTATTTTTTAAGCTATCTTATTTTTTGAACTTTTATTCAAATCTTTGGTCGCAAGAAGAATTGCATGATAAATAAAAACATTTAATCAAAGTCAATTTTATTTCTCATATTCAAATGGACTGAGTGTTAACATTTAACATTTTTTGCTAATTGTCGTCAAAAATTAGGCGTAAAGCAAAAATTGATATTTCATATGGTTTTATGATAGATAAGCATTATATTCCCACTCATTATATTCGTAAATTTTGAGGTTTATCCTTCGCTTTTAAGATCATTGAATTTGATTTTTATATAAAATAGTTATATATTAGAAAATAATATGAGTTTATGTGATATTATTTTTCAGAAGATTTTGTGTTCTTCTTCAAAATTTTATTTTTTTATTAAAAAGAATCTTTACAAAATATACATTTACTTTAATTAATATTTAAAAACGTGCTCTATCAAAAGTTCCAAAAATTCAATATTTTAGCTTTTCTGAGGTGTCACTTTTGATGAATTTCTGTTTACAACAATATATCTCAATACCATATGTCATAAATATTATTTCATAGGCAATCTATTAAAATATAATACCTATTGGGATCTGAATTTTTACGAGCATTTTCGTTCATTATTGATTCGATAACTTCACTGCTATCATCATTCAAAAAGTGCCAGAATGATTGAATTACACTGCAATCCATATTTCACACGAATTTTAGCAAAAACAACCTTATTACAATAGAATATTTATAAAATCCGAAATAGGTCTCAAAAACTGACACATCTCAAAGTTGTTACAAAGTATGTCAGCTTCATAACAATTAACAAATGGAGACGAATATTTCTTTAGCAACATTAAGCCAATTGAAGTATTCAAATACCCTAGCCAAGCTTCAAAAATTATATGGAATGTTAATTCCAATAATATTTTACAAACATCATCACAAATCAATGATCTCATTAAAAATAACAAAATACCTATCCAAATGGCACTTTGTTTGATTGACAATTTATCGAAAATTCGTGTTAAAGAAATTGAATTATTTGCGGAACTTTATCAAAAGATTTCAAACGAATTTTCATTCATCATTAAACCGAATAATGAGAGATTAGCAACAATTTTACATTATAAAGGTCTCAGATTCGAAAATTTCGTTGCAAAATTAACCCAAGAAGAAATTCTCAATTTATATTCAACAGAGACACCTTTATTCTACATTGCATGGGATAAAGTTGATGACCTTAAGAACAAATTCCCAAATCTTGAACTTGCCAAGAAAATAAATGATGAAATCACTCCACTTGATTGTGCAATTAAATACGGCTCAGAATTATGTTTCAATTACCTTAAGAACATTGGTGCCAAATACACATATCAGTCCATAAAATATGCTGTTCAAGGCTCAAATACAAACATTTTTATGCAAATGTTAGAAGAAGGTAAATCATATGATAAAATGATTAATACAGCATTGGATAATCGAAACTATGAAATTGCTGAGTACCTTAAATCACATTATGGACAAGAACCTGATTCAATAGCAGAAAGCATGTATTTCGGAAATTATGATGTTGCTTCTTATTTACTTTCTCTTGGATGCAATCTCAACAATACTTACATCATTTTTCTTTTAATGTCTATCATCGTTTTACCGTATTATTTTTCTATTGGTGCTCTTCATTGCTTTTTGCAATTCTCTTTATATTCATCTTTATCATTGTTTTATGAAATTCTCTTTCTTTTCATATTTATCATTGTTTTATGAAATTCTCTTTCTTTTCATATTTATCATTGTTTTATGGAATTCTCTTTATATTCATATATATCATTGTTTTATACAATTCTTTTTCTTTTCATATTGATCATTGTTTTATACAATTCTCTTGATATTAATGAATGCGCTCTTAGTATTGCAGTCAAAGCCAATTCTATGGAAATCGTCCAATTCTTAGTAGAACATGGTGCTGATGTTAACTTGAAACTTATTCTCTTTCTTCTCATATCTATCATTCTTTTATGGTATTCTATTTCTTTTCAAATTTATTATTGTTTTATCAAATTCTCTTTCTTTTCATATCAATCATTACTTTATAGAATTTTCTTTCTTCTCATGTTTATCATTTGTTTATATAATTATTTTTCTTTTCATATTTATCACTTTTTTATGGTATTCATTTTCTTTTCATATTTATCAATGCTTTATTACAATCTCTTTCTTTTCATATTTATCATTATTTTATGGCATTCTCTTTCTTTTCATATTTATCATTATTTTATTACAATCTCTTTCTTTTCATATTTACTATTCTTTTATTGGATTCTCCTTCTCTACATATTTATCACTGTTTAATGAAATTCTCTCAATATTAATGAATGCCCTCTTAGTTTTGCAGTCAAAGCAAATTCAACAGAAATTGCCAAATTCTTAGTTGAACATGGTGCTGATGTTAACACGAAACTTATTCTCTTTCTTTTCATATTTATCATTGTTTTATATAATTCTCTTTCTGTTCATATCTATTATTGTTTTATAACATTCTCTTTCATTTCATATCTATCATTGTTTTAAAGAATTTTCCTTTTTTTCATATTTATTAATGATTTATGGAATTATTTTTCTTTTCATATCTATCATTATTGAATTGCATTTTATATCTTTTTATATTTATCATATTTTTATACAATTCTCTTTCTTTTCATATCAATCATTGTTTTATATAATTCTCTTTCTTTTTATGTTTATCATGTTTTTATAGAATTTTCTTTCCTTTCATATTTATCGTTGTTTTTTGATATATTGTTTACTTTCATATTCTTTAATGTTTTATGGAATTTCCTTTCTTTTCATATTTATTGTTGTTTTATAACATTATATATCTTTTTATACTACTCTCTTTCCTTTCATATCTTTCATTGTTTTATGACATTATCTTAACTTTCATTTTAATTATTATTTTATGAAATCTTCTTTCTTTTCATCTCTATCATTATTTTATTACATTAATTATCTATTCATATTTATCTTTTACTTTTCGTATTTACCATTGCTTTATTACATTCTCTTTCTTTTCATATCTATAATTGTTTTATGAAATTATCTCGCTATTAATGAAACCCCGTTTTCCCATGCAATCAAAGCAAATTCCGCAGAAACTGTCAAATTCTTAGTTGAACATGGTGCTAATGTTAACATGAAACTCATTCTTTTTCTTTTCACATTAATCATTGATTTATAACATTTTCTTTCCTTTCATATTTATCATTGAATTACCAAATTCCCTTATGTTTCATATACACCATTGTTTCAAACAATTCTCTTCTTATTCATATCTATCTTTAATTTAGAATGCTTTCTTTCATTTTATATTTATCATTGGATTATGGAATTATTTTTCGTTTCATATTTCTCATAGAATTATAGAATCTTCTTTCTTTTCATATCTATCATTGTTTAATGGAATTCGTTTTTCTTTTATATTTCTCACTTCTTAATATCTTTTATTGTTTTATGGAATTATCTTTCTTTTCATATTTATCATTGTTTTATATCATTCTCTTTCTTTCTATGCTTATCATATTTTTATGAAATTCTTTTTCTTTCCATGTTTATCATTATTTAATACCATAATGTATCTTTTTATATTTATCATATATTTATGATATTCTCTTTTTTTTTCATATTTATTAATGCTTTATACAATTCTTTTTCTTTTCACATTTATTATTGTTTTAGAGAATTTTCTTTCTTTCCATATTTATCATTACTATATAGCATTCTATTTCTTTTCATATTTGCAATAGTATTATGAAATTTTTATTCATTCCATATCAATCATTGCTTTATGAAGTTTACTTGATTGTAATGAATGCCCTCTTTCTTTTGCAATCAAAGCAAATTCAATTGAGATTGTCGAATTACTAGTTCAACATGGCGCTGATGTTAACACGAAACTCATTCTCTTTCCCATAATATTTCTCATTGTTTTAAATAATTCTCTTTCTTTTGATATTTATCATTGTTTAAAACAATTTACTCTCTTTCCATATCATTCATAGTTTTATCACATTGTCTTTCTTTTCATATTTTTAATCAATTTATCACATTCTTTTATTTTATATATTTATCATTTTTTTAAACAATTCATTCACTTCTCATAGGATTAATCATTGTTTTATTACATAATCCATCCTTTCATGTTTGCCTTTTTCTTATGGAATTCTTTTTCTTTTCAAATTAATTATTGTTTTATGCCATTATCTTTCTTTTCATATTTATTATTGCTTTAGACAATTCCTTTTCTTTCCATGTTTTTCATAACTTTAGACAATTATTTTTCTATTCATACAATTCTATATCTTTTCATATATGTCATCATTTTATGAAATACTTTTTCTTTTCATATCAATCATCGTTTTATGAAATACTTTTTCTTTTCATATCAATCATTGGTTTGCAATATTCTTTTCCTTTTCATATTTATCATTGTATTATGGAATTTTTATTTGTTCCATATCAATCATTGTTTTATGAAATTCTCTCGATTTTAATGAATGCCCTCTTAATCTTGCAATCAAAGCAAATTCAACTGAAATTGTAGAATTCTTAAAGAAACATGGTGCTAAGAAAATCAAATAATCATTTCTAATGATATTCTATTTTGAATGAAGATAAAACCGTCTTCACGAAATCTACGAATAAACATTCCTTAATATTTCAATAGGATTTTACTATGTTAATATACTCAAATTGAACGGCACTTATAATTATTTTATTATAATGCATTATACATCATCAGATTGATAAAAATACTTTACACCCACAAATACATCAATGAATTGAAAAAAGTCTTGAGATCACAAATCTTTATTTAAATTTCTATCATTCTTTGGTTCAAATTTTGGATTTGATACTATATTTATAGATCTCAAGTGACTTCTCTTTCTCTTCGGCAGGTATGCCACCTTCAGCTAAATAAACTTTTATTATATAAGTTCATTACATTAATTGATAAATAAGGCGAGAATCTTCTTATGACTTACTTTATTTACCAAAAATAATATCTTTAAATGATGTACAAACGTTAACTAAAATTCGGCGAAAATATTCAATTAGATACCATTTTTGAATTAAACATTGCAATATTTAGAATTTTTAAAGAGAGAGTATCAAAAGCAGTTTAACATTTATTATCTAATTAGATACATATTAATTACTTCAACTAATTAGATAACTCAAGTATTAACACATTTTATGCAATTTATATATAATAAAGTTTATTTTATTTACAATAAAAAATTATATTTTAATAGTCCGAACTCAAGAAATCAGGGACATCCTGCTCAGCTCTCTTTAAGTATTCAATCAAATCACTTCTTATAGCACTGTTTTTGTTGTCGTCATATAAAGAAATTGCGACACCAGTTGCACCAGCTCTTCCTGTTCTTCCAATTCTGTTGACGTATTCGTTGAATTGATCTTTGATTTCCATCTGAATAACGTAATTTACGTCTAATTCGACACCTCTAGACATCAAATTTGTTGAGATAAGTGCACAAGGCTCTTTCATTTCCGCGAACTTCTTCATTGTAGCATTTCTCTCTTCAGGAGGCAGTCTTGAATATATTGGCATGCATTTAATGACCTTTTCCATGTTCAATATATCACAAGTTTTATCAATTTTGTCTGATGTATTGACAAAAATCAAAATTTTGATTCTGTCAGATTTCGAATCTGCAAGGATTTTCTTGATGATTTCCTCGACTTGTATTATTGGATTTCCTTCTTTCCTTATGATGATCTGTTTGATATCCTTGTTGACTGTCAGTTCGAATGCGTCGACAACTATTTTGATGTAATTCTTCAAGTATTGTTCGGCCAAATCACGAACTTCATCAATCCAAGAAGCACTCCACATCAAATACTGGCTGTCTATAGGAACATGCTTTAAAATGGCTCCTAACTGTTGTTGGTTATCATTCTTCAATATGTTATCTGCTTCATCGATAACAACCATTCCTATTCCATTTAATTTCACAAAGTTTGATGACATGAAATCAAGTAATCTTCCAAAAGTTGCTATGACTATATCAGCTTTCTTTACAGCGTTAATTTGTTCTCTACGATTTGGAGATGCGTAGATTGCAACTGCTTTTATCGGAGAATTCTCAAGGAGCTGGTTTGCTTTGATTTCTATTTGTTGAGCAAGTTCTTTCGTTGGAGCAATAATTAAAACATGTGGTCCTTCTCTTCCGTTTTGAAGCATCACGTGTTTGATTGCTGGGATGATATAAGAAGCTGTTTTACCTGATCCTGTCTTAGCAATGCCAATGAGGTCTCTGCCTGCATAAGCAATAGGAATAGCGATCTTTTGGATGTCCGTTGGCTGCGTGTATTCGAGTTTTTTGATGTTTGAAAGAGTGTTTTCGTCCAAGAAATTTGGAGAGAATTCGAAGAGTGTTTGCGGGCCAGGATTATCAGAAATCAGTTTGATATTGTATGTCTCTGTGAAATCTTTGAATTCTTCGGGAGAAACTTCGGGCATCGAGATATTCATGTGGGCAATGTCTGGAACTGGATCTTCAACAGGTAAATTCATTATTTGTTCGGCTAATTGACATAATTTGGCATTCATGTCTCGATCAATCTTCATAGAATTTGATGATCCGCCGAAACTCATATTTCCGTTATCATTTCCGTTCATATTTCCATTGCCATTACCATTGTAATCGTTACCCATCATGTCATCGTTGTCAGGAGGTCCGAAATTGCCATTTCCGTCATCATTCCAGTTATTTCCATTACCGTTTTGATTCCAGTTGTCATTTCCGTTATTGTCCCAGTTATTACCGTTCATGTTACCATTTCCATTGTCGTTCCAGTTGCCATTACCATTATCGTTCCAATTTCCATTGCCGTTACCGTTCCAATTACCATTGCCATTATCATTCCAGTTTCCATTACCATTCCCGTTCCAGTTTCCGTTATCGTTGCCGTTCCAGTTTCCATTTCCGTTATCATTCCAGTTCCCATTGCCATTTCCATTCCAATTGCCATTACCGTTATTATCCCAATTATTTCCGTTCATGTTATCATTGCTGTTTCTGTTCCAGCCGCCATTTCCATTATCGTTCCAATTCCTGTTAGAGTTATCATTCCAGTTACCGTTACCATTATCATTCCAATTATTTCCATTCATATTTCCGTTGAAATCTCTGTTTCGATCTCCATTTCCATTATCGTTCCAATTTCCTTTTCCGTTTCCGTTATCGTTCCAGCCATTTCTATCGTTTCCGTTATCATTTCCATTCCAATTTCCATTTGAATTATCATTCCAGTTTCCGTTCTGATTTCCGTTCATATTTCCATTACCGTTATCGTTCCAATCGTTTCTACCGTTTCCATTGTCATTCCAGTTGCCGTTTCCATTATCGTTCCAATTTCTGTTTTGATTTCCATTCCAGTTGCCATTTCCATTGCCATTCCAATTACCGTTATCGTTGTCAAAGCCATTCCTGTTTTGGTTCCAATTTCCATTATCATTCCAATTTCCGTTAGAATTCGAGTTATCGTTCCAACCATTGTTGGAGTTACCGTTCCAATCATTGTAATTTCTGTTTTGGTTTCCGTTCCAGTTATCATTATTTCCATTCCATCGATCACTTCTGTTCCAGTTGCCATTTCTGTCATCCCATTGGTCATTTCTGTTCCAGTTTCCATTGGGACCATTTCCATTCCAATTATCTCTGTTTTGGTCCCAATTTCCGTTTTGATTCCAGTTTCTGTCGTTCCAATTTTGATTTCCTCTGTCATCCCATCGATTGTAGTTGCCTTGATCATCATTTCTGTTCCAATTTCCGTTTCTATCGTTCCAATTTCCATTTCTGTTCCAATCACCATTCTGATTGTCGTAATTCTGCTGATTACCATTCCAATTGTCATTACCAACCCAATTTCCGCTTCTATCATCGTTCCATCCTCTGTTTCCGTTTCCATTTGGATTATCATTTCGGAAATTATCATTGGAATTCCAATTATCATTGCCATTCCAGTTGGAATTACGATTCTGATTCATATCATCGTTGTAACCTCTTTGATCATTCCAATTTTGGCTTTGATTCCTATTTTCGTTCCAATTGTCATTAGAGTTAGTATTTCTGTTAGAATTCCATTGATTTGAATCATTTTGAGGTCCATTTTGATTTTGGTCAGCATTTGGATTCATATTGTCGCCAAAATTCGAATTTAGGTTTCCATTTGGAGTATAATTCGAGCTGTTACGATCCTGATCAGATCTGAAATCATTTTGATTTGGCGGATTTTGGTCAAAATTTTGATTCCAGCCTGATTGTCCTGAATTTGTATTAATCGGTGTATTTCTGTCACTCCCATTTGCTGTATTGCCAAATCCAGAACCATTTCTGGAAGGGGGTTGAAATCCTTGATTATCGCCCGAATTTTCATAGTTTGAGTTTGCTGGAAAATTTCTTGAAAATGTAGCTGGAGATTCACCCCTTGATGAATAATTTTGAAACCTTGAGCCTTGAGAATAATTTTGATTATCTTGATTATCGGGATTCATGCGACTATTTTGTTGATAATTAGCGTTACCTTGCCATCCATCTTGAAAATTTGAAGAATTGTTTGAGTTTTGCTGATTTTCGTTTGATGGTCGCATATCAGCTCAACTTTTATAACAAATGTTGATTTACTACATTTTTAATATTATATATTATTATATAAGAAGAAAAATGCCTTTATTCAATAGATATCTTTCAAATTTGATCTTCATATTTTATAGATACACTCATGGATGATCATAAGATATGCATCATAACATAATATAGGACAAAAATTGAATTATCATATCCTTTTTAGCTCAAATAGTATTAAGTATCTTAGGGAAGATTATTCACATTCAGAAACAAAAATTAGTCAAATGAATACAGTGCATACTAATAAGAATGCTTTGCTAACTAATCCTCAGCCACTGTTAGATCAATTTTGCTTATTAAAGAGAGATCAATATATAGATTCATTGGTGCTTATCCGAAATTAATAAACATCTCTCGACAGGTAAGATTTAAAAAAATGATAAAGTGATTGGATAAATTAAATATCGGATATAATCTTCTCAATGGAAATAGTAATATAGCAAATATATGATTGTTTAAATAATATTCCGTATGAAAAAACATTTTCCACAACGCTTTTCGATAAATAAGTCTAGCCAATTTAACCAATATCTTGAATTCGAAATAAATTGCGATTTCACCATATCCAATATGTATATCATGGGAGTTATTGCAAAGGGTTTAAAGCCTCCCATGGTTTACTTAAAACAGCCAAATAAAAAACATAAAAATATATGTGTTCTGAAATTTTGAGAAAGTTCTGAATTTAAAAATCAGATAAAAAACTCATGCTCAAGCTATGAAAGAATTTCTTTGGAAAATTAAAATAATTAATTCCGTTGTAAGGTAAAGAAAACTTTTTTTATAAATTCAAAACAATATTTTTCATATGGCGCAATTTGTTCCTGAAGGATTTACATTCATTAAGGCTTTGAACAGCGGATTTTTAGGGCCATCATACCTTCTTAAAAAAGATGATAACAATCAACAATACATTTGCAAAAGTTTTATGAAGTCCGCAATAGGTGATGATGCTGATGTGGACAACTTTGTTCAAATACTAAAGATATCACACCGCTTAAAAGAATCATGTTTTCTCCCATTTCACTATATATACGTTATGGATGAATATATTTATGCAGTCCGACCATTCTTTGAGGGTTTAGCCCTTTCAGCGTACATTGCAAACTGTGAATCAGATATTAACATTGCGTATGCACAATGGAAAGTGCTTTGCAGACTTTATCGTCATCTTCATAAACGCAAAATCTCACCGAATTTCATAAAACCAAGTAATATATTTATGGAAAACGGAAATATTGCATTTATTACGGATATTTATCCTCCTCCACGATCTTTTAACCCCACGATACATCGTTCAAATCCTTTCGACGTAGGCTTTTTATCTCCCGAATACTTAACAGCAGGATCATTCCCAACTATTAAATCTGATATTTGGTCACTCGGTATATTATTATGGTTCATGGTTACTAAAAAGCTTCCATGGAACATAAATAATGTTGTGGTCATGCTTAAACAGATACAGAAAGGAACTCCTGATAATATTAATATGCTACCTGTTGAATTTCGAGATATAATTTTTTCAACACTCGTTTTGAATCCAGAAAAGCGTACAGATACTCAGACATTAGTACATGCTAGACCAGGAGTTGCTATTCAAGTACAAGATGAACGCCATTCACCAATTCTTGGCGCTGCAGACAATGTTCTTAAACCAATGAGGATTTCTCCACCAGGATCTCCAACAAATGCTATGGGTTCGTTCCTTCCTGTGAGACGAAGAAACGCTTCCGAAGATACATTATCACAACATGGTGATGAAGCTTCTCCTCATGTTATGACTAATCGTTTCTCAAGAATGGTAAACTTATCTACAAAGAGGAATTCGTTATTACAAATCTCCCAAGTATTACCAAAATAGAATTATTTAATATGTTGTTTTATAATTTTGTTAAATATTGACTCGTATATTTTGTAATATCATATTTTTAGTACCGTCCCTTTTCCACCATCACAAACTTTCCGAGAATAAGCACTAGTGTTAATTTTTCTTGATATAATCTAGCAAATATATTAAAAATAATTTCAAATTTTACAAAATTGAACAAAATTATAAAAATTCAACACTGCAATACTAGCATATACTAATATTATACAAATAAGAATAAAAATATCGGTAGATTTTTGGAAAATGATCGGTGCGATAAAAATTTTCAAAATTTTGATGATGATTGAGGGCCGGAGACCACCTTCTGACAGTCAAGCATCATCTGACGGATATGAAATTGTTAGTGTGGAAGATACTCATGAAGAATTTAGGAAATTTACTTTTGAAGCAAATTATAACTTTCCAAATAACATGGTTTCACATCAAAAATATACGATATTCAACGTTATTCCAAAGTTTTTATTCGATCAATTCAAGTTTTTCTTCAACTTCTTTTATTTAGCAATTACATTAACTCAATTTATCCCAATATATAGAATTGGTTTCCTTGTAACATACATTACTCCACTCTGTTTTGTGCTAGCTGTATCATTTATCAAAGAAATGTGGGATGAATATAACAGATGGCGTCGCGATCGTGAATTGAACTACCAAAAATACACTTTAGTCACACCAGTAGGTCCAGTTCAAATAAATTCGAAAGATCTTCGTGTTGGTCATATCATTTCCGTTCATTCTGGTGAAAGAATCCCTGCAGACTTGATAATCTTACAAACCTCAGATGCTATCGGTTCAACATTCATCAAAACAACACAATTGGATGGAGAAACAGACTGGAAACTACGCAGATCAATACCTTTAACTCAAGCATCTGCAGATTTATTCAACCTTTACAATGTTCAATTTGAGATTGAGTCACCACGACCACAAATTTACGATTTCTCTGGCCGTGTACGCATTGGCCAGCAGACGATTCCTATCAGCGTCGAATCTACAGCATGGGCAGATACATCTGTCGCTTCAGGAAGCATCGTAGGCGTTGTTGCTTATACAGGACATGAAACAAAGCCAGCATTGAATGGTGCTCCGACATCACAAAAGGTTGGAAAAGTAGATTTAGAAATTAATAATTATTCAAGTGTATTATTCTTCCTTTTATTCACTTCTTCGTTTATTTTTACATCACTTGTTGGTTTCTCATCGAATTCTCATGTTCTTCTTGTCAGATTTGTACTTTTGTTCTCATTTATTATTCCAATTTCGATGAAATGCAACTTAGATGTCTCCAAGATGGTTTACAGCTTCAGAATCTCTCATGATCAATCCATTAAAGGCGCAATCATGCGAAATTCAGCTCTTCCTGAAGAACTAGGCCGTGTTGAATACATTTTTACAGACAAAACAGGAACATTGACGAGAAACGAGATGGAATTCAAGAAACTCCAAATCGACAACGTCATTTTCAATCAGAACTCAATGCTAATAGACATAGAGCACCTCAAAGCATTCCTTAGTTTAGCTCTTTGCCATTCAGTCACTGTTACAGAAGAAGGATTCCAATCTTCATCACCAGATGAAATTGCTTTAGTTACACAGGCACAAAGAGTTGGCTACAAACTGTTGAACCATGATGACAGAGCAATAAAAATACAGATGCCGGATGGTAACGTAGAAGTCTTCAATATCATTGCTGTTCTTCCTTTTTCGAGTGTTTGGAAATCGATGTCAGTTGTTGTTCAACACGAAAAATACGGAAATTTACTCATCTCGAAAGGTTCTGATTCTTCAATCAAAGCAATGTGTCCGCCTTCAGAATGGGTCGATGAAGTTGTAGGAAACCTCGCAAGAGAAGGCTTGAGAACATTAGTCTTTGCATACAAGATCCTTTCACAGTCAGAATTAGATGATTTCATGCTACATTACGAAGAAGCATCAAAAAGTGTCACAAATCGTGGCCAAAGAATTTTAGAAAGTTTCAAGTTAATTACACATGGAATGACATTACAATGTGTCACAGGTGTTGAAGACAAACTACAAGAAAATGTCGCCGAAACACTTGAAAGCCTTGAAGCAGCAAATATCAAAATATGGATGTTGACAGGTGATAAATTAGAAACAGCGATTTGTGTTGCATTGTCAAGTCGTCTGTTTTCAAGGGATGTTGATTACAAGATTATCCAAACAATGCAGGATATATACAAGATGCTAGAGATTGACCAGAACAATGTTCCTCCTATTGTCATTGATGGAACAGTTCTCGAGCAATCCATCGAACAACATCCTGATTTATTCTTGTCATTCGCTGTCAAATCTCCTGCTGTTGTTGTTTGCCGTTGCAGTCCAAGTCAGAAAGAATTAGTCGTCAAATCAGTGAAAGGAGTTGTCAGTTGTGCAGTTGGCGATGGCGGAAACGACGTCTCAATGATACAGGCAGCATCAGTTGGCGTAGGAATTGTCGGAAAAGACGGAAAACAAGCATCAATGTCTGCTGATGTTTCCATTAACTCTTTCTGTCATTTGGAAAGATTACTTTTATGGCATGGAACTAACTCTTACAAACACACAAGTAGATTAAGTCAGTTCGTTATGCATAGAGGAGTAATCATGACAGCTACACAAGCCATATATTCCTTATTGTTTAACATTGTTCCTTCTCCTTTGTACAATGATTGGTTGATGATGGGTTTTGCGACGGTTTTTACAAACTTTTCCGTTTTCTCGTTGATTTTCGACACTTTTGTCGACGAACATACTGTAATAGCGTTCCCTGAACTGTACCACAAATGCCAGAAGGGAAGATACTTGTCTGCAAAGACATTTATCGGATGGACATTGTTGGCAATTTACCAAGGTTTCATAATTGTCTTCCTTTCTTCAAGCGTTTTTGGTATCTATGGAAGAGACACAAGAGACCTCCAATCAATTTCATTTACTTCTATGATTTTCACAGAATTATGTCTGATATGCGTTGAAATCAACAGATTTAATATACTCAGTGTTTGCGCAGAGATTCTTTCAGTGACACTATACTTGATTGCGATGTTTATGCTCACTGAAGCCTTCGACATCACTTTCATTTTGACATGGGAGTTTTTGTTCAAGATTTTGTTAGTTACTTCCATTGCAGTACTTCCTATTGTAGTTATTGAGCTCATATCCAAGAAATTTGCTCCAACACACGAAGATCAGCTTAAGAGTAATGCAATTTCAGATTCTAACAATTTCTTTATCTTATAACTTATTATATATACTATTTGTTTTATAGAGATTTAATAAAATTAATTTTGAATTCGAAATCCTTGTTTTATATTTGTAATTCTTTCAAAAAGTAGCTATATTTTTGAAACAAATATTCAATTTTTCAGAAAGAAATTTTGTAAATCACACAAAATTGTAAAAGGATTATTTCTGAAACTATCAAAAACAGTTTATGTATTCAATAAATTATATTAATATCAGAAAACAGGAAATCATTCAATCGAATGGTTTTATTCTATAAGATCTAGGATATTTATTTTTAATTTCTTGAAAATGGTGTTATATGGAGATATAAACGGTAATTCTCATCTATTCCGGATTACTTCAACCATAAAAGTCTAAATTAATACTAAAACTTTGGAATTTCTTGAGGTTTACTTTAAGGTCGCCAAAAAAGTGCGAAAATTAAAAACCGCAGTTTGAGTACTTTCTGAGAGCCTGTTTGTCAGAAAGTATACATTTGTAAACTTTCTGACACTAAATTTTTTTGTCCTTTCAAAGTTTTTGACAATGTCAAAAAGTATACATCGGGGCTCTCAATTTTCCTCTCAAACGGCGGTTTTTAAAAAACGCTCATTTTTTCATCGACCTTATGTTCAAATTTTTACTACCAAAATTATGGAATCGGAAGAAATATACGCAATATGAATAAGGTAATTTGAAAGAAGAGTGACTCCGGAGTGGTGATCCTCATCTCCTTGAATTTTACCCTCAATTTCGAAAAAAATCAATAGTGTAATTTTTCGAGGTCAAATTTAATTTTATATTTTTTTTTGCTTTTTATATCGAACGTAAACTTGTCAAATTTTATAATAATTAAAAATGACCCTGTATGTTAAAATTAACGAAGTTGAAGGCATCCCATTGAGGGAAACACCATCGCATACATTCCAATTGTTGTTTACAGAGTCATCTTCCAGAGGCCTTGATAATACTGATGTCGTAAAATCAAAACAACCAGATTTCAGCGGAAAAGTTTTTAAATTTGTGCCTACTGACCGCGACAAAGGCGATCTTGTAGTTCAATTAGTATACTATAATGACACAGTTCCAGCAACTGTCGCTGGTATTAAATTACCATTAACTTGTTTCCCGAAAAATAAGAAAATTAAGAAATCAGTAAACCTTATCAACTACACTCTATCTGAATCACCTGTTGTACAAATTATGTTTCATTATGATACTAAAGGTGCCAAGGCTTTCGACGTAAAATCTGGCCATATTCATACCGAAATTTACAACGATGCTTATAAAGAGCAAGATAGGCTTCGTAAATCAGGCACAAAGCCAATTGCTATTCGAACGGGTTCTCATGGCTCCAAGAAATCGAGATCATCTCAGGGTAACGACTCAGATGATGATACTCCAATTCAGAAGGCTTCCAAGAGCAAATCCGAGTCATCAGAAGAACGCCAGAAACACAAGTCCGAATCATCTGAAAAGAGCCACTCCCACGAGGAACAACCCAAGATCAGAGAAGATTCTAAGGCCAGAGCCATCAGATCTCCATCTACTTCCGGAAAAGCATATGAAGTTCCGGAAGTACCGATTACGGACGAATTTTCCGACTCATCACTCGAGACTCGCCCTGTACAGCTTTATACAGTTTCACTCTTACAAAATCCTTACGGTCTTCAGTTGCCATCTTTGCCATTCAAGAAATTCGAAGATCCAGTTGCTCAGCAAAAGGCCAACAAGGTTCCAATACCAGTGCCACCTCCACAGCCACTCCAGCAAAGGCAATCACCACAACCGTTACCTCCATCACCAGGTGCCGGTACAAACAGCGGCGTCTTCTTCCAGCAGCTTCCTGGCCAACCACCACAATCAGGATTCAACGCCGCTTCATCCAGAACGATGATTCCTCCACCTCCGCAATCAAGCTTCCCATCTCCAGCAGGACCAGGCATCAGAGCCTCTCCATCAGATGGTCAAGCAAAATTACAGCTTAAGAACGTTCCAGGAATGGAAAATTATACATACAATCAATACGCAAATGCTCCTAATCCAGAAGCATCCCAAACAACACCAATTCCAGATCGCGCTGGACCTAAAGCACAAATTAACTTCCAATCTGCATTTAATCAAGGCAAATTCAACATTCTACCACCAACACAACTACCTCCATCTGCAATTCCACAGGGAGCACAAGGTCCACCACCAATGATGACTATGTCACCACCTACACCAAACTCACCATCGCAATTACCACCACTCCCAGGAGGTCCTGGAGTTTCCCCTGGAATCCGAAATTCTGGCTCCAGCGGAACACTACCATTATTCCAGCCGGTTGGAATGCCAGGACAGCCAACATCTCCTGCCATGCCACCGATGCCGAACCAAGGCTATCCACCAGGTGGATTTCCACCGATGCCAAACTCTCCAATGCCGATGATGCCTCCACAGACACCTCCAAAGCCAGGAATGCCTCCACAGGCACCAATTTCGCCACCGTTAGGCCCAGGAATGCCAAAGTCCGGAATATCTCCAGCACAATCTTCTCCTTCCATCCACACATTGCAGTCTCCAGGCAATTTCCCAAGTCTCGCGATGATCTTCAACTCCGGATCTACACTTCCTCCACCAGCCAACCCACAGCCATCACCAGGATTCGTCAGACCATCGAATTCAGTTTCGCAAGTTCCTGATTTCGCTGCCGAAGAGAAGCGCAGACAGGAAGACGCGAAGAGGATGGCCGAGCTCAGGAGGCAGATGGAAGAAGAGCAGGCCAGACAAGAGAAGGAGAGACAGGAGAGAGAAAGACAAGAAAAGGAGAGACAAGAGAAGGAAAGGCAGGAAAGAGAAAGGCTTGATAAAGAAAGACAGGAAAGAGAGAGACAGGAAAGAGAACGCCTTGAAAGAGAAAGACAAGAATTGGAGCGCATCGAAAGAGAGAGACTTGAAAAGGAGAGACAGGAAAGAGAGAGACTCGAGAACGAAAGACTCGAAAGAGAGAGAATGGAGAGAGAAAGAATTGAACGCGAGAGATTGGAAAGATTGCAGCAACAGCAGCAACAACAACAGCAACAAATGCAGTTTAACCCTGCAAACTACGGATCCTATGGAACACCAGGCCAATTCAATTCCGGACAACAGTACGGAATTCCTGGATACGGACCAGCTCCAAGTCAGTTGCAGCCAACACCACAACAACAGCAACAACAACAGATGCAGATGTACTACTACAGACAGTTGTACTCTCAGTACTTGCTCTCTCAGGGTTACACACATGAATACCTCAACCAGTACATGGCAAACTATCCTCAGCAGTTTGATCAATACGCTATTGAATACTTCAGAAAGATTCAAGGACAAATATAATAAAAAAGTTTTTTTAATCATTAATTTTAGTTTATTTTTCTGATACATTATCATTATAATTGAAAAGTATAGAAGTAGTCAACCATCAGAAACCAGGAATGAAGTTTAATTTTTGCAAATTTTGAAAAAATTCATCTATGAAAGACGAATTTCCATGGAATGACTACTTCCAAAGTTAAATTATTGATTAACAAACTAAATACTGTCATAATTGCAATCTACAACTGCAAGAAAAGATCATTTTCTTATTTACTAAATAATTTCTGCTCTTTTAGTAACTCTTTAGGTTAATTAGTATTGTATTGAACTTCTAGTAACAGATTCTTAGATAGATCTTTGACAATTATGTAAAATGATGAAGATTTTGATTGAAAGAAAAATGATGTGATTGAATCATTTCTTTCCTTGGACAGGTTTACATAGGATGTTGTTTTGACTATTAATTACTCTATTATATCGATCAACTATAGTTTGCAATTTCTCAGAATAAGAGGAGATAGTTCTTTTTGGGAAAACAGCTTTACAATCATCAGGGTTTGATGAATAATGCTCTAATACATCAAGTAATTGTTTAATATAATTTTCTTGATTTGTAATTTTTGAATTATTTTCGGTATTTTCTTGCATGTATGAAATTAATTCCTTAATGAGTTCGTCTTTGTTGATTGTATCGTCATTTTCTATAGATTTGGTCTGATTTTGTTGAGAGATCTTTGAGAGTGATGGTATTTTGTCTAAATTTTCATAAGGATTATCTTTGCACGAGAATAAAGCGTAACCAACTTCATTATTAATTTCTGAATCGAAGAATTCGATATCAATTTTTCCTTTTTGTAGGGAATCAATCAAATCATTTTGAATGGATAGTATTCTTTCAGAAATATTTTCCGGAAATTGCTGTTCTTTGATAAAAATATCTAATTCGACTTTAAATTTGTCAACAAATTCCATTTACTTATATGTAAAATGATTCAAACTAAAGAGTATTATGATTAGAATAATGTTTTAATGCACGATATCATGAATAGAATGGAAAAATCTTGGAAATAAAAACGAAAGAATATTTTATAACTTTATAAAAAAAAATAATATATATGTATTATGAGAATGAGAAAACTCCTCTTCCATTTGATATAGCAAACAGAATCTTTTCGCGCATTACTTCTTTTGACGAATAAGCCGGCATCTTGAAGTAATTTGTGCATGTCATTACGCTAGGAAGATGATTATCACCATCATCTTTCCTTGCGATGGTTAATTTCGGTCTTAAATTGGCCAATCCGCCAATTGGCAATTTCGAGCTTCCTGTTACGAAATTCACGAAGTTCATCCTCTCATCATCATTCATTTCCGATAGAATTTCGAACAAGTTGTTGATTTCGGCTGAATTTGAATTATATCCGTGCTCAATTTTGACATTTGCGGCCAAATACTCCTTAGTCCACTTCTCCGTTGATCCGCAAAGCAAGATAATGATTTCCTTCGGCGAGAACAAACTTAATGAATCATAAGGAATAATTTGAGAGAAACCATCCTTAAAAGCACGCATAACATCCTTAATCTTGCCACTTATTGTGAATTCCTTGACTAATGATACGTATTCATCAACATTTTCAGCGGTAACTTCGATATCTTTTCCTCCTTTCTTTAATTCCAAATTTGGAAGGCCAGGATAAGTGAAATCGAGTCCAATCAATCCTTCTTTGTCATTCAAAGAGCTTGCAAAGGTCGGATCAATGTCATCTATTGTAACTTGATTTGCAGACTGTTTCTTCTTGAGATTGTAAGTTATATATTTGAAGAATGACTCGCTAAGTGGAACATCTATCAGACAATTGGCTGCGATGGCTCTTGCGCACAAAATTCCAAATAATCTCATTTCTTTCGGATTTGCAACAGGAGAAGGGAACAAACCCATTGGGCTATAAACAAACTCACTTTCTGGATCACTATTTCGCCATAATCCTCTAATTGGTCGGCAAAATTCTCTACTTAATAATGTGTAAAATTCTTGAGTTGGACCAATTCCGAAACCCATTTCCCCTACGAAATCAACGTCTATTCTCAATGTCGCTGGCAAATTCTGCAAAATCTTCTTTCCGTCTTCGACAATTTTATTTCTGTTCGCATGTACTTTCATTTTGAAGATTTTCGCTTTCTGCCTGTCGTCTGATACTTTGGTGAGCTGTGTCTCAACAGTATGTAGCACAGTTGGCATATCCAACGACGAAATTAAAAATGCAATAAATCTTGACTCAAAATTGAACAAAAATGGATGGGAATAAAACAAATTAACAGCCTCGTTATAGAGCGAGCTAGACATGGACGGACAAGACAAATGCTGCAACATTAAATTGGAAATTTGATTTGAGCAACAATCAACGGTCGGAGCGATGTTTTTGATAGCAGAAAGTAATGCTAATGGTATTCCATAGTTTTGTGGAAGTATATCTCTGAATTTTCTGCTTGGTCTTTGGCAATCTCCAACTTTTAGCACAAAAGTTGGATGATTATCAAGTAATGAGTCGATATTATCGTATGCTGTGGTCAGAACATGCCAAAATGGCTCCAAGGCCGGATAAACTTTGCCATCCAAAGAAAATGTGAATTCTTTGTATCCTTTGAGGCCAAATGACCTTGCAAGGTATCCGAATGTCGAACAGGATCTTACCTTTTGCTCTTGGAAGTATATAATACCTGACATGTCGCTTCGATTCATTGCTCTTTTCAAATTTTTTTCATTGACCATTGATGGATTGATTTGCTGGTTCACCCATGCTTCTATAGCGACTAAATCGGTTGTTAAGTCAACAGAAATGTCTTTAAATGTATGATCTTCAAAAATTATATCAATTGGATATCCAAAATCGGAGAAAGTATCGAAATCTTCACCTATAGGATCTACTTCTTCGGGCAGCTGATAGAATGTCAATGAAATTTTCATCTGGTCAGCAATAATCTGCAAAGCTTGGAGAAATGGCTCCGGAAGTGTCCTCGGAAGGAAAGAAGTAGTCAAAAATTTTGTGAGCTTCGTGGCCACACCGTTAGAAATGAGTTCAAATGGAGGAAGGTTTTGTGAAGCCAAATTAATGACGTCATCCATTGTTTTGATGTTTATATCTAGTGAAATTGTCTCTGCTTTGATTCCTACGCGCTTTCTAAGCTTGTTTAGCGTTTTATTGACCCAATTTCTTTGATTTGGTAGTTGATTCTTTGGATCTACAGTGTTTAAGAAGCCATTAGCTGCGAAAGGAGCCAAATCTTTAAGATACAATAACATTCCTAATACATTCGGTATCAAACTCTGATTTTGTGAAATTCCAAGGATAATAGTAACAAATTCTTGGTCAAAAGGTGGTTGGTTCATACATAGAGTAGCTGTTAATGCAGAAATAGCCTTATCTTCTGATCCCAATCTATCTTTTATCAAATTTATTATTAATGGCTGAATTTTTTTAGTAAATTCGTTTGTATTAGTTACAGTTTTCTTATCGTATGGCCAGAGGAACTTAGGAAGTGGTGGATTTGGAGGTGGAACTATAGATAAAATGAAGTCTAAAACGATTCCAACAATTTCGGTTCGTTTTTGGATTGTGTTTGGATTGTAACAAATGTTGTTGAAGAAATCGATGTTTTCGAGGAATAAATCATATGAATTTGTCGTGTTTAAAATAACTTGAAGAGCTTTAAGTAAAAAAACAGTGTTGTTGTCATCTGTGACTTTAGGAAGTGAAATAATAAGGTCATGAGCAACTTCACGTGGAACAAAAGTTGGTTTTGTAGTTCGTAAAACCAAAATAAACGATTGTGTAGCGAGTGGAAGTGTTTTGTCGTCGCATGTTGACATGATGTGTGAAATGTTAACAATAAAATCTGAATAAGAAGGAACTAAAAGTTCGTTTGCAACGTTAATCAAAGTTTGTAGAGAAACTCGCTGTGTCGCAGGACATAGTATATCGAAACACGAGACAAAACACTCAATTCCAATCTTCTCGCCAATTGTACCTGGTGAAATTTTGGATAATGAGTTCAAAATTTGAATACATGTATCGACAAGATCGTTTGATTCGCGGTCAAGAATGCATTTGTTGACAACAGTGATAACATTGGATATAATAAAGAACTTTGAACTTAGAGGAAGAGTTTCGATCAAGTTATGAATGCATAATCCGGATAATTCTTTGTGTTTTAGAGTGTAGTTAGATCTAATAACGTTAACAAGAAGAGCACAAAGCTCTTGAACGTTGTACTTACCTAAATCACTTCCGCCACCAAAAATCAATAAATTTGATAGGATTTCTAAGCCAGACATGACTTCATTACTGTTACCGCGCAATTTGCGAATAACATCTGAGTATCCATTCATGTCCAGGCTTAAAGTCATTTAAAATCTACTAAAATTTTCGTCACTTTTTGGCTGGAATTTCTATAAATCTACAAAAATTTGATGAAAATATGGGATAAGAAATCCTATGAAGTGAATAAATGAATAGAATTATCAAAAATCAAATAAATCAAAGAAAGGAAGAAGATGAAGAAGGAGACAATCAAAACGTTTTTGATTAAGAAAAAAAGTCGACTGATTTACAATGGTTATAGTCATTTTTCTAGAATGCCATAAAGTTATAAGGACAGAAACACGAGAAGAAACAACCCTTCAGACGATGAAATGCAAATGATAATGAACATGTAAAAGCCGATATAGTTATCAAATATAACTTTCTTGTAATTCAAAAATTACAATTGCTATATATATATATGTAAAATAAACATGAGGATAAATTAAGTGTTTATTACCTGAAAGATTTGAAGGACAATTTTCAAAATTTTGTCATTTTTTATTTTACAAGATGTTCAAAATTTTTTCGAATTTTTTGGATCGTATACGCGAACATTCAAATAATTACCACATAGTACAAGAATTTAACAAGAACAACAGATACAAAATCAAGTTTTCACTTTATTATGACGTAATTCTAAATCCTCCAAATCGTAATTATCCATTAAATGTCGGATTCTATATCCGCTTTCCAGAGTATGTATTTAACTTTTTGAGAACTATCCAAACTCCTAATCAATGCTGTTTCAAACGCATTTCTCTTCATTCACCTCATCAAATTATTCCATTTACTCGAGGAATTGAACTAAGTGATTCGAGTCTGGACTTTATTTCAAGATGTGCGATAAAAACAATTCTAGAACACGACGATTTATGTCATCATCGATATGATATTCATGGTATTCGCGAACTTGGAATTATTTTTGATGGACTTATAATAAAATTTTTGATGAAACCAGAACTTCATACTCCGTCGAAAGTCATTAGAGTTTTACGAAGATTTTCTAAGAACGCACAATTTACAGAACGTCATCTATTCATTTTCAGTAAACCAGACACGTGCATAGGTTGGCCATTCAATGAATATGAATACACAAAATTAGATGAACATAATCCTGCTAAAATATTCCTAGAAGAGATGCAAGAAACATACTAATATTTTCTTTTATTAAATATATAGTTTTTATTTTATATTTTTCAATAAAAGAGTCTCTAATAAGCCTTATAAATGAATGGATGTAAGGCCTGACATGTATCTTGATGTAAAAGTCCATTAGATTAATAAAATTAATATCATTCGGTGACATTTCGAATTCAGAGCTGTACATTTTTTCGTACTTCTCCCGGATTGACATATTGCAACCGACAGGAGTGTATTATGCACTCTTGCCGGTCAAAGTTCCCCGATCAAGTTGTGCTGGTAAATTCTTTGGCATCTTCTTGTTTATCGATCAAATTTGTGATGATATATATATAATAATTGAGGAATAAAATGTAATTCAATTTCAGATATTTTCTTGTGATTATGATGTAGTTAGCAATATATATACTCGAACCACTATTTTCGCATTCTATACAAAAAATAAGAATTAAAAATAAAATAAATCATACATTTTATTTTTTCGCTGATTGTGCTGCAAGTTCTTTCCAAACTTCAAGATTGTTCTTGACTGATTGATGGTTGACTTCAAGTGGAGGGAAGAGTTTAGCAACAACTTGATATAATGGTAAACAAACAAAGTTGTAGAAGCCAATTTGTGACTTAGGTTTGTCGTTGTTCAATCGATCATTGAGAGGTGATGTCAAACCAATTCCCAATGATTTCTCGTTATCGCCTTGTCGGAAGAACTCTTCGCAAAGGATGTCACACCATTTATCTGCAATTTGGAATGGACGTGAAACATTGGAAATATCGCCAACTTTCAATAACAATTTCATGGATAACAATCGATGTTCTGGCTTTTCAATATCGAATTCGGCTTTGTCAGCAATTTCATTGGTGTCTTTAACTAGCTTAAAGTGGTTAGCCATATCTGTAGCAAGAATTAACTGAATAATAGTGGTCCAAAGCTGTCGTTGATGTTCTAAATCAACAGAATGGAATAAGTTATATTCTTCTTTAGTCAATAAACTTATAGCAACTGTACAATGATGTGTTTCCATAACGGATTGGTCTTTAAACAAAATTCCTAATGGTGTTTCTGCTTTAACATTGTAGATGTTGTTCAAACCTTCGTGACCAGCATCATGGCAAACGGCCGCTACAAACATAGCAAGTAATTCAAGTGGTTTATAAACTTTATCAAGTTCTGCGGTACTAACTTCATATGCTAAGTATTGACAGACATCAACACAGTGCATCCAATTATGATACGGAACTTCGTTGTATTTCTCTCGGATAGCAAATATGAATCGGAAGAACATGTCGTTAGGAATCTTGAATTCTTCAAGTAAATTGAATTTCTGGAAGATGAAGAACAAGATTTTGATATGACCAACACCTTTATAATCTGGTGAGAAGAAATTCAATGATGAAACTAATTTCTTCTGTTCGTCAGTCAATTGTAATTTACTTGGTGTCTTAGATGATGACTTTTCTGATTCTGAAATGTATTTAGGAAGTTCCGCTTCGCTAGTGCCTAAATCAGCAATGGATTTAAGTCGTTGATTTTCAAGAGAAACAGCGGCAAATGCAGCAAATGATTTAAGTAATTTGCAATCGTCATCATCGAAATCACCATTCTTTTTATTGACCATTTCGACAGCACCTAAGACAACACCTTTCTGTGAAATGATTGGTGCAACAAGTAATCTTTCTGTCTTGAAGTTGTTCTCAATATCAATAGTTCGGTTGAATCGTGGATCATCATAACAATTGTTAGAAACAATAACTTCGCGACTTTTAATTGCTGCTGCTGCCAAACCAGTTGTTAAAGGCAACTGTGAAGGAATTGTACCACCATCGACTAAGAAACTCTGAAGACAGTTCAATGGTTCATCCAATATCAAAAGAGAAGCACATTCGGCACCAATAGTATTTCGTGCATTTTTAATGATGTCACCAAGAATACGTTGGATTGATTCGGAATTAGATAATGAGAAAGAAACATCGAAGAATGAATGCAATTGTTGTGACATTTCAACGGAATCTTGATACAATCGTGCATTCTCTAGTGAAATACCACAGAAAACATTGAATATCTTGATCATGTGCGCATCCCATTCTGTGAATTTACCGTTGATTTTGTTGACCATTTCGGTAACACCGATAACTTCACTTCGGTTGTTAATAATTGGAACACTCAAGATGTTTTTAGTTCGGTATCCTGTCTCTAAGTCTGTAGATGAATCAAAATCTGGATCAGCATATGCATCTTCGATGAATGCTGTAGTTTTTTCTCGAACTGTTCTTCCCGCAATGCCTTTGTCAATTGGGATGACAATAGCATTAGAAAGACCGTGCTGGAATGATGTAATAAGTCTATCTCGCTTCTCATTTACTAAGAATAATGAACAGCGATCACTTTTAGTGAGAGAACGTCCTTTCTCCATAATTGCTTCTGTAAGTTTTCCGATATCTAATTGGCGACTCAATACTTCTGCAACTTCAAGCAAAGCGGATAGTCCTTGGCTTCGGTCACTTGACTGGATCAACTCTTCATTCATACTTGTGAACTTGTCTGCGTTAGAAATAGAGAAACTAGAGAAAACGGTCATCTTTTGGAAAACAACAACATCGCTAGAACGAAAAACTGTGGCTGTTCGTGGACCTCTGAGAACATACAAGTAAACAAAAGCACCAGTTGACTCACGAACTGGGTTAATAAGGATCGGTTCGTCAATTGGTCCATCAACTTGTTCGTTGTAGCTTGGATGTAATTTTGTTGTACCGCAATTAAGAGGAGAAGTAGAAGATATCATTGTTCCAACAATGCCAGCTTCATTTGGTGACATCTCGTATTCGGATCCGTACATTTGAAGTGTATTTCGTTTTGAATCGTACTTCCAGATTTCAGCTGACCGACATTCGAAGTAATCTTTGAATAAGTAGATAGTCTCTTTAAGGAGTTGATTGAATGGTCGGAGTTGAACAAGGTCTAAAAGCATCTGTTCATGTAAAGGAGGTGTTAAAATAAATTTAGAGAATGTCTTGAATTTGATTGCGAACTGATTAACAAATAATTCTTCGTCTGCTGTGAATTCGGGTGCAATTATTGAACGAACAACTTGAACAACAGCAACTAACTCACCACGATAATCCCAAAGTGGAAATGCCATCATTGGGCAATCATCGGGTGCAAATTTGATGTCAACACGTTTACTAAATGCTGGATGATTGTGTGGTGAATTAGTTCTGATAATAGATTTAGTAAAGAATGCTGAACTTGCAATACTTTCTGTGCGAGGGACAACAACTTGGTATGTAGTTGAATAAAGTAATTGTAATTCGGGAATATTTTCCCAATAAATAGCTGTTTCGCCACCAAAATGTTGTGATATGAATTTTTCCGTAGCTTCTTGAACTGTTGTGTTTGATGCTTCGAGGATATACATGTCGAGCTGTTCTTTTGATATAGAAACTTCAAATGGTGTAATCGATGAATGAACTTGTGTTTTTTCTTCTTTAACAACTACACTTTCACGTGCTGATGTAACATCTGATGTTTTCTCTTCGGGAACTTCTTTTTCTTTAACCGAATTTGTGCTACTTGCTGAAGATTGAACTTGATATGGTACTTCAGGAGGTCTAACTGGTGCAACAACAAAATGTTGATATTTTTCGAATGGAACATCAACACGTTGTGTCACTGGCTTCATTAAGCGAGGAAGCTGAAGTTTATTCCTCGCTGTGTTTTTCATTTCTGTGAATTTTTTACAAAAAAACGGGGGGTATACCAATTTTTTTATAACGTACAAAAAAAACCAAATATAGACTTCGATTTTAGGCAGGACTTGTTTTATTCTTGATTTGAATATACCACTGATCAGAGCATAGTTTCGGTATTATTATATTGAGTGCATGCATCCTCTTATTAGTTATATATGTTATCGATAATCTTATTATTGGAATCATCTGGTTTGAGCAAGATGCGATCTTTATTTTGTGCTTTTTATGATGAGGGTGTGTTTTATAAGTTAATATGTTTTGTAATTCAAAAGATATCATGCAAAAAACTGTGTAAATCATATAATATATTGAGATTTATTATTCTATAGCTGTACTTATTCATATTATATTGTAAAATAACAATTTTCTCTATGATATTTTGAAAAAAAAATTAATATGGTGTTAAAACGGATTTGAACTATGAAATGTATTGGTAGAAGTAAGGATCTCGTTTGGAGAAATAACGGCTGGGATCTCCAAATTCCAAAATATAAGCTTCTCCAATTTTGTAAATTTTAAGGGTGCACACGAGAGGATCATGTAAACTTCAGAATTTAGAACCTTATTTTTAGGCATTATCTTGGCTACCTATTTAGGCTCGAAAAGCAAAAAATATCAAAAAATACAACTTGAGTCCATTATGACCCTTTCATGGAGGTAGTTTTTATCCGCTAGTATTTTCCCTTTGAATCTCTTTTCAATTCGAAATCAAATTCAAATCTCAGTCGAAGAAAGGAAGAATCGACTTACTACGGTTGTAATACGAATAAATACATATATTTAATTATTTTTATTTACATAATAATTGTTTGAAGCTCATATTCCATCAAATTTTTAAAAAAACATTAAAATGTTGAAAATGTTCATATATTTTAATAGGGTTTTGGCACTTTATTGAGGAATTACTACATACATAGTCGAACTGAACTTGATATTTTGAAATTTAAATTATTTATCAAAATTAAAATTTAACTTGAAATTTATAATTATTTAGTCATATTTTGCATAATTCTAAGTAGATTTTGTAAAAAATCAAGAAAGAAAAATTTTAACGTGCTTTATTTTTTCTTTTTTATAATAATACATATTATTATATAATTAACATATTCATAATGTTTCACCCTTTCAAAAATATAATACTCCTCCTCTCAAATAAACGTACATACGGTGGCCTCTTTTTTCAAAAAATTAAAATTTGAAATTTTGGGCTCAAATATTAGAGATTTTTTTCAACCTTCAACGATATATGTTGTCTATATCAGACCTCCTTTCTTTTTGATACTTAACATTGTTCCTAAATCTTAGCCGTTAAGGCTGTTCTGAAAATATTTTTTTTTCGAAAAAATTCGAAAAAAATTCTTAAAATTCAAAAATCCCTTAATTCCTGAGGATTTTGGAAAAAAGTTTTTACATGAACATGTGTATATTATATGAAGTATATTGATAAGGTAAAAATCAAATTTTATTGCATATTCATCGAGAAAATAAACTAACAAATCCCTCAAAATTGAGAGGGTAATCCTCCTCCTCTCAAATAAACGTACATACGGGTGCACCTTTAATGTAAATTGTACCCTATTTTTTACAAATATTACCCCCTAGTTTCTTATCAAAATGTCAGATTTTAACTTTACAAACCATTAGATTTGTAAAGTTTGAAATGTCAAAACTTCCGATGAGTTCACCTCACATTTTCTCCATGGAGACGTGGAGAAAGTATTCAATTTTGAATTGGTGGAGAAGACAGACTAGTTCAATTTCTCCATGGAGATGGAGAAATGGAGAAGCTTTGGAAACGGGCATTGCCTTCGTTTTCATGGAAACTTCCTATGGGCAATATTTTTGGGATTTCAATGATCTACTGATCCCAAGAGATAGTTCCAATATTTGTTTAGATATATTATTTGAATTTTTATTTCTTGGATATTTACTCCGCATTTATGGCGAGTTTACATTATATTTCACCTATAGATATTAGTCACTACCACAAAATATCATATCACAGAATTTTTATGCATTTTCAATTTAATTCAATCTTTATTTGATAATACGAATAAAACTACAATAGTTTTCATCTAATCTATTAATGATCTCTCTTAGATCATCGATAAAATAAAATCTAAAACATTTTTCATTTAGCCTAAGGGAGTTTGCTTTCGCATTTCTATGTTGATTACTTTCATTTATATTATTCATTAAATTACAAAAATATTCCTTGATATAATTTGCCAATTCTTAATTAAATGTTAAGTACTTTCTATATATCAAGTTTGAGCACAAGCTGAGTTAAATTTAGGAATATGACTGATATTGAGATATATATTTTGCCAATTTGTAGAGTGTCTCCAAACTGAAGTTTAGAGGTGGCGGTGGCGCTGCTGCAGCTGCCCCTGCTGCTGGAGGAGGAGCTCCTCCACCTCCAAGAATGGGAGGAGGCGATATGATGTCCGATCTTGCCGCTGCTTTAGCCAGGAGAGGTAGGAAAGGATAAGCAATTTAAAAAATCAATTTTTCATCTTAACTTAGTACAAAATATTAATATTTATTATTTAATTATCATTTGAGCTCATAATCACAACTTCCAAAAAATATCATCTATCAAAATCATTTATTTTTATCATAAATTGTATTACAAGCCATATGCATCACATTTAATCAGCACTTTATCGTATTCGCTCTCAATAACAAAAAAAAATGATAATTATTTGAGGTTTGTTAATGTTCGTAACAAAAGTTTGTTTATTATGAAAATGTAAAAGTAAATCATGTTTATCAAAGTGCGAATACTAGGAAATTGAATTTATTTTTCGTAGACCTTTGGATTTGAAACATTTGGAACTCTTTCTCCATTTAAAAAGTAGACACATGCGTTTGCAGACTCGATTGCCATGTTGTTTGTTGTTTCGATTGTTGATGAGCCGATATGAGGAGTAATGACAAGGTTCTTGCACTTAAGAATTCTGTGTGTTGGTGGGAATGGCTCTGGATCGATGACATCGAGTGCAGCGCCGTAGATCTTCTTCTGCTCTAAAGCATCAGCAACAGCTTCGACATCGAAAACTGGGCCACGTCCGATGTTTGCGAGGACCGCTGTAGGTTTCATGAGAGCAATTTCGTTGTGGCTGATCAAATTCCTTGTCTTCTCAGTCAATGGGCAAGCAGCGACAACAAAATCACTTTGCTTGAGTAATTGATCGAGTGGTGTAAATCCTTCGCCAAGGTCATTGAACAAAACCTTCATATCGAAGCCTTGCGCGCGCTTAGCAATGGCTTTTCCGATATGACCAGCGCCAATGATGCCCATTGTCTTGTGGTGGATGTCTAAGCCCCAGATTCTTGTTGGTTTCTTCATCCAGCCACCTTAGCGGACATAATTGTCTCCTTCAACAATTCTCCTTGAGCAGGCAATTAAAATGCCCATTAAAGTATCAGCGTATGTGTCAGCTAATGAGAGATGTGTGTTTGAAACGATGATACCTCTCTTAGTAGCGTACTCCATATCGATTTTATCAGCTCCAGCAGCGGCAGCTGATACCATCTTAAGCTTTGGACTGTCAAGGACATCTTTATTGATGAGATCACTGCCTCTAGCATAAATTACATCAGCATTGCGTGCATGTTCAAGAAACTCTTTTCTTGTCATATCTTTCCAATTGTGTGGGAAGTCAATATCTTTGAAATTTTTCTGCAATATCTGCATGCCTACATCCATTGGCTTGTGTGTGATGAATAAACTCATCATTTTAGAGAAGGATGACTGAGATGTCAACATGTTTTCTAATTGAGAGAACAATCGGAATTGAGAGTAAAATCCGATAAGAAGTAAGATGGAGAAATTTCTTTAAGAATCGGTATCTGAGGTATTATTGTTATGAACGAAAACGATAAAAACAGTTTGATAGTAAAGTGACACTTTACATGGCAAAAAATAGAGCCTTACTTTTGAGATATTTGAGATTGAAACTGAACCTTATGAGGTAGTGATCTTGAATCACTACCTCATAAGGTTCAGTTTCATATAAAATTTGTCGCAATTTGTTATTCTTTTCTTATAAGATTTTACCTTTTTTAGCGGGGAATGCTTGTTATCATGCACACATTACAAATAACTACACGATAACGAACATTCCTCGCTAAATTGCTGAGAAACTTTGAGGAAATGTCGTACAATTTCCTCAAAGTTTCTCAGCTTTATATAGATAACTAGAGTCCCCTAGGCACTGATTAGGGTTATAGCATTATTAGATAACTATTTTAAAAAAATATAAATAATAGTGTTTGTAATAATATCACAAAATAGCAATATCTAAGAACTCATATTCATCCCAAAAACTAGCGTTTAGTATCTCAACAATCTCTATCGTCCTTTACTGAAGTGGAATTGTTTTTTTTTTTTGTACGTTATAAAAAAATTGGTATACCCAAAAAAAGAAAACCTTATCTTGTCAATTTTTCTGACAAGTAAATAAAAAAAATATCAAAAAATTATTATGACTGCTCCTGAATCAATTTCGGAGAAATTGAATCATTTCGGAGAGCGTCTCCAAACTCTTGATAAACATGCTGAAAATCAGCGTCAACTTTTAATCAGCAACACAGAGTTTAATACTACATCTGTGAAAAATGATCTCGAAGAAGACTTAAGACAAATCGAAAGCTCAATTGTTTACTTATCTAAGATTTGCTTAAAGAATATGGTTAATTCAAATGAAAAACTTACGGAAATGGAAACTGATTTGCAACATATCGATGGTAGCTTACAAGCCATCCGCGCAAATGCAGGCAGACAGTTATTAACATCCGCGACCTCTCTCAAAGAAAACTCAAAAATCGATGATCAATTCTTACCGCCATCAATCCCTCTTCCAATCAACTATCCAAAGAACAAATTCCAGATCAATCTTGGAGTCATATCCCGTGTTGGCAGAAATATCGATGAAACTGCTGATGCAGGCGCAGAGAACATGAAACCTTTAATTCTTAAGGTTGATCCAGGTTCACCACAGCCAAGCTTCTGGAATCGCACTACAGATTTCTTCTTACCAGTCACATCGGCTTCTAAAGAAGAAATCGCAACTTCATTCTCAGATTACTACGGCTTCGATCCAATTGATGCTAACGATGAGCTCAACAAGATTACAGGTGCCCAGAGCTCCGCGTTCATGGATGACGATGTCAGTAAAGTTAATCCAGGCGATGAATATTTGTTGCAGAGCCTTGCTCCAGGAGCCTTACCACAACCATCCTCATTCAATACATCAGAATTGAACGACATTGCTCCTACTACGCTTCCTCCACCACCACCTGTCGCTGCAGCCGCACCTCCACCACCTCCAGCCCCAGGAGCTGCTCCGCCACCACCAAAGCCAGCAGCTGCTCCTCCTGCGGCCAAACCTGCACCTCCAAAACCAGCTGCAAGACCTCCACCGCCAGCAGCCAAACCAACACCTCCTCCACCGGCCGCAAAGCCAGCACCTCCACCTCCAAGGGCTGCAGCTCCTCCGCCACCACCTCCACCAGCTGCTGCAGCTCCTCCACCACCACCGCCTCCAATGGCTGCACCTCCACCTCCTCCACCGCCTTCCAAGTCGAAATCAGGCGGCGGACTCGTGAAGCCAACAGATGACGCTCTTCAGGCGATGATTGAGAAGAGAAAGAAGACGGCAAAGAAAGTTACACCTCCAGAGCCAAAGTTGAACTTCCAGGGAGGTGGCGGTGGCGGTGGCGCTGCTGCAGCTGCCCCTGCTGCTGGAGGAGGAGCTCCTCCACCTCCAAGAATGGGAGGAGGCGATATGATGTCCGATCTTGCCGCTGCTTTAGCCAGGAGAGGTAGGAAAGGATAAGCAATTTAAAAAATCAATTTTTCATCTTAACTTAGTACAAAATATTAATATTTATTATTTAATTATCATTTGAGCTCATAATCACAACTTCCAAAAAATATCATCTATCAAAATCATTTATTTTTATCATAAATTGTATTACAAGCCATATGCATCACATTTAATCAGCACTTTATCGTATTCGCTCTCAATAACAAAAAAAATGATAATTATTTGGGTTTTATTTTTTTGCAGCAACATGGGTGTAACACAGGTGTAAACTATTCAATTTCTCTCAAATATTGAGTACTTTTGGGCAACACGGGGATAGAATTGAATACCTTGGGCAACACGAGAGCTAACGTACAGTTTTTGATGATGATGGGTACATTGCAGTAAAGTTTAAACTACAACAATACCTTTCATATGAAACATTTACATATGCCTAAAATGGAATAGAACTATCATACGTAAAGCAGTCGTGTCAATAATAATTAAATTTCAACAAGATGAATTTATCGCAAATTACTAAACAGAAGTTACCCCTATCAAAAGCAATTCTTGCTTGTTGGGAACATAGATTTTTATAACATTTTGTTTCATATTTATATTATTCAAAAATAAAATTTCATAAAAATCCAAATAATTACTGTTCGCTCAATATATCCTCAGAAGGTACTTTATCAAAATCATACTGAAATTATCAATTACTGTTATTAATAATATAAACGTTCACTAAAATCTTTGATTTATCATTTAGACCCCTACCATTCATTTTAAATTGCACTGTCTAATAAGTAGATATTATATATGCAGTAAAAATTTGACTTCGATGTCAATCTTTTTTTTACTATTAAGAGCTTTGTATATAAGTGAATAAAAATATAATGTATACCTGGTCTAATCATAGGGATTCGATTGTTTTTGCATAATTTCATTTTTAATTTTATATTTTTAATTTAACAGAGGAACAATATAATAACTGCCATTATTTCAATCATACATCATGCGCTAATTAAAAATAATATCCTAAAAATGCTATTATTTAATTTTTTGGTTCATTAATAAAATTATTTGATTTGTGTTATGCTGCTTTCATTCTTTATTTGAGAAATATCATGCAATACATCTTATTGCTAAGTTGGAAGATTTTTCCATGAGTAGGTGCCAAAAGTGCTTACTCTTAAACAACCGTCGGATTTCCGGGTGAAATCGTGACACACTTTCGTCTTTCGTAGGCAGTGGTGGTTGTTACAAAAGGTAACTTCGAATGTAGCGTGAAATCTGCAAAAAAAATTCTGAAATTTGAATGGAGAACACAAAAATTGAATAGTTTACGTCAATAAAAAAGAGAAAAATGAAGCCAATGTGTCTCGAACCTAGGACTTAGAGCAGCAATCCCACTGTTTATCAAATTACACTACATGCATCTCTCACCTCAGTGAATGAGATCAACTATATGATAACTTTTTCCCCATTATATTCTTGTGGAAAAGTGACAAATAGCAACTTTGACCCTCTCTCATTTGTGTTATGCTGCTTTCATTCTTTATTTGAGAAATATCATGCAATACATCTTATTGCTAAGTTGGAAGATTTTTCCATGAAAGAGAAGTATTTCGAAAATTTACTTCTAAACTTCCATTTCAAGTCTATATTTTCTTCTGGGAGAGTTTTTCCTAATATACCGAACTTCTTGGTACTTAAATATGGCATTAATAATAGAGATTAACATTCAAATTTTGTAAATGTTAACTGTATTCCCTTAAATAACTAACATTTGATATTTTTGATTATTATTTCCTGTTAATCACCATTTTATTTCTCAAAAAAATGTTTGAATGAACTTAAAAAGAATAATTTTTACATTTTCTTTCACATTTTTTAAATTTTCAATTGTTTTTATTCTCAACAATATATATGAAGATAGCTCAAACATTAGCTTTACATAAATATTGTTATGCAAAATGTTGTAAACAAGCATTCTTTTTTGAAAATTTCTCTCAAAACAGAAATATAATGAGCAATTATAAGAAATATGTCTCATTCTATACACATATGATAAAAGTTATGCTGAGACAAAGTGAGGTATTCAATGAATTAAACTATTTTTAAGAGAATGTTATGTTTAATAAGATGATATTATCATTTCTCAACTAAGATGTGCTACAATATGACTTGGTGAGAAGAAGAACTTTTATCATATTCAAAAAAATTTATTTTCATTAGATCAAATTGAACAATATTTTTTTACACGCTTTATAACAAACCCATACATATAAATGATTGTAAAATGGTCAAAACCTACTCAAATCTAAGTTTGAGTTTCGTAATTTGAGAATGAAAAATTAAATTCCATCCAATTGATTTATGACTAACATTTATAATAAAGATATCGGTAAGAAGTTAATCTTTGAAGGAAACTTTATGTACTCTTCTTATTGTATTCGAAATTTAATCTTTGGTAATTATCACCGAATCTTTGCAGGGATACTAAGAATCTATCTAGTTTCCTTCTGCATTTCGATGTTAGCTAAGCTTCAAAGTTAATTTTTAAAATAATGGTATATTTAAAGGGAGAAATCTTTAATTTATGTTTAGCCTTTTGATTGTATATGCATTGTATCTAGCGTGGAATGGTTTTCGATGGATGCTAATAAAACATTTTTTAAAATATTTGAAATGCAATTATGAAATCTTGAATTGTGCAATTTCGACGATCTAGATTTAATGGAGAATTGAAGGCGCATCATTGCTATAATTATTATATCCAAATTTTAATTTGATATAGAGTTAGCAATCATTTTTCATAAAAGTATACGTTTAATAAAAAATCTCGTGTTGCCCAAGGTATTCAATTCTATCCCCGTGTTGCCCAAAAGTACTCAATATTTGAGAGAAATTGAATAGTTTACACCTGTGTTACACCCGTGTTGCTGCAAAAAAATAAAACCCAATTATTTGAGGTTTGTTAATGTTCGTAACAAAAGTTTGTTTATTATGAAAATGTAAAAGTAAATCATGTTTATCAAAGTGCGAATACTAGGAAATTGAATTTATTTTTCTCCATTAAAGTTTTGGCGCAGAAATTTATCAATAGGACTTGATCTCTGAACTATGTGAAGCTTTTTCACATGATTTTTCTGGTTAAAAATAGCATATGCCATAGAAAATTTTTTATTTTAATTTGATCTGTGCCGAAACAAAGCAAAACTTCCAAACAATTACTATATTCTTGGGGTTATATATAAATATGGAATTTGATTCGATTTCTGCTTATCAATAAATAAAATTCAATGTCTAAGATATGAGATTTCGTAAATCAGGTGATAGAGACAGCATTTATGATGTGTTGTTTAACTATAGTTTCATTAATTAATAATAAATCTTCTGTTATACTACGATTATTTATGGAGATTTGTCGATAAAAAAATAAATGGATTCGCATAAATTACCTCAATTCACAGCAGGATTAAAAGCATCTACATTCGAAACTGCTCAAGGTATTACTAATTATTACGATCTTGGATCTTCATCAAATAAGTCCATTGTTCTTGTTCCTGGTTATTTATGTTCAGCATTGATGTACAAAGATCTTGCTGAGTACTTAGTTTCACTCGCATACAGAGTTATTATGTATGATCCATACGGAACTGGTGGATCCATTAAAACTTCCAAAGATAAATACACTTTAGAAACAATGGTTGAGCAATTAAAATCATTGATAACAAATCTTTATTTAAGAGATGTTATTGTAGTCGGCTATTCTATGGGCGGACTGATTGCTGCAACTTATGCAAAGGAAAATAGCTCTAAAGTGTCGAAAGTCATTTTAATGATGCCAGCAGGATACAAGGTAAATCAAGGACCACAAACCATTACAATGATTATGAGAACACCTATTATTGGACCAAAATTCATGGATTATTTCTATCATTCAACAATTATGGATGCAATCAAAGTTAATTTTGTCCATCCAGAAGATCCAAAGTTTTCTGAAATCATCCAATTCCTTTACATGCACATTTATACATCATGGTGCTTAAATCCATCATTTTCTGAAGCAGCATGCGGAATTTTCCGTTTCATGAATGTTGAAGGACATCAAAAGACATTACAAAGCATCACAAAGCCTGTAACTGTTATTCTTGCAAAGAATGATATTGCAATTCCATTCCAGGACAATTTTGACTTCTGGTCGAAGGTTCCGAATGTTTCAGTGAACGTTCTCGATGAATGCGGTCACTGGGGAATCCACGAGAAGAGAGATGAAATGTTTGAGATTATTGACAAATCATTAGCTGTTTGAAGGTTTGTAAATAAACTGTATTTATATGTAGAAAATTATATTTTTATTCATAAATATTCTGTTTTTTTGTAAAATTCTTCTCAAGTTTTTTTGAATGTAATCACTTTTATCTTCTGAAGTTTACGACTCTTTTTTGTAATTGATAAACTCGTATAAGGAAACATTTGATATTGTAGGCAATTTAATAATTCATATCTTCAAGTGTATGTGTTCAAATCTCCTCACATTCAGCATTTTTCAACTATTGTCCAAGTCAATAAACTCCTTCTGAACATTATGCATAGTTTAAGTATAAAAATATCACATGAATTCATGATATTTCAAGAAGATATCCCTTCATATTTGCTTTCAGGTATCTCATAAAACTAGATAATATCATCAATGATGTATCTAAGTCAGAAACAAATCCAAATAGAAGAACTCGCTATGAATTAAACTAGTCTAACATCAATTTCTAAAACAAACTATTAATTGCTTTTAACTAAGCACTGAAGTGTTTATTCACCTAATTTCAAGGAGACCCAATGGTTTAAAAATATCCAATGCAAATATAAAATAAAATGTTTAACAAACAAAAAATAAAACAAAAATATATATTAAAAAAAGTTAAGTAAAAACAGGACTTTCAATTACGTAAGGTTTGACTATTTGAGCCTTTGGAGTAAAGTTATTTCCTCTTGGTGTTGTTGGGTTCTTCTTTGGCAGCAATTTCCTGTTCATCTTCAGCCTGGCGCTGAAAGGAGCTGGAGCAACAGTTGGAACATGAGGAGAAGCCAAAGCAAATCCTCCTCCAATGAAAAGTGTTTCAACTCTTGGCAATTTCAAAGGTGGAAGTTTGGGTGTTTGCAGTGTATCAGCTCTACTCATCTTATACGACATCTGGGAGTTCATTATCTTCTCATTCCTTAATTGGTCGCGTGCAGAAATCACTTCACTTTCTCTTTCAATTAAATTATTTTTATCGTCTTGGTATTTTTGGTCCATATTCATTAAATGGACTGTTTTTGTTCTCAGCTGTTGGTTCAGTGTGTCCATCTCCGTATGAGGGTCTATCCTGGAGTTATACACGTGTTTAACAAGTCTTTCGTATTCTTTTTTCAAATCTTTGACTTGTTTCTTCAATTTTTCGCAAAATCTGGATTTATTCCATGATTCTTCGATTATCTGATGCTTCATTCGTATCAATGCGTATTTCTCTGGGTCCGTGGATTCCATCATTGATACACTATGAACAAAACGAGGTTTTTCTAGCTCATTTTCCATGGCAGAACTAAGTTTTTTGTTGTATTCGAGTTCTGACTCCATTTTCACGAATTCTTTCTTCATGTTGATGGATTCGAGGGATTTCCATTGAAGTAATTGCTGTTTCTCGACTTCCCGCTGCAAATTGGCCTTCAAATCTTGGATTTCTTGAGATTTGTCAGAATATAACTTGTATTTGTTGTTTAAAGCAGCTTTTTTAAGGACAACGTCTTCTCTAACGACAAATAATGGCTTCTCTACATTGTAGATCTGCAAATGAAGCGATCTTATGATATTATTTATTTGATTAAGTTCTCTTTTGAGTTCTTCAATGGAAGTTTGGGCCATATCGAAGATCATTCGCTTCTGATCCTTTTCTTCCATCAAATTCTGGATTCTCTGGTTTTGTTCCTCGATATCAGAATTTAATTTTTCGATTTCGGATTCAAGTTCGTTATTTTCGTTCTCCGTTTTGAGTCTTATGAGATGTTCATCAGCAATCTTCACGTCAATGTCGTTAATTATGTTCTTATACCTATAAACTTCTTCTCTCTTCAAATGCATATCGCTGAGTATGTTTTCTTGGTCTCTGTTCATCTGTGTCAGTGTTGATTCAAGTCTGTGACACTCTCCAGAGATGCTTTGGTTCTGAGAACTCAAATTTGAAATTTGATTTCCCAAAATTTTGTAGTTTTTCGTGTTTTCGTCTATCTGCTTGTTTCTAACTGCATTGTTTGCGGCTAAGGCAGCTCCATTCTTGCGATCTAAGGCTGCTTTCGACTTAAATCTAAATGCTTCGTCTTCTAAGTTACTTCCGTATGTTTCGTCATTGAAATTCTCTTGTTTGAGCTTGAGTTTGTCTAATTCTGCTTTTCTGATCCTTTCACTCTCGGAATTTTGCTGATATTTAGATTTTTCGAGATCTTCTTCCAAATTGCCAACAATGAACTGCTGCTTGTCGGCAGTAAGTTGCTTAGCCTTAATAGACATGGATAAAGAGTTTTTGACCGTTTTTGCCTGTTGAATAATATCTCGATTTTGTTGGATCGCGTTTTGGTACTCATTCTTTACATTCTGGATCTCTGAGTGATATTTAGTTATTTCCTTTTGGTCATTTAGCAAATCTTCTTTCTCTTTGTTTAATAATTTCAAATCAGCTGGAAAAGTGCTTGCGATCATTTCCTGACGGTCGTAGTATCCTTGCTGCGCTTTAATAAGCTTATTGTAGTCATCGTTTTTCTTTTTAGTCATTCTTAAATTGATTTTTCCGCGATGTATTTTTTTATGGATTAAAAACCGTTCGTAATCGGTATTGTCTTGGTCCATGAGTAGCTTACGTTTTACTTCTTGATTTTGAGCGATTCTTTCTTGACTTTCTTTTATTTGGTTTATATTCTGCTTATATTTGTCAGTTAAGGCTTGTATTTGTTCATGGATGACTTTGGCTTCACTATTTGTTGAATTGAAGACATCTTCGTTGTTAGAAATTGTTGAATTTAGTTGATTTAAATCTTCTTGAACTAAATCTAATTCTTCTTTCGTTTTGGATGCTTCTTTAACTAAACTGACTCCTTCCGTTCTCATTGACTCGATTTGTTTTCTCATATTTTCCATATCTTCATTATTCTTTTTAATTTCAGCTCTAATCTTCTCAATATCACTTGTAACATCTTGCTCTGATACTTCCCTTGTCGCTGTAAAGTTTTTTGTCTGTTCTACTAAGTTTGATAACCTAAAAGTTTCTGCTTTTAAATTTTCAATAATTATGACTGTTCTTCGGTCATTTTCTTCACTCTTTGATACAATCTCCCACGCTCTTTCAAATTCGTTTCTTAAATTGTTGATTGTAGTTTGATCTTCTTGACTCAGCTTCAAAACTTGCGCAATTTTCTCTGCATTCTGTAAAATGTCATTGTTAAGAGCAGAGCACTTCTCAACAAGTGATTTATTATGTTCTTGTGATAGAATTAACGCGTTATGTAACTCTTCGTAACTGTTTCTGAACTTTTCGAGCGATTTGTCTTGGACAATCTCGTTGATTACTTGATGAAAGTTCTTTTCGATCTCTAAAAAGCTGTCCTGGTCAGCGAGATCTTCTTTTCCAGGATCTTTCGACATTTTTTTGTTTTCTTTACAATTTTGGAAACTTTACAAAATCTGTTACTAATCTACTTTGATTTGTTTTATGTATAATATCATATTCTGTAATAATGAATCAAAATATTTGCTTAAATACTCGATATCTTCTTTATTTCAGGAAATTTTACATTCAATCAGGGAAATATTTAAGAAATACGTCCTTGAGAGAAAGCCATTATTGATGACTAGCATAAATAGAGATCAGACTCTGCAGTAACATGTTGATACGAACTTCAAATGTGGTAAACCAAATTCAAAGTCTGCCTTAATTTGAAAAATATGATTGAATTTTAAGATAAAAAAAATGCTTTTAATTAGAACAAATCAATGTTAAAAATCTACACCTTCTGACATTGCATATTGAATACAATATATATTAAGTGCCTTGAAAATTGTAGGATCTTCAATTTGTTGGGCAATATCAAGAGGAATATTTCCATTATTGTCCTTGATTAATGGATTTGCATTAGTATTGAAAAATACCATAATCATTTCCTTTCGATCTAATTTAGCTGCATAATGGAGGGCAGTCATTCCTGTTGTTGGAGATTGCTCATCAATATCAGCTCCATTTTTAATTAAATGAATTAAAGCATTGAATTCGTTGTATTTTACAGCTTGGATAACTTTTGGTTCATTCTCATCAAAGTCCGATGGAATTTGATATCCAAGTGATTTATAATATGAAACAAGGTCATCATGTCCTAAAATAAGAGCCAATAATGGTGGTTCATTACCATTTTCGTTCTTCCAATTGATTGAGGCGCCATGAGAAACAAGAGATTTGACTAAATCCAAATCATTAATTATTGAAGCCAAGTGCAATGTGGAGTAATCATCGGCAATTGATACATTTGCACCTTTCTGAATTAGAAAGTCGGCAATTTTTGTTTTTCCGTGAATTAATGCAACTAAGAGTGGAGTCTTTCCAGATTCGTTTGTTGCATCAATATTGGCACCATGAGACAAGAGGAATTCTGCGGCCTCCACATTTCCTCCTGCGGCCGCATAATGGAGAGGTGTTTTTCTATTGTTTGTTTCCAAATTGAGATTAGCATTTGCCTGTAAAAGTGGTTCTAGTAAATAATTTAATCTCTTGTATTTGGCGGCATCATGAATGGCAGATTTTCCTTTCTTGTCTTGAATGTTAACGTCTGCTCCATTCTCGATAAGATAAATGCATGTATCAGGTTGGTTATAGAAAATTGCTTTCAAAAGAGCAGTTTGACCTTCATTATTTTGAATGTTTAAATTGATGTTATGATTCATGAGGAATTTAATCATTTCGAGATTGTTTTTCTGGGCACAAAAATGAAGTATTGTTTCGTCGTCCTCATATTGAGCATTGACATTAGCTCCGTGCGAAATTAAAATTTTGGCAACATCTTCACTACCGCATTGAACCGCAACCATGAATGGTGTAGCCCCATTGTTATCTGTTATGTCGATTGTTGGAACTTTTGAAACTAAATACTCTGCAACATCTTGACAATTTTTCATACCAGCACTATGCAAAGGTGTTTCACCATGAGATCCTTTGGCAATAATATTTGCCCCATGAGATAATAAAAACTCTGCTGCTTTAACATTGTTATGAAATGCTGCAATGTGAAGTGATGTAATTCCGTATGATCCGATTGCATTAATATCTGCTCCATGATTAAGGAGTATTTCAGCAACCTCAAAGTAGTTATTGCTTGTTGCAATTTCAAGACAAGTCTTATCATCTTCATTGGTTGCATCTAAATCCTGGATGCCGTCAATTATCTTCAAAACTTCTTCTTTGTTGTTATCCGAAACAGCTTTGAATAACAATTTGATGCCTTGTTTATTGGAGGAATGAGCGGATTTTCCCATGAATAAAAATGAAATCAAAAAAAAATTTTATTTTTGAGAAGTACTGAAAATTTTTTGTATTTAGATATGAAAATGTCCTTTAATATTTATAATTTAACATATATTTTCAATATTGTCTCTTCATATCCAATAAATTTTGAAAGTCGCACAATTTTTGGACACATTTGATTTTCTTAGAATAATTTCATTCCAAATTGGAGTCGAATGAGAAAAAATTATTTAAAATAAGCCCTTTCAATTTTTGTGTTTTGAAAAATTTTTATTGTCGAAAAAGTGACTTTCAAAATTTGACACAAAAAAAGGGTACCGACAATAATGGCAATGGGAATCAGTTAGGGTATGACATCAAATTTTATTACATGATACAACTAGGATTTTAAAAATTTATACAAGATTTGCCTGAGAAAGAAGAAGAGGCCGTTTAATATTTATTTTGTCACTTTTACATCGCTCTTACCAAAATGGAGGAACTTGTTAAAGGATTGAGAGAGAGAATAGAAGAATTAGAAAGAAATGAAGAGGAAATGAAGCTATTTATTTCAAAGTTGACAAGTGATAACTTGTCGCTTGTAACAGATGCAGCTCATGCAGCAGCTCTGAGAAAGCAACTAGAAAGTCTTTTAGCTGATAAAAATCTCATTAAGTTGAAAGCCTATACATCATCTGGTATGGATTTAGAGGCAGATTCCATTTTGGAAAAGAAAAATCAAGAATTGTTAGAACATATTCAAAAAATAACAGCAGAAAGAGATTCATATGCGCAAGATGCATCCGAAAAGAAGTTTTTTGAAGAGGAAATTCAGAAAAAGAACAACGAAATCATCTCATTAACGCAACAACTCTCTGTATCTAAACATAATGTTGAAATTCTTCAAGTCCAATTGAAATCTCAGTCATTTGATTCTGCAGAAAACCCAATAGAGACAGAAACACAAATTAACCATTTAAACGAAGAAATATTACAATTACGAGACTTACTTCAGAAAAAAGCTCAAGAACTTGGTGCTGCCCAAGCCCAGAATAAAGAACTTACTCTCAAAAATTCAAAATTGCAAGATCAAATTCATCAAAACGAATTAATGCTCTCTGTATTGAGTTCAGAAAATAAAATGCTTTCTGGCGAAAATTATGACAAAAGCATAGTAGAAAATCACGCTCAGCACTTGGCAAATAAATATTTGAATGATTTGTACGGAAAAGTCGATAATCTTGAAAAGAAAGCGTCATCTTTGACAACAAAACTTCTTACTTTATCTAACATGCCAATATCATCTCATAAACAAGAGGATTTGGACGAAATTAATGATTTAAAGGAACAATTAGCAGAAGCTGAAGAAAAAATCCAAGATTTTGAAGAAAATGACTATGCCCCAAAGTATGCTGCAGCTATGACTCGCATTAAGGAATTAGAAAGAAGACTTCAACAATATGAAAACTGATTTTGTATTTTTTTGTTTTGTTTAAATGTATTTGTTTGTATTATATGACTACTGTCAAATAATTTAATATTTTTGCTTAGACTTTTATTCAAACATCATATTATAATTGAATTTAGTTATTTACTTAAATATGAGAGTAAAATACCTGAACAGATTGCCTCATTAGTATCTTAAAACAATAATGGCAATATTTTTAATGTTTATTGCTGATAATATCCTGAAGTATATGTTTTCGATTGTGTTTTAATAAAACAAACAGAAGCAAACATGGTATAATATAGTTTGGAATGCTTATACTTAGAATGTTTTTCACATTGGTTAGAAAAATTCTTAAATAAATATTAAAATTTTTATTCAAGAATCGATTTTTGCACCAAATGAAACAAGAAGATTAATCATTTCACTCTTATTCTCAAGCACAGCAATATCAACAACAGTTTTTCCACTATTATTTTTTTCATTGATATTTGCACCGTGTTTAAGAAGAAGTTCGGCTGTTTCTTTATTATTATTTTTTATTGCATAAAAAAGCGGGGTGTATCCTATCATATCCTTTACATTGATATTTGCACCATGAGAAAGAAGAAGTTCAGCTGTTTCTTTATGATTATTATATACGGCTTCATGAAGAGCTGTTCTATATGCAGTGCCTTTTTCATCAATGTCTGTGCCACGTGAAATGAGAAATTCGATCATTGTTTGATTACCTTGAGCTGCTGCAAGCTGAAGAACCGAAGGACCACGATTACATTGTTTTTCGATACTTGCACCGTTTTCAAGAAGTAATTCGACTTTTTCTATATAACCATATGATACTGCAAGATGAAGGGCTGTTTTATTTTGATCATTTCTTTCTTCGACATCTGCACCATATGAAATAAGAAGGTTGTCTATCTCTATATCACTATTATGTGCGTTCTTATGAAGTACTGTATCATTTTTATAATTTTTTGCAAAGAGATTGGCATCATGTGAAAGAAGAAGCTCAACGGTGTCTTTACTATGGTACCATGCTGCTCTATGTAGAGGGGTTTCTCCAATACCATCAATTGCTTCAATATTTGCGCCATGTGAAAGAAGAATCTCAGCTGTTTCTTTACTATTATATGCAGCTGCAATATGAAGGGGAGTTTCTTTATTAGTATCTTTTTCTTCAATATTTGCGCCATGTGAAATAAGAAGCTCAGCTGTTTCTTTATTATTATGTTGTGCTGCAACATGAAGAGCAGTATTTCCATATTTATCCTTTTCATTGATATTTGCTCCAAGTGTAATAAGAAACTCGGCTGTTTCTTTACTATTATATTGTGCTGCAAAATGAAGAACTGTTTTTCCATATTCATCCTTTTCATTGATATTTGATCCATGTGAAAGAAGAAGCTCAACTATCTCTTTGTTATTATTACATGTTGATATATGAAGAGCAGTTCTTCCGTCCTTTCCTTTTCCACTGAGATTTGCACCATGTGATAGAAGGAATTTGATGATTTCATTATTATTTTCACCTACAGCATATATAAGAGGTGTTGCTCCATATACTATTGCATTGATATTTGCTCCCTGCGAAACAAGAAATTCAACTAATTCTTTATTATTTGTTTCAATTGCAAAATGAATGGCTGCTTTTCCATTTTGATTTGTTGCATTGATATTTGCACCGAGTGAAAGAAAATATTTGCAAAGTGATGAAATATCAAATATCGGTGAATATACAAAGCAAGTGTTAAAATCATTTGTTTGATCGAAATAAACAAAAAATGATTCAAGATTATAATAATCTCCACAATCTAATAAATCGATTTTAAGATTGTATTCATTCATCAAGAATGTAACAAAATCAATGTTGTGTGAAATAATTGCAAACTTCATGCATTTTTCATCTGGCTTTTGATATTTCAGACATTCACTCATGATTTCTTGATTTCCTCCTAAAAATGATAATTGAAGACATCTTTTAGTAACTTTTTCGTGAAATTTCGTTATTAACAACTTGAAACAATTAACTGAACCGTAGTAACAACATACTTCAAAAATTGAAAGCGAATCTTTTAAATTCGCAAATAAATCGTTCCATGTAGTTGTATGATCACGAAAACCTTCTGTTTCTGTGAATGTGATGAATCTTTGTAGGTCATCATACATAATGGCTCTAAAAATTGAATTTTCTGAATAAATTTCGAGATCTGGTGATTCATTTCTTTCGATTTGAGCAAAATTTCTAATTGTTTGTCCGTATTCTTTGCAAAATAGATATTTGGAATTTTTATGAATACCTTTGACATCTGTTACGTGATATTCATCGCAGATGAGTTTGGCAAGTTTCAAATATGACTTTGCATAGCGATTATTATATGGAATGATATTTAAAATATCTCTAACAAGATTATTGAGAAGACATTTCTTTGAATCTATCAACTCTGTTTTGATCAAATTGTAAATCGAGTTTAATCCTTCTACATTTTCCGTTTTCAATTGGTATAACGCAGTATACGTATCAATGTAGCATTTATATGTACTTCTCAATTCACTGAATTTATTTGGATGAGTGACTTGATCAGACATTAAAAATATTCAAAGAACATATCCATTTAACAAATTGAATTTGTTTATGTTATTAGGAAAATAACCATATCATAGATATGGGAATCAATAACTGCAAAATTTCGGATATAATTTTTGAACATTGATGAAGTTTATCGATATATTGTGACAATATTAAAGTCGATATTAATAAGATATTCATCAATAATCTACGTTCATTATTAAACGATTCAAATTATTCTTTTGTCATTACGATCTTGAATTGCTAACAGAAATACATTCTTACTTCTCTCAGGTAGCTGTAAAACTATTTTTGTAGAAAGTAGACAAATACTAATAAATTTTGATGATTCCGACTGTGATGAATCAAACTCTTACGATGATTCAGATTAGTAATGGAATAAAGATTAATTTTGATGATTTAGACTAATTATTTATGAAAGATTAATTCTCATGATCGGGAATTTTAATGTTATAAAAGATTAATTGTAATGACTAAGACTAATTATTGATTTATAAATAAAAATAAACATAATAAAAATAGAATTATGCATAATAATCAATCAGATATTGTTTGGAACTGGATTGATGATTTGACAACTTTCTTCCTTCTAAGTAAAAGGACAATTATCGAAATAATCAAAGCAATAATGAATGCAGAAAGGAATGTAATTACAACAATTGAAACTGTTGCCCATCCTTTATCATAACTCTTATTAAATTTGAGGTGAATTGAAGAGTTAACAATTGTTGGAGTTGAAACAATTCGATCTTTACCAGAAACGAATTGATCATTGACTAATATCAATTTACTCATCCATACTTCACAGTTTTCTGGTGTTCCTGCTTTAACAATCGAAAGATTCTGTAAATTATCAGGATCAACAAGTTCAAGATCAGTTATATAAACTTCAACTAATAATGGAAAAGATGCCTTATAAATAGTTATTTTGTGAATTGCACTTCCAGCAGAAACAGAAGGAATAACTTCAATTCTAATGATTGCGTTACTGAAATCAACATCATCTGTTAATAATGTTGATGTTGCTGGTACTTTAATGATACCTGTGACAACAGCAGATTTCAAAATAACAGAAAGATTTCCATCCAAAATTAAAGAATTAATTGTTGGTCTATAATCCAAATTATAATGCATGAAAGTAAATGAAATATGCTTATGAACAAAGAAAGATCCGAAATAAACAGAAGTTTGTGATGATATTTGTAACTCAAAGAAAGATAAATCGAATTCTTGATCAGGGAAAAAGATTGTTCGACTACTTGCTCCAATATGTAGCTTCGAAACTTTGGTGAATTTGAATGGCAAATAAGAAATATTTGTCTTCAAATAAATAGTTTGATAATTAAAGAACTCAATGTTCTTATTAATCCTGTAAGTATCAAAATTATACATTGTATCAATACGAATAGTACAATATGGCTTTTCAGCAACGAAATGGAGATTTCCTTGAAGAGAATCAATTTCTTCTTTGATCTGTATATTCAATGTTTCAGCGGAAAGAATGAAATTAATATAGGGTGTCCAAAGGTGTGTTTAGCACAAACCTGAATACTGCGAATAGAAATAAACAAGTTACATATATATAAAGTTTATTTAAATATAATCACCATTGGATTCAATCACGCGTTCGCAGCGATCGATCCAGGCTTCAAAGACACGCTTTAAATCATCATGAGAAAATTGCTCAAATTGCTCTCTTACAAAATTTTCAAGATCATCTGGACTCGCGAATTCGCGTCCTTCAGCTCTCTTTTTTAGCGTGCCGAATAAATAAAAGTCAGAGGGTGCAATATCAGGTGAATAAATTTGGTTTGGAACAACTTTGACATTGTTTTCCACCAAGTAATTCATTACCTTATGACTTTTGTGAACTCTTGAATTATCAAAATGAATTGCAAACTTTTGTTTTTGTTGTTTGGATTTCTCAAACTCATCAGAATTGATAATTTGAGTAAGAACATTGTCAATTAGATACTGAGCATTCATCGTATTAGGTTTTTGAAGAATATCAATTGCGATGATGCCATTCACGCCCCAAAAAACCGACAACATCATCATTGGTGTGTCAATTTTTTTCTTCGGGAATGTTTGCGGATTTTCATCCTTCGGGATCCACATGATTTTGGCTTCTGTTGCATATTGAAACCAAGACTCGTCCCCTGTTACTAAAAAGCGAAACTTCTTGGATTGATACGCACCCAATATAGAGAGGGGCTCTTTCGAAGATTGGACTCTAGATTTTTTTTGAACTGAATTAAGGTTGTGCGGAACCCAACGTGTATACGCTAGTTTGTAGTTCAAATAATTGTGCAGATAATAACTGACTGTTGTACGTGGTATCTTTGTCATCTCCTCTATCCTTCTGAGTGATGCTCTTGGTCTTCATCTAGCGCTTGAAGAATTGCTTTGATTTTTCTTTGATCCGGCGATTTTTTGTCAATTTTTATGATGGCGCCTTTTTGTTCATGAAGTGATACATCCTAACATGATACGTTACAGTGGAATAGCTAGGAGCATCCATACCGAAGCATTTACCAATGTCTCGTAGATTTTTTACAGTCTTTGCATTTTTTTGCAAGAGCGAGGATGTTTTCTTTATGATTCATTAAAAAAATGAAAAAAATCCCGCAAAAATTTCCCGCGAAACCGCCTCTTGTCTCAAAATTCATTTTATATCCCGGCATGGCGCCAAAATACAACATACTCATCATATACATATATTCATATTTTTTATTATATATTTATAATCAGCATATATCTCCTTTAATAGTCTCATATAGAGCGCTGTGCTAAACGCACCTTTGGACACCCTATATTCTTGAGTCTTGCAGTATCAGCTGAATGAGTATTAAAAGAAACAGTTGAATTTGTGAGTCTAACAATAACAAAATTATGATAAATAATACAATTAATAGTCTTAAATGAATCTATGTGTCTATCTTTGAGTTCAGACATATCTATTGTTAATTTAACATCAGAGAAATTGAAAAATTTATATGTGTTTTCTGTCAATTTCGATTCTTGTAACAAACTTAATTGTTTGATTGAAAATTCTTTGGATTCATCCAGAGGATCAATATCTAAATTAACATTAGATAAATTAAGACATTTGATGTATGTACCAAGAGTTTTCGTGTGTCGAAGTGTTATATCTATTGTATGATCTGCAATAGAATTAATTGTTACATCAACTTCTGATTTAAGAGGTTCAAAATCCAAAGCAATTGTCAATGAAGAAGAAATAGAGAAATTAATTGTTTCTGTTTCTCTTGTTAACAAATTTACCCATTGCGAGAAGTTGTCATGACTGAAAAAGAAGTCATGGCCTTTACAAACATCATAATTTCCATAAGCATCATAACAAATATCAATATCTATTTCTCTTGGCGAATTCTTGTAATAAATACCAAAACATGATTGTTCTTCACTTATTTTTTCACAAACATAATTAAAATTGAATTTCATTTGTGTCTGGATATTCAATTTATAATGCATATCATAACAAGATAAATTATGAGAACATTGTATCCAAAATCTCTTGTTTTTGTTCTTTTGTATTGTTTCTTCATCTGGAAGAACATTTCTATAAAACAATTCAATCAATGAATTATTAATTAATGAATTATTCGTGTACAAACCTGTTGGTTTTATTAATGATGGCTTGAAATAATAATGAACATAATGCTGTAGATGAATAGCACTCGATTTAACTGATGCATCTTCAAGAGTTATCATGTCATCTGCAATTAAATCAAGATTTTTAGGTTCAAAAGTCATTGAATTCCTGAATTGAAGATTAGAAACTCTTATTGGTTGGTATTCATTACAACTTAAATCAGGAGGACTAACAATAATGATTTCCCTGCAAAGAATTGGTGGATGATCAATAACTGTTTCAATTCTAACAACACCACCATCGAATTGGAACCCGTAGAAGAAAACTTGTGATGAATACATGATGTTGAGTGTTGTCTTAACATTGGTTAATATCTTAAATGGAACGTAAGTGACACTTGTTCCAAATACTAATGATCCATGAGTAACATCAACTAAAACAGCATTAGAAGTGTCTAATGCGATACTATATATGACGGTAATGAGGCTGTCACCACCTAATGTGATGAAAATAACAGCAATCGATGAATATTCTGACATCCAATAATATTGTATACTTGATTTGGGTTCTTCGATGTTTAATTCGATTTCTTTAGAGTTAATAAACAGTAAATGAACTAAAAAGTTGGCTGAAGCGTAGTTTAAACGTATTTCTGTTTGATATACTGATAATTGGCAAGATTGATCATCGAAAATGACTCTGGAGAGACGATTGTTGTGTTCAGGAAACTTTTCTAAGTATAAATTAACTGATTTCTCCGCAGGATACGTAATATTTGGTTTATATATTATAACTGAGTGAGTATCGACTCGTTGAAAGTCCGAAATATCGGTAAACGTAGTTTGTAATTGGTTTAGAATCTGTAATCGAACTTTTGTGTTGATTTGGTGAGTTGTTATATTAAAAATTGTCAATAAATCTAGACCCATTATAGATATGTCGTGAGTTGATCTAAATGTAATGTCTGCGTTCGATATTAAAAGGTTGGATGATGAAACAAAATTTGATTCGGGAATTTCTATCCAAGGTTTACCGGTAATGCCGAAAAAAGGTGCTTCCAATCGATCTAAATATAGTATAAATTTTGTCGAATTGGAGTTAAACAGTCGAAATTCGACATTATCATAGTATAAATATTGGTACATATCTTCGGAATTGTTTAAAATTGTCTCATTTTCATAGCATATGCTTTGGGGATTGTGATCCGCATAGCAAAACTTTCCTGAAAATACACCAATAAGAAAAAACGAAAGCATTTAATTTTAAAAATCTGTCAAAAAAAGTGAGTGATTTTAGATCTTTTGATGTGTGATGTTTTTTACATTAATGCTCATATGTCAACGTTTTTCAAGAACATTGTTTTCACTTCATTATAATGTTTGATTTATCACAAAATTAACCTTCGGATCCAAAAAACTTAGAAAAACTCGATATTATAAAGAGCACATTCTTATCTTACACATGATTGAGATTTTTTTCGATTTCAAAGATCAAATCTATTCTGATTTTATTCGTATTAGTGAAATATGAATAAATATAAGATGTTTTGAGAAAATCAAAGATCATATCAGTATATCTTTGAACATTCTTATATATCTATGATATTTCCCGAAATGAATTTACTCATAATTTTGAAGAATAGTGATCAGTAGTTCAATTTAGAGGGGTTTTATTATTAATTTGAACAATGATATTTCATTACTAATGTGTGTTTGTTCTAATAGTTCTCTCTTTTGCTAATTCAAATATAACCAAAATGAGTATGTGAACGAGGCAAATATTTCCTTGTTATGTTATAGTCTAGACCAAAATATCACAATAGGATTATGAGAACATGAATAAATATATGTTTCTCATGGTCGATAAATATAATTTTGATATGTTGATCTAAAAACCTATAACAGAAGAAATTATATATCATTGTATCAAAGGACATGGCATTGTACCTATTTATCTTAAAATGATATTGAAAATGCAAAGATTAGAGAGTGTTAACCTTGTTTGTATAATTAAAATAGGATACTATGGAATAGGAGAATGTTAATATGATATGAATGCTGATGTATTTTAAAAAGATGTTGAAAAATCCAATCGAATAAACTCAAGACTGATATGAAAACAATACTGCAGATGACAAAAAATTTATGCATTAACTTTGGATACAATATTTTACATTTAGAAGTCAATAATTTATAACTTTCATTCTTCCAATTTGAACCCTCTTTTCTTAATTATATTTAGATTAATTTCGTTACTATTTTAGCTATACAAATCCTTTTCTCTTATTTAATTTATTCTTATAAATGTTTATCTTTCAAAATTTTTGATTTTTTTCTCAAAATGGTTATCTAAGATAGAAAACAAAAAGAATAAGAGTTGGCTTTGCTGCTTTTAATGACATTTTGTTCGTTTTCTCAACTCTTACAATGAAATATGCTCAGTATTGGTTTTTTCAATAAGTATTCAAAAGTACAAAGATCGAGAAAAATAGTAATAGTTATATTCAACATGCATCAGTAAATGAATTTTCCTTCTCGATATCTTGAAATGCATGTAAAAAAATCGTCTGACCTAATGACAAAAATAGTATTCAATGATCAATGCAAAATATTATCAGGCAATTATGGTCTTAAAAACAGAAAAAAATTCTATGTTCACGTAAAGAAAATTTTGCAATTTTTGAAAGAAGGGATCAAATCAACAAGAAATTTTTCAGAGTCTAATTTTTTTATTTAGTACACATGCTCAATAAATGGTATTTTAGAGGGAAAAATGTTCAATGAAAATAAATTTTAAATAAGAGGTAGGGCAACGATAGAAAATTTTTGGAAAAAAAGTTCGGAGATCTTAAACGTATCATATTCCCTGCATGGTTTGGTATCTTCCGCCATGCGTTGTGCCAAACATATTGACACTTTCCAATAATTAATTTATGGTATGAGTCACAGAGTTAGATTATAAAAAGAAAGTAAATAATTGCAATTAGAAATCATATATGTCGGAAATCAAATGTTGATGAGCAGAAACCTTTTACTCATCATAAAAGAGATAAATCACTAAAGATTTGTATACATTAAAATTTGATATTTGGTGCTCGAAAACTGTCTGATGGGACTCCTCCAAAATGAACCAATCTATCGCTGAGGACCAAATTAGATGATGTGGATGGTGTATTCTCTAATTCTAACTTAGGAAGAATGGGAAAAAACGAATGACGACAACAAGTCAAACATAGATTAAATATCTATGAATCAATAAAGTATATGTGCATTGAAGGTGATAACGATCACTTGAGGCTTATAACTCTTTGACTAAATTATGCAATAATTAAATATAATCATTTTTATATTTTTATACTGATAGTAATTAATATACTATCCTGCTTAATAAATGGTATGATCAAATTTGTTTGAAAATTTAATTATGTATATGAAACTATGTCTTCTATATAAAAATCAAAATTTTCGGACGAACGTAGATTGAACCTTTATGAAAATCTATCATTTTTGTTAATTGAGTTAATATGAATCTTTTACATATGTATATATAGCATTGATAGCTTATATAATCATGGTTTATTCCATATTAACATATTTTTTCAGTTAAATTTGTTAATAATATCATGTAACAAATTAATTCAAGATTAGAATGTCTAAAAAATGCTAACAAATAAGAACAAAATACGATTTCTCGACTTAAATTTTAATATGGAGTAGTTTTTCGTTTAAATCTAATTAAAAATGAATAAAAACTTATCTTGTACTATTTTCATTCAAAGATTTTAATAATGTAAATCATGCATTTTCATAATTCAGTACAGTTCTTTTTAGAATTAAAGTTGATGAGGATGATATTTGTGATTTAAAATAATTTGTTAATGTTCACTTTTATTCATCACCTTGTGGTATGCCCTAAAGCAATAGCATTATCAATTCTGCTGAATTGATCAACTCAAAATTCCAAAAAAAATTCAAAATTTCAAAAATGAAATTAAACAATTTGAATTTTCACATGAAAAAATCAATTTCGAAAAAAATTTGGAAAATCAAAGTATTTGATAATTAGTCAAATAATCAATTTACATCGTTTTTACTCATAAAAAACAACTAATTTTTGATTTTGATATCATATTTGATAAATACTCATTCCAGAGTTGACGTAATGTATTAATTATTGTTAGAGATATTGCTTTCGCAGCAAAATTCTTATTTCATGAAAAAAAAAAAAATGATTTTATTCCAACAAAAACAAGTAAACAGATGAATGGAAACGTACTATATTTTCATAAATGTAGTAATCAGCGTGTCGGCTTTTGTTTATCATGTTCGAGTCAAAATGTATTAACTGTAATAAGAAATATTCGAAGATTATATGAAGTATTGAGCATTCTTTGTAGAAATATTTGTAATTCATTACTAACATATATAATCAAGTTGTTTTTTTTTCCTTATTGCAATAATTTTGTCTGATTTTAATAACTTTTCATGTATACGAGTTGTGTGAATATGCATCATAATATGCGTAAATATACTTATTTGCGACGAATAATGTGGTTGCATAATGGAGGTGCTAAATTTTGATTTTTAATATGGGGCTTTGGTATGTATAATCATGTTCTTATCTCAACGTAGGAGTATTGGTGCAATATGATTAAAATTTACGAGGTTGATCTTAAATTGAATAATTCTGGAGTATAAATCACAATGCAGCTAATTCTATGTTAAAGATAGATACAGATTGTAGTAATCAATTAGGGAGTACAAATTCATTCTTTCATTTCTGTCGTATTGAGCAGAAAGGAAGAGATCATAACCCTAGGAAAAAAAGCCCAAATTTGTCACTTTTCATAGTACGTTAAACTCAATTCGCTCGGCGAATGCCGAGCACACGTACTCATCATTCAACATAATATTCTCATTCTTTGGTTATTATAGTGCCAGACAACACAAGATTTCAAAGAATTACTTGAGTTTTCAATTAATCTTAATCCGATTTTAGATTTATCGAGAACTCCATCATCACAATCACATACTTCAGTGCGGTAACTACAATTATCCATATACAGAAGGAAGTTCTTTTCGAACAACTCATTTGGAGTCTGTTTTGGAAAGAACTTCTTTCTGTCCGACTTAATTTCATAGTTCCTGATCAACCAAAAGACAGAAACCACACACTATCTACTTAGGAAAGGAGTTCTTTCTAAATCTTCCTTAAATTGAGATTTTACGAGAGATAACCCTTCTATTGCACTTAAAAATGAACATTTTGATATCTTTAGTATCACACAAGGTCATATATAGTATTTCATCTACATGAATACATTCATCTTTCGAAGTCTCTCATTAAATGGGAGGCTTCGAAAGATGAATCGTTTTATTCATACAACTTTAAATCTCGAACACATTTAGAGAGTGAGTATATCATTTTATTCTTGTTTTGAGTTTATTCTGATTCAAAATTGCAGTGAAAACAGAAGTTCACACATCATATCTGAATGTGAGCTCATCTATACTTATACGATCTCAATACCTCCACTCTAAGCATAAGAGGTGAAGTTATATAAAAATTATCAGATGCGTTGAAGTCTCAAAAGTATTGCCTGAATGCTTGTTTCATATTTGTCCAAGTAGTTTCAATGAATAAATGTATTGTTTTTTATAATTTCGATTTATTTTTAGAAAATATTCAATATAAACCTTTATTGTGTTATTTACATCTCATAAATTCTCTGTATAAATCATATAAAAGCGCGTTTTACCCCTATGAATCAAGAAATTCATTCAATATTCATGGTATATTTATTAAATTTATACGATTTACTAATAATCAATATTATATCCTCATAAATAGCAATATATTTTGGTAATCTATGATAATCATATACAATATTTGAAATCAAATTTTCATTAGTTTAGGTTCCTTGTTAATAGTAAACCATTATATTTATTACTAATAAGAAAATCTATGTGTCGTATTGAAATTCAATAAAATTACTTATTCGGTCCAAAAAAACAAATTAGATAAAATTTTTCTTTTTTTATGTAATTTTTGTTTTTCATTTTTCTCAAGATCCTAAGTTATGTTCTAACTTTTGACATCATATCCTATCATGCTAGGCTATATATTATAGCATATCCAAAAGGCAAGGAAATCTATCAGAGAAGCCTTTTTGACCTATCGTTGCCCTACCTCTATTCATCCTACTTTTGAGATTCTATTATTACATTCTGTGAATATTTTCGAATCATTGTAATATAATTTTTTAAACTACATTTTATACTATCAAAATTGAGTCAATAACAATTCAATATGAATTCAAAATTGAGAAAATTTTACTGTGGTATCTTCAGAAATTGATTAAGTTTCATATCATCAGTAATATATGAGAACCAATTTATTTGGATCGATATTCAAAATATAAATTTGAAGGGCAATTAAGTTAAATGCTTTCATTGCTCTTTTTTATTGCATCCAGAAATAGAAAGGAGATAATAACTGTAAATAGTGATGCTACAAAGACTTTCGAACCATGGATATATAAATTTACTTTAAATGCTGCAGCTGGAGGAACCGGATGTCAACGAAATACTCAAAATACATTTGGAGGCAATGGTGCACAAGTTAAGGCTTCATTGCTTTTTATTCAAAAAACCACTGTCCGATTCATAATTGGAAAAAAGCCCATAGGAGGTTGCATACTTCAAAACGTTGGAGGACATCCAAATGGGGGAAATAGTGGAAGAGATACTAATTTCTTAGCTAATGATGCCACTGGTGGTGGAGGGGGAATGACTGCAATAATGATAGATAATGATTTCATATTGATTGCAGGAGGAGGTGCAGGAGGTGCTGGTATATACAATGGATCTCATGGAGGTGGTTTTAAATACACAATGCGTGTTAGAGTTTCAGATCAGGTCCCTGAATATGATAAAAAATATTTTTCTGACAAGAATAAAGGTGGAGATGGTGAGAGTGGTCGCAAAACTCCAGGATCTGGCGGTGGTGGTGGATGGCCTGGTGGAAAAGGAGGAGAAAGTCATTCCAAATTAAAGCTTGAAGTTTGTGGTTTTGGAGGAGTTTCAGGGTACAATGAAGCATATCAATATTATCATAAAAGACCAGAAGCAATAGATGGAAGGTTTACTAACAATAACGGGGATGGCTCTGCAATTAGGGTTGTTAGATTCCCGACGATAGGTGTCTTGGAAGATTTGCCTGGTGTCATCATAGTGTCTTTAAATCAAAAATTTTATTTTGGAGTTAGTTTTATTGATTTTTCAATAAAAAACATTTCTAAAACAAGAAAATAAAACGATAAAATATTTATATTTTATATAATGATCTTATATATTTAAAATAAATATCATTTTATTTTTTTCATTGGTGTCTGTCAAACCATAATACACTATTCAAAAATTCAATGTGTCTTGCGGTTTCAAAAGACACCTTCAAATTGAACGATAGCACAGACACTATTGAATTTTACCCATTTTATTTAGTTTTTACCCTTTTTATTTTTAAGAATTAATGACTGAAACAGCCGTTTTGCTATGACCTCAATCACTTTTATTTATTATTTTAAATATTATTTAATTTTATTATTTGAATAGGCCAACTTATATTTGAGAAGCTCAATTTGAGACCACTTAATACATTGAAATATCATAAATATTGAAATATTAAAAGTGTATTTCAAAATATTGAAATTATAAAAATTTATAATACTGAAATTGGGACAAATTAATAAATTCAATGTGTTTTTTTTGAAATAACTCTCAAATATTATTTTTTTGTTTATTTAATGATGAATAAATATGATTGTTTTAGTCAATCATAAAAACTAATTTAAGTTTAAAATAATGAAAGGATAATTTGATCGTTTTTTAAAATACAATTATTTTTGATGATTTGCAAGAATCTTTGAAAACAATATAATATATGTTCTATTTTTGTAAAATTTATCCAAATCATGTATGACATAAATTATGATTAAAACGATGAAAGAACCAAAAAGTGTGTTTTGTGTTTTGTTGTTGCGTGTTGGATGCGGGATCCTGTTATTTCCGAAATCGACAAAAAATTTGGAAATTTAATTTCCGAAATCGAAATTATATTAATGTTTTTAATATTCTTATATCAAACGGATTAAAGTTCATTAAGAGAAAAACAATTGTAACATTTAGAGTGATTAGGGATACAGTTCCAGAAAATAATCGTAAGCCAAGAAAGATTTTAGTCGCATCTTCAATGTATATGTCTTTTGCAGCCTCAAATTTGTTTTAATTATTTGTATTAACGTAATAAAATGATTTATTTCAATCGTTTTTGTTTTATATATGCCAAAATAACTAATATCCATCAAATTATGTTGTAATATTATTAATTTTAAAATCAAGATATTTTTTATTAGTGTTATTTCAAATTTTTAAATAATATTTTTCTTTCTTCTGCAATGATTTATAATGCATATCATTTTATTTGATAAATTGAAACATTTGTTCAATTACAAATTAAAAATAGAAGAATTAAGCACCATGTCTATTAATTGTCACATAGCATACTTTCTGATAGTTTATTTTTTGATTTCTTTGATTTATTTATCCTTTTTGGTGAGAAGGTTAACGTAATTCCTCACAATTTCTTTTGTATAAAATAAAATTTTCTCAATGGAATAATAATACGTTATGTAAAGTTAAAAATATGGGCAATATTTATACCTGGCCATATTATATCAAATAAATTTCCTTTCAAATCTCCAAAATTTTTATTCACATCTTATAGCCCATTTTTTCCAATTAAATATGAATGATATTATAATATTTGTTATATTGATTCTTTCAAAATTGAATTAGTCGTAATTCAATCCGAATTCAATATTGATAGAATCCAATGTAATTTCGTCAGAAATCCATAAAGTTTTTTAAATATAAATATTTAAAAAACACTAATTTCACACATTATTTATTGAAAATATATTTTGAATGACGATCAAAATAAATGAATACATTGCTCTTTTTTATTGCGGCTCGGAATCTAAGATTTATTAAAACAATAGTCGATGATGCCACAAACTCATTTAAACCCGGAATATATGAATTTACTTTAAATGCTGCAGCTGGAGGCCGTGGGTGCCAATCAGGTAAAAAAAATACTTATGGAGGGAATGGAGCAAAAGTACAAGCTAGATTAAAATTTACCAATAGAACAAATGTCAATTTTTCAATCGGAAAAATGCCTATAGGAGGTTGCAATAGACAAAATCCAGGTGGAAATCCTAATGGAGGAGCGAGCGGTAGAGATCGCAATATCTATGGCAATGATCCATCGGGCGGCGGTGGAGGAATGACTGCAATTATGATTGACGGTGAATACATTTTAATTGCTGGTGGAGGCGCTGGAGGTGCAGGAATCTTCAATGGCTCTCATGGAGGAGGTTTTGGATACACATTACATGTAACAAAATATGGACAAATAGAAGACTACTCTGTTTTATATGTCCAAAATATTATGCAAGGCGAAGATGGTGGATATGCATTAGAAACCCCAGGATCTGGGGGTGGTGGCGGTTGGTTTGGCGGAAAAGGAGGAATTGGGAGTGAAAAAACTAATCCAATAGTTTGTGGCCATGGTGGAGTGTCAGGATGTTTAAATTCTTCTCAATATTTATTCACAATCCCAACAGCAATAGATGGTAGATATACAAATAATTACGGAAATGGCTCAGTTAATATTGTTCTTGTTAATGTACTGGATACAGTTCCAGAAAATAATCGCAAACCCCGAAAGATCTTTGTTGCATCCTCAATGTATATGTCATTTGCAGCCACAAATTTGTTATAATTTTTGTTAATATATTTTTGTTTTATTCATGCAACATAAATCGATTCTGATTGATTTTTGAAATAATTTTAAAATTAATTTTTAAAAAATATCATAATTAAATTATAACTTGTAAGTACAGATTTACCACATTTTAAATTTATTTCGAATTGTAGTGTATTTTATTAATTCAATTTTGATTTTGAAATGTAAGAAATTGAAGTATTTGAACTTCATCCAACATCACATTATATGATTTATACAACTTACTATCATTATGTATGTAGATATTGTTTTATTTCGGTCAAATCGGAAAAAAAAATCATGTTTTAAACGAAATTTACTAAATTCTCACACTGCCACTCTAAATTAGTACAAAATCAATTCAAATATTTCAATATTTTCAATGACAGAATCAATTCTATTTTTTAGGTACTTTTGCCGACAGATTCTGCTAAACGAAATTAGGAAACGAACAAATAAATGAAAATAGTAATTGGCCCATTCCATAACATTAAAGACGTCAAAATATCAGCTACAGGCAAACTTCCCGAATTTTACTATCAATTCAATTGCAAGTAAAATTTTAATGGAACCGCTGATAAAGGATGTATCTCACGATAAGTGCCCCATTTGTGCAAACTTATAATTTTGAAGCTTTGACATTCCATTCAAGAATGTTTTTGAACGGACTATTGTCCTTAATGTTACTGTAAAAACATTAAAAATGTGAGTGTAAAAAATATTTGATTTTAAATTTAATTTTTTTTAATTTCAAATTTTCATATGTTAAATGTAAAAGATTCAACAAATCACCAAGTTAGAATAATTGGATAAAATTGAAAAAATGATTATCGATGACGGTTCGAAATTAAATAAGTTTCTGAAAACTCTAAAATTTTTGGATACAGCTATCCCAAATAAAAATAATTATCCATCTTATAGATCTTTATTTTCTCAAATAATTAATTAACTCTGATTTCAAAATTTTCGACCTTGATAGAAATAGAATCAAAAGCTATGAGAATATAAAATATAAATAATTTCTATTCAGTGCAAATTTGAAAGAGTCGCAATTCAATTCATATTCAAAATTGTGATTGAATTGCTATCAAATATCTTCAGAATTTTATAATATTCAATAAAGATTTAATTTTGAATTATGAATTACGATGGATTCAAATGCATTCATTACTCTGTTTTATTTCAGCTCGGATTCCAGTAGATGTAATTGAAGGAGTGGAGTCTGAAACAAAAAGCTATGATATAGGGATATATGAATTTACCTTAAATGCTGCAGCTGGCGGGATTGGATGCCAAGATGGTCTTAGCTATACATTTGGAGGTCGAGGGGCAACAGTAAAAGCTTTATTAAAATTTACTCAAAGAACAGAAGTACAATTCATAATCGGCAAGAAACCGAGGAGTGTATGCTATACTTATAATTTAGGAGGGTATCCAAATGGAGGAAGTTCTGGAAGTGATTGGTTTAATCAAGATAATTCTGGCGGCGGTGGAGGAATGACTGCAATTATGATTGACGGTGAATACATTTTAATTGCTGGTGGAGGCGCTGGAGGTGCAGGAATCTTCAATGGCTCTCATGGAGGAGGTTTTGGATACACATTACATGTAACAAAATATGGACAAATAGAAGACTACTCTGTTTTATATGTCCAAAATATTATGCAAGGCGAAGATGGTGGATATGCATTAAAAACCCCAGGATCTGGGGGTGGTGGCGGTTGGTTTGGCGGAAAAGGAGGAATTGGGAGTGAAAAAACTAATCCAATAGTTTGTGGCCATGGTGGAGTGTCAGGGTACTTAAATATATCCCAACATTTCATTACAAATCCAATTGCAAGAGATGGTAGATTTACAAACAACGATGGAGACGGTTCTGCTAGAGTATTACAAATAATAATGAAAGATACAGTTCCAGAAAATAATCGAAAACCAAGAAAGATCTTAGTTGCATCATCAATGTACATGTCTTTTGCTGCCACAAATATGTTTTAATACATATAATATATAGAATTAAATATGTTTTATTTACTGAAATTAACTATTTTTGCATCAAAATGTTTTATTTTTCAAATTTATTGCAAATAAGCTGATAAAGACTTTATCTGGCTCATGCTATGCTAAATGATATTCATTTATGTGATATTATATAATGATTTAGAAAAGCGGGATATTTAAAGCTTTTATAAATACTATTTAATACCGTAGAAAATTGATATACTATTCTAATGTATATTAAATTTATTTCATATAATGCAATAATATCAAGATTCATTTTTTCAAATTCTTAAAATTTTGATTCTGAGTTTTTAAGTTCAGTTTTCCTTTATGTTATTATATGGTACAGCTATTTTCCATAAAATCGATCAATATTGTCTTTTTGATTTTGGCCGACCACATCGAACCACGATGGCCTCGACTAAAATACCTGAACCCGAGTTAGATAGCGTATTAATTGCAGCACAGTTAGCACGCTTCTGCCCTACATCACTATCGTTCGATAATTTAAGTATCTCGTGCTTCAAGGAGTCGAAGAAGAAAACAAAATATGAAAAAAATAATGAGCATAATAACTTTGAATATATACCACCGAAGCCTATCCAACTCAATAATAACAATAATACAGAAAAGAACAATACCAACAATAGCAAATCCAAATTTTCATTTTTATTAAAGAGCAAGACAACATACTACACTAAGCAAGTTTGTTTATGAGCTTCCGAATATAAAGAAAGTATCGACACCCATCAAATCCAATAAATCACTCATGGTCATTTCATTATCGGTCGGTGACTTAAAGTCTATTGATACACCAATCATAAAAGGAGCCAGGCAAGTTAATTCTATGAATGACTATTCTTCAGACTCAGAAGATTATTATTCTGAGTCAGATTGAAGGTAGAATTTATGTAATTAAATATATAGAGTTTTTTGCGACTTCTTTATGATTTTTATATCAATCCGACCATATAATACCTTTTTTAGGCTTCATAATATATATTCTTTTGGAATTATACTACATTGAGTCATATGATATGTTTCTAATAACACAGGATACATTTCTTCTGAGATTCTTTGAATTTGGCCGTAATCTAACAAATATATGCCAAAATTATAATAATTCACTTGATATGAAGCTATAATATTTACTATTTCATGAGCTATATACATATACCATAATAGATTTTTATATATCCTTATTTCTCATGAATAATATTATAATATTTGATGATTTTTTTTTAGATTTAACAAAATCTCATCAAATATGATAATATACGTTAATGTGTTTATATGGAAGCTGGTATTTTGTCTATAGTATTTGTTTCGAAATTGATATGAAATTTTGATTAATAAAATAGGATTTTCTCATAATCAAATATACGTAAATATGTGATAATTTGAAAAGGGGCAAGGTAGAGAAAAGTTTTATTAAATTTAATTTTTTATGATGAGATAATAATATAAAGCATTGGAATGAGCAAATTTAGATATGGATTGGTGCATTTTCTAGAGCAATATAAGCAAAAATCTTTACTGAAGATTCGTAAATCTCCAAAAATTTCAGCGTGGTTCAAGCACCATATATAGCCACCATAAACAGTTTCCCCCATATTCTGAAAGTTAATGGCATAGCATTCTTGGGGATTACTAATGGTGAAAGTTTCAGATTTTGAATATCCGTTTAATCTATTCGAATTTTGGACATCGTCAATAACTTTCCAATTCTCATTGAAGCAAGAGACTTGCCAGCTTCTGGCAAAATATTTATTTTCATAATCTCGATTAGTTAGTGTGTAATTGGTGAAATAGATCGATGATCTAAGAAGTGCAATGGTTAAACCTTGATTTGGTTTATCTTCGCCGCACCATACATTATGTTCACTTTTATTAAATATATTATTGATGCGATAATCAACTCGTGTAGTTGAATCACATGTATAACTAAAATGTTTAGGATATGCTCTCGTGATACCATCAAAATCTCCATTTCTTTTAGGATAAATGATGTTGATATCAATTCATTTTTGTCACTTTTGGATGATTTGTTTTATTTCAAAATATTGTCAGATTTATAAGGAGAATATCACTATTTAACAAAGCAGCAAAGAAATATTCTGCATTTCCAAACATGATATCAAAATACATGCAAGATTCTGAAAACAGGACTCAAAAATATTTAATATTTGCAAAATCTCGGGTCAAAAATTTTTCTGGAGTTTTGGACCCTGAGATTTTGAAACTACTATACCGCTTCTACAGGCTTATTGAAAAAGAGATGTAGCATTACAATAAATGTCAAAATCTCTGCTTAAACTTAATGAGAATGAACATTTTTTAGACTATAAAAATAAGTTTTCCATATTCTAAAAGCTTGGGTATTTTTTTGAATGCCTATGGTATCCAATTTGAAAAGCATAGTGATACGAATGGACCCTAAACAATGTCAAAAAAGTGTAATTCACATTTGAATCAAAAATAATCGATTGCAAGAGGATTTCATCTTCAATGTAAAATATATTTTGGCTTGAAGTAAAAGACAATAACAAATAGAAATGATAGTAAAATATTTATCAACAATATATATAAAAATGATTTCATTTTTGTTTTCTCTTTGACCAATTTCTTGTAAAAGTCAATTTCGCTCAATTGGTTCTGAATTTTATCCAAAACAAAGTGAACAAACTTGTTTGTGCCGCATGTTTCGTCGATTGACCTTAAACAATAAACAGCTTCAACCAAATTGAGGGAATCAAGAGATTTATTGATAAAACTGCAGATGTTGACAATATCATCTCCAGTTAAATTCTGTTGAAGCATTCCAATGATTCTGAGAAGATCGTTGTATTTCTTTTCGAAATCTACTGATTCAAGAGAATCAATTGCTTTTCTCGTCCAAAACTCTTTGAAATCAGTACTTTCTGGTATGTAATACATGATGTTAGTAATTAAATCAGGATCTGATTTGATTCTTTGCCAAATATCTTCATCTTTGTTTTGGAGGAATTTTATGGCCTGATTTCTCTTGTTTGTACTCGAAAGATTGATGGCTTCTTGAATATCATTGATTTCTACTTCTACGTACTTCGAAATCAAATTTTGATATTGAATAAAAAGATTTGAATCGAAATTGAGAGGAACTCTCCAGTTCTCTATTCTATTCATAAGTAACATGATTTTTCTTGAGTCCCCATCTTCCAAAGCCTTAAATGCAAATTCATTATTATTTTCTGGCGGAGATTTGATGTCAAACTTAGGTTCGTAAGGTTCTTCGTGGACGTACCTTGTAGATCCGTACAAATCTTCCTTCTCTTCGTTGGTCAAATGGCTTTCAAACTCTTTTACAATAGGAATTGCTCCTTTAAGAGTTTTTCCGATCAGTTTGGCAAATGGCCCGAGTTTTCTGAGCGGAATTTCACTCGGCCAAACAAGGACTTGGCTTGCAATTACGTGTTCGAAAGATAACCATGGATTCTCTGTTGTATTGATCTCATTGTTAGAGACAATGGCTTCGCAGATCCTGAATGAGCAATTATGTCTCCACAGTTCTTTAAATTGTTCTCTATTGAGATATTTAATAATAATTGTGGATGTTTCAGCAATAAATAGGAAATTTGACGTGGCATCAGTGAGAATAATGTTGTAAATGAGTTAATTACACTCTGCGGAACAACAATATGCTCATTTGCCAAAAATTTTATTGCTGATTGCGCTGGTTCAAAGAATTTCGTGGTATCTGCAACTACATCGACTGATAATTGGCTGGATCTTGCTTGCATGGCATCCATGAAACCTTGAATGTACTTGTGCGTCCCTAAAAATGTTTAATGTAGCAATTATTACGTCCTCTGCTATTTTTATTGTGGAATAAAGAATGTTCTTGTTATCTTTGATCGACAAAGAGGCCAAATACTTGAAAATCAAGGTAATAATGTCAAGATCTGATTCTCCAATTAAATTCTCTTGGAAAAGAACGGAATGGAGTGGATCTTTTGACTTAATTGACTTCAAGAAAAAGGCTGTACGGTAGAATTCATCGAAAAAGTCCAAATTTAGGAAATGAAAATCTTCAATTTTGATTTGTTTCAAAGCAAGCATTGCATTTTGGTTTATCTTAGGGTTCTTGTAAGAAAGGAACGAATAGAGTTGTAGTAATGTATCATTTATGAACCCTTTTCCGCATTTTTTGATACATAAAGAATAATCAAGCTGAGAAAAGATCAAAGAGACATCTGCTGCGTGGTAAATTGTTTTTATTTTGGAGAAACAATACTTTCGCAGTGTCAATTTGAACTTTTCTGACTTTGACAACAAATAATTTGAACAATTAGCGAGAGATCTGATGATTCCGGACATTTTATCGCTATAACTGTCATTGGAGTACCTTTCGTACATATCTACAACAAGTTCTGGGTCATAACTTTCAACAAATTTCGAAATTGTTTCTGCTTTCTGCTGAATAACAAGAGAACCGTCTTGTGGCTTGATACTGATGAGTTCGAACTGAAGAGGGAACTTGTTGCTCGATATTTTGGACGATAACGTTGAAAAATCGATGTCAATTGAAACATCTTTGAAGGTTATCGTTGTTTTTTCATCTCCTACCTTTAATTCGCCGCCTATCTTTGAGATAATGGCCAATACATTCTCGATAGTAGCATTTGCTGTGGAGTTTTGAAGTAATTCGAGACATTGATTGGCAATTTTCGTAAAATCGCAGGATAATTGAGAAACAGGAATCGTATTCAATATGAATCCGATAATTTCGATGTTTTCTGATGATGATTGGTCGAATATTGATAGAAAATGTTGCATTAAATTTTGTGGAGAGTGTTTGATGACTTCTGTGAGAGCCCTCATGAAATGGATGCTATATTCTTTCTTGTATGTCTTCATATAAAGGTCAATCAGGCGCTTAAGCCAGTCTTTTGGTGGAGAATCTAATCTGGAAATAAGTAAAGGGATATTTTCAAAAGATTTTGCATCATTAAAAGTGAAATACTTCGCGAAGTCTACGTAATGAATGAATTGTTGTTTGAATGGAAGAGAAATGTGGTTAAGTAAATGAACAAAAGAAGCTGCAATATAAGGATAAACATGTGTATCAAATGGTTTGTTGTTCAAGACACTGATGAGTGAATTGTTTAGCTGATCCAGATAAAATGGAGAGCAATAATTCAAAAATAAACTTAAGGTTTTTGAAGATTTTGTAGCTAATGCGACATTTTTTTGGGAAACACATGTAAATAAAGACATCCAGATGTCAGAGAATGCTGGTTCTAGAGAATTTGTGGCTAATTTAGAAAAATTGTTGCCAAGAATGAAATCACTGAGTTTTGTAAGGTAGTTTTGTGCATCTTCAGCAGAAACAGTTCCACTTGATTCGCGAATTAAGATAGGGATGTCCATTAATCACTCAAACAAAAAGAAATTGCTAAGGCTCAGAAAAAAACTTTTGAAATAAATGATCGCGATTGTTTTTGATTTTTATTTGTGAAAGGAAGAAATAAATATATTTTTCGAAGTTTAATATTTTTTATTTTGTACGCCTCTCTCACAAAGTTGTATGCATTTTCATTTAATCACGTATAAATTATTAAACAAATTCGATCAAAAATTTTGGCAGAGTAATTCCCATCTCATACTGATACTTGATTATCTATCTATGAGTTATTGTCACTCGAATAACAAAATGAAATCCCAATACATTTCAATCAATATTATCAGAATTCGATATTTTTATTAATATCAAATGCTGCTTGATATTTGATTCATTTTGCTCAGAATGCTTGAGTAATTGAGATATCCTTGCTTGATTGAATTAATAGAGAAAGAATTCTGCAAAAAATCATCAGTTGGATTGGGCAGTATTGAGAATTTACTAAATATAGCTTTTAATGATTCAATACAAATATTTGTCTTTTAAAAACTTTTTTATGTCTTATCAAGACAATCAACCAAGCCAATACAGTGAATTGCGAAGTATCCACAAATGCTACATTGATTTATATAATGTATTATATCAGCTGAAAACAGAAAAAGAAGACGAATTAAACTCAATTTACAAATTGATCAAAACGGAATTGATTGATTCAAAGATATGCCATCCACAGAATATTATGAGAGACATTTTAAATATCATTCCATATCATAATCGCTATACAAAGTCATATTTATATCTTGCCAAGCTCATATCAGATGATTATCATATCAATGAGGTCTACAACGTCGAACATATTTCAAGTATTCTGTTTTATAAAGAATATGGAATTAAGTTAAACGAAACTCAAGACTTCGAAAATACGAAATCAGATAATTTAGATATTCAATCAGAAAATACAATTTACGGAGCAATTATGAATAATGATCTAAAGAGATTCATTTCATTCACAGAAAAAGAGGGATTTAATAAAGATCAAACACTTTAAGATTATTACTATGAATATTCTAAAAAAGGATATTTATTACTTGAATTATGTTGTTACCATGGAGCTGTTGATTGTTTCAAGTTATTAAGAACGAAATTTAACTCAGAAATAACCGAAAAATGTCTAGAATTTTCATTTTTAGGAGGAAATCCAGAGATCATGAGTGAATGCTTGAAATATCAAAAACCAAATAATGAATGCATGAAATATGCAATTATTTCACATAATATTGATTTTGTTACATTCTTGATGAATGAATATAATATAAAGATTGATTTAAAATCCTGCGGAAAATATAAAAATTTTGAATCATTTTTAGTTTGTTTCGATCAAATTGATGATTTTAACTTATGTTTTGTTTATTCAGCGATGTTTAATATTCTATCTCTTTGCGAATATTTCATTTCACATGGTGCAAATATAAATGTTAAAGATAAAGATGCAAAAGCAGCTCTTCATTATGCAGCATTAGAAAATAGTAAAGAAACAGTCGAATTCCTTCTTTCACATGGTGCAAATATCAATGAAAAAGATTATTTTTTGGAAACAGCTCTTCATTATGCAGCAAAAAATAATAGTAAAGAAACGGTTGAACTCCTTCTTTCACATGGTGCAAATATCAATGAAAAAGGTGATTTTAAGGATACAGCTCTTCATTATGCAGCAGAGAATAATAGTAAAGAAACGGTTGAAATTCTTCTTTCACATGGTGCAAATATCAATGAGAAAAATGGATTAGGACTAACAGCTCTTCATTGTGCAGCAGAGAATAATAGTAAAGAAACAGCTGAACTCCTTCTTTCACATGGTGCAAATATCAATGAAAAAGATTATTTTAAGGAAACGGCTCTTCATTATGCAGCAAAAAATAATAGACTAGAAACAACCGAACTCCTTCTTTCACATGGTGCAAATATCAATGAGAATGAGGAATTAGGACATACAGCTCTTCATTGTGCAGCAAAAAATAATAGAAAAGAAACAACCGAACTCCTTCTTTCACATGGTGCAAATATCAATGAGAATGAGGAATTAGGACATACAGCTCTTCATTATGCAGCAAAAAATAATAGAAAAGAAACAACCGAACTCCTTCTTTCACATGGTGCAAATATCAATGAGAATGAGGAATTAGGACATACAGCTCTTCATTATGCAGCAAAAAATGATAGAAAAGAAACAACCGAACTCCTTCTTTCACATGGTGCAAATATCAATGAAAAAGATGATGATGGAAAAACAGCTCTTCATTATGCAGCAAAAAATTATAGTAAAAAAACAGCTAAACTCCTTCTTTCACATGGTGCAAATATCAATGAAAAAGATGCTGATGGAAAAACAGCTCTTCATTGTGCAGCAAAAAATAATAGAAAAGAAACAGCCGAACTCCTTCTTTCACATGGTGCAAATATCAATGAAAAAGGTGATTTTAAGGATACAGCTCTTCATTATGCAGCAGAGAATAATAGTAAAGAAACGGTTGAAATTCTTCTTTCACATGGTGCCAGTTTCAATGAAAAAGATGAAGATTGAAATACTGCTTTTGATTTTGCAGAAGATAATGATGGCAGGGAAATTGAAATTATTTATCATATGATGAAGAAGAATAATTTTCGAAAATGAAATTTTCATTAGAAATAGATAATAATAAGGCTTTTCGCTCTGTTTGAAATTCACATCCATTTCTAATATGGATGTTTTTAACCACTTTAAGAAACGATGTAATTCATTAAGAGATCGTTGGTCAATCAAAATTACATATTCAAAGTCTTTTTTGTGTCTCATTCAGCGACTTAAAGCTTTCAAAAAAAACTTATATACGCTTAATTATAATGTCAAGCATTTCCTGTTATCTTTGTATTCCTTTATCAATTTGACATCGATATCATTAAAAGAAATAAGTATAAAAAAAATCAAGAATTTTGGTAGTGGTATTTTACATTAGTATTTGAAATGCAGGGAGTAAAAATCTGAGTATCAGTAGTATTTTAAAATCAATTTACCAGTTCTCGCGGAATGGAGCGTTGGTAATTGTCTGGATGAGTTCTGGCTTAACAACGTGGGAAGCACGTGGTTGAGCTGGAAGACGCTTTGGAAGAGCAATCTTTGTGCCGGCCTTCTTGGCTTCCTCGTGAGCCTTGAGGTTAGCCTGGCAACGAGCAACGAAATCGTTCTTTGACTTGGATGGGAAAACGTGCTCTGTGCGGACGTAGATGCGCTTTGGAGCGATGTGGTTGTTGACACGGCGCTTAACAAGGATACCAACAGCGTGTGGAGAAACGTTCCAGACGATACCTGTGGCACCATGGTAAACACGGTTTGGCATGCCAGAGTGGAGAGCACCATTGACCTTGATATCGACAATGTCACCAATACGGAATGTACGGAGTGTGATGGATGGGGCTGGAGCACCATGCTTGCGGAACTTACGAGCGAAAAGATAGCGTGTAGCGTGACGAAGACCCTCAGTGTGTCCCATCGAAAAAGGCCCAAACAAACCGCTAATTCCCCTCAATTTAGAGACAGACTCCCCCAAAATTAAAAGGATTTTTGGAATATCTATATTCATTTATATACAAAAATACGTAAGGAATATAATGATCTTGATTTTGTCCACAAATAAGGATTTTTCTCTCTCGCACATCTAATTTCAACTAAATTGGCATATTACTATAGAATACATATCTTTTATTTTCTATGTATTCCATGATTTTTCTGTTTTTATATCTAAATTCTTTAAGATAAGTCAATAATCATTATCTTCATTTCAAACAAATGACAATCTTCATATATAACATGTTTCAAAAGTAATGTATATGGTTTATGTTAATACTATATATAATTATTTTTGAATTTGGTGCATTTTTTATGTATGAATACAAAAATCAAAATGATGATGAAAACGCAAGCAATGAAATATCAACATTAGACGATAATATCCAAATTGAATGCTTAGACCCATCAATTATATCAGTGTGTGGATCAAAATTCGAAGATCTCATTTTAAAGTTAGAGGAATTTATAAAAACAGACGCAAACAAAAACCAATACTTCGATTTAACTGATTTAAATACTGTTAACGACATCCTTTCTCAAATAACTCCATTATTATCAAATCCTACTTTAGCAGATGAATGTTGTGAATCAGATATTATTATTACAGCATTACAATTGCTATTTTCAAGTTCTGATACGCCTGAATCTACGCTTAATCACCTTACAGAAATTGGATATAGATTATTATTAAGAAAATTAAACGAAAAAACACAATTTTTACCAGAAGTATTTTGTTCATTAGCAATAAGTACTACCGGAAATTTACAAAAACGATCAATTGTTTCAATAACCAACATATTAGTAGATTTATACACTCAAGGAAAAGAAAATGATGAATTAGTCTTGAACATTAATGGATCAGTATCTCAAAAGCTACTTGATGACCTAATGATCGCTAATGATCCAATATTAATAAGTAATATTTTAAATTATTTTGACAATTTATTATTTCTAATATCACGAACCAAAAATCAGAATCCAAATCTATTTGCAGAGATTAAAACGATTTATCCAAAATTGGCAGAAATTTCATTAAGTTTTCTTGACCCTTACAACGAGATATTTACAGCCAGTGCTCTTCAGTTGCTATGCCAATTATGTGAAGATCCATTAGTTACAAAGGAACTTCTTAGTTCCGAAAATATTTTTCAAATTTTATTTCATTTGAATGAAATTCATCACGAACTATTTAATAAGTTAGAAGAATCAGAAGGTGATGAATTGATAAGCCAAGATATGAAATTATCACATGGAGTCTTTCAATTGATTCGTATTTTATCAATGACACAAAATTTTTCGAAAACAATTCCATTTATATTTGAAATACCTGATTTTGCTGATATTTTGAAATTTGAGCTTCATTTCGGACATAAGAATACAAAGGAAATCGTATTTGATATTATAGAATTGTTTATTGATACTAGATATGTTTATTTCCAAGAGAATGGTATAATTGATGAATTGTTTTCTATTTATTTAAATGATGAAACATCATTTACAGAAAAATCACATATTGTTAGAATAATTTTAACATTCTTTGATTTAGTTCCTGATACTGTTATTGAGCCTTATTTAACTGAAGAAGTAGTTATGAGTTTGTGCCAATTACTTGGGAAAACTATTCCAGGATATCCAAGATTTAATATTTGTTTTTGTGATGTATTTTATAAGTTGTGTATTTCATTTCCACATGTGTTAGAATTTCTCAGAGATGATGAAATACATGATGAACTTGATGAATACATAAATGACTTCGAAATGAATGATAGCGCAATTCATTTGCTAAAATTAATTGAAGACGGTCAAGGATCTTCTGATGAGTTTGATTAAATATATTATTTGTTTATTTTTAACTGAAAGTTTAATTATATCCTTTATCTCTTAATTAAAATTATCATGTCTTCCAATTTTTTAGATTTGTTTATCTCATATTGAATTAACTTGCAAAATATAAGTAAAATTATCATGTCAAATTTCTTTTTGAAATGAGAAAATCTAATAATGAGATAAATTTAATCGAAATTAGACAACAAATTCAAAGATTCACTTAATTTTTTTGCGAGAGACCCAAATAGAAGTAAATTGTTTTTTTCAACAAGTATTTATACACTTATGGTAGAGATAAATCATAATGAAATCTATGTTTTCTAAGATCAAATTATAAAAATTGGGAATATTTCATAAATTTCGAAGTCAATTCAGAATATACAGACATAGAAGCTATTAATGAAGTAAAAATATGCTTATGACAGTTAAAGATAATACAGTAAACAAATAGATTTATGATAATGTCGGAATTAATGATGAAAGAGCGGTATCATCAATGTGGGTGAGCTTTTCAATAAATACTGGAATATTTGCTTCCCCTTCTGATTCCATCAACAGGGAATTAAGATGTGTTTTGAGCAATCAACCAAAATTTGTTCATAACTTTGCATAATTTTGATATTAGGAACGTTGAAGTCTGCTGGTATTGCAACAGATTTCTCTATCAATCTAGAAGTGATCTTTGACGCTGCTGCTTGAGGATATAAAACAAATGGGAGAGGAATTCCGAGAATTCTGGACAATTCTCGAATATAATGTGTAGCATATCCCAAATAAGCTCTCATTTCGTTAAATTGTTGCAAATTTGCAGGTGTTTGGTAATAATTCATGTAACAAAACTTGTTGTTGTCTCCCAATGGAAATATTAGAAGCATCTCTTGAAGAGCCATCAGTCTGTACTCTTTCATTTTTTCGTAAGCTTCGATATCAGGTTTTGATGTTGTAATTCTTTCTTTATTTGCTTGTATATGCTTCGTAAGTTGTTCTTTTAGCGCCGATCGTCCTTCGTCATTTGTTGTTATGATAGTTGCCGCTTGCATTTTTTGATTTTGGTCGATAAAATCATGTTGAACTCTTCTTTTCTCTTTCATGCACTCCTCGTATTGCACCTTAAGGTCAGATAGTTCCTTTAAGTTAAGTCCTGTTTGAACAAGCCTTTCTTTTGTTTCGATAAAAGATTTTTGAGATTGTTGTAATTCTTCTATTTGGGCTTTGACTTGTACAACATTACGATAATCTAATGTTAATATAAAATCAACGTTAAATGAAACAGGATCTTCACTAATTGCATCAGATCTGCAGTAATATCCAGATTTGAATTCTAAAAGTAAAACATCGTAAATAGGTTTGAAACTTCTTGGCATTCCAAGGAAGATTAGTCCATTTAAATCGATTGTTTTTTCAAGATCGTTGAATTTGACTTTAAATTCCTTTGTTTTTGTTCTATGTTCTTTAAGTTCGACTAACTTTTCACAATTCCATGTAATTTTGTTATCAGAATTGGTGATTTTATTAATTTCAAACTTTTTTCGTCAATTTGGACGATTAGAGGAGGTATTTCACTAAAATGCGCATCAGAGTAAATGGTAAATGATAAGATTTCATGAAAATTAAAGCTTGGAGGAATGAATACACATTGGACAGTATCCCCCATCTTAAAATAATGACAAAATATAGATATAAATCATATATTTATGGTGAATATTATCAGAATGTAAGAAAATTGAAGTTCAATTAAAATTGCCGATTTGAATTTCTTGAATAATGATCTTTTAACAAAGAAATAATTATCAGTGGCTGTATGTTGATAGCATATATTCACCATTTAATGATTAGGCAACTACAATCCAAAAACTGACACACCTAAAAAAAAATAAAAATCATTTCCTATTAGACCACTTAGACAGTGTTTTTATATTCACTCTCCAATTAGCTATTATATTCATGAAGCAGACAAATTCAAAAAATTTTTTTGCTCATTCGTTTGCAATTTTCACGAAAATTTGCAATAATTTTGCTTTTTCTAGTTATGTCATATTCCATTGTAGACTATTATCGTTACTTTTGTATGGATCTCGAAGCAGAATTAAGTTTATTTCCATTCAAACAAAATCTCGAAATTTATATACAAACTGACTATAGAATAGATTTTAACAAAGACAAAACCATGTGTGACAGATGCAAATTCAACTCATCTAATAATCTAGCCAATAGTAGTAATCATGATGTTGTAATTTCCTACACAACAAGTAGACCATTTAACATGGTTATATTTATTAGAACATTACGTCAAACTGGCTCGAATTGCAGCGTTGTATTTTTTGTAACAGACGAATTTTTATCAAAAGTAAGTAACGACACCAAAAATTACGTTCTCAAGTGTGGAGGTCAATTCATAAACTACCATCAACCAACATACACCGAATTAGAAGACGATTGGTCTGATCCTTATATTCATATACATAATTTCATTAGATTAAATCTTCACGAATATTTCGAATGATAACGTCAAACATTTGGCAATGGTTGGTATTAAGAGAGGCCAGAAGCTTGGAAATATCACAGGTATAAACAGAAATGATCTTACAGTTGCAATTCTCCATCAAGTTCATTGGAATCCGTACTTGTTTAATCAGTTGGAAGAAATATGTCCAAAACCTCCAGGAGATTTCAGAGATTACTTAGGAAGATGTAAGGGATGCTTTGGTTACTAAAACAACGAGAAAAATCTAAAATTCAAAATGAAAAAATATAATGATAATAATATTGAGAATTCAAGAGCGCTGTGCCTACCGAGAATTCTTAGAATGATCTGTTTTTCTTTCGTGTTATAGAAAAAATGTTTTTATATGTTATGTAAAGATTATGTTTGTATTTATAGGATTTCCGATATTTTTTCTTAACTGCTTTACCTTAAACAAGCTCTACTCTCATCTGAAAAGAATCTCAATAAAAATTAAAAATAATTATTTTAATAATGATATCCATGTGTTTTGAAAGTATGGACTGCTTTATCATACTTCAAAAATTATGATTTCATCATAATTGTTTCATTTTCATTAATGTCGGAAGTTCTGAATGTTAATATCAATGAAGATCCCCGACTATTATTTGAAAAATATGATGTAGCTACCATTAAAAAGATTAAAGAATCTGCACAAACTGAAATTGAACACAAGCAAAATGTTTTAAGGCAATTTATTGGAGATAATTATAAACCAGTTTTAGAAACTCCTCCTGTACTTAAAGATATACAAGTAATTTTTGAAGATACCAGGCAAACATTATCTAAAATTACAGAATATTCAAAAAACTTCAATTCAGATGGTGAAATTCAGGAAAAACAACCAGCTTCTCCTTATTCAGAAGTATCACAATTGTATATGAGCGCTCTTTATTGCTTAGACAATAATAAATTTATCGAATCTTTACAAAATTCTGAATTAGCAAAAGAAAAATTAAAATTAATTGGTAAAAACTCAATTATAGCAATTTCATTAAGTGTTGCAATTGATTCTCTACCAAGTCGTATTCTTACAACAATCAAAAACTACTTAGAAGATCCAAATACAACTTTATCTTCTCCAATTCTTTCAGATTGCTATACAACCCTCATGAAATTCAATAAAGTTCAGCGTTTGAAATCATCAAATCCTTTCGAATTCATTAAAGAAGCGTTGATACAAAGAATTAAAAAATTATTCGAAAAAATTGGACAAATTAATGACATTTGTCAAAAGTTTTTACTCGTTTTAGAATCATCGATTGCATTTCTTAGTACTATTCATGAAGATTCCACTGATTTCATTGATACAATCACAAATTCATTCAGTAACTCGGATACATCTCATCTAGCCAATATCGAATTACGAGATTTATTCAGACACGCCAAATCAATCCAAGATTTAGCAAATTCAAGCATAAATTCTCCAAATATTATTTCATTTTTGAATGAAACCGCAATTTCACCAGATTTCTGGAAATCAGCCTTCCTCCCTGTATTTAAGACGTTTTTATTCTATAATGTCTATAATGAAAAATTTTCATACTTAATTTTTTGAATACTGTAGTTCCTACAATTAAATTATATCAATTCTATTGGATGAAACATTATCAGTATATGTTTTTGCAGAACTTTAATTGAGTAATAGCCGATAAAAGTAAATTTTGAATGGAAGAAGCACTGGTTCCGCAGTCAATAGGAAGCTACCTAATACGAGATAAGCTAGGTTCCGGTGGATTCTCTTCTGTATTTCAATCTCTTGATACTCGAACTCAAATACCAGTTGCTATTAAAGTAATTGATAAACATCGAGTAAATTTACAGTCGCTACAACGCGAAGAGGATCTCCTCAAAAAGCTCGATCATCCATTTTGTGTTTCTTTTTATGAATTTTTCGAAGATGAACACTATTATTATTTAGTAATGGAATACGTCGAAGGAAGAACAATTTTCAAACTTATTAATGCAAAGGGTGCATTACCAGAATGGCTTTGCAGACATGTTTTTTGCCAATTAATCTGTGCTTTAGATTATTTACACTCAACACTAAAATGCGTTCATCGCGATATCAAGGCAGAAAATATCATGTTAGACAATAGTGGCAATATTAAATTAATTGACTTTGGTCTTAGTAACATTTTCGAGAGTAATAATACACTTTTAAGTACAGTTGTTGGATCTCCAGCATATGCACCTCCCGAAATGTTCAATGGCCAGAAATATAACGCAAATACAGATCTTTGGAGCGCCGGCGTTGTTTTGTATGCAATGAGCGTTGGAAAGCTTCCATTTACAGATCCGTGCTTCCAGAAGCTCGTACAAAAAATTACAATGCTAGAGCCAGAATATCCAGAGGATCTTTCTCCTTTATTAGTCGATTTATTACATAGAATGCTTATGAAGGATTTCAACTGCCGTATGTCGATTGCCAAAATCAGGGATCACCCCTGGTTCACGAAATACCGCTATTCACCAATCATGACGGCTGATTACGAAATTGACCAACATTACAGAATTCACGGTACAGACGATGGCGACGAAGATGTCCTTAAACGACTTCAAGACTTAAACTTCAATGGAATACAACTACAGAGACTAGCTCGAAACAATGTTTATAGTAGTGATGTAGCTCCATTTCAAATTGTACACAGATATATCATCAAACAGAAAATGAAAGGTATGTATAAGCAAGCCCAGGATGATGCAAACGGGGATTAATCCAAACGATTCACTCTTTCACTTCCAATGCCATCACAAAAGTTGTCGACACCGAATTTCCTGATGACACAATGGGATCCATTTATAGGAAGAAGAAGGTCCCAGATAGGTGTAAGACATTGTTGTCCAATGTCAGCCACTAATTTGGTTAAAATCCCTGAAGATGACTCTTCTGCTACAGTTACAAAATCTGTGAAGTCGGTGCCTTCAATAAAAATTCCATCAACTTGTAAAGTGGCCGCGCTTCAGACTCTATCTCAAATAACTGGTATAGATTCTATGAAGAAGCAGCTAATAGCTAATCCTATATTTGAAACAAATGAGTTTCCTCAAAACGGTGTATAAATATTTTGTCTGAATTGATTGATATTATTTTAATTTTGATTATTTTTTCTAATTTTAACATTTTTAGTTTCTCGATGTAAGCTTATTACATCAGTAATATATCTAAGTAATTGCTATTTCTATATCTTGGTAGTTTATGAAGAAAATGCAAATTGTTTTTTAGAATTTTATGATTTCACATATTAAAACTATGTAATCATCTATTCTTTATTGGGAAAATTTTCTGATATCAATATGGTTTTTGTTAATTTCTTAAAAAATCCAAAAAAACAAAATATTGTAAATTTCTAGAATTAAAAAAAGAGAAATGTAAGAGGATACAAATATAGATATTTATAACAAGTAAAGATGAAAACGATTGGTTTGTTTTTCGCAACTAATATAGAAAATGATCATAATTTTGGGTTGAAATGAGCCAAAACACGAAAATTAATATGAACAAAAATATAATGGCTATAATAAATTGCTGAGAAGCAGATGTTAATGGAACATCTTTAAGTAACGAATAATATTCTCTTTTAAGTGTTTCTAATTGAATTGCTTGGTCGTTGATGATAGCTTTTCTTTCTGCTTCTAGTTCATCTTCTTCTTCGGCATCTGAAAGATATTCATACTCATGTTCATCAGAACTCATTTTTTTATATTTTTTTAGGTGTTAGACCCCTTATAAAAATTATCTAAAAAGAGTCATTGGTACAATGGTCTATCTGAGATCTTATTTTCAAATTTTAAAAGAAAATGTATTTGATAAATTTCCTGAATCTGATTCCAAAACTTGAAATCGCATAATTTAGAAAAAGGTAGGTCAACAAAAAATACGTTATTTCGCAAGAAAAAAAATTCTCATGAACAACTTCAAGCGGATTTTTCTCAGTAATAAAACTCCAAACTTCTCTTAATTGTGGAGAGAAATTGAAGTTTTCTTCATGCATAGTAATTTATTACTTTGTATTTACATTAATTTCAGAAACAGTGTTGACATATATGCAATTTAAAATCGATGTCATTTATACTTAGCAAGAATATATCCAATCGTTCTATTCTTTCAAAATATAAAGCTCTACAATGGAAATTGTATAGCTTAAAATTTAATAATCTGCCCCGATACTTTGAACGATGAAAATTGTAAGCCACTGCAATAAAATTAATCCTCAATTGTTGTATATATTGATATCTTACTCTCATAAAAATCTGCAAGACCGTTTTCGCGAAAAAGTCATTTTACATACATGCGTTACTTAGTTAGGCGATTGTTCTAACCTCAATCATAAAAATAATGCAAAATACTGAAAGTCTAGATATAATTAATAGACTCTAAATATTGCAGCTGCGCTTAAAACAAGATTTAACAAATTTGTCGATATTCACTCAACAAATTGAAATTTCATCAATAAAGCAAAAACAAAATGAGTTACAAACGGGAACATGACGAATTTATCTACTAAAAACAAATTTATAACTAATATACAGCAAAAATTCTCGATTAATCCCCGAATTGCAACAAATAACTTGAAGATGTTGTTTTACGTTGCTTACAAAAGCAAACTACATAAAGTTTTTGAAATAGAACCTTTTAAATACGCTCAAATAAAAATCTATACTAATACCTTTTCTCTTTTTTTAAATAAATATATTCTCATTCATTCCCTAAAACAAACCATTATATGAATATCATGAAATATGTCATTAAAAATAAATTATAATAATAATCCAAAATATTCATATCAGATATGGGAAAAAGACAAATTTTGGAACAAGCATCAAAAATAAATAATGTTTGTAATTCCAAAAATTTTTCATTTTGCAAATTTTCATGGAAAATTCGTATTTCTTCTCTCCATTTTCAAATTTTTGAATTTTTTTTGGAATTTTAAATGAAGAATTGAGAAACCTAATATAGATGGTTGTTATCTCATATGTGAATATGTTCGTTTTATTTCACAGTTTGGAATTTTCTCATATTTTATGGTGAAATTGAGTTTCTATCACAAGTTTAGATAGCATATTTAAGGACAGATTACATGAACTTATATTTTCATCAATATGGTATATTGAAATAGGAGACGCTCAATATTACAATGTCTTTCTTAGAATTCCAAATGTATTCAAATTTCCTGAAACTACAATTTCTGTAGTTACTAGCCACATATAGGAAGCAATACACAAATGTCTAGTAGATAGTATATCATTTTATCTCGCAAAATGAGTATCTTAGGAAAAATTCTAGATACTTTTTCAAAACATACAACAACGCAAGATCTATTCTGTAAAACCGATTAACAGTACAAATATGTTTATTTGCAGGTCAAAGAATCGAATGTTAATTTTAATAATATTTCCTCGAAATCGCTCTTGCAGTTTTCTTCCATTCTTCGTCTATTAGTTACCGAGTACCTACATAGTCTAAATCCATTACCAAAATCAAGAAAGAATCGTTACGATTTTGTTGACCTACCTTTATTTAGAATTTACCCGATCTGAACTGTGTAGATAATTCATTTGGAAAACAATAATGATTGATGTTCTACACAGTTCGGAATTTTTTTTCTCCAAAATTTTAAAATGTATTAACGAATCTTTGGATCCATTGGCAATCTAAAATTCAATGGATCCAAAAGGAATCTTCATAGTGTAGATGCTACAACACTTATTTGGCATCAATACTATGAAAATCTCAGTCCTCCACCAGTTATTCAAGGTGATAACCAAAATGTTACTGCAACAGCGAACAAATGCTTCACATATATCTGTAAGTTCGAAAATCTTACTGACAGAGCGGTCAATTTCAAGAGTATTTCAAGTTATTCTATTTTACTTTGCGAAAACACATTTTACAACGGTTCAGGCACGGTCTATATCACTAGCACAGGCACAAGCAACATTATTATTGATAAATTCTGTTCTTTTGAAAGCAAAACTTCATCCAGTGGCCATTTTGCTCGTTTCGAAGGCTACATGAACAGTACAATCCTCCAAGGTACAATTTCTAATGGAGGAAATCGCGATGTAACATATGGAATGATTTACCAAGATTCAGGTGATTCATCTCTTTCAAACACAAACATTACTAACTGCATTTCAATACAGGCTACAGCTTTTCTATATTTTTTTATTAAGCCTGCAGCAAAGGTCAAATTTTGTAATTTTGAAAATTTGGAAGCAACTCGAAGTGCTATCACTCATTTTGAGAGAGCTGATGGGATAATTGAAAGATGTAATTATATAAATAATTTCCAAGCAAAACAAGATCATGGTATAGTTCATGAATTTATGAAAAAACTTGACGTTTTACATTCATTTTTCAAAGACAATCTAAAGAACAAAGATGGGGCTTTATTTTATGCAAAACAAGGACAAATTTATATATATAATTGCAGTATTGATAACTATACACAATATACATCGGATGGAACTATATCCACATCAGAAATGCCAATAAAACCATTTTACAATGACTTAAAGTTCATTGGAACAAGTCCATGTGAAGGTCCGTTACTAATTGCACAAAATAAAGACAAAAAAGATTCAATTTATAAAAATATCAAATTATTATCATTAATTAACCTTTTTATAAAACCATTTAAATAAAAAATAACGAGATGTGTAATTTTTAAGTAGTAATTATATACTTTTTTCATGGTTTAAGTCTCTATAGCATACTCTCTCCAAGAGTATAAGAGAATCCCACTGTTTATGATAATGTGCAAATTAATAAGCAGTTATTTTAAAATAAACAAATGTACTCATTGCACGATTATCAGATTCTATGACATCTTCGTTCATGTCGGTCAAATTTGTTCCCAAGGATGTCAAATCATGTGGATATATCCAAGATAAGCTGGAGGTTGAGGATTTGTTAATTCAAAATTATTAAAAACAACATAGGGTATCATAATACATGCCAAATTCATGTTTTAACAAATTACATTCAAATCAAGTTAATAAAAATATTTTCTTTAAATGCGAATAATCTAGTTTATCATATTTTCTTAACTAACAGTCAATCTTTATTCATTTACCAAGCCATGTGAAGGTAAATCGTCTGTTTTAGACATGATAAGTTCTCAAAGAAATGATTGAATGTTTGGTATATCAATTTTGGTTGAGCTAAATACTATACAAAAACGAGTTATATAAATACAGATATTCATAATTATTTTATTCACTTGGTTTTTTAAGGTATTCAGAAACAAGTTGAGCTGCCTTCTCAGCATCAAGTCTTTCATTCTCTTTTTCAGCTGTCAATTGTTGAAGAACTGAAACAATTTCTTTTGGCAATTGTAATTTTTCAATATTTTTAAGAGCATCATATGGATTATCATTGAAATATGATAAAAACCAAAGAGCAGCTGAGTATACATCATCTTTTCTTGGATCTGTTTTGGACTTATTCTGTGGCATGCATGGATGATCATAAGTAAAGGCAACAATATCTCCAGACTTAACAGCAGCATGGAAGCATCCCAATGTAAGCTTTGTAAAGTCTGGTGAAATAAAGATACTCGATCTGCAGATACAGCCATGTGAAAATTTCAATGAATGGATAGCGGAAAGTGTTGTTAATAGAATTTCAAAGAGTGGAATAAGTTTGTCTGTTGGAATTGGTGTTTCCCAAGGTACAAAATCAAAGTCTTCGTATGCAATTGAAACAACTCCAAGTGCTTGGTTGCGTGTTAGCGTTTTAATTTTAACAATGTTATTAATTTTATTTAAATTATCTTGCAGATATGAAATTTCTCTGCAAACAAGGCGAAATGGAACTCTGATGCAAGTTTCTATAATTGCCGGAGCATTTGCAGCCTTTCCTCTTGAAATTGTTGCTGTATCTCCAAGATAAACAAAGGATGAAATTAAAAATGTGTCTAATGGTTTAAAAGTTGGCGTAACGTAATTAAGGTTGGATAAATTGCTTAAATTTACATGATAACGACTATCTTGAAGCCGAGGAATCTTATTATCTTCGGTCATAATTCTTTCAATGTAAAATTTATTTTTTTGAGCGGAGAGTTTTTCAATTATTCCGATTTGCAAATGTCATTTTATTAAACAGATATTAAAGGATTATGTCAATACAGATGGTTTCATGTTTTTCATATCTATTTCCTTCTGTCAATCAAATCAAGGATTTCTCCAAATGAGAATTATGTTTATCTAAGCCCAGTGTTAATTATTTATTGATTATTACATGTAAATCTGGGTATTAGAGCGCTGTGTTTGTTCCTTTTACTCAAAATTTATCATAAAAATGAATGAATGTATGACGCTTTTAAAAACACGTTCTACTATTTCATAGTTTTATGCTTTTATTATAAACAAACATAGATCTAAACAAAACAAATCATAATTTTCTAGGAATAGATTGTTTTAGAATATGTCTAAATGTAGGATCTCTCATATATTCTGTATTTTTGTTTTTCATCCAAAAAGCGTGAATATTATCAACAAAATCTTTGGAATTTTCTTCTGTTACAGTTGAAATGCAATAATGATGATTTTGATCGATTTTAATGTAAACTTGGTTGTTTTTACATGATATTTGAGTTGTTGGAGGGAGTTCTAGTGTGAAATCTTCTGGATCGATATAGCTGCATCGATTTAAAATTAAAATGACAGGATTAGTATTTCCTTCTAAGCATAAAATGAATAAAGCGCCACTAATTTGAAGTTTCTTCCATTGTTTTGTTGTATTATCAAAAGTAAATATTGTACAATCAGAATAAGTCTGGGCATAGTCATATACTAGCTCAGAGTATATCCTTTTTATGGCATTTAAATTCATTTCTTTTTTAGTAGGAAATGCTCCTAGAGTAATACTCATTTTTTAATAAAAAAAATAGGGGGAGAAACACCAAAAAAAATTAAAAAAAAACTTGAAACGTTTAAATGAGAACAAAAATAGAATGTATATACATAAATTTTTAAATTTTCATTCAAATCATTAGTTTTTTTTTTTAAAAATGATAATTTAAAAGTCTTTTGAAGCCTCATTCTACTGATATCATGACATGAAATTATTTTTGTGGATCATTGATAACCCATCAATATATCTGGAAGATCTAAGGCTATTTTTAACTGTTGTAGCCTGTCATGGTAGAATTTATGCATTTTCTCCTTGAGATATCTGTAAATGAAATCTGCAACAGGGAGATCATTTCGCGCAAAGTAAGAGCTGCTCCATTTATTTTTTTCTAAATCATTTGAAGAATCATGTAATTTCTGAAGTCTTTGAAACGCAAAATGTATATTATTTGCATTTTCCTTCAAAGCCGCAAACTTATTATTATATGCAAATGCACGCATATACAACTCGCTATCAATTTTAGCTATAAACCGATATTTGAATAAGAAAGCGATGAAAATCATTTCATCAATGATTTTGAAAGGCGTTCCATTTCTAAATGTATTTAGAATCTCGTCAATCAAGAAATCATCGCCTAATGATAAATAAAATGTTATCTGATCTCTTCCAATCAAGTAAGCAAGCATGAAAGGAATCATAATATCTTTGAATTTATTTTTCACATCTTCTAATGCAATAACATTATTTATCAACAAATGATAAACAACACTTCCATAGTAATTATTCTTGGAAAGATCAATATTACTACTTATATATATATTAAACAAATTGTTAACATCTGAATTAAAACTGCAAATCTGAATAAGATGTGAAATGTTAGAAGAGTTTTCATGCAATAATGGACAAAATGTATTCGTATAAATTAATCTAACTTCTTCATAAAAGAAGAATTCTATGACTGAACAAATATTTGCTAAATAAATCATTCCGAACTCGAAATTTTCTGGTAATAATGAATTTACAAAATTAAAGAATTCTAATACAAAACCTGGATTAATATTAATATCTGTTACGTTTCTTGCTATTTTACATGTGATTTCAGCAAAATCATCAATGATTTGTGGATAATTTATTTTATGTAACAAAACTAACAATCTTCCATAAAATTCTTCTTCAGTTGGATATAATTTGAAATTATTAAGTAAATTATTCAATTTTTCAATAATAAAACAAACAACATCTTCGCTTATATTATTGTCTATTAATTGAATCAAGTCGTCGAACAAAATTTCGACAAAATTCAAAATTGAATTTTGTAAAATTTCTGGTTTGTTTTCTGAAGCCTTTAATATATAAACGCTTAATCTGATTTGTATATTTATATCTATTTCGCGTAAATCAATGCAAAGAGCGTCAAAAATATCAATAGAAGAATTATTTGCATAAAATTGAATTAAACATCCATTGAAGACATTCGAATATATTTTTTCTTGTTGTAATTGATGAAATTCTTCTGGAATCTGTTCAATTTCAAACGCATTAGCAAATTTAAATTTCATTGCATCGTCTGTAATGAAATCCAATACTGAATTAACGTCTTCTTGAGTCTGGACCATCTCAGTTATAAGAGCAATGCATGATTCAATAATTGGCTCATTTTCTGGATCATTTTCGATTTCTGTTTGCAAAAAGAAACTGAGATCATTGTTTAACTTGTCATAGTCATATTCTGTATAAAAAGATAGAAATAGTGCTTTTTGAAGGATTTCTGTTTTAATTTCATGAATTTCATCTCCAAAATAGGGTAATCCTGACTTTACTGTGTTAACGAGGTTAGATATTGTTTGGTCAATCAATTTCTTGTCTTCGATATCAATTTGTAGCAATACATCGAGTGAAAATTTAAAAATTGTTTCACAGTTTGAGAAAGAGTTCGTAAATTTGGAAAATTGAGAGAACCATGGTTCGTAAATGCGACTTTTGTTTATAAATGCGTATAATTCCGAGAAAGATTGTGAAAAATCAAAATCTGAAATGCAACATAAATTTTCATAAGCTTCGATTATCTGTTTAATAGTTGTTGCACTTCCTTCGTCTACCTTTTCATCACCACTATATGTATCGAAGATTATTTTTAAAGTTTCTTGAAATTTGTTATTAAAAACGTCAATAGACTCTATTATATAGTCAATTCCTACTCTATCATCCATTCGCATAACCATTTCTATAGTATTAGCTAAGCACCAAGAGATAAAATTAGGATCTGAATAACGAACGAAAAAATGATTTAAATGATCTTTGGAAACTATGATACTTTTTGGAAGCAATTTTGAAATGGAGTTTAATATTGCAGAAGAATTCTTTTGTAACTGAGCAATGAACTCAGAAAAAGAATCAAGTATTTCAATTGGACCAACAACATTAAAAAGATGTTCATTTGTATTTAATAGATTTATACAGCCAAGCGTATTCTTTGTGGATTCGTTTTTTAAGATTATATTTATTAAAGTTAGAATAAAATTGCGATCCTCCTGTAGAGAAATAACAGCATTCATGGCTTCTATTCTGCTGTTTTCGTCTGGATTGTAAAATTTCTCAATTAATTGTATGACAGAGGACTCATCCATTCAATTTATTTCCGACTCTTTTTTTTTCAAAAAAATGAAATTGAATATTTTTAATGAAAGATCTTAAGATCGATAATATACTAATGCGGTTCAAAGGAAGAATTGATTTATATACACATATGTTGTTATACCTGCAAACTTTCGCATCATGATTATCACTGTATCCCGTTACTTTTGGGGATTTTGATTATGATGCCAAAAAAACATAAATCAAAAATTAACGACGACCATGGGATTCGAACCCACGCGGATAAATCCACGGGATTAGCAATCCCGCGCCTTAACCACTCGGCCAAGCCGTCATTACATTTTAGGTCTTTAAAAATGCTTTGTAATTAAAATCAAGCACTTTTATCTCTTTCAAAATACCAAAATTTGAAAATATAGTAACATATCCCTCAAGAAGTTGGAACGACTCATTTCCCTCTCATATATAACTAATTTTCTCAAATTAAATTCAATATTTTTTTAAAATCTAACCTTTTTTTCTTTAATTTTAAATAACCAAATAAATATTTTTCAGTACCATCATACATTTTTTTTATTCAAGTAAAATATTCAAGTGTTAAATCTTTTTTTTAAGCACCATATTTCCATGATGAGCCAGTGTAGTATGTGAATTCACGGAAGTACTGGCAGATTGGCTCGCAACCCATGCAGTAGTTTTCTTCGATATCGTCTTCATCGAAGTTCTGAACCTTATCGACTCTTGTTAAGAACTTAGAAGCAGTGACGACCATCATTGGATGCTCGACGGAAAGATCTTCGACAACCTTTGGGCCAACAACCTTCCAAGATGGGTTAACAACAGGTGGAACTGGGAATGTTGGGACTTTAGCACCATCCTTGTAGCCGTAAAGTGTAGAGACTGCAACATTGTCGGCATCGATCTTTGGTAAGAGGAGACCAACAAGTTCATCGACCATCTGAATTGTTGGGATTTCGGCGATGATAATGGAGCTTTCTGGGAGCTTAGCATTGATTAAGTCGAAAATCTTCTTGGCATCGAGGCCTTCAATCGATTCAACTTTACCATATTGATTGAATTCAGTATGGGTCTTCAAGACTGTCAACTTGATCTTGCCTAAGTCTTCAAGGACCTCGTTAACTGGGCGGACAAGGAGGCCAGACATTTGGTAAACAATATCCTTAGAATTCTTGAATGTTGATACGAAACCTGAAGAAGCGCGTTTGGCAAGTGCATCAAGGTTCTTGTATGTGCCCTTAACGACGCGTGGGTTACCAAGAGCGTTCTCAACTACAAGGATGACAGCTTTCTCAATAATTCCTGCTTGAATCATTGTGAAATGAAAAAAAAATTCTTATCGTGAATTTTGATCCCTTTGTTAGCCGGATGAAAATTTTCTTTCCAAAATGTTATACTATTTGTAAAAATTCCAGAAACATTTCAAATTAATGCCGCTGCTGAAGAGAAATGAAAAATTATCTGAAAAATTCAATTTACGTTTTCGGAATAGTTGCAAAACAATTTCAATCGATACCAATATTATATCACTTATATTAAAATTGAATAACAGAAATAAAAATTGTCTTCTTCCGCTATTTACACGCAATTGAAAAAGAAATCTGACGTTTTATAATGAGATACATGCGAATATTATTTATTGATAAATAATTTTCAATTTGAATGCACTAAACGGTTTTTTTGTAGAGAAAATCATGGAAGCTTTCTTTAAGTATATAATAAATGGCGATATTGCTGCCATTAAGAGATCATTTGACAGCTCATCCGAAGAAGAAAAGCATGGGCTTCTTTCTTATCAAGATGATAACGGTAGAACTCCACTGCATATCGCTGCACTCTATTCAAATGAGGAAGCAGTTGATATTCTTATAGAAAACGGAGCTAATATCAATGCTCTAGATTTTAACGGAAATACACCAATCTTCCACGCAATATTATCTCGTTCACAAACTATCATCGATAAACTCGTACAAAACAAGGCCATTCTTGAGTGGGTCAATTCTAATGGCGAAACTCCACTTCATTACGCTGCTGGAGTGAAGGCATTAGAAATTTTGAATTTTATTCTTGTTCAGGGTGTAGAAGTTAATCCTTCAAGCACACCATCAAGTGACCCACCATTATTTTATGCTGTTCGTGCTGCTTGGCTTGACGGAATTAAAGCTCTTGTTGATTTTGGAGCAAAAGTTGATCCACGCGGCTCTCTTAAGAGAGTTATCCCAATAATTATACAAATGTACAGAAATATCAGCTCTTCGCCGAGTAAAAAGAATAATAATTCTCAACATCGTTCGTTAATTCGCGAAAAATCAATTTCAGGTGAACAAGCCTATGAAATTGTCGATTTCTTAGTACAACATGGTGCTGATATCAATGCAGCGTTTACAGTCAAGGATTCATCAAAAACTCAAGAGACAAATGCATTACAAGATGCAATAATCATGAGTGACCAGAAAATGATCGAAATTCTTCTTCGCGGAAAACCTTCCATTAACAAGCCTCTTCCAAATGGTGTACTTCCTCTTGAGCTTGCAATTCAAAGAAATTGTCCACAGATTATTATACAGATGCTCATCGAAGCAAAGGCAGATGCCCAGCATGTTAATGATCTTGGTCAGACAGACCTTCATTTGGCCTGCATGAATTCGGATATTAACGTTGAAACAGTTCAATATCTCATTGATTACTACAGTAAATATACAGCAAACTATCTTGCAATAGCTGATAGAGAGATAAACGAGTGCCAGGATCCAAAGCAAATTGCTGAAAAAAGAATCGGAAAAAGAGTTGCAGATATTTACAAGAATTCTCCAAGAAAAGTCGATCCGTTCTTTGTAGACAAGGAAGGAAATTCACCACTTTTCTACGCCGCTCAATCTTCTTCAAAAGAAGCAGTTAAATTATTCATTGAATACGGTTGTGATCCGAAAGTTGAAAATAAGCGCAGATATACATCATATTCCATCGCCAAACCAGATATGTCTAACTATATGTACGAAATAGCTAATACAGATGAAAAACAGGAAATATTTGACAAATTAGCCTTCATTAACCCATACCACAATAAAGTTGAGGCATCGGGATCCCCAGAGAAGAAGAATAAAACAGTTACAGTGTACTCTAAAGAGAGTGTTACAAGATTAGAATCAAAGAAGTCTCAGAAATCGCCTAAGGCCAGTCAGTCGCAGGCCAATGAACCAACACCAAAGAAGTCTCAGGTTCAAACTGCAAGACCGTGGAGAGGAGTTGTTGAAGCTGAAGAATTCAGACGTGAAACAAGAATTAACCTCCGCAAGCTTAGATTAGAGATGAGAGAAAAGATTGATGCACTCAAGAAGTCAATCCAAGATATTGCTGATGAAAACGAAATAGAACTTTAAGAAATTTCAAAATTATTATTTTTTTCGAGTCTAATGGTAGTCGTAATTAAGAATAAAAATCTAGATGTAATTTTATTTCTAATCAATAAAGTATTTTTCCTGAATTATCCATGAAAATTTGCCATGAATGATAAGGCGGTGGCATATTTCATTTATTCAAAAATATTTCCGTATCAAAATTCAATATTTTGCAATTTTTGAGTTTATTCGGATAGATAAATAAATGTCAAAATTTCTCTTCGTTTATTGCAATAAGATTATAAGATGTATACTAAAATTTTGAAGTTTTTAACGATAATGGCAAAAAATTTCATCATTTGGACTATAAAACTCAGTTTTTATTATTTATATGCATCGGAGTTAATAATCCGATGTTCCAATAAGTGGCCGAATTTGAATAGAAATTGAATATAAATTATAGTTGCTATAGGTCTCACAGGTCGATGACAACAAAATTAGAGCTAGAAGTTGAGATAGAAAAATGTTTAGCAAAGATTAATGATCAGAATGTCGAAGAAATGATTGAAAACATCGAAAATCTTATTCCAGAATTTGAACCAGAAAGAATATTATCAATTCTTGTGAGAATAATACCTTTGCAATCCAAATTTATAGAATCTATCGACGCAATTTTCAGTGCTCTTATTAAAATTCCCAGATTTGCTTCATTGAAATCTCTTTTATTAAAGAAAGCGCTTTACAGCAATAGCGACAATGGACGATTTTTAGATAACAGATTCTATTTAGTTATACTTCGTAAGTGCTTCTTGAATGGCCTCTATAAGATTGATGAAATTCTCCCTGAAATAAAGAAAATAGACTCTCAACACAACGGATACAAAGCATATATTGGAATATTCTTCCTTAAAGAGATATATGAGAATGATAAAGAGCTTTTTGAAGTAATCAAAACAGCAAGGAAGGATCCAGGCTACATTTTCCAAGCTTCCACACATAATTTACCATCATGTGACGAACTTGTTGAAAACGACTATAAATTACTCAACAATTTACTAACATATGGACATCATGAGCCAATTGTTGTTTCTATCATTAAGGATGATGTTGACATGTTCATTAAGCTCTATACCCTTGATCAAAATGCATCAAAAAAGAAGTTTGACGCTTCAATATTCTCCAGTAATTTCTTATTCAAGGATTTGACGATGTTTAACATTGCAGCACGTAATGGATCAATTCAGATATTCAAGTATCTCTATGTTAACAAGGCAGAATTCGATAGAGAAACATTTAATTCTGCAATTATCGGTGGAAACCTTGAAATTATCAGAATCTGCATCCAAAACAACTGTTCAGGAGCTGAATGCGTTACAACGGCCGCAGTTTACAGGCCATACGACATTCTCGAGTGGTTACTTGAGAATTATGTTTCAGAAGAAAATCGTTTGAAAGAACTGGAGAAGGCATACTACGAGGCTGTCAGAAGTAACTGCTTGTACAGTGTTGTTTACTGCATACAAAATGGCGTTGACGTCAATTCTAAGAATAATAATAATTATTCTCATCCTTTGTTTGCTGCTATCCAGTATCCAGCTATCATAGAATATCTTTTGTCGCAACCAGATATCGACGCTAACAAGAGTAATTACTCAGGAACTCCTTTTGCTCTTGCATGTGCAATTGGCTATGAAGAGACTGTCAGAATCATGATGAAATCAGATAAAGTAGACATAACTCTCCATGAAACAACAAACGAATCAGCTCTTGGATCAGCAATTGTTAGCGGAAGACTTAATATTGTTAAATTACTTTTGGATTCAGGGAAATTCGATATCAATGAACAAAATTATAGAGGTGAAACCCCATTATACCTGGCTGTTAGCGAAAATAGACCTGATGTCGCAGAATATTTGTTATCAAAAGGAGCAAACACAGAAATCCAGTCCAACCAGGAATATACGGCCATACAACTTGCAAAACTTCGCAATGATAATGCTATGGTCGAACTTTTGCTGAAATATAACGCAAAGGACCTTCCAAAGCCAGAACCTCGCAGCTATGTCTGATTTATATAAATAAAATTTATAGAGTTTAGATCTTTTTTTATGATAATCCAAATATTTAATCGAAAATTTTATTGTATTATCACTCTTAATTAAATTCGATTGTATAATGTATTATAACTCAATGTGGTTGCTGTATACGAACTCATTGTTTTGAAAAATTAAAGAATTTTTTTGTAATAATTTTGAAGGTTACAATAAAGAGTGTTACCGATCTCATGTTTGCGGATTACTTTAAAATCCAAGTAATAATTATATGGAGAAAATGAAGAAAGTTCACCCATGAGTCAAGATGGACAATAATGTGTGAAGGTCTATAGGTCATCTGATAATTTGAACTGATGGTGAGATTTCCTGTTAAATGATAGATGCAAATCCAGGAGGAACACAATTAATTAGGTAATTTCATATTATTTGATAAAATTTTGCGAATTCCGCTGATATCATTTTGAAATCTATTAGTACATTGAATTTAAACAAGATTTCTACCCATATTTTAATGAAGAGAGCCTGCCATAATTTATTTCAATTTAATAAATGGTCAGGAAATGATTGAAAATTAATGGAAACCAATTTGGATGTTTGGAAATGCAATTTTCCACTATAATTACACATTAAAACTTTTCTTCTGGAAATAATCGAATTTTTATGTTATAGACCGAAAATAGATTTTTTCGGTTTTCTCTTCAAATAATTGAAAGAATGATACTATTATAGGTTTATTATATTATATAGCATATAATCATGCTATAGCCGAAAATTATAAGTTTTGAGAAGATTGAATATAACACAAATAAATTTGAATGTAAGTTAAATTGCTTGTTGTTTTTAATAGCTATTTAATGAGAAATCCAATATTGCAAAATTCAAATTGAATGATTGAAAGAACAGAAAAAGTCATTCTTTTCAATTTCGAATTTGTTTCATTGTATTTATAATTATATGGCAAATAAGATATTTAAACTTGATTTTTGAAGGAAAATTCACAAAATTGAATAAATTCAAATAATTTTTATTCAAAAATAAACTAGTTATTTGAGTTTAATACTAATTATCTATTCAAACTACAAAGTTTGTAATTTAAAATATTTTGTGAGATCAGCTTGAATTAATTCAAGGTTCTTTTCAATTAATATTAATGACCATATTACGCATTTTCGAACATTCTAAACCAAATATATAAAAATGGGAGACGAATGTTAAATTTGCTAGACATGGGGGAGTTGTCTGCAAAGTTTTAGCTCTTATCTCTAACAAAAAATTAATTTTTAAAAAAATGACCGAATACGTTTCACAGCGAGAAAAAAATAAAAGGCAAGATAGAATTTTCTAGACATAAAGAAGTTGTTTACCGAGTTTTAGCTCTTATCTCTAACAAAAAATTAATTTTTAAAAAAATGACCGAATACGTTTCACAGCGAGAAAAAAATAAAAGGCAAGATAGAATTTTCTAGACATAAAGAAGTTGTCTACCAAGTGTCAGCTGTTACTTCTTCTCAATACTGATATAAAATAAAAATCTTTATTATTTATTTAACCTTTATTGTTTCATTAAACTTCATTTATTTTATATTATAGTTTTATTCTTTTAGCTACTTGTAAAATAATCTAATTTTATATCATCATTTTACCGGATTATTCTTCAGTACATCGATTGTGTATCTAAAATAATATCATTATCCTTATTCTGTTTTTTCCAAAATTCTTTTAAATATCTTTTTTGGTTAGATTACTTTATACTTTTTACTTTTATTTTTTAATTTCAAAAAAAATTTGGTGATTGTTCTATTCTGTTACAATGTGCATTATCATATTCTAATGAATTATTCATTACATACATTTAAAAAAACTTGTTAAAAATGAAATTAAAAAATTATGTTTATTATTACGCTGTGAATGTGTCAACAGCGGTCATGCCTGTATCTGTATCCCATATTTGCCACAACCTTTCTGTATCTGCATTTGTGTATTTCGGTTTCAGCTGATACATTTGATTTGGCGTGTAATTTGTTCCGGTTAATGGATTAATTGGGCAGGAATAGCCTGAATGCTTTGGCAGCGCTCCAATGGCGGCCAGAATCTCTCAATCTTCCCATTTTGGTAGGGAGAATGAGAGTCTGTATGCCGCCATTGGACGCCCCAAAGATCAAGTAGATCTTGAAAGGCGCCCCTATTTTCTGAACCGTTGTCGGTCCAGAAACAATAAGGGGCGCCAAATTCAATGAAGGCGGAAGCCGCAACGTTCGCTGTCGTCGCTGCCAGCATATCTGGTATTTGTATATACGCTAGGACTTTGCGGCTAAAATCGTCGATTATGCCATAAATATATTGGCCACGAACACCCCTAAAATAATGAACATCTGCGTGCCAGATAAGATTGGGTGAAAGCGCCCAATATCTTACTGCTGTTTCTGGCCCGGCATGCTCTAATCGCGTCTTGGTGAAATGATTTTCTTTGAAGTATCTGCGTACTTCTCTATAAGATACATCAATTTGTTGTAATTTCAAACGTTTCCATTGTTTTGTTTGACCACAGGGAAAGGCCCAGTGGTCATGTATCACAGCAAAAGCTTTGATTTGGTCGTAGGGATTGACCCTACGACCTTTCTTGCCTTTAGGCAATGGGATATTCTGTAAGCTAAATTGATTTTGTAAAAAAGATTTTGAAACATCTAAATATTTGAAATCATTTGATTGAAGGGTTGGGGCGATGGGAACATGGGTGTAAGCTTCTTCCCATGTCATTTTACCTTCTTCAATCTGATTGGAAATACCAATTAGGTAAATTCGATCGACATACCCTTTGTAAGGATTCATTCTAATGAAGTACGTTAACAATCAAAATATTCTATAAGTGTCTAGTATGGAATTCAAAAGAATAAAGAAAATGGTAACGTAAATAAACGTATTACGAAAAATTTATAATTAAAATGAAAAAAAAAAAAATAATAAGTAAAGTGACTGGAAATGAAAATGAAAAATCAGTGTACAGTTTTATTTTTTTCTCGCTGTAAACGTATTCGGTCATTTTTTTAAAAATTAATTTTTTTTGTTAGAGATAGAGCTAAAACTCGGTAAACAACTTCTTTATGTCTAGAAAATTCTATCTTGCCTTTTATTTTTTTTCGCTGTGAAACGTATTCGGTCATTTTTTTAAAAATTAATTTTTTTAGAGATAAGAGCTAAAACTCGGTAAACAACTTCTTTATGTCTAGAAAATTCTATCTTGCCTTTTATTTTTTTCTCGCTGTGAAACGTATTCGGTCATTTTTTTAAAAATTAATTTTTTTGTTAGAGATAAGAGCTAAAACTTTGCAGACAACTCCCCCATGTCTAGCAAATTTAACATTCGTCTCCCATTTTTATATATTTGGTTTAGAATGTTCGAAAATGCGTAATATGGTCATTAATATTAATTGAAAAAGAACCTTGAATTAATTCAAGCTGATCTCACAAAATATTTTAAATTACAAACTTTGTAGTTTGAATAGATAATTAGTATTAAACTCAATAACTAGTTTATTTTTGAATAAAAATTATTTGAATTTATTCAATTTTGTGAATTTTCCTTCAAAAATCAAGTTTAAATATCTTATTTGCCATATAATTATAAATACAATGAAACAAATTCGAAATTGAAAAGAATGACTTTTTCTGTTCTTTCAATCATTCAATTTGAATTTTGCAATATTGGATTTCTCATTAAATAGCTATTAAAAACAACAAGCAATTTAACTTACATTCAAATTTATTTGTGTTATATTCAATCTTCTCAAAACTTATAATTTTCGGCTATAGCATGATTATATGCTATATAATATAATAAACCTATAATAGTATCATTCTTTCAATTATTTGAAGAGAAAACCGAAAAAATCTATTTTCGGTCTATAACAATAATCGAATTTTTATACAGCTTGGTTGCTTATTAAAAATGGTAGCATATTTCAGTATTGGTGAAAATAACGATGATACAATAAATAGCAGAAGTGATATGATATGATATCAGATCTATTCAATTTTATCTTTTTGTGATGCGTCAGAAAAATTAACGATGAGCGAAATCGGCTCAAAATTTATCCATCTCCATCATTAATAAAATTTACTCATGCCTGACTGAGTGATCGCATAATATCTTTCAAACTCAAATCACTTTCAAACTATTTTACACTTCTGAAAGTAATATCATTTTTAAAATTTCTCCTATGTTATATCCCCAAAAACATTTGGGATTCTGAACTTATTCAAAAGTCAAAACGAAAAATTCCGATTGAAGTTAAAACAATCTATTGTTAATATGCTTTATTTTCCTGAGAAATATTACCTATTCAAAAAATAAATTATTTATCTTCAATTTTATGATTATTTTAATGATTTCTTGATGATAACCAATATTAATTTAGATGTTATTGTCATTATATTATGAAACTATTGTCTGATTTATTTTCCGATACGATTATTTTGGCTTCAATTTGAAGGATAATTCAATCGCTTAGCCAATAATTTTTTATTAATCCAAAAAATGGATGATTCAATAAATCTCGAAGATGTCGATGATTTCGCAAGTCCACCACCAGTTCCATCAAGCGATATTGGCTTAGATGGACAACCAACATTTGTACCAAACGACGCCATTTTAGATGATTCAGGTGTTGAAAGGCCTGACGAAATTATGGAAGATGTTATTTCTACAGCTCCAGATGGTACACCACAAGAACCAGAGAAACCAACTGAGCCAGTTTCAGAACACGGTACAGTTCGTAGATTCGCCACAATTCTTAACTTACTCAACTCACTTCTCGGTGCCGGTATTCTTGGTGTTCCAGGCTCCATGACGCATGTCGGCCTTGTACCATCAGTTCTCATTATTATTCTTATTGCCGTTTTATCTCATATAGCCACCCTTTTAACAATCAAGCTCCAACGTAGAGTTGGCGCTGAAGGCTTCGATGATCTCGCCTATAAGGTTTTCGGCAAATTCGGATCAATTTCTCTCTCAATTATGATTATGCTCTTCTCGTATTCCTGCAATGTCGCTTATCTCGTCATCGGCACAGACTCAGTTGTTTCCTTCTTCAGAATGGGCAAGATTATCCTTAATAAAATCTGGCAGCGCGCCATTGTTACAGTTATTCTATGGGCTGTCTTCCCAGGTGCTCTTACATTCCTCAAGGATATCACATTCCTTCAATATGCTTCATTCATCAACTTCGGATGCGTCACCTTCTTTGTTATTGCCATGATCGTCAAAACAATCCAAATTCTCCCGAAGGAAGGCGTTAGCAAGGACATTACCTTTGGCACATTTGGCATTGGTATCTTCTCTGCTATCTCTATCTACGGCCTTGCCTTCGCCCTTCCTGTCGTTGTCCTTCCAATTATCGAACCATACAACAAGAACATTCGCAAGCGTGGTATCGTTTCACTTTGGTCATTCATCCTTTGCTGCTTCTTCGTTGCCGTCCCAGGTATCCTCTGTTACCTCATGCTTGGGTCAGAAGCCGGATCAAATGTCCTCAACGCTTTCGCCGCAAAGGATCCAAAGGACTACATCATCACTGTTGTCCAGGCAGCATTCCTTATCGTCGTCTGCTGCTCCTATCCAGCAGTTGCTCAGTCACTTATTTGCTCTTGGGCCGCACTCATCTTCAAAGTCGATAGTCCAAAGGTTTTATCTACTCCAAAGCGCTTAATATGCGTTGCAATGGCCAATGTCATTCCACTCGGACTCGCCATGTTCCTTCCGAACGTTGGACCGGCTCTCAGCATCGGTGGTGCTTTCGGTGGATGCTTGGCTGACTTCTTCTTCCCGCCAGCAATGTGGGTGAAGATTTCGAAGAAACCAATCTCTCATTGGCAAAATATTCTTAATATTATCTTCGCAATCTTTGGTATCATCTGCTGCATCATTGCTACAACATTGGCCATTATTGATTGTATTAAGGCTTTCAAGTAAGTTTGAGAGAGAGGGTCAAAGTTGCTATTTGTCACTTTTCCACAAGAATATAATGGGGAAAAAGTTATCATATAGTTGATCTCATTCACTGAGGTGAGAGATGCATGTAGTGTAATGGGATAAACAGTGGGATTGCTGCTCTAAGTCCTAGGTTCGAGACACATTGGCTTCATTTTTCTCTTTTTTATTGACGTAAACTATTCAATTTTTGTGTTCTCCATTCAAATTTCAGAATTTTTTTTGCAGATTTCACGCTACATTCGAAGTTACCTTTTGTAACAACCACCACCGCCTACGAAAGACGAAAGTGTGTCACGATTTCACCCGGAAATCCGACGGTTGTTTAAGAGTAAGCACTTTTGGCACCTACTCGTAAGTTTGATAAAACGATGTTAAAAATTTATTCTATATTAATTTACAAATTATACTCATAATAACTACTAATTTACCAATACTATGAATGATTTTTGTCTCATATTCCAATTAATCACAGTTTTGCATATATGAAATTTTATTTTCTTCGATAAAACTTCATTTTAATATAGTAAATCACTTTAGTATATTTACCTTAGTAAAAATTTGCATGTTATGCATGTTATTGTGGGTTAATTTGGGTTAATTCAATCAAATTATTCTTATTTTAATGATCTTATCATCATTCCTATGCATAATTTTTTAAATTGTATAAAATAATATCTTTAAACTGTTTATATTTGGGTTAAGGGAGGCTTCCGACCAGAAAGCCCTCTCAATTTTTGTGATGTTTACACCAAAAGTGAGATTCGTTAAGCGTTTTTCTCGTTGAATATTGAGTTTCCCGGATTTTAAGTTATTCATAAAGCTTCTCTATATTATACCCTATCTACTGATATGATTATTTTTGAAAAATCTCTTAAATCGACCTGCACTGAATTTTTTAGGGAAAATTCGAAATTTTATAGGCGTTTTCGAGAAAGGGACAGACTAGCCCATTGTCACTTTTTAATTTAGCAAATGAACGCTTATGGAGTGGAGTTTTTGGGTAAATCTGATTTGCTTATAAATGAAATAAAATCAAAAGAAACCATATTGGCATTATATTATGCAAAAATAAATGATCTTACTTAGTACTTTTAAAGTTAATTTCAGAAAAAATTTGACACAATGGTATCCGGCACATACAAGTGGTGTACAACCAAAATATAAGTTGGTTTAAACATATATTGCTATATCTCATGATCTTACTTAGTACTTTTAAAGTTAATTTCAGAAAAAATTTGACACAATGGTATCCGGCACATACAAGTGGTGTACAACCAAAATATAAGTTGGTTTAAACATATATTGCTATATCTCATGATCTTACTTAGTACTTTTAAAGTTAATTTCAGAAAAAATTTGACACAATGGTATCCGGCACATACAAGTGGTGTACAACCAAAATATAAGTTGGTTTAAACATATATTGCTATATCTCATGATCTTACTTAGTACTTTTAAAGTTAATTTCAGAAAAAATTTGACACAATGGTATCCGGCACATACAAGTGGTGTACAACCAAAATATAAGTTGGTTTAAACATATATTGCTATATCTCATGATCTTACTTAGTACTTTTAAAGTTAATTTCAGAAAAAATTTGACACAATGGTATCCGGCACATACAAGTGGTGTACAACCAAAATATAAGTTGGTTTAAACATATATTGCTATATCTCATGATCTTACTTAGTACTTTTAAAGTTAATTTCAGAAAAAATTTGACACAATGGTATCCGGCACATACAAGTGGTGTACAACCAAATCTTCGACTCGATGAACTTGTCATCGAGTTATATTCCAGTGTTGTTCCTTCATTCCTGATTAAGTTGCAAATTAAAGGTCTGGATTCAGAGAGAAGTGTTAAAGTTATCAAAAAAAGTCACAAGAGATTTCGAAGAAATGACACAATTTAAAAAAAAGTCGAATGCATCAGTATGCTTGAAGCTGTTCAGAAAGGTCTGAAAAATGATACACTTGATCCCAACATTGTTACTCAACATTAAAAAAATATTATTGCAAAGAAAACATTTGATTTAATAAACATTTAATTTATTATAATTAATTTTTTATTACAGTATAGTAAAAAATGCTATAAATAAATTATTATATTTTATTAAAATGTGACTTTTAATAGTAAGTGAATAAAATAAATCAGGAATTGGGAAAGAAATAAGGTTAATTAAAAATAATGAAAATTACAAGTTTAAGGTTAATGAAAAAGTGACAATGGGCGAGTTTGTCCCCCACTCGGCGTTTTCTGTAACGTTTTTTTACGGAATAAAATCCGAAAAATAATTTTTTGAAGAATCATTTGGGTAGAATACTTATCGAAAATTATATTTATTATAATTTTGGTCGATAAAAATAAGCGGATTCAAAACTGGCAAAAACCCTTTCGGCAATTTGTGGACGATTCCGAACCCCCTCATTTTTGAAATTTAATAAGAAAAATAGAATCTTTATTAAATATAGATTTTTAAAAACTTGGTTATAAATTACGAAATTTTCTCACTTGGGCTAAAAAGTGACAATTTGGTCGGAAGCCACCCTTAATAACTCATTTTATCCACATTATGAACACAAATGAATGGTAATTTTCTTTCACATTCCTACATACAGAAATTCTATCAATAAGACAAGAAAAAAAGTCAATAAATAAATTGTTTTTCTAAATTTCAATTGAGAATTTATGGATTTTAACTATTTTGAGATTTACTTATATCATTAATAATCGATGTGATTGCAATAACTTGCAAATGAATGATCGAGTTAACATATAGCATAATACTCATTAATGATAGAAGGGCATCCAAACAACAAACAGTTCTAACTTGGTGAGGAAATATTTGTTGTTTGGATGCCTCCAAGTAAGAGAAGCTATATTCCCCCTGAGAGGCAAATCAGCATCTTTATATCAAAGAAAAATCTACAATTATTAATGTTTATTCTCATATTACTTTTATAATGGAAGATCAATCTTTCCAAATTGTTTTGGGTATTGCAATTGAATTTTATTAATGTATATAGATACATTGATCCATGAAGGGTGTCCAGACAAGGATAAGGCTTCAGCGCATCCTTTAGTAAATGAAAATTTCTCTTGAACTATAACAAAGTTAAAAAAATCTTTTTTTTTACTTGAAAACAATCAAAAACATTTTTTAAAAAAAAGTTATTAATTTGTATGATCAATTAATTCCGCACCAACAAGAAGAGGACTGACCAAGTAAGTCATTTGTTTTCCTTTACCTTTGAGGAATACTTCTCCTCTCTGTTTGATATCGAAACTCAAATGGCTGACCAAATCGTAGCAAGACTGAGAAATTTGTACGTAATTTGCTTCATCAGTTGATTGCAATCTTGCAGCGACATTTATTGGGTCACCAATTATATCGAAAACAGGTTTGTCTTTACCCAAAACGCCAGCGATGATTGGACCACCAGTATTCACACCAATTCTCACACTCAAACTTGCATTCAACTTCATGTTTATGTCATCCAATTCCGCGATAACTTCAGTACCAAACAAAAGCATCTGTTCAGCGTGTTTTTCAGCTTGAACTTCAGGGTTAAACAAACCAGCAGCTGCCATATAGATATCACCAATCAACTTGATTTTCGTGAGTAGATTGAACTTCTCCAAGATAGAGTCAACAGTTCCGAAATAAAGCGAAAGATTTCCCATGATTTCTTGAGGTGTCAAATTCACTGAATATTCGGAAAACTTGACAATATCGATGAAACAAATTGTTGCTGATTGGACCATGAAAGAGATATCATTTTCACCTCTGTTGATTTGCAAAACGATATCTCTTGGAAGTATCTGGTAAAGCAGTTTCTCTGACTGTGCTTTCGCTTCTTCCGCCTGTTTTTGTTGAGAAACTAATTGTGTTTGGTCTCTCAAAATTATGACGAAAGAATTAATTGACGATGAATTCTGTGGCTTGATTGCGAGCATTGTTATATGGCAAGGCATAAATTGCGATGCATCCGTAATTGCCGTAACATTTTCTTCAAAGATTGGTGATGCTTGTCCGTTCCTCATCATATCCAATTGTTGCATCACTTTCTCTTCATCGACTTGTATGAAGAATGTTGTTACAGGCTGTCCTAACAACTGCTCGGGAGTATATCCCAACAAAGATGTTGTAGAAGGATTAACAGTTTCAACAACACCATGTAAGTTTGTGCATAAAATTGCATCGGGAGCGTTTTGGATGATGTTTCCTGATACAGTTTTACTGACTTCATGAACTTCATGGTTGTTGTTCAAGAAATACTTGATAAACAATTTGTTGTTTATCAATGCATGTGGATTAATCCTTTTAAGAATAAAAAGAGCTGCTCTATACGAATCTCTCCTCATATTGTAATAAGTCGAGATAACAATAGCATATAAGGCAATAAGAACGAAAGCAGGGATAAGTAATAACCCAATAATCAACATTAAATCGTCGTATTGGACTTTCGCAAGTTGACTTAATCGTTCTGTAACTCGTAACATCTTTGGAGAGATGTGCCTAGCGAAAATATGGAAGATATTGGCAACAGGAGCGGGTGATAAGGACCGAGAACCAACAAATTCGTCTAATGTAGTTTTGACATAATCTGTCAAAATCTTTAATTGAGTGTTAATGGAAGCGTTGGCGTAAACGGAGTGGGAATCCATGGACGTGTGATTTATGTCTTCGTCGTATAGGTTCTCTTGGTCTAAAACTTCGTCAAAACCGGAACATGGTTTGGAAATCGAAGTTCCTAAGATTAAATCTTGATTGGATTCGACCAATGACTTTAATCTCTCAAGACACATATAATATGCCATTGATACGTTAGAAAGTGCAGTTGCATTTGGATTTTCAAACAATGACATGCCGAAAGTCAAAGTATTGATCAATTCTGCGCACAATGATAACCTGAGAGTTGCATACTGGTCCCAAAGGTTCAAGTCAATGATGTGGTTGTTAGATTTGACGGATAATAAAGTCATTGCAGTGGCAATTCCGACAAATAATAAGGCAATAAGGCAGATAAGGAATAATAAGCATCCGCCGCGCTCAGAAGTTACATTAGTTTCTGCTAATTTCGCATCATCATTTTCGACATTTACAGAAATTAGCTCTTTTGCGTCTGCTCTTGTTTTCGGATCGAAGCTTACGATCAACTGAGTGATTTCCTTTAGGGATCTCTGAGTAAAGAAGTGTACAAACAGGAAAGGAATGAAAGCAACAACAGCAACTAAAGGAGGAACGATGTAGAGGATCAATTGGAACTTTGTTTTGAGATTTTCACCTTTGTCTACTTGGTATTTGCTCAAATCCATGAAAACTGTTGGAATAACTACATAAAATGATCTGAGATTTGAAATAAGTTCGCAAAACTGCGTTTCATTGTAAAGATCTGAGATGTTCTCTTGATATCTTGTTACGATATACGCTTGGTGTGCAAAGAAAATTGAGATCATTGTGGAAATTGTGTCATTTACACGGCCAACGTAGGTTCTTTCGAAACAGGTGTAAATAGTATGCATATCTGATATCAAATTACCTGCTACTTCGTAAACATCGTCTCTGTTATTTGCTAATTGAGCCAATTTGTTGATTAAATCACTGTAAACGTCCATGGCTGCATGTAGATTTGGTAAACTCTGGACAAGGAAGTCATCTGTCATATTTAGAACCGGTTTATACGTTGATTTGCATTCATTATCTAATTTGTCGACAGTTGGTTTATATTTGGCGTAGTTTCCTCTGTCTTGAATGAATCTGAGCAAAATTTCCATATCGTTGATCGCCAAATAGTATCTTGTCTTGGAAATCGAATCTAACATCGCCATAGAGTCCGTGTGTTCGAATAATTCGACTTTAGTGAACACGAACATGAAGATGAAGACCGCTGTAACGATTAATAATATGACAATCGTTAAAGGAATAATACATTTGATTGATCCAGGTAATTTATTGTTCAAAGCTCTGTGGAGAGCCAACCTTGTCTTGCATTGTGTGAATGTCTGCTTTCCAATCGATTCCTGGATGTCGTCGTCGATATCTGATGAAAAACTAATTTGATTTGAGCCTCCGCTGCCACTTCCATTGGAAGATTGGGTAAGAGTCTCTCCATTCTTCTGTCTATTGTCTTTCTGTCTTATATTTCCTCGTAAATCAATGATTTCCTTTTTGATATAACTTGGAATGAGTTTAACCATTGATCTGAACGAGTAATCGAAGGAATAGTTCTTTCCCATTTCGATTAAATTGCCTCTGTGCTTGATTTTAAGAGCTTCTGGGAAGTTTGCTTCACTTTCAATTAAATATCTGCAATATTCATCGCAAAACTTCGGATTGTTTGGATAATCACATAGTGCTTCTACCCAAATAGCGTTTGCTCTCTTGGCTTTGACTGCTAATTCCTCGTAAAAGCCTGGTTTCAGATTTGTTGTTTCTAATGCTGATCTTGTCAACGATTCGACCTGTCTGGACATTGTTTTGAGGTCATTTAACTTCATATTAGAGTCGTTTGAGCTTGAAAACTGCCTCAAAGTCTTAATTTTGTAAATTTGGTAGATTAAGAAGCGTTGGTCGAAATTAAGACGGCGATTTGTGATTAATAAGCCTGTTAATCTGTTCAAAAACCTTGTTTCTCCTGGGAAAAAGTTAATAATTTGCAACATATTCGTTAAAACATATTCAGAAGTTGAATTTTGGAACAGGTACTCCATCAAACTCAAGTCATAGAATAAAGGACAAGTATTTGCGAATCCAATTGAAAGATATGTCAAAATTTTCTTGTCATTCTTAAGAATTCCAAGGGATTCGTAGTATGAAATCTTATCTTCGAGGTTTGAAACGCTGAGTTTTTTGATTACATTGCGTCTCATGAAGTGAAACATAATTAATGACAAAGTAAACAAGAAAATGTAGAATCCTGCGCAGAAAATGACCGGTACAAAATGATTCATACCAGTCTTGAAGTAGGCTACAAACATCATTACGTCTAAAGCTGCAGAGTTCAAAAGCATTCCGAAAAATAAAGAATTTGAAGTGTGAATGATATAATGCATGTATAGAACATTTGATGCCAGATAGACAAAGATTACAGCATGAGCAACCATTGCTATCAAAATTGTCCATTTCGCAAAATATAAAATCAGATATGTACAAATTAAAGTAACTGCAACGGTATTGATAATGGCATAAGTAATGAATGGATCAAATGATAAGAATGGAAGGTTTTGCAATGAAACACTTTTCGCTGTAAGTCTTAAAATTAAGTAATGATAAATAAGTTCATAAATTACGTTGACAATAGCTAAAACGAATGATATAATGATATAAAAATCAGTTTCTCCTTGAGTTATTTTCAAAAAGTTTTCACCAACAACAAAAGCCGAAGGAAGGATACCAATTAAAGTTACAGCATCATATGACTGAATTGGATTGAGTAGGTATCTCATGAAGCTTCTGTGAACGTTGTAGTACAACATCTGCGAAATTATAATTAATAACGAGAATATGTTTGCAACGAAAAAGACAATTTCTTTAATAAATATCGCTTTTGAGTTGTAAGGAGTCGGAAACATCAATAAACCTACCTTTAATCCTTCGTATAATTTAGATTGTGCGTGATTCATGTACTTTGTGTCCCAATAACTACTCATTGGCCACATAGCAAGAAACATAGCTTGAAAGCCCCAGTAAAGAGCTGCCAAATAGAATAATGGAACAATTACTGCATTATTTTGAAACATGTTGTTGAACAATGGGAATATGACATCAATCTTCTTCACAGTTCCCTGTACCAACTGGTTTCTAAGTCCAGTATCTTTTTCAATTGTTGTACTGGTATGTAAAGAAGATGCTGTATTCATTTTTAAAATTTCTAAACCATATTTTACCTTTTTGAGCAAAATGTTATTATATGCATTAGAGCAAAATTATTTGAATAATTTGGTGTTTCACATTTCATTTATGATTTCAATTCAAATCCATTCAAATCAATTATTTAATACATACATGAAATCATATATTTTTAAAAACAAATTCCATGGTTTTCCATAACTTTGATTTCTGACGATATTTTTTGAAAGGGTGATTAATCAATACTATATACCCAATAGAACAATGACATTGTTTACAGTTTTCATATATGTCAAAAAAAAATTGAATGATAGATAGAAAATAATGATATCATTGAGGGCTATATTGACTTTAAAGGCAATCCCATATTAAAAATAATTTTGAAAACTGTTTTAAAATCTGTTTTTATGAGTACTGTAAAAATTTATTACGGTAATATATGAATGCGAAACATAATTATGCTTTAAAATGCCAGATTTTCAAAATTACAAACGTATATAAATTTCTGACAAGATTTTCCGTTATTTCCGAGTTATAAATTCAATCTTAAAAACGTATATTATGGGAGTAAATTTTGCTCACTTTTTTCTACATATTTGATTATAAAATTAATATTTTTTTGAAAATAATTTTATCATTGGTGGTTCATCGAACCATTACACCCTATTCAATAAATGAGGTATCAACAAACTCGTTATACGCTTTTTCGCATGATAATGACTGTAATTCTTTCTCAATTTCTTCCAATGTCATCATTTTTTTGAACACCAAGACATCTATTCTGTTCCATTGGTGTACTACTTCGAGAATGAGTTCATGCATTACAAACTGATTCGTTTGTCAATATAAATTGAATTCAAATTTTTAAAACAAATAAACTATATCAGCAAAGTAATAAGCTCGTCAAGAGTGAATCATTCTCGAAGCTGTTTCTTTCCTTGACATATTTTCAAAAAATACATTCAAGAAATGAACAAAATTTCTAAAGGACAGCAACAGAAAACAGCGTCATTTATGATTTGTGTTTGTATCAATTTTGGTTTTCGATAAAAATTCTGTATTTTAGTGTATTTCTTTCAATAATTTTGAAAAAACTTTGTTTTAAAGCTTGAAAGTAATGAATAAGTTATGTATTGAATGTAAGAATAGATTTTTGACAATTAAAACCAATGATTAAGATTCTATTCGATGATGCAAATCAATTCTTGCAAATCTGAAAATTCCTTTGCGGATTCGGAATCTAGCCAACAACAAATGTTCAAATGACATTGAAGTAAAGTGGTTTTCATCTCCAAATTTTCTTTGAAATACTCGATTTAACTATAATCTATAAGAACTTTCAATTGAATTTTGTATTTTTGAATTTTTTTTGAAATTATTCAAAAAAGAATCTTTATTTTAAATTTTTCTCAATTGTGGATGGTTGAACAGAGCTTATAAATCGGCTATTTTATTTCACTTTTCATAAAAATTTAAATAATATTGGATATTTAGATAAAATCAAAAATTCAAATCAAGATAATTTTAATTTAAAGATTATTATTCTAGTTCCATCATTTCTAAATGGTATTATATGACTTAGTATTAATAATCATAGTAAGGGAATCTTAGCTTTTCAATTTTTATCTTCGGAATTTTATAAGATTTCGAATCAAGCGCTATAATGATTCTGAACAGCATTTCAAAGACAGAACTATCTCAACAGATTTTTTTTAAAAATGTAATAATCATGAAATGTATAAAATGGCAATAGACAAGTAATTTTACTTATACTGTGCAATTTTAGCCTTGAGGTCAGGGATTTTAAGACCAATGATTTCATCAAGCTTCTGATTTCCTTTGTAGTATAAGACTGTTGGAACAGAAGAAATTTCATAGGCATTGCGGAAATCTTCCTTATCATCAATATCAACCATTAAGAATTGGACGTCTGTATTTTCCTTAGCGATGTTTGGCAACATTTGATTTAATCTCTTACATGGCATGCATGTCGTAGAACCAAACTTGATTACAATAAGACCTGGGGCAGCAGCAATCTTAGCTTTAAGTTCATCAAGAGAGCCTTCGAAGTGTACAAGATTCTCAGACATTTTTGAAATGAAGTCGATGAAAAATTTGACAATAAACGTAAATTTTTCTTCAGAATTTTTACACCAAGTTGGCCAGGTTCCAATGATAGATTTTTTGTATAGATTCATTGACAATACTTTACACATAAACAATTCCAATTGTAATCCACAATGAAGTTGCATTTTATGCATAAATTTTGGATGTGAGAATGAATTAGACATACAAAATAGCTATACAATGGATGGTCAGGCTAAGCCTTACAAAATTGCTTCATGACATTCACATTTTTCCCTCATCAAAATTATATTGAATGCGGAATAACCACAACATCGAGGATGAAATTGAAAATTTGCTTCAGAGACTATTTGCCATCATATTAAACAATCATTATTGCGATTATAATGAATAAAAATTGATTTGATTTTTATCATGGAAATACAAACAAATATTTATTCTGTAGTAGAATAATCATAAGAATAAGAAAATGATAAGGAGTCGAATTCATCCCCATCATCACCAAAAAAAGCTGGATCATCACCTTTGATCACTTTATAGGCAAGGCGAATATTCCTAATAATATTAATAACCGTTAATATAACTATAACAACGATAAGTGCGGTTCCAGATGCAATATTTATTGCCGCTTTAACTTTTGGAACCTCAGTCTTAACAAACTCGGTCTGAATTGGTGGATGAGTTTCTTTTATTTCTACAATGATTGGATTTGGATCATATCCTGGTTGGTCATACTCATCTTCATAAGGTGTTGCAGATGGAAAAGCTGTCCATCTTGGTGTCTTTATATATGTTGATGGAGATTCTGCAGGTGTCGCTGGTATATCTGTTTCAGAAGGAGTTGTTTTTACTGTTGAATATGGAGTTTCAAAAGCTGTTTTATGAGCTGTTGAAAAGGGTGTTGGGAAGTCTGATGGCGCTGGTGTTCCTCCATTGGAAGGGCGAGGCGTTATTATTGGTGTCGTGTATGCTGTTGAAAATGGAGTCTTCTCTACTGTCGAAAAAGGTGTTTTATAAAATGTTGTGAATGGTGTTTTTTCGACTGTTTCATATGGAGTAGTTTTTTGAGTAATATATGGTGTAGTGTGTGGGGTTATTAAAGGAGTTGTGGCGTATGTTTGATAAACAGTAGTATATGGTGTTTCTATTGGAGTAATAGAGTTTGTTTCATAAGGAGTTTCGTACATAGTTATGAAAGGGGTGTCAACTGGTGTTACAGCTGGGGTTGGAAATGGTATTTCATAAAAGGATCTATCGTAAATCTGAATGGCTTGTTCTCGTGATGTAAAATTGATTTGATAGTCTGGGACACCAGAAAAATCACCCAAATCTAATTTAACCAGCAAAACTTGGAATTGCGTTTTACTAGTATAAATTTGCCCTTTTTCCATAGTTGTCCATGTTCTGGCATTTTCAATTAATAAAGAAGAGCTACTTCCTTCTGGAAGATTATTTAAAAAAGCTAAATTCAGGTTTGTATTGAAAATTGCAATGCATCTTTTGTGATTTGGATAAATTGGCATAATCGATGGTGGAATTGACTTCTGAAAGTCGACAATAATAGGCGATCTTTCGAGAAAGTGAAGTCCATTTTCACAACCAGTAAGTCCACAAATGGCAATAATAGTATCTTGATTTAATATAGGAACACGACACTCTAATCTTGACCTTGGATAAGGAACATAATATGCATTATTCGATTGGGTGTCAACTGGTATTGTATATGAAGCACCACCAGAATCATATGCAGTTAGTGCATAAGATGTAGCCCTACAAGTCAACAAGTAATAAATTGCAGGTCCAGAATTTGATTGCAAAGTACTTGTGCCCATCAAAGAACCGCTGAGAGTGAAGGTTTGCAACAATGACGTTACCTCATATGTAGCACCAGCCACCAAAGTCAAAAATATAGCAAACATAAAAACTTGAATTAAGTAATTCTTGTCAATATTGAATTTTTCAGAGAAAAATATACCGAAGACAATCAATTGAATTTTGAAATAGAACAACATATAAATGAATATTAATTAACCGATATATTTTGGCGCGTGAATTTTTGAAAGATAAATCGCCCCAAAAAACGATAAAAAAATTAAAAATTTATTGTTATTTTGCTACACCACTATGCAACAAGAATATGCCTTAAATTGTTGTAAATTTTCTTCTCAATTTTGAAAGACATCTCAATTTTAAGGCGGCTTTAAGAACCAATAACTTGAATAATCTGTTGAGTTTTTATAAAAAGAAATCGTCCATAGAATATTTCACATACGCACCTTCATAATAATTATAATATTCGTTCATTTAAAAATTTAAGGCTTCACTATAACATGAAAATGTAAACTATTCAAAATTTTTAAATAGATGAAAAATATGCTCTACAATATATATAAATACTATTCTATCATTTTCGGAAAAATCACGTTATAACTCATGTTAGCGGAAGAAGGAATTTTTTAGGTAGGTCAATAAAAATTAAAAATAGTGATAAATATAGCATTGACATAAATCATAGAATATATATCTCAAGGGACTTTAATTTTTGTCATGTTATTGAAGCCTTCATCATATGCAAAAAGTTTTAAGATCTAAATGAGAAAAGTATAAATATTGAAACAGATATGGCACAAACTCTCTCAATCTTGAGATATTTCAGTAGCAACATTTGAGAATAAAAAATTCGAGCAAGATGGAAAGTAGCAACTTCCTTTGGAAATTTAGTAAAGTCTATATGCTAATCCTATTTTCAAGTGGATTCTTCAAATGCTCAATAATATGTAAGGAGTTTAATTGAACTTCAGTTCTCATATTTTTCAGCTAATCTACTATGTAAAATCGGCTCCATTAAATAAAACTTCGGACGAGTCAGCATTTTCCACACATGGATTGAGAATCAATAAAATTGATGAGATTCCTTGCAGAAGAAAACATTAAAAAATTTAGTTCTTTGAAGGAAGAAAAGTTTTAGGATAGACGGAATAACTCCAAACTAGTGAAATGGGGAAAGAATTTTTTTGAAATAACTGACATTTAAAAATAGTAACGGTGTGAAATTTAGTCAATATTGAATATGTCTTCACAATTTTTCAAATGAATTGTTTCTATGATTTTGCTAGAAGTATCTTTTGCTATAAAAATAATTAGTTAAAAATTGATAAATTTAATTTCAATCGAGCTGAATTATTAATAACGATTTTTTCACTTTTTTTTCATCGAAAATAGCAAAATCAATCTTAATCATCTTCTAATCTAGTTGCTATGCGCGATGCATATTTAAAACATAGTGTAATATCTTGATTTTGCTAAAATTGAAGAAGAAATAGAGCTTTATCGGATAATTATGGATTTAAAAGATTCTTTACAAGTGATTCATATTCCATAATTGATATTTCATAAAGCATTTGTAAAACGATAGATATTTTTAGATGACAAATGAATTTGTTCAAAAATTCAAAATCATTCAAAAATAAGAAATAGAAACTTCATTTAGTATCATAGCTATGCACATTTATTTATTGAAACGTTCTTCTTTTGTCAATTCAAAAAAAATTTTTTTTCTTCTAACAAACTTCAAATGGTACTATTTTAAGAAATTTAGATTGAAATGATTAAAATTTACATCATTCAATGGTTTTGAAATTGAATTTCACTTTTAAATTTAAATTTTTGAATTAATAAAAGGATTTATTGGCTCATAAAGAATAGATATGAATGTCTTGATGGTTACACCAAAAATAAAATTTTGATATGATAATCTAAAAAAATATTTTGTGCATTGAATCAACTCTTTTGGTAATGTTCGCAACTAGTGCAGCTCAATATAGTCAAAAATATTTAAAAAAATGGAAACCTACCAAAATACGAGAATAATAGTATCATTATAAAGTTTATGAAGGAGTGAAACGCGAGCAAATTAAAAAATATCAGAATATTTTTAGAGAAGTTAATTGATCAAGTTTTGAAACAATAATAACGAAAAAATTGAATTGATTTTGACAGTTTCACAAATAATAACGAAAATAATTCATTTGAGAGCATTTAATAAAAATTAACTTGTCACTGACGCAAGACCAATTTAAATGAAATTACCACTGAATATAAATTAACAATTGTGTGAACTTTTTAAAGAATTCTATTCAAATATTAAATAATCAAGGCTATTTTAATAAGATTTTCTAAATACAGCATCGATATTCATTTTTACTCAATTAAACATAATAAATTGAATATTGTTCATAAATTTGATTGCGATATTTTTTGCGTATTTATGAATAATGCTTTGTTATTGTGTTATTCATATAATTTTTTTTGAGAGATATAAAATTGAATAGTATGGTTATGTAAACTTAATAAAATTGTGAAAACTGCTTTATTTGAAAAGAGCCGCCTTTAACCTGCTCTCAATTTCTATTGAATATAAAAATTGAAATTAATTATAATATCTATACCATTGTTAATATATTTCGAGAATTGCGCAGCACGTTAAATAAAAACTTTTTTGAATTATTCTCAAAAAATCTAAGATGAATTCATTTCACAATATTATCTTCAATGGCAAAAAAGGGATCTCGTGGCATTATACCAAAAGTTAAATTCACTCCTGAAGAAGATGACTTGCTTACTGAGATAATAGAACGAATTGGCACAAATGATTGGGAGCTTGTTTCAAAAGAGATGAAGAAACGCACTGCACGTCAATGTAGAGAAAGATGGATAAATTATTTATCCCCAGAATTGAGAAATGACCCTTGGACTGAAGAAGAAGACAAACTTCTTGACGAACTTTATGCAGAACTTGGTTCTAGATGGCATAAAATAGCCGAATATTTCCCAACAAGGTCAGGTAATTGTGTAAGGAATAGATTCAAATTACGCCAAAGGAGAACATTGAGGCAAAAGAAAAAGGCTCAAAAGGCTAATTCGCCAATATATGAAGAAGCTTCGCCTTCATCAGAAGACTCAGCGGATCAACTCACAAACATTATAACTCTCAAACCAGATCAATTTTCTAATGTAATTTCTTTTAAATCAGAGGAAGATGTTTTCGATATATTTAATGCGGAGAAAGGTTCTGTTGAAGAGTGGTTAGGCCTATGGCATTCCAAACGGGAACCGCGGTTGGTTACCATGGATTTCCGTCACCGGTCACATTTTAAAGATTTTTAAAGCCTTATAAAAATATGCTTTGTAAATCATTTTTTGTAAATCGGCAAAAATTTGGTAATTTTCTTCAACTAATAAATCTGCGAATAGCATTTATAATACAAGAACAATCTTTTAAAATGCGTTTGATTCATTTTTGTATAATTTCATATAGGCACATATATTCTTCCGGGACTTTCCGTGATTTTACCGTAAAATCATTAGTTTACACCAATTTTTCCGTATTTTGAATAGTTTACTGCACTTTTTCCGTAAAATTGAGTTACGGGAATCCGCAAAATTTCCGGACCTCATTTTTCATAGAATATAATAATAATATTTGATAAAAAGATATATTATTTATATTTTTGATTTTTGAATTACGGAAAAAGTGAATTGATAACTTGATTTTTTTATATGGTTAATTTTTCAAATGATATTATGAAGATCTAAAATATTAAAAGTAAAAAATTGAATTACGGAAAAAGTGAGGTCAAAAGTGAAATAAATTTGCAGAACAATTTTCATTGAAATAAGCTTTATTTTTCATTATTAATAACAATGCTGTAATAAACAGAAATTCATCAAAAGTGACAGCTCTCAATTTTTTGACATTTGTAAATTCTAAATTGAATGAGAAAAATGAAATAATACTAAGCATAATACAATATTCTAGATTTAATTATAATTAGGAAAAAGTTAGTTTTGAGAGTACTTTTCATAGGCATATAGAATGAAATCTTCTGAAAAATAATATCATATAAACTCATATTATTTTCTAATATATAACTATTTTATATAAAATCAAATTCAATGATCTTAAAAGCGAAGGATAAACCTCAAAATTTACGAATATAATGAGTGGGAATATAATGCTTCTCTATCATAAAACCATATGAAATATCAATTTTTGCTTTACGCCTAATTTTTGACGACAATTAGCAAAAAATGTTAAATGTTAACACTCAGTCCATTTGAATATGAAAAATAAAATTGACTTTGATTAAATGTTTTTATTTATCATGCAATTCTTCTTGCGACCAAAGATTTGAATAAAATTTCAAAAAATAAGATAGCTTAAAAAATAATATACGGTAGTGTTTACTAATAGATGAATAGTATATAAATTCTATTAAAATGGATTTGATCCAAAAAAATATATAAAATTTGATCATAAATAAAATCGTTTTAAATTACTTCTTCATTTAAATTATAACAATTATTTTTGGTTTTATAGTTTTTAAAGCTCATGTGGTTTTTTTAACCACAGAATACTTATGTGCTGTAGCAAGCTTGCAATCCAAAGCTCACGTTAGACAACAAGAGTCATGAAGTCTCATACTAAGGGATATCCAACATATATTTTAATAATCTAATGTTTGTGACAAATATTCAACATAAAATTAAGTTTTCGTTTCGTTACAAGGCATTCATACTTTGGAGATATCATATTTAATGTACAGAAAAGTTAATATTAAACAATACATGCTAAAGAATTAATAAATAAGATAATAAAATAAATTTATACGTAATTACTTTCATTTAATATGCTTTATGCTGTATAATATTGATTAAGAGGCATTAAAAGGTTCCATAATCTGCTTTTATAGGCAAGATTTTTGATAAAAATTTTAAATTTTGAAAAATGATGAGAAAAGGAAAAAAAAGGTAAATGAGAGCAAGAGGAGGGAAAAAAAGAAAAAGAAAAGGAAGGGAAGGGAAAAATAAAAGAAAGAAGGACATATAAAAATTTAGATGCGCATTCTTAATGCCGAGGCGGCTTGCCGCCGAGGCGCGATTTTTTTAGGCCTCTACGGTAACCCGGCAATGTTTTTTTAAATCTTGTACAGCCCTAGGTTAGGCACTTTCATTTAATTTATGTACTTTCAAATGTTCGATAAATTGTTCATTGATCTGTTTATATTACTGTTGATCATTAATTTTTATTAAAACTTTTTTCATGTTAATATTCGCAAAATAGATCTTTTCAGTCAAATTACAAAGGAAAATAAAGGCAAAGAACCCGAATTCTTCATCGATATGTAAATATCATGAAAGCTACTATTTTTCAAGCTAATTTCTCATATAGATTCTAAAATAGAAAATAACTATGAAATTTTCTTGAAAATTGATCTTAATTGGAGAGATATTGCATTGTTTTAATATTTGATGACTCTAATTGGCCAAATATAGGCTAAGCTTGCTTAATTTTTACCGCCGTTAGAAATAAGATAATGGTTGCAATCCGAAATCATGCATTTTATAATATTTTTATACAATTAAAGAAATTATCATATTTTGCATAATTTTTGAAAGGTTTCGCTTATCCAACATATTTTTATGCAGTGTTTGCTTTCCAAATATCAAATATTCATTTCATATGTGAATTTTCATTATTATTCTTAAAATGACTTAATAGAAACTGCTATGCTATTTCTATATGAATAAAATCATATTACCAATTTATCAATTGATATTGACCTATTTGAAATTCTAATGATTGAAACATGATCTGCAATATTTAAACCATTTCTTCCCATCTGGTAATTAGGCCCGAATAAAAAGCTTCTGTCTAGTTCAGATGTTTTTCTGAAGGAAAGTTTAATTTCATATCTTATCTGAAATATTTCAGATGCAAATATCGATATTAAAAAGTTATTACAGAGTTTTAGAGTTAAATACAATTATAAGATTTTATTAATTGATAATGATAGTCGATGATATCAGCTCCATCCTGAATATCCAGATGCCAGAGATACCAGATTCATTACCAATTGATCTATCAAATATCATCAAATCAGTCAATACCCCTATATTAAGGACAATTAATTTTTTGACAATCCCAGATTCAAAGAACATCACAGAAGTATTAGAATACTTGAATTTTGATTTTCCTATTATTCCGACATTTCTTATGCTTATTGAAAAATATCAAGATTTTGATTCACAATCTTCCGATATTCTTGCAATTTATGTACTTTATATGTATATATCATGCGTATTATATGCTAATGAAACAAACGATTACCAATATTATACAATGATTTTAAATTCCATCCCGAATCTACAAAATTCTAAACATTTTCCTTTATTACAGAATTGCTTTTTCAAAATAATCCAAGAATGCATCAACCATCCAGATTGCGCTACTCTCAACACATTCTTTCAAGGAATTTCCGATTACAGTCTTTTATCATGCTCTCATTCACCAGAATTTGAAAATATTCTTGTATCAATCCTACTATTTGTGACATCACAAAACCATGACGATAAATTAATATTCATTAAATTCATTTTGGAACTTACAAAAGAAAAATTTCAATTTAATGCAACAAATTCAATGAAAATCATTAATTTAATAGAGCCACACGTTATAGGATTAGATTGTACAGCAATGCAATTGTTTAATACATTATCAGAACCTTTATTTTCAGATATTATTCTCGATATTTACAAAAACATCATTGACTCATTAATTTCATTTGCAAAGACTACAGAAATGATTAAAATACCTAAAATTGAAAAATCAACGATTGATTTCATTCCGAATTTAAATCCAAAAATTATTTTTGAATATAGTGATTTAGAGACGTTTGAAGACGAGCTATCAGAAGATAATGTAACAATTGAACAATTGCCATCGAATATTTCGCTTTTACAAGATTCTCAAGAAGAAATTTTTAAAATTATTTCAATTTTAACTAAAAGATCAACAAAATGCGAAGACACACTTTTAAGTAGATTCACAGTGTTAAACAAGATCAATATGAATGAAATTTTAGTTTTAATTTATTTGATACAAGATTTAACACTTTCTTCTCAAAATTGTAGTACATACATATCATTAATCTTGAATTCACAACTATTTGATGATACAATCAATCCAATTTCGGATAAAATTTTCTATAAGATTTTTATTCAGTCAATGAACGTTTTAAATGAATCAAAGTTTATTGGATTAACAAATATATTCAAACAGAAACACATTAGTTTCTTTTTGTGCTCAATTATTCTCAAAATTATTTTTTATAATTTTTATAAAATTTTAGTTGATGATTTATGCAATGAAGAGTTCATGAATGATATAGTTATGTCATCATGCTATTACCAGGAGCAACACAAGTACGCAAATGACGAAAATTTACAAATTATTGAAGAATCAAGAAAAACGATATTTAAGATATTTAATGAAGTTGTATCCAACAAATCATTGAACTACAAGTGGTTTTCCAACCATAATTTCGTGAAACATTTACTTTCGTTGTTAATGGAAACATCTGTCAGAAAATTTTCAGAAAACTTGATTAAAAAGTACTTAAATTGTTCAGAAAGTCCAATACAAGAAGTATTTATTCAAGAATTACTTAATGTTTTGACAGATTTTTCAAATAATTTTTCAGATCCGATTTATATTGATTTAATGACATCATTGATATCAATATGTAATTCAGCAAAGTCTATTAACTTTTCTCTTTTAATTGATTTGATTATTGAAATAATTACAAAAATTGAACCAAATTCTATTACATTTCCTTTATTTGAAGCTTGCATAAGGTTTTTAACTAATAGTTATATGACTCACATTTTAGATTTTAATGAGATAACAAAAATTTCAAAAACAACTCAAGAATTCAATAAAACGAAGTTTAAACAACAAATTGATGATTTAATGCAAAATCTTTTATACGAAACAAACAAGATTTTCATTAAAAATGCTTCAATACTGGGAATTATTGTTGAAAGTTCATTAGATGACAATGATTTGATGCAAAACTTGGATTTTGTTTATAATATTCTTGAAAAATCTATTTATAACATGAAGATTTCTCATGATCTCAAGTTTGATTTGTATCTTGTAGAAAAATTACTGAAAATCAAGCAAGAAAATGAAGACAGATCTAATGTTGTTTCAAAGATATTTAGTATTCTTTCTTTATCTGTTTCAATTTTTATTTCTGAAGACATTGTTTCCAAAATTATGAATTTATTGAAACCAATCAACAAAACAAGGATTTCTCAATACCAAAGTTTATATATTAGTTTTGTTTCTGATGTGTTTGCCAGCTCTCTGAAAAATACAAATTACTTTACAATACTTAATTTTGAAAAGTCACCTTTATTGATAAATACAAATAAGTTTGACAAAAATTTTGACATCGACATGGAAATGTTTTTGGAAGTTTCTGACGTTCCATTTAGACTTTTGAATTTCAATGATACAAAAAATAGCTTTGACGTCGATATTAAAAACGGTTTAATCTCAATTTCTGCAATAAGTGACGTGAAGACGATAAAAAATTTCAATCAACAGATTGATTTCAACAAATGGCTAAAAATCAAGATATCCATTACTTTTGAAAAAGATTCAGCAATTTTCAAATTATTTTATAATAATTCAACAGAAATAATCATTTTCTCTGATATTTCATATAAAGAGGATGAATCAATTTTGTATTCTCTTTATCCTTTGAACCAATTCTACGAATTTCCAATTGGATATGTTTCAAATCTCTCTATTTCAAGAAACTCAGAAGAAACTGAAGAAATTCTTCCAATATTGAACTCAAATTTGATTTCTTTCATGTTCACTAATGACTTGAATCTTGATAATTTCATTGTTTTGTATTTGCAACCAAAATATTTGACAAATAACGGTTTAATCATTCAAAATTTGTTTGAAAAAATCACTTCACTTTTCAAGAATTTATTTATTATTTCTGATGTTTCACAAACTATTTTCTTAGAGAAAAACTTCAGTGAAATATTATCACAAATTTTAGTGCAAACAAAGAAAACAGGATACCAAGAATATTTAGAACTTTATAATGAAATTTTCTCTGTAATAACAATTGATGAACTTAGAAATGATTTTCTCAAAAACATAATTATGAATTTATCTATTTGGAGTTTAGCTGATTTACTACAAATTGTCAATCATTGGAAAAGTGATGTAATAGTTAACCACAAAAATGATATGAAAGGAACGTTAACAATTTATGACTTCACTTCATTTTTAAGAGAAAACTTTGATGAATACTCGAAAGAAATGTCTGAAATCTTGAAAACAATTATGCCTATTTATATTGATATTTGGTCAATTGATTATGATCAAAGCCAATTGATCTATTTGATTGGAGAGTGCCAAGTAACAACAAATATCCAAATTGTTAAATTTTTGTTGAGTTTGACAAAATCAGTCACTTTTTCAATCCAAAACGTGACAATTTCACCAGAAACGACAAAACATTTTTATTTGTTACATCATTTGATATCATATTGTGATGAAATGATGTTTGTCGACATCTTAGAAATATTCTTTTACTTGAATCAGAAGAAATTATTAAATATGTCATTTGACAGACATATTTTGTCAATTGTCAGATCAACACCCCAAAGAGTTTGTACAAAAACAGTTCTCAAATATTTGGTGAGAAACATTAATGATGGTTTCATTGAGTTTTTACCACTTTGCTGCTTGATTTCTTGCGAATGTGATGAAGTCCAATACTTTTTGCAAGCAATTGAAAACAAAAACGGTTTGACAAGCGATAACGATAGAATTATGTGGTTATTAATTTTATTTGACAGATTTCCTGATTATCAACAACAAATTTTTGATTTAATCTTTGATGAACAAAAGATTTCCATTTTCTGTTCTTTGTTACATATTTTACAAAGTCCTTATTTATGTGAAACAATTTGTTGTCACTTTTTGACATTTGCCATAGACAGAGCACTTCGAAATTTCAAAAATTTAACGCAAGATTATGTCAACAAATTATTGTATTTCTGTTATTTATCTATTTTGTTCCAACCAAAGAAATGCAATGATTTATTTTTGGAAAATCTTATGCTGCAAAGTCCGTATACGAAAAAGAAACAAAAGAGAAGATCCAGTGGTTTGTTCCTTCCTTTATATGTGAAATTGGATAAATCAATAACTAATTCTTTGACAGATCAATTTATTTATTCACTTCACATGTCAGAAAATGGCGGATGGTTGGATTCAAAGTTTGCTTTGAAAGTCATCAAATTATATGAAATTTTCCCTTGTCCGGAACTTTCTTCTTTCGATATATTGACAGCAAGTTATTTGATGAAGCTTTATCCAACAGACGTTAATGCACATCTTAACACAATTCCTTTTTCTTATTTGGAACTTAGAAATAACTATAATTTGATTATGAGATTTCCAAATTACAAGAAATACATTAATTTCGATTTGTCAATGTTTGAATCTGAATATAACGCAGAAATTGCGTTTAGATGTTTCGAACAAATCGCAAGTTGTTATCCAATACAAGAGATAATTCATGAGTTGATGGTAAAAGTAAAACAAATCCATGAAGAAAGAAAAGATGAAGAGAAAAACATAATGACTTCTATTGATAAAAACATTGTTGAAAATATTTTGAATACTGACAATTTATATGTTAAAAACAAGGCAGAAAATCGTCAAAAATTATTGTCAGAAATCAAAATATTAATTGAAGAACAAACTTCAGAAAATATTAAAGTTTTTCTTAAAAAGAAAAATGACAAAAAAGATTCTGATTTATCAGATTTTGCCAAGAACGAAACAGAAGCAAGTTCATTACCAGTATTTAAGATTGAAAAGATCAAACTTACTAATTCTCCTTCTTCTTTGTCTTTGACAGAAAAAAGTCCAATTGGAGAACTAAATTTAGGTAAAAAAGAAGAAGAAGAAAATCAAATCGAAATAACTCAAAAAGAAGAAATGATTTACTATGAAATAAGGGATGATATCTTAGTCCATGGTTTGCCAATGAAGATGAAACTAAATGAAAACTATAATGACCATAAAATAGCAAGTCAAAGACGTGACAAAGGAAGAGGTGACAGAGAAGTTTTTGATTTTAAGAAATACAAGAAACCAACTGAAACAAATTGTTCTTTAATAACAATTTATGGGGAATTTCCTTGTTATCTGTTATTAACAAACAAAAATTTGATTATCAAAAATGAAGTGACCAATGATATCATTAAAACCGAAGAATTAGAAATGATAAGAGCTGTTGAATATTTACACACAAAGAACGGATGTGAAATATTTGTTAAAAACGGTAAATCCTATTTCATTGTGTTTAATAACGAACAAATAATCACAAAGTTCTCAAATTTGATTCCAATTGATAATTTAACAGAAAAATGGTTGAATTATGAGATTACAAACTTCGAATACATCATGGAGATCAATAGGAGAACATCCAGATCCTTTAATGTATTACCACAATATCCAATAATGCCTTGGATCATCTTAGACACAAAAAGTGAAACATTAGAGTTCCAAAACTTGAGAGATTTCGGATTAAACAGCGGAATAATGACCCATGAAAAGTTCCTCTCATTCACTGAGAAGAAAAGAGAAATCTTTTATTCTGCAATGATTAACGAAATGTCTGTTCTTTATTATCTAATGAGAATGGAACCATTTACGAGTCTCCACATTCAGTTCCAATCAGGAAAATTCGACCATGCGAAAAGATTGTTCCAATCTTTGGAAGAAACAATCGATTTTGATGATTTTTCATCAGAATTAATTCCAGAATTCTATTTTTCACCGGAATTTTTGACAAATAAAAATAGATTCGATCTGGGATTGGAAGATTCAAACATTTTATTACCAAAATGGTGTAAAAGCCCAATAGAGTTTGTTTATTTGAACAGGAAAATCATGGAAAGTTCGAAAGTTTCTGAAAACATTGATAAATGGTTTGATTTAATTTGGGGAATAGACAGGAAGAAAGAAAACAATAAATACGATCCTTCTCTTTACGATGACAGTCCAAATCCAGAAATGATGTTGGGAATGGGAGTTATTCCGAAACAAATCTTCTTCAAGAAACATCCAAAAAGAAAACAAAAAGTAAATAATTCTGCCAAAAAAGTGACATTTTTCAAATTTGTTCCTTTGCAGAGTCCAAAACTCCATGTTACAGATAAAGGAGAGATCGAAATAGTTGCTAATATTGGTGAAAACTCGGTTACCGCTGTTTTAACGCCGAGTTTCAATTTGTTTTCATATATTTTGACGAATTATTCTTTGAGACAAAGTTTTTCAACGAAAAGATTTTGTTATTTAACTGATAATAACAAAACAATAACGTTCTTCAACTCAGGAAAATTCACAAAGTCAATTTCCTTCATTTCTGATGTTATCAAAATTGAAATGAACAATAGAATAACGGTTTGTCTGACAAAAGATTCAATTTTACATGTTTTTACGAAAAATGAATTTATTGACTTTTCTTTGTTTGTTTATGACACTGATATATCTTGTTTATATGTTTGTAGTGATTATGATACAATTGTTTACGGAACAAAGTCAGGAGTTATTTGTTCAATTTCTATTCGTAATCAACAAATCTACAAGACAGCAAGTGTTGATTATTCGATTGAGAAAATTGAGATTTCTCCTGGTTGGGGATTCATTGTTTGCTCGAATGAAACAGAAATATCTGTTTTCGACCTGAACTTGAATTTCATCAGAACTAAATCTTTCGATGAAGGTTTAGTTAATTGGTGTTTGTTAAAAGATATTTACGGATTTGATCATATAATTGCACAGTTTGGGAACTTAATGATTCAGAAGGCTGAACTGTTTTACTTGGATTTCATATATTTTGGTGAATTCAACAAAAAAGTTTCATCAATGATATATTCCAAACAAAAATCAGAAATATATATGGTTTCTGATGATGGACATGGATGTTCGATGCTCATTTAATTATATTTATTTTATTATTGTGTTTGTATTATTTAGATAAATATATTTATTCGTGAAATAGTGCTTGGAAATTTTTTGATTATTATTCTTCATCCAAACCTCACATCTTTGATATCACTTAGAATCAACAGCATCTTTAAGTTGCATAATATATTCTAAATTTTTACTAATTCTCCTTTGAAGTCAAAAACATTAATACGGAGAATGTAAAGATAATCAGAAGATCCACCCATATATGAATTCTCTGTTTGGGTTATTTTAAAAGCAACAAAATAATCATTAGTTTGTATTGGAAATTCTTTTATTTCACCTGGTCGAAATTCATGGGATCGATTTTCTATTACAGTAGATGTTCCATTTTCTTTGATACCTTCTAGTGTCCAACTTCTCAATAAATATTCACGCAGCGTAGAACTTGATCGTATAATATATTATACGATCAATAGTTAAAGGCACAAAGATACTAACAGACCGATCAGAAATTTTAAATTGATTGTGAATTAAATGTTTTTCAAAAGATTCAATAGATTGATTCGATATTTCAATATTCCCTCTAACAATTGAAAGATGATGTTTCAATGTTTCATTATAAATCGTTAAAAGGGTTGATTCAAAAGAGTTTTCAACTGAAAAATTATAAATCTCGTCATAAATTTTAGGCGAACAAAAGTGTAAATTAACATATCTAAATAAATCAAATAATGTATTGTTCCTTCTGCATGTCTCTAAAAGCAGCAAACAAAGTCTGTCTTCGTTTTCAATTTTCAGATCTTTTGATTTCAAAATTTTTTCACAAAATTCAAATCCATTTTTGACAAAATTTGATATGATATCATCATCATTCAAACAGTATAAATGTGACGAAATATACTCAATACAATCACTCATTGCCTTAGAATCGTTTTCAAAAGCAGAAATTTCATACTTCTGAAAAACGTTATCATTTGTAAGGGATTTATCTGATTTAATAAGTTCAACATACATTTGTATGAGAATTTGATTTCCAAAATATCTGCCGATTTCAAATATATCATGATAATGAGACTCATCTGCTTCAAATTCAAGTTTACCTGTTTCTATAAAGTTGGAAAGTATGTCAATTGAATCTTGGCATATAATGCCTAGATGAATATTGAATGATGTGATCGATTTATCAATAAGATATTTCTCTTTGATTAAATCTGAAAAACAAATCGCCGAAGATTTCTTTGTTTTGATGATTCTATCATTAATATTGATACAGAATGCACCACATTCCGTAATAACATTAGCACGCTTTAATTCATCGCATAATTTCGATAATTGCACCATTCAAAAAAAAAAAAAATTCAGAAGAATATTTGACTTTAGTTTTTTTTTATATTTTATTATTGCCTATAATTATTGACTATTAGGTTTTGTCTTCCAATAAGTATTTTCTCATAGGACTACTTGCGTAATCAAGAGCAGTCCTTCCATCATTTTTCCTTGCTTTTTTATCAGCTCCGACAGAGATAAGATATTTAACAACTTCAAGATGACCTTGTTGTGATGCACGAATGAGTGCAGTTTCTCCTTCATTATTCTTTGCATCTTTATCAGCTCCAACAGAAATAAGATATTCAACAACTTCAAGATGACCTTGTTGTGATGCACGAATGAGTGGAGTCCATCCTTCATTATTCTTTGCATCTTTATCAGCTCCAACAGAAATAAGATATTCAACAATTTCAAGATGACCTTTTTTTGATGAAACAATAAGTGGAGTAGATCCATAATTATTCTTTGCATCTTTATCAGCTCCAACAGAGATAAGATATAGGGTGTCCAAAGGTGCGTTTAGCACAGCGCTCTATATGAGACTATTAAAGGAGATATATGCTGATTATAAATATATAATAAAAAATATGAATATATGTATATGATGAGTATGTTGTATTTTGGCGCCATGCCGGGATATAAAATGAATTTTGAGACAAGAGGCGGTTTCGCGGGAAATTTTGGCGGGATTTTTTTCATTTTTTTAATGAATCATAAAGAAAACATCCTCGCTCTTGCAAAAAAATGCAAAGACTGTAAAAAATCTACGAGACATTGGTAAAATGCTTCGGTATGGATGCTCCTAGCTATTCCACTGTAACGTATCATGTTAGGATGTATCACTTCATGAACAAAAAGGCGCCCATCATAAAAATTGACAAAAAATCGCCGGATCAAAGAAAAATCAAAGCAATTCTTCAAGCGCTAGATGAAGACCCAAGAGCATCACTCAGAAGGATAGAGGAGATGACAAAGATACCACGTACAACAGTCAGTTATTATCTGCACAATTCTTTGAACTACAAACTAGCGTATACACGTTGGGTTCCGCACAACCTTAATTCAGTTCAAAAAAAATCTAGAGTCCAATCTTCGAAAGAGCTCCTCTCTATATTGGGTGCGTATCAATCCAAGAAGTTTCGCTTTTTAGTAACAGGGGACGAGTCTTGGTTTCAATATGCAACAGAAGCCAAAATCATGTGGATCCCGAAGGATGAAAATCCGCAAACATTCCCGAAGAAAAAAATTGACACACCAATGATGATGTTGTCGGTTTTTTTTGGGGCGTGAATGGCATCATCGCAATTGATATTCTTCAAAAACCTAATACGATGAATGCTCAGTATCTAATTGACAATGTTCTTACTCAAATTATCAATTCTGATGAGTTTGAGAAATCCAAACAACAAAAACAAAAGTTTGCAATTCATTTTGATAATTCAAGAGTTCACAAAAGTCATAAGGTAATGAATTACTTGGTGGAAAACAATGTCAAAGTTGTTCCAAACCCAATTTATTCACCTGATATTGCCCCTCTGACTTTTATTTATTCGGCACGCTAAAAAAGAGAGCTGAAGGACGCGAATTCGCGAGTCCAGATGATCTTGAAAATTTTGTAAGAGAGCAATTTGAGCAATTTTCTCATGATGATTTAAAGCGTGTCTTTCAAGCCTGGATCGATCGCTGCGAACGCGTGATTGAATCCAATGGTGATTATATTTAAATAAACTTTATATATATGTAACTTGTTTATTTCTATTCGCAGTATTCAGGTTTGTGCTAAACACACCTTTGGACACCCTATATTTAACAACTTCAAGACGACCATTAATTGCTGCTAAAAGGAGTGGAGTAGATCCAAGTTTATTCTTTCCTTCTTTATCAGCACCAACAGAGATAAGATATTTAACAACTTCAAGACGATCATTAATTGATCCCCAATTGAGTGGAGTATTTGCATAATCATCCCTTGCTTCTTTATCAGCTCCAACAGAGATAAGATATTTAACAACTTCAAGATGACCTTGTTGTGTTGCACAAATAAGTGGAGTGCGTCCATCTCTATCCTTTGCTTCTTTATCAGCTCCAACAGAGATAAGGTATTCAACAACTTCAAGATGACCTTTTTTTGATGAAACAATAAGTGGAGTATCTCCATTTAATCCACCCTTTGCTTCTTTATCAACTCCAATAGAGACAAGATAATTAACAATTTCAAGATGACCATTAATTGATGCACGAAAGAGTAAAGAACCTAAAGATTTTACTTGTTTATAATTCCCATCATCTATAAGAGACTTAATAAGTTCGAGATTTCCTTCTTCGCATGCTTTAGTAAGGGGATTTGAAAACATGAAAATTTTTTGACTAATTTCGATTAGTCAAATTTTTTTTATCAATTGCAGGAAAAGTTAAATTCTCTAATACATGATTTAGATTTTTGTTTATTTATCATTTTTATATTTTTATTCAAGAAAAACAATTATAAAAGGGGAAATATTAAACAATGATCTTTGGCAATACTTAACAGGTAAAGAGCAAATTATGTCAAGCGGATTTCCATTACAAATGGATATCGGATCGCAAACAGCTCCAAACAAATCTAAATATCTGATACAAAACCATTGAATTTTCAAATCAAATTGTTCAATTCTAATAGATTTATAAAATCCTGGTCTGATAGGAATCACAACAGGTTCTTTAGTATTAAGAAAATTTGGATCAGTATTTCTGAAAACAGTTAGCGTTTGATTCATGTCATTTGTCCCTGAAATAGCGAAATCTGTTGGATAATGCCATGGGAAACCTTCTCGCACTCTAATTGTTATTGAAACGTGGGTTAGATAAAGTAAATTTTTGGAAAAAACATCAACCCAAATAGTTTTTTCATTCCCTTTGTAAAACTGAGAATAATCTGTAGAAATATTGAGCATTGCAGTATTGTATAAAATATCATATACTCCTTCATCATGAAATTCACTTGAATTTAAAGTGAATGTTGAGTTATCGTTGGGGTATAGATGTCTAACAATTCCGTTTTGTGGTCCGTCGATCCTCGGGATGTATTTTTGTAATTGGATTTCTCCCTTTGAAAAAAAAGGAGTTATTTAGGGAGTAACCTTAATTCATAAAAATCGATAGCTATGAGGGATTATATAATTATAATTACACATCTTTACGTTCCACATATAACATTCCGATGTATACTAATAGTCATTACATAATGTTATAATTGATAAAAAAAAAGATACAAACAAAATTTATTATATTCACATGTGTATGAATGGTTGTAGAAATGTATATGAGAATTTAATCATGGTTTTGCATTTGCATGATACTGCAAATTCACATTCATCGGAAAAAGACTTCTTGCTGATTTGTGCTTGACTCATTAATACGTTCTGAGCTGCTGTCGGAGCAGAGAAAGAGCCGCACTTCTGAAGCATGATACAACCACTGAATGCTTCGTTGCCGATCTCTTGGATGCTCGATGATGAAAAGAAAACAAAGTTCAGATTTCTGCAGTCTTTGAAAGCGCGATAATCGATCTTCTTGATGTTGTTCCCATTGAAGAAGACTCTGATAAGAGATGGACTTCCCATGAATGCACAGCTTCCGATGGAAACCATTGCACTAGGAACAATGAAATTCTTGATTCCGCTGTATGGAAGGAAAACAATAAGAGTTGTTTGTGCATAGTCTGTGAGTGCACCGTTCTCGAATCGATAATTTTCATCCATAGGAGACAAATCGATAACTTTAAGCTTGTAACATCCATAAAAACAACCACCATCGACTCGGCTCAATCTACAGTTTGCACTCAGAGAAACTGATGACAACTCACTGCATGACTGGAATGCAAATTCGGAAATAGTTTCAAGTGTGTTAGGAATCGTGAATCCTTCTAACGAACTGCATTGATCAAACGCATACATGCCAATCTCACTAACACCGTACATGAGATTTAATGTTGTCAGAGATGTACACAGTTGGCAGAGTTGCTTCGAAACATTGCACGAAATAGTGAGAGATGTGATCTTAGAATTTGAAAATGCTTGAATCTCAACATTGTTGCATGAATCTGGAAGATTTGCAACTGACAAACAACTCCCATCGAATGCATATGAATATATTCCTTCTAATGAAACAAGATTAGATAATCCAACATCACCGATCATAGAACAATATTGGAATGCACACATATCAATCCTCTTGATTGATTCGGGAAGAACAATCTTATTAAGTTTCACACATGATGTAAAACAGTTTTTAGGAATAGCAGTTAATTTAGTTCCTTGGAAAACAACTTTCTCTAAACTATAACATCTGTAAAAAGCATTCTCATTTATCTGGTACAAACTTGGTGGAAATGTAATAGACTTTATAGAAGAAGATTCGAAAGCAGATGTTCCAATTGTGAAATTGATATCTGTGTTTTGACTTTCAAACGTCACTTCATTGAGTTTCTTATTCAAAAATGTTCCAACACCAATTGAAGTACAGCCCTTTAATACTGTGACATTATATGTCGCATCGGATCCGATGTATGCAAAAAGAGTCTGATTATTGTCCTTATACATGATGTATCCATCAACATTGAAATTTGGATTTTGAGAAGTAACAGATATTTGTGGAATTCCGTTGAAAACTCCATTTCCAAGATTATTTAATTTCTCAGGAAGTGCTATTGATGTTAATTTAATGCAATTACAAAACGCTTTTTCTCCTATAAGAGTTAAGTTCGATGGAAGTAAAATACTTATAAGGGAAGTGCATCCATAAAATGCACATGCATTAATAATTGTTATGGATTCAGTTAATGTTACAGATTCCAAACTTGTACAACCTTGGAACATCCATGTTGTGACATATGTAACTTGAGGAGGAAAAGTAAATGATGAAATTGGATTATTTGCTAAACACCAATCAATCACATTTGTGACAGCATTATTAAATATTATTTCATTGAAATTACCACCTCTGATTGCGGAATTAGCGATGGTTTTAACAAAAGATGACATCCGATATGTTCCTGTGAGATATGAACTGACATAAAAAAGGGTAGAATTGTCTTGTCCAGTATAGATAGACGTCCCATCTGTCTTATATAGCGTATTTCGCTCATCAATGCTAATACTTACTATTGGGCAAAACGAAAAGCATGAAGAATCTTGAATAACACATTTAGATGGAATAAAAAAGTACTTCAGATTTGAAGGTTGAAAAGCATCTAGACCAATTTTTGTTAAATTTGAATCACGACTGATTATTAACTCTTCAAGACCAGAGCCTCCAAAAACCCTTCCAAATTCTGTAACTGAGTCTGGTAATATTACCTTTTTAAGAGCTTTGGTGAAATAGAAACAGCCATTATTGATTTTTGTAATTTTTGGAGGCATTTTGATTGATTCAAGATAATAACAACGTGAAAAAACTGCACTACTTAATAAAAGTAATTTTGTACATTGGCTCATGTCAACAGTAATCAGACCTGATTCTTGAAAACAACATTCGCAAATCGAAGTCAACTGACTTCCGACTGCAAATGAGATAGATGTTAACGCAGATCTGCATTCTGCAAATGGGCTTTCTGCAACAGTGGATCCACCTTGGATTGTCGTGCACTCTGGGATGATTGTATATGAACCAGAGAATTCTTTAGGAACTGAGAGTAATGTTGTCTTATCATCTGTATACTTGATACCATTTGTTTCTGAATAATATGCAAGTAGAAATAATGCATTAATGACATGTTGGCAATAATTTCATGATATTTTTTCAAACGGTTAAGAACGTTTATTTCATTTGAAAAATTGAGATCGATTTTTAAGGTTATAAGATAGGTTTTTATATAAAATTGAAAACAACCTAATTCAGTTTTCAGCGATTTATATAATAATGTGCTGTCCACATATGTTCTTAGCACTTTAGGCGTTACCAATAAAAAAAAAGATAATAATTATTATGTTTTAGAAAGGATTGAAACTAGCAAATTCGTCTTTCTTTTGTTGTTGTGGTTGTTGCTGCTGCTGTTGTTGCTGTGGGCGAGCACCAAATCCTCGCTGTGGAGATCCAAATCCCTGTGACTGGCCGTAAAGTCCTCCATTTTGAGGTCTATTTCCATATGGATTTCTTCCACCATATCCCTGGTTTCCGTACATCGAAGCGGAAGTAGCAAATGGATCCTGCTGTGGAGCTCCAAATCCGCCTTGCTGAGGAGCACCGAATCCTCCCTGTTGCTGTCCACCAAATCCTTGCTGTGGACCGCCAAATCCCTGGTTTCCATACATAGGAGCTGAAGTAGCAAATGGATCTTGTTGTGGAGCTCCGAATCCACCTTGTTGTTGCTGGCCAAATCCGCCTTGTTGCGGTCCACCAAATGCATTCTGTTGTGGACTGCCAAATGGATCGTTCTGCTGCTGTTGAGGAGCACCAAATCCTTGCTGTTGCTGTGGTTGTGGAGATCCGCCAAACATTCCACGAGCAGAGTTAGGAGATGGTCCGCCAAATGGATCTCCAAAGTTCTGCTGCTGTGGCTGTTGTTGCTGGCCAAATCCGCCTCCGAATCCACCTTGTTGCTGTGGTTGTGGAGCACCGAATGGAGAGGACTGGGCTGGTTTTGGCTGCTGAGGAGCTCCAAATGGATCTCCAAAGTTCTGTTGTTGCTGAGGCTTTGGTTGTTGTTGTGGAGCACCGAATGGATCTCCAAAGTTCTGTTGTTGTGGTTGTGGTTTTGGCTGTTGTTGTGGAGCTCCAAATGGATCTCCGAAGTTCTGTTGCTGAGGCTTTGGTTGTTGTTGTGGTTGTTGCTGACCAAATCCACCAAAACCTCCTTGTTGTGGCTGAGGAGCGCCAAATGGAGTTAATTGAGCTGGTTTAGGTTGTGGAGCACCGAATGGATCTCCAAAGTTCTGCTGTTGTGGCTGTGGCTTTGGTTGTTGTTGTGGAGCACCGAATGGATCTCCAAAGTTCTGTTGTTGTGGTTGTGGCTTTGGCTGTTGTTGTGGAGCACCGAATGGATCTCCAAAGTTCTGCTGTTGTGGCTGTGGTTGAGGAGATCCAAATGTATTCTGTGCAGCAAATGGATCCTGTTGTTGAGGAGCTGGTTGAGCTCCGAATCCTCCCTGTTGTGGAGCACCGAATGGATCGTTTTGAGGAGGTTGTTGTTGCGGCTGTGGAGAACCAAATGGATCTTGCTGTGGAGCTGAAGAAGGTGTTGGTTCTGCAGCGCTACGGAACATGTCGAATGCAGAACTTCTTGATGCACCTCCGAATGGATCCACTGTCTTCGGTGGCTGCTTTGGTTGAGGAGCTCCACCAAATGGATCGTTTTGTTGTGGCTGTTGTTGCTGAGGTTGTTGTGGTTGAGCGAATGGATCTTGTTGCTGCTGTGGTTGTTGTGGAGCAGCGCCAAATGGATTCTGTTGCTGTGGCTGAGGAGCGCCAAATGGATCTTGTTGTGGTGGTTGCTGAGGTTGTTGTTTTTGTGGCTGTGCAAATGGATCTTGTTGCTGTGGTTGCTGTGGAGCAGCATTAGTTGGAGCACCAAATGGACTGCTTGCAGCAAATGGATCGTTTGCAGGAGCACCGAATGGAGCAGATGCAGCTGGTGCTGGAGCTCCAAATGGATCTTGTTGCTTTGGAGGAACAGCATTAGCTGGAGCTCCAAATGCATTTTGTTGTTGTGGCTGTTGCTGTGGTGCTGGAGCTGGCTGAGGAGCTCCAAATGGATTCTGTTGCTGTTGAGGAGCAGCTGGTTGAGGAGCTGGTTGTGGCACTGGAGCAGGAGCAGGTTGTGGTGCTGGCTTTGGAGGAGCAGCAGATGCTGGAGCTGGTTTTGACTTTGCGCCTCCAAATGGATCTCCGAAATCTAAGTCTGCAAATCTACCACGAGATGGAGCCTTTGCAGGTGGAGCTTGTTGTTGTTGAGGTGGTTGTTGAGGTTGAGCAAATGGATCTTGTTGCATTGGCTGCTGTGGCTGTTGAGGTTGTTGTTGTGGAGCACCAAATGGATCCTGTTGTTGAGGAGGTTGCTGTTGCTGTTGTGGTGGTTGCTGAGGAGCGGAAGCAGCAAATGGATCGTTTTGAGGTGGTTGCTGTTGTGGCTGAGGCTGTTGAGCAAATGGATCTTGTCCGCCAGCGTTGAATGCCTGCTGTGGCTGAGCGAATGGATCTGGTCCAGCAAATGGATCTTTAATATCTCCCTGTTGTTGTGATGAAGCGCCAAATGGATCATCGTTCTTTGGTGCAGCGAAAGCATTTGCAGAACCAGTTGGTCTTCTTCTGAACATGTCGAATCCAGTTGCATTTGGATCGAATTCGTCTTCTTGTGGCTGTGGTTCTGGCTGTGATTGTTGCTGCTGTTGTTGCATTTCAGGACCTTTAGGATATGGATCTTCGAATGGAGCTTGTTCTCCTGTTTGTCCAAATGGATCTGAGTTGAAGCCAGGATTTCTTGCCTGTTGCATTGGATCTGGAGGTGTCGGCTTTCCTCCAAATGGGTCTGACTTGTACATATCCGATGTCTGCTGTTGCTGGCTGAATGGATCGTTTGTCTTTGCCTGCAAATGTGCCTGTGGAGCACCAAATGGACTGCTTGCAGCAAATGGATCTTGCTGAGGCTGTTGTTGTGGCTGTGGCTGAGCAGCGAATGGATCCTGTTGTGGCTGTTGTGGAGCAGCATTTGAAGGAGCACCAAATGGACTGCTTGCAGCAAATGGATCTTGTTGCTGTGGCTGTTGTTGAGAAGCATTTGATGGAGCACCAAATGGATCCTGTTGAAGTTGTTGCTGTGGTTGTGAAACAAATGGATCTTGCTGTTGCTGAGCACTTGGAGGAACTCCAAATGGATTTGCTTGTTGATGTGGTTTCTGTCCAAATGGATCATCAAATGCTTGTTTAGGTGGAGCAGCAAATGGATCTTGTGAACCATTTCTTGATGGCTGTTTCTGTTGTTGTTGTGGCTGAGCAAATGGATCTGGTTGTGATTGTGGAGCCTTTTGTTGTGGAGCACCAAATGGATCGAAATCTCCTTTTTGTTCTGGTTGTTTCTGTTGTTGTGGAGCAAATAGATCCGGCTGAGATTGAGGAGCTTTCTGTTGTTGTGGAGCTCCAAATGGATCGAAATCTCCCTTTGGCTGTTCCTGTTTCTGCTGCTGTGGATTGAATGGTTCGAAATCGGATTGTTTCTGTTGTTGTGGAGCAGCAAATGGATCTGTTGATGGCTGTTTCTTTGGTTGCTGTTGTGGAGAAAATGGATCGAAATCTCCCTTTGGTTGTTTTTGTTGTGGAGAAACATCGAATCCAAATGAGAAATCAGGAGTATTCTGAGATTTAGGAACAGGAGCACCAAATGGATCTGATTGTGCTGGAGCTTCTTCTTTCTTCTGTTGTGGTTGAGAAGCAAATGGATCTGTAAATGGTTCAGATTTCGGAGGTTGTGAATCAAAGCCAAATCCGAAATCAGCTGACTTTTGTTGTTGTGGAGCAGCAAATGCGTCTGTGGATGATTTCGGAGATGCATTGACAGTGACAGTGAATGTGGATGTTGGTTTGGCCTTTGCGAATGGATCGTTGAAATCTCCTGTGTTTCCAACAGAAAAAGCATTGTCCAAGTCATCTTTCTTCGCTGTTTCTTCGACAGTGAAGCCGTGGCTGGAGTGTTGCTGCTGCTGTTGCTGTTGTTGCTGCTTTCCGAAAGCGTCATCATCATTAAAACGCTTGATTTGCGGCTTGGAAAGAGATTGTTCTTCTTGAGGGTCTTCTAGGCCGAATGGGAAGTGCCTGACAAGTAAATGGCCACTCTTGACTGCTCTAAGGATCTTTTCATCGGTCTCCCATGTGTCTGGAGCTTCGACCAATTTGAAGAAAGCAGATCTGCAGGCGTTTTCGACTTCTATCGCTGTAAAACCTTCCGATGGTTGGGCAGAGACCATTCCGATTGCTTTCTTGGTGATCTTGGCTCCCTTAGTGTATCTGGCGAATAATTGTTCGCGAATCTCTGAATCTGGTAAGTTGAGGTCAATGCTGAAGGCAAAGCCTCCAACTTTACGTAATGCTTTGTCGAGTTTCGATGAATCGCTTGTTGTTCCGACAATTAAAACAGAAGATTTGTCAAGAGCGTTTTCAAACAGGTTTCTGAAGATGGCAAGAAGCTTTTTCTCTTGCATCTTCTTAACTGTAGAGACATCACGTGCAAGGAGTTCGATATTATCAAGAGCTAAAACAGATGGAGAGTTTTGAATAGCTTTTGCGAAGATATGCTGAAGGTATTGGATGGCCTTTGGTATTTCGATGGTAAAAAGTAGCGATGTATCGACGAAAAATGTTGGAATTGTAGATGCGTGAATAACTGCTGAAAGAACAGAAGTTTTGCCTGCATTATGCTTGCCGATAACGATAACGCCATTTGACTTTTCGATTCCAAGCTTCTTGAGGAGGTTTGGACGTTCGATTGGTGATAAAATGAATTTATTGATTTGATTTCTGATAGAACTTGGGAAATCGAGGTCATTAAGGTGGCGATCGAATGGACGTGAGATGCTTTGGGTCTTCTGATATTGATAGCACTCAACAGTTGTTCTGGAAGTAATTTTAGCGTAAGGAGCTGGTTGAATTTGAGTAACTTCGAAATAAATACCTTTTCCGTTAACATCTAAACGGAATAATGTCTTTGTAGATGCTGGACATAATTGTGCGCCGAAATAATCTCCAACTGTTTTTTGAAGCTTACTGTCAACAGTATCAGCATAAACAGTAATCTGAACTTTTGTAGCATCTGGAATATTTGATGCTGGCTGAATTGAAACTTGTTTATTTTCTTCTACACAAAGCGAATGTTGAATTGAAATTGGTAAAACAATTCTGTTGTTTTCACAGCCATTTTCTGCAACGGCAATAGCTGGAACTTTGATTTCTCCACCGTTTGATAATAAAACAATGGAGTTGTTCTGGATTCCAACATTTCTAAGCGTATTTGGATTTAAAAGAACTGTAAAGTTAAGAGGAATCGCAGTAACATCAACATACAGACGTGTTGTACCAGTCTGTTCATCCGACTCTGAGTATCCATTGTACTCTTCGTCAGACATTTGTTTTAAATAGAATTTTAACGATAAAAAAGTGACAAATATTTAATCAATTCTTAATCAATTTTATCGGTGTGCTGCGCCAATAATTTTTTTGGATTTTTTTTATAAAAAAAATGAATATATCCGAATCTATCCAACAAAAGATTAATTTATTACAAGATGACTTATCAAAGAACGACCAATACATTAAATATGCAGAGACGTACACTTATTTAATGAATTTAGGTCTTTGGGGTCCATGCGCTGTCGCATCTTATGTAAATTCATTCGATAAGAAGTATATGACAAGTGGAGTTGGTTTTGAACCTTTCAACCTTACTGAAAAAGTTGGAATGCTTTATGATCATTACTATAATTCAATGTATTTGGAATTATACTTACAAGCTAACCCAGGATCATTTATTTTACTATGGGCATACACAATATATTCTCATGACCTATTTGTTAAACTTGCGAAGAAATATGAAAAACAAAATCCTCAAAGATACGAATATGTTAACGAAACAATTATCCGTGTCAAACTAGAAAAGTGTAAAAATGCGAGTATTGAAGAAATATCAAAATTTGGCGAATTATTAAATTATTTCACCAGAGAATACTGGAGAGGAGGTACTGATATAACGGCGAAGTTCAAAATATATGAGAAAACCGTTTACGAAAGAGAGCTACTTCTTAGATCCATTTCAGATTCTAAATTATGGTTTCGAGGTATTAAACCAGAAATCAGAGATGATCCTTCAGATGTTTATGATTTCAATGACATAGTTGATCCTTCTGAATATGAATACACAGCTTTATCAAGAACATTCCAAGAATCAACAACAAATGAAAAACAACAATCGAAATCAATCAACATCTCTGAAACAATGACTATTAGAAAACTTCCTCAACCAAAAGTTCAAGAAAAACAATCAAACTCTGCTCAAGCTACCATGACAATTAGAAGACCTCCTCAACAAACATCTCAAGCATCTAATAATAATAGAAGACCAAAAACACAAATTGTTACTACTCCTAAAAAGACAAATCAAAACCAAGGACAGCAATCAAGTACATTGGTTATTCAAAAAGTATATAAATCACCATTAATCACTGAAACAGAGAACAAACCAGCAAAAACTACTACAGAAGAAAACAAAACTAGACCTAATACTACACCTCGTATTGAAATTTCGCAACCAAAATCAAAATCAAGTCCAATATCAATAAAGATACAAAGACCACCACAAAAACAACTTCAAATTCAAACACCGCAATCTCAAAATCCTCCACAACCAAAGTCTCCACTTGTTTTCACATTCGGAAAAAAGTAATTTTTATTTTTGTAATCATCAGAAGAGTTCTGATTTTTTAATTAGGGTGTCGAATTCATTGATTCATAAGAGAACGTTTGTTAATAGAATTTAATTTATTATAATTTTATATTTTTTAAATATTGTTGTGAATAAATATGTTATATACTTTAAGTGTGCACTTGCCACTTTCCGGAATCCTCCCTTTTTTTTGACACGATTTTTCGTCCATATGATCATAATTTCTTGAACTCTTATATTAATTATTCCATTCTTTAATGATAACATAATATATACAATTTACATGTTTAATAGTTTGGTCAGATAGTTGTAAAATGAAGGTGATAAATCTCAAAATGAGAAAGACAATTCTAAGTGCATTAGATGATCCAGTAATGAAAACAAAGAAGAGAAAGAAGAAACCCAAAATTTTAATACCTGATCAATCAAATACAACGAATTAAAAGGCATCTATTAATCGCAATGTATCAGCTAAAAGCGAAAAAGTATTAAACTCAATTTTCAAAATAATCAAATCAGAGTTACTTGATTCAATTTACAAAATGTAATCAAGAAAGTTGTAAATATCTCTATCAGTTTATTATAAGAAAAAATATATATAAAAAAATAAGAGTTATTCAGTTAATGTTGGTGCAACTAAATCTGTCCATTTTTCATCAGAAGCACTAACCCATCTTGCATACAATTTCTTTGTTTGAACTCTCTCCGAAAATACAATTGTTTTCATTCCTTTGTTGAAAGCGAATGAACTTGGGTGAATGGAGATTTCTGTTCCATCAAGAACACATTTGTACTTTCCTCCTGATATCTGTGTTGCAACATTCTCTGGGCATGCAATAGAAATTGCTTGTCTAATCAACAAAAATCTGTTTTCTTCATCTGCATCTTGAACATTTAATTTTTGTTGTTCTGCAATTTCCAATAATTGTGATCTAACACTTACAGCGAATTGGAGAGCTCTTAACGAGACAAATTTCTCAAAGCAGAAGTCTTTTTGTTTCTCTTTAGGAGTAGCAGCAAATGCTTCATACAATCTGATCAATGTAACATGATCTCCTGTTTCATGGATGAAAATTGAATGAGCATTTCTTGCCTCTTTTCTTTTGTTCGCTGGTTGAACATATAAATTCTCACAAGACATCATTGCAAGTAATGTCAAAGCAGAGCCACCGCAGCCACTCTGGCATGCGAGTAATAATATCTTAGTCATCTTTGGATTCATTGGGAAATTGGCCATTACTTTTCCATCATCAGATAATTCTCCTTGAGGTGTCAAAGCTCCTAATGACCACAATTGTTGTATTGATGCTTGTATCATTTCTGTTGGTGGTCTCTCGAGGAATCCGAATGTCATTGGATTCTTCACTCCCAAAGCGAATAACTGCAAGACAACAGAGCTCAAATCGGCTCTTCTTATCTCAGCAACTGGTTGATCTTTCAAATCAAAGAAACTGTCTTCAGTAAACAATCTAAATGCAATTCCTTCTGATTCACGACCAGCTCTACCAGCTCTTTGAACAACTTGTGCTTTTGCACATGGTGTAACACCTAATATCTCAATTCCTGAGACAGGATTGTATGTCTTGACTTTAACTAAGCCGCTGTCAATGACATATTTGATGCCAGGAATTGTGACAGATGTTTCTGCAATGTTTGTTGACAAAATTACTTTTCTCGTGCCTTCGTCAACAGGATTGAAGACTTCTTGTTGTTGGTACATAGGAAGTGCTGCATATAAGGGTAACACTTTGAGAGGAGGATATGTCTCTTCTGTTTTCAATGTCTCCATAACTTCTTCGATTTCTTCTTGGCCAGTAAGGAAAACAAGAAAATCTCCTTTGTCGCATTCTTCATTTAACTGTAAAACAGCGGTTGTAGTGGCTTCTATGTAATCTGTTTGAGGTTCATCAGTATATTTGATTGCTACTTTGAATGTACGACCTTCTACATGAATAATTGGTGGTCCGTTGAAGAAATCAACGAATAATTTGCAATTGAGTGTAGCAGACATGAGAATCAGCTTCAAATCACTTCTCCTTGCTTGTAAATCGCGTAGTAAACCGATAAGAAGATCAGTTTGGACGGTTCTTTCGTGAATTTCATCTAAAATAACAACATTATATGCGCTAAGGTCATTATCTACTAAAATTTCACGCAATAGCATACCATCAGTAACGTATTTAATGTATGACTTTGGTGATGATTTGTTATCGAATCTAACAGAATATCCAACGTAAGAGCCAACTTCACAATTTCTTTCTGCAGCAACACGTGCTGCTAAGCTTGTTGCTGAAACACGACGTGGCTGCGTAACTGCAACTCTGCATCCTTTTAGTTCGAATGAATCTACTAAAAATTGTGGAACTTGTGTAGATTTACCACAACCTGTTTCACCAACGAGTATAGTTGTTGGATTGTTTGCAATTAGTTCGATAATTTGCTTTTTACTTTTCCATATTGGTAAACTCTTTCGAAATTGATAAAGTGCATTGAACTCTTTTTTCTTCTGTGGATCTTTGTGTCCACCACTTTTGTTTTTGCTTCTCTTTCGTGGACCCCAAATTGCAAGACGCTCTTCTTTTGTTAATTCAGACATTCTAAAATCTTCAATTCAATATTTTCTTAATTTCACAGAACATAAATAGAAGAAATAAATAGAAAAAACAAAATTAATTTGAAATTTTAAAAAATTACTACGGGCGTGATAGTACAAATTTATAAAAACTGCCAATTTACATGCCAAATTCACAAATAATGCCCAAATAAAGTTTTTAAGACTTATATTTGCAAATGTTTCCAGACTAGTTTTCATGAGTATTATACCTTTTGCCCTTTTCTCCAATTAAACAACCCGATGTTGAGGTAATAAGTAAAAATGATATTTCAACAGCTAAATCAAATTATATAAATATCTTTTGCTATTATCTCTGTGACTATAATAGATGTTCTGAATTGCCATTTATATTTGAGTTATAACTCTTTTCAATGCAGATTTTTCGAATAATTGATAATTAGTTGCAAATATGAGAAAAAAACATTAGATACTTTAAAAAATTACTCGATTGTGAGATTATAAAAGAAACAGTAAACATCTAATTTACTGTATATTTCAAATTTAAATATTTTTTTTTATTCTTAAGAAAATCAATTGTTCAAAATTTCGACTTCAGACGATGATCCAACGCCGACACCTTCTGTAGCCCCTGAAAACATAGAAAATACAAATAGTAATCCAATTCCAGCGAAAAATGAATCTCATTTTGGAAATTATCAAGAAATTAAAGAAGATGACCATCACGTTTGGGCTGCTGATGATCCATTTGATGAAGGATCAAATGACAGGAATTATGATAATGATGAATCGGATGATGAAAATTTAATCAAAGAAAAACAAAGAATTGTAAGGCAAAAGTCAAAAATGAATAACATCTATATCATGATCTTCACTATTGTTATTATTATCATAATTACAGCAACTTTCTTAATTTATACGTTATTAGTGGCTTCGAAAACAAAATATGATCCATATGAAGCACTACCTCTCTTACAAAACCCATCAACATATCAGCCTGAAGAATAATTTCTTATATTTTTTATATCAAATCTTCCGAAATGAGGAAACAAGCCAATTTTGGTCTAGTTTGGCTTTGTATGATATATTGGCTCTCAAATTTTAGATAATTATAATATTTTATTATATTTTTTTGTTATTTATTTTATATTAAAACACTTTGTTATTATGTTTGTTCTTAATTAACTTAATACGATGCAATTTCCTTATTCCGTTGAGAAATCCCATAATTAATTTTTTAATATTCAGAATTATGATTCAAGAAATAAATCTACATCAAATATTAAATATAAATGTTAAGGGTGCACACGAGAGGATCATGTAAACTTCAGAATTTAGAACCTTATTTTTAGGCATTATCTTGGCTACCTATTTAGGCTCGAAAAGCAAAAATATCAAAAAATATAACTTGACTCCATTATGACCCTTTCATGGAGGTAGTTTTTATCCGCTAGTATTTTCCCTTTGAATCTCTTTACAATTCGAAATCAAATTCAAATCTCAGTAGAAGAAAGGAAGAATCGACTTACTACGGTTGTAATACGAATAAATACATATATTTAATTATTTTTATTTACATAATAATTGTTTGAAGCTCATATTCCATCAAATTTTTAAATAAAAACATTAAAATGTTGAAAATGTTCATATATTTTAATAGGGTTTTGGCACTTTATTGAGGAATTACTACATACATAGTCGAACTGAACTTGATATTTTGAAATTTAAATTATTTATCAAAACTAAAATTTAACTTGAAATTGATAATTATTTAGTCATATTTTGCATAATTCTAAGTAGATTTTGTAAAAAATCAAGAAAGAAAAATTTTAACGTGCTTTATTTTTTTTATAATAATACATATTATTATATAATTAACATATTCATAATGTTTCACCCTTTCAAAAATATAATCCTCCTCCTCTCAAATAAACGTACATACGGGTGGCCTCTTTTTTCAAAAAATTAAAATTTGAATTTTTTGGCTCAAATATTAGAGATTTTTTCAACCTTCAACGATATATGTTGTCTATATCAGACCTCCTTTCTTTTTGATACTTAACATTGTTCCTAAATCTTAGCCGTTAAGGCTGTTCTGAAAATATTTTTTTTTCGAAAAAATTCGAAAAAAATTCTTAAAATTCAAAAATCCCTTAATTCCTGAGGATTTTGGAAAAAAGTTTTTACATGAACATGTGTATATTATATGAAGTATATTGATAAGGTAAAAATAGGGCTGTACAAAATCGAGAAAAACATTGCCGTGCGGTAATATAGGGTCAAAAAAATCGCGCCTCGGCGGCTCCGCCGCCTCGGCACTATTAAGTGCGCATTATATTTAATATGTCCTTCTTTTTTTTCTTTTTTCTTCTTCTTTTCCTTTCCTTCTTCCTCTCCTTCCTCTTCTTTCCTTCTCCTTCTCTTTTTACAACAACGTCGAAGATCTTCGAATTTGATTGTTGGAAAAGCATCTATTTCAGATAAAGGATGCCTTTCTCACAGTCAACATACGAGGGTCCTGGCTGAAACGTTCTCAAAAAGCCTGAGATGGTAATTCTCTGATCACTCATAGCTGGGCAGGTAGTCATTGCTGACAATACCTGTCTTTATGCATGCACGCTTTCATGTATATGGGTTTACACTATCAATTCGCAAAGTTGTTCCGAATTCTTCCAAAATGGAAGGACCCGAAACAACTTTGCTTGTTAACGATACAGACGCATTACTTTGCATTGATACTGTGCTGAGTTGTGTAGAAAGTTTGATTAGAGTTGTTTTGTTCTGGTATCTCTCATCTTCTGATGAGAGAAATCAAAGCAACACAACTCTAATGAGTTTGTTTTCACTCATTTGTATGTAGGTTTTTAGTTCGATTGGAGCTGCTTCATAATGAGATCTCTCATCAATTGATGAGGGAGATCATAACAAAGCAGCTCTAATGTATATGCTCGTATTAACCGGGTTGTAATGCGTTGTAACGTCAGCTTGTAGTTTGTTTGGGGCCACTTCACATTGAGATGAGAAGAAATGATTAAAGGACTCTGAAAGGCATTGGCCGTTGATGTTGTAATCGCATTACTTGGAACTAGCTGGATGCTAAGCTGTGTAGAATGTTCGATTAGAGCTGTTTTGATATGATTTTTCTCATCATAAGATTGGAGGAATCATAGCAAAACAACTCTAATGGGTTTACCATCATCTACTTGTATGTAGATGTTTGGGAAATTGTCTTGTTAATCGATTTTCGAGATGACTTTCAAATGCTATCATCAAATGACAAACAAGTCTAAGATTTCTCGACAATACATCAAATCATGATGTTTGTAAGTGCGATGAGATTAGAGTTTTTGAAGGAATGACAAGAGAAGTAGGGAAGCTCGGCATTCGCCGAGCAAATTAAAAATTAACGTATGGATTAAATTTTAAGAGGAATTCAATTTTAATTACGGGTTGTTCAAATATTGATTAATATAAATTTATTAATAAGAATAAACAATTTTTGTTTTTGAATTTATTCAATTTATAGCTTTACATATAGTTTCAAAATTGTACAACTATGATTATTTCAACAAAAAATATCTTACTTTTTCACTTCACTTTCACCCTCACTTTTTCCGTAATTCAAATTTCAACATTATGTATTTTAATTCCTTATAGTATTTTTAACATAATTAATCAAATAATAATTGGAAGTTCTGAACTCACTTTTTCCGTAATTCAAAATCAAAAAATATGAATAATATATCTATTTATTATATACTAATGCTATTTTCAACTAGAAGTGAGGTACGGTAATCTTACGGATTCCCGTAACTCAATTTTACGGGAAAAGTGCAGTAAACTACTCAATTTACGGAAAAAGTGTCGTAAACTATTGATGTGGCGGTAAAATCACGGTAATTCACGGAAAGCTATATGCGAAAATTTGAAATTATACAAAATCGAGCGAAACACTTTTAAATAGGTTGTTCTCGTATTTAAAATACTATTCCCAGATTTATTGTCGTCAGAATATTTCCAAATTTTTGCCGATTTACAAAAAATGATTTACAAAGCATATTTTTAATCTAAAAAATTCCTAAAAAAAGGAACCGGTGTGCGGAAACCTCGGTAAATTACCGCGGTTCCCGTTGGGACTGCCATATTCATCGAGAAAATAAACTAACGAATCCATCAAAATTGAGAGGGTAATCCTCCTCCTCTCAAATAAACGTACATACGGGTGCACCCTTAACATCATCGTTTTCTATGAAAACCTGGTACTTTTTCCCTAAAATAATATTTAGGATCATTGAACAAAGAGGTTTTAATTGTATTGGATATGATTTCTGGATTATATTCACCCATCCCAATTGAATATGAATAATTTTTGGTTTCGTGTGAATATAGCATTATATTTTGCCATGAAAAATGAATTCCAGCGCCATAAGGCATATCATCATAGCTTGAGCAGTTTTCCCATAAATTATATGGAGTGCAGTGTGCATAAGAATATGTATCAACATTTGTTACATAAGGAAAATCACGAAGGAGAAACCTGACAATTCTATCACCATTTTTAAATTCCACGCCTCGATTTCTATCAATGTTTCTTGTGGGACAATGATCGCCATCCGTTCCATCACTTCCTTCAATTGCAATATCTGAATGAAATCCAATATCCACAATGTGAGAAGTGTCTCCATTATTTGTAATAGTGTGAATGATATTGATATAGTTTGTTTCTTCGAATGTTTTGAAAGAAATTGAAACAGAAATATCACCAATGGTTGCCATTCCTGACTTACCTGATATATCATGGTACTTGTCAACACGTAGTACTAACTCAATTCCGTAATTTTCCCAACTGATGAAAAAATCTTTATTGCGAACCGTGTATGTTTCTTTTGCATCAGGCGAATAAATCCATTTATTTTGCATTGATTGTTTTAATACCAGCGAAAGCTAAACTCGTTATACAACATGATTTCCCAAATGATTGAATGAGTATTGAAAAACTTTGAAAATTTGTGAAATATGGTCGATCTCATATAAAATATAACAATCAGTTATCATAATTTTTTTTAAAAAAAAAAGTTTTGCTTTCATCGTTTTTTTTTATGTACAAATTGAGAGAGATGTGATCCTCCTTATACCTTTGATATAAGTTTGATATTTACTTCATTATTCGCCATTTTTAAACTAGACCTACTTTTTATCTTAGTTATGCGGGAAAATATTTCAAATAACTAACAATTTTATACAAGATAGTGAAGTGGATATGCAATTTGGATAAATTTAATTTCGCACACTTGAAAATATACAAAATACTGAATTTTTCTATAGTTCATGAAACAAATTTTGTTCCTGATGAAATATAATGACATTAGTTGAAAACAATAAATTTTATTATTCTAATTTGAAGATTGATGGATGCTCCAGGATCATACTCAGGCTGTCCGTAACGAGGATGCCATATACCTGGCCAACATCATACATTTCAAGCGTATTATCACCCTTGAGGGAAGATAGGTTGACGAGGATATTCAGGTTTCAAATATTTTCGACGAGCATCTCAAATTGTCTGGTGAGATTTTCAGACATGTCGACAGGAACACAGTATGTGGCTTGGAGTAATGCTTGCGCTGTTCTGCTCTCCTATTCAACACGGCCGAGGAAGATGACGACGTCTATGATGCAGAAGTATAACACACAATACAGATCTTCAAAACAAGATTAGGAAGGCGAGCATCATCAAGATTTTACGAATAGGCTTATCATACAGACATATACAGCAAATAACAGTTCTGGTTTGTCTACATCTGTTTCTTCAATTTTCAATGATTTTTTTATTCCCACATCAAAACATCATTTACGGCATAATCTGAATCATAAATCATTTCGTACTCGTGCATTCTGTTCGTTCTGCTCATTGTTCCATTTTGTCTCAGCATCATCACTCCCATAGTGATTTTCATCTTCACTTTCCTCTTCGAGGTTTGAGTCTGCAATTATTATTCATTTCTATCTCACATTTTTCATTTCATCATCTTATAAGTCGTCGTACTCTTTTGCTTCGTTGTTGTAGGAAGAGTCGATTTCAACGAGTTTTTCCTTAATATAATCATTTATTGTTGCACCATGTGAAAGAAGACGTTCTGCTATTTCTTTATTATTATTTTCTGCTGCAATATGGAGAGAAGTACTTCCATGATTATCTTTTTCATTGATATTTGCACCATGCGAAAGAAGAAGTTCTGCTGTTTCTTTATTATTATTTTCTGCTGCAATAAAGAGAGATGTTCTTCCATGATTATCTTTTTCATTGATATTTGCACCATGCGAAAGAAGAAGTTCTGCTATTTCTTTTCTATTATATACTGCTGCAATAAAGAGAGATGTTCTTCCATATTCATCATTTTCATCGATATTTGCACCATGTTCAATAAGAAATTCTGCTGTTTCTTTTCTATTATTTTCTGCTGCAATAAAGAGAGATGTTCTTCCATATTCATCATTTTCATCGATATTTGCACCATGTTCAATAAGAAATTCTGCTGTTTCTTTTCTATTATTTTCTGCTGCAATAAAGAGAGATGTTCTTCCATATTCATCATTTTCATCGATATTTGCACCATGTTCAATAAGAAATTCTGCTGTTTCTTTTCTATTATTTTCTGCTGCAATAAAGAGAGATGTTCTTCCATATTCATCATTTTCATCGATATTTGCACCATGTTCAATAAGAAATTCTGCTGTTTCTTTTCTATTATTTTCTGCTGCAATAAAGAGAGATGTTCTTCCATATTCATCATTTTCATCGATATTTGCACCATATGAAAGAAGAAGTACTACATTTTCTTTACTTTGATATTCTGCTGCAATATAGAGAGCGGTTTTCCCATCTTTATCTTTTTCATTGATATTTGCACCATATGAAAGGAAAAGTTCTAATATTTCTTTATTATTATTATATTCTGCTGCAATATGGAGAGCAGTTTTTCCATTATAGTCTTTTTTATTGATATCCGCGCCATATGAAAGAAGAAATTCAACTATTTCTTTATTATTCCTTTTTGCAGCGTAATGGAGTAGAGTCATTTTCTTATCATCAAAACAATTGACTCGAAATTTATAAGATGAGGCAAGTAGAACTCTGCAAATATCAGAATTTTGCGATTTACATGCAAAATGTATAATATTCCTATTACGATAATCGGTTTTATCAGGAAATTCATTGTTTCTGATAATATCTATTGTTTGTGGAAATGCAGCACACCATGGAAAAATAGAATTTTTATTCTTTTCGAAAAGCAAAAATACGACCTTTAAGTTTTGATATTTGATTATATATTCAAAAGCATCATATATTTTGATTCTTTGAATCCATTCTTCAAATACGAAATCTTTAATTTCAATGATATATTTAAGCATTTCATTATTATGCGAACTTACAGTGTATTTGAGACAATCAATATTTATTTCATAATCTTTCAACATTCATTGATAATATCTGTATTTCGGCCAATTATTGAGTAGCTAAGACAATTCTGTGTTTTTTGGCATATTTGATTTGAAAGTAAGAAATGGAAAATGTTAACAGATCCAAAATAGGCACATGCTTCAATCAATGATAACTTTATACTATTGAAATAATTTTGTTTTGACATATCAGGAATTTCAAGAAAACAAGATTCCAGCTCTATTCTTTTTTGAGTAATATATTCCTTGAACGTATCAATTTGATCATGCATTACAATAAATTCAATTGAATCTTCCATTGGGATGCTTGGTTCCCAAATATTATAAAAGTTAGCCCCGATATGTTTGAGTATTCTGATGTAATTCTCTCTAGAAGAATAATTGTATTGAAATGCCATGAGAATAATCTTTGTAAGTCGCTTGATTGAAAGTTGATACTTCGTAATCAAAACATTTGTAATAATATTGCACATATCTTCTATAGATTCGTTATATTTGATTTGGAAAAGCTTTTCAAATGCCTCAATAAAGTCAGCATATTGTTTTGAGTAGTCCGGGTCAACTGTACTTTGGATCATTTGATTGAACTTAGCAAAAAATTTTTTATATTTTTTTCTAAAAATACTAAAGAGTATAGTTCCATGACCATTCTGCAATGGAGGTCATGCTATAAATGCCATTTCTATTTTCTTTAGGTATAGCATATATAGAATTTGACGATTTTTTGCGAAATCAAATCTAAAAATTTAAGTATCTTCTTTCTCTACTTGAGATGCAAATAAAAACATTCTTGAGCATTTTGTTGCAATCAATATTTAGTTAGCAGAATTCCACTAAAATACGTATTGATTGAATAAGATGTTGTATTGACAGATCAACAAACTCAAATGAGCTTAAACATATACTGTTTTTATAAAATACACGAATGTTTATATATATTTATTCAACAGCTTATTTTCTACAAATTTAAAAAATTAAAATTTATTACATTTGAGTATTTTAACTCAAATGTCATAAATTTCAATTCTTAACATGAATACAAACAAATGTTAAGAATTTTTATTTATGACTCAACAGCAGTCAAGCTCAAAAAATGGAAAAAAGTTACATTCTTTATTTTCCTTCAAAATATGCAATGATCTATTTTGCACTTTTTTTTCTTTTTGTCCAATACGATATAGGATTGACTGAAAATGTCTATTTTAGTATTACATAGGAATAAATATATGTATATGAAGAAATATAACAATAATCCGCTTAATATTTACATAAAAACAAAATAACAGCTATAGCACATATAATAATAGGTTTGATTCGCTCGTCAGCTCTTATTTGAAGCGCTGATTTATCAACCTTTCCAATAATTATACTTGAACGATCCTTTTCATCTTGTAGAATCATATTTTTAATACTTGGAATTACATTTGGTATTTCGAATATCATTGGACCATCAGGAAGCATGTCAACAGGTTGGCTTCTGTATTCAAATGTATTTTCATCATCAATTTTGATTGTTGCTTCTGCACTTTTCGATTCATAATCTTGACAAGATTGGTGAAGCTTAAAACTAAGAATTTCTGGCCCGTGCTGATTCATTATTCTTAGAGAAGCATTTAATAAGTCTTGATCTACTATGATATAGCCTGCAGCGCTTTTATCTCTTAAATGAGAAGTATTTCCTGCAGAAATTTTAATACATTCACCAATACTGAGTGTTTTGACCTTCACATGATACTGTGGAATGCCACCACAATATAATTGGAAATGAGTTCGCGATCCTTTCCATCCTAATTTGACTTCTCGAGTAATTCTGTAAGTTAGGGGGTGATATGATAGTATATCTGAACTAGTACTTTTGACAAGTGTTTGAGTCTTAAATTCTTCATTTTCATCAGAAAATTCAATATTTTGATTTTTTGGTAGGCCGAGTGAAGGTATTTGTTCATTGGATGCTCCAACATCTAATTTTATTTCTAAAGGAATGCGTTCTTCTCCTTCATTTTCTGCTTTTTCTGGAGATTTAGGTAATCTTTTTCTCGGAGGATAATTTCTGGATGGAGATTGATCTATAGGTGGTTTCAATGTGATGTTTGTTTGATTGGTTGTTGTAATTTCTGTTTCTTCGTTAGCTTGATTTTCGTTATTTTGCTTCCTTTTCTTTTTTATTCTTTTTCTTGATCTATTTTGATCAGCAACAGTTTCTCGATTCCTTATTACAATTTCATCATCATCTGATGATTCAGAGTCAAAAGTCATGGTAAATAAACTCATCTTTGTAAGAAAAATAATGAATTTATAAACTAAGCAATAAACAAGACTCTTTACACTATATTGAAAAATGATGCTTATTGTTGTGATATGAGCTCAATATAAGATAGTCGGATCAAAAATTAAAGAAAAATGATAGTGAGGATTGGGGCTTATTATTTTTATCATGATCCAAATTGAATTACAAACTTATACATATCAAATGTAGATATTTGCAGAAATGAAAAAATTTATCATCCGGAATGAGAAAGTTTTTATTGAAAATCGATTTGTTTGTCTATGGAACTCTATATTTGCAAATTTAGAGATATGATTTCGGGGGTAATCACTGAGACAAATTTTATTTGTGAAGTTTACAAAATTTAGACCAAAGAAAATGTTAAATGCTGAGCATGACATCTTCAGCAACTACGATTGCTTGAAGAATGATCCTGTTCAAGCCCGTTTCATGTCAGTTCTCGAAGAAGTTAGGCAATCAATTGCTGATAAAGCAAGCAACACTGCATCACTTCATGTAGAAGGCGAAACAGGCATCCCAGATCCAAAATTATATCTTGCAGTTATTTCTTCACTCATTGTCCACCGTTTAAGCCAAAATAACAAGGCAGGTATCCCTGAACTTTTACGTCTTTTAATCGTTGCTATGCAATCAGCCACATTAGATTCATCAATTGCCGCACAATTAGCTGAATTGACAGTTCCACTCTTCAATGGCGCTGATAATGCTCTCCTTGCAGCATTATGTCCAGTCGCAGCTGCATTATCACACAGAACTAAGTTCAATCCAGTTCAAGTCACAACATTAATCGAAGGTATCTGCGCTGCAACACTTTCTGATGATTCAAAGGTAAGAAATACCGCTTCAAGAGCAATTTACGATAACGACAACATTCATCAGCTTTGCTTTGATCGTCTCTTCGAAATTTGCGACCAAAATGCACTTCGCGCTCTTACAGTCCTCAAAAACATCGCCAGTGCTGCAAAACCAGGCGTTTGGACCAAATATGCAGAACCTATTCTTAATTTCTGCCAAAGTGACAACAGAGCAGTTCGCGTTAAAGGCTTTGAGCTCATGTCTTACTGCTTGCACCATCTCTCTCCAGAAACTGTCGTTTCTATCATCAATAAATTCACAGCTAAGAAACCAGAAGCTCCAGGTGACGTTCTCCAGTCCATGGCACTTCTCATACAGTCGGCCATTACAATGCTTGCAAGAGAAAGCCCCGCTCTCCTTGCAGATAACTTCCCGAACTTTTTACACCAAATGTTGATGCTTCTTACACTCGAAGACGAGCAAGCAAGGAACACAATCAACCAAACAATACTCTACGGCATTGCAGCTCTTACAAACAACGCTGGCCAGACAAATGATTTCACAAGACTCCAAGGAATCGTCAAAGAACTCGACGGAGCGTTAATCATTCAATATATGACCATTTGGCCACAAGTCTTCTCAATTTTATCTACACTTCCCCCTCAATTACACGCTGCCACACCAGATATCCTCTTCCAGCCAATTCTCAACGCATTGGAGAAGCTCAAACAAGATAAGGACATGCACGGCAAAGACTACATTGTTTCATTCGTCGCTACATGCATGAATGAAATGGGATTAGCTCAATTCTACACAGGAACACCAGAATTGATCGATGATGCCGAAGTATTCCAATACGTATACATCCCACTCATCAATGCCTACAATTCCCGTAAGCATGGAACAGATCTTGATTTCACAATTGAGAAAATTCTTCCAATTGAGAGATATCTCTACCAAGAGAAGCTCGACAACCCAGATGATGTCAACAGACACCTTGTTTGGGCCAATCTTTGGAACGCATTACCTAATTGCGTCACAACAAACTCAGATGACATTTCAGAGTTCATAGAGATGTGCTGCCAGAGATTCAAAGACCACAAAGAACTCATCAGACCAATCTCTAAGATTTTCCATCATTTGGCCGCAAAAATTGCAAATATGGAAGGTCCTTTGTCACTTTTAGTTAATTCTGCCATTGATGCATCTACTGCTTCTGTATCAATTCCTGCCATCAGTGCATTATGTGCTGCCAAGGATTCCGCATCATTGAAAGATTTCTTCCACGGTGTTGCCATGCAGTGCATTGAATACGCCCGGGATCCAGACAAAATGGATGTTTCTTGTGCTTTGGTTGATGTCATTCTCGCAATGTGTAATTACGTCGATGAGAGCTACAGAAAGATGTTTTACGATCTCATGCTCAAATTCGTAAAAGGTGAATCCCATTTCCAGAAGAAAGCTCTAAGAGCAATCCGTGATTTAATAACAAGATTCAAAATTGAAGGAGCCGTTCATGAATTGAAAGATGTCTTGGCAAATACTGGTGAAAACGTGACATCTTCAACGATAAGATATCGTATTTTATTGATGACTACATTGTTACAGATATGTGGTGATGAATATGGCGAATTGTTATCAGAGTTCCTTCCAGAAATCGTTGCCGCTGTTAAAGATCAAGGAGAGAAAACGAGATCAGCTGCAGAAGAGAGTTTACAAACAATTGCTCAATTGTCAGCTGATAATTTCAGCAGTGTTGATGCGATTGTTGCAGGAATAATGGTTGGCATCATTTCCGATGATTCATCTTTCGTTTCTGCTTCTATTGATTCTCTTTCCATTGTATTAAGAAGACATTACGACAAGGTAACTCCTGAAACATTGAATGGTACTTGCGATGGTGTATTTGGTGCTTGCAAAGCTAACCAGAAAAGTGAAGTTTTCCGTTCTGGATTAGTTTTCTGTAAAATGTTATTGACACGTGTTCCAAAGTACACTGAACAGAACCAGCTCCACAATATCATTGAGTTATCTATCGCATGCAATAAGAGAACTAACTGGGAAATCAGAGATAAAGGTCATCACATGATAGAAAGATGCATTGAAACATTCGGAATTGATCCAGTAACTAATGTTTTTCCAAAGGAAGAACTCAAGTTATTGAGAGGAGCAAGGAAAGAATCAAACAGAAACCAGAAGAAGGCGAAATCTAATCAGAACAAAGATAATGACGAATCAGATGGAATTGAATTAGATTCAAGATACGATGAACATGAAATAGATTTACTTTCATCAGCAAACATCATTAAACGTAAAGAAGTTGAACAAAAAGATGAATCTGATAATGATGAATTGCAATTCGATGAAAGAGGAAGAATCATCATGAAGGAAGCTCCAAAGACAAGGAAATCTCGTAAGGAAGAAAAGGATGAAGACGAAGATGAAGATAGAGGTAATGAATTGGCTGATTATATAAATAATCGCCGCCAAAAGAAGAATAGAGATAGAGAGGAAAAGAAGGCAAAATTCGTCGAAGAAACAGGTAACAAGTTTAAGGCACCAAGAGGTAAAGGTGATGTAATGAAGAAGGGTGGACAGGCTCCATTCGCTTCTGCTCCTTTGTCTGCAAAAGTTGTTAATAAGAGATACAGAAGTCAGATGAAGGCTGAATACAAGAAACTTTTCAAGAGAAATTAGAACTTTTAATAGATTTATTATATATTAGAATTTTTATTTTTATTATTTTTTTATAGATTTATTTGATTTATTTATAAAGTGATGAATTTTATTAACGATCTTTTAAAAATTACGAAATCTTTTTAAAAAATTGTCTTGAATAATCATCTGATTTGGAGAAATGCAGAGACAAAGAATACGTTTCAATACAACTATATCCATTGATGTTTGAAATGTATCAATAATTAACTTTCTTGTTTCATAATTATTTGTAGTAATTTAGGACTTTTCATTCGATATTCATATTGTGGATCTTGATGATGCAGTAATTCTTCGACAATTACTCCTTTCTTTTTCAGGATATCATCCAGCAAATGATTTTCCAAAGAAAATGAACTCAAACTTTAACAATTCTACTAAAATCCGTGTAAATTAAGTGTATGTTATATATATTTATAGTATTCAATGAAAATATATCTCAATAATTAAAAATTGTATTCAAATTTATGTACAAAATTGATGAAAATGCTTAAAAATAAATAGAAATGTTTACTTGCACACAAACGATGACTCTAACTTATAAATAAGAGTTTGTAATATTAAAAATTTTGAAATGCATTTTAGAATGAGAGTAAAATGCGTTTGAGACTATATCTAGATTAGTCGAAAAGACTTAAAAGGATTATGACCATTGAATAAACAAAAGATATCACAACTCCTACTAAAATTGCAATTAACTTGTACTTCTTGCTATCTGAATCGCGAACGATTGTTAAGGGTTCGAAATATCTGCGATTTCTTGTTGTATAATAAAGATGGAAAGCAATTAAGAAATGATATATTAAAATTGGAAAAGCAGCCTTGATCCATCCTAATGATGTTAATGCAACGAATATGTGAACGTATTTAAGGGGATTAATAAATTTATCTAAAGTACTGCAGATATCTAGTGGATTAATACGGTCTATTTGGAAGTCAACAAGGGAGTTAATGATAATAATGTAGAGAACAGCAAGAGCAACAATGCCAATAAGTCCTAAAAGGAGAATAAACCACATAAAAAAAATCTAAAAGTGACAAATTATCGGAGCCTTTATTGGTAGCAAACTTTGACTTATATGGGACTATTTTCCTATCCGAAGAATATACCTATTGATTAATATATACTTATAGTATGTCTGTTGATTTAGTCATCACAACAAACCATATACCCTAAAATTATAATGGTTTGTTGTGATGACTAAATCAACAGGCATACTATAATGGTTTGTTGTGATTACACACACTAAACTTCTACTGATAGTTTTTTGTTTGAATTTAGTTATGTAGAATCTACAAGGCATCTGATGCAAAAAATCAAATCAAATTAAAATTTATGTGTTCTATAATTCAAAATGGATTTGATTTTTTGCTGGTTTGTCTCATTCTTATGACTATTTGGATATAACTTGGGAGTGAAATTCAGATCACCAAATTGACAGACATGCACCCCTTTCTTTTTAGGATACTCTCCCATTTTTATTGATGAGTATTTTTAATCCAATTGGTATATTAAAATCAAAGCTTAATTTGTTCAATTTCGGACCAAAAGAAAATATTGACCCGATTATTACCGAAACTCTTGATGCAATTCTCGAAGATAGAAAAAATAATCAATTATTAAAAAGATTATCAGAAGAAAAAGACATATCGTTCAATTTTCAGATCTTATACAACTCATTAATTACTAGTAGGGCATCTGATGGTTTAACTATATTCAAAGAATGGTTTTTAAACCCTCCTCCTTCAATTTCAGTCGAAAGACTCAATGAATTTCTAAGTACATTATTTCGCTATCTTCCAGACTCAACAAACGCTCATAAGAAAGACGAATCCCACTATAAATTTGTTTGGCAAACAATATCAGAGTTAAAAGAAAAGATTACGTTCGAAATTTACTCAGAAACACAACAAAAACTTCTTGTTGCTGTCCTTGACATTGTAGAAAACATGAATATGAAGAATTTGACGCCACATTATCTTAAATTCTTTTGCTCGCATTTACTTGATAATTACATTGATACAAATACAGTAAATACCCTTATAGATAGATTTTCCAAGAACAAAGATGACGTTTACTGGAAAGAATTGTTCCAAAACGTTTTCAACAAGTTATTAACGTTTTCTGACAACAAAAATCTATTATACATCTTCTATTTAGTCAAAGATAAAATTCATACACAAGAATCTCTTTGGAATTGTGCAGTTAATGAAATATATAAGAAATCTCGAACAGATACAAGCCTTTACTTGTTACCATGCAACGGTACTAATATTCTACAGTTGATTGGTGACTTGGCCTTTTCCGATCAGATTAAAGAATCAGAAAGATTGAAATATCACATTGTAAACCTCGTTGATTTCTTTGTTCACTCCAACGTTTCACAAGAATGGATGGATATGTTCGTACATTACATTAAATTTATGATAATTAAGAACGAAATTGACTTAACTTTGATTTTATCAGATTCTATCCTTAGAATGCTCTGCTACAAACCTAAACCGATACAAGAAATCATATTTACACTCCTCGACAAGTTCGATAAGAAAGAAATTGAATCAAAATTATATTATGATTATACAGACTTCTTTTACTCAATCCAGTCATTGATGCAAACAGGATATTACCCAATGTATCCGAAATTCGATGCATTGGCCACTAAAATCGCTTCAAAATTTTCATATCAATCTCAAGGTCTTCTTTTACAGCTCTTAATCGGTAATCGTGCACAGTATTATGAAATATTTACATCAACAGTTGACAAATTAACAAATCCAACTGAAATTTGTCAATTTATTATTTCATTAGCTTTAGCACCTCCATTTTTCAATTCTGTTGGCGTAATTAAGAGCATTATCAACAAGAAGATGCAATGGTTTATTGATAAGCTCAATGGAAAGGACGCAAACGTAAAAATCGCAATTTTAATTTGTTTATTAGAACTGAACAAGAGTAACGCTTTTGTTCCGTACAGACCTATATTGGATTGCATTGGAAATCTGATCTCAAGTCAAGCGAAAAGTATCAAAAAAGTTGCTTATTTGGTTTTGGTAAATATTGCAACTCCAACGATACAACAAGAAAACGTGCAGGATGATATAGAATCGTATGTTCTCCATGATAGAATATTCTCTTTCATGCCTCATGACAATTCTGCAACAATGTTGGTCAGATCTAACTTTGGAAAGAACTTTTACTCGATCAAGACACTTAACATTCCAGTAGAAGTCAAGGATAAGAAGATTCCGCTCAAAAGATCCGATATCGTCGCTGAAGATGATCCTCTTTTCGAAATCTTACCCCCTCTACAGGAAGTTCCGGACAAATCTAAGGCCCTTAAGATCTTGTATACAACAGGTGTCGCAAATTGCAATAACAAGCCGAGATTGCTGAAGAATCCAGATTTTTCAGATTTTGATAAGGCTTGTCTTCCATTCCGTTTCAATATTAATGTCTCAAACGTTAATATTGATGATGATTCAATCGAAAAGGAGCCAAAACCATCTCCAATTTTCGATATTTTCTTGAAAGACCTTGGAGAGTCATATGATATGACATCATGTGGATTTTCATTTGTTAAGAACCCAATTGATGCTGAAAATCCTTTCATTTTGTTCATTTCTCATGATAATATGATAAATGACAAATTCCTTAAGAAAGCGAACTTCCTCATCATGGTATCTCCTGTATTAGAGAAAGGTACAAGACTTTACAGGCTCGAACTCCATGTTTCTGGCTCTGCTTATGGAAATTCGTATTTTATTCAAGCAAACAACCTTGTAGTTCGCCTTGTTCCTGCTAATATGCTTACTATTATGATATCCTCTATATTGTTCTCTTATTACATCTCTACTTACGAAAAATCTCCAATTTTCGAGAAACTTCTCTACAGAGTCAAAGAGAGAATCCACGCACTCAAGAACATTATCAATAGCCAGTAATGTTTTTTATATTGTTATGCGGCTTTGTTGCAAAAAAACACTTAATAAAAAGTTATATTGTTTTCTCTTTATTATTTCTATTACATATTCTAATAATCTAAATAATGATGTATGAGCATCAATTGTTTAAAGAATATTAAGCTGAAAATTATAATTTTTTTTCTAATCATCAAGGCATGTTAGAGCAATTAACCCGAATGGAATACATTTATCAGTAAAAGCAATGCCATTACTTTCAATTTCTTTCTGTTAGTTCCTGACACTATTGTACGCAAAATGGATTCAAACATTCATTTCTTAGAATCAATAAGTAAAGTTTGAGTGTGAAGTTCTCTGCTGGCTTGATTGCATTGTGTTGGTTATAAATTCGTATTTGTGTTAGATTAAACTTTTGTTACTTTTCAAGGTAATCTCGGTTTTGAGTTTGAAATATGAAATGTGGGAAGTTATTGCATTGCTCAAAGGTACATTCACTAGGCGATAACAGTAAAATGGGATGAAAATAGGATAAATAGCACCCCTATATAGTGCCTAACAATATTTATACGGGCCAAAAAAAATTTGGCTAGAGATTTGGCGAGTTATAAAACTTAGAAAATTGAGAGGGATTTTTATTTTTGATTTTTTTTTGGAAAGTTAAAATTGCGATTAAAAATCGATTTCCAGGAGAACTAAGCATCTCATCATATATTTAAATCGATAAAAATATTAAATAATAGTTGAATAGTATAACAACGTGAAATTATGGCTGAATCTACAGAAAAAATGAACATATTTGACATTTTTGAAAATTCATACGTTAGATGGTGACAGACTCATAAACTATACTTTAGCTAAGATTGATATATGGTTTCAACAACACATGGTTAAAATCGTAAAAATATTTTAGATTTCAAAAAGATATATATGGTAATATAATGGAACAAAGTCAACAAATAGCATGACTAATCTTCATAAGTGTTAATAGAATCATTAGCCTTACATATAGTGTTTAATATAATGATGCACATTATACTGGGATTCATTCCTTATTCATCTAGTTATTATAAGATTTACAACCCCATGAAAATTTAAAATTTTGTCAAAAATAGTGAATGTACCTTTCATTGCTCATAGGGTACTTTTGCATCTTTAAGTCTATATATTATGAAAGAACAATAACATTCATAATTATATTGTTCAGAACACAAAATTGTCTGAAAATTTTATCAAAAAAATGGGAGAAGTGGAGCTTTCTGAGTGGATTAAGCTCCTTGAAGCAGTTATATCTGAAGATGAGAGCCAAAGAAATGAATCACATCAGAATATTATGGATTTACTACAAAATCAGCCGATTCAATTTTTAACTTTATGTATTAGTACGATTTTTTCTGATAATATCTCTCCAACCGCTACATTCCAGGCTTTCAATGCTACAAATCGATATTTAAAGTTCTGCGAGCAGCAAAATCTTCCATTTTTAACATTAAATTTAGAACTGCGAACAAATTTAATAACAGCAGCATTACGAGGTTTATTATACGCAGATTATCCATATATTCAAGAAGCAGCTGCTCTTACAATTGGATTATTTTGTAATTGTTCAAAATCTTACGAAGAATATCTTTCAAGCCTTCTAACCTTGTACACTGAGCATAAATCGGATGTTCATGATATTGTTGTGAGTATTTCTACAGCCTGTCAAAACGTAATTGAAATTTGCAATTTATTTAACAAACAAACGAAGTCTCAAATCCCACAAAGCTTAATAACCGAAATGATCGCATATCTACAAGAAACTCAAGATTTAGGAAACGCAATTAAAATAATTAAATCTTTTGATTGTTTTCTCAAGTATTACAAAGAATTTCCAGGTGATAATGAGAAAATAAATGATGTGTGCAAGGTGTACGCAACTCTTCTTCGTTTTGAAAGCGAAGAAATCATAAATTATTGCGCAGAAAATCTTTCCATTATTTTTGATGTTTCATATGATTCTTCACATGTCTACACTGATTCTCTCTTCTATTTCATTGATGAATCATTCAAAATTCCAGATTGTACGATTCCTATTTTGAGATTGATGAATGAGATGATTTCAAAGGAAAAGAACTCCGATAAAGTCCTTCAACAAAGTATTTCACAACTTATTTTTGAAAAAGAACATGAAAAATTTGAAGAAATTTTATTTTCAATTTCAAATCAAGAACAAGATTCAATTGATGATGAATATCCTCAATATTATGTCACAATAATTCTTAGTGAGATGATGTTTGTTAATCAGGAGTTCGTTTTTTCTTATATTAATCAAATTTTTGAAAATTGTTTCCAAACTGAAGAATATAACAAGATATATGCATCTATATTATGTTTGTATTCATTTGTTAATCATCATTCCTCTGCTTGTTATGATTTTGTCATTGATTCAATCAAGAAAATTCTTCAATCACCAAATATTTACAATTTCATTGGTACAACAATACTAACATATGATTTTATTGCTAATATGTTGATTGAATTCCCTGATTTAATCTATGTTGCTGATGATGACGGTGAATTTGCTTTTTTAATTTTGGATTTTGTTGTAAAATCACTTGAAACTCCTTCAAACATTATTAAATCATCAGTGAATGTTGCAAAGAATATGTGTATCCAGCTAAAAGCAAAGATTCACACTGAAAATTCCTTGAAATTGTTTTCAATTTTGTCAGATTTCTACAGAAACTTATGGGAAAAGCCGGAAATATATAATCCTGAACTTTGTGATAACTTCTTCGCTTCTTTAGGTGAGTTTTTGTTCACAACTCCTGAAAATGAAATAGTTTTAACGATTATTCCACTTCTTTCTTCGACTTTAACCGAAATTCTTGAGAAAATTAGTCAGAGTTCCGATAATGAGTCACTTCCCTTCATTTCTAGAGCAATTTTTGAGTGTTTGACGAAAGGAATTCAGAGATATGTCGAAAGAGCGATAGATATAAAGAATCCAGAGAGCCAACATTTGTATTACAACCTTGTAGATCTTGCTTTGAATGCTATTAAGTACAAAGAATACATTTTTTATGCGAATGCGATTGAATTTTTGGTAAAACTCAGCGCGATATACATGAATGATGATCATATGGCTGTAATTATGAATGATTTATTACCTAGTATCACGGAAGGTAACCAAAGTAGCTTTACTTACGCTTGTTACGTTTTTCAATATCTTTCTACGAATTTGAAGTCAAAGATGGACAAATACGTTGAGCAGATCTGTTCGTCCATCCTTGAAACTCTCTATAACTGGAGAGATAACTTCGATTCCAATAGTTTTGGCTTTGGATTATTTGCTATCGGGACATGTATGATAAATAGCCCTCAAAAACTACAAGGAATCATTGAAAATCTTGTAACAGCGTTGGAATTCTTTATTAGCAGAACTCCTGGAAACGAAGAAGATATAATTGACATTGAAAACTTTTACAAAGGATTTATTGTTGCAGAAACAGGTTTGTTGACTGTTTCTAAGACAATTATTGCTGATGATATTCCTCCAATTAATGTTTATTCACGTTTGAAAATGAAAATTTCAATAATGTATCAGTCAAAGATGCTGCAAATGATTCCAATGGGTAGTATATACTCATACTTTGTTGATTTATTAGATGCAACTAATGAATTCATATCGAATCATAGAAAATACTTAAGATTAGCTAAATTCTTCCACAGAAACGAAGTTTATGCACTGAATGAGTTCATAAATAATATTGAGGACTCAGCTGACTTATCAAAGGCTAAATGGCAAAAATTGGAAAAATCTTTAGAGTTATAATTTTATCTTGTTATTTGTTATATTAATAGAGAGTAAATTATAGATTGTAAGTAAGGATGTCGCTTTGCGAAAAAAAACGGATATGCTAGCAACTTTATCCAAATATCCTATATCACGATATTTGGCACTTTTCTTCTCCGCATTAGAATGAACTTTGTAGCCGAGTATTCGGAAATGGCCGGAGCCGAAGGTGAAGGTCTTTTCCGAATGCGAGGTAAAAAATTATTAGATATTTTAAGTCGCACGCAAGAGATCTAAAATTAGTGCTATAAAAGTGACACCATTCGCAAAACGGCATCCTTATTGTAAGTGATGTTGGATAATTTTATTTTCAACATCACTCAAAAATCAAACACTTTGTGATTGCACCCGAAGGCATTTCAAATTGTTGATTATCAGAACATCTTATGATTTTGGAGTGATGTTGAAAATAAAATTTATCGGAAGATTTTTATCCAAAATTTTATAATGTATTAATGAGTTTGTGGATCCATTGTCAATCTAAAATTCAATGGATCCAAAAGGAGTATTCATAGCGTAGATGCTGCAACACGTATTTGGCATCAATACTATGAAAACGTCAGTCCTCCACCCGTTATTCAAGGTGATAACAAAAACGTTACTGCAACAGCGAATAAATGCTTTACATACATCTGTAAATTCGTTAACCTTGAATCAGGTGCAGTAAATTTCACAGCTATTTCAAGTTATTCTATTTTACTTTGCGAAAACACATTTTACAAAGGCCCAGGCACAGTTTATATCACTAGTTCAGGCACAAACAGTATTGTTATTGATAAATTCTGCTCTTTTGAAAGCAATTCTTCAACTTACGGCCATTTTACTTATTTCCATGGCGACATTAACAGTACAATCCTCCAAGGTACACTTTCTCATGGAGGAAATCGCGATGCATATTATGGAATGATTTACCAACAACTAGGTGATACGTCTCTTTCAAACACTAACATTACTAACTGCATTTCACAACATGCTACAGCTTTTATGTATTGGAGTATGGAATCAACAACAAAAGTCAAATTTTGTAATTTTGAAAATTTGGAAGCAACTAATATCATTATCACTTGTTTTGAGTTTACTGTAGGGATAGTTGAAAGATGTAATTATATAAATAATTCACAAACAGATAAATTTTATGGATTCGTTTATGAATGTGGAAAAAAACTTAACGTTTTAGATTCAGTTTTCAAAGATAATCGAAAGAACGAAAAAGGAGCTTTATTTTCTGCAAATGATGGACAAATTTTTATAATTAATTGCAATATTGATGACTATAAAGAGTCTAATACATATCGTGGAACTATTGATACATCAGAAATGACAACAAAACCATTTTCTAATGACTTAAAGTTCATTGGAATAAGTCCATGTGAAGGTTCGTTACTAATTGCACAAAATAAAGATTCAATTTATAAAAACCTCAAATTATTATCATTAATATTCTTGTCCCGCCCTCTTGGTTTTTGAAAATTGAATAACTCTGTCAATAAGATTTTTGTTTAAATAATTAACCTTTTTATTATAATATTTGAATTAAAATAACACGCCTTTAAGTCTAATTTAGTGAATTTCACTCATGCAACTCTTAATTTGAGATCTGTAAGTATACTTTAATTCCAATTTTAAATCAAGCAAAAAGATTTCAAAAAAATTAATCCGATGATGAATCATATGATGTGTGATTTGGATTTTAGAAGTCTTAAAATATAATAATTTTCATTTGTTTGAAACGTATGAAATAATCTTTTGAGTGCAATAGCAATCAGTCAAATTCAACTAACATGACTAATAAAATGAGATAAATCCCAAAATATGCTCTTTGCTAATAAAAATATCTAAAATTTAACATTTAAGTGTGTCATATGATAACAATTAGTCCCAATATGAAATACTTTGTGGATTTGTATCTGGAGGTATCTCTTGTTGCATTTCTTGTGCCTCTTTGCATTTATTAATAATAACATTCATTTTAGCATTTGGGATATGTGGCTCAGAGATATATAGATCCTTATTTATGTTAATTGGAATGGATGGATCGAAAAAGTAAGGTTCAATATAATCATCAGGATTTTCCACTTCAGCATTCTTTCTATATTTATCAGATTTCTTATAATCAAAATTAGGAAGCTGTTCGTTACTTAATGTATCATAAGAATCTCCTTCTGTTCGATAAAGTTCCATAATTTTTTTGGTCAAGTTTACAAAATAATCGTCAGTCAAAAATAAAAATCAATGTCTTTTGGCTCTCCAAAGAACGGCGAATTCATTGAATGCACAGATCCTGCTATTCGTGAATATCTAATATTCCTTAATAGCAAGGAACCTGCAGAACACAAGTTTATTATCACAGATATCGATGACCGCTACTTATTCATCAAAGCTGGAGTTTCAGATAAGCTTAAAGAGAAAATTAACTTGCTTGTTACAAGTAACACCTTCTCTGAAGAAGATCGTGATTCAAAGAAGAAAAAGCAAAGAGTTATTTAAAGCAATAGCTCTTTATACGGATGACTTCCATATTGTGGCTAGAATTTTGGCGAATTTATTCACTTTACTATCAAAAATTTGTAAATTTAGAAAACAATTAGCTACAAAGCGATTGAAGAAAGAAATATTTATGTATAAATAATATTATGTTTTTAAACGAATAAAATACAAATATAACAAAAACTAATAAAAATAATATTTCATCTAAAAGCATTCCAGATCTGTTTGGATTGCTGATAAGCTTGATACTGCTGTGGACAAAAGAATAATATCAAGAACATATATGCTGGACACATAATAACCAGCATAAATCTCGAACCTTTCGAATTCCAAAGCATGTCAAAGCCACAGACGATAGCGATTGTTTCCATAGGTATTGTGAAGCGTATCGGTTCTGAATTTGTTAGGCAGGAATAAAAGAATTCCCACAAATAGCAAAATATTGAAAGAGGAAGAGCATTTGTTACAAGTGATCCTGCACCTAACAAGAAAATGCAATGTGATATCAAATAAGAATTTCCTTTCATCAAAGTACTGATTGAGCTAATTTGTTGTAATGTGGCGTTCAATGGCACTGAAATGAAAGATTCAGAATGAAGTTGGTTGGGAATTAAGTATGATTTCCATGGAACATTAAATATCAAGAAAAAGAAATCAAATAAAATTGAAATTAAATATGTAATTAAATCCTTAACATCTAAGCGTATGGCTGAAACAATGAATAATGTGATTGGAACAATGATTCCTTCAAACCTTATGAAACAAAGATAAACTGAGCAAGCTGCGGCCAAAATATGTAATCCTAGCTTAGAAAGTATGAGTGCAAGCATGATAACGCAGAAGAAAAACGTGTCGTATGTTGGAACAGCGCGATACATAACTTGATGTAAAGGAACAAGACAGAATATAATGCATGAGAATAGGATATTCTTAACAGGTTTGTAAACTACTAAAAGTCTTCTAAATAAATATACTGAAAGTATGCCAGATATAATAATTGAATTTAATAATGTGAGTTTGAAGTTTCCAAATGAGATAATGTACATTAAATACATGTATAAATAATAACCGCAATGCGGAAAGATAATATCTTTTGCAGATGTTTCGTAATAGATTGAAAATAAATCATCTGATTCATCTAGATTGCCTTGAATCCATACGAGTGAGTTTGGTGCATCCCAAAATGTATAAATTGAATCGAATTTATATCGTTTTGATGTAACTATCCAAATGCTAAATGTAATAAATGTGATAAATGCTGCTAAACATAGATCATATATATCAGGAATGAACAAACTTCTAAGAGATATTTTAACTGTGCGGCATGTTCCCAATATACGATTTCGATGTCTCTTAGATGATTTGATATCCATAAAAAATGTGCTATAAAGATATTTCATTAATGAAAAATGAATAAACATTTGTAATATATTTACATTTTTATTAGAAAAGTTAAAGGATTTCAAAATCTCAAATTTCAAATTTTAAATTGACAAGCTTATATAGCAAACCTGAATAATCATTACATTGTTTGACTCCAACTAGAGAATTAGAATCTCTATCTAGATCTTGAATTCTTTCTGTAACCCTATTAGCTAAATAGTCATGTATGGACGATGAAATAGCATGTAATGGCATTAATTTTGTAATACATTTCATTCATAGCTTTATATCTAGTAAGTACTTAAAATTGAAGAATATTGTTTTAGAGATTTTGCAATGAATAGTCTATTTAGTATTGAATATAAGGTGAAATTGATATTATTCTTATTAAGTTGTTCCTGGACAGAATTTATACAGTTCTGGATATATGTATTGAAAGCTCAACATATTCATGGCTTCATTTGGTTCATAACGATGTGATCATTCACCTCATGGATTTTTACAAATGGAAATAATGTTGAATGATGAAATTCAGGTAAAAAACAAAATGAAAATCAACAAAATTGACAGAAGAAATTTTTATAGTTTTGAAATGCTAGCATGTATGTGGAGAATATAATTATGAAATTACTTTTTTTTTCAATGAGGGTTTGAAATTTTCTGAGTTTTCAATTCGGATTTTATAGTCTACAAAAATATTGCCGTTTAATAAATGAAGCTCCTGACCTGCCGACAACTTTGTGGTCGGATTCTAATTGAGCTATCATCTGTTGAATGGGAAAAGAAGATAAATGACAAAACAATTCTTTCGGCTTTAAATTCAATTCCATTTCCTCCAATAATCGACGAAAAATCATCAAATATAAGCAAAAAATTAGAAGGAAAGCAAGAACTTTCATCAATTTTTAAAGATGTTGGTTTTTCGTTCCCTTTTCGCGCTGATTTAATCGAATATATAATCAGCCATCCCGAATTAGTCACATACATTCCGAATGTGCATGCACAAATAGTTTATTTCACATACCTTTCATGGATACAAAGTCTAGAGAAAAAAAATAGTACAAAATATTCACTTTCTTTATTACAATTGTTTTTGCAGCGATCTTCCGTCGATGGATTCAAAGACATCAATATGTATGCATTCTATGATGTTTTTATATTTTCTCTTTCATCTTCAGATCTGTCATTCGAAAAACTTCATGAAATCAACAGCGTATTAATCAAATTCCTCACAATTGGTCAGCCTCCTGTTTTTATGTACCAATTAATACCTCGTACTGTTAAAAAACTCTCAGATTCCAAAAATCCAGACTTTTCAAACTTCATTTGTTCAATTATCAATCTTAAAGCTATCAAAAAGGAATACCCAGATGAAGTATTTTTAGATACAATATCCATATTAAATGATTTACTTGTCGATTTTAATACTCAAGTCGTAGATATGTGGTGTAACTCTGCACCACAGCTTCCTCCACTTGTTACCCTTCCATCAATTACTTCATTAGTAAGCGGAGTCATCAATTACGTTGTTCGTTTTGGCAAATTTGTTTCAGTAGAGAAAAACGTCGAAAATGTAATTAAAATAGACGACAAACACACTTTTCAAATCAATCCAGACATAGTACCGAACCCACAATTGGTCAATGTTGAGATCACAAAACAAAGATATTTAATTCCGACACCTAACTTAGTAGCTGAATATTTACCTGAAGGAATGACAAAAGCATTGGATGGATTCGTCAGAATTGCCCGAAATTCTAAGGAACTCCGTGATATGATTAACAATGCCATCGTAAATTTCTTCGATGAAAACAAAGATCATGAAAATTGGTTGGCGATTTATACTTCATTTTTGAGTATCTATCGTACAGTCAAATGCAGAAAAGATTTTTTACTTCCTTATTCTGTATTAATTGATTCAAGAATATGGAGTCCTGAAGTTGCTATTGATTCTCCAGAGCATAAAGGTCTTGCAATAAATAGCATACGTCATTGGACTCTTGAGATGCTTATGTCTCGTGGAATTAAAAATGTCAGAGAAATTTTGAATCTTTGTATAGCATATCCACGTTTGGAAGAGGAAATCATATATAGAATCATGGATTTTGCACCAAAACTTAAGTTTAATGATAAAATTGTTGAAGAATTTACAACAGTCATCACATATCTTTTGTATTTCTATCAAACATGTCCTTACACTAATGAAGAACAGGAGCAAGCAGCTAATGGTGTTAGAATAGCTCTGTTTTGTTTGCTGGATCTCTTCATAAGTAAAGAAGATAAATTAGGTGCTTTCCTGAATAGAGAAGAATTTGCAGAATCATTCATTATGTTGATATTTGAGAAAGGTGTAGATCAATACGTCATGGATAAGCTCAAAATATATGTTAAAACAGCAGATTATAAAAATTCATTAAATCCATGTCGTCTAAAGTTCGTTGAAATAGCAGGAACAGTCTTTGGTAACCTCAACCACGCAGGAATGATGGATATCGCTAAGTCAATCATTCATTTATTCGTCGAACAGAACATTTCTATGCCAGAAATGATCAAAGAACTTGCATCAGGATTCTTATTATTACCTAAGAACGAAGACAGTGCTAATTTCATTGTTGACGCATTAGATTTCTTAGTTATTTCAGCCGAAAGTCGCTCATTAACAGCAACTCCATTAGCAGCAATTGAAGAAGCGATTTCACATGTTTTCGGAGAACCAACACAAGACTTATTCATCCGATTAGTACAATTATTAGCAGGTCATCCTCTTGACTCTGCTCAACCATCATTCCTGATCAAACAACCAACAGCTTTGACATTGATTTTAGGTGTTTTCAAAGACACCCAATTTTTGTTGACAATTTTTGACTTCATTGCAAAACTTTGTGAATATTCATCATTAAACTGTGCGGCAGCAGCCATTGGTGGACTTAGTGAGATGTTGATTGAGTTCATGCTTGAATGGCGAAACGATGAAACAATTGAACCAAGACAATTTGCATCATGCATGAGTTTATTGATGATCATTGTTATGACATCATGTACAGTTAATGTTGCACGAATGTTCATCTCATTGTTGTGTCCTATCGAAGGCCGAACTATTCCTCACACACAGAATTTGATGTTGAAAGTTCTCAACAAGATGTTGATTGATGGTCAAAACAGACCAAGAGATAGTTTACCATTAGTTCCACAAGGTAAATACGCAACGTTCTCAAGTATGCCACAATCATTTGTTGTTGTCTTCTGGATCTTTAATCCATTGAGTGATAAATCTCCTCAATCAATCATCGCAGAAATTGGTGACCTTAAAATCCTTGTCACAGATTACAGAATCAAAGTCAACAAAGTGAAAACAAACGTTGAATTAGACGCCAAGATCTGGAACATGGTCTCAATCAAAGTTAACATTGATGACAAAGAATCAGATGTCACAGTTATGGTTAACAACAAAGAAGAAACAAAATCTAATTTCAAATTACCAAAACTATTGTTTGAAGAAAAACAATTGTTCGTTATTGGTGGAGGAACTAATGATAAGAATTACGCATTGTTAGGTAATTTTGGGATTTTCAAAGATACAGTTCAACTTGATAAACTAATGAAGTCATCACTTCGTGGATCAATGGAGAATAATCCAGACTGCATTGTTTACATGCAGCCATTCCAAGCAGATGGTTTCATTTACATGAAATCAAATTCAAGAGTTGAACAAGGAAAAATCGAATGTCCTCCTTTCGTTTCATTCGCTGATGTTTTAGTTGAAAAGTGCGGAATTGAAATGATTCTTCCTTTATTTGCACAATGGGACATGCCATACTCAACAGGTAAAGAGAACACAATTAAGAACGACACATTGGAAATCCTTACAAACTGTCTGAAAATGTCAAGTGATTCACAAAAATTGTTTGCTGAAGTTGGTGGATTCCGAATTTTGTCACATTTAATTATATCATCGAAAATCGAGAACATCGATTTCAAATTGTACCAAGCAATGGTCCAAATCCTTAACTCTCTCCAAGATGGAGAAGCCAAGCACAACATGCTGATTGCTATTATATTCAACCTCCAAATTTGGCTGAAAACATCAGCAGTTGATCATATCATGATCATCAAACATTGGGCAAGAGTTATTGTTAAGAATTATTACAACGACTGCAAAGATCTATTGACATTCACTCACATCTTGTCAATGCTTATTAGTAACTATTGGTATTCACAAGCAGAATCATTGATACATCAAAATACAGAGAGATGTAGAAATGAAGTTTTGAATGTCACAGAAGTCAGAAAATATTTATTTGAAATTTTGAAACAAATTTCACTTAAGAATTTCGATACAAACTCGCTGAAGAGTTTAGTATCGCATATCTTGACATGTGGCGAAATCAACCAATGCTTGGATTTGATCAATTTCTTGCAATATTTGCTTGGCGATGATAATGTTTGGAAAGATATTGAAGAACCAGGAAAATATATTTCACTTTTAGTTTATTTGTTTAACCTGAAAAGTGATGACATTGTTTTATCCACATTATCATGCATTGTTTATGCATTTCGACACAATAAAATGAATCCTATCACTATGAAGGATGAAGTCGAAATCATGTTGCATCAAGTTGGTTCATATTTCTCAAGAACAACATTAGTTGACATATTCATTGAAATCCTCAACAACAATGTTCCAGAATTACTTCCTCTTTTATCATGGATGACACTGAACAATGGCCGACCAATTATTTTACCACAAATCTTGAAATCATCTAAAATGTTAGTTACCAATGATTTGTGGTGTTATTGGCCATTAATCAGTTGCTATAAATGCCAAGAACAAGAGAGCAAAGACCTTCTTAAGTATTTGTTAGACTGCAATGTTCAAGGTGTTTTGACTAATTTATTAGCAGCTGCTAACATTGTTGGATTGGCATTGAAAGAAGACAGAATCAAGATGATGAGAAACATTTTACTTTTAGCATCAAACAACGAAACATATGATGAAGAATACATCAAATGTGCACAATTCTTTTTGTTATACCGAGAAAGAAATGTTTCTAAAACATATTTAGAAACGGTCTATGAATCATCTCCTTTCAATAATACTGTTAATAATGATGATTCTGGCTCTCTTTTGATGACATCTACATCACAAGCAGAAATTGAAACAAACAAACCAGTTTTGGATGAAATCAACATCCAAATCACAGAAACACAAAAAGAAAAAGACATCAAACGACACTCATTGAATGTTGCCAATTTAGCGAAGAATGTTGGAAACTTGAGCTCTTATAACTCAGATACTGCCGAAAGTACACTGAGTTATCTTTTCCCAGTTCACGAAGAAAGTAACGATACAGGAAAAGCACGAAGAGTTTCATTATTATCAGTTTCCTCATTTTCAAAACCATCAAGGAGAAGAAACATATCTCCAAAGAAGATGAAAGCAGTTATTATGCCAAGTGAAATGGACAAGAAAGTTATTGACATTGCTAAGCATCCATTCAACTACATCTTCGGTTTGAATTGGACAGAAGATGGCAAATGGGAAGATTTCGAAATTGCCAAATCATATTTGCAGAAATACATCAGTCACAAACTCGAAATCACAGCAGAATCACAAATCATCACCAGTTTGTTTATCAAGTTTGGAGGTGATATTGAAAGTGATTATTTCAACAACACAATTCCTGTCATGAAAGCTAAGAAACAACTTGAAGATAATCAACTTAGTTTGTACTTGAGTTTGTCTGAAGATGTTGCACAAAGTTACAACATTAATTTGGCATTAAGTCCCATCCGATTCATGCATCATCTTCTTAAGACAAACAAAAGGAATGCGGATATCAACTTCGAGAATCTTGAACAAGCGTCTAGTTTAGCAAGTGTTGCTGCAAACGAAATTGCAGATTACGAAGACAAAATATCAACAGCAAAAACACACTCAGCTCATTTATGGTCACATCTTTGGCAATGCATGACATTTTCACATGCACCATGGAGTCGTTCTCTTCCTGCACAACACTCTGCAATACACTACAAGAAAGACATGAGTTACTGTGGTCTAATGCCATTGAAACTGAAGAAGAACAGACAATTCACAGACCACAAACACGAATCGTTAGTTCGCGATACAGGTGATGAAGTTACCGCCGAAATCAAATTGGAAGAATACAAGAAAGAACTTGCATTACAGTACCAAAAACACGCTCCTTCCGGTCTTTTAGATGTTTTGGTTGAAGACAAAGAAGAAATCAACAACAACTTGAACATGGCTGACCAACGCTGCATCATGGAATTGCCATGTGAACTCATTGAAATCTCACGAAGGAGACAAGGAACATTTGCGATTTTGGCAGACTCAGTTGTCATTTCTATCAAAGAGAAAACTAAAGTTTTTCCATTGGAAATGATTTGTGATGTTTTACTTCGAACTCATTTGCATCATCAAACTGCAATTGAAATGATCATGATCGATGGAAGAAGTTATTTAATTAACTTCGAAAATGTCGATTCATTAACAGTTCTCAAGCACTTCAAAGAACTTTGGCTTCCAAACATCGCAAACTTGCAGACATCCTCATTCATTGACTTCTTCCAGAGCAAGAAACTCACCGATAAATGGGTTTCAAGACAAATCAGTAATTTTGAATATCTTCTTTATCTCAACAAATTCAGTGGAAGAACATTCAACGATGCAAGTCAATATCCGATCATGCCATGGGTTTTATCTGATTACACGTCAAGTGTTTTAGACTTGACAGATCCACAAAGTTACCGAGATCTTTCTAAACCAATTGGAGCTATCAATGAAGAACGTTTGCAAGGCCTTGTTGAGAAAATGGACATTTTCTCACAGATGGGAATCACACCATATTTGTATTCTTCAGGACCAAATTGTCCATTGGCAGTTTATCTTTGGTTGTTGCGAATGGAACCATGTACAACATTACACATCGAGATCCAAGGCGGTAAATTCGACACAGCCGCAAGATTGTTCTCAAGCATTCCTAACGCATGGAACTTGTGTACTAAGACACAAAACGATTTCCGCGAACTTATTCCAGAGTTCTTCTCAACACCAGAATTCCTTGTGAACTCCAACAGATTTGATCTTGGGAAAACGCAAGATTACGAAGTTGACGATGTTGTTTTACCACCATGGGCTAATACTCCATACGATTTCATCTACATCATGCGGAAAGCTCTTGAGAGTGACTATGTTTCAAGTCATCTTCATCAATGGATTGATTTGATATTTGGTGTTACACAAAAATCATCAGAATGTAACAACATTTATATGGAAGAGATGTACTCCACCATCTGGGATAATAAGAAGAACTTAGAGAATCCCGAAGTTCGCGCCGGTATTGAAGCCATCCTTATGCATGTTGGTCAGATTCCACAACAGATCTTCACAAAACCACATCCACAACGTTATGCACATGTTTCTAATGCATCGGTTCTTAGCAAAAACATTTGTATTGATTTGAATTTGCCTAAGACATACGCAGCAAACATATCTAAACGGGGAAACGAGTACATGATCACACTGCTTAACTCAGAAGGTGGCATCTGTGTTCGCAACATGGAATTGACAGATATTGCTAAAGCATCACATGGATCAAATGTCAAACCTCGATCGAAATCTAATGCATCAGCATCTAGTCAAATCTCAGCACCAACATCTCCACACATTAAGCGTAATGAGCGTCGAAGCAACATCGACATTGTATTTTCAGAACCATGCGAGATCACATTAGAAAACATGACAACAGACAAGATGCAGATTGAAGATTTCAACGAACTTTGCTCAGAAACATTCGCCATTCCTATTGCCGGTGGTTCATTCGCAGTTAGTGGTCGTTTGACAAACGAAATGTACATTGCTGTTCCGGGTGGTCTTTGCAACAAAGCATTGCAACAGCGCTCACGAATTGTCTGCTCAGTGTGTGATGGTAAATACATTGCCGTTGCGAACAGCGAAGCAGTCATTTCTATTTACAGGAAGAACTTCGAAAAGCCAATTTTCAAAGTTCCAAGTTTCACATCTGCTATCCGATGCATGTGCATTTCCGAGAAATTCCACATCATTGTTGCCGGAACTAAAGACTCATCATTGTTGTTCATCAGTTTGACAAGTGGCCAAATTGCTAAAGTTGTTGAGTTGGATGGATTCCGAGCTAAACACGTCATCATCACACCATCATGGGGATTTGTTGCCGTCCATGCAACAAAGATTGCAAACGGAATGCTACAACATCAGATCTTCTTGATTTCACCAAACGGCGACATCATTGTCAAGCGTAAGTCAGATGCCGGTGTCGAATCATGGACTAGTGAATCTACTTCATCCGGATTCGATGTTATTGGCATGGTTGATGAAATCGGCAATGTCTTTGTTTTCGAAGCATTTTACGTTGATCTTGGTAGGAAAGTTTTCTCTACAAACACGAAAGTTGTTTCAGTTCGAATTGATCCAGAAGATAATGTTTTGATTCTTATCTTAGAAACAGGAAAATCTATTATGATTCCAATTTCTGTTGATCTCTAACTTATTATCTTTAACACTTTTATTATAGTTTTTTCAGATTGTTTTAATATTAATATTTGAATAAATAAATATTATATCTAATGTTCGAATTGAGAATATAATTTGAATAATTTTGGAAAATTTACACGTCACTATACGGAACTCCAGGCTTAAATTTGACGTTGAATATTGTTTCTTCCTTAACATTTGATTGTGAATGATCTTGTTTTGAATTAAGCTGGTTTAGATTAATGAAATGCGAAAAAGGTTTCTTATTTGAATAAACAGTTCGATGATAGACCCTTTTTTGGCAGTCATCAGCTTTATATGTTATTAATATCTCTTCAATTGTGTATCCTTCCATGATTGGAATAGAATACTCCATAGGAAGAGCTAAAATCCCGCCAAATTTTACGGTTTTTTTAATACAAAAGTAATCAAAGTGAATAAAGCAAAGATATATATTGTATTTAATCAGTCAATTGATATTGGGTAGAATATATGCTCAATATTTCATTTTTCAAATTTATTTTTTCAAAAAACCAATAATTGGCAACATTGTTTACTGTAATAATTGTTTTTAATGAAAATACTATATGCCTTCCTTATTTTCTTTCTTTTTTATTTTTTGAAAAAATCAAAAAAACTCGAAAAAAAATCAAAAAATCAAAAAATCGATGAATTCTCAACGTAATTTAAATCTTCAAAATCGTAGAGATTGGTCATAATATAACTAAGCATTATGATATGGTAAAGTTCAAAAAATCTCTCTCTTGAACGAGATAAAAGCTTAACAGAAATAACCTTAAAAGTGCTTTTCTGAGGGTGGTCTATCGTCTATAGGGCACCCTTAAGTAAGAAGAAATTTTTATTTAAATGTTTTTATAAAAAGGTTAATTAATGATAATAATTTGATATTTTTATAAATTGAATCTTTATTTTGGGCAATTAGTAACGAACCTTCACATGGACTTATTCCAATGAACTTTAAATCATTAATAAATGATTCTGTTGTCATTTCTGATGTGGATATAGTTCCACGATATGTATTAGATTCTTTATAGGTATCAATACTGCAATTAAATATATAAATTTGTCCACTAATTGTAGAAAATATAGCTCCATTTTTGTTCTTTAGATTATCTCTGAAAACTGAATCTAAAACGTCAAGTCTTTTGTTATATTCATGAACTAATCCATAATTTTTATCTGTTTGGGAATTATTTATATAATTACATCTTTCAACTATCCCTACAGTATTCGAAAAAGAAGTGCTAGAGCTTTGAGTTGCTTCCAAATTTTCAAAATTACAAAATTTGACTTTTGTTGTTGATTTCATATAATCATATCTAAAAGCTGTAGCTTGTTGTGAAATGCAGTTAGTAATGTTTGTGTTTGAAAGAGATGAATCACCTTCTCTTGAGTAAATCATTCCATATGTTACATCGCGATTTCCTCCATTAGAAATTGTACCTTGGAGGATTGTACTGTTAATGTCGCCATAGAAATAAGTAAAATGACCGTTTGTTGAAGTTTTGCTCTCAAATGAACAGAATTTATCAATGATAATATTGTTTGTGCCTGTACTAGTGATATAAACTGTGCCTGAACCGTTGTAAAATGTGTTTTCGCAAAGTAAAATAGAATAACTTGAAATATCTATGAAATTGACTGCTCGTAATGCAAGGTTTTCGAATTTACAGATATATGTGAAGCATTTGTTCGCTGTTGCAGTAACATTTTGGTTATCACCTGAAATAACTGGTGGAGGATCGATGTTTTCATAGTATTGATGCCAAACATACGTCAAGTCATCTACACTATGAGTATTTCTTTTGGATCCATTGAATTTTAGATTGACAATGGATCCAAAAACTCATTAATACATTTTAAAATTTTGGATAAAAATCTTCCGATAGCTTTCATTTTCAACATCACTCCAAAATCGTTCTACAATGGATTTATATGCTCATGAAACATAGAAATAGCCACAAACGCGCACCATTCTTTATTAATACAATGTTGTAAGAGTATTTTATCTGTTGAGTTACTATTTGCAAAAATTCATTTCTCACTCTCTCAAAATTAATTATTTTTCATTTCATTCACAATAAAAAAGTTTTGATTTAAAAATGTTGAGATGATATCCTCAATCTTTAAAAATTATATAAAAAAGCTTTATAAAAAAAGAAATATAGAATAAAATAGAAATTATTCGAAAACTTTTGCGATTTCGTTTGGAACTGCTGGGCCATAAACGGCAACGGCAGGTTTGTAGCTAAATGTCTGTTTAAGTGCTTTCTCGACGGCCTTCCTTGTAACTTCTTTGATTGACTTCTTGTACTGAGAGCTGTAGATTGGTTTGCACCCTAAGTAACTAGAACGGACGAACTCGTTGAATCGTTTGTCCGATGCATTCAACTCTTTAGTGCCTGCTGTGATAACAAGACCGCGTGCGGCATCCAAGTTCTTGTCCTCAATCGTTTCGACTGAATGGATACACTCTCTGACCAACTGTGCTGCTTTAACTAAGTTTCTGTCTTCTGCAACAACGTTGATGTTGAATCGGCCGCCTGTTGTGAAGAAGTTGTTGTAGGCGTATGCCTGGTGACATCTGGCAACTCCGCCAACAACTTTAGTGTAAAGGAGAGAGCTGAAACCGGAACCAAGACCTTCTGATGAAAATTCAGATCCGCCACCAAAAATTTTGGATAAAACGGCGTATGCTGGTGCTTCTACGGATTTTGCCTCACATGAAGGCCATGAAAGGGACATGATGGAGAGGGATGACGTCATGGAGATCTTGGAACCTTGTAATGATGACTGTTTGACGTTCTTGTTGACGTGGTTTGGTTCGAAATTAGATGTGATGTGTAATTTCACCTTTGGGAAAGGCGAAAGTGAGCCGCCAAGCTTAACAAGCTCTTCGTACATGTCAATTGAACCAACAAGTGTTGTACACTTTGGAATTTCTTTGAGAATTTGTGGATTTAAGTCAATTTTCTCGCCTTGTAAAGCATAGTTGCCGTGTGCGTATGATTTATTAGAAAATGATGACATGCAAACAAGATCTTTGTATTTTTCGAGTAAATTGTATTCACCTAATTGCTCTGCTGCGTAGTTCAGCTGCTTTTGCTGATCAAATGTTGTATTAGCTGGAGCTGCACCATCTAAGAAGCGTTTGAGACTCTCGATAGCATATGTTGTTGACTCTGGAAGGAATTGAAGGGTTAAGTATGAATATTCGCGATTTACTTGTAAAAATGGATATACCTGATGCATAAAAACATGTTTTGGAGAAATTAAAGATTCGACCAACTTTGAAGATAATGTAACTTGAGTATCAGCTGTCTTTGGCGAATTAATGGAACCAATTGGGAAGACTGCACCAATAGAACAAACGCCTCTTGGACCTTTCATAAGCTTAAGATGGATTCCGTTTGGAAGAACACTTGATACGCAATCCATTTTCAAAAAATGGTTTTAAAATCAAGATTTTCGAAAATAGATTAATTGATATATTTGAGGAGATTCAATCTGATGTGTTTTTATTCGTATCGAGGAAGATTTTGTCTAAAATTGATGGTAATTACAATTTAAATGGCTTTATAAGTATAAACAAGTGATTTAATACCTAAACATACGTTCAATAATCCTTCATATCAGTTCCAAATTTTTCTGAATTATAAAAATAGCTGTTTGCTGATTGTTACCTTTACCAAAAGAAAATTCTTGCTATGTATATAATGATTTTTGTCATTTAAAATTACATCTAGAGGATCTGATTTTTCAGAAAATTAATTCTTAGGAGTCTGCCAATTTTGATATCAAATTATAATATAGGTATGAATAACATTTTGATTCTGACATTGTCATTTTTATTTTCTGTCAATGGATTTTTCGAGATTTGATTTCATAAATAGTAGAAGAATAAAACAGTTCATTAACGAATACAAGGACTGCAAAGTAACTTGTGATTCTAGAATTATGTTTATTATTAACAGATATTTCGAAATTGACCCATCTTTGCAATCAAAATTCAGAAACATGATTGTTCGTAATTTTGATATGACATTCAAGTTTAATGAAACCGAAAAGTACGTAGTTCTCATATTCCCAGATATCCAACTCATTAAGTATATAATTGCGAAAAATGCTGAAATCATTCAAGAAACAAATGTTAAACCATCAATTACAATCATGTTATTACCACATCTCACAGAACTTATTGCCGCCTATTTAATGGACGAAGATCTTTACTATCCTTCTGCAGAAATTTGTTTATACGGAAAAACATCGAAGACCGATAAACCCGAATCAAATATTAAAGTAGAGTCATTAAATATTAACTTGATCCCATTAGATTCAGATATTGTTACGATGATTACTGAAAATTATCTTTCAAGGCTTTGGGCCTTTAATGAGTTAACCGCGATATCTGAAATCAATGCTTGTCTTGATGCTATATCTACTAATTGTGAAGGTTTCGCAAGTGTTACAGCCATTGGCGACAAATCTGGAATTTGTGCGAAACATTTAAGCGATATCTCACCAACAGCTACAACGCACCTCATTCTTATAGATAGAACTGCTGATTACATCACTCCTTTACTCACACAATCAGGAATTGAAGGAGTTATTGCAGAATTATACGGAATTATCTACGGAACGACGTCATTCATTGATAACAGTGATCAATCGAGTGGCCAACTCTTCCATATCTTCAACAGTCAGTACGATCCACTTTATCCTGAATTTAGATTATTATCTAACCGCGAATTCGTCAAGAAATGCAACGAATACCACGAAATCGTTGAACAGACACTCAGACCAAATACAGATAAGAATATACAAGCGAAAAGAGATGATTTTATCTACGCATCAGAAAAGTTCAAACAAATCCACAAATCATTGCGAAGTTATGAGAGTTTATCAAGACATATCATCATAGAAAGTCGCCAGAACCCATTCAGACGCGAAGTTCAAGAACAAGAGTTTTTAATGATCAAACAATCAGAAAAAGGTGGCAAAGCGCATAACCAGATTGAAGACAAGTTATTCCTTTACGGAGCAGACTTCAGGTACATCGCGCGCATCCTTTGTCTTGAATACCAGCTCAATCCATTAGATAACGACAAAAGCATCGTCAGACGCTACGAATCTCTTGTTCAGAGAATATATGCGAACTATGGCCTCCAACAGATACCTTTCCTCATGAGGTTGAAACAGATGGGATTATTATCACCAGAACCACAAAAGACTGTTACTTTTAAGACACTTTGCCAGGAATACGGATTGATTGATGAAGAAGGAAACATGTACGACGGATATGTTCCTTTGACAACACGTCTTGTCAACAAAATCATCAAAGGTGAGATTGAACAAATGAAGAAAACACTTTCACAGAAGAACATCAGTTTCACGCAGTTCGGAAGATTCGATCCTAACGATTCCATCATTGTTGGCTTCGTTGGAGGATGCACACATTCAGAAGTTAACTCTATGCGTACAATGTCTAAGAAACTGAAAGTTAAGATGAATTTCTTCACAACACGCGTTTACACACCTAACGAGTTCATGGACGACATCGCTTCTGGCATTCCAGGTTGGGAATCAGTTATTGAAGCTGTTCCAATAAGAGTTTTACATCTTTAATAATTTGTTATAAAAAATTAGTTGTTTTTAGAATTAATCAAATGGTATTTTTAGATTTAATCGGTTTCACTTCTCTTACTTTGATGAAAACAGGCAAAGTTTAAACTTGAAATCATATCTTTCGTGTGTAAACCAATCAATTCACTCAAATTTTGAGATATAGGCATAAGAGTTTTACATCTTTGAAAATTTGTTATAAAAAATTAGTTGTTTTTAGAATTAATCAAATGGTATTTTTAGATTTAATCGGTTTCACTTCTCTTACTTTGATGAAAACAGGCAAAGTTTAAACTTGAAATCATATCTTTCGTGTGTAAACCAATCAATTCACTCAAATTTTGAGATATAGGCATAAGAGTTTTACATCTTTGAAAATTTGTTATAAAAAATTAGTTGTTTTTAGAATTATTTAAATGGTATTTTTAGATAACATTAATTATCATATAAAGTCCAATGATTTATTATTATGAACATGATGTTCTATTTTAGACTCCGAGATTTTGTGAATTGATTTGAATAAGATTATGAAAAGAAATTTTTATTCAAATGTTGTGATAAAAAAAGTTAATTAATGATAATAATTTGATATTTTTATAAATTGAATCCTTTTTGTCTTTATTTTGAGCAATTAGTAACGAACCTTCACATGGACTTATTCCAATGAACTTTAAGTCATTAAAAAATGGTTTCATTGGCATTTCTGATGTGGATATAGTTCCACCATTTTTAGATTGTGAATAAGTATCAATACTGCAATTAAATATATAAATTTGTCCACTAATTGTAGAAAATATAGCTCCATTTTTGTTCTTTAGATTATCTCTGAAAACTGAATCTAAAACGTCAAGTCTTTTGTTATATTCATGAACTAATCCATAATTTTTATCTGTTTGGGAATTATTTATATAATTACATCTTTCAATTATCCCATCAGTGTTCTGAAGATTAGAAATTGCCTTTTGAGTTGCTTCCAAATTTTCAAAATTACAAAATTTGACTTTTGTTGTTGATTTCATATAATCATATCTAAAAGCTGTAGCTTGTTGTGAAATGCAGTTAGTAATGTTTGTGTTTGAAAGAGATGAATCACCTTCTCTTGAGTAAATCATTCCAAATCGTACATCGCGATTTCCTCCATTAGAAATTGTACCTTGGAGGATTGTACTGTTGATGTCGCCATAGAAATAAGTAAAATGGCCACTTGATGAAGTTTTACTTTCAAAAGAACAGAATTTATCAATAATAATATTGTTTGTGCCTGTACTAGTGATATAAACTGTGCCTGAACCGTTGTAAAATGTGTTTTCGCAAAGTAAAATAGAATAACTTGAAATATCTATGAAATTTACTGCACCTGATTCAAGGTTTTCGAATTTACAGATATATGTGAAGCATTTGTTCGCTGTTGCAGTAACATTTTGGTTATCACCTGAAATAACTGGTGGAGGATCGATGTTTTCATAGTATTGATGCCAAACATACGTCAAGTCATCTACACTATGAGTATTTCTTTTGGATCCATTGAATTTTAGATTGACAATGGATCCAAAAACTCATTAATACATTTTAAAATTTTGGATAAAAATCTTCCGATAGCTTTCATTTTCAACATCACTCAAAGAATCAAACATTAATCTTAATTATCGAAATTCATGAACATATTTAGAGTCTGTGAATGAATTAATAACAATTATTCTGATAATCATCTCTTCCAATCTAACAGATGTGCCTTAATGTGCAAATATCAAGTGTGTGATCTCATACTCTGATGAGATATTTGAAATATGGAGAAATTTTTTTGGTATTTGAAATACAATAGAGACCAACACTGATATGGAAGTATAGGATATCAAATAGTCTTTATAATGGTAATATTATGATGCTAGATCTATCAAGATCTAACTTAAAATTTGATCTCAGGGAAATTGAAAAAGTAAATATTTGAGGGTATTACAATTGTGTAGAATTTTAAGCTAGGTCTTGATAGAACTATCCTAAACATCTCATATATATATTGTATGAAAATGAATTATCATAGGATCAAAAGGAAATTAGGTATATATTAATAGAAATCGAAATAATATTTGTTTACTGCAAAAATACAAGCTCTATAAAACTTTATATTCATGATTTGTAACCAACCATAACTTCAGTGTCATCATCACCAAATGATGTGTAAACACACCTTCGAAGACGTGAAACATCTTCCTGAAGAGATGCAATCTTGGCTTCTTGGACTTGTTTAGCACGTTTAAGCTTAGAAATAAGCATGACTTGTTTAAGTCGACGCTTGCGGGCATCTTGTGCACCTTCTGTGCTCTTCATCTGGATGTTGTAGATTCGTTTACGCTCTTTAAGATTAAGTTGCATCTGAAGAATCTCGTTCTCGATCTTGTCGTTCTCTTGTCGCTTCTGTTCAAGTTTCTTATGAAGCTTCTTGAGATTGGCTTGTGCGTGTTCAACTTTAAGTTTGTGTTGATTAACCATACCTTCTAAGCCTGCTTTAAGTGACTTAAGTTCTTTCTGGTTGCGGTCATCACCAGACTGACCTTTTGTGAGTCGTGATCGGATCAACTCTTGATCAAGTTTGGTGACGCGGAACAACTGATATTCTTGGATTTCTTCTTGAAGGTTTGTGAGATCAACATTGCATTTAGCAATCTTCCATCGGAGTTCTTTGTGTTCTGAGTGATGACGGCGGATATTCTCGAGCATATCGATCTTTCGTTTGCCGGCTTCGATGATCTTCTCGTTCTGTGCGGAGACAACTTTCTTGTTGATCAAAACAATGTCTTTGTAGTCAAGGAGAATTGTGTCGTTAGGGACTTCGGCTTGACCTTGACGGAATGTGAATGGAACATGCATATCAACCATAGCATTCAAGAGTTTGTCGACTGTTTCAGATCGATCATTCTCGAGTTCGTCAGCTTCTTGTTCAAGTTTAGTCAACTCATCTTTGTATGAGTTCTCGCGTGCTTTAAGTTCGTTAGATTCTTCGTGTCTTTCAGCTTGTTCACGAGAGTCACGTGTCTTCGCTTCGCAGTACTCCAAGAAGTTCTTCCAGCGCTGTTCTGGAAGATTCTGAGGGCGGTTCGCTGGATTAAGGATTTCTTCGGTGTTTGTTGTGAAATCGATTGAAGGATGGATGAACTGGCTGAAAACATTTGGTTTGTTGGTTGGTTTAGGTTTGTATTTGATAGCAACTGAGTGTTTGTACCATCGGATAAGTTGTGGTTGGTTATCACGTGCTTTGAAGTCTTTGTCGACTTGATCTTGAACTGATTTCAAGTTCTCATCTGCTGTCTGGGCTGCTTTAGCTGCGGCAATAGATTCTTGTGTGATTTCCTTCCACGTCTGTGTTCGTTGTCTGATAAGTTCTTTCTTGTCTTCGATGTCATCAGAAATCTTGTTCAACTTAGAATTAAGTTCACGTTCGCTGTTGATTGTGAACAACAAGTGCATGATCTCTAATTCGTGGTAATAAATCTTTTCTTCTGTGTCGATTCGTTGGATATATGCTGCACACATTTGGTGGTCGAATTCTTCGATTGTTGATGCTGTGCCTTTGTAAAGTTTGACAAGTTCAGCAGAAAGTGTCTTCTTACGCTTTTCACGTTCTTCGATGAATAGTTTCTTCTTCTTCTCGAATTCTTGAACTTGGTATTGTTCTTCTTCTGTCATTTCTTCTTTCTTCTTAGTTGTCATCCACTCGGGGGCAATTGGTTCGTCATCTTGTGGAGCTTCTTCCATGTTACCAACACTGATGTTACCACCCATCATCTCTCGCAATGCTCTCTGTGCAAATGAGTCTTTCTCAAGTTCATCCGATTTAACGTTTTCTTTAACTTCTTGACCTTGAAGCTTTTTAACAATGACTTCTTCATCCTTGACTTTCATGAAACTGTCTGGATCTTCGTTTGGATATGCAGGAGGATCGAACAATTGATAGTCATCTGGATTAAGTCTTAGTAATCTGATTAACTGTCTGATTCGCTTATTCCTCTCTTGAAGACTCTGAACTGCATTCGCTTTACGACCCATCATATCTTCAAATATTGTGTTGAAATGATGCATCGCTTCTTGAATCAAGTGCTGAACAATTGTGAGTTGCGTGACCTTTCTGTTTCCTGTTACTAACTGGAATGGATCATACAACAATCTCTCGTCTTCTTTAACAATTAATTCGTTGTCACTTTGTTCGCTTTGTGTCAATGTAACTAATGAGTTTGAACGAGAGAACAAATAACGAGAACCATCAAGAGAAGTGTCTCTCATCTGTGAAACAACTAATGATGATCCAACACCTGGTTTATATCTCAATGCTGCAATTTCCGTTCTTCTCAACAATGTGACAACTTTAAGATGTCTTTGTTGTTTCTCTGTGAGAATAGGAAGTGGGAAATTATCGAAATGTATTGGAGTCTTGAACGAATAAATTGTTGTCAATTTAGGTTCGAATGGCTTAAATGCTCTTTGTGTGATTTTATCAGCATTGAGTTCTCTTATCTGGTTCTTTATTGTTCTGCGATAGAGAATAAGAGCTTTCCTGTATTCAGCAAGTTGTTGGAGTTTCTCTGCTGAAGCAACATCCAAAGTAAAGTCTTGTTTCGTGAGTTTCTCGAGTTCTGGAGCTTTCTCGTTTTGTTCAACCAAATGCATGAATTCATCCTTGATCTGTGTGATCTGTTCTGTTAATTCCTTCTGGAATTCTTGAGCTGCTGCCTGTTGTTGCTTCTCTTTTTCAGCTTTGATTTGCTGAGCTAATGGTAATTCTTCACTTCCATTGCCATCATCGTTGTGGAATCCGTTGTCTTCGCTTGATCCGTATTCTCTTCCCATCCACATTTCTGTCAAAGAAGAGATCTGGTGATCGATCAAGAACTGTCTTGAGATTGATGACTTGAAAGCTCCTTCTCTTGGAACTTGGAAAGAATCACGAGGAATTGCTGATGGATCAACACGAATTGAGTATGTATTGATGCATCCATCGTAACCAACAGTGAACAACTTCTTTCCATCAGGAGAGAAACAGATTCCACTGATTGCACCGTTTGTTGGAGAATGATGAGTAACTGTCATCATGACTCTCTTCAACTGTGCTGTAGCGTTATCTATTTCGCGGACAATTAATGTTGCTCCTGCACATCCTGAAGCAACAAACTGTTGATCAGGTGACAAAGCAATGGATGTAACTGTCTTTGAATGTCCTGTGAATGTATCATCAGGACTAGAACATTCTACATCATCAATTCCAACTAAATCTAATTCGCCGGTTGTTACGGGCATGCAGTAATATTTGACACTTTTATTGTCACATCCACAGAAGAAATATTGTTGTTCTTCGCGAAGTGTTGGTTCTGCAGTGATTGTTGATACTTTGTTTGATACTTTGAGTAATGCTCTGTTGAGTGTTTCGATTTGGAGCTTGAAATTATCAGGAGCTTCGTTAGGAACATCAATTCTGATAATTTCTCTGTGTCCTGTAGCAATCAATAATTGTTCTGGAGCATTTCCTTCACCGGCTGGTTTGAGAGGAGGTGGAGCAGAAAGAGAAACAACACTTGTTCTCAATTGCAAAAGGCCAATTAATGGGAAACATGAATTTGGATCTGTTCTAAGAATAACTACACTTCCTGTTGTTGATCCTGAAGCGATGTAATGGTCTGTAATGACAATAGAAGTGATTGGTCCCGCATGGAGACGCTCTCTGAACAGTAAAATTGGATCATCTGGGTCAGTCGAGTTGATAATTCTGAGGACACCACTTTGAGAACCGACAGCAACTAAAGAACCACCCTTGGAAGAGGCCAAAGATGTAAATGATTCGTTAGCAAATGTTAGTTTTTGTGTCTGCGCTAAGTATGGAGAGCAAGTCCATGTTCGTAATGTTCCATCTGCACCGGCGGTAATGATTTGGTGAGGAAGAGCGCATACAGCTGTAATAGGACCTTGGTGGGTCTCTCGTAAGCATGTCATTGCGTTTCCACTGTCAATTGTTTGGTGAGTATTTTCATCGAGTTCGACACAGATAAGAGAATTGCGATCAGTACCGAACATTAAACGATTGGAATGTGGGAATATCTTGAAGAAAAGGATTGGCGCACCTGTTTCTAAGATGAAAAGGTCGTTTGTATGATGAAGATCTTCGTAATTGAGCCAATAGATGTTTCCGCATGTTCCGGATGTAATGATATACTTGGATGTGCAGAAAAGAGCGGAAGCATATTGCTGTCCGTCTTCTAATGCTTCGAGTTTGAATGGATCTCCGACAATTTTACCTGTTTGTGGATTTACGATGATAATTCTGCCATCACGTGTGGCAACGATGCATTCGTCTTTAGGAGACCATGTTAAAGCTGTAACTGGAGAATCAATTTCTGCAATAACTTCAACAAAAGCATATTCTTCCTTGCAACCTTGTAACGTATAGAATCTGAGATGTGGCTCTGGATCATCTTGTAATTCTGGTGGTAATTCAGGAAGAGCCAAGTTATCATCTCCATAAACAGCTATAAGACGAGGGTGCATTGGACAAACGCTGATATTCTGGCCAATTGGTGAATTGAATGTCTTGTTTGTTACTTCTACTTTTTTTTGCCAATCGAATGCTGATAAACGGAAGGTTGGAAGGCCACCAAGAGAATAAAGCCACTGTCCGTCATAAGAGAAATCTAATGACTTAACACCGAAAGTTCCTTGGACTGAAACTGTTCCGGTTTCCTTTCCATTTATATCAACAAGGTGAATAAGAGGATTTTGTATTTGATCTGCGTATGCAAGAGTTTGTAATAATGGAGTTCCTGCCATAGCAGAAAATCCAGTAAGTTCGCCTGATATTGAACTGAGAATTTCAATTGCGCGATCTTTAAATTGACAAATCTGCAAAAAATTACCGCATCTAATTGTAAACATGTTATCCCCAATAAAGGATATTCCGAACGAGGCGTCAAAGCCCATTGACTCATCGTGAATAATCGAAATATCGCTCATTTGATGAATAACGTATTTTCAATGAAGATTCTTTTTTGTCACTTTTCGGTTCGATGACACTTTTTCGGAAGATTTTTACATGGATGGTGAACCGATTGATATGAAAGTCGTTGTCATTGGCACAACAAGTGTCGGTAAGACATGTATTGTCCAGCGTGCAACGAGTGGTGAGTTCAATGAAAAAATTACTCCAACATTAGGTGCTTCTTACATTTCAAAAGTAATTGAAGTTAACAACCAAAAAGTTAACTTACAAATATGGGATACTGCAGGTCAAGAAAGGTATAAGGGTATGACACCAATGTACTATCGTGGTGCTCAAGCTGCTTTAATCGTTTATGCTGTTGATTCAACAGAGAGTTTCGGATGCATAGATGAATGGTATGAAAGTGTTGAAAAGAATAAAACAAACCAAGTTCACTACATCCTTGTTGGCAATAAATGCGATGTCGAAAAGCGCGTTGTTTCCACTGAGGAAGGTAAAAATAAAGCAGATGCGCTTGGAGCACAATACTATGAAGTATCTGCACTTTCTGGAGAAGGTATTGATGATTTATTCGTTAATATTCCAAAGAAATTCCTTGAAGAGCTTCCAGTTCAATATCACGACGAAAAGAATCTTAAACTCGAGAAGCAAAAAGATGACAAGAAAGGATGTTGTTAAAAAATTAGATATTATTACTGTATTTAACTAATTACATATTATGGAAAGAATATACGTCTCATATGTGAGCATATGAAGCAATAATGAATGAATTCAAAAACTAATAAATTTGCGGTTCCAAAAATTAATCTCAGAAGGATGTTATCGCTGTGATAATATTGACCAACGCAAAGTTTGTAATAACTTTCTGGTTCCAAGAATAAATAAGATTGGAATCGTTCGTGAAATCGAATTCTAATCTGAACATGTTTCGTATTGAAAACAGGTTCTTTAATATATGTATGATTTTTTCCACTTAAAACAAACGATTTTTCCGACCATCAAATTGAATTTGATTATGATTTGTGAATTTAAGGAATATATTATTGGCATATATCATAAAAACTTCGTGATATTCAAGAATTGGTTATATAAGCTAATGAAAAATATCTCAATGGAATATTTTAAAATTATTATGGTGTTGGTAGAAATTGTGATATCTTGTGAATAAGCAGATACAAAAAAGCAAATCACTAATTCAAGAGATAAATAAAAAGCTAAAGTTCAAAAGGTGAAATTTTAATTCATGGTAAAAGAAAAGCATGATAAATGGTTAAGTTGGTCAATATAACATACCTTGATTTACAAATTCAAGTGATTGTTCAGAGCAAGATTTGGAAAAGATTGTCGATTTCAAATTGAGGATCATGAACATCTTGATCAAAAACAGACCAAATGTCTTGGACTTCTTTGGCAATGATCTGTTTGTCAAATAACACACTGAAGTCATCAGTTTTTTCAATCTCTAATGATGGTTTTTCAGGGAGTTTAACCTTTTTGTTCATGTTTCTTGTAAGAACACACCATCTGTTCTTAGCTTCATTGTTTGTTCTGTTTCCAAGAACACTGGCAATTAAAACCCAATTGTGTCCATGCTTGTTAACAAGCTCTTCAAGAGTCTTGTCCTCGTCAGCTGTCCACTCCTTTTCATTTCTTACATTTTTGAGATGTTTGTTGTATCTGTCGTTGCATTGTTTAGCTGTCTTTCCTTTAATCTTTTTAGCAATCTCTGACCATGGAGCATCGGGTCTTTTCTTGCGCCACTTAATGATGAGAGCGTCTTCACTTGGTTTGAAGAACGTACGAACCGAGTGCATTTCTAAAAAATGAAGCAAACAAAAACATCTCAAAAGAATTCAAAATTTTTGAATGCTTTATTTGATCGATTGAAAACTTATTTTGAGATGTAATTAAGGAATCAACAATTAGATAAAATTAATCCGTAGCTTCGAAATTGAATGATTATCGAATTGAATGACTCTCAAAATAATATCGTTGAATTTAAATATGAGAATTCGTAAAAAGATTGGTTAGTGCATATAATCAAAATTTTGATTTTTGTGATGATTATTTTTTATTATTATTTAAGGGTGTACACGAGAGGATCATGTAAACTTCAGAATTTAGAACCTTATTTTTAGGCATTATCTTGGCTACCTATTTAGGCTCGAAAAGCAAAAAATATCAAAAAATACAACTTGACTCCATTATGACCCTTTCATGGAGGTAGTTTTTATCCGCTAGTATTTTCCCTTTGAATCTCTTTACAATTTGAAATCAAATTCAAAACTCAGTAGAAGAAAGGAAGAATCGACTTACTACGGTTGTAATACGAATAAATACATATATTTAATTATTTTTATTTACATAATAATTGTTTGAAGCTCATATTCCATCAAATTTTAAATAAAAACATTAAAATGTTGAAAATGTTCATATATTTAATAGGGTTTTGGCACTTTATTGAGGAATTACTACATACATAGTCGAACTGAACTTGATATTTTGAAATTTAAATTATTTATCAAAATTAAAATTTAACTTGAAATTTATAATTATTTAGTCATATTTTGCATAATTCTAAGTAGATTTTGTAAAAAATCAAGAAAGAAAAATTTTCACGTGCTTTATTTTTTCTTTTTTATAATAATACATATTATTATATAATTAACATATTCATAATGTTTCACCCTTTCAAAAATATAATCCTCCTCCTCTCAAATAAACGTACATACGGGTGGCCTCTTTTTTCAAAAAATTAAAATTTGAAATTTTGGGCTCAAATATTAGAGATTTTTTCAACCTTCAACGATATATGTTGTCTATATCAGACCTCCTTTCTTTTTGATACTTAACATTGTTCCTAAATCTTAGCCGTTAAGGCTGTTCTGAAAATATTTTTTTTTCGAAAAAATTCGAAAAAAATTCTTAAAATTCAAAAATCCCTTAATTCCTGAGGATTTTGGAAAAAAGTTTTTACATGAACATGTGTATATTATATGAAGTATATTGATAAGGTAAAAATCAAATTTTATTGCATATTCATCGAGAAAATAAACTAACGAATCCCTCAAAATTGAGAGGGTAATCCTCCTCCTCTCAAATAAACGTACATACGGGTGCACCCTTAACCCATCAAATTTAAAAATCTGAAGGAATTGAAACAAAAGGATTAGAAAAAGATATTATCAGCGCACTATTCCTGTCATTATTTTAAGCAAAATTAATTTCAATAATTATTCTTTGAAATATGGCAAAATAATCATTTAAAGTACAATATTTAACGATAAGAAATAATGATTACTCATAGACATGTTTGCTTAATGATGTTAAATTATCCAATGTTACATTTTTGAATGGTTTGAGAGTTGAATGAGATTTTTTCTACTTTCAAGGCACTTTTGAGAGGGAGTCTATTTTCAAAGTAGAACAATTCCATTAAAATGTAGCACAAGAAGAACTCAAATACAGCTATATTAGTATTAAGTTTGACAATTGTGGTTCTCTCAATTTTGATCACGCCTAAACTTACTTATAATTCAAACTTGATTATTAATTGTTTACCCATTATTCGGGAACGGCTGTCATGCATGGATAAGGTCTGTCTTTTAACAGAGAAGGAATATTAGTAAATGGCTGAGTCATTCAAAATTCGATTTTTTGATAAATTATCGGCATAATGAATTCAAAAGAAGGTTTACAAAGAAATTATATTTTGTAATAAATATATTCACTGGCGTGGATTATCATGAGTCCAATACTTATAATCAGCAGAGTATAATTCAACTTACGGATAATTTAATGCTCTCCTGGAATATTAATTTTCAAAAATATTTCCGAATATCTTCATATTTTCTCTCAATTTCTTGAGAAACACGGAAAAATAATGGATAAAAGGATCAACGTATCTATTAAAACACTGTAAAATTTATTCTACAGGTGCTACTGATCAGTTTCATCAACGTTCCTCGCATTCTTCTTGTATTGATGAAATAACAAAAGGATTATAATTTAAAAACATACCAACGAGAAAATTCAAGAATTATGTAAACAGTGGATAAATCACAATATTTAGGTGTATTATTATAAATCTCATAAAATAAAATAGTTGACCGATGAAATTTGGGATTATATTGTAATTTTACAAGAATTGGATTTGTAAGGTAGTGATTTCTCACTTTATCTCATACAAATATAGCACATTCGAATATTAAAATAATAATTTATCTATAACATTGAAAAAAACAGTTTAATTGAAATTGAAAATAAAAATTAGATTAAGAGTGTACAACTAATCAACAAAATTACAATAAACAAGATAGTTACTTTAATTTTTCATTGACATTATTAAACAAATGTTTCAAAAAAAAATAATTACGATCACTGATCATGAATAAATCACATTTAATATATCAAAACTTTCATATAATCTATAACCTACACAATGAACAAAGCTCACTGATTTAAGTACTGTGTGTATACTTGAATTTCTGCCTCAAGGCGCATTTTATGAGCGTGATCTTGAGGTGAAAGTATTTGCTTTTTTGAGTATTTTGAAAGTTCTTTCTCGGCTTCTTTCTTTTTATTTACAATAATCTCATATGTTTGTTGTTGAAGTGGATGAGGTGGGACTGACTTGCTAAATAACTTCTTTTTCTGTGGTGGCTTTTCTATAAGTTCATATTCTGGATTTTCTGAACCAATTCTGCATTTTCTTGATGTTAAAAAGAAAGTTTGAACGGAAAGATCTTTGAGATTAAGAGAATCAACAAAGTCTTTGAATTCTTTAGATTTGGCTGCTTGTAGTTTATCTACTAATTTATTTCTTCTCTCCAAGAGATTTGTCATTTGAGTTAGCTTTTCATCTGTAGTTAAATTTTTATCTGATCTGATATCCATTAGCTGTGCATCTATTGCTGAGAGTTGTGAAATTGCATCATCTGCCGAGGCAACATCAATTTCATCCTCTTCTTCCATCTTCAGAATAAAAAAAAAGGGGATCATAAAAAATTGAACATTTGAAAATATGGGGAACAATGAGAGCACTAGCCGTATGATTGCATAATTTTTGATTTTTAAAGCCGTAAGACTTAAATAAAGAAATCATTTTTGGAGAAAATCAAAATATGAGATTTTTCATAAAAGATTTAAAGTATAATTCCACATAGAATGATAAATATATAAAATGAATCACTAAATTTTGAATGGAAATTGATGATTATACTCCAGCAGGAAGTTTAGAAGAGGCAAAAAAGCTTTTTAGTGAAGCTTTAGAAGCAGAAGACTTCGAACGTGCTGATTTCTATCAAGATGAAATTGAAGAATTCAAGAATTACAACGAAGTATTGCAAAATGCAAAAAATATACACAATTATATTCAAGGAGCAAATGATATGGATAATCAAATGACTATTGTGCAAGACCAATTATATGATAACATCATTAAACAAAGAGATAGCGATATAGCGAAATTTAATAAACAATTTTTTGAAATCAAAGCCAGACAAAAGCAAGAATTGATTGAACTACTTAACAGATGGACAATTGATCGTGAAAAACAGACAAACGACTCCCAAGAAGAATATAAACGTACGCTAGATACAGCCAAAATACTTGTCAGGCAATCCAAAATTAAAGAAGCCATTATCATGCGCGATAAAGCAAGAGAAATGAAGAATAAAGCTGATACAATTGATCGAGATGAATTTGATCGACAATACGAAAAGCTTTGTCTAGCAATGGAAGTTAGACATCGTACTGAACTTGATAACTTTATGGAGTCAAGGCGCGAAGCAATGCAAAAATATGACATAATGATTGAGAAGGCATATGATGAAAAAGATAGGCAGTTCATGATTGAAAACTCAAATGCGGTTATAGCAACTGCAGGAAAATATCCTGTAGTTAATCCAGCTCCTCAATCCCTTAGTATGCAAACTGTTAATTATCAAAAAGATATTGTTTACATTTCTCGGTCTAAAAACGAGTTGTAGTTGATTAGTACTTTGTAGTTTAAACTCTTGTTATATTTGTTCTGTTGTTAAATAAATAATATTTTTTTGTCTCCATGATTTTGGAATTTATCATAAAGAAAATATATCCTTATCAATAACAATACATATTTGTAGATATTGATTTCAGCAAAAATTCCAAATTTTTTCATTTTTTGATTTTTGATGAAATTTTCTTTGATTTTCATTGTATTTTTACGTTTAAATTTTTTTCTTGTTATTATCACGATTATGGAAATAGCATTGGAACATATCATAATATATAAATATTCACATAATGGTCGCTTCATACAGTTGATAATTAATTTGATGGAATATGTATAGGAACTGAACTGAGAACATAAGTAGTAGGAAAGAGGAGGAGATTGAAAGAAAATACAATTTATAACTTTATATTAAAAGGGATAGAAAAACATAATAATGATGCATAAATACCGAACCAAACGATATTTTCATCATTAGTATATTTGTGATGAAGTAAATGGAATAAACTCTACAGATGCATCGGATTGGGAAGCGATTGATGGAAGAGTAGCTGATGCAACATCAGCGAAAACCGACCAGTTTTCTATAGTCTGTGAGTTGCAGCGAGTCAAGAGACGTGGTGGGCGAATGGACTTCTTCTGAGAAAGCATTTCTTTTAAGAAAAAGGAATGGCTTCTCCTAAGTTCGCCATTGTTCACGTAAGTTTCATCGCGCATTGGTATATAACCTCCAACACAAAATTCAGGCATCTGATCGTAAAAGTGGCAATATCCACCTTCCAACAAATAGACGTCTGGATATGAGAGATTAGGGTATTCGTTATGATGTCTGTCATATTCACGGAACAATCTCAGGAGTGTTGGTCCACGATTCTGAGAGAATTCACAATGAAAAACAATACAATTTTTCTTGTTCAAGTATCTTTCATAAATACCGTAGAGCTGAGATTTAGAACGAACATTTCTGGCTCCAATGATACGTCCACCGCGATATTCGTACTCAAATCGTGCGTCAATGATGATAACTTGATCAAAACCGGCTGCTTGAGGATCTGTAATAAGGTCTACAAGTTGCTGTGGTGTAATTGTTTGGCATGGACTTGAGCTCATTGAAGAGCCAAAATCACATGATTTTTGTCTTGCCAAAGGCATTGGACTTGGAGACATAGATACAAACTCAGTGTCCGAACACTCGGATAAGTCTGGGAGGGGAATTCCCGTGTCCAAGACCTGCGAAGAGCACCGAGCTAGCATTATTATCTCTAATAAACGCAAATATCCGTTTTACATTGACCACCTATTGAAACTTTTGTGTTGATTTAGCAGTTTTATTGAATTGATGTTTTCAAAACGTTTTGTAAACTTCACAATAGTATCCCCAGCACTTCACCTGTAATATTTATCCACCTTTTTACATTAACTTTAGATACATATTGTATTTATAAACTTTTCTTCAACTTTTTTGTTGAGAATGATAAAATGCACGTTTCAAATTTCCAAACTGACATTAGCGATTGGATTATTAATTTTTTTTGGGAAGATTACGATTATAGCATGTAAATTTAGACCATTAAACTAAAAATAATGAGAATTAATCTTTTGAGATGAAAATTCCTATATAAAGTTAGATTGGTCAATGAATGAATTATGATAGTATTGATAAATAAATATTCCTATAATTTGATTGTTTTTCCTTGAATTTTATTTTTCTGAAAAGTCAAAATATATCTGAATATACATTAGTGAATATAGACGTTGGAATGATTCGGAAATTGAATTCATATTTAATTTTCAAATATCATTCAATACACTTTTCAAAGTTTTTTTTATAACAATCATCTTATAATATATTATTAATGCATATTACATAATAGTTATTTTGAATGAAAATCTTTTTATTGGAAAAATGATGACAACAGTAATTCTAAAATATATCACATTATTCAAAAACCGATATCTTTCAAATAATTCAAATGAGAGGTTATTTTAATAAATAATTTGAAAAGATATTGTAAAAATCAATACTTTTCTTCTCAATTTAAAAGTATTATACTCAATATAATTCCAAACGCATTTTGCATTATCTATTCCAGATTAATACCTCATATATGATATAAAGAAATGTATTTATCTTTTCTATTTGATAGTTGCAAAATTTTCTCTCATTTTTTTATTTATACATTTGTTTAGTATTACACATAACGGGTAATTTACATTGCCCCTTTTTGCGTAAATCAATTACAAAAATAATCAACCATCTCATATTTGTAAAGTCTTCAAACCCAATATATTATGAAATTTTGTTTCTTATCCTATATCAAGGCCGACCCATTGCTTTATATCGTAAAATAAATTATCAATTTGAGAAGATAATTGTCCGATTAAATTAATTGGATATCTAACATTAACTTCCAGTGATAAGCTGAAGTAACTCAAAATTGGCCGGCTCTTTAAATTTTTTTCATTCTGATTTCGACAAGATCTTATTAGCTGAGTAGGTGACAAAAGTGCATACTCTTAAATTAACCTTAAATGTTGATTTTTCGATATTTTCGGTATTAACCTTATTGTAAATTTTTCCGGTGATAAATTTATCACACTGAGGTTATTTTTCCGGTGAGATTTTTAACCTTGATTTAATGAAATTAATATATATAAATTTTATTATTTTTAATTTCGAATGAGTATAATAAAATATTTTTGAACCTAATGTCCTTATTCCATCTTTGAAGGCAATATTAAATTTGGCACAAAGAAGTTTAAAGGAAGAGTAAGCAAGATTAGATAATTTGGACTTTTTTTAAAATTAATGAATAAACAGTATATTTTTGAAGTGTAAGCTTATTTACCTGAAGCTATATTACTTAATATAACATTCAAAGTATTATTGCTATTTATTGGAGAACAAATTTATGTAATTTTCACATGAAAATTGATAAATTTGTATTTCCTTATGATAATCAATTTTTGTATTTGTAGAGAGTCTCCCTGCATGATATCAAGACTTGGCTATTAGTCTTTATCCATTTTGAAAATTGTATTGTAAATTGTAAGAATTTCTGAATACTACTACTATAAAATATAATTGCTTATCTATGTATATTCTCCCTGCATGATATCAAGACTTGGCTATTAGTCTTTATCCATTTTTGAAAATTGTATTGTAAATTGTAAGAATTTCTGAATACTACTACTATAAAATATAATTGCTTATCTATGTATATTCTCCCTGCATGATATCAAGACTTGGCTATTAGTCTTTATCCATTTTTGAAAATTGTATTGTAAATTGTAAGAATTTCTGAATACTACTACTATAAAATATAATTGCTTATCTATGTATATTCTCCCTGCATGATATCAAGACTTGGCTATTAGTCTTTATCCATTTTTGAAAATTGTATTGTAAATTGTAAGAATTTCTGAATACTACTACTATAAAATATAATTGCTTATCTATGTATATTCTCCCTGCATGATATCAAGACTTGGCTATTAGTCTTTATCCATTTTTGAAAATTGTATTGTAAATTGTAAGAATTTCTGAATACTACTACTATAAAATATAATTGCTTATCTATGTATATTCTCCCTGCATGATATCAAGACTTGGCTATTAGTCTTTATCCATTTTTGAAAATTGTATTGTAAATTGTAAGAATTTCTGAATACTACTACTATAAAATATAATTGCTTATCTATGTATATTCTCCCTGCATGATATCAAAACTTGGCTATAAGTCTCTATTCATTATGAGTATGACCCCATTTTTTTTACAAAAAGTGCCGAATTGCAACTTTGTCCCAATCTCCTTATTAGCTGATTATTCTCTGAATTTATCTGTGTACACTTGTTGTCGGCTATATATTCATTCACAGTAATAATCTGAGAATACAATTTGGCAATCACTCTTCTTTGTCAATAATTCGTATATTTGTTGCATGTTTCATGATGTACAATAGAAATTAGAAGAAATAATATACTGTAGAGCTGATTTCATTATGATGATCTTGGAATAAAAAAATATTTTTCTCTATCTCCCTATTAATGGAAATAACATATAAAATTCCTTGCTTGTATCTAAATTGCTTTTCTTGATACTCTGTTTTATGATATTTCAATCTTTTTTGAATTTCACTCAACTTAACTCATTTCCTAATGAATTATTTCAAACATAACTTAGTTATCATTATAAATGAATGTATGACACTCTTGTCAGTCAATGCTCCGCATTGAAGTAATGAATGATGAACAGCTTGTCATTCCGGGAGACATGAACAGACGACATTTCCAAAATGACAGATACAGACCAACAACAGTGCACTGTTGCGCTTTGTCGTTAAAGTTCCTCAATAATCATAAGATTGCTGAATAGTGTGTCATTCCGGGAAACATTCACATGGATAGTTTCCCAACATTCAATGCCCATAGAATTCTTACAAGAAATTACTCTATTTGAAATTGTGTTCCCTCATCACCAATCTAATTCACAATTAGTGTATTTAATTAATATTTCATTGCTTATCATTTCGTTAACCTAGGTGCAATCTCATTTTACACAAAATCATTGATAATCTTTTAATTTGGCTTTGATCTTCCTCATTCAAATAATACTCTAACAAAATTCATATAATTGAAAAAATACTCAATCTAACTCAACCATTCTATCCCTGAGTACTTCATTTTTCATTCTCAATCATACATTTTCAAATTTATTTTATAATTCTTTAATAATTCTATGTCTCGGCAATATTCAAGACATATTCCAATTTAAGAAATTCATGAAAATTGGTTATTCTTTCAAATTCATGGTATTCAACTTTACATATCATAGATTAGAGATTAAAATATTTATATATGTAATAAGTACAAGATGTTTTCATAAGAAATTCAAAAATAAAACATTATATCTCATTTTGGTAGTATTCTATAAAATCTATCTTTCAAGCTTCTATATAGATCAAATGAGGGAATATAAGTATTTCAACAATTGAATTTTACTTGTTATCATATTTAGGCGAAAAAAGCTTTTTCTATAACATGTACATCTATATGAGTGGTACGTTTTGACAGAGAGATATCCCTCTGATGTTGAGAAAATGAATTTCTAAATTTCCAATCATGATCTACCCTCACAGATTTGGCTCAAATTTATGTACTATACTATTTAGACATGAAGTATCATTGTGCAGATATTAGTTTTTGAATATATGTTGATTGCATGTCTGTGGTGAAATATGTGCTATTTTTGAATCATGGCTCACAATAGGGTAATATTATCAAATATTTTTGGAATAATAACATATGGCAAAACTAAATGGTATGCTTGTAACTTTCAATGGTAACACAGTTTTTTTAGATACGATAATGATTCACATTTCAGAAAAATTGAATATCAATTTGCCATAACTTATATTTTTATTATTGGTACTACAATCATTAAAAAATTAGAATTTATCATTTCAATATGAATTGAAAAATATCGGCTTTTTTTCAATTTTATGTTGAAATTATTCATTTTAATTTATGAGACTTAATAGAGAGAACACATTAATAGAAAACCATCTCCAACCATATGCAGGCTGCACACCAGAAGAATGCCTGTCCAAATTTGTTAAAGCATTCACACCTTACAAGGAATTCATTGACCAAATGCAAGCAGCTTTACTTCTTCATAATATTAAGCTGTTTGCTGCTATGCTATCAACAGTTATCGGAGTTATTGCTCTCTTCGCAGCTCTTAAAGCTTCCAGTATTTCGAATGTTATTGTCGGAATTATTGCCATTCCAATCTTAGAGCTTTTCTATTGCTTTGATGCTGAAATACATATCAAGAAGCTTTATCTCTCTGAACTTCCAAAGCTTGCTGATAATGTTCCGGACCGCATCCGTTCACTTGAAGAAATCTTTGCTGTTGCATGGAAACCAGTACTCGTTGCATGGCGTTTTGGATTCTTCATCTATGCAACATTCGTCTGCCCTAATCCAGTCGATACAATCGCCTTAATTATCTTGATAATACTCTTAGGACTTCTTAACAATGTTATTTCACTCTTTTGGGTCTTCTCTTTCGTTCTTATTCTTGCTCTTGTAACACCAGCAATTCTTGTTAAAACTCCAGTTGGCGAGAAATTAGCTGAACTTCTCCACAAGAAGCAGAAGAAGGAATAAGTCAGATATATAAACAACAGATATCTATTATTACTACTTTCATTTTCAGACATAAAAATAAAAAAATTGATATTTTCGATTTAAATTCAAACAAATAATATATTGGAAATAAGAAAATGAAGTACTTACTTAGTCGTATTATATAAGCAATTATATAAATGAAGCGAATCAGAGGGATATCTTTCTCCAATTTCAATTTCTTGGCTTGAAGAAAATATGCAGTTAGAAACAGTTACATTGCCATCAATGCTATATATATAAATAGAGTTAAAGGCCTTTCCTGTATTAGAAATGAAAATATTATTAACTAAATCTGCAAAAGCTTGGTAGTGATAAAACGTAATACAAGAACCTTCTCCTTCACTTTTATTATACTGAAACAGGCAATTAGATATCTTAGTTCTACTAGGATATGAATTCCAGTCCCAATATACTCCAAAGCATTCAGAATAGCATTCCGTAAAGATGCATTCTATCAAAGAAGTATTACTCCCTTCAACTCTAATAGCACTAATATATTTTGTACCTAAGCTTTTTGAAATATTCGTATTATCAATGATGGTTCGTGATTTAGTTTCGAAACTATGAATGTATATCGATCCGAAATAGTCTGCTTTGGAATCAGTAAAAATTGATTTTGTAATATTTCCCTGTCTGGTTTGTTCTGAGTATATTGATCCACCATAATCAGCTACACAAGCTTGAAATGTCGATGACTCAATACTAAAATTAGATTGCAACAAGTAAATTGCTCCTCCTTTCGATTTTGGAGCAGTAACATTAATAAAGAAGCAAAGATTAAAGAAGTAATTTCCTTTTTTAACATGTTGATGTTTGTCATATTTACCTTTATATTTATTTCGGTCGAAAACCATCACATAAACTCACTCTATCAAATTGACACATTTTCATCATAGAACATCCAAAAGGTACACAAAGCATAAGATAATTCAATGGAAATAGTTGGTAGTTCTTCATTTTTCGAAATAAATTTAATATCATTATAAAGAATTACATAGTTAAGTAATATAAACGCTTTTTAACTAACAATAAAAACAAATATCTATAAGTAAGGCGATGCAAGGAGAGTTCTACGCTTCGATGCAGCGACAGTTGCCAATTTAAAGTAATGTACCCAAAGCCAGGCCCACATTAGGTCACCGGATTCCGGCTTAAATGTAAATTTCTGGGCAAGAATATCTGATAATCTGAGCATATTTGCTCGAAGCTCAATTCTTCGTTTTTTATTGGGGAGACTCATGGCAACACCTATATCTTCAGGATGGAAAGCAGGAATTTGAATAACAACCTTTGAATAGTCAATAAAAAGATTTTCAAAAGGAAAACGAATTTGATCGCTAAGAACAATAGGAATGCATAGAGTTCTAAACGTATCAAATAATCTTTTTGTTGTTGGCCCATCTCCATGAGGTACAATGCAATATTCTGAACTTAACATCATCCTTGAAAAGTTATAGTTGTAAACTGAGTGAATTGGGTCATATCTCTTGGCATTTATAATAACGGCATGAGGAATTCTATGCATTTCTTCTGCCATTCCTCGTCGAATTGGTGTAGCTTGTTCATCGAAGCCACTGAGCTCAATTTGACCGATAAAGAACGCAGTGATAGGCCTAGTATTATCGGAATCTATAATGTCTACTTGATTTATATTTGAAGTTAGTGGGAAGTTGCTATTTCTCAAAGATTCACGGGAGTTTGTAACTGTATAATTATAATCAAGATCACCAAGTGTAATCATTGATGGAAGATGGTGTTGATGATATGGCGTAATTGGAATATTGTTATGAGAAAATAACATTTGAGTCCAAGCATGATCAATACCATCTGATCGGTCGAAGTATGGTCCAGCTTCTCTTAATTGAGGCAGAATAATCTTATCGATGTCGCCGATTTCTCGATGTTGATTAAATATCGCTCCGTATAAAGGTACGTAAAATAAGTCAGCATCTTCAGGATCGTATACACGATGCTTATAATATTCAATTGTCTTTGGCACAATATACTCAAAAACTGTTGTATGGGCCAAATTTCCTGGAATGGCTTGAACGTATTGATGATGAGCGATTTTGATTTGGTATGGAAGGGATAAGTTATAAAGATATATTTTGAGTGGAGGCATCTTACTTACAAAATAATTATAATGCTTTGTAAAACATGATCCTAACTCCGTTTCAACTTGAAACTGACGAGCATATAGACTCATATAAATTACAAAGTATATGCCAATGAAGTAGCCAAGGCACCCGACTACACGCCTGCGTCGGGTGCAAGCCATACCCTGAAAAATTCAATTAAAAAACGGCAATGAAAATTTTTTAATCAGATTTTGACTTCCATAGAACATTTGAAATACTGATTTTCTATTGTTTTTGGAAATTCTGAAGTATTCAATTTCGATTACAAATTATACAACATTCAGTGTTGAATTCACATCATCATTTCTATGTAAAAAATTTATGACCATTTAAAAAATTCTATGAATACGTTCAAAATATAATTCATCTATTTTGAATTTAAAATCTGAAAAGAACTCACATTCCATTGGATTTCTCATATTTTGATTAAAGAACCATCTCATGCATGTCAACAAGATTTTTATAATCAAACAAACATTTTCTATTATTGATTCAATAAAATTTTTGGAGATCTAAAAAGTCCAAAAATAAAAACATGAACTATAAAATTAATAGAAAATAACAACAATATTTACATATCTTTGAAAGCATTCAAGATTGCTTGAACAAACTGTGTATAAGACCAAGAATCTCCGCGAAGTCTACTAAAGGAAACAACGTAAACGTTCCTAAAGCCGTATAAGCGACAAACTTCTGCGACAATTTGTAGATCTCCTGCGTATATATTAAATTCTAAGTCTGAAGTTCTTGTATATTGAATTGCAAGTGATAATAATGTATTTTCAAGTTTGTTAGCAACGCCGTTTGGATCTCTGTGTGAAATTGTTTGAGATAAAATCGCTCCTCTATGAGTATTTGCTCCGTCGTCGGGATTCGACATTGGATCCGATATTTCGCCAAGACCCAATGATATTGATCGCGGCTGAACCGGTTTCGATCTGGGAGCGGGCATATCTTTAAATCTGCTCTTAAGAGGAGGCGCCGGCGCTTCATCTTCGTAAATCGTTTCGAGAGGTTGTTGGCCTTTCAAATCGTTCTTAGGACCAACAGGTTTCATTAAATTGTTCGATGAGAAGCCACCCATTGAAAGCGAAAGATGAAATTCTGGGGCTTTTGACTGAGGTTTCGGAATTGGGAACACATTTCCGACGCCGTAAAACCATGGATGGGCTAATATTTGCTGGATTGTCAGTCTTTCGTCAGGGTTTGGATTAAAAATTCTCTGAATAAGATCAAGACATTCAGGAGAAAGTTCTTTAGGAGGTGCAAAAGATCCTGTAGTAATTTGCTTGTACATTTTATCAGGATCTTCGTAATTCCAAGGTAAAGAACCATCAACGAGGGCATATAATATAACTCCGAGAGCCCACACATCAGCAGGTTGACCCATGTATGATTGCTGCGTAAGGGCTTCAGGAGCTATGTAACATGCTGATCCACATCTATTTGTCATGGGCTTATCTGCATTAATAGAACATAATCCAAAGTCTATAAGTTTTACAGTATTGTTTTCTGTTAATAAAAGATTTTCTGGCTTTAAATCTCTATGAACTATATTTTGCGAATGAATATAATTAACTGCGAGGAGAATTTGTTTGAATAATCTTTTTGCAAGGATTTCTTCGACGCGTTGGCGAGAGATAATGAAATCGAAAAGCTCTCCACCACCGCAATACTCGATAATTAAGTAATAAGCAGCATCGTCTTCTAAAAAGTCATAGAATTTAACTATACCAGGATGATCAAGTTTCCTCATAACTTCTACCTCCTGCATTAGTAAATTCATATCGACTTCAGTTTTAATCATGCATTTGTTGATAATCTTGACTGCAACCTGCTCTTTTGTGAACACATCAAAACCTAGTTTGACTGTGGCAAAAGATCCATCACCAATGGTACGAAAAAGTCTATATTTCCCGATTATCATCACAATGACAAAAAAAAATGAATTGAATTTATAATTGTTCTTTAAATCGGATTTCGTTTAAATATGTTGCAGAGTCAAATCAATATTAACAGATAATTAAGTCCAATCTTAATTATTGAAGTGATTATTTCCAAAAGATAGCAGTATTATACTAAAGCTCAATATCAATGATTAGTTACCATGTAATTAAGCAAATACTTCATTCTTGCTCAATAACTTGTTGTGTCAATTTTGATTGTTTTAGATTCATTACATTAAGGCGGTTCATTGATAATGGTCGTCTCAAAAAGGATCATTACAGCAGAATTCAAACAATAAAATCATAACTTTAAGATAAATTGATGTCAACTTTTTTTGTTTTGAATCTTTCGATTAAACAATGTATGTACTGATAGCTACATAGGCAATTACATAACCATTCAAAGCAAATTATTGGATTTTTCAAACATCAATTGATGAATTTCGGAGATTATTTTAAGATTAAGTCTCTAATCTAATAACAAATAATTTTATTCACATATAAAAACAAATATGAAAATTAGAATCACTAATTTCTGAGAATAATTTCTCAATATTTTTCTGAAATGATGCAAAACAATAAACAATCATTCGATCACAATGTCTTCGCGATAAACATGACCTGTATTACCCTTGAGATCTCTGCATTCCAATATATCGTCATCAACCTTATTGGAGTTAACAATAATTAATTGTCCAGATGATAACGGCAAAAACCCATCGTCTCCTATCGGAATTCTGATGGCCGAAGAGATTGCGAACCGGAGTTTCTTCAATTCAATGCATTTGACAGGAACAAAGCCTTTTGGTTGAAACGGGGTATCAGAAGCAAGAACCCATTGATCTACTGGTGTTTCGTATAGATAAATTTCTTGACCTTCTTTAACAGAAAGCTCATTAATATTTTCTCCTGTGAAATCGAACTTCGCAACACCAATAGAAAGAGGAGCGTCGGTTTCTAGGTAGTTCTTTCGCGTAATCTTTGACATTAAAGCAACATCTTGGAAAGTAAAGACGACATCTGTTGGTTCGAAAAATTTCAAACGAGTTCTGGCAATTTTAGTGTATAATATGAACTCTCGTAAGTCATGCATTAAATCTGTTCTTGGTTTAATGATGGAATCAAAGCATTTTGTAATTCCAAACGAAAATCCTCGAATTACTTCAACGTATCTATATAAAAACTGTATCGCACAACTGCTGATTTTGTTTTGCATTGTTTTGATGGATGAGCTTGCTGATTTCACTAAAGATATGTATTTTTCTGCGTATAAGTTCAACATCAAGCATTTTTTACGAACTTTTGCTGCTAGAAAAGCGTAATTCTGCATTTCCGTTTTGACTTTCTTTTTTTCTTTCTTCAGAAATAGTTGATCAATATTTTCTTTCAGCATTGTTAAACTCTTGAAATTATCATCTGTTTGCTGTCTTTCTATTGTGAATACCATGTAAAATGCATCAACATTTGACTTTAGCTTTTGTAAAACGGATAAATCGTTTGAAATGTCATCAAGGAACTCGGGAAGGCAGAAAAGGTTAATAGATTCGCTAATATTTGAGTAAAATGCAGATATTTCAAACAGAATACGTGACAAGTGTTCGTATGTTTTTTCTTGAGAGCCAGGAACTCCAGGACAGACGATAACGCCACCGATATTGTGAAACTTATCAAATATGTTAGATATCATCAGTGGGCAATTGTATTGTTTGAGATTCAAAACAGATGAAACTTCTTTGAAAACATCAAAAACACTTAAATATCTATTGAAATCCGCTTCTACATCTTTAATAAGGGTTTTCCACTCTTTGTGAACCTTCGAAATCACATTATCAAGGCTCTCAAAGTCAATCATTTTTTTCTGATTTCTTCTCAAATTATTGTCAAAAAAAATTTAGATATAAATGATTAGAACAATTTCTAGTGAACCGGATGATAAACCATTAGATGATGCATCTTGTTTGTATGGTATGCAACCTAAAATATCGAAATATAAGACCTTATTCCATCTTTTATTCTGGAATATCAATTCAGTTCCTGAAGCAAAGATCAAATTAATAAATGATTGGCAAATTCGTCTTCCGATGGTTATTGGCGTTCTCCTCATTATTGTTTGTCCGTATATTGACTATATTTTATATTCAGTCGAATTGCAAAATCATGGTTTTCGCCAAATATTCAAAATAACTTTCTTCATGATAATGTACATGATGTCATACCTTGTCTGTATCTACGAAGGACCTGGTTATTTGCCTTATTATTATCCATTTAAATCGACAAAACCAATCCGAAATCAAACAGAAATTTTGAAAGGCGTTGCTTCACAGCCTGCTCAAAAAATACACCCGTTAAAGGCAGGAGACTTGGATCGTTGCCATTATTTCAAATCAGTTGGCAGATACATCATAAGACCAGACCATTTCTGCGCATGGACTACATCATTTATAGGAAGAAAGAATCACAAATTATTCTTCTTATTTAACTTCTGGGGAGTAATTTACATTACTTCGCTCGCAATTTACACAGTTAAGTCAGCAATCATATACATTCTTGATAAGGATGATTTCAAGTATGTACACATCTTTATTTTGGCCATATTTTTGACTTACGGTGCAGTTTTCATAATTATGCAAGTTATATTCATTTTTGTGTGCGTAAAGAACTTTACACTCAATGAAACGCAATACGAACAGGTCAAATACGAAAATCCACCAAATTACAGGAAGAAAGGAATTATCCGAAATTGGGAAGAAATTTTCGGTCCTGTAAAGAAAATATATACATGGTTAATTCCAATTGGAGCATTTCACGGCATGGATCCAGAAGATTTATTATATTCTAACCATTATTATTGTTAATTGCTAGGATATTTGCTCTACAAGCAGTATTTCTCAATATATTTAATAAATGTTTCAATATTTGTCTTCAAATATTATATTTTTATAAAATTTTTAATATCAGATAAAAATTACAATGATTTTAACATCAAGATCTTCTACATTGATTACTTAACACATTTAATTAAAAAATTCTAGAAGATTTTAGTTCATTTTTATATTTGTAGAAGAGAATGAATGATCCAAATGCACTTACTGATCAAAATAAACAAAGAATAATGAAATCCCATTTATTTGATGAAGAAAATGAAACAACAACTGTTAAACCACCACCAAAAACTCCTGATTCAGCTTATAAATCTCAATATACTCCATCTCCAAGAGCAACTCAACATAATTATACTCCTACTCTTAACACAAGAAATCAACAATATGCTTACCAAAATTCTACTCCTACAAAACAAATTATTAAACAAATTGATCCAATTCCACCAACTCCTCCATTGCCTAATATTGTGCCATTTCCAGATTTTAAATTCGAGCCATTGAATAAACTAGAAAGACCAGATATTGCATTTAATAAAAATAACGATATTAATTCAACAATTGATACATCGAGTTTGATAGTCCTTGGATCTCTAAGAGAAAAGATGTCTAAAGAATCAGCAGAATTTGCAGAAAGAATGAAAAATTTAATAATTTATGAACAACAACCTTCAAACTCATTTACAAGATCAATGAACATGTCAGGAACTCTCAACGGATCTCAAAAACTAACAGTTGAAGGAGAATTTATAATGCCAAACGGAACTCCTTTCACATAACTCTATTTAGAATTATATTGCACTACCTATAATTAGAAAAAGAACAAATGATTGAATTTAGATCAAATTAAAACGAAATTTACAAATAGATTAAATAATTTTCAAAAAGAAGGTTAACTCTTAATTAAAAGAACTGTTAAGGAAGTCAAAGATATGGAAATGATTTTTCTAATTTCTAAAACTCTATACTCCAAAATGGCGAAAAATAAATCAAAATTTGGTTGAAAAATTGAATAAACTCAAGGAAAGAGACTTGGAAATCAACGACCAGAAACATATCTCTCTCCTCGAAACACGAAATACAGATACAAGCTTTTTTTTCCCAGATAAAAATATATTCTATCTTTTCACTGATATTTTTTTTTCCAAATAAATCATAAAGTCGTGTATTATATATCTTTATTTAATAGTATGGACGCATTGGAATCGAGTGTTTTAAGTGGATAGCGAATTCTTTTGTCTCTTCTATTTCCAACTTCTTATAGAATTTCTTCAATTCTTTTGTTGGAGCTGACTTTTTACATCCAATAGAATCCAAATATTTTTGAATGTATCCATCCAACTTGAGAATGGATATTTGATATGCATTTCCATATGGTGAATCTGCATTTATATCAGCACCTTTTTCAACGAGGTACTTTAATGCATCCAGTTCTTCTCCATAAGCAGCAAATGGGAAGCAATAACTTGAAATTTTTGCTCCATGATCAATTAAGAATTTCATTACATCAAATGCTCCAATTTCGCATGCATGTAAAAGGAGAGTTTGTCCGTACCTTGTTCCATTTACAACTACTGATGTTTCCTTATTTATATCAAGACCACCCTTGAAAAGACGTTCAAGTGCTTTGACATTTTTGTCTTCAACCAATTTATATTCGAAATTCTTTTTGTTGTAGTCACATCCTTTCTGTTTGAATAAATCAACAATTGAAGAGTTATTTTTCATCATAGCAATCTGAATTGGAGAATATTTATATTTTGATGGAGGTTCTGGATTTACTTGATGATCGAGCAAGAATAATACCATTTGAAGGTTATTATTAGCAACAGCATGTTGAATAGGATACATTACAACATATTCTTCTTCATCTTCACAATCAAATTCGGCTTCAGAACCAAATTCTTCTTCAATGGATTCTTCACCATGATATCCATATCTTGCTTCAATATTAAGGCAATTAGGATCTGCTTTATGCTCTACCAAGTACTTCACTAATTCAAGATCATTATTCTTTGCGGCAAGAGTAAGAGGAACATCTTTGACTTCGTGAAATTCATGAATTAACAAATTGAATTTTATGAGAAATAATAATGAATATCATGAAAAACAATATTGAATTTCATAGCCAGCACAAACATCTCGAATTTTTGCGTTGACGTTAAGTTTGCACTCTTCAACCAAGAACTTTATCATATCAATCGAACATTTCTTTCTGATTGCAAACGTTAAAAGAGTATCATAATCAATTCTAGTAAATTTCATTTCAGCACCCAATGAAATCAAGTGTTTTAACAATTCAACATCATTTTCCTCAACGGCAACTAAAACTGGATTCATATCACTAACATATGGACCATTTTCTGCATACATGTTAATATTGAAACGTCTCATTTTGATAAGAAATTCTATGAGACTGAAATCTTTTTCTTTTGTAGCCAAAATCAATGGATGTTCATCTTCATATTTCGAATATTCAACAACTTGAGAACACATGTCTCTCATCAAGAAATTAATGAGTTTCATGTCTTTGAAGTATGATGCAACATTCAAACAATTTGGATGATTTAGCTCATGTTCATTGACATTGAAACCATGATCAATCAAGCAGAAGAAAGCTCTCAAGTTTGTTGCTCTTAAACAAGTTTTTGCAGTGATTTTTGGAAATGTGTAATTATGCATCAAATAATCAGCAAATTCGTTTCTGTGGTATCTAACAGCAGCTCTGAGGCATTTGTCGAGATTCACACCACTCTCAGCAACAATTTTGAAGAGCTCTAGGTTACCACCTTTAACAGCATCGACAGGGTCAACAGATTTATATAAATCTGGCTGTTCAAAAATGAATTTGAAGACGTTTATTGATCCATATTTTAAAGCAGTTGATAAAATGGAATTGGCACTATCGAAATATTTGTCTTTATTTTTCATGACTTCTTCTACATCATCTAGCATGGCATGGTACTGATTTGTGTCCTTTTATTCTCCGTCGATCAATTCTTCCTTTGTGAAACTTTTGTTGAGATAAATATCTGGTCTTGGAATTTTAACGCCATAATAATGAAGCAAAGTATTTAATCTCTTACATTTACCGTTGTAAATGTAATTGATATGTTCCTTATTTATCAACATATAAGCGAGATCTGCGAGAATTTTGATATTCTTTTGATTAATTCTGGATTGGTTATTAATTATAAACGAAACGTAGCCATACGAAACTTGAGAAGTTTTAATCAACTCAATAATAGTTTTGGCCGTATCTTCGAATGTTTCGCTATTAAGTTTCAATGTATTTTTCAAATCCACTACGTACAGGATGACTACTGATGGAAATATTCTTGAATTCATCAGGCATTTTCTCCTCGCGGTGTTTAAACATGTCTAAATCCTTTCTGTCACTTTTTAAAAATTCAAAAAGAAAACCTCTAAATAAACGTCTAAGAGTTATGAATTACCATATCAAGGTAACCCCAATGTAACCATTCCATCAGGTCTAGTTCCTTCTGAGTATGTAAATTTTACAATTTTAGATGGATACAAAAATATCCCAAGTTATACATTCCTTCACTTCAAAAATCTTGAAAATATTGTATTCCCAATCTCATTAACGTCAATAAATGATGAAGCTTTTTATCTCTGTCCAATGAAAAAATTATATCTTCCAAAAAATGTTAAAAATTTAGCTGATTGGAATCCATTTGATCGAATGCATAATCTGGAGGAAATTAAAGTTGATCCTGATAATCCTTATTATGTATCTATTGATGGTATTTTGTATACCAAAGACATGAAAACTTTGTTCCATTTTCCTGCGCGCAAAAATATCACAGAATATGTCATTCCCTATGGCATAGAAATAATTTCTCATTGCTGCTTTAACTGCCTATATTATGTGAAGCATATTGTGTTTCCCGAGACTGTTAAGACAATACTAATGTATGCTTTTGGAACACAATTTTCAGTTGAATACATGACAGCCCTTAGAGTTAATCACCAAGATAAAATTGAAGTTCATCCTGAGGGTTTCGATGCATCGACAATTGGTGCATCAGCGATATTATATGTATACTCTCCTCGAAGGCAATTCTCTTGCATTGCCCATTCCTCAATTCCAAATCGATATGCAATTCTTTTTATAGCTGCTCTATACTATGAATAGAAAAATTAAAGCTGAAAAAAATATCTAAAAGTTTACCATAGGTTTTTCAATTTGAACCAAAAGGAAGGAAAAGTTTCACGCCAACCAATTGAGAGGGAAATTGAGAGAAATAGAGAGGAGTTTTGTGACTCTATTTCTGAAATCATTAAAAATATCTTTGTAATGTTTGATAACTTATTCGAAGAAAGGCAAATATATATATTTATTGTTCTGCATAACAATGAAGAAATTACTCCTTAAGAAGTATTCAGTGACTCATAAAAAAATAAAATTTAAAATATCTTTGTAATATTTGATAACTTATTCGAAGAAAGGCAAATATATATTTATTGTTCTACATTACAATGAAGAAATTACTCCTTAAGAGGTATTCAGTGACTCATAAAAAAATAAAATTTAAAATATCTTTGTAATATTTGATAACTTATTCGAAGAAAGGCAAATATATATTTATTGTTCTACATTACAATGAAGTAATTACTCCTTAAGAAGTATTCAGTGACTCATAAAAAATAAAATTTAAAATATCTTTGTAATATTTGATAACTTATTCGAAGAAAGGCAAATATATATTTATTGTTCTACATTACAATGAAGTAATTACTCCTTAAGAAGTATTCAGTGACTCATAAAAAAATAAAATTTAAAATATCTTTGTAATATTTGATAACTTATTCGAAGAAAGGCAAATATATATTTATTGTTCTACATTACAATGAAGTAATTACTCCTTAAGAAGTATTCAGTGACTCATAAAAAAATAAAATTTAAAATATCTTTGTAATATTTGATAACTTATTCGAAGAAAGGCAAATATATATTTATTGTTCTACATTACAATGAGGTTATTACTCCTTAAGAGGTATTCAGTGACTCATAAAAAAATGATATTGAAAATTTCTTTGTAATATTTGAATAAACTATCAAAAACAAATAAGTTTCATTTATAATATTTATTCTATAACACTCTATTAACAATATAAGATAAAATAAATTAAATATTTCACTTTTTCATTGCGAAAGACATCAAATTTGCAGAATGATCATCCTGAAGTCTTCCTTCGATCAAATATTTCTCGAAATTCGTTCCTCCAATTACACAGAAAACAGGCAAAGATTTTCCAGAAATTTCAAACGAATTCTCAATAATTTTTCTGAATTTTTCGTCAACAAAGTTTTGGAGGTCAAGAGATTTGTCGTTTTCGTTTGGATTTTTGACAATTTCGAGTAATTTGTCGTAAGTAAGCGCGAAAACAACAATTCTATCCCACATGTGTAGTACAAGAGGCGGATTTGATGTTTCGTAAGGTCTAAGTCTTCTCAGTTTGTTTTCTGAGTCTAATAATCTCGGATAAGAGAAAAGAAGACTGTCGATGACTCCACAAGCTCGCAATGAGATGATTGTGGTCATTCTCCAGTCATATGTAATAGATCTGTTCACTGTAAACAAATCATTACTTATAATTCCTCTCAAAATGAGATTTGAAGCAGAGAATGACTTAGATAACGATAACATCCGTGTTGCATCGGTTTTTATCGAGTCTTTCCCGTATAAAATGTCCTTAGACAAAATTGCAGAAATTCCTCTTTTCAAAATCAAGGAACAAGCGGCCACCTCGTCGATACAGTTGACGAGCATGTCGAGACTAGATGTTGCATTGATGCAAAAAGTGAAAATTCGCATTTTTCTTCTCAAAATTTTGAGATCTGTGAAAATAAACGCGAATTGGACGACAATATAAGGCTGAATAATATGTCCTTCGATCGAGAACTCAATTGTGATGGAGTCTTTCGCTGAAAAAGCAGGTGCAGCGATGATATGTCGATCTTTTCTGATTAAATTGCCATGAATCATCTTCAAATTGATAGTGTTTGGGAGATTCATGACTATACTTGTGTTCCACATGTAGTTATCTGTAAGACAGTTGAATATGTCCCTGTAAAACTGCATTGAATCTGATTTTATTGTTTCTTGTGTTGCTGGATAGTAGAAACATCGTCCTCCTGTCAGTGCAGGAAGAATTCCAAGAGTTGCAACCTCATTCGTTGTTGTAAATGAGAATAAAGTTACTGATATATCAGATTTTGAAAATTTCAAAGCCATTGTCTGGTAAAAATTGTTGTTTCCGTTCGTATTCGGGCGAAACATATCTATTCCTCGTGAAACTGATTCTCCAGAGCGAGGAATTATTCGATAAGGTCCAATTGAAGGAGAAGAAGCGACAAAACTGAAAATTATGCCTCCAGTTTTGTCTAATACTTGTGATGCAGCATATATAGCACTGCCAAAACAGTTTCCTTTGGGACCATTTGTAATATTTACGATTTCTTTCAAGCATTTCTCGAAATTGCTTCTACTATCTTTTAATAATGTTGGCTGCGTTTGAATTTCCATCTCTTCTAGTTCAACGTAACTTGTTTTCTTCATTAAATTCAAATCATAAACTGTAACAATGTCTGAGAACAAAATAATTGAAACATTCATATTATCATCGATATAGCTCATGTTTGTAAGTATCGATTGTGCTGCTAACTGAGGAATATTCAGAGAAATCGATTCTTGAGAGACATCAAACATAAATAAGAATGTAGGATGTCTTGTAGACTCTTCTGCATATAGAGGAGGTGCAAGTAAGTCAACAACTTGTGATTTTTTCTCTGGCCTTTGAGATAAAACAACATCTGCTGAAACCAGTATGTTTTCGTGATTGCAAACTGGACAGACCCATGTCTTATCGTTAATTAATCTGCACCATGAATTGAAAAATGACCCACAACGATTACATTTTAAAATATTTGATTGTGAAAGATCTCCAACTTCTTCCACTTGAACTTTGGCTGGCTCTATGGTAATCCCAAGTGGGATACCTGATTTTATGTATAAATCTGTTGAGCGAGGGAAAGTTTTTATTGTTGGTCGGAAATAAGAAGGAAATGTTGTAGGATTTAGAATTTCTGTCTTATCCCAAGGTGTGCTATCTCCTGAGTCTTTCTGGATCTCTGTATTTGGCTTTTGAACATTCATAAATTCTTTTGAAAAAAAAATTGTAAAAAAATGATCGGCGAGAATTCAAATAAAATTTCTTGATCGGACATGAAAAAATGTAATTAATCAATATTTATCAACATATAGACTCTGTATCAGCTAAAATAGACATACATACTATTAAATCCTTTAAACCTTTGATTTTTGAAGAAAAATCCTATACCTTTTTTTTAGTGAAAAGTGACTTTTTTAGATACAGTGTAATTTCTTAAACAGAATCCATCCAACGTAATTATTTGTAATAACTTCTAACTATTTAAAAGATTGTTCGAAATTGAATGAAAATTTCAATTATGATCAGTTTACTTCGTAAAGCTTTCAATTTTTGAGGGGAAATTTCTAATCAGATTATTTGACATTTTTTATCCAAGGTTATGTTAAGTATTCTGTTATCTGCTTCTTCTTCTTATCAAACACAAACAATTGGAAGACTCACAACTCCAGGAACTAACCTCGTCAAAGCATACAAGTCCAGTAATCCTGATTTAGCTAGAAATTGTTACTGGCTTTACTTCGATTACTATGTTCACATTCTTGGATACGAGAACGGATTTGCTCATGTAAGAATTGGTACAGAAGACTGCTGGATTAGCAAAGATTCCCTTGAAGAAATCACAATTCCAACCCAATCTGTCACTGAAGCCAATATTTATTCAGAGCCTTCTCGCACCGGAACAATTGTTCGCTATGTTCCAGCAAATTCCCAAGTTACGATTCTTGATTTTAACTGTGATGGCTTTTACAGAATAAATTATCGTGGCTATATTGGCTACATTCTTGAAGATGCACTTCAATACAAGTGGAAACAAATAGATGGTGCAAATGACGGAGAGAGAGCTGCAAATCTTGTTAAAACCAAGTTAGGCTGCAAATACATCTTGGGTATGAGTGGCCCAGATACATATGATTGCTCAGGATTAATGCAATGGGCTTACAACAGGCTTGACATCTTCATGCACAGAACAGCTGACGTTCAGGATTTACATGGACAATTAATTGAAGATGCCCAAGACATTCTTCCAGGCGATATTATTACTTTCCGCACAGATTCTGATAATCCAATGTTAGTTACTCATGTCGGAATGTACGTCGGAAACGGACAATTCATTCATGCTTCAACAAACGGATATGTTGTCAAATACCAAGATTTCTATAAGTACCCATATCCAGTAAGCACTATCAGAAGATACTGGACAAAGTAAGATCAATTTCGATCTTTCTTTAAAATTATAAATTCTATATACGTATATTCTTCTTCTTTTTTTCTTACGTTTGAATACAACTCAAGCAGATTTGTATATGGTAGTTTTATTTTAACATAAGTTTTTGAATCTAACTTATTTTTGTTATCATTTCAAATAATGAGAGTATTTTCATTGAGAGTGAGAGAAAACCATCAAATGTGCGAGCAACAAATAGAACAGTAGCTTCAAATTATATATGAATTATTAATTTGAAGACCTGAATAAAATATCATTATCATAAATAGGGAAGTAAAACATAAAAATCATATGATATCATTTATATTTGTATACTCCTTTAGGGTTGCAAATTTGGAAAAAAAGTGAGAAGTTTCCAATTTTAAAAAAACCCAACTTCTATAAGACGATTATAAAAAATTATTTTTTTACTTTACATTTTGAAATCCAGAACTTTTTTGGAATTTTTTCGGCGTCTTTCATAACAGCCAATACCTTCGATAATATACACCGAGCCATTTAAACCATGATTTGAGTATCTTTAAGAATTAGCAATGCTAATGACCTAATCGTTGTCTGGAAATTTCCTTCGGAAGTTTCCAAAATTCTTGGCTTCTTAAATTTGAGAGAGAATGGGAGAAAATTCAAGGGCTGGAAGTAACGTTCACTTTTTGGAAGTTATTAAAATATGTTGTAAAGTGCATCTAGAAATGATATTCTACAACATTTCATTATAAAAAATTGAATTCAAGAAGAAGTTTTTTGAGGCTGTAAAATAATTTTTAATAAAAATGCATAAAATAGTATATTGAACATATTTGGTATCAAAAAATTGAATAAAGGAAAAAGTTTTTGGAAGTTAATTTGAATTGTTTACATTTTTTCTGGCAAACCCAAATTTTAGCTAAAAGTGACAGGGAAAAAAACGTTTAGTATTAAAAAAAAGACCGATGAGATCTTCGTTCGAAATATAGAGGGAACTGAGAATGCGCAACCATTCTCAGGGAATATTGGATGCTATTCCCGTTCCCTCTGTATGGAAAATTGAGGTTTTCAAAGGGAGTTAAAATAATATCAAATTTATACTAATTTACTTCAAAATACAAAAGTATTTGACAGCTAAAATTAGTTACTTTAGCAAGCCTATCAATACCCTTTTACGATTATTGCTACTTTTTCGAAATAAAAGTAAAAACAAATTTATACTAATTTACTTCAAAATACAAAAGTATTTGACAGCTAAAATTAGTTACTTTAGCAAGCCTATCAATACCCTTTTACGATTATTGTTACTTTTTCGAAATAAAAGTAAAAACAAATTTATACTAATTTACTTCAAAATACAAAAGTATTTGACAGCTAAAATTAGTTACTTTAGCAAGCCTATCAATACCCTTTTACGATTATTGTTACTTTTTCGAAATAAAAGTAAAAACAAATTTATACTAATTTACTTCAAAATACAAAAGTATTTGACAGCTAAAATTAGTTACTTTAGCAAGCCTATCAATACCCTTTTACGATTATTGCTACTTTTTCGAAATAAAAGTAAAAACAAATTTATACTAATTTACTTCAAAATACAAAAGTATTTGACAGCTAAAATTAGTTACTTTAGCAAGCCTATCAATACCCTTTTACGATTATTGTTACTTTTTCGAAATAAAAGTAAAAACAAATTTATACTAATTTACTTCAAAATACAAAAGTATTTGACAGCTAAAATTAGTTACTTTAGCAAGCCTATCAATACCCTTTTACGATTATTGCTACTTTTTCGAAATAAAATAAATTTATTATCAAAAACCTTTTTTTTCTTAGTAAAAATAAACGAAATTTTTTACCTTATGAACTTTTGATGGAAATATGCAAATTTAAAATAATAAAGAAAGCCGCGAGCGAAGCGATCGGCTTAGTTCGAAGATTTTGATTCAAATCTTTGCTGATCTGTAATTCGCGGAAGCCGCGAGCGAATCGAGCGGCTTAGGTCTAAGATTTTGATTCAAATCTTTGCTTATATTCCTTAAATTCTTTATGAAACTCGCAACAGTTCCATAAAAAATTTTAAATTCTAAACTGTCGAAATTACCGATCGGTAATCACACCCTTCACGGGTGTGTCACTTTTAGCTAAAATTACCCCTACTCTGAACAAGCATTACATATCATATAAATCTTAAAATCAAATGAATATTCATATAATCTTTTAACTTCCAGAAAATCTTCCAAAAATGAATTTTTTATCTTCCAAATTTATGTTGTGCTTCCAAATTTGCAACCCTATACTCCTTTTACGATTCTTTGTTATTTTAATGATTTAGAGAGTGTAAGATTTAAGTTCTATAATCAACTTTTTGAGAGAACCTCATACAATTGTTTGTATGACCTATATCAAAAAAAAAGCAACTAATCTCAATCAAAGAAGCTTAAGAATGATTTGGATTATATTGCAATCGCTATCTTACTTGTATTTTAGTATAATAAATTCAATAATGGTTAAAATTTAAAAATAATTTTTGAATTGTTTTTTTATATGACAGTTATATATTAACATTTTATTTTATATATAAATTTATATTATCTTTAGAATGAATATATGTACTCACTGTAATCCATTCCATAACCCTTGATGTCATCAACGAAAATTGGATCAAGAATCCTGTCTTCTTGTCTTATTTGAGAAACAATTTGAATAGGTAAGTAACAACCACTCAAATTCCTTGATTCGTTGATTAGTTCATGTAGTTTGTTGTTCAAATCAGTACCATTCTGAGGAAGATCATTCACAGACTGAGGCAATTCCTGGTAACTCTGTATTCCCAATGCATTCGATAAATATTCTTCAGAAACGTAATTTGACAACCAAATATAAATTTTGTCAACGCAATGGAGAACAACAATGAAACACTGTTGTAAAGAACTCTTTGACAATGACAAAATAACAGTTGTTGCATCAGGATTAACAGCAATAAATCTAGGATACAAATACAACAAAAGAGAAATAATATCAATAGATCTAATTTTGATGACATTAGATAATCTTCCATCTATTCCTCCTGGATGTTTAGACATTAGTAATTCATTGCAAAGCAAAGAATGCATCAAATAAGGAAGAGATACAACACTTGCATTTGTTCCTCTCAAGTCTTGCATAACTTTTCTTGCAGATAACTGACAATCATTTGTTGATTTGGAGAGAACTTGTGTTGTAGCCCTTCTTATCAACATTCCCATCAATACAGATTCATCAAGAGTCTGTCTGATTTGGGTGTTGTCTGTTGCTGTAGGAAGAGAGAAAGAAAATACTCTGATGCGACTGATTTCATCTGTACCTGTGAATGAAAGCTGTATCTGTACAAAGAATTCATCAATAAGAGCGGTATCATCGTAATCAAACTCAACAACAACACTGTCATCGGGCTGCATCGCACAAAAAGTGGCTCCTTGCGTAATTGTTTTTCTTTGGACACAGTTTCCGTGGAATCTGGATACTTTCGCTGCAGGAGGGATCTTGATGGACACTTGCGCATCCCAGAGGTAGTCTTTCGTAAGTAATCTGAATAAATCGTTGTGTAATTGGAGACAAGATTCGGTTGTAAAGTTATGGTAATGGAAACATGAGCCACTGGTGAGACCTGTTGCAACCGCATCTGTTGCAAGGTCCGCGTAATGTGGTCCGGCTGTGAAAACGTGTAATGAAATTCCATTTCGGTTGAAACAGAAAGCAATGTCTCGCCAGAACTTGGCGGTATCGTTTTCGGGTAATCTGAGTACTTTGGACTCTTCGGTGTAGTTTAACGATCGATCTTCTAAGATATAAGGTCCGTATTTCGGAATTCCAGAATAAACGGCAATTATAATGCCGCCAGTAAACATCATGAATGATGCTGCGAAATCGAACGCGTTGCCAAGGCAATGGCCTTGTGGAGGCTGTGTATTGTGGATTCTTTCGAGAATGAGTTGTAAAGCTGCTTCGAAGTCTGATCTGACCTCGCCGATAGTATGCTGTACAGGTGGAGATTTGATCGGCTCTTTCAAATCAGGGAAAATGAGTTCTTCGTGATTGTGAAAATCGAAGTACGTAAGTTTGTCGGAAATGGTCATAAGGTTGACGCGAGCGTTCTGTGGCATTGAAGAAAGTGCTGACTGAAGACTGTAGATGAATTGCTCGGTAATTCCGCAAGAAATTGATTGAAAAGAAAGATCAAGGATGAAAGTGAACACGGGTTGGCTATTTCTCATGCTGTTGGTGTACGGAGGAACGATAACATCGTAAACTTGTTGAGTAAGTTCTGGAGCTTCGAAAATTGTTCCTTCAATTGGATTAAGAGTCTTGCAAGCAGGGCATATCCATTTACTATGTTCGTTGTTAAATTTGACTTGTGGGCAGAGCATGCAACCACACTTCAAGCAACAAATTCTTGTGGCACCGCGTTTGTCGTAAACAGGTTGATTAGAAACATCAGCTGGTCTGATAACAGCACCAATTGGAACCTTAAGAGTATCAAAGAGTGCTTTGGTTCTCGGAAAAGCTTGGCTCGAAAATCTGAAATATGAAGTACTTGGAGGTGTTGGATTAAGCATCTTCTCATTTAGCCATGGGATAACATATTCACGCTTTCCACTTGGCATATTTCCCATTGGTTGACCAGTTGGAACCATATTTGAATTATTTGTAGGTGTAACTGTATTTTGAGCATAAAAATATCCTTTAGTACGTCTTCCAGTTTGTGGCTGTGCATCCGGAGCCGGCTGATATCCTTGGCCAGGAATTGTGCCAGCAGCTGGATTTGGCTGCATTGATTTTGAATTGTTTACAATCCCCTTCATAATTTTTTTTCGATTGAAATTGACAGTTGAATTGTAAACTATTAAAATATTTGAATGATTTACGATAAAAAACAAAAAAATAACGATTTATTTTGTTAATTTGCGATCAAGTTTTCCTTCATAAAGGTTGATTTTAGGGATCTGTTAAGGGCAGAGATCCTGGTGACTAAGCTCTGTGATCTTGGAACAGGAATGTTATTGTCATGGAACACGTTTTCAATTGATGATTTCAAATCATCTAATTTACTAGCAACAGCATCGGTACTTGAGTAAGGAGTAAGGCGGAAAGTTTCAGGGAATACTGCACGGAAACAGTTTACAGCATTGATGAGAAGAGTTGAGTCTTTGAAACAGTTATTATCGTAATAAAAGAGTTCATCGGATACAACCATCTTTTGATACTTCAGAGACATACGGATCATCTGCTCGTCGATGGCAGCTATCTTTTGGCTGAAAAGAGCAAGCAAATTATCAAATATTGCTTCGAAGCGAGCTTTAGTCTTATGAAGTAGCTTCAGCAAGGCAGAATTAATAAGTCCAATAAGGGTTGTTTCAGGATTATTAATCTTTCCTAGAGCTATAAGGAATTTTCTCGCTTTCTGGTTTTCAGCCTTGATCCTCTTGTAGTCTTTGATGTATTTCTGACATTTACCCTTCAGGAATGTCAATTCAATCTTCAGCTGGTTGACATTTTCTGTTTCAATGTTTTCATGATTATTTAACTTTTGAGGAGTCGATAGCGCCGAATTTTGCTTGAACTCTTCGAACTCCTGAGTGATGTTTTTGATCTTTTCGCGCAATTGGGCGTTCTCTACTTCGGCGTCATCCAAAATATCATCATCAAACTCTCCGAAAAGTGATTTAAATGTATCAATCAACGCATCATTCTTTTGCGCAAGGTCGTCTATCTTACGCTCTTTAGCTTTTGTTTCGCTGATGAGACTTTCTAAGTTAGAAACTAAAGGATTAATATCAATTGTCGGAATGTCCTTATCTTGTCCAAGAAGAAGCTCAGAACTATTTGATATTTCTAGCTTCTGGTCATATAATGAGATTCTTGTTTCTTTTTCGAGTTGATCCATTGTGAAACTTTCATTATTTAGGACAGACTCATCAAGTTCGGTAATGGACAATTCTGTGTTCATCATAAATGAATCCGAAATTTGCTCATTTTGTGCAGATTGGTTTAGCTGCTCTTGCAATTGTTGATTTTGATCTTTGAGTGCTTCCATTTCGGCATTGATTGATGTTAAGTAATTTCGGATGGAATCGTAATTAAAGGAATCTTTTTGCTCCTGAGTGAGATAACTCAGTAGTTGATCAAAAGCCTGGTAAATAATATCGAACATTGAATGCTATTTGACAAACCGCAAAATCAATTCAATCAGCGGCCTTACTAAGTTTTATTTTTTACTCTTCCGAAATCAATAGTAACACAGGAAGAGTCGGATTTTTCAATGACTCAGAAATCGATAAAATTATTTCTTGAGGAATTGAATTTGATAGTTTTATACATGTTTTGGAGGTGTGCAACTGTAATAATTTCGCTATATTGAGTGCATAAAATGGAAAGTGAGCGCATAAACCTATCAATTTTTAAATTTTGAGCATACAAATTTTTACTGATATTATCGATTTTAATAATTTACTATATCTAGTTTCGCACTTTACAAAATTTTATCAATTGAGACCAGCATTCAAATTTAGAATTGTATCTATTTTATATACATTATTAGTTGCTACAGCAAAATTCTTAATTTAATCAACAATTCTTTCATAAATTTCAAGTTCGTAAATCCGTAGATAAATTTTCCTGCAATTTGATTTCATGATATTTAGTATCATTCCTTTTCCCGTCATATTTTATTATAAAATTTTTATTTGTTTGTCCGGCCATAAAATCCAAATCTTGAAAGTTACTAAAGTTATTCAGTAAAAGTGGACATCTAATAGATATACCGGATCTTCCTCGCTAGTTATATTATTGTGTTTCTAATTAAAGAGTCTTTTTCATTCCTCAAAGGAAAATAAAATAATTGGAAAGAGTTTGTTTATTATATTTACAAAACAAATACACCTTTTAAGTTAATATACCTAATTCTAAGAGCCTGTGGCAATTTGCTGTCCAATGCCTTTAAAACAATTCGATTTATGCCTTTTGACTTTGCTTCGATTTCGAAATCTTTGAGAACACTAGAACTGAACTTAGCTATCTGTTTCGATACCAATTCATCATCACAATATGTACTGAGCTCGATTTCGGGAAGATATTTGTAAGCTGTACCGACCAATTTTGTATAAAATGAATGATCTCTCTTGGGGTCACAGAAGATATCTATTTTATGAGGTTCAACGTAGAATCTTGTCTTGATTTCAACGGAACATTCTTGTTCTTCGTTTAATATCCTCAGATATGAATTATCGTCATCAAAGAGACAATCTACACTTGATAAAACAAGTCCTGTCGTTGAGAGATTGATGATGGAGAAATCTTTTGGTGTTAAACGATTAGTTAAGTGGCAGAGCGTTGTAGCTTGGTCGTAAATATTCACTTCTTCAGCCAAATCTATATTTTCGGCTTGATACATCTTTGAAATGTAAAATAACATTGGAATATTCTGGAAATTCTTCTTTTCTTGCGAAGAAAGCTTGCCTAATTCTGCTAAAGCATTTTTTCGTTTAAAAATGATACTTCTGAGCTTTTGGCGTGCGATTTTCAACGAAACCCATTCGCAATGGTAATTAATTAAGAAGGAATCGGAACCTTCTTGAGTCCAATCGACAATTGATGTTAAAACTTCTTTTTCTTCATCCGAAAATTGTTTATTTTTGGCAAATTGGTTAATAATTTGAACTTTTTGTTCGTTTGTTAAAGAAACATATACATCATTCTCATATCCAAGCGGAGAAGTTTTAGTAAGCTTGTTAACTTGCTTGTAAATGAGAGGAATTTTGCCATTTAGAACATCCTGGCTTAAAACAGATTGTAGAACATGCGTATCTAGAACGTATTCAAGCACTTCTTCAATAGAAGTACATTTTCTTGCCATTTGATTTGTGACAATTTCGGCAATGTATTTTGCTACATAACTACTGCAAATTTTCGATGCCAACTTGTATAAATTATACTTTGATAACGTTTGAACAATAAACAAAACATTGTCTTCAGTAAGAGATTTTTCAATAAATTCGGAAGTTTTTTCTACAATATATTGACACCCGTAGAACTCAGCAGATTTTAATAGGGGTATTGCATCCTTAATGCTAACCACGATTTTTTGAGAATAAATTGTCTTGATTAAGTGTTGAACTGAATTTTCTGGATTAATTGGTAAAGTAATATGATAAATAGAAGAGGAATCTTTTTCAATAGGTTCAGAACAAGTAAACCTTTCTTTAAACCATGTACAATTCTGCGCTAAAATTAAAGAATGTGCTTCAATTCTCGTATCAAGAAAATGAAGAACGGTATCGATGAATCGCTTTTCCTCTAAAAATATTTGGAACTTCTGGCTGTGTTGGACTTGAATAACTTTCATTTGAAATTTTTTTGCCATGTAAAATTGTAAAGTTTATTTTCATTCAGAATTTTTCTTGAAAATTTTGCTTTTTCCCTTGAAAATGTGATTCAATACCGGATTGCAAATACGTAAAATGCGAGAAAGTGATAACCGGACTTTAGAGTTGAAGTGCAAAGAAACTATAGCTCTAATGAGACAGGAACTAATTTCGCAAAAGTGACATTAATAGGGGCGTGAATTTCGATTTAAGACTTTCGGAAATAGTCCCCTACTCCAGATCTAATATCTACATCAGATATCAATTCTAAAAATCATAAAGAGAAAGCTAAGATCACTTTTTTTGAGTGGGATCTTTTCTGTGAGAAATTGAATTTTTATTCAAAAATTTTTACAAAGCATGTTCAGTTCAGAGCAGCCAACAAATGAAAATGAATGTAATTACAGTGACCTTAAGCCAATTAAAGTATTTGAATACCCAGATAAAGCATCGAAAATTATTTGGAGCGTCAATTCCAATAATATTTTACAAATATCATCACAAATTATTGAATTAATTACAACTCTCAAAATACCTATCCAAATGGCACTTTATTTGATTGACATTTTTTCACAAATTCGTGTTAAAGAAATTAAATTATTTTCAGAACTTTACCAAAAGATATCAAACGCATTTTCATACATCCGCAAACCGAATAATGAGAAGTTAGCAGAATTGTTACGTTATCAAAACTCTGCACCTACAATTGAAGAAGAAAAAATTCTCAATTTATATTCAACAGAATCTCCTTTATACTATATTGCATGGGATAAAGTTGATGAACTTAAGAGTAGATTCCCAAATCTTGATATCAATAAGGAAATTGATATGAAATTCACGCCGCTCGATTGTGCAATTAAATACGGATCAGAATTATGTTTTAATTACTTGAAAAATTTAGGAGCTAAATACACTGATTACTCCCAAAAATATGCTCTTCAAGGTGGAAATGAAAAGATTTTTATGCAAATGATAGAAGATGGTCAATCATTTGGTGGAAAGATTAATATAGCATTGGACTATCGAAACTATGAAATTGCTGACTACCTTAAATCAAATTTTGGGCAAACTTTTGATTCAATAGCAAAAAGCATGCATTTCGGAAATTATGATATTGCTTCTTATTTACTTTCTAATGGAGGAAATATCAACAAAATTTATAATCTCTTTCTTTTCATACTTATCAATGTTTTTTAATATTCTTTTTATCTTCATACTTATCATTGTTTTATAACATTCTCTTTCTCTTCAAATTTATCATTGTTCAATGAAATTCTCTCAATATTAATGAATGCCCTCTTAGTATTGCCATCAAAGAAAATTCAACAGAAATTGTCCAATTCTTAATTGAACATGGTGCTGATGTTAACATGAAACTTATTCTCTATCTCTTCATTTTTATCATTATTTTATTACATTTTCTATCTTTTCATATTTAACATTGTTTTATAACATTCTCTTTCTCTTCATATTTATCATTGTTTTATAAAATGAGATTGGGACAAAGTTGCAATTCGGCACTTTTTGTAAAAAAAATGGGGTCATACTCATAATGAATAGAGACTTATAGCCAAGTCTTGATATCATGCAGGGAGAATATACATAGATAAGCAATTATATTTTATAGTAGTAGTATTCAGAAATTCTTACAATTTACAATACAATTTTCAAAAATGGATAAAGACTAATAGCCAAGTCTTGATATCATGCAGGGAGAATATACATAGATAAGCAATTATATTTTATAGTAGTAGTATTCAGAAATTCTTACAATTTACAATACAATTTTCAAAAATGGATAAAGACTAATAGCCAAGTCTTGATATCATGCAGGGAGAATATACATAGATAAGCAATTATATTTTATAGTAGTAGTATTCAGAAATTCTTACAATTTACAATACAATTTTCAAAAATGGATAAAGACTAATAGCCAAGTCTTGATATCATGCAGGGAGACTCTCTACAAATACAAAAATTGATTATCATAAGGAAATACAAATTTATCAATTTTCATGTGAAAATTACATAAATTTGTTCTCCAATAAATAGCAATAATACTTTGAATGTTATATTAAGTAATATAGCTTCAGGTAAATAAGCTTACACTTCAAAAATATACTGTTTATTCATTAATTTTAAAAAAAGTCCAAATTATCTAATCTTGCTTACTCTTCCTTTAAACTTCTTTGTGCCAAATTTAATATTGCCTTCAAAGATGGAATAAGGACATTAGGTTCAAAAATATTTTATTATACTCATTCGAAATTAAAAATAATAAAATTTATATATATTAATTTCATTAAATCAAGGTTAAAAATCTCACCGGAAAAATAACCTCAGTGTGATAAATTTATCACCGGAAAAATTTACAATAAGGTTAATACCGAAAATATCGAAAAATCAACATTTAAGGTTAATTTAAGAGTATGCACTTTTGTCACCTACTCCATCAAAGAAAATTCAACAGAAATTGTCCAATTCTTAATTGAACATGGTGCTGATGTTAACATGAAACTTATTCTCTGTCTCTTCATATTTGTCATTGTTTTATGACATTTTCTTTCTTTTCATATTAATCATTGTTTTATAACATTTTCTTTCTATTCATTTTTATCATTTTAATATAAAATTCTGTTTTTTATAATGTTTTGTTGCATGCTAAGATCAGTCATAATGTAAACCTCTCGATTTTATTGTCGTGGGAAGTATCTCAATTCCTTCAAAAAAATTGAAAAACTATTTAATTTTAAAAATATAATACTTTTAATTAGTTAATTAATTGGAGATATTTTTTAAAAATCACTTTTGATAATACTTTTGAGAACTTTAATTAAAAAAATATATTCAAAAATATCCAGGATATCAAGAGGGAATTGTTCCTTATGAGGTATAGAGTTATGATGTATACCTCATAAGGAACAATTCCCTCCTTAAAATCGTAGACATTTTTATACTTATTAATCAACCATTCAAAATCATATTCCTCTGAAAAGTTATTTTATTAAAAATTTAGAATTTTAATAAATATAGAGTATGAATTTCATACAATACCTATATATTTTCAATAATGGAATTTGAAAACCATTCTCAAAAGTTCTCAGAAAACTTTTTTTTCATTAATTTTAAGAAATCTGAGTATTAAATTAAGTGATAAATTCGTTTGACACTACTTTAATTTTTAAATTCAAAAAATTATATGTGCTTCTTAAAATGACTCAAAAAAATTTTATTATAAAATAATATATAATATTAAAAATCCCACAACATTTTTTACTTTACATAATCGTACTTCCTCGACGATTAATTTCCACTCAATTTCTATCGTTGACCGAACTTAGCATGCAACAGTTTATCATTGTTTTATGAAATGCTCTTTCTTTTCATATTTATCATTGTTTTATTACATTCTGTTTCTTTTCATATTTATCATTGTTTTATAAATTTCTCATTCTATTCATATTTTTCATTGTTTAATGAAATTCTCTTTCTTTTCATCTTTATCATTATTTTATAAAATTTTCTTTCTTTACATATTTATCATTGTTTGATATAATTCTCTTTCTTTTCATACTTATCATTGTTTGATATAATTCTCTTTCTTTTCATGCTTATCATTGTTTTATTACATTCTGTTTCTTTTCATATTTATCATTGTTTTATAAATTTCTCATTCTATTCATATTTTTCATTGTTTAATGAAATTCTCTTTCTTTTCATCTTTATCATTATTTTATAAAATTTTCTTTCTTTACATATTTATCATTGTTTGATATAATTCTCTTTCTTTTCATACTTATCATTGTTTGATATAATTCTCTTTCTTTTCATGCTTATCATTGTTTTTTTGCATTCTGTTTCTTTTCACATTGATCATTATTTTATGAAATTCTCTTTCTATTTCTATTGATCATTGTTTTATTGGATTCTTTTTATCTTCATACTTATCATTGTTTTATAACATTCTCTTTCTCTTCAAATTTATCATTGTTTAATGAAATTCTCTCAATATTAATGAATGCCCTCTTAGTATTGCCATCAAAGAAAATTCAACAGAAATTGTCCAATTCTTAATTGAACATGGTGCTGATGTTAACATGAAACTTATTCTCTATCTCTTCATTTTTATCATTATTTTATTACATTTTCTATCTTTTCATATTTAACATTGTTTTATAACATTCTCTTTCTCTTCATATTTATCATTGTTTTATAAAATTCTCTTTCTTTTCATATTTTTCATTGTTTAATGAAATTCTCTTTCTTTTCATCTTTATCATTGTTTTATAAAATATTCTTTCTTTTCATCTTTATCATTATTTTATAAAATTATCTTTCTCTTCATATTTATCATTGTTTGATATAATTCTATTCCTCTTCATATTTATCATTATTTTATAAAATTCTCTTTCTTTTCATACTAATCATTGTTTTATTACATTCTCTTTCTCTTCATATTTATCATTGTTTGACACAATCCTCTTTCTATTCATACTTATCATTGTTTTATTGGATTCTCTTTCAATACATATTTATCATTGATTGATGTAATTCTCTTTCTCTTCATATTTATCATTGCTTGATAGGATCCTCTTTCAATACATATTTATCATTGATTGATATAATTCTCTTTCTCTTCATATTTATCATTGTTTTATTGGATTCTCTTTCTTTTCATATTTACCATTGTTTTATAAAATTCTCTTTCTATTCATATTTAACATCGATTTATAACATTCTCTTTCTCTTCATATTTATCATTGTTTAATGAAATTCTCTCAATATTAATTATTGCCCTCTTAGTATAGCCATCAAAATTAAAGCAACAAATATTATCAAATTCTTAGTTGAACACGGTACTACAAATATCTAATAATTCTTTTTCTAATAACATAATTCTAAGTGATGAAATTAAAAACCGCCGTTTTGGTACTTTCTGCGACTTTGTTTGTCAGAAAGTATACATTTGTAAGAAAGTATACTCAATTTTCTTCTCAAACGAAGGTATTTTAAAAATGCAAATTATTTGACGACAAAAAAAAAAACGTAGGGGACAGCGTGGACGTACTCACGGTAAACGGTAGGCTTTTTATGAAAATTAGGAAATGCATAAATATACTTTTAAAGTCTAGTGATACAAATGAAAACCATCGATTTTTTTTCCTTTTTTCCTCACACTCTTTGGCCGGGCAGCCCTCGAATCAAAGAATGATTCGCATGCCAAAAATTTAAGAAAAATTTTTAAATGATGTCCATTCATGTGATTATGAGGTCAATAAGACATTAGAACTTATAAGTGCTTAAACATATGGCTATTACCATGAGATAAATGCATAGAACATGATATTGATGCTGAAATTTCAAGAACTTAGGAATCAAAAATCAAGTTTTCAACATTAAATAAGGGTTTCGTTTTGCTAAAATTGTCACTTTTATAGCATATTTGTTTTTGGATGTTTTGCGAAACCAAAAAAAAAACTATGATATACAATGTGTGTGTAAAGAAAATACTTTATTTACTAGTTAAAAAAATCATTTGGTATTGATCAAGTTATTTTTTCTGGATAAGATATTATATGGATAATTGGATAGAAAATACAATTATATAATCTTGTACCTGGTTTAATTAAGCTAATTGTCATGAGATTGGGACAAAGTTGCAATTCGGCACTTTTTGTAAAAAAATGGGGTCATACTCATAATGAATAGAGACTTATAGCCAAGTCTTGATATCATGCAGGGAGACTCTCTACAAATACAAAAATTGATTATCATAAGGAAATACAAATTTATCAATTTTCATGTGAAAATTACATAAATTTGTTCTCCAATAAATAGCAATAATACTTTGAATGTTATATTAAGTAATATAGCTTCAGGTAAATAAGCTTACACTTCAAAAATATACTGTTTATTCATTAATTTTAAAAAAAGTCCAAATTATCTAATCTTGCTTACTCTTCCTTTAAACTTCTTTGTGCCAAATTTAATATTGCCTTCAAAGATGGAATAAGGACATTAGGTTCAAAAATATTTTATTATACTCATTCGAAATTAAAAATAATAAAATTTATATATATTAATTTCATTAAATCAAGGTTAAAAATCTCACCGGAAAAATAACCTCAGTGTGATAAATTTATCACCGGAAAAATTTACAATAAGGTTAATACCGAAAATATCGAAAAATCAACATTTAAGGTTAATTTAAGAGTATGCACTTTTGTCACCTACTCGGATAAGATATTATATGGATAATTGGATAGAAAATACAATTATATAATCTTGTACCTGGTTTAATTAAGCTAATTGTCATCAGAAACTTGTAATTTTTATGAATTTCAGATTTTCTTTTCATTACTGCTTTTCTTAATAGGTCAAGTTCTTATTTACGTTATAAAGTATGATATTTACAAATATCAAGTTATCGTGTTTTTTGAGAAATTATGAGAAACAAACAAAAATGAAAAAGATAGGAATAGCAATGAATAGTGATGTGGGTATAGAAAATGTAAGAGATATGAATGCAAAGCAATCAGTATTTAGGACATTGACCATAGATTTCGAAAAAAAAATGCTGCATATTGAGCGAAAACTATGATTATATTATAAGGCTGTCATTTAAAGCATAATGAAACTATTCCCTTTTCATTTTAATCGAATAAGATAGTAAAGATTTTTGAATTAGCTAGAAACTGATGAGATGTTTTCACAAATCAGATTTTTAATCTCTATAATGCATAATTCACTCAATATCTCAATTTTGATATTGCGAGATATTTTTGCTATCGGTTTCGCAATTTTGACACAATAGCAAGAGGGTTCTATAAGCATTATTATCAACGTAGAATCTGAATATCATATCAGAAAATGTCGCAAATCTGACATTTACCCGACCAAATAGCAAAAATAATTGAATACTTTTCGCAAAAACTTTAAAAATCGATAAAAATATGAAATATAGATATTAAAGAGACTTTTTATATAATATTCATAAAGATTTTCCAAAAATATGATACCGCAAAATTAAAAAAGTGACGTCTTGAGTGGAGTCAAAGGTCGAAATTGCTAGCTAAATGTTTTTTTAGCGAAATTGCGTATTGTACGTTTTTTTCGCAAAACGAAACCCTTACATTAAATATATATAAACAGATGCTAATTCATATTACAGTACTTTGAGCTAAATCCATTTTTATAACGGCGGTTTTCTCTCAATTTTTTGAATGGGATGGCCTTTCTGTAAGACTGATGTCTGAGCTCCTTTTCATTTCCCCAATCGAGAAGAAGAACGTCAAGAAACCATCATGGAGAGGCATTCCACGCGTTTCATTTACACGTCCAGCTGTTGCTGCTGAAGTTGATCCAATCCAGAAACCAGCATGCAACGCTAAGCCAGTCGAAACACGCCCATCCCTTAAGGTTGGCACAGTCGTCATCATTGTCGGCGGTGAAAACCAAGGCAAGCGCGCTGTTGTTGTTGCTGATCAGGGCGCTGGCATCGTTAAGGTTGCTGGCCCAGTTGTTCCAGTCAATGAAATCTCACAAGACTACCTTATCGCTACATCAACACAAATCGAAGTCCAGAAGGATGCTACTGAGGCTCAGGTTGAGGCTGCCGCCCAGAAGGTCCCAGAAATGGTTGAGTATCTTAAGGCTCCATTCACAATCAAGAAGGGAGATCGTATCCACCTCATGAAGTTCTAAATTACTCGACGCTCTGGCATAAATATAATTTGATATAATTTTTCAATTTTTAACTTTTAATCAAAACTTTTTATGAATATTTTTAAACCACAAACTTTAATAATTCTTCCGATTATTAATCTATTCATCTTATCATGAAACAAATAATCAGATATCTTTCATCCATTCTTTGAATTAAGCTGGGCTGCTATTTATCATACAAACATTTTATGTGGAATTCAGTATTAATAGAAATACTAACAAATTAAGTAATAAAAATATCATCCAAATCTCATCAGATTTTTGAGGATAGAGTCAGAAAAATTACACAACTCTAATATAAGAACTACTCATTTCAGTACTCTTATTCAATAATTCCATGAAATTCCGAATATTTTGAATTTCATCTCTTTAAAAAGAAAGGCTGGAGTAAAAATTCTAGTATATGCTAATAAAAACAATAGTATATTTATTTAACAATAACAATAATAAAAAACAAAATTCTATTCTTTCTTTGTTTCGATTTTTTGTCTTTTTTCCATGAAACTTCTCAATTTAATGGAAATAGCAAACCTATCGTTCTTTGGAAGCTTGTTGCAAATTTCAGTTAATTTACTATCTTTATCTCTAAAAATCAAAGCGTAAGCGTATAAAACTGCAAGAGAAAACTTATTCTGCTCAGTAAGTGAAATACATTTATTGACCATGTTGTCTGATATTTGGTTAAATTCAGCTGTTTTTACTTCACATTTCTTGACACAAGTGAAAATCATGGACAAATGGAACATTATTCTCTTGTATATTTCTTCGTTTTTAAGATCAGCAGCGTCCAGTTTGATTATCTCTGAAATCACTTCTGTTTTCGGTTCTTTTGAAAAATCAAACGAAATATCTAAAAATTTGTATCTGTTTTTGAATAGATCTAACAATTGATTTGATTTTTCTTCGCTATCAACAAACTTTGCCATTAATTCGATTCGTGCTTCATCAATATTTTGTAATTCGTAGTTTGTATTATCTGCATAGCTTTCTTTCATTGTAACGCTGATCATTTTTTCTAATGCTTGACGAATATGAAATTGTTGTTTAATTCCAAGGTTTCTTAAATCGTTTAGAGGGCCTTTAAGAGCACCAACACTCATTCTATGCAAAATATCATCGATTTTCTCCTTTTTTATGACTGAAAGATTAACTGTATCTACTTCCAAATAATCAATTTTTTTAACATCATCATCTACAGTTTTTTTAATGATAATATGTTTAGGTTTTCGCTTTGTTTTATAATGAGTCACATCATTAGTCGGTTGTATCGATGATATTGCATTAAAAAGCAAAGTTGAATTTTTCATATTATTAAAAAGTGACAAGCCAAAAAACAAAAAAGAAAGAGCTTTTTTTAAAAAATAACATTTAGATCTTATAAAAACTATTAGAAATCACAAACAAATATTGTCACAGTGAATAATTATCATAATTTAATGATATCTGAAATTACTCCTATTCCATGAAGGAAATTGAATGCTTGAATCAATTCTTCTGATCCCATCATCTTTATCTTAGCTGTATAAACAAAGCCTCTGTGTAATTTGTTTAAATCTTCCTTCGAAATGAATGGTTTTGTAAAACCTTTTTGATCAAGCTGGACACTCTCGATCGCTTTGAACTTTTCACAAACTGATTGATATTTCTTCATCCTTTCTTCAATAATTTGGACTATTTCTTGATTCCCAAATTTCTTGGCGTAATCAAGGTGATTTACAATCCTCATTTCGGTTGTATCTACAAAAGGAGACCATGGGTTGAATCCAATATCAAGTATTAATTTTGTCATTTCAACGTTATGATTTTTGATACAGCAAGAAAGAGGGGTATTCTGTAGTATCACGAAATCATGTTTCTTGGTAGCATCAACCTGGGCATGCGAGAATAGAAATGAAAAATACTCAATATTCGAGGTTTTGCCACAATAAGCAAATGGAGAATATTCCAATAGATCATAGTTCGGATCAGCCCCATTTTCCAATAGTTTTCCACATAAATTGAGATTTTGGTATTTGATTGCGTAAATTAGTGGATTTTTCTTGTAGATCTTATGATTATTTTGATTTAAAACATATGTTGGCTCATTAACATCAGTAATTGGTATTAATCTCTCTGCCAAATTAAATAATTTATGTTTTATAGCTAAACATAGCATTGGATATGTTTTTCCTTTTGTAATAAGGTAAAAACTTGGATTAGCTCCATGTTCAAGCAAAATCATCGCAGTTTGTTCATCCTTATTTGTTATTGCAAGAGATAGTGGATCATGATAGATATCTTCAATATTAAGCATAGCTCTTGGAGAAAGACCATTCAAAAGAAGCTTAGATATTAATTCTGGTCGGTTGTTTTTGACTTGGAAAATTAATTTATAAATATTTTCGAAATTTGATGTATCAGATGATAATTTAACCTCAAGTTTAACACAAAAGAAGTCTAGGAGTTGTGGAGATTCCATTTGAATTGCAAATTGCACTAATTTGAAGTTATCTTTTGTAAGAATTGAATTTAATGAGACTAACTTGGATATTGCGTGAATATTTGATCTAGTAAAAAGGTCATTTATGGACATTTTGAGTTTTGGAGAATCTTTTGTAGCCAATAAATCAAGATTTTCATTTTGATGCGAAATCAAAGAATATTGGACAATAGTTCCTGTATAATTTTTCTTCTTGCTAAGTATTTCTTTAAGAATATCCATTTTACCGCTAATTGATGCGTTCTTTGCTGTTTTAGAATTAATTGCCATTTCTTCTGAGAGGAAGTAATTAAATACATTAACTGCTCCGTATAATGCTGATAATTCGAAATTATTTTCTTTATTTTCGGATTTTGTATCATTTTTAAAATATTCAACGTCATCTGACATTAAATGCTCTTCTATTTCGCTTGGGACAGATTGTTTCCAACTGTCAAGCAATTCTGTAAAGATAGGAAATTCATTTTGTAAAATTTCTGTTAATTTGAGTAAAATATTATTGATTGTAGGTCGGTATTTCGTTGCAGCCGAAATTGTGTGAATAACGTACTTCTGCATTGATGTTTCTTTGAGAATTTGGATTAACTTTTGTTCATTTTCTTCCAAATTTTCTTGTGAGAGATCCCATACTAAATCTTCAACCAAACAAAACTGTTCTATGTTATTTTTGATCAAAGAATCTATATTAGCTATCATATCATATAACTTACTTTCAACTATATGAATTATATATCCTACTTTTTATTATTGTATGTTACTAGCACAATTCAATCATTGTACTATAGATACTTGGATTTGTAACAATTCGTTATTGAATTTTATATTTTTTATTTATCAGTAATTTACTAACAATTGTTAAAAGAAGGTTTACGAAAGCTTCACAGTCATCATATGAAAAAGATTGAAGATCATGAATTATAAGATAAGTTGGATTTTTCGCAATGTTTGTAACACAATTTCAAGAAATATATTTATTTAAATTTTATTTCCTTATTCTAACAAAATAAAACACAAATAAAAAAATTTAATTCAATTTCAATCCAACCTTGGCTCTCATTTCTTCAACAGACAGTGGCTTAGAGACACCAGAGAGAAGATCCTTTTCAGAGCCATTTCTTGCATCTGCACCAACGTCAAATACCTTAGATGCGTTTGGAATAAGAATACTTCTTTGAGAAGTAATTCTCTTGTCTCCACCAGATGAAAACTCTCGTGAGTCGACAGATATAGATGCAGTCTTAGAAAGAACCTCATCCATGAATTCTGCAAGCTTATTTTCTATCTGTGTTAAGCAAAACATAGCATTAAGAGGTGTTACATGCTTCTTTTCATCAGGAGAGTTATCCCATGGCAAGTCAAGCTCTTTATAAAGATCTTCAAGGCCATCATAAACACTTTTGATGCTTTTATCGTTTGAATCTTTAACATCACTGAGTTCTGCAATTTGTTTTTCCGTTTTTTCCATGTTCTCTGCCAATACTTTGAGCTTTGCATTTTGTTGTTCATCTGTTAATTCGACATTCGCGTCAAGTTCTCCGGATCTTTGGGTTAAAGCATCGATTTCGTCAATAATGCTGGATTTTTCAGCACCACGCTGAACAACAAAGTTAAACAATGAATAATTTTCAGTTTCTAAATCAGATAACTTATTAAATAATTCATCTAACTTTTGGCATTTGTTTTCTGTAATGATTTGGTTGACTAATGCAGATCTTGTATCTATTTCTTTCTGTAATTCTTCTTGTTGGTCTGTTTGATTAGTGCTTTGGCTTGAAAGTGAAGGAATTGGTTGTTGTTCGGTATGTGGATGCATTGCAAGAAGACTTTGACCTTCAATCATTTGATTTAAGCGATTTAATTCGGCTTCATCTTCTGCCTGGTCTTGTTTTTCTTCCTTTTGAAGAATAACTAAGTCGATTTTCTTTTGATCACGTATTGTGTAAGATTTATTAGATTGGTCAATCAAAGAAGCAATGTTGTCAGCATTGCGTGTTTGCTCCTTATCTAATATGCCGTAAACTTCATCGAAATTGCGTCTTTCTTGCAATAATTCGTCAATCTGTGTTCGTGATGCTTCTAATTTCTGAAGTTGTTTGTTATATGCATTAAGAGCTTGATCAAGTCTATTTTCGACTGTATGAACTTTAAATTGAATGTTTTCGTTTTCTTTAGCTTGTGCAAACATTCCACCTGCTTTCGATCGTGCTTTAGATACTTGTTCTTCCAATCTGCGTCTTTTATCATCTTCTGCTTTAAAATCAGCTTGTAAAATTCCTAATTTATTCGTTAAGTTTTTCTTTTTAGCTACAAGGTTTTGCCTTTCTTCACTTGACTTATAAGCTAGTATTGTCTTCTCATATCCTTCAATTTCCTCTTCATATTTTTGGATTTGCATTTTAATCGTATCATTCGCTTGTTTTTGCTTATCAATTGCTCTCTGTTGCTTTCTAACTGTATTAAGAATTTCATCTTGAGGGAATTTCATCATCCGCAATTTATTGCGGAGTTCTTTTACCTCCTGAGGATTTTCCATTAGAATTTGTACGTTTACTTGTCACTTTTCATATTCAATATTGATGTATTTCATATAAAATCTTTTATGTTAACATACATGGAAATATTTCCGAAATTTGAAAATTGAAAAGTGATGAATTTTAGAATTTAGCAAAGATTTTTGTGATCCATTGTCGTTATAAAATTCAATGGATCCAAACGAAATGTTCATAGTGACGATGCAGCTACACGTATTTGGCATCAATATTATTTACCCAGCCCTCCACCAGTTATTCAAGGTGAAAATCAGAATGTTACTGCAACAGCTGACCAATGCTTCGCTTACATCTGTAAATTTGTAAACCTTACTGATAGAGCAGTCAATTTTATAGAGGCTCACTGTTATTCCATTTTACTTTGCGATAACATATTTTATAAAGGCCCAGGCACAATTTATCTATCTGGTATTGGCGCAAAAATTGTTATTGATAAATTCTGTTCTTTTGAGAGCAAAACTTCAACAGACGGTCATTTTACTAATTTCCAATGCTACAACAGTACAATCCTCCAAGGAACAATATCTAATGGAGAAAATCGCGATGATGAATATAGGATGATTTACATAAGAGGAGGTGATTCATCTCTTTCAAACACAAATATTACTAACTGCGTTTCACAATTGGATGCAGCTTTTATATATGTTGATATGGAATCAACAACAAAAGTCAAATTTTGTAATTTTGAAAAATTAGAATCAACTTCTTACGGTATCACTCATTTTGAAGCTACTGATGGAATAGTTGATAGATGTAATTATATAAATAATTCACTTGATGACCACCCAGGAAATGGAATAATTTTAATTGAACGCAAAAGACTAGACGTTTTATACTCATGTTTCCAAGATAATCTAAAAAATATAAATAAGTCTTTCTCTAAGCGGCTTGAATTATTGAGTTTACCTACACCTGACATTCCTATAATTCCAATCCCTAGAACATCTTTATTTTCTACCTGGGATGGAGAAATTTATATATTTAATTGCAGTATTGACGATTATTCGGAAGATTCACGATATGGATTTATAGCTACCTCAGAAATGCCAATAAAACCATTTTCTAATGACTTAAAGTTCATTGGAACAATTATATGTGAAGGCTCGTTTCTATTTGCACAAAATAAAGACAAAAAAGACTCAATTTATAAAAATATTAAAACTTTATCATTCATTAACTTTTTTATTAAAACCTTTAAATAAAAATAACTCTTTAAGTTTGGATCAAGATTTTTCCATTTTGAATTCAAAATACCTGTTGATCATATTTCATCATTAAAAAACAATAAATCACTTTTAAAATAATATCATTTAATACAACAATAAAAATAAAAATAAAATCTATATCTATAAATAAAGAGTTAGAACCAAGGAATGGCTGTATCAGGCTGCAGGGATTCATCCTTTGCCCTTTCGATCAAATCCTTCAGCTGGTTGATCCAGTCCAAGCAGTCCTCAGATGTAACAGCGACTCCTGTTGGAGGAGAGATTGCGATCAGCTTCTCTTCAATTGTCAATCTCCTTGCGTAAATTGTCAGAGAAGGGTTTTCCATCCACTTGTTTTCGTCGTCGAAAACCAAGTGTTCGAAGAGGGCTCTAGAAAGTTCAAACTGGCACATCATTGAATAAGCAGCTGCAGTGAAATTGATCATGAAAACTCCTTCGAAATTAGGTCCCATGAATGTCATGATGTTTGGTGATAATCTGAATGGAGAACCGCATTCATTCTTGTAGAAACTCAATGGAGACAAAACAATTTTGTTCTCATGAATCATCAAGTTCTGTAAATCAGTGTAAGGAAGAGAAAAGATCGTGGAAACTAAGCAACTTCCTGAGAAGCTTGCTGCACTATCCCTCTTGGCTAACAGATAGTCGTGTTTGTTGAATTTCCTCTGATAATACCTTTGCAAAATTGTTGAATCAATGTCACTTTTATTTGTCAAATTTTGCAAAATATCTTTTTGACTTGCCATCAACAGAGAGGACAAAGAATTGACATCTCCTGCGCACAAACTAACTTGTGCTTGTCCTAAAGATATAATCTGAGGAACAGGCAACTTAATCATCCTCTTGTGAGTCGCGTAACAATGATTGAAAATTGAATCAATCACTGTCAAAACCGTCGAACTTACAGCGAATTTTATTCCTGGTTCCGACCAAACCAACAAATTTCCTTTTTCAGATGATTCCGTTATGCAGCCAATTGTAATTAAATTGTCGCTTAACGGTGTTACATCATTAAGTTTCAAGCAGAAGATTGTTTGTTGGAAAGGAGAGTTGTTTGGCAACGGGAATATCGTGTTCAAATTCGAAACAATTTCGTTGATATTTGTATTCGTTGTTTCTGAAGAATTCGGTTTTCCTGTGACACTTTCGATGATTTCATCGATTTCCTTTTGGTTTTTGAGCTTTTCTTTGCAGATCATATCCAAATCTAGTGTTTCTTTATCAGTCACAAGTATTTCATCATATAATTTCCTTAATTCCGAATCATCTTTCTTCATTTCACTTTTGACTTTTCTATAAAATTTCTTTTCCATCAAGAACTGCAAAAACTTCTGTAAATAATGTTGTCTCAATGCCATTATTATATCATTTTCTGTTAAATCGTTTATGTTCTTTATAATGGCATTCAACAGATGTGTCTCCGAAATCCTCAAGTAAATATTAGAAATGATTTTCGCAACTTCAGAATTTTCAGAAGAAACAGCAGCGATGTAAGAAATCTGTGGATATTTCGAAATCATTGGCTGGAAAGCTTTGATGAACCATGGGAATTCAGCCAAACAGAACAATCCTTGTAAGAAACTAAGCCAGTTTTCAGCATTTTTAAGCTGTGAAATCTTAGAACATAAATCAGAAACGTCCAAATTCAATTTCTTATCGTAAACGGCAATTTTGAGAAGAGTTATCAATCTTGCGACTGATTCTGTTCTTATGAAATTGGTTGATTCCATTTCGAGTATTCTCAGGTAAGCTCCCGATGTTATCTTGAAGACAGTCTCATTTGGTTGCAGACAGAAAATTTGGAATGTCAAAGGAGCGAAACGGGATAATTCGTTCATTTGCAAACCTCTTTTTTCTATTCTCATGGTTATTTCATTGACGTGTTGAGTAATTTGGGAATGACTTACAGCAATCAATCCTCTGTTCGTGTATCCGCAGATGCTCTTGAACAAAGAGTTCATTGTTGAAGAAACAACTAAAATTGGCTCTTCGTTTTCTTCAATCTGAGGGAATTGGCTCAAATTTGTTTCATTTGTTTGTCTTTCCAATCTGATCAATGATGAAAACATGACAGGATTAATTGCCCTGACAAAGCCTTCATCGAATAGATTGATTGATTTGTAGGAATCAATGACAGATGCTAAAATTAATGTTGATGATTCCAAACAAATCAATCTTTCTAATTCTGGCGAAGAAATGACTTTCTTCTGTTTAAATATGTTTGCAATCGAATGTTGAACTATTGCAATGTCTTTCCTTTGCTTCTTTATTGTGTTCGGATTGAAATTCTCAAAAAGATTTTGTATTTCTTCTGAAATTTTGTCAGGAGATTCCTTAAGTGAAGTCATCGGTTTAATAACGGTTTTTATCGGCAATATTTGGTCGAATGAAGAATTGAAGTGGTCATTGACAATTCTCATGTTGAAATCTTGCAGTTTCTCAGGGAAATCTTGGTACAAAACTGAAGCGGCTTTGTATTGGTTCAAAAGTGACATGGCGGTTGCGGCGGTTTGTTCAGGTGACATGAGGTAAAGATTTCTAGCGAATTCGTAATCAGCCAAGTTATCGAAATGGATTGTTCTTATGTCAAAACCTTCATTTCCGCAAATTTGTTGGTAAATTTCAACAGAATTTGTTGTTTCCAAACAATGGATCAAAATGTTTTGTTCCAAATTCATGTTGCAATTACTTAATGCGTACATGATTGCTTTGGTTATTATCTTCATGGATCCATGTCGCATTGCATTAACCAAGAAATCAACAACCAAAGAAACATTTCCTTTTTCAAGTGTTTTTGTGAAAATGAACTGAAGAGTTTCGTCTAAAATCGATTTCAATGAATCAGGGAACATCTGCAAATGCCACCAGATCTTGCTCTCATGGGACATAATAATAGTAACAATGATAGAAATCCTTTGATCTCCCCATATATTTATTGGACAATTTTGAATTAAATATGTCACTTTTTCATCAATTTCTGATGGCAATAATTTGTCAAATTTTGAAATTGCTTTCAATCTCAAATGAGCTGTTGTATTCTGAATTGTCATCAACAGAATTGTTAACAGCAAAGGAGTCAAAAATAGACCAAATTTATCATTCAATTCTATCAAGTAATCAATGATATCCAAAATCCTTTCCGCGTCAGAAAAATGTTCAAATTTTGATTTGACCAAACTCATACATAGATATTTTTTGATTTCTATGTTGATTTCGGATGATTTCATCAAGTGAGGAAGATTGATAATGATTGCTTCAAACGCATCATGGTTAATCATTGCTTTTTCTATCAATTTGTTCGAATATTCTCTTTGTCTTTCTGGAACAACGATAGAAAGTGAAGTGACCAAAATATTAAATAATTTTGGATATTTGAGGTCTGTATTTTCCTTTAATAAATATAATTTATCCATTATTTGCATCAATAATTCAGCTTTGTCCAAATTTTGACAGAACTTTAAGAAATAATTCAAAAGAACGATAAATCGGTCAATTTTTGCAATATTTAACGACTTCATCATTTCGATCAAATTCGGGTAAAAAATGTAAGAAAATCTCTGGTTATATTCATCCATTCCGAACAAAGAAGACATCATGAAATCGATCAATTCCGTTTCATTGAAGTAATTCGCAACATCGAAGACATAAATCAACAAATTATCATAATACTCCAAAATTGTTTCGAAAAATATTAAATCAGGATTTGCCAAACTTGAGATCAATATGTAGAAAATTGATCTCGAGAATGATCTCTGTAAGAGAGAAGACAAAACTTGGTTAGGAATCCTTATCTTGTGTTTGATAATCATTTGCGAAAGAGAATAACAAAAATGTTCTGTATCTTTGAGATTTTCAAATAAATTCAACATTATTCTGTAAATCTCTGTCAAACTCGTGTAAATGTAGTATTCCTTGTTTGTTTCGTAAGTAACATTCAATAAATCAATGAAAGAAACAACTAAATAAATGGAATCATTGTCGAAATCATTGATTTTCTGGAGTTGTTCAGTAATTAACAAAATAAAATTAAATGGTAATAAATTCATCATTTTCGGACATTGGTTAAAGAAATAAACCATCGTTCTAATATCATTGATATTCCCAAGTTTCTCCATAACCATGTTTAAAACAAAAGGTGATAAATAATCGTCAAATTCAGAAATTTTTGTTTCTATATAAGACAAAATTTCGAAAGCGTATTTTCCTGTTGGAGGAGAGAATAATCTTTGATCGGCAAACATGACTTTTGATACTGATTTAAGTAAATCAATTTCAATGGTGTCACTTTTTACAAGTTCTTTGACCAATTTAAGTGTCAAAACCAAAATAACCGTCAAAGGAGTTTTAATATTTGCCAAAATCACACTTGACAACATCCATCTTCTGTCTTCATCTATTTCGAAGTGTTTGATCATGTATAATATAGAATCAAGGAAAATTCCATTGTCTACTGATTCCTTTTCCATCAATGAATCAAAGATGTTGTTAACTTCTTCTGTAGAAAAGTGACAATATTTGAGACAATTCTTAAAAATGAAAAGATTTTTGTCAGTTATTCCTTGGTCCATGCAAAAATGTGTTCCTATTTTATGTGATATACGTTCAGGAGTGTTGATTAAAAATGTCTCAACGTATTTCCCAAAAATAAACGAATTTCTTATAAACGTGACACCAAAAATTTTGACAAAATCGATTACATCATTAAAATTCTTTTCATTGTCTATATCCTGGTTTGCCAAAATCTTCAAGTGCATGGCAGCAATTGCTGTGGCTTTCTCTTCATCACCTGCATTGATATCGTCTTTTTTCATTGAAACATGTTCGAAAATTTTTCTGACGGTTTGTATCAAAATATCATCGTAACAAGAAACAGGTTGTTTCAATAGATCGTGGAGCACTGTTATGTATTTGGCTGCGAAATTGACGTTGCCACCAATATCAGCGCAGAAGTACTTAATGTACTTTTTAGAGGGATCAGAAGTCAAAAGTTGACTTAAAAGGTGTATACAAGAGAGATCTTCTGAGAAATAGGAATCTCTGAAGATTTGTATAGCTTGGTCTGCATAAAGAGAAAGGAATTTCTTAACGTGGTCGAGGATTAACAGTTTAAATGGAATTTCTCCGTGATTTAACAATGTTACTGTTGCTCTAATGAAAGAAAGGATGTTTTCTACACCACTGTCTTTGTCTAGTAACACTGCGCGAAGATCATTTCGTTCAGAAAACTTCTTTATGCATAAAAATTTGAGAATTCCATCTAAATTTGCTAAAAGTGTCATTACTCTTGAATCGGGAAGTCTGGAGATCTTGCAATAGACTTGAAGGAATCTGAGGAAGACACGGGAAGTGACGTTATGGAACATAAATCTGGAAATTCTCATATACAAGATCATTCTTTCTGGTTGTGTGGTATAGAACTGGATTACGGATTCTCTGGTCGCTGAATACTCTGCTACTTGCTTTGCGAAGGTCGAACTTGACAAATCTCGAGTGGCCAATAAATATAATGTTTGTTTCGCGGTGAGAGTGACCATCTTCCATCTGGTTGTCAATGACTTCAGCAGGAATGAGCAAAGGAGCTTCGAAAGAGGGCTATCGTCTACGAAATTCTTGTGAATATCAGGTTGAGCGAGTAATGCGTACAACAAGTAGCCTCTTGCAGCGAGATATTCCAATGCCAAGGACTGGTCCTCTCTGTACGAGAAGAGTGCTTGGATAGTTCTTTGTAATGTTGGAGTATATTGTGGTTTTCCAGTAATTCCGCATATCATTGCACATGATAATTGTTGCAATGCATAAATTAATTCGCCTTTCGTCTCTATCTCGTCATACGAATTTAATTGTATGGGCGTGCAGATTTTTTTCAAACCGTTAATTATCGCGAATCTCGATGGACACGAATTTCTTCCTAAGTAGTCGAAGACATCCTGAACGAATCGGACTTTGGCTTTCTGGGGGAATTCCTTGGAGAAGTTCTCAAGAGTCTTCTCTATGATGTTTGAGCGCTCTGCATCAAGGGAACTCGCTTTTTCATTCACTTTAATTACAATCATCGCTTGAGGGATAGTGAATGCGGATGGTATGATACTGGCAATGACACTTAGACCAATCAGCAATGCTGCATTCATCTCAGGTGGCTTGAAATAGATTAACATATCTGAGATAATTTTCGTAATATCCGAAACTTCGACGTGTTCTTTGATTTCGGAGATGAAATAGCGGGCAGATTTGATGATCTCTTTACCGACAAATGAGGATGAGGCGGTTCCCGCTTGGAAAAGACAAAATAAGAAATCAGAATTTTTCGATTCATAGTAAATACTAATGAATTTATCTACGAACTTCTGGATTTCTTGCGAGAGGAAGCTGTACAACTTCTTGAAACTCGTAAGGAAGAATAAATGGAGGATTAAAGAGAAAATTACCTTATTATCGAGTTTTCCTTCTCTCTGGATGATCTGAATGGAGTATTCTATTAGAATAGCGATCAAACTGTAGATATCATAGGCTGTTTCCTCATTTGGAGGACGATTTATGAAAATATCTGCGAGCATCAGCGGAATATTGAAGTTTATACCATCTACGATCCATACAGGATGCTCAATGAGTGGTTCTGGCTGGATAATAAACGATGCAAGTGCAGGAATCGCTCTAGTTAAGTTTAATCTCGTTTCTTCTGTCAATAAATGGGATTTTTGGATCATCTGGTGGAATAGATACGAAATCTGTGGTCTGGATCCGAAAGATCTAAGCTCTGGATCGCTGGAAGTGATTTTTATTATTAATTTGGCCGCTTCTTCGACGTGTTCTGGTTTTTCGGATCTCAAGGCTGTATCTATTAACGGAAACAGTTGGGAAATGCCAGCTGGAGACTTTTCTCCGGAAATAAGGTTATAAGCATGGAAAATGAGCTCGCATTGTGCGTCAGGTAGTACATCGTTCAAATAGGATGATTTGAAGCCATATTGGAGCTGTTCGTCCTCAATTATGTTGATTAAATTTTGGATATACTTAATACACTTTGTTACGCATTGATGGTTAGCTGCTTTCTTGATATTAATATATAAACAAGTGAGAATGAACTTTTTGTGGGCTGAAAGCATCAAATTGGAGCAATTTGATTTATTATACGAAATTGAACGGACCAAAAAGAGAATGTACGTTCCCCACTTGCTTATCTCGTCTTCAAACCTCGAAGCAATAAGGTTTCGTTTGCTGCAAGCCGTGTCAAACAGCCATTTAAATGAATATGAGAACAAAGTGGTAAAAAGTGGCCTTATTTGGTTTGCTTCGGATACATCCATGGCTTTGATCATCTTCAGAGCATCTTTAGTCAGTGAATTCTCACTGGCGTGTTCAAAGAAAATATTTCCGAAATTACTCGTAATTGTAGCGATGATTTGTGGAGATGCTGAATTCAGGATACGTGTTATATCCGAAATCGACTGGAAAACCGTGTTCGTGGCTGAAATAAACAAATCATTTTTCTTCCAAAGCGTCAGAACGAACTTTGCGTGTAAAACATTCAATATACTGGATATCCATGATGCAAAGAAGCTGGAAATATATGTGGTTGAAAATGTTTTGTACTCATTATTCGAATTAATGTAATGAATAATGAGAGGAAGTAGAGATTGTACGAAGAAAGATGCATTCCTGAATTTTCCAAGTAGTTTTATGAAGTTGTCGAGTTGTTTTCGATAGAATTTCTCTGCATCTTCTTCATTATTGAAAACTTTGAGCGTAACCTTAGTAAATATATCGGAATCGATTGAGTCAGGAGCTTCTTCCCAGTAATCTGCTGAAAATGGGAACTTTTGAGTTACGAAATCTGATTTTTTGCTTTCTTTAACAGTAGAACCGACCATTCTTCTAAATTTGCCACCAATGGCACCAATGAAGTTCTGGCTGTAGTTGAATAAGGTCAAAATCAAAGGCGGATTGTTGGTATTTATAATAATTTTTGAGAAATCATCGATTTTCAAGAATTTGTCGGTAGTATTGTGTATCATATGCAAGCAGTATGTCGAAATGAGGTTCTGTGCTGTGATATTGTTGTTCAAATTGAAGAATTTGACAAATAAATGCGGACTCTGGTTAAATTTGCATTCTACGTATTTCCAGTTTGTCATGACCTCTAATGATGTCGTAAATATGTTGACTAATGCCGATAAAATCTTGATATCAGTAGATTGAAAGAAATTCTGGTAAATTGAGAGGAATGGTTCGAAAAAGTATAGTAATAAGTCATTGTATGTCTGAGATGAAGCACTTATGACCTTCTCAAACGACTCTACAGCGGCAGATTGAAGTTCATTGTCTTTTGTTGATGATAAGTACTCAAAAGTGATAGTGTAAAGTGCAGACATGAATCTTACGAACGATGAAGTGATTTGATTCTTGTTAATTGCTTTAACAGCTTCGAATAACTTAAATACGACTTCTTTTACTGAGTTATCGGATATTAATGATTGAATAAGCTTAGTAACGCCATTTAATGATGTAAAATCGGTCTTTGAATAGTATGATTTGATGGTTTGGGGAAATGGGTTCTTTATCAATGAATTCATGTATCCTATGACTATAGGCTTGACATCTGTTGAGTTTTGCGTTTGTTTCAGACCGTTTAATATCATTCCTGCAACTGAAACAGGTGTCTTTTCGTTAAGCAAAGACTTTAGGTAATTAAAATCAGGGCGAAGTACTATGATAAGGGCAATGTATGATAATATGATTGGATTTGGCTCCCCTGATTTAAGTGAGTTAAGATTTTCTTGTATTAATTTGACAATCTCTTCAAGGAAACGCCTTTTACTTTCTTCATTAGTAGAGACTGACTGCTCATGAAGCTCCTTGATATGAGCATTACTTTCACTTATTCTACTATTAGGTTTAAAAAGAGTTTCAACATGCATCGAGATTTTTTTTCTGAGAAGTACGAAATTTCCGATATCTACGCCCTTTTTCGATTTTATCCCAATAAATATCTATTTCTCATGGAGAGTTCAATTTATATGAATTGATCTCTGTTTTATTACAGATCATGATTTGAAATTTAATTTGCGCTAGCCTATCCGTATGGCTAATACCATTGTAATTGTATCAGAATTATAACTACATTGTCATAAAGTTTTTCAGATCAAAGTGTTTTATCACATATGATAACATATCTTTCTTGATTTCATGACTTATTAAGAAAGAATTTGTAAATCACATATAAAATATGACCTATATTATCAATATGAAGTATCATTATTTGTAAAATATCATCAAAATTATTTATATATGTAAATCAAAAAGATGAATGTATCAAGAGCTTAATCTACTGAATTAAATACTAAATTCCATTGATTTCATAGGTGTTATAAGAATATTAAATTTCGTAAAAATATTCATTGATTTTATACATCATCAAATAGGAAACTTGCTGTATTATTTCTATATGATGGTTTCATATGCAAATTACTATAGTCAATAGCAAATTTCGCACAGGAAATTCAATATTACCAATGTATGAACCTCCGAAATTGGTAATAGGGCGCGCAAATCCGAAACCAGGGCGTCACATTGTTATTCCTACCAATTCAATGAATGATGATGAGTATGAATATGTCTATGATTACGATGAAGAGGAGGATTACGAAGAAGAAGAATATTCAGATGATCAATTTCCAGGAGAAGTAGTAAATAACTTTGATGAATCTAACAGTGAACCTATTAATAATGCTGCTACATCTCCTCGTTTTCAAATAAGTCCATCAGGAAAACTTCTTGATATTGTAATCAAACCAAACAAAGCATTGGTTCCAAACAAGACAGCAAACATCATAAAAGAAGGTTCTAACATTATTATTAAGAGTATTAACAATGTTGAAGAAAAAGAATTAAATAATAAGCCAAAATTACCAGAAGGAGTCAGCATTGTTCTCTCCAAACGTGGAAAATTAAGTGAGCAACTCGAATTACAAGAATACGAGAAGAAAAGAGAAGAATATGAAGAACAAAAAAGAATTATGGAGGAAAAACTTAACAATCAAGATCCAAATAGACCGAAACCATCCGAAGTATTACCTTCTGTTGAACAAATTGACTTCAATAACACTTTAACTCTTAATGATGATGATTATTTGTTTTTATGCTCCTTAAAATCGACAACAAACACAATCGAAGCTGACAAAAGTAAGCAAAACTTATCATCACTCAAGACAAACCTCAATATCTCTCGTGCAACTAAAAAAGCTGATATAAAAATCGAATTACCAGCAGGAGACAAGAAAGCTCAGCTCACTTATCAACAACGTGCGAATATACCTATATTTACAAACAGAAAACTCACAACTTCTGAGTTGAAAAAACATATTCGCGTAGAAAAGAACGGTGTTGATCTTTTACAGGATGAAATCGATGTTTTCGACAATATTGATGCCGAAGAAGAGGAAGAGGAGGAAGAAGAAGTAAAAATCGATCCAAAAAAGCCGAAAATTATTTTACCTTCAGTTCAGCTTCCAAAGAAAGGCGGCGAAGACATTATGCACGAGGTAAATTTAATTGGCCTCGATGGCAAAGCCAGAAATGTGAAATACATCATGCTTCCAAATCTTAATGAAACAAAACAGCCAGAGATCAACGTTTTGCCAAGAAACGAAATGCAGATCGAACCATTAGTACTCAGACATACATTCTATACCGTCAGTGATCTCAGAAAGATCAAGGAAGACATGTTGAAGAATAATTTGCTCGCAACTCCTGTTAAGAGGACATCCGGTCTCGAAACATTATACAGACTTCAAGTAGAAATGAAGAACCCTGCAGCCATGAAGGATTACGGATTTTTCAGACGCGGTACATTAGAAATCTCCTATCAATCGCTAGAACCATTACAGCCAGTGATCAGAACAGCAGTTACAGTTGCAAAGAATACTCCTGCAGTTCAAGATTTCCTCAAGAACAATCAGAATCAGAACCAACAACAACCGGCAGGTCCGAAATTGGCCCAACTCCAAACCGTTGTTCAGTTGGCCGACCCACTAGAGCTTATCAAGACCAGAAAGGAGCAAGACAAGTTCATTCCAACAGTTTTCGCAAAAGCAGTCGGTTTATGGGATGATAAATCAGAAGACGCGTTCAAGGCATTGACAAAGAAGACATTTAACAGATTGACAATCCGAAATGTCAAAGAAACTCTCGAATCTTATTCACCGGAATTAAATACAGCGGAAAGAATCGATTTCGCTGTTTCAACCTTCGTAAAGAAAGCGAAAGCAGAGCCATCATTCGCTCCTACATACGCACAATTCGCTGCACAATGTTCTGTACAAGAATTTCGTTTACGTGTTGTACAGGACACAATTAACTCATTCTTTGAGTTGTTGGCCAACCCTGGAAAGGCAGAAAACGAAATAGATGTTCAAGATGCCGTTGGAGCTTCATGTTTCTTCGCATCTCTGATTGCTGAAGAAGCTACACAAGAAGTTAATGGCCAAACAGCTATTAACCAACTTCTTGAAGCAATAGAGAAGCCAAATCCGCATTCAACTCATATAGAAATGCTCAATAAATTCATTCCTTACTCAGGATACGAATTCGTAAAGAAAATCGATGGTTCGTACTGGAATCGTATGGAATTTCTCTTAAAACGTAACGATATCAAGCAAAGATACAAGTTCTTGATAACAGAGATATTCGAGGCCAAGAACAAGTTAATGCAGGGCCACGAGATTGTAGAAACACTGGCGTACGGAAAGATGACGGAGAACATGATCCAAACTGTAAGAGATTTGTTCAAGGAATTCAAGGAGAAGAAAGAGTTGCCTGAAAACCAGCTGATGCCTAATGATTTCTTCCAGGCCGCACTCGAAATCATCCCAGAATTTCACCATACAGAGCAACATAACTATTACTGTTTCGTTGCGGACATGTGTAAGTATAATGGTATTTACGCTGATGACTGTGTTGATATTATTGCTAACTCTTGCGTCGCGTTCGAAGAAAAAGGACTTCCAAAGACATATACTCAAATTTGGGCAGCGATTTCGGATATTTCTATCGTTCTATTTTTGAAAGGAGTCATAGAATTGCGTGATTGTCAGGAAATCCATAGAATTTTCAATCCAGGAACATGGAATTACAAGAACGACATCAAATGGTATCTCTTCGATCACCACAACTTCGTGAGATCTCTTCCTGCTCCTGGTCTTGATGATGTTGAAATCAAAACAGCTCTTTCTATGCCAGATTTAATCAGAATGAGAGATATCCATATCCCTGTCATGTCTAGATTAGTAGCAATATCTATTTGCAGAGCATTATGTGCAGCTATTGATTCAGAAGCTATCATGGCTGTTGACAAAGTTCCAATCAAATGGTTGCAAGTTTTTGCTAAAGCTTACAGATACCAAACTAAGACAGTTAAAGATGAATTGGTTATTTTCATCAGACACTACTCAGAAATTCCATTCAGTGCTGGTGAACTTATCAGAGAATTTGCAATTATTAGAGTGTAATCTATTGTTTGTTTTTTTTTTTTCGTTGGTTAATAAACATTTTTTTGTAATAGTTTTAGTTCTTTATCTAAATTCAAATTATTTTTTCAAATAAATAGAAATGGAGGAACAGCACTTGATATTGCAAGAAAACATTATAGTGATAGATATACTAAAAATCAAAAATATAAATCAATATATTCCATATAAAACTACTATAGCAAAGAATAGTCGAAAAGAAACATCTTCTGATTTTGAATGAGATTATATTTTATTAAAATCAATGAAGGGGAAAATATTTCTATAGAATATGTATATAGAAGAGAAATAATCATTTTCAAGAGTGTACTCAAATCCTTATAAAATAAACTATCATATAATATTGGATTACTGGTATCAAACATTTCAAGAATAATAGTATCATATTCAATTTGTAAAAAATGAAATTAATAAAAGATCATTATTGTAAAAAGCTGCAATTCGCCCCGATATCGGCTGAAAAATGTTGTTCAAAGAACAAATATCATAATTAATAACTTAAAATGTATATTCACGCAGGATGATTCTTATGGAATGGCGCAACTTATCAAATATTATGATTGAATTTTTAATATAGCGAGCCGAATTGAAATTGCCATGACAATATCAAGTATGAATCCAAGAGATTCTTCTTATTCAACTGAAACTGATATCTGAAATACTTAATTCTATTGATTTGATAAAGTTCTTCAGTTTTATAAAAAAAACTTTTTTTTTATTGTGATGGATAATCCTGAAGAACAGGAATCAAGAACCATCACAATTGTAATACACACCAATTCTGATTCGGTTCCTGTTGCGCATTTTTATGAAACAGATGACTACATTCGCGTTCAGTTTGTCGAATTTACTCGACATTTTTGGTGTTTTCAGTTAGAGGGTATAATGCCCGATGATGACACATTTCAGATGTGTATATCACCTAGTGTTGGTCCTTCATCATTACTTGATCTCTACTTTACTCCAGAACAACCTTTCGTTTTTCATGATTTAACAAAGTCAGAATCATTAATTCCATTCGCGGAATTTAATGAATTTTTCACAAAATCCATATCTTCGCACTTCTTATCTTTCAATTGGAACAGCGAAGATCCAATTACTTCAATCAAAAACTTTATTCTCGCTTTTGACAATGATTACGTGATTTGGGCACTTACTTTTATCGCTACACAGCCATGGTGCGCTTTGTTTAATTATAATGAAGATTTTAGTCATTTATTATTGGAATTACTAACTCCATTTATCGAAAAAAACTTTTACATCGAAGATGTTCCTGCTACAGATCCATTTGATCCATTTGCTTTCTTCAATTTACCAACAGATATTTACCAAAAATCGAAAATTCCACTTCATCCAACGCAGAAATACGATTCGATCAGTAGATACATAGATGTATTAATGTATATGATCCAAGTACAGCTTGGCGACTTGTTTTCATACATTATTTCAACAATTATTGATTTCAGTCAAGATTTTCCATTTACGTCTTATATTCCTCCATTCTACTCAACAAGAAAAATGTATGTAGCAGAAATACAAGCCATAATTACGAATTTATACAACAGATTTTTAGATTTGAGCGATGACCAAAGAACGATAGTCATGACTAGGCTTTTCTATACAATCATTGCAATCTACAACGAACAAATGACGATAGAACTTAAGCCATATTTCGAATTTGTCGCTCCTGATTACACATTATTCGAAATGATCATCAAACTACGCATGTACGAGAGCTCCGATGTATGTGCTGAAGCATTAACTGCATTGGTGAAGCAGTTTCCGAAGCAATCAGAGGACCATGACGTTGTAAAAATCGCATCTTCAGATGCAATCGTTCCTGTTGAATGGTTGAAGCCTTTCTTTGAGATATTTAATGTTCCTAAAGATAACAGAAACACAATTGCTGAGCAATCATTCGCAAATAGCGTTCCAAAACATATTTCCGAAAAATTCTTCGAAGTTACAGAATTCGGTGCCTTAATTATGGGCGAAAACAAACATGAGAATGTCGTATTACAGCCTGGAAGTATTGTCCAGCCAACAGCGGAACTTAAAATTAATTCCATGCTTATGAACTGCGCAATAGCCTTAGATAACAGCGTTTTGACCGAAAGCGCATATGTTCCAAGCTATGCCATCGTTGCTCCTGCATCAGAAAGGTTCATAAGTAGCTCTGCCAATATTGATAGTCCAATTCGTATCGGCAGAGGCATTACGATACATGACAATGCTGTTATATGCTCCAATGTCACCTTAAGTGATGGCTGTTCCATTCAAGAAGGCGCAGTTATCGGAAATGGATCCGTAATCGGCCAAGGAAGTGTTGTAAAGAAAGGTGAAGTGGTCACTCCTTTATTTACTGTTCCCCCTGGATTTAATTATTCAGAAGATATAATCGAAGACTGTCACAAACTTCCGATGGTGATATCTATCCGAGGAACATGCTTCGCCAAGCAACATTCGTGTGCAGGAATTGATGAGGTTCTTGCAGACTGTGGTGCTGACATGTATTCAGTTGTCAGAGGCTACATGAAACTTATGTCAGATTATCCAGTAGAATTTGGCCGCCAAATTTCAAAGTTACCCCCTGTAGTTACTCATGATGAGATTGTTGACGTATTCGGCGGAAGAACTCTGTCTCTGGCTCTTTCTTACTGGGATTCTGGTTCTGAAGGCGAATGGACGAATTTAATTAAGAATGCAGCCACAATTGCAGCTGATGAGTTCGAGGTGGCATTCGAAGACTTTGAATTACCGAATACTGGACCTTTCTTACTCAAAATCAGTGAAAGAATTAAAGAATTTATTGAAAAGGGAATTGATCAGAAGATAGTGATGGAATTGAAGAAGACTATATTCGACACATGCGATGAACTCATGGTTAGACTTAGTTTAGTGACTGATTCAAAAGATTTCAAGATTAATGAATATTTAGAGAAAATTGTTATGTTAACAAAAAAGTAATATAAAGCTTTTATAAATATTATTTGATTGCTCTAATTTTTTAAGAGAAACACCCCAGATTGAATATGAAAATTTGCTGAGCATTAGAAAATATGGAGTGTATGAGCATATATTGTTTAGGATTGTATCATGTTTAATTGGTAGAGTGAGTATTTATTAGTTATACGCTCATAAACTGCTAGATTTATTCGTGGAAATCAAAATTTTGAAAATAAAAAAGTTATCGATGTGAAGTGAATTACAAAGAATTTGAAAATGAGTGTATAACTATAGAGTGCACAATTTAATGATTGGATATTTTGGTGGTTTTATTTTACAAAAAGAATTCTGTGTAAAATGAAGAAAGGAAGTTCGCCAACAAAATCTCCTGGCAAGCGCTCACAAATTCCTGTACGCAGGAAAAAGGAGGAAGTTCCTAAATCTGAAATATCTGAATTCAAGGTGATGACATTTGCTGTTTCAACACTTTTCAATGCAGGCTTTGAAGAAGTCACGATTACACCTTCGAAGAGCTTTACTGAAATCGATCCAAAAGAATATAACACTGTTTTTGCTCAAAAAGTCAAAGAATGCCAAAAAATTTGTGATTTTAGTATCGGAGTTAAAGATGTTGTCGCTAAAAAGACTAAATCAGATCTTCTCAAAGATATCATGACCGCATTCGATTCACCTGAAATCATGCATCTTCTTACTCCTTCTTCTTACGAAAAATATTTCAAAATGGTAACTAAAAATATTTGCCGTCCAATGCCGCAGATCAAAATAGTATCTCCATTAGATGTTGACGATCAAGTCCAGGATACTGCATGGCCTCATTTATTTTTAGTTTATAAAACATTGAATACTTTAATGGAATCTAATAATGTTCCAACATGCAACAACAAGAATTTAGTACAAGCATTAGTTTCTAATTGCTGCGGACCCGATGATCGTGAGAGATTTGCTTGTAAAGATATTTTAAGGAAAATGTACTCAAAATGTCCTAATTTACAACAATTGATATTACGTGCTGTTGTATCCCAATTCCAAACTAAGCAATGCTCAGCTGATTTATTAGAGTTTTTCGGCAAAGTTGTTGCTGGATACCAAGCACCGCTTACCGCTGAACAGATATCGACTTACAAGAACGCTGTACTATTCCTCCATAGCTCTCCCAACTTCCTGAAGTTCTGTCTTAATTTATTACAAGTTATAAATCAACATATTAAGTTAGACCCTTCACTTTATGAACCAACGATCGAATATATAATATCTCATTGGCCTTCATTAAGTATTCGCAAGCAGATTCTCATGCTGAGCGAAGTTGAAGGATTATTCCTCGGATTTCCAAAATTATTAAATGAAAGATCATCTAAACTCGTTTTTACACTGTTATCTGAATTGATAACACAACCGAACATTGATTTGTCCGAGACATCTTGCAATGTAATTATTGGACCTGCTCTTGAAGAAGCATTACTTGCATTCACCCCTCTCGCTCATAAGATCCTTGATGAGCAACTTCTCAGCGTCGCCAGAAACCATTGGAATGATTTTGTCAGAGATGACTCAAAACTTGCACTTCAAATGATGTCTGACATCGACAATGACTTGCTAGAAGAGACTCTCAATAATTCAAAGGATACAAAGAAGAGGAAGAAAGCAAATAATCTTATTTGGAAGACTAATTGGGCAAAAGTCTTCGAAACAGCAAAGAGTAGAGATAACAACATCCAAGGACCTAATCTCGAACTGTTCCTTTAACATTAATTCGCTAATAATAATTTATTTTTTTGTTTCTATTCTATTCATGATAAATTAAAGCATATTGTTTTTATATTGCTAAACTAACTTTTTCTCATCAAACATTTAAGATTTTAAAAATTCAAATTCAATTGTGCGTTATTATATATATATGAAGCAAAAATCTTTCCAGCTTAAGATCTCTGAGTATAATATTTAACATGTGTAAGTATTTCGGGTTGTATTTTGACAGATGATCTCTTTATAATTTTGAAATTATTAATAAAATCTTTAGGAAACTCAGTCCATTAGTGAGTATTAAGCAATTACACTTACATATATAATATTTCATTTTAATTGAAGGTTTGAAATCATTCCAAAGTTATGATATTTATTTTAAACTTAAATCATAGACAGTATTGGATGTAAGTGACATGAATAATACTTTAAATTTTAGCTTTCGTGGATGGATTAAATTTGTATTGCTTTAAATCGATATAATGATATTTTTATTTCCTCGGTGATTCTTTCTGACATTATCAAGCCGATGGCTGGTTCGCAGGGCAGAAAGGCCTTACATCATAGTTATCGATATGAATCAAAAGATGTAAGCTGCATTTCATCTTTGCAGACTTGAGTTGTTCGCAATCAAACCATTTATCGATAACTGTTCCAGGTTTAATGAGATTAATGTGGAACGTTAACTTGGCAAAGTCTTCATCAGTAGTCATATCGCGATCTGAAACAATAAGAGTGAGAATATCATTTTGGTTTTGAATTGGGAACTGAAATGTTTCATTCCAAACAGGATTCAGAGTATTTTCCTTCACACCTGTTTTATATCTCTTTGAACCAAATGTTAATGCAACATAAGCATCGCACGAACCAATAATATCCATCTTTGGAACGTTTTTGGCTTCGATGATCTTAATGTTTAGTTGCATTTAGTAATAAATATTTTGAATACATTACATAAAAACTATCATTTTTTATTCAAAAAATGACAAAATGTAAAAATTGTAAAAAAAAAAAGATATTATATGTTGAGTAAAATACCATCTGGCCTGGCGCCTCATATAATATTATTTTAATACTTGTAAAATACATGATATAAATTTGTTATTACCCTCAAGCGAAATGCCACTAAGTGAGTCATATCTTTTACACTGCATCATGCAAAGAACTCTGCTTCATAGCTGAAACATCCGAATTTGGTTTTGAGCGAAATCTTTTAATGGCAGATTCCTTATTTTCCCAATTGCGAAATCAGAATATTTTGCCTTTTAAAAAGATATTATAAAAAGCCAAAAAACCGGTGAATAAGCACGTTCAAAAAAACTAACAATTTATTCTATGAGTCATCTCAATTTATTTACAACTATCTTAATTTCATCATAAATATTGCTTGCCCTATGCAACTGCTAGATTTATTCATGTCATGTAAACGATACAATTGATAAGTAAATTTCGAAAAATTCGATTACATCCACTTAAAAAAAATGTTTCCGCTTCTACCAGCATATTTGTTAGCAATTACTATTGATGACCCAAAAGTTCGGGAATTATGCCCAAATGGCATGATCACTACAAAAAAAGAATATGCTCTTTCCTCTAGTACTCCATTTCTATGTCTTTATGGTAATTATGCCTTTGCTGCAAAAAGCGGACATAGATTTAAAGCAACTTATTTATATCATTCAAGTACAGGTAGTACTGGACAAGATTATATGTTAGACCCTTTTATGATTGTTGGTGATCAAAACTGGGTACCAGTCATTAGACTCACATACATTACTAATGTAGCATATGTCAATTGCATTAATTTGGCAAGTTCATCCTATACAAATAAAGCTATTCGTCGTTATGAAATTTTTACAACAATTGCTAAAATTAACAAGCGCTTCATTTATGAACATTGTCCAGATTATACAGACTATTACGCAATTACTGCTGCACATTCGCAGGATCCAAAGTTTACCCTATCTATTACAGATTATGTTACATATACATCAGAACCTACTAATGATCCGACCTTTCGAACAGATGGTTACTTCCATCAAGGTTTAATTCCATACTGCAGATATTTATGCGAATTACAAATCGATGAAGAACCAAATTCATGGCGTGAACCCTATTTTGAAGACAATCTATGGCTCTGTGTTCCTACGCAAAAGGGTGCATACAGTAAGCAACAAGTACAAGATTACACCAACCAACAACCTAATTATTTCTTAGATCCAGATTCACAACTTGACGAAACAAAAATTTTCACAAGCGGTTATGGTCCATGGTATTTAACTGAAGGACAAATAGAAGGGTGTAACAGTTTTAATACACTTGATTATTTCACAGGACCATACACTTCTGGAACAGTTCATACAATTAAAACAGGTGAGTCATTATGCATGTTTGGTGGTGTTGCAGTTGCATCAGATCAACCTATTAAAGCAGTCTACAAATACTTTAATTCTACAGATATCACTGTAGAAAGATATTCTGATAGATATAATGGTTTCGAATATGTAGGAGTTCATCAATTACAGTTCGAAGAAAACTAACATGAAATTGACGATCCATTCATGTTCACATTCAATCAGAGAATAATACACTCCGATGTAGATGTTACAGAACATCCTTTTGCTCTCCCAAATATACCTCTCATTAAAATTACAGCTAAAGATCCATCTCAAACTGTTAAAATTCAATTTGTAAAACTGACACCACCAGATACACCAGTTTTGAATGAAACCGAAACCGTTATTGTATCTCAAAGAAATGTCACATTATTCTCAACAATGACTTCTTCAAATGAACAATATCTTAATTATATTGTATACAATTTACCACAAACAAATGATTCGGCACCATCTAATAATTATTTCAGGAACTATACATGCAATCAAATTATTTCATTTTTACCAAATATGGTCTATCTCAAACCTAAATTCAGTACAAGTGCTTTCAATTGTACAGTAGATAGATTTGGAAATCTCAATTATGTATATTCAGTTCCACTTAGCCCATCATTTAAATATGATGGAATTATATCAGATATGTTAACCCTGACAAAAACTCTAATTCCTGGTCAAGAAGAAAAAGAATATTTGTTTGAAAAAGATAAGGCTTATGTTATTCCATCAGAAGTCGGAGTTTATACCAAAGAAAAACTTGAAAATTACACACAAGAAAATAAACCAAATGAAGTTCATTTTGATCCACCAAAGTTTAACATAGAAGAACCATGTTCACTTAGATTTGATCAATTCTATGAATATGATATAACAGATAAATACATGCGCCTTCCTTATGCAGCATCAAAGATATTCACTCTTGGTCCTAATGTATACAAATGTCTCTACGGAAACTACATCTTAGAATCCAAAGACGAATTCACTGCATTAATTACTACATATGCTCGTGATGAAACAAAAGGAATTATAGTAAAGAATGTCACAAAAGTTGATAATCCTTTCATGATTTCTGATAACGATTTAATCTTTTCTGAACAAAAATCAATCAAATTAATATGCAAGGATCAATCTAAGGAATGTAAGATACAAATTGTATCATTTAAGCCACCATCAAATATAACAAATACTGAAGAAGTTGTTACATCTGTTTTCACAACGAAATCTAATGCAGATTTCGGATTTGAAATTAAATATGGAGACGTAAACAGTTTCTACACATTTACAGTTCATAGTCCAGTTCCTGTTGAAGTTTCACGACTTGCTAGTAATGATGAAGCAGTTGCATTTATGACAAACAAAGATGGAAGTGCAACAAATAAAATCATTGGTAATGATGTTACATTATTCTACACTACACAAATTGTTTGTTCTCTTTGTGATAATCCATCAGGCAAAACAAGTTCTAAAGCATCAACCTACAATGTAAATCTTACTATTCGTGAAACAGCAACTAGTTCAGAAGATGTCGAAGCAGAAGATGATTTGTTTGAGAAAGATCAAACATATGCATTTCCATATGAAGGCGGTGTTTACAGCAAAGAAGAAATTGTTGAATATACTAAAAAGAATGGAATTAAAGCACGTGAAATAGAAGTAAAATCTAATAATGGATCCACTGTTGGAATCATTGTAGGAATTGTTATTGCAATAGTTATTATTGCTGCCATTGTTGTAATAGTAATAATCGTAATTAAGAGAAAGAAATCTAAGGAACAATCAAATATGTGCGAACTTGAAAATTGTTCCAGTAGCCATAAAGATACAAATAAAAATAAAAAGGATGAAGAGTTAAGTGAATCAAGCAAAAATAAAAAGGATGAAGAGTTAAGTGAATCAAGCAAAAATAAAAAGGATGAAGAGTTAAGTGAATCAAGCAAAAATAAAAAGGATGAAGAGTTAAGTGAATCAAGCAAAAATAAAAAAGATGAAGAGTTAAGTGAATCAAGTAAACATAAACACTCAAAGAAGCATAAAAAGAATAAGGATTTAAGTGATTACAGTAGGCACAAATATTCAAGTGATGAAGGGAGCAAAAGCTATTCAGTTTCAGAAAGAATTTATTCAGACTCCGAAAAAATCTACTCTGACTGAAGGTAATATTATAATATTGTTCAAGAAATAAAGTAAATTTTTATTACAAGCCATTTTTTAACTATATAGATGAGAGATGTTATTCGACCGATGGGTGGTGTGGGGGTCGCGTAACATTGAGGTTTTAACCGTTTTATTTCAATATTGAGAGATTTATCCCTTCATGAAAGGCAAGTTTGTTGAACTTATTTACAAAACGATGAAATTTGTCAAATTTAACTGAAAACTTATAAATGGCGATTATTGCTTATAAATTAAATAAATGTTTAAATAAGTTTACATTTATCCTTAACTTACAATAATAAACCAAAATTTCAATAAATTTCAGAAATTCTATTCAAAATCCAAACTTTATCATCTGAAATTTTAACAAATATATGTAGAAATAGAAAGCAACTCCAATTGTACCTAACCACATCTTCAAATTACAATTAAAAAGAAAGTAGATTTTGGAAATTTGTATTATCTATATTATAGGGATTTAAAAACGGTTTCGCCAAATGGCGAATTGCTGAAAATTCGCTAACTCAGCCTGATTTTTTCGAATTCGGCGAACTCAAAAAGTGACATAATTTATACTGAATCTCGCTATAATCATTGATAATTTTTGCATATGTCAAATAGTTACAGTATGTTTATAACTTTATTTTGTATAGTCATGATGCTCATGATAACCATTTTGAATTTAAGTGAATAATTTACAGATTCAAGGCGTCAATACTTGTTTTTGGAAACTTATCATATAACTTCAAATATCTTAATACAGTACCATGCAAATACTGTAATGACTTCTCGTGTTTTTTAGATAATCTCGGTAATATCTTTTATTTATCTCATTATATTGATAAGTTTCTTCACAATATCATAAAGGAAGAGATTCCAAATAATATTAATAATATTAAGTATTAGTGTGCGGAAAAGGCAACAATATATTTCATTCAAATTTTTCAAATTAAAACCATGCCATTTCTTAAAGCGCACATCAAAACTGTTTATGTTATGAGTAATAATTTATAACGAACTTAATCATAAAGTTATTATTTTTGAATTCAAAATTATTCTGATTAGTTAGTATGAGAATAAATTGTTATGATTTAATCAAAATAACAACAAGAAAAGCTAATTTTGCAATCAGCATAATGAAATGCAAAACCAAAAAAAATAATAATTTTTAATCGAGAACAAATATGAACTTTATTGTCATAATATATATATTCATCAAATATATTTTGCAAATTGATAAGAAAAATGGAAACATAATATTGGCCTTAACGTCTTCGCCAAATTGCGAATTCGCCATTTTGTAAAGTAAAATTGAGAGGAAAATGATAATCCCAAAATAAAAATAGTAGACCCTATCTTAAAATCATGAAGATTATCGCACAATAAAAATGTTAGACCCTTTATTAATAAAAAACGAGAATTCCACAAAATAAAAATAACGGACCCTTTTATATGGTTTGGAAATTGAAAAATGGCGAATTCGCCAAAAAATTAGAAGTGGCGCAATTCGCCATTTTGCGAACTTTTTTTTAAATCCCTATATATTATTAAATACTTGCTACCACAATCTTGTTGCTGAATGTAATTTCTTTCATCTGAATTTTATTTATATATTGAGTAAATCCTATTTGTACTGTATTACCTTATAATTCTACTTCAATAATATAGCGAAATAAGATAATATTGACTTCAAAAACGAGTCAAAATCATTACATGTTGTGATACAAATTGAAAACATATCGGTTTGAAAATTTGCAGGGTCAAATTCTAAAAAATCGATTTGATTCATAAACTGCTACAAATTATAGTTCCAGCCAGAAATGTGTCACTTTTAAAAAATTCGATCGTTCTATGAGACATCTCAATTTATTTTACAATTTCTTACATTTTGCAATTATCTAAAATTCTTTGTGATATGTTTAATAATAATGATTTCGAAAAATTGAAGAATGTCAAAAAAATTTAAAAAAAATGTTTTCTTTATTACTTAATCATTTGTTATCAACAGAAGTGAGCGATATATGTCCAGGTAAGAATGAATATACTGCTGAGTATAATAGTAATACCTATATATTAGATAGAGGTGAAACGGAATGTTTAAAAGGCAGCTTCGCTTTCGGTGTTGAACCTGGAAAACATTTTAAAGCTAGATATTTCTTCAAATCAAGCTCAGGATCCACTAACATTCAAGAAGCTACAGATCCTTTTATGATAGTGTCAGACCCACACTCAATTGCATTTATTGCCATATCACTGTTATCCGGGTATGGTTCTGTGACAATTCAATGTCAATGTTTGAATGGTTATGATGATTCAGAAGGAGCGACTCAGAGAGATGACATTGTTTTTCGCCCACATTAGGTATTTACAACCATGAGTACATTTCACAAGCGTTACATTTACGAACATAATTCAAGCTATACTGACTTTTTCCGCATTTATTTTTTGAATAAGAATGAGTTTAATATCACTATAAAACAGAATGGCGGAGAACAAATCTCAGGCGAAATGGGGGATAAACCGTATTATTATAGATGGGATTTTTATTCTACAAGACCATATGGCCGCTATTTATATGACATAGAATTAGTAGATTTGACCAATCCAGAAACCACAGTAGATGATGACTCATTTTACTTTGAAGAAAATTTATTGTTATTTATACCAGCAGTATCAGGAGCATACACTAAACAACAAGTACAAGATTACACCAACCAACAACCTAATTTTTTATTAGATCCAGATGCACCACTTGATGATGAAGTTTTTACAAATCCTGATGCACCATATTATTTAACTGAAGGACAAATAGAAGGATGTAACAATTATAATTCACTAGACTATACTACAAATTTAGATAATTCTGGAACAATTCGTACAATTAAACCAGGTAAATCATTATGTGTGTTTGGTGGTGTTGCAGTTGCATCAGATCATCCTATTAAAGCAGTCTACAAATACTTTAATGTAAGTAGTATAGATTCCTTATCAAATTGGGACAATGCTTATACAACCTATAGCCTTCAGTTCGAAGAAAACCAACATGAAATTGAAGATCCATTCATTTTCACTTTTTCTAGGAGTCCTTTGGAAAAACATTTTACTATACATAGTCTGCCACAAATTCCACTAATCAAATTCACAGCTATAAATTCAAAAGATACAGTTAAAATTCAATTAGTACAACATTTACCATTCTATTCATCAAATACTACTGAATACAGAAATGCACCTGTATACGATAAGAATATTACAGTATTCTCAACAATGACCGAAAATGAACAATATCCTAATTATGTGCTATATAATAGACCTCCATTAGATTCATACAGTTCATATTCGAGTAGTTATTTTTATAGTTATTCTAAAATTCAACTTACATCATTTGTACAAAATGATGTTCAGTTCAATGCAGAAATAGAATCAAATGGTACAAAAGCTTTCAAAATTTCAACAGAAAAACACGGAAATCTCAACTATCTATTCTCAGAAATAGATAACCAAGACTTTGAAGAAGAGCGTGGTGTAATAGCAGAAACTATTAATATTACTAAAACTCCAACTGAGGATCAACAAGAAGAAAAGGAATATCTATTTGAAAAAGATTTTTATGGTGTTATCCCGCCAAAATTTGGAGCTTTCACAATAGATGAAATTGATGATTACACAGAAGAACATGATCTGAACACATTACCTACTCAAAATCTAAAAGATGATGAACCATGTTCTCTTTTGTATGATCAATTCTATGAATATGATATAACAGACAAATATATGCGCCTTCCTTATACAACATCAAAGATATTCACTCTTGGCCCTAATGAATACAAATGTCTCTACGGAAACTACATCTTAGAATCCAAAGATAAATTCACTGCATTAATTGCTACATACGCTCTTGGTGAATCTGATGGAGTTAATGTTGTAAATAAGACAACAGTTGAAAATCCATTTATGATCTCTGAAAACGGTCAGTCTTTTTATGAAGAACAATCAATCAAATTAATGTGCAAAGATAAAACTAAGGAGTGTAAGATACAAGTTGTATCATTTAGACCTCCTTCATATAGCAAAGAGAAAGGTGAAAGAATTACATCTGTTTTCACAACGAAAACAAATGCAAATTTCAATTTCGATATAGAATACGGAGACACAAATAGTTTCTACACATTTACAGTTCATAGTCCAAATCCTGTTGAAGTTTCACGACTTGCTAGTAATGATGAAGCCGTTGCATTTATGACAAACAAAGATGGAAGTGCAACTAACAAAATCATTGGTAATGATGTTACATTATTCTACACTACACAAATTGTTTGTTCTCTTTGTGATAATCCATCAGGCAAAACAAGTTCTAAAGCATCAACCTACAATGTAAATCTTACTATTCGTGAAACAGCAACTAGTTCAGAAGATGTCGACGAAGAAGATGATTTGTTTGAGAAAGATCAAACATATGCATTTCCATATGAAGGCGGTGTTTACAGCAAAGAAGAAATTGTTGCATATACTAAAGAGCATGGAATTAAAGCTCCAGTATCATATACATCAATCATTATTTTCGGAAGTGTTCTTGGAGGCATAATATTAATTGCCATTATTGTTGTAGTTATTATATTCTTAATCAGAAGAAAGAGGAGAGCAAATATGGAAAGACTTGAAAATACTTCAAGTAACCACAGTTATTCGAGTGATTCCAGCAGCAAAGAATACTCAAAGAAACATAAAGAATCAAGTGAATCAAGTGCTCATCAGCTTGAAAGCGTTTCTAGTAGTCGTAAACACTCAAAGAAACATAAAGAAACAAGTGAATCAAGTTCTAAACAACTTGAAAGCGTTTCTAGTAGTCGTAAGCACTCAAAGAAACATAAGAAGAGTAAGGATTTAAGCGATTCAAGCAGTCGTAAGCATTCAAAGAAGAATAAAAAGGATAAACATGCTGAACTTGAAAAAGTTTATTCTGATGATGATTTTTATTCAGATTAAACTCAAAATCATTGTGACATTCCAATGTATAATAATTAATAAAGATATTTTTATATTATTTCTTATTTTTCTAATCAATTCCATGACCAATGAGCTTAATTACTTTCAGATAATTAATTCAATGAGCTACTTTGCAATGTATATTGCATAATTTACATAAATAACACAGTTATTGTACACATGTAATATTCATTATACAGTAATAATAATGATTAATCATTGATTTAAACAAAAATCATAATTTTGAAGTTTAATTTCAAATAGATGAATGAGATGGAGCATACCAGTAGTATGTCATAGCAAACAGGCTCAAAATGCAATATGATGCAATCCTTAGAAGCATAAATATAAGTTTTAACGAAATCGAAATCCCACATTGTTTTTTCCAAGATTTATAAAGCATCGAAATTCGTTTTTATCCATCGCTTCTGTTAGGATTTGATTATCTATAATCTCTTATGATACATAATTTTTTTTAGGAAACGGAAAGATAAATTTCGTACCAATCAAAAAAGTGACAGTTAGAATGGAAAGCAAAAAGAAAGATCCAATTCTAACCGCAGTAGATATATTTAATGCAGGCTATGAGTTGTGCGTCAATGAAACATACGAACTTATGAATACAAAGTCATTTGTTTCAGCAGGCATATTATTTGTTGTTTGCGTTTTACTTACAGCGCTTGCAATCTTCATATCACCTAATCCAAAATTCACAATCATCAAGAAACCTGAAGGCACAGAAGAAAGAACGAAAGCTTTAAGTTTAGCTATCAGATATAAAAATCTTAAGTTTTATCATAGAGCAATCACATATGGCATACAGTCAAACGTGCAGAAGAAACCACTTCTGATTGTCGTCTCTGGAACAATCAAACTGAAAAAGAACGGGCGCATAGAAAAAGAACAAACTCTTGAAGACAAGCCGTTCAGGCTTCCTCCTAAGACCATTGTTCCAATATTTACTACAGGGCGTCGTGAAGTCACAGATATCGTTGCAGATCTCGATATTACGTTAAACGATGGAACATTTGATAATTTGTACACAATTTGGACACACGAAAACGCGAGTTGGATATTCTTCAATATTCTGATACGCTCCGTCTCTTTCTTCACTGCTCTCTACCTTGGATTCCATCTTTTAACGAGATTGGCTTCATTGAAAAATAAATCGCCAACATACACTCAGAGATTCCTTATGATAGCATCATTTATTCTTTCGATCTTCTGGCTACCATCACCTGAGCTCCGTTACTTCGATTTGTTGAAATCTTTCACTCCATTGATTTCCCTTCTTGAAAACGTCAATTGTGCATTTCTTTTCTACATCATCAACGTTGTATGCTGGAATCTACACTTTCGCTTTACAGATGCTGAAATTCCTTTCATTAAAAGGACAACATTTGCATTCTTCATGATGTGTGGCGTTTTAGCACTTCCTAAAGCTATCAGATTCAACGATACATTCTACCAGGATATTCTCGAGGTCTGGATTCCTGCTGCGACCATGGCAGCGATTACATTAAATTTAATTCGCTTCCCGCTCTTCCTAAACAGCAACAGCCCCGAGTTTATGTCTTCCTTCTTGCACCTATTCTGCGCTGTACCTGCAATGGCCATGATGACGTACGCAACAGCAATAAGAGCCGAAAGAACTTCGAAATTGTCAGTTTTTTCGGCCATGCTCAACACCCTCTCTTATATGTTCATTGTTCTCGTTCACTGGCCGAGAGATGACGCAGGAGCTGATGCCCAGTACGTCGCTGCTGAGAAGGCGTTCGATCATGTGGGACAAATCGACGATGACATGAAAGGACACCTCGATTTGGACATCAGAGCTGAGAGTGACTTCGATGATGGTTCATATTACTCGGAAGAAGAAGATGACGAAGAGGAAGATTAATTATTTTGATTTTTCTATATGAAAGTGCGTTTAATTCATGCATTTATGTAAATTTCATGTCTAAATGTTATAAAACTCTTATTTTTAATCAAATAAAGGATTATTTTATTTCAAATTTCTCAAAAATCATTTATTTCCCTAATTAGTTAGTTATATTATTGCAGTTTATCATTATATTAATTAAGAGAGATTCTTACACATAGATAGAGGCAACTTCAAATAAATTTCATATTATTATCATTCAATAAACTTTAAAAATCAAGTACTAGCTTTTCTTTTGAATCTCAAATCCATGCATTTAATTCCTGCAAATACAATTCATAAGAATATCATTCATAATTAATTAGCTCAAATTATGGGACCTCATTAACATACTTCGTTATCTTTGTCACAGATTTAAACTTTGTAAATTAGACTGTAGTAAATCAAAACTATTTTCATACGTCACAATTATAACAATGTAATTCTGATGAATGAACAACTGCTTATAGTCACAGGCATACAAAAAAGAATAACTATTATGATAAAGTTGAAAGAAAGCAATTTCATAGGTAAATAGAAAGATTTTTAAATTTTTATTCATTTTGATTTGAATTGAGAACAGATAATAACAAATTAGCAGCAGTACTGATGCTGTTATTAGCATTATTGCATAAATCTGAAATTTCTTCATATTTCTGGTACAAATCATTAACAATTATTTCCAGGGCTTGAGTTAATCCTTGATTAGTAGCAGATATAAGAATTTCCAAAGCTCTGGTCATAATTATTGCATCTGTTTTTGTAGATATGCCAAGAAACTCAATAAAAGTCGAAGTAAATTCTAAATTTTGAAGAAAAGTTTCATTTGGCATATAATGAGTATATTCTATAAGCTTTTCTTTGTTATGTACATTTGTTGCTTTAATATATTCTCCTGATTGATGAATCACTTGATTTTGGATATCTTTTGATAATTCTGAAAAATGAAGCAAACAAGCTTGAATGATTGATAATAAACAGTTCGGATCTATTGATTCAAGAAAAACCTTGATCTCTGATTCGGATAAAAGCAAAGGAATGTTTGGATATTTCGATAATACAAGTAAAGCATTGGAAAATATGAAACTATCTGGTGGCAATGCTTGCTTTATATTAAGGATATTTGTGAAATCTAATTGTGATACTAAATCATTTCTAATTGAGATAGTTAAAGTTAATCCTTTGATTGCTAATAAAATATCTTGATTATTAAGAAAATTCTGTATGAAAGGTATGATCTTTTGGTATGTTTCATCTTCTATATTGAAAACAAGTAAAATTAAGCTGATTAATCTTATAGATTGAACATTAAACGAATATTCAAGTAAACTACCAATAGTTTCGTTAGAAAATGTCTGTTTTTGCGTTTTGTTGTATAATTTTAATAATAATTTCATATATTTTTTAGTATATGGTATATAAGCTGCATCAGCTTGAATGAGCCGAACAATATGATCTTCTGTAAACATTTCATCATATGGAAAGTATGGTTGCGGCATTATTTCAAGTAATATCGATTGAGCCAAGGAGTTTAATTCTAAATGTTCTTTGGATATAGAAATATCGAATAATAAATTGCAACCAATGCATTCTATTTTGTCATTAAAAGGTATCTCTTTCTTGATTTCTTCCAAAAGCTCTGAATTGATGTTATTCATATTGATACATTCTTGAATTTGTTTTAAAACCATATTTTTATGTTCAGTGATGGCATTAGATTCTTCCGATACTTCTTTATCTGTAACATTATGTTCGATTTCTGGTTTTATAATCTCATTCATTTTTAAATTGAAGGGTCTTACACGTATAAATATTTAGGGTCTAATAAGAATTATGAATTTTAGTATACAAGCCCTGAGCATTCAATCTTTGAGTCGATCCCCGTTTATGCTATTTCCTAATTCCCAAATAAGAAAGCAAATATCTTTACAAAATTCCCAATTTTCAAAATGTTTTTCAACAATATTGCAATCAAACCAATTCGAATCTCACATTTCAGTTAATAAGAATATGTTTAAACAAATATTACGAACTCCGTTAGTTTTCAATAGATTTCAGACATATTATACCAAATTAGTTTATTATGATCCACTAGTATTAACATCATTTAAAGAAACAACGGTAAAGAATTGCAACTTCATCCAGTGCACAGCTACAGAGCTGGATGGAGGAGCTATTTTATCATTTGGACCGATTTTAGTGTCCGATTGCGAATTTCGAAGCTGCCAAACTCTCAAGCAAGCAGGAACTGTTATGTCGCATATGAATTCTACCATTGAAAGATGCATAGCTCTTGATTGTGTTTCATATTCAGTTTGTACTTTCTGCACGGATTCAACAGAAAACGCCCTTTCAGTTCTATCCCTGATATCAGTTACAAAAGGCGACTGCAATCGTGATGGAATTATTAATTCTGGCATTGATGTTGAAACTATTCACAATGATGTCAATGTCAGCGAATGTACGACAGATGGAACATACTGTGGATCACAAATATTCAACAAAAAGTTTACTGCTACTTATTGCAATTATGTTTCAAATTATCATTCGTATTATTCATCAGGAATCGGCATGGAACACATATACGATGCATTAATAGAGTCTTGTTTCTTCTATAATTGCACCAGAAAGCAAGAACATCCCTTTGGAGGCTATTGTCTTTATTTTGGAGATACATCAGCTGGAGCAACAGTCAAAGGATGTTCTTTCGTGCATGCAAGAACTCCATCTAAGTCATCTGTATATTCTGCTTACCGTCCTGACAAGCTTACCATTGAAAATTGTTGTTTTTCTGAAAATCAAGAGAGAGAAAATTGGGATTTCCCTTATAAAGACTGCCAATTCAATGCACATTGCAAACTAGATGCAAATGGAGACCATGATAATGATGGGCAGCTCATTCCAACGAAAACTGTTTTAATTCCACATGATCTCAAAATGAAACCTTTGAGAATAGTAGTTTTATTCATAATTCTTACATTGGTGACCATCAATGTTTCTTTATTTGTATATTCCAGGTTCATTAGACCTCCTGCCAAAAAAGTTGAGTAATCATCATCAAAATACATTATCTGATTGTTATTTAGATATAAATATGTTTGTATTATTAATTTTCTTTGCTTTTTAATTTTTTCAAAAAATTTAAAAAATCACAACCAAAAAAAGTAATTTTCAGTGTTTGGTTAATAATTTATGCTATTAATGTCTTGATTCATCAAATATACTTAACAAACGACTTGATATTATCAGTATTTCATGTGAGCAATCGAATTTCTAAACCAAAACAAGATTTGTGATAGCTTACATTAAATAATGTTTATGGGTGAAGTGTATTCTATCTTAAAAATGGTTGATTTTTATCCGAAAATGAAAAATAAAAAAAACAATTTTATGAAATTTTAGATAAAAACAATATATTTATGTTAACCTTCCTCCGCAAGTCAAAGATCCACAATTGCAAGCTTTCTGGTCAATTTTATGCATCTTATATCCGTAATGGAATCCCAAATCTTCAAATGGATAGATATCTCTTAACGCAAAGAAGCCAATTCTATGATATTGTTCTGAATTAACAGTTCCTATGATAATTGTAATAATATTTGGATCGCAATTGTGATTTATGAACTTTGAAACGTTTCCTGTGACTTTTGGATCAACGGTAAGCATTTCCTTATCATTAATTCCGTATCCATCAAGGTCGAAAAGATATGATTCTCCAGATTTGTCGTAAATCTTGCCTTGTGACTCTGCTTTGTCAGGATCTGTGATTAAGTCACCAAGGTATTCACAGATGAACGTTCCTTTCGGTATAAATTCAAGAGCTCTCACCCCCCAGCCTCCTTTTGAAATACAGCGGCAAACAAGGAGGTGAATCTTGGCCTTACGATCGACCACGCGGTTTTTGCACGTTTCCGAGTCACAGGAACACGAAGAATTACATTCTATGATAATCGGTTTGTAATTTGATCTAAATGACTCCAAATCAAGCCTACCAGCTTCTGTATACTTCATGATTGGTTGGCCATTGAAAATTGCATGACAAGTCAAGCAATCGTGTTGATGGCAATCACAACCAACGTAATGGGACGAAATCATATCAGGAAACTCTAGATTTGCTATCCATTTCATTTTACGTGGCCAATTATCATCGTCTTCGTTGATACATGGAACACTGACAATTCCATGTTGTTTATTAAATCCGTTTGATAAATCTTGAGTAAATTTGAAGCTAAGATTGAAGTCTGGTGGCATCTGCTTCTTTGTACATTCTTTAATAAAGTCACGTGATTCTTCTGGAATATCTTGGAAAGGATTGCCTTCAAGAGTCCAATTGTATGTCGCTGGTATATACTCCCGTGAATCTATTGGTTCTATTCTATCATCATCTGTGAAAACTGCTGCAATTGTCTTTCCTAATGTAGATTTACAAAGTGCACGCATGATAATGAGTTTTTTCTGATCAATTTCTAGTCCCATTTCGTCAATAATAAAATCTATTGGTATACCAGTCATTATTGCTATACCTGCAGCTAAATTTGCATGATATTCTGGATGGCAGATCTCAAAGCAACTAAATACTTCTTGAAGTGGTGCTGTAATTGGTATTTCTTGACTTTCGCCTGCTTTGATTCTTAATCTAGTAAAATATGGTGAACATAATTTTAATTGAAGGAAACTTTGTATTTCAGGAGGTAATGGTTTAATACATTTAGTGAATGCTGTTAGTGTCTTGCATTTCTCGAAGCATTCTGGCACAGAAGGAAAAACTAAAGGAAAATCAGGAATCATTAAGGGTTCACTACCTTAGTTTACAACTATTCAATTTTTAGCACTTAAAGATGCTTTTTCTCCATGATAGAGTTAATATTTTTCAGAATAAACGTATATCTAGTATATACATATCATTCTCTATCTTTCTGCCGTTTCAGAATTTAAAAAGGAGAAAATTGACCAAAACCTGAAAAAATGAATTTTTTTCATTTTTTCACCGAGGACCAGCGGATTAAGATTTTTCAAAATTGACCGATCCAAAGTCCACTTTTCTAAGATGTATTATGTTTAAATATGATATAGAGCATATATCTTCATTATTGAAAAAAATGTGCATCGAGTTTTGAGTACCCTCTACGGGGTTCACTGCATATGAAATTGAATACCCATGTATAATTTTTTCAATATTTATGGTATAATAATAGCATATGATATATAGCATAATTTTAATAATATTGGTCGCTGGCTACGCATAATATATCAAGATTATACAATTATTACCTAATATATCTAAAATCTAATTTCATTAATAGTGCTATAGAACAAGAAAACATTTTATTGTCAAACCTTCATTTTAGAATAATTAGTATATTTGTGTATTCAAAAGTCCAAGAATTTTCAACAAAAAGTAATACGGAAACATGAAGAAGGGAAATATAGTATAAGTTCATGGCAAACGAATTATAATCATTAATTGTTTAGGTAAATAATTGCGGATTTATAAAAATAATGAGAATTAATGAAAATTAAATGCGTACTAGTCGCCAATTGGCTACGTTGAGTAAATCGAGCTTACATCAATTTTTTTTTGAAATTTTATAATTACTTCGAGGTGAAATTGCAAGGTTTTCATGAAAAAATGACTTTTACTTGTCTGAGTCTGAGGTTTCAAAATACCAAACTAGCTACCCAGTATTTCAAGTAGTTGGCGCTGTATGGATGGATGAATCCATTTTTAACGTACTTTTTTTGTAAACTAAGGTAGTGATCCCTTAAATAAAAAGTGATCGATTTTTCTGAGTATTTCTACATTTTGAATTACCCACATTATGTATTTGCATGAATTTCCCATTTCTGAAGAATTTTTTGAGAGAGAGACAAAAATTTTATCAATGTCTGAAGAAAATCAACCAACAACTACCGAGAATCCACCAGCAGAAGAAGATGTTGTAACGGAAGAACAACCAAAGAAGGAATTCTCTACACTTCCATTGCATGAAAAAACGCTAGAAGTGCTTAAAAGACTTCCTTTCAATACGATGTACGCCATTCAAGAACAAGCTATACCAATTCTTTTATCGGGTGGCGATATATTAGCTGCTGCAAAAACAGGAAGTGGCAAGACATTGGCATTTCTCATTCCAGCAATCGATTTATTATTCCGTAAAAACGCTACTAAGAAGGATGGAACAATTGTTTTGATAGTCGCTCCAACAAGAGAACTTGCAGATCAGATTTTCGATGTCGCTACTCTTCTCCTCAAAGATACCGAAGTTTCATTTGGAGCTGCATACGGTGGCAAAGAAAAGAAAAACGAAACAACACTTCTCAAATCAGGCATTAACCTCTTAGTTGCAACACCAGGCCGTCTATGTGATCATATTCTCACTACAAAAGATTGGTCATTAGAAAATCTCAAAATGCTCATCATTGACGAGGCAGATAGGATCCTTGAAGATGGCTACAAAGATCAATTACACGCAATCGTCGAAGGAATCCCTTCAGAACGTCAAACAGCCTTATTCAGCGCAACTCAAACAAAAGACGTCAGCAAAATTGCAGAAGTCTCTTTCAAACATACACCAGTATACGTCGGAGTCGATGATAACGCTGACGAAGTTACAGCTGCTAATTTAACCCAAGATTGTATGATAATTACTCCATCAAAGCGTTTAATGCTTCTTATTACTATCCTCAAGCGTAATGATAAGAAGAAGGTCATAGTTTTCTTCAATACAAGGGCAGGAGTCAAATTCCATCATCAATACCTCAAAAAGATGAATATAAACACAATTGCACTTCACGGAGACCAAACACAGCAAAAACGACTTACAAGCCTTGAAGAATTCCGCAATAAAAAATCCGGAATTATGTTATGCACAGATGTCGCCGCCAGAGGTCTAGATATCGAAGGAGTGCATTGGGTTATACAATACGATCCACCACAGAGTATCAAAGAGTACATCCATCGTGTAGGAAGATGCGCAAGAGCTGGAAAATCCGGAAAAGCTTTAATTATTCTTCTTCCTAACGAAAAGAAGTTTGTAGACAGACTACAAGAGAACAAAGTACCAATAAAGGTCTGTAAATTCCCAGAAAACAAGATTCTCGACTTGAGAAAGACATTGGCCGCTTTAATGGAGGACAAAAATCTTCAGAAGAGGGCTAAAGAAGCTCTAAAGGCATTCTTAATGTTTTATGACTCACATACAATGAAAGATTGCTTCGATGTCGAAAAATTAGATATCGAAGGCGTTTCTCAGTCATACGGTTTCGCTGAAATACCATACATGGATATAAGAGTTACCACAGGAAAAACAAGTGATGCTCCTTGGATCCAAAAAGAAAAGGCAAGAAGAGGAAAATGAAATTTATAATTTTTCCTTCTTCCTTTCAAAAATTGTGAAGATTTGTATAGAATCACGGAAATATTTTTGAACAAAATGTTTTTATTGTTATTTTATTATTTAGAGATAGAGAATAAATAAAACTATTAACAAACAATACATTATTTTGATATGTAGTTTTAAAACAAGTTAAAACTTTTACATTATAAAATCTTTGGTAATATCTTTTCATTAACGTAAAAAATTGTTTTATTTCATGTAAGCATCAATTATAATGTACTTCTATTTTTTCCAAAATTTTTTATTTTTCATATTTCATTATAAAATTCATATTTTTATTCTTGATAAAAATTATTTTGAATTTTTTTTGGAAAATTTAATTCGTTCTAGAGCTCGATGAATGTGATCATAACTACCTATTATATAATTTAAACATTATTCATACCTCAAAAACATTATAAACTATAAATTCATCGATAATTTTAACATTATTAACATGAAAAGCATTAATTATCAACAAATAAGAAGTAACGAAAAGGTAGGAGTAAGCATATATCGATTTGCAAGATTGAAAACTAAAAGATAAAACATGAAAATTCATATTTTCTTTTCTAAATCCCACAAAAGTGGGGTATTAATACAGCTAGTGGTAACTAACCAGATTTATGGCTGTTATAAAGAATAAAATAATAAAATTAAAAATAATTTTTTAAGCAATTGTACACTGTGATTGAGTTTGTGGTTGTTGAGCTGTTTCTGTAGGAACTGTGTACTTTGTGTATGTTGGACCTCTTCCAGGATTCTTGTAATCTCCAATTATGATCTTTTGTCCGGCAGCGAGTTTTCTGCATTCTTTAGCAAAGCTTCCATCGGCTGTTTCTTTCGGTGTGTGGCCTTCCAAGTCTGTTGCGTTTGAATCTACGCCGTTATGGACCAAAGAAGGAATAACTAAGTAAGAAGAGTTCATTGTAGCATGATGGAGAGCATTTCTTCCTTTGGCGTCTTTTGCATTCTTCTGTAATTGCGAAATTGTAAGGATTTCATCAACAACTGTTTGATTATTAAAGGATGATGCGATCATCAAAGGAGTAACTCCTTTTTCATCAGTTGCATTGATATCAGAACCAATGTTAACTAATGCCTGAACAATTCCTGCATGAGGATATTGTCCTGCGTAGTGTAGAGGAGTATATCCGATTTTATCTTTAATATTTGCGAGTGGAGAGAGCAATGGGATGACATCAAGAGCTCCACCAATGACTGCTCTATGTAAAATTGTTTGGCCATTCTCGTTTACGTCGTTTAATGATTGAGGTGATTTTTCAACGAAATATTGAATGATTTTTACAGCATTGAACTTAGCAGCGAAGTCTAATGGAGTCCTTCCGAAGATATCTGCTGTCAACTGCGCTCCTTTTTCAAGTAAATAAACAGCAGCTTCTGTAGCATTATGTTGGCAAGCAACATGGAGTGCAGTCATGCCATAGTTGTCTGAAAGAGTTAAGTCGGCGCCTTTTTCTTCGATGAGATATCTCAAAACATCGACATGATTGTTTTCGGCGGCATAATGGATTGGAAGACGTCCGCGCCAATCAATAACAACAAGTTCTGCTTTCTCGAAGTGTGGATCTTTCATGAAATCAAGTCTTCCATACTCAGCAGCGAAGTGAGCAGAAGATTTTCCCCAAGCATCAACAGCATTAGGACTTCCACCCGCCTCAATAACAGCATTGAAGCATTTAGGAGCATTGAAGTAGATGGAAGCGTTTGTTATTGGACATTTATACTGAATTGGATCAGGAAGTTGGAAAGTTACGGATTCAAAAACGAATTTCATGTTATCTGGCTCTTCCAAGAATTCCTTGATCAAGTCAGCTTGGTCTTCTTCGAGTGCTTCCTTGATGAATTGATTAAAATTAGGATCTGACATTTTAAAAATTTTGATTATGCGGTTCCGTGTCACTTTTATATTCCGATACCATATGATTGAAGGATTTTCAATTTTGGATTTAAAGAGTGTTAATGATATTAATGAGATACACCTTTTGGTCGTTAGCTGACGGTGAAATAGCATTAGTTAAGAAAAATACAAACAAAATTTTTATGGAAATTCAATAATATGATTTTGAGGATTAGCTTTGGCACGTTTCTTTGGCTTCTTCTTAGATTCTTTCATCTTTTCCTCAGCCTCTGATAATTCTGAAAGATATAACGTACTAACACGGAATGGGAATCTTGAAGGATTTTCTCCTTTATTTTTATGGATGATTCGAGCTATTTCTGGTACTTGTATATTTGATAAGTCTACAGTATTCACTGGTAAGGCAGAAATTGTACGAGACGTTTTTACTGTGCGAGATGTTTGAGCGCGCTCCATAGAAGTTTTAGAACGACTTGTATTTATACTACGGCTTGTTGCAATACTCGATAAAGGTCCTCGCTCAGAAGGTTTGATCCGAATTGGGGATATTGATTCATTGAATGGAGGTGTATTATAAGTCGTGGATGATACTGTACTCTGAACGATTTCACGGACAGTTTGCGGTGATAATGTTGCTAATGCATCTTGATACAAATCAAGCTTGGTTTTCTTGGGATGTTCAATTGCTGTTTTTGGTCTTTTCGGAGGTACGTATTTCTTTTTGTAATCAATGGGAAATGGTTGATTGATTGGCGTTTTTTCTCCATCATAAAATTGCTGCCAATTGCCAGTCCGGCGTGTTTGAATGCGTGCTGATGCCCATCCCCCACATTTGTATGCTCTTAGATCATAGTTTTTCTCTTCCTCGACGCCCCATTCGAATTTGTACATCGAGAAGTGAAAACTGCACGTTAATTTTATTTCATGTCACTTTTATTATCCATGATTTTGAAATTTTTCATTGATATACTAAAAAATGCATAGCTATGACTGTTGTATAATGTTTTATAGTGACTTGGGTTGGTTATTTTAAAAATCTAAAAATTGGATTGTTAATTTTCTTAGGGATGGCCATAACATATCAACTATCAGCGGAATATAAACAATGCAATTTGTCATTGAATGACTAACTCTTAATAATCTACTCAATTTGAAAAAGTTGATAAAAAAGAACTTGGTAATGGTCAATAATATAATAAACAATTTATTGATGAAAATAAAACAAAGGTGGTTTGATGTAAAGGGCCGAAATGAAACAAATAATTTATGATTCAAAAAATTGTTTGGCATCGCGATCAATTTCAATTCCTCTGATCTTATCATGAAGTTGAGCATTCTCAGCTTGTATTTCTGCCAGTCTAGATTTGTTCTTAGCCTTGATATCATTGAACAATTCAATTTGACTGGATTGAGTTTCAATTGGATCGATTTTTGAGAGCGAGGCAGTTGAACTCCTATGTGTCTTTCTTTTGATTGTATTCAATTGGGTCTGAACCTTATTCCTTCTGTCAAGAAGTGTACGCTTTTTATTTTCTAATTCTACAAGCTCGCTTTTCAGTGTTTCAACATCTACAAACTTTTGAGTTGATAAGTCAGCCAATCTCGAATATAAGTTATCTCTTTCGATTGCAATATCTCTGCTTGAAATGCATCGAGTAGTAACGCTTGGTGTTTGGGTACGAACAAATGATTCTATCTTTGAATGTCTTTCTTCTTGATTATCATCAAATGATGTTCCTAGTGAAGATAATGTATTTCTTCTGATTGTATCTTGTGTAATATCATCGTGTAACATTTTTTCTTTAATAATATCATGAGTTTTAAGAACTTCGGGATCCGTTACTGGCCACATCTTTGGAGAGTTAAATTCTGGAGGATCTTTGAGTATAATATCTTGTAGTCTTTTATGCAAGTTTGTATTTCTTCTAATAATGTCTTCCGCATTTTCACAAAAATCGCTGAAATTTAAATTATTTTGTTCAACATAGTCAGAAAAGATATGAAAACCAGATGATATGTCATGAAATACTCGGTTCATTTCATCACGTTTTCTCTCTGACATCATTTCTTTTTCTTCGAGCATAAAATGTAATTGATCGATATTCATTTGTTCTCTTGGGCCTATATCAAACTTTTTCAATATTGGATGCTCTAAGCAATCAGATGGGAACATCTTTTTAAGCTCTTCAACTCGTATTTTTGAGCCATTTTTTTTCTCGTAAGCTGAAAGTTCTTGTAGTAATTGAACCCTAAAAACCCTTTCAAATCGACAGCTCTGTTCTTGTAGTTTAAGCAAATATTGTTTAACAGCAATCCTTGTTTTAGGATTTGATGCCATAGTTATTTATTTACAAAAAAACGAATTTTACAAATTGATGTTTCTCAGGGAAAAGATATCAAACATGCAATTTATTTTGTAACATCATAGTATTATATGATATATCTGAATATTTAGAGAGATTTTTACAGCTCAAATCCATATAGTATTACTGAAATCAATATTTAATTAAACTTTCAGAGATTTTTTGTGGTCTTATGCAGGACATCCCTGCTCTCAAACTTTCCCGAGTTATATCCAAAATCCCTTTCACTATTGAGTTATTATAAAAAAATTATATTGATTTATTCGATTAATTTCATTCAATTTGCAGATTTTTTGCGAAGAATGAAATAAACAACAAGCAAAGCTATGATAACAGCTGCACATACAGCAATTATAACACTCATACTTATTTCAATTGGTGTTGTCTTATTAATAAGCCTGTACTTTGCATATTCCGGAACTGTTTCATTACAAATTCTGTAATTTGAGTAATACCCCTTATATTTATCGAATATATAGTTATCTGATACAGATTCCCTGCTATTTCTAATATTGTAATCTTGGTAATAAAATCCTTGGATGCAAACTTGGTGATATATACTGGAACCAAAACTGTATTTATTTGTATCAACACTTTCTGGAACTTTGACAACAAGAATTCCATATTCTTCTTTGTAGAATTGATTTTCTTTAAGTTCATGTGAATAGAAATTATCTGTAATAATTCTTGTTTCATTAGGAAGAACTAATACATCTTGAAGCTTTGAGAAATAACAAATAATTTCTCCTTTAATCTTGTTCATTAAGAATTTATCAACAATGCTAAAGATAGGATGATTATCATTTTCTAGTTTTAGATCTAAATCTGGAATATCCAAGAAAGTATCCACCTTTATTGATCTGACATTTTGATATATTGTAAATTCTTTCAGATTTGTTTTTGCAAATAATTTCGAAGGTAGATCAACAACATTCCTAGAGAATGTTATTTCCTTTAAGTTTGAACACTCTTCAAAAACAGAACTACCTACAGACAGGACATTATCCGGGATTGTTATTGACTTTAAGGAAGTGCAGTTATAGAATGTTTCAGAATTGATTGATCTAAGGTTTGTACTTAATTCAACATTTTTCAAATTGATGCATGAACTAAATGCGTAAGATCCTATTGAGATAACATTTGATAAATCAATCTCTTTCAGTTCCAAACAATGATCAAATACACTTTCCCCAATGACCTTTACAGATTTAGGTAAACTTATTGTCTTTAAGGATTCGCAATATTGAAATGCATCTGAGCCTATTGTTGTATAAAAATCCGTTTGAAATGTGACGGTTTTTAGATTGTCACAAGATAAAAACAATTGAGATGCTAAAACTCTAGACAATGTCACTTCTTTGTTTCCTTTATCAGGACTAATATTGAGAACAACTTCCTTTAGCTTTTTCATATAAGCAAATGCTTGAGATCCTAATTGAACATGTCCGTTTATTGTGATTTTTTCAATTTTATTATTGTATGCAAAAGCATTATTACTAATTATTGAAACTCCGCTTGGAACTGTGAACTCTTTATCAGTTTTTGTATTTAAGTAACAAATGATTGCTGTCTTATTTTTATTATATAAAATTTTGTCTTGAAAAGTGTAGATATTGTCAACATCTGTTGGTAAAACAATTTCTTCCAAATATTGGGCGCGAGTAATTGAAATTGAGTTATTACTTAAAACTGTTAATTTTTTCACTGTAGAAAATTGAAAGTCAGCACTAAATTGGGTGCGAACAATTACTTCTTCCAAGTTTTCCATGTTTGAAAGAGATATGTCATTATATATTAGAACATTTACTAAATTGAAGACTTTAATTTTTGAGTACATAAATACATCATCACCAAGTACGGTAGCGCATTGAAAATCAGCATCCTCTAGTGAAAAGCAATAACTGAATGATTGATAACCTATGTTTAATGGGTCTTCCGAAATAAATTTCACTTTCTTTAAGTTCTTGCAATGACTAAAACAGTAATTTTCAATTGTTGAAACATTTATAAATGTTATTTCTGTGAGTCCTTCACAGTATTCGAAAGCTGTGCTTTTTAAAGTCTTCGTTGTGATTGTGCTTACTGATATTTTTGGACAGTGATAAAAGGCATATGAACCGATTTGTTGCAAACTTTCGGGGAATTCTGTCACAACTAAATTCGAGCAGAAAGCAAATGCTTTATCTCCTATAGTTGTAACAATGGAAAGATTGATCGTTTTTAGATTGTAACACCTGTAAAATGCATTATTGTAGATTTCAGTAACCCCTGAAAAAGTGATCGATTCAAGTTTATATAAACAATAGCAAATAGCTTGAGGAAGGACAGAGAACCTATTTCCAAGATCAATTGTTTCCAACTCATCAATTCCTGAAAAAAGTGAATTTGATATGGAAAATCCTGTTGGGATTTCATCAAAAGGTTCAAGTTTAATCCTAGTTATCGCACTATGTAAGAAAGCATTCGAGAAAGTTAATTTTACAGACTTCGGAATTGTAATTGTCTTTAATCCAGTATATTCAAAGGCATTATTACCTATAGAAGTTAATGTAGATGGGAGTGTGATTTCAGCCAAATTTGTGCAATGAGAAAATGCATTTTCACTAATTTGAGTTAAGACTTTGAAGCTTACCTCACTTAGATTTACACAATATTGAAAAGCATTTGAAGAAATTGTTGTCAGCAAATCGGCTTTTATAGATATTATTGAAGAATGTGCAAAAGCATTTTCACCAATTGATGTGCATGCAGGTAGCTCTATGCTTGTAATAGAAGTACAATATGAAAATGCATTATTTGAGATTTGTGTTACTGCGGATAAATCAATTTTTTTATAGATGAGTAACTAAAAAAGGATGAAGGAATTGAAGTAATGGGTGCTTTTGATACAAATTCTTCAATTGCTGATTCATAAAATAATGGATTATATAATCCTATTGGGTTTGTTGTTTGTATTTCGAACTTTTTTATGATTTTATAAGCTGGTTGAGTAGTTAAACTAAAAACCAATCCATCTACAATAATTGTATTTACGTTGTTTGAGCGTACCAGAAAATAATTATTTTCATCGTTCATTTCATCAGCTTGTGAAGAAATTGTCATAATTCCATCCTTTATTTGAGGTGTTTGGGATAAAATAACTCGCTTGATAAGTAAAGGAATGGTAAATTGTTGAGAAAAATGCATGAAGAATTTTATTGAAATAATAAAAAAATATAAAGTCGAAATTTTCAATTAAAGAATAATATTGCTATTATCTATGATATAGAAGCAAATTATTAAAAACGTTTGAATATGCTTTGAGAAAAAGTGAATTTTCAATGAAAATAAAACTTCACATATTTCAATAATTTTATTCATATTCTAAAAATGAAATATTTTTGTTAAATTCTAAACCGTTGCAATTTACATAATTCAATTTCATTACATAAATCAACTAGTGCATGACGAGTGTGGAAATGATTAATTTTAATTTTGTTATCAAAAACCTCTTCATTGGAAGATCAAGAATATGGGCCAAAATTCATTTCCATATAAGTATTAGATACAAATAAACTAAATATGCCTTTCAACGCATTTGTTTCTTGAATGAAGCATAAAATGAATCAATTCTCGTAAACATGCTGATATTGAATCTTAAATGATTGCCATGAATATTGAATAATGAGTTTATGTCTAAATCATTGTTATTTATGAAATGTAGTGCTCAATTACAATTCGAAATTCAAAAAATGGGAAATATTTCAATTTCAAGTTGGATTATAATTTTAATATCTAATGTTATTCCTGTTTCTAAAGAAATTATGAACTTGGAACACGATAAAAAATAGAAAAAAGTGTCATCGTAGCGGTTAGGTTTGGCCTTTTTGAAAGATGTACATGCCAACAGCTATCCGCAGGAGAATTCTCCGCTACCTCTTTGAGAATGGTGTTCTCTGCGTCTCCGACATTCAGTCCGGCACACACGAAGAGCTTGACTGCCTTAACATTTATCCATACCAAATTGGTCGTGCCTTCGTTACAAAGGGATTCTGCATAAAGACATACGCTTGGTCCCATGCCTACTACACACTCACAGACAAGGGTATCGAATACCTTCGTAACTACTTCGGCCTTCCAGCCAATGCTGCTCCAGCTACACTTCGCGAAGCCGAGGCTAAGGTTCTCGAGACACGCCGTGATCGCCCACAAGGCCGTGGCCCACGCCGTTTTGGCAATGGCCCTCGTGGTGATCGCCCACAACGTGGTGGTTTCCGCGGTCCACGCCGTGAAGCTCAAGAAGCTCCACAACAAGAGTAAGTAATATAATTCTAGATTGACTAAATTTTATATCCGTTTTATGGATCGCAACTCAATAGAATGAGTTGCAAAATTTGAACAATTGCTCTCACTTTTTCTAGTTATTCTTTAATGATCTTTCAACTTCAACTGAAATATTTTAATTTGCAAATCAAATTGGAGATTTATCAGTTGCTTTGATATACAGGAAAGTCAGTTATTCAAAATTTTTACAATTTTATGATTGTTTTATTACCTAATATGAAAAACTGGCCAATTCTTATTCAAAATTAGTGAATAACCTCGTTGAACTTATAATAAGCCGAAGACATTTGCTAGCTATTGTCTTATCGTGCTTTGTAATATCTAAAACTTAAATTTTGATGACAATTTCCTTATTCATTCTAATGCCTTTCATTTAAGCGAACAATCCATATTCATTCACAAAGTTTATACGATGTTCAACGTTATGACTACTTGGAATATTTGTATAATGATTGCTTACAACCCAAAATGAAAAATATTTTCGAATTTTCTAAAAATAAGGTTAGATTTTAAGAAGTTTACATATCGTTTTCTAGCAACTGAATATTTAATGGGCAGCATGTGTTGGATCCATGATGTTAAAGAATTCGTCAATATTAATTTTTCCATCTTTATCCTTGTCAAACTTAGAAATCATAATTTCAAGTTCCTCTTCTGGAAGATCATCTCCTAATTCTTTGGATACTTTCTTAAGATCTTCGATATCGATAAGACCATCATGATCTGTATCAAAGAGAGCAAAGGCACGAAGGATTTCTGTTCTTGGATCACGGGTTTTAATATATTCTGCGCAAACTTGTTTGAAAACATCCTTTGTAAGGAATCCATTTCCATTTGGATCTCTTCTGCTCATAATTTTTTCTACTTCTGCCTTAGTGACATCGAAACCTAATGCGCGTAATGCGTCACGAAGTTCTTTAGAATCCATTGTTCCTGATTTATCAATATCAAAAACATCGAATGCTTCTTCGATTTCTTTATCTTCGTCTTTTGTTAATTGTGGGCGGTGCTTGCTTGAGCGTGACATTATTTTTTTTAGTGAGAAAAAAAATTGCATAACGGCCAACTGTTTTTCTTCATGTAAATAAATTTTCTAACCCTGATCTTTCAGATAACAAAAGCCCATTCTTCAAAAATAACATTTCTCTATTAATAAGTTCATTGAAATCTATTATATTATTTATTCTATATCGAAATAAGGATGAAATAAAGATTTTATAGTTTGATTAAACAACAATCGATTTATGCGAGCATAATTTAGTTACTAGCTATCACTATTTTAATCTGTTTTTTTCAGATTTGATTGGAGAGTATAAGCAAATTGTCCAAAATTCTTTTTGATCCTACACACATCCTATTTATGACACCATTAAACGCTTTTTCAAGAATTGGCAAGAATGAATTTCATCTCATTAAAATCTTGACTAAACTTAGAGATAAGAAGAAACTAGGTATATCATTTTGTCCCTTTATAATTTGTCAATACATTACGCTTGATTCATATTAATTCAATACAATTTTGAATGAGATTATTGAATTTGATTGACATCTGCATAAAAGTCTGCATTAAAATTCAGTTATACATTTAAAAAACTTCCACAAGATTAGTCATTTTTTTATAATGTCTGAATTAAATGATTTGGTTGCTGCTCGCATACAAAAATGGAGAGAAAAAAATGATGATAAGCCAATAATTGTATTCGATTTAAAGCAAACAGTAGTGCCGAATGTAGATAAAAGCGAATTTAATATTCAATTTCAGCCATCAAACAAAGTTCACTCTCTCAAAAGATATAAGAAACAATCTCACTTTCAGAAAGTTATTCTCGAAATTACAAAGCAAAATGACTTTTCTCGCGTGATTGGAAATAAAATAGAAGTCGAAGTTTTTTACCAAGCACCATCTGGAAGTGAATATGAAGCTCTTTGTTCAAATACACTAAAGAAATATGGTGATCTTATTAGAATATCAAAGGATGTTCAAATACCAAAGTAATAATTCGACTATTTATATAAAATATTATAGAATCTTTGAATAGTAAGCAAATAAACTATGTAATCTATCCATAAAATGTTAAAATGTTTGATCACAAAATATTTATTAAACCTGATTTTTAAATTGATTGAGTACATGATAAATTTTCAATGACTACTGAAATGTGATTGTATGAAACTTAACTTAATTTTATTGGTAAAGTGATGACATATAATTAAAAATATAAAATTAAAATAAAAAATGTAACCGACCATAGCTCAGTTGGAAGAGCATGGGACTGTAGAATTGTGGTTATCCCGGGGTCACTGGTTCGAATCCGGTTGGTCGGATTACTTTTTCTTTTTTCACCCTTGTGTGTCTCCATCTTGAAATTGAGTTTATTCATGAAATATATTCTGTCTATGAAATTCAATCTATGAATTTTCTCTCGATAAAAAAATCAAATTAAATTTTAATAAGAAAAATAAAACAATACATTTATTATCAACAAATACGATACACATGATTTGAATCTAGCACAAGATGAGTTAAACTCGAAGTATCCGCACTATTTGGATTCCAAAATGTTCCAAAAACTTTTCCATTAAAGGTATGATCAACAATTCCTTTGTATCTGACTCTGTTATAGATAGCCGCTACACTATCACCCTTATACAAAGACTGTCCAGCGCTATCCCTAACATTTTCATGGTCTTTAAGTCTAGACCACGGTTGATTAGCTTCCAGACGTCTGATAGTGCCAAAAATATCTATACAAATGCAATATCCGCTTGTAACGTCAATAACTACCATGGCGTCCTGATTAAATTCAATTAAATCTCCAGGAACAGGAAAAACATAAACTTTCCGCTGAGCAAATGTGATTGATTCATCAGTCCACATCATGTCATCTGTTTTACTCTCTTTGGTTGTTTCATATCTCGTAATCAACAAATCTTTTCCGTTTCTATCCAAAACAACGAACTTTTCCATTGAAGAAGGATCTGTTACAATATCTCCTGCATGGAAATATTCATCATTTTGCGTTGATTCTTGAGAAGGATGCAATAATTTCTTAATATGAAAATTATGCTTATTTTCTTGCATTCTTGACATGATTTCTCGCATTATTATATCATCATTAACAACTTTATTACCAATGAACTGATCATTCTTCTTTCTTTCCTCAATTTCAATTTTATCAACTTGAATTTTTTCATTTTCTCTAATTTTTCTTTCTTCTTCCTCTTTTCTGAGCTTTTCTTGTAATAATCTTTGCCTCTCTTCTTCCATCTTCCTTTCATTTTCCTCAGCGATTCTTCTTTTCTCTTCTTCAATTTTTTGGTTTCTTTGTCTTATTTGTTCGGTGATTCTTGCCTGTTCCTGCATCTTTTCTATTAGTTTCTTCTGCTTCGCCTGCTTCTTCCTCTCCTTCTCTTCTATCTCGTGAGGCGACAGTTGCTTCTTTCCGCCAAGTTGTGCAATCAATTGCGCATCTGACCTAATTTGCTTTCCGCGGACAGGACGGATACCAAACTGTATCTGTATCGAAGGAGCAGTTTGTACAATTGGCGGTTTCGGCTTATGGGAAGTTGAGATGTTCGCATCTGGGTCTCCGATGGACGTTGAGCGATCAATACGTGGAATATTAAGGACTACATTATGAAGCAATTCTCCTGGATCTTCTTCGACTGTTTCTGTTCTTTGATTTATGCCATCACATGGAATTTCTTCAATTGTCCAGTCATTTTGCTTCTGGCATGGGCTGATCTGCTGTTTCTGATCTTCTGTGTTAACACTTTCTGCGTTTTCGGCTTCTGGAATTACTTTTTCAATAATTTGAATTTCTGGTTGATTGATAACCTGATTTTCGGTATTTTCTGGGATACTTATGTCATTACTTTGCTCTTGTTCTATATTTTGAGGAATATTTTCTTCAATAATATTTTCAATTTTTTCAATTAAAGAAATTTCAGGTTGGTTGCTTTCATTTGTATTATTATCATTACAATTGTTTAATGCAGGTGTTTCTGTGGTATTTTCTTGATGAATTTCGGATATCTCATTATTTTTGATTTCTTCTTGGATTTGAATACTTTGATCAATGCTGATCTCATTAGTAACAGTTTCTGATGGCGTTTGTATAGAAATATTTTCTGGATTTTGATTATTTTCATTATTTGAAATTTCTTGTTGAAGTTCCTCATTAACAATATTATTGTCATTAATACCATTGTCTACAGAAGTAGTTGTGGCATCATTTTCTTGATTTTGAGAAATATTTTTGTTTTCACTTTCTTCTTGATTGTTTTCATTAACAATGGTCTCATTAGTATTAGTTTCTGTTGGAGTTTCCATAGAAATGCTTTCTGAATTCTGAGATATTTGATCATTTTTAATTTCCTCTTCATTTGAAACAATTTCTTCAGTTAATGGTTGTTTTTGGATGATTTCGGTTGATTCTGCCTCATTTACATTGACTTCTGCAGTTTCAGTTGTTATTTGTTCAATTTCTTGGAATTGATTCTGTTCTATTTGTTCATTAATTGTTTCTTCAGTTTTGACAACCTCTTCTGAACATTTGTCTTCTTTTTCTGTCAAATAAATTTCAATATTTTCTGTATTTTCTTGAATTGTTTGATTTATATCATTACTATTCTCTGTTTCTTGATTGTCTTCATTATTTACTATATTTCCTGTTGTTTCTGGAGGAATTTCTAAAGAATTATTTTCAATTTGAGTTTCAGTTGGAATTAACTGCTCTTCTTGATTTTGGTTAGCTTCTTGTACGACAGTTTCCATCTTTTCTTCATCATTTTCTTTCTTTTCTTCAGATATTGATTCAATATTTTCTGGAATTTGGCCATTTTCTTCTTCTATTGGAATTTCTTCAATACCATTGTCTAAACTACTATTATTTTCAGCTAAAACTTCTTCAGTTGCGACTTCATTTGGAATTTCATTTGGATTAGAATTAATTTCATCGTTTTCGGTTGAAACATTCAATTCTTCATGGTCATTATTCGATTCTTCAACATTTTGTTCAGAAATTTCACTATTTTCTGTATTTTGTTCTTGAATTGTTTCTGGTATTGAAATTTCTGGTTCGGATGGTGGATTATTATTAATTGAGGGCATTTGTGGTCGTGTATAAGTGTTTTGTGAATTTATTGTTGCATTACTGAATTTTTCTAGTTCTTCATCTGAAATATTGGAACTCCATGTAATTAAGTTCTCCAAATCAACTTTCATTATCAAAAATTCACCATAAAATTTCATATCTTTGTAAATATAGCCATCAACGACTTTTTGTTTATCAAATGATAAGTGTACCTTACATTTGTATGATTCTATATTTTGAAATCGCGTAAAATCAAAAGGCGCTGGTCCAATAGTTGAATTATTTATGTTATCAATAAATCTCGGCCATAATTTTACAATAGCACGCTTTTCTATCAAGTCTACATCTAGTATTTCGACGACATCTTCCTCGTAAGGCGGAAGAAATAATCTTGCATATTTACGATTTTCGTTTTCAACTAAATTGAGTTGAGTATTTCGTATTACATCTGATATGAATGTAATAGGGTCAACTATTTCGAATGTTTTTCTTGGATATTTCTTATTAAGTAATTCTATTTCGATTCCTTCTAGATAAATGCGATCAACTATATCAGGAAATGCTATTATTGCACCACCACTTTCTTTTAATGTGGAAAATAGCTCCTCTGTCATTTTAACCAGAGTAGAAGTTTGGAATTTCTTTCCGCATTGAATCGAATACAAATATTTTGGCGGATTTTTGATTAATTCATTCTGTATATCTACAATATCGAGTTTTGGATCTAATGTATATATGGATGATAATTTTGATTTTGAATTTGAAGAAGGAGGTAAGGTATTTTTGCGAGATAATAAACCTACCCAGTTTTCTATATCTTTCTGCTGTAGAGGTGTTAAATCAAAACGTTTCGTTAATTGTAAAACATGGTTTTTCATTCATATGTTGTCACTTTTTAAAATCAAACGGCACTTTTTCAAATTCTTCAAAAAAGTGACAATAATAATCAAATCACATAATCTCTTCTAATATGATTCAATATGAAATTGCCAAATCAATTGAAAATGTTATAAACACGATGCAAAATCCATCTAGCGAGTTAATCAGCTTTGAAGACACTTCAAAAAATATTTCTGCAAAAATATCACTTAAATCATCAGCAATGATGAGTTTGGAACTTAATATGAAACAAAAAGATAAAGAAATTTCGATTACAACGGATGATTTTCCAATACATATTTATCATAATTCAATTGCAAGGCTTATTCCAATATTTCATCAGTTAACCTACTTAGAAAAGCACCCAGAATTCTGCAACCCAGATCTTTTAATGGGATTTGCTGCTACAGTCGCGAATATCATTTTGATGCTTGGAGAAAACTCATTAATCAAGAGCGAGAACTTTATTTCAGATTTAATACCACAAAATTTACGAAATTATCTCATCATTGCTTGCTCACCAATTGGCGATTTCTTTTTACTTACAATTCACACAGTAAAACTTGTAGGAGATGCACAAAGTGTAGATGGTGTTACACACTGGAGACAATATGCACCTGATACCAAGTTCAGCCACCTTAAAAAAGAATACTCTGTCATAGATAGTTGTTTGATGAAAAGTAAATTCAAGCCACAGGTAAATATCATTGCCCAACTCAGGTCAATCCAAATGCAGCTTACTTCAGCCGCTACAATGATTTCAATAGATGACGAAGAAGAAGAATCGTAATCATTTTTTTTTATTATTATTTGTTAGAAATAGTTTTGGATAATTTGCATTGTTATATTAATAAAAATGTCAAATGTCAACATAAATATCACTATATTATTGATTTTAAATCTTAGATATATTTAATTTTTTGTCTGGAGTTCTAGAGCTAGTAAAAAACGGGAGTTCCTCATATACATGGGAGAGATGTTGTTATTTACAAAATACATCAGCATTTTGTATCAATTTGAAATTTATCATCTTTCATGCACTTTTTGAATGCAATTCAAAAGTGCAAGAATGATGTCATTCTATAGCATTATGGATATTTTTGTGATATACACCTGAAAAAATTTCAAGGCATTCTCAAAAATATCAGTAATGAAATAGAATTTTATCATTTTAATTGGGCTTAAGGAAAGGTGATTCTCGCTTAAAATCACTATCCATGGATCAGGTGTAGAGTATTTAATGAAATAATCAGCAATAAATTGAATCTAATAGACGACAATCAGCACAGACTTTTTATTAAATAACATATCTTCAGGAATATTAAAACCTAGAATCTAAAAGTATCATTAATCTGTCTCTAAGTAGGATGATTAAATATTTTGAGTATTAAGCTTCCACCAACAATACCAATAGTTCCTCTTCGTAACTATACTTTACAGAATTCTTATATCATATATTTTTTTTTGACCAAATCGCCCACAATGTTGTATTTCATCGGATCATATTTTAAGGTTAATTTAAACAATGTGGTTGAATACTTTATTATTTGAGTAATTTTTTCTTATTTTTACTTACATATAGTGATAAAAGAGGTGTTACTTACTCAGATGATAAGGCTGTTCTTAAATCTGCTTCAAAGGAACTCAGTGGAGAATATACAATTCTCCCTGAGTGTACTACGATCCAAGGAGGAGAAAGAATTGAATTAAGTCCATTCTACTTATGCAGAAATACGATTACATCTATTATATTTGGCAAAGGGAGTCTTTTGACATCACTTTGTTATGGATGTTTCCAAGAATCAGCATTAGTTACAGTGGATATGGGCGAGTGTACAAAATTATTAAAATTAAACAATAGAGCATTTTTTAATTGTACGAAATTAAATTCGATAATAATGCCACCTTGTATCACAGCCCTTGGAAAAGGTTGTTTCTATAATACTAGATCATTACAAAGGATAGATTTTCCTGATTCTCTTGAAACTATACCTGGCTACGATGGTACTGATTACAATGAATTCGACTTTTCAGGGATTACCGAGATTTCAATTGGCGAAAACTCTAATTTGACTTATATTGGAACAGATGCATTTGCATATTCTAAATTGAAATATTTTACAATCCCAGTAGTAGGGTATGATGGGTTATGTGACTTTTTTTGTAAACGTAAGAATTCATACAATATTGAACGATTTTGTATCATTATTTTTAACATTAATTTTAAACATAATTTATTTTTTTATTCTGACATAAATGACCCAACAAGTAAAACCAGATAAAATAGATTATCGAATTTTAGAGGATGGTGTTCCTGTTTATATTCAAAGATTTAAAGGGAAGCAATATTATAGAATTCTTAATCCTGAATACATAAAACATTTATTTAAAAAGGAAGACTGTGAATTATTAAACGTTAATGAATATGAACCCAATAAATCAAAATTGAAATATAAATATATTGGAAGTGATGAAAGATGTAAAGATAAAAATAAAGTTTATACAGTTTCATATAATGAATGGAAAACCAATAAGATAAGAAAACATTTAGGAGATTATGGGAAATGTTCTGAATTCTTCAAATCTAGTATATACGAGAGAGTAAAAGAAATTAGAAATAATTATTTTCATGAGTAAAAGATTCACTACCATAATGAAATAAACACATTTTAAAAAATTAACATTAATTTTAAAATAATTTATTTTATCTTTTATAAAAGAAGCTATATATAGATGATGTCAGATATTCCGCGATTAATTAAACATTGTTTAAATCCTGAATGAAATCAATGGAGTCATAATCAAAGACCTCATAAACGAGTAAAAAGAAATTGAAACTAATGATTATTTGAATTTATGAAATCAATTATTTGATTCATTCTTTCTTCAATCTCTTCTATTCTTTTTGTTAAATCATCTATTTTCATTAATGAGGTGATTCTTGATTGAGGAATAGATTTCAAACTAACCACTCCTTTTATTTTTGAAATTTTGAATCCATCAACTTTAAACATTTTATTCAATTTACACGTTGTCAATTCTTCAAATAATTTTTTATTATTAGCATAATAGTCATTAAATTCTTCAACAGATGAAAAAATTTTTGTTTCAGTAATTGGTTTAACAACGTTTATTTTTTGTTGAACATTTACACTTTCATTTATTTCTTCCTCCTCTGTTTCATTTATTTTTAAAATCGGTTTCATTTATCATTAAATAAAAATTAGAATATAAGTGATGAAATATATTTTTTAATTAATATTAAATCAGAAATGGCGGCAGGATTCTTTAAAAAATTATGGGATGGAATTAAGAAAGCTGCAGGTTGGGTTTATAAAAAGGTTATTAAACCTGTTGCAAACTTTTTGGCACCAGTAGCGAAAACGGCAGGAACTATCATAGGTGGAGTATTAGGTACTAAAGCGGGTAATCCGGCGATGGGAGCACAAGCAGGTAACGCAATTGGTGGAATAGCTGAAGGAATACTTAATAAAATAGGAGGTAGATAGTGGAAAAATAAATAAATATTATTTTTATCTTAGTATCGGTTGTAGTCTTTGATAAACTTTTTCTCCTTTATTTAAAATTTCTCTTATTGGGGCAGCTTTTGGTGTTATTGATTCAGCAACGTCACTAATTGCTTCTTTATTCTTAAATATCCAATTTGCTCCCTTCTTCAATGTTTCCCAAACTTTACTCGCTCCTCTTTTTACTTTATCCCACAGTTTCTTAAATATACCTGCAGCCATAGTTGATTATTTCATTAAAATTAAAAATTCATTTTCATCTTTTAATTTTGATTTTTTATTTATTAATAAATGACGACTAACTATTTGGTGCCAAACACTAAACCGATTAATGGAAATGTATTTCATTCATTCGAAAAGATAAATGAAATATTCGCAAAGAATGATGGTAGAAGATATTATAGAGAACTTGAAAGTTCATGCTATGACTCTGATACTCCATATTTTGATGATAAACAAACTCATTTAAGAATTACAAATCCGGCTCATGATGTGAACCAATTAGGTGACACATATATTAAACGTAAAGTTAAAGCAACTCTAGTTTCAAATAAAGCTTTCACATGTGATGCCGCTTTTAAATGCATGCGTTTATTCGTTGGTTACAAATCATCAAATCAAAGCTTTAAACAATTAGAAGTAGAAACTGAAAGAGGTGATGCTGGTTATCTTCAAATGGATTGCGCCCGTGAATCTTTCGCATTTGCAACATATAAACCAAAATCAGAAAGGAAAGTTAAAAAGTTTGTTCATTCGTTATATAATAATGTTCAAAAATATGATAACTCAGTATGTGGTAAATATATTGACCCTTCAGAAGTTTTCAAGAAAGCAAATGAAGAAGTTGATGTCACTTTTGATATGATTATTCCGGTAAATGATTTGTTAGCATTTCAGCGTTCGATGATTATCCTAAATCATTTGGTGAAATCATTCTTAAATATTATGTTTTCAGGGATATTTAGTATTTTGTCAGGTTGACCCGTTAAGAGTTGCTGATTTACAAAATTACGTTTATGAAAAGATAACTGATGAAAATTATGAAAAGATTATGAATCATGTTTATAAATATGATCGCAAATTCCAACAAATCGGACTTTCTACCAAATTAATTACAAGCTTAGCCGCTACATCTGCTGACGCAACAGTTGAAGACGTTATTATTTCATGCACAAAGATGGAAGTTTTAGAGGATAAATGTATTACACCAGGATACGGTTTAATTGAAGAATCAGTTAAAGCAATACCACGTTTATTCAGTAAGGAAGATCCATTCATGATTCCAGCTCAACATATTGACGTTCGTTCACTAAATGGAGGTTGCATCACTCCTGAAGGTATCAGCTCAGATTTCTCATACGCTCTTCATAATGTTACAGATGTTGTGTTAACATTTCCGAAGAATGCAATGCAAAGAACGGTTTTAGAAAATCCAATGCTTCGAGGTCTTCAGGTCACTATAGATTCCAGAAACTTCCCCGATCAAGCGATGACCACAGTGGGTGACATATTCTTTACACGTATGCTTCAAGCTTCCGATTTAGATGGAGTGAATGAATGCACGGAAGAATACGAGGACTCATTAACTAGACCACTGAATGCAGATGATGGCACGCCATCAGCTAGAACATGGAAAGACCAAACTTCATTCTTATGCACTATTCCAGTTCAACGTAATGGAGCGGGTATATTCTTTGATGGATTAGAAACTTTCAACTCACAAGTTACAGTACAAGTGAAAGCTTATCCAATCATTCAGGGTGAAAATGACACTTACTGTTCAAAGGTGACAAATCCTCCTCAGGTTTGGTTTACTAGGACTACATATTGGACATGGACACCGGATGAAGGTTTGAAATATCATCCAACAGGTACACCACCGCAGTATAGAAGTTCATATGATGAAATATTGATGAATAGAAATGTTTAAAATTATAAATTTATTTTTGATTAAATGGATTTAAATTCTGAAGAATTAGCGGGAGTATATAATACATACGTAGATGATATGATTAATGAAGCATTGAGTGATAATAGAAATGCTCTATCTAAAGAAAAATTAATGAAAATTCCATATTCTGAATGTTACTTAAATTCAATCACTGCAGCAATTGGTAAACAAAATAAAGGTAAAACATTAACGATATTAAAACAAATTATCATTATTGCTAACACTTCCCCCATTCACATGTGTTAATTTATATCAACCGTTCAGGTTCACCTTCAGATGATACATTTGAATCTTTAAAGCATTTAATCAAAATTCCAATTATTTATTTATCACAAGAAGAAGCAGAAGATTATTTAAAAAACTTTTTAATGTATAAAGAATTATATAATACAATCAAGAAGCAAGGATTAGAGGATAAAATTATTGATAAACAACGGGATGAATTATTTGAAACACTTTCTATTTCAAATTTTGATAGAGAATTTTTGCATTCACTCATTTTTCTAGATGATGCAGTGAAATCAAAACTAATAACAAATGAGAAATCATATTTTAATCAGTTATTAACTCAATGTCGACACATTCAGTGTTCATTCTTCATGGCTGTTCAATACTTCAAAGCATTAAGCACAAACATTAAATCAAATCTATCAACCCTTTTCATTTTCAGTGGGTTTAGTCGTCAACAGTTGAACGTTATGCTTTATCAAGTGAATTTACCAATGAGCATTAATGAACTTTACACACAATATCAGCAATTAGGTGAACATGGAAAAATAATAGTTGATTTAAATAAAGGAGGTGTTAAATTTGATTAACTTTTTATAATTAATTTTTATTTTTTATTTATAATTAAACATGACAGAAATGCAAATCTTCTACAGGTTCCATTAAAACAAGGGACAAACAAAAGGGTGCATATAATAGAACTATGAAAGTTCCTGATGGAATGAAAGAATTAGTTCATATTGTTGCTGGTCTTCAAAAAGATGTTAAACAAATGAGAAACGTTTTAACATTACCAGAAGCTCAAGCATATGCCAAACGTCATGGTCCAAATTGGGAAGCACACGAAGCAGACATTACGGGTCCAAATGGAAAACCTGATGGTATAAATGAAGTTTTCGTTACTGATGGTCAAGGTAATATTAAAGTCATAAATGGTTATAAATTAATAATCTGATTATCCTAAACGTAAAGCATATAATGAACGTTATCCTATGCAATTTGATGAAAATGGAAAAGCTGTTAAACAATACATTGGAGAAGGTGAAAATGGTCCAATTAATTCATACCGTCATAATCCATATTCTTATTTCAATGAAGAATTAAATGCTATTGAAGAGGGACCGGATGGATTACCACGATATGTTAATCAGTTTGATGGTCAATATGCAAATATTAGACCTGAAATTCCAGCTAAGAAATTCTTTAAAGTTGCTTTATTCGATCCAGTGTTCAATGAACAGAAAGAAGCAATGAAAGCAGAATTTAAACCAATTCAAGTGGCAAGAATTTCTTCATCTTCACTTTCAGAAGCGTTCAAGGAATTGATAAAGAAACCACTTTATTCTCAACAAGGTTATAACTTTGATTTAATTAAAGAAAGTGATAGACGTAAATTAGAAAAATCAGATGGTTTTAAGAATGCATGTAATGAAATGATTAAAGATATTGTAAATGATAAAATAAGACTGGAAGAAACTCAAAGCAATATCAATAACATAATTGGTGCGGTTACAAAGAAAGTATAAGCAAACAATGATGAACCTTGGGATATTACCGTAACAACTAAATAAAACTTTAAATATATTTTTCTTTTTTTATTCAATTATAAATGAGAAGACGTTTCACAAGTCAAAAGAACACAAACGCAAAAGCAGAGATTACGGTTGGTTATAACGTAAATGATGATAAATCACGAATTATTCAAAATGTTAAAGTTAATGTTAGTCCTGAATTAACAAGGTCAGCAACTCAACCAAATTTATTAACTCGTGACTTACCGAAGAATGAGGAGAATGGAGACCCAATCATTTTATCTGAACCCGGTAAAGAACCTGTTGAAATTCCCACTTATCCAACATACCCCCCACCTCTTTCATCAAACATGAGAACCCAGGAATCTACGATTCCAGTCGCAATGCGCCATATAAAATAGACATTAATTCAGAATTAATGAAAATTTACCGTGATATAATAACTGATAATTATGATTCAATAATAAATTTAATTGATCAATCCGGTTTAATTATTTTACCTTATGAATCATTAATTCACATTATCGCCATTCTTTGTGATGTTCAAGATTCAGACGTTAAGATTCAATTTTTCATAGATGATGAGGTTTCATGCTGCGGAACAGTTGCAAAAATAAATCCTATAAAGGATATTAGCACAATTAAGATATCAAAGAACGGAACAACAACTGAACTTCATTTAACTTATAATGATATTTATAATAAAATAGTTGATGAATATAAAATATCACTTGAAAAATTCTTTGTTAAGGCTATTTAATATTCAAGCATTAACATTATTGAATAATAATCCTTTGAATCATAATCGATAATAATTGACCTTTCACCAGTTTCTATCGTTTGTTTTATTTCTTTTTGTTCCCCACTATCTGGATCGGTCATTGTAATTGTTTTTGTTATAGTATCAGCTTTATCTTTAACTTCAATCTTTTTTCCATCGGGATATTTAAACCAAAATTCCAAAAATTCGATATTGTCAATCTGTTCATATTTTAATCTATCAATTACATTTTTAATACCATCTGAAAATCTTATGAAATGGTCATTATATGGGTTTGATTGAACTAAATTTGAATGAAGTGAAATATAACCCGATGATGAATATGACATTGACTCATATTTTCTGAAAACACTAAAATTTATAACATGAATGAATTTCTTATTCGTTGAATTTATGAATTCTTGAGGTAATCTTATTCTAGTTTTATTTATCACTGGAAAATAACGCTTTACCATATTTTTAATCGTAATAAAAATGTCAATTATCAATATTATTTCGAATAATAGTTGTGAATTAAATTTAACAGTTAGCGGAATTTATAATGTTACTCTCGTTTCTGTGAGTGGTAAATTTAATCCCATTCTTTTAGACCCTTCAGATTATATATCATTTATTAAAGATGACCATGAAAAAACGTATGATATGTATATAAATAATGTGATAGCGAAATGGGATATTAACATGATTTTAAGTTATTTAAATGAATCATTTATCGTATGGTATGAAGAAAATTTTAAATCAAAACCTGATAAACTTTTTGAACTTGATGAAATAAATAACCTTATTAAATTTCCACTGAAAATTAAATTTTGTACTCCTCATCTTCGTTCATTGTTGGGGATATTAAATTTTGAAAAAGATGTTGGGGATGTTTTGTATTCTGACACTGGTTCCAATTTCATTTTAATCAAATGTGATAAAGTTAATACCCCAATGAGATTTTCACATCAAACATTAGACCCTAACTCTTACCCATCAATACAAAACATTTTATCCATCAACTTAAACATATTTTCTTTATCATTTCCGTTTCAATTATCCGGGAATTCATTTATTCTTCATTCAAAAGATTTATCAAATATTAAATTTAGAATAACCGACCTATTTGATTGTGATTTAGAATTCATGAATGAAATATTATGGCAATTTCAAATAGAAAAAATAGGTGATGAGATAACAGATTAAATATTTATTTTTAAATCATAATAAATGATTAAACAACAGCAACCACAACTTAAGGCACAAAGCACCCAGGTCCCTCAGACCATTACATACGCCATATATGCATATAATTCAAAGACGGCAGAACAAACGCAAAGGTTGAAATATGGAGATTTGGAAATAGTATTGAAAAATGACCATTTCGAATTCGTTTGCAAGGGTGGTGCAGTGATATCAAATATAAAAGAAATTTTATTTATGAATTCTAAAATTAAAGGTATAACGGATGATATAACATCAATTCCACCAGAAGAACAAAGATATTACGCATTAAATGCATTTCCTAAAGTTTTGAAGATTGGAAGATTTAATTTAAATGAGGAATTCATAAAAGGTTTCCTAAATGACATAATGAAGAAAGCAGATAAGGAATATGTGGTTAGTGAGTTAGAGGAGAAGGTAGATAAGGGACTTATGGCTAGTGAATTAATGAAGAAGGCAGATAAGGAATATGTTAATGAAAAAGATAATGAAATTAAAGAAAGGGTTGAATGGTATCATGAATGGACATCAAAGATTTTAAAAACTAAAGCCGATACAGGATGGGTTTCAGGATGTTTAGACCTTAAAGCGGATAAGGAATATGTTGACGATGAGTTAGAGAAGAAAGCGGATAAGGAATATGTTAACGATGAGTTAGAGAAGAAAGCAGATAAAACTTATGTTAATGAAGAAATAAAACAATCAGAGGTCTATTTTACTCCGCCATTTTTAAATTTTATGAAATCATCAGATAAAACCTTTGATATAGATTCTTTTGAATGGATATGTTTCGATGGAGTGACCATGTATTTATTTTATACAGCTGGAGTGCTTTATTATTTTAAAACAAATGATTTTAAAAACTATGAATCATTTACTCCATCTGTTTGGAATCCTGATACACGAAAGCCAATCATTAATCCAAGAATTTTATATGTTGAATATAATAACGGTAAATTTATGGGAATGATAACGGTTGGAGATGATTTTTGCCCTTGTTATTCATTCGATTGTATCCAATGGTTCAAATGTAATTTAAATCAAGATGCTAAATTTAAATATCCAAATAATCCTATTAGATGCGTTAATAATAAATGGGTACTAATTTATGAAGTCAATCAAATTTTCATTAGTGAGGATGGGATAAATTATTATATGTTTAGTATGATGTCATCAGATTTGAAAATTGATTATACAAGTGAGTGGTATTACATTAACAACATGTATTTTATCCTACAAAATGATAAAATTTATAGATCATCTTCAATACCACAAGGTCAATTTGAACAAATTTTTCAAGCTGATGGACACATTGAAGCTTTATGTTATGGATCAAATGTTTATGTTCTCGTTTCAGGTGAAATGGTGTATTCATATCCTGTAAGTTATAACAGACATATTTATTTATCACAGGATTTATCAAATTGGGAATTGGTTTATTCATTCACTCCAAAACTTACTCGAAATTATAGATTTACAAATTTATTTTATATTGATGGGTATTTCATTGCTTTAGGATGTGGTGATTTAGTAAATATCAGTAGTGATGGAAGAAACTGGTCTGAAATCACAAAATTTCAAGATGTTAGAAAAGCAATTTTCAAAAATAATACGTTAATATTGATAACAAGACCAGTTTTAATTTCTTACCCAAATTCAATATTATATAATAAATTCAATATTCATAATGGATTAAATACAATTCTTGAGATGATTTACCCCATTGGTTCTATTTATACGTCAATGAATTCAACAAATCCAGAAACAGTTTTAGGTTTTGGTACTTGGGAACAGATTGTAGACAGGTTTTTGTATTGTGCAAACTCTTCAAAGCAAACAGGGGGTTCGAAGAAAATTACTGAAGCAAACCTTCCACCGCACACTCATACAGGAACTACAAACACAACAGGTAGTCATTCACATTCAATAACAAAAAGAGGTTATACAAATCTTGCAGCAGGTTCGGATAGACAGGGAATGCATAGATATGATATTTCAAGTGACCCAGTAGATTCAAGCGCAGGTATTTTCTGTGGAACCGCAGGAAATCATTCACACACTTTCACAACAAATCCAACAGGCTTGGGTGAAGATTATATGCCACCATTTATGACTGTATTCGCATGGTACCGCATTTATTGAATGAACTAAATATATTTTATGTCTGTAATTAATTAGGTAATGAAGTAATGGATGAACTGCAGAAATATATTTTATCGTTAATGTTTACGTTAATGGTTACGTTAATGTTTATGTTAATGTTAATGTTAATGTTAATGTTTTCAGGTTATTCAATAATTAATTATTTTTGAATAACTGATGAGGTCACCGGGTCACCAGGTGGTCACCAGGTAATTTAACTTCTCTGAAAAAATGAGACAACATGACATTTTGACAACATCACAGGAGGAAGGCAGTTATGACTTATTTTTGAAGAACTGAAGGGGTCACCAGGTCACCAGGTAATTTAACTTCTCTGAAAAAATGAGACAACATGACATTTTGACAACATAGTGGGAAATATAATGCAACCCAAAAATAAAGTTAGTTTTAAAATTATTTTTATTTTTTTATTTTGTATGTAAGAACAGAAATGTCAGTCGAAGCAAAAACATTCACAAACAAATCTAATGGCGAAACATTCACAAAAGGCACTTATAATAGTATTGAAGTCTTACGTAGAGACAAGGATGGTTACATTAATGCAACAAAGATGGCAAGAGAAGCAGGAAAGTTAAACCATTTAAACAGATTTCTCAATAGTGCTAAAATGCAGGAAATTCTTGAGTTTTGGTTGAAAGAATACGGTGGAGCAAAAGTGGCTCAACCTCAAAACAAGCATTTTATGAGCTTGCTAAGGGCGTTATAAATGAATTCAAAGGTATTTACATACATCCTGACCTCGTTCATTTTGTTGCTGAATGGTGCTCTGTAAAGTATGCATTTTATGTCAAAGATATTATGGATTCCATAGACAAGAAAGTTCATGAAGAATTAGATGAAGAAGAACTCGAAGATACAGTAGAGAATGCTAAACATTTGTGTTTTGAGAGAAGAAGTTGGAAAAATGTGCGAAAAAAATTAGAACATGAACGTGAGATATGTTATGGTTATAGAGATTCTCCATACGAACTAGACCAATGGGAACAAGAAGATTTAAAGAGAGAATTTAGAGAATATGAACTCGCTAAGATAGCATTTGAAGCTGCAGAAAAGAAGTTAAAAGTTTGGGGTCATTCTGTACAAAAATATTGTGAGTAAATGAACCATTTATTTTTATCATAAACGACCAGAAATAAATTTTTATCGTTAATGGTTACGTTAATGGTATAGAGTTCAATGAACGCTCGTCGACATAAGATTTTATAAATTGCACATTTGACGTAAATTCCTTTCCCCAGTATTCAATAATTAATTATTTTTGAAGAACTGAAGGGTCACCGGGTCACCAGGTCACCAGGTAATTTAACTTTCTCTGAAAAAAATGAGACAACATGACATTTTGACAACAGTCCTGGAAATATATGTTTACGTTAATGTTTTACGTTAATGGTTTCGGGTTATTCAATAATTAATTATTTTTGAAGAACTGAAGGGGTCACCGGGTCACCAGGTCACCAGGTCACCAGGTAATTTAACTTCTCTGAAAAAATGAGACAACATGACATTTGACAACATTTACGAAATTTGATGTAGTCCAAAAATAAAGTTAGTTTTAAAATTATTTTTATTTTTTATTCCTATATAAATGACAGCAACAAACAACAGCAACAGCAACTATATCATTTCTGAATGAAAAAGTTATTGATTCATTAGCTGAGGAATTAGTTGTGGCAGAAACTAAAGCCTCAACGAAAGAATTGGTGAAAACAAGATTGATTTACATAATAACTACTCAAACATGATGGAGGAAGAGGAAGGAAAACTGGTACAGTTTATTAGTAAATAAAATTTCAAATTTAACGATTATAGATGTTGATATCAATAAATCATACAATGATGAACTTAAAGAAACAGTTTAGAAAAGACATTTTATCAAACCTTTCGGATAAAGATGTTATCGTTAAAACTGCATCAGGAGGTCTTCACATTTATTGCAACACTAATTTCTTCTATTCAACCTCGAACAGAATGATTAAATATTATTCCTGCAATGATTATGATATTGATATCAATGACTTTTATTGATGATTCAAAGCGTTCTTTAGTGGTTATGGCTGATTCAAGAGTTCGCAAGAATGCATCAGAACCAATCAATACATACTCATTCATTCGTGGAAGTTATGATCAACATTATTTAAACTAGTGAATGATATATTAAATGATTTGAATATTAAGGTAAGAGTTGAACAGAAGAATGAAGAATAAAGAGTATAATGAATGAAAATAAAGTGTAAACATTGACGATAAACTTGCCCAGAGCATAGTTGAATGGCATCTGTGATTTTGAAGTACATAATGACGGTGGAAACATGAATTTAGAAAAAGAAGTTACATTATTCACACTGTTTCAAGCAATTAATTCCGTTACCCTAATCATTTAATTAATGAAGCATACGATAACGTTTATAACTTTCTGCAGTTTTAACAGAAAATGCAAAAAGTAATTTTTGAAAAAGCACGTAGTAATATGCACATTTAATGACTTCTCCATTTGTTTTAGTGAAGATTCTAAAACTTTATCAAAAGGAATATATGATGAATATGTTTTACCTTTATTACGTAAGCCAAAAATAACATTTGATATAACTTGATGACTCGTTTTTGATAACAGATATTAGACGCAAGGCTGAAAATCATCAGTATAAAAACAGTTTGAAGTAATTGAGGATTTATCACGTGTAATTCGTTGTAGATTGTGGAAATAAATATTTCATTCAAAGGACTATAATATCCACGACAAATGAATCAAATATCATTCGTTCTTTCAATCAAACATGAAAGAGTCACTCAAAATGATTAAATTATTTAAAGAAGAAGGTAAAACCATAACAGCATGGGATGTACTACTAAATCAATTATCCTCATTAACCGTTAAGGGTGTTTGCTTTAAATCTGATTCCCCAGATGTTTTCAACGTTTCAGGGTTATAAATACAAATTCTTGAAAAGCCTGATTACTCAAAAATTGAAGATGTTTTATGGATTTCATTAAAGAAGCCATTTGTGATAATAACGATGAAGTGTATAAATACCTTCTCGGCTGGATTGCATCAATGATTCAACATCCTGGAATCAAGAATGAAACAGCAATTATTTTGAAAGGACTTCAGGGAACAGGTAAAAACAGATTCACAGACATTATTTCTGAACTCCTCGCTGGTTATTCATGTAAAAACATTACTGAAATAAGTGAGCTAACGGGTAATTTCAACTCAGTTTGTTGAAAATAAAAATGTTTCTTGTACTTAATGAACTCAAGAATGTAGGTGAAGACAGACTCGCAACTTCAACGCTTTGAAATCAATTATTACGGATAATGAGATTAGAATTAATGAAAAGAATCAACCCAGAAGAACTGCTCAGAATGTTGCAAACTTCATTTTCGTAACTAACAACGTCTACCCTGTCAAAATTGAAGTTGGAGACAGAAGATACGTAGTTTTAAGGGTTAATGGTAAATTCAAGGGTCAATTTGATTACTTCAAGAATTTAATGGATTCATGCACTAAGGAATTTTATGATAACCTTTTAACATATTTTATGCAATATGACCTTTCATCATTTAATGTACGAATCATACCGATGACTGAAGCCAAACAAGATTTAATCGAGTTATCAACAAATCCTTTAGATGAATGGATAAATACACATTATGATGAATTATGTGCAGGTATGACGTGTAAAAATGCTCTATTCTGCAAACCATCAGACATGAAAGACAAGAATTTCCAAATGAGCATTAAGGATAAATGTGAAAGGAAACAAAGAAAAATAGATGGTAAACAAACATGGTATTATGTTTTGAAAGAAGAAATGAAAGGATTATATAAACAAATTGAACCAAACGATAATGAGGAATCATTTACTGACGATGAAATACCTGTAAATGAAGCTTTATAAAGTATGACTGGAATTTATTTTTGCCTTCCTCCTGTGATGTTGTCAAAATGTCATGTTGTCTCATTTTTTCAGAGAAGTTAAATTACCTGGTGACCTGGTGACCTGGTGACCCCTTCAGTTCTTCAAAAATAATTAATTATTGAATAACCCATGATGTTGTCAAAATGTCATGTTGTCTCATTTTTTCAGAGAAGTTAAATTACCTGGTGACCTGGTGACCTGGTGACCTGGTGACCCCTTCAGTTCTTCAAAAATAATTAATTATTGAATAACCCATGATGTTGTCAAAATGTCATGTTGTCTCATTTTTTCAGAGAAGTTAAATTACCTGGTGACCTGGTGACCTGGTGACCTGGTGACCCCTTCAGTTCTTCAAAAATAATTAATTATTGAATAACCCATGATGTTGTCAAAATGTCATGTTGTCTCATTTTTTCAGAGAAGTTAAATTACCTGGTGACCTGGTGACCTGGTGACCCCTTCAGTTCTTCAAAAATAATTAATTATTGAATAACCCATGATGTTGTCAAAATGTCATGTTGTCTCAAACTTTAGAACGGCATAATTTAAATTTTTATTTTTATCATAAATGAATACCCCACAAGCTCAAAATTTACCACGAATCATAACAAGGGAGGAAATGATAAAAATGATGCAAGAACATGTTAAAAATAACAAACCACTAAAATTGAGAAAATGTGGTTATGCAGTAATGATGGAAAGAGAGATGTTGTCGAAGAGGAATAAAAATTAAATTTGGATAGAGTTTAAAAATTCATCTTTATTAAATTCATCTCTTCCAACCAATTTATTTATTCTATTAAATTCTTTTATTTTTGCTTCACTCAGTTTAAGGATTGAACGGTAAGTTTCTAATTTTTCGATTATTTCTTTATCGTTTTCAACCCCACCGCATTGCGGCTTCTTTTTGTAATAGCATATTTTTGATTTAATTCTGTTTAGTTTCTTTTTATATTCATCGTCTGGACTCTTGACTGCTTCGTTGTCACTCATTTCTTACGAAATAAAAAAAATTAAATATTATTTAAATATAATGGAGTAATAAAATAAATCGGAATTTCTATTAATTTATTGTTAACTTCAACTAATGCATTGCCGTTAATATATCTAACAAATTCAGCTATTGTGTCAAATCTTCGTCTTCTTTTTGTCATTGATTTATCAGTTTTTCCATAATCGAGATGAATTAAAACTTTATTCCCTTGTTTAAAATTCATGAGCCCCGAATTAATTTGTTCACGTTTAACATCATTTAACTTTTCCATTTGCTTTCTAATATATTCCCATTCTTTTGAAATATCATTTTTCATTTCCACCGGTTTCATGTTTATAGTTCTATGCCATGTATTATTGTAATAATATACTAACTGTTGTATGATGGAGTCATGATTTCCATCCCAGTATATCTGACCGTTAACCCCTAACGCATCTCTAAGAGTTCTCATTACCGCATCAACTATTTTATTATGAAACGTATATGGAGAGGATGAAAAGTAAAAATTAATTTGTGGGAAATAATGAGTCATAGCTGCCTGAAATCCTTTATCACCATCACCCCTGATATTATCCACTCTTTCATGATCTAGTAAGTATTGAATAGCTCTTCTTGTTTCCTGTTCTGTTTTCCCTTTCACCGGAATGCAATATAAATATCTAGTGTTAATGTTAATGGCAAATAAATAAGTAACGTTTCCTTTTGAATATTCCAGATGATCAATTTCGTATGAATATGGATATGGAGCAAATGAAGGGCGACTAAATTTTTCCTTTAATGGTTGAATTTTTGGGTCAATTGGTTTATTTAATATTTTGAAATCCTTTTTAAAATCTTTTTGTTTCTTTAATGTTTGAAATGGATATAATAAAGTGAATGATGAAGGATTAACTGAAGGAGGAGGCGGTACTGTCGTTGGAGGTTTTGTGTGTTGCAAGTGGTTTAATTTTATCTGCTTTGATTTTGGATTTCATTCCTTCCTTCATTAATTCTGGATGTATTCTATTCATTTGTTTTAAATATGCTGTATATAAAGGTTTGATATACTTTCCCGCTTCGAGTTTATGTTGAAGGATGAATTCCAAAAGTTGATCTTCATTTAAAAGTCGGCTGAATATGGTTTAACTAATGAATCATAAATTAAAGCTTGTGCATCATTTATGGTCTGAAGGACCTGGGTGTTTTGTGGCTCAGGATTATATAAATTATATAATTCATCAATATCTTCTTCTGTTAATACTTTATTTTTGAAATCTTTCAATTGTTTAAGTTGTGATTTAGTTTTTCCCTTTATATATTCATTATTTTTAATTTTGTCTTTAATTTTAGAAATTATTTTATCATGATATTTCAAAATTTCATTTTTATAATATGGATAATAATAATCCATATCATCACCTGTTATATTGTTATCATATTTTTGGAGATATGCTTTTAAATCATAATAATTAAGAAAATTTTGATTAAATACTAAATCATCAATTAAATTTTTTAAATGTACGTTATCCATTTATATAAAAATAAAATCAATGTTTTAAGGGTGCCCACCTCTTTGATCAAGAATCAAAACCATCATTAACGGTTCCTTTTGTCTCTTCTGTGGTATTTTATTAAATAAATGGCATACAACATCCATTTTCACAACATACAGCCTTAGTGTGTGCTCCTGTTAATGCAGTCTTACCAATTGTTAAGCGAGTCATTGACCCGTTTTTAAGTTGTAAATTAATATTCTGACCATCAAATATCAATTTATCATTTATTATATCCAAATAATTTTTAGGTGTTAATTGCTTATTTTGTCGTAAACTAACACCTTTCATTTTTTGTGCAATCTTTTTAAAATCACTTCCATCAATTGAACCATTGAATGATGTATAACACTTAGGACATAAAGCAACCATGTTATCGCCTTGTTTCTCAATTGCTAAACCCAATAACTTCTTCTCATGTGCTTTTTCTTCAGCTTTATTCTTTAATTTAGGTTTAAATTTCTCATCAAAACAGAAGAAATCAAATGGTGCGAATTTGAAAATATTTTTATCATAAAATTGTTTATCGGTAACAATTGCTTGAAATGCTTGAGTGTTAGGAAGATTTGGATCACCAGCGATTGCCCAATAAGATGAATCAGTATCACCTTCAATGAAATGAAAACGATTAACATTCATGCATTTATACATAAAATCATAAATGAAAACCAAATACCAGTATTTAGCATTATCTAAAGTGAAGAATGCCTCTTGTAAACATGTATCACATCTATAAAATCTATCTTTAAGCATCACTTGATATGTATCCTCTCCTATTTCTCTTATGTTTTTAAACTTATTTGACATACATGCAACGCGTGACTTCTGTGCATTCATTATTTTAGTCTTTGCGTAATTTTGTGTATTCATTGCATCGTAACCATATGATCCATTAAGTGAAATCTTGCAAAATAAACTTTTTCCTTTATTTCCTTCTAATTCAGCCTTTTGTCTTTCGTTCATAAATTTGTTCGCAAATTCATTAAACAAGTGTTTTTCGTAAATGTTAAAATTGATTGAATATCATCAATGATAAAATGAAATCTGTCTATTAGATACCAAGATAATAAGAAGAAAATGGTTGATATTGGTTGTGTGTTGATGCTAACTGAGTTAATTTCTCTGTTTCTGGTCAACTGGTAGATTGTTTGATTTCATGTAATTATACATAAAACTGCCAATTGTTTTTTCATCTGTGATAATATCTAAGTTTCTTATTATCGGTAAAAAGTTTATGTAATCATTAATGTATTTTTCATCAATGTGACCCTTTACTTCAGCCACGAATAAAGTATTTTTCTTCTTAATTATTCCCAGTGCTTTTGCTTTCTTTGTTGCTGTATCACAAATGATAACACCATTCAATCTTCCCGGCATACACATTTTATGGTCAGTATATTGAATGAAATCATGAGGATTAGATGAAAATGATGAAGGATATAATGAATTAAAATCAACACCAACGAAATGAGTCATAATGTTGGTGTGTCCTCATTTGATACAGTTTTAGTTTCTGGACTATATGAAAGTTTATTAATGTGCGTGATTCCTTTAAGATTTACTCTATGTTGAACATTTGATAAACCACCAGTAATTCCATTACGGAGAATGTGATAAGCTTCAACTGAATCTAAAGTCATTGGTAAATTATTTTTTAATGCATAATTTCTTAAATTGATTCTTAAACGTTGAACATCTTCATCTTTATTTGATTTTACGACATTGCAATAACAACACATTAACTGACAATTTTCTTTGGTATGTGGTTTTTCATTATCGATTCTATCCAATGTTGGTTTATTTGCATATGTAAACGCTTTACCACACATTTTGCATTTAGATGAAAGGATTAAATCGTGATAGTATTGAAAATCATCCATTGAAACATTGTTTTGGTATCTCTTTCGCTTTTCATCTTGTTTCTTATATGATTCAATTTTATATTTCCAATACTTTTTCGTTAATTCAAAACTTGATTCTATCTCTTCCTCAGGATATTTTCATTAGGATTAAAGTCTTTATATGCTAAAGCGTAACGAATCATTGAAGCATTCGATGATAAAGAAAGATTATGAAGCATATCAATTTTATAAACAAATGTTTCTTCAATAATTTTATCAATTGGGTCAATCATAATTTCAACATCTTTATTGCAATAATGAATAAAATATTCTAATCTATTCTTAAAATTTTTAGCATCATTGAGATATATTTGATAATCACTATCTGATATAGTTTCTTGAGTTAATGCTGAATAAAATGAATCTTGAGTGAATGGTTCCTTTATATAATTCTTCTTCGTAATTCTCCCATGTGATGAATTGATAAGGGAAAAAGGATTTAACACGTGATTTATTGTTTCCGAAATCTTGAGTGAATTGGTCTAATGTCCCACCCGCTATATAATTTCTGATGTCAATAAATCTTAATTCATATGGACGTTTGTTTTCTTTACAATGATTTGCTTAAATTGAGAAGATGAACCCAGCATTGATTTATTTTCCATTTTGCAGTGTTTAAATCACGAAGAATTAAATTTAAATCAAACTTTCCCGAATTAAAACCTATGATATTCACTTTATTGAATTCCTCATCTAGAAGTTCTTTAAATGCTTCCTTCTGTTTTTCATTTAATGTATTCATTAATTCTTCATATTGTTCAATATTTGATTTAGCAACTAATGAACAGGTTGAAAATAAAAACTCAATCCAATCAGAAATAAAAGAATCACTCGAAGTTAAGCAAAAATTCCTCGTATATGTTTTATCATTTAATTTAACCGTTGATGATACCATGAATGGTTTTAAGTAAGCGTTCAAAGTTGCACACTCAGAAAGTTGTAATTCTTCTTTAGTCTCTAATGTTTCGAAGTCAAAAGTAATATAATATCTTGTCGGTTGATAATATTCCTGCAAATTGTGAGCTAATAACCACTGATATATCTTCTGTTTCGTAATATGTGGTGCATATGGTTGCTGGGTCTTTTGCAATTGAACGTCTTGAATTAATCTTCCATTATTTTCTTTACATTTCTCACAATGCTTTAAAAATCTTCTTTGGTTTTTCCTTTCTGGATCATCACGGATAGAATAAACTTCTTCTTTACAATATGGACAAACTTTATAGCCGGTGAGTGCTTCAACGTCTGTTATTCTGTCAGCGTGAAGTTTTCCACATGGACTCTGTGTTAATAAAATATTTACTGTTTCAAATTCTGGATCTATCATTATTGATTCCACTAATGGAAAGTCTACCTTATTTATGTCCACGTCTTCTGGTTGAGGATCACAATAATAGAAATCAATATTAACATTTAACATTCTCGCTAATCTCTCACTTTCTGATGAAATGTCAAACCCTTCATATGCATCTATTGCTTCATTTAAATAGCTTCTACGAATTTTAGGATTAACACCATCAGGAATGTTATAGAAGCGTTTAAATAACCTTCTACCTTCTGCTCTAATTTGATTATCATTCATTTTAGCTGTTCCATTTTTATTCATTTATGTAAGAATAAAAAATTAAAAAATAAATAAAAATAAAGTTTATTTTTTTTAAAGTCCGAGACTCAGAGAGTCCAGGGCTAAAGCCCATAAAATGAATTAAGAACACATAAATTTTTATCATCTGCGACGTGACGAATACATTTTAATTTACTCAAGAATGCGTACCCTGATACATTAAATCTAATTCCTGTCTTATTTAATTTCACAACTTTGAAAAGGAATGTATGAATAGCTATAAAATGATGAGAAGATGTTTTATGGGTTGCTTCCATTTTTTCTGAAATAAATGAATAAATATAATGTTTATAAGTTTTCATATCTTTTATGTTCTTAATAACGAATGGTATAGACCTTTCAACTTCGTCTTCCTTCGGTGCTGTTCTTTCATATGAAACATTATTGGTATCTTCAATAATGAAACCACAATCGCATAAAATTTTATATGTACCAATTGTTTCTTTTGATATTTTATCTAACAAATCAAAAACTTTATCAACACCTGTACATTTATTTAAATAATAATTTGTGTAAATATCATGGTCTTCTTTCTTAATCGTATTTGTTGCATATGTTACATTTTTCAATGCTTTTTTGAATTTTTCAGAATCAAGAGGAGGTGAAAGTAATATACATGGATAATCTCCATCGTCAATAAACTGAAGCTTATGTTTATGAATAAATTTTGTGCCTTCTTCTGAAAGTGTTTCGTCAATATCACCATCTAATAAATTTTTAGTAGATTCCAAAAAGTAATTTTTATATCTTTCCTCATGTGATTTTTGAACTTCTGATTCTGAAGCTGGGATATTCATTAAACCCTCTACTTCATTCTCAGCATTTCTCAATTCCTTAATTTTTTCATCTATTTCATTTCTTAATTGTTCCAATTTCTCAATCTCATCATATTCATCATCTTTAATTCGTTCTTCATAATATTCAGGAGGTGTTTCAAGGCTCTCTGAGCCCAGGTCCTCTGGACCATAAAGAGGAATATTCTTCTGTTTTTCAACTTTTTTGGGATATAAATATCTCATTATAGCCTTTTTAGTAATTGGCCCGTTATATTTAAATTCATTCAACAATCTGGAAAACTCTTTCACATTCTGCATATATGTTGGATAAGAACCGTCTCCAAAATTTTCTAAAATATTTTCTAATTCTGAATTAGTGAACTTTAAAGATTTCAATGAATTAGTTGTTATACTCATTTATTATAAAATAAAAAAATAAATTTAACTTAGTTTTAATTTTACGTAAGAAGTCAATTTTTTAAATCATGATTTATTTCAAAACGTAAGAATAAAAACCGTAAGAATCATACATTTTTTACTTCATATGTTAAAAAAAATGATACAAAATCGTTCAATATTGTATGAATTCTTACGTTTACAAAAAAAGTCACACAACCCATCATACCCTACTACTAATCCCGTCGAAATTAAAAATGCAAGATGGATCTTGCCTCCAAGCTTGTCCGATTATTAGTATTAGTATTGATAAGAGAAATCCATATTACAAAACAGATGGAACTTCTATTTTTTCTGGGACAGTTTTTTCAACTTTATTCTACGCAAGTTCAGCACTAACTGGAACATATCAAGTTCCTACATTCATTAGAAAGATTGGCAATTCTGCTTTCAGAGGTTCTAATATAAATAAAATTATTCTAACATCAAATGTGACAACTCTTGAAAATTGGTGCTTTTCTAATGCTCAAATAGCAGAATTTACATTCACTGATCAAATTACATCAATTGGATCATGGATATTTGCAGGTTGTGGTAGATTAACTTCGGTAACACTAAGTGAAAATATCAAAAAAATACCTGATAGAACGTTTTATACTTGTGTAAATTTGGCAACAATCAATATTCCGCCAAATTTGACATCAATAGGTGATCAAGCTTTCTATTCATGCAAATCACTTAAATCAATAACGCTTCCTAAAACATTGACAGAGCTTGGTGATGGATCTTTCAGTAATACTGGTGAAATTAAAATCACTTCTTTGAGTCCATATTTTTATTCAGAAAACTTCCTTATGTACAAAGACAATAAAGAAACATTGATTTTATACACAGGCTCAAATACTAATAATGATATTTCGATAATAAGAGACTGCAAAAGTATTAGTACTCTCACATTTAGTAACAAAAAGCTTCGAGATGTTACTTTCCAGAGCGAAAATCCTGAAATCAATGTGATAATTGGAAATCAGGCCTTTCAATCTTCTACTATTAGATCCATTATTTTCCCTCCTGGATTAATATCTATTGGGAAAAATGCATTCGAAGGTTGTGGATCTCTGAAGAATGTTACATTCAAAGGGAACAAAATAAAATCCATTCCTAACTACTGTTTTAATAACAACAAAAATCTTGAACACATCACATTTCCTTCATCTATTGAGAGTATTGGTGAGTATGCTTTCGCGAACTGTCCACTCATTGGAGATATTGGCATCTCAGGCATGATCAACCTGATTTTTATTGGTGCTTATGCATTCTTTTATAGTGGTCTGAGTTCAGCGAATCTTGCAAACAGTGGCTGCACAGTTGACATCAAGTGCTTCATGGGCTCATCAATCAGAGAACTCACAATTAGCTCCTCTATTCCTCAGCAGCTCTGTCAGTACTGTGTATCTCTTGAAAAACTCACTCTGAAGATCGGTGTTTCAGTGATCGGACCATATGCATTTGATGGTTGTACATCTCTCAAAGGATTCATCATTCCTAGTACTCTTTCCAACATCCAAGGTTTTGCATTCCAGACTTGCACATCTCTTTCCACTGTCTATATGAGTGGCGAATGCACTCTATCTAGAGTTGATGGTGGTTGCTTCTACGAATGCTTCAGTCTCACTGAAATCATATTGCCTCCATCAGATCAAAGATATCGTTTTGAGAACGGCGCACTCACAGACTACGATCAAACAAATCTCATTGTCTTCCTTCCTTACAGTGGAGTCAAGAACTTCATTGTTCCTATGACGATGAGAACGATTGGTCAATGTGCTTTCATGGGCAGTCCATCACTTATCAGAGTTTTCTTCAACGGCAACAATATCCAGACTATTGACTACCAAGCATTCAAAGACTGCAAAAATCTCAATCTCGTCTTCTTCTCATCATCCAGCATCAAAACCATCGGTGACCAAGCTTTTGATGGCTGCAGTCTTCTTCGCAAGTGCGGTTCTTTCTCAGCTCCATCAAGTGCTCAGAAGATCATCATTGAGCAAGGTAAGATTCCTTCGATTGCATTCAAAGATGATTGTGGTTTAATGATTTCATGCAAATATATCCAACATCCCGCAATTTCATCCTCATATCTATATCCTTTCATATCTATGTCTATGTAATTAAAAAAATGTTTGTAATATCTTTTAAAAATAAATAAATAAAAAAGAGATCATTTTTACTTAAAAATGAGCATTATAATAATTATATTCTGTGAGAATCACGGACAAGCTGCATTACGTGGTTGTTGAGCTTATCGTTTGCGATAAGATCTTCGAGCTTGTATGGGTAGCGATAACGCCACTTGTGATTTGGATCAGCAGGTATGTTGATTCTTTCAGCGTCAGCTGACTGGAGTCTCAACTCTGGGAATATTGAAGTGATATCCTGGAGGAGGAATATTGCCCACATTGAGTTAGACCAGATGTTCTGCTTGAGTATATCTTCCTGAACTTCGCAAGATAGTGTCTCTGGGCATGCATCATGCCTGAGGAGGACGTTGTACCAGAAGTTCTCTCTTGTTGCCTTTGTCTCCTCCCACCATCCGCGGAGTGAAGATGTATCGTGTGTTGATGGGCAAGCAACGGACAGATATCCGAACTTGTGGAAGTCATCGAAATCTTCCTCTGGTATCTTAGACATTCTCTGGACGTGGAGTGAGAGAATTGCAGATTCATCGATAGCTCTTATGATTCCAGCTGTGATCTGTCCGAGATCTTCGCCGCAGATGAGCATCTTTGTAGCATTCTTGAGGACGTTGAGCTTTGGCTGAGCCTTCTGGACCCAGAGATCTGTCATCCTCTCGTAGAAGAACTTATGAGCTTCTTCCTTGACACGCTGCTTGAGGCCTTCGTCGAGTTCGTTCCATGATGATGAGACATAGACAACAGGACCTTCTTTCGTTGGTTCGACGTGATCCTTGAGGACTTCTGTTCTCATGTGGAAGAATCCTTTCCTCTCTGGGTCTTCAATGAGGATGACATTTCCGATGAGCTGGAAGAGGCAGCATCTATAGTGTTCACGCTTCTCTTCAGAGAGTGTCTTGTCATTGTCGAGAGCTTGGGCAACATTCTTCTCGTTATCGAACTCTGGCTTGAATTCGTAGTAGTCATCTTTTGCATCCCAACCTTTGTTGTTGAAATACTTGTGAGAAACGAATTCTGCATCTTCGTGGAATTTCTCACAGAGGATGTGCCATCTGACGTATGGCTTTGTGAGTCTTTCGATATCCCAGAGGCCCATTCCGTTGAGTTCATCGCGCGAGAATGGGACTGATGGGAAGAAGTGTCCGAGGAGACCTCTTACGCATGTTTCGCGTGGGACCTCCCAAATTCTGAAGAATCCGAGGATGTGGTCAACTCTGAGCTGATGGTAGAGTTCTGCCATTCTTGTGAGCCTTGAGCGCCACCATGAGAATCCATCTTTCTCCATCGCTTCCCAGTCGTATGTTGGGAATCCCCAGTTCTGTCCATCAGATGAGAAGTCATCAGGAGGAGCACCAGCGCACATGTGGAGTCTGAAGAGCTGTGGAAATGCCCAGCACTCGACTGAATTGATGTTGACACCGATTGGGAGGTCACCCTTGAGTGCAACGTGGTTCTTTGTTGCATAGTCGTATGACTCTTTGAACTGCTTGTCTGCGACGTACTGAATCCAGTAGATTTCGAGCAAATCATTCTTTTTCTGCTCGCAGACTTGTTCGAGCTCGGCTGGTGTGATTGTTGAATACTTTGGCCACTTCGGAACTCTGTTGTCTTGTACTCATCTCTGAGGAGGCAGAAGAGGGCGTATGGTTTGAGCCATGATCCATTCTTCTTGAGGAACTGTTCAAGGCCATCTTTGACGAAATTATCCTTCTCAAGCTTGAAAATTTCCTTGAGATACTTCATCTTGAATGCGAATACTTCTGGATACTCAACTTGCTCGAACTTCTCGAATCTCTCTTTGGCTTCGACAATTTCCTTCTTCATTGCTGCTGGGATCTTGTCTGTGATAGCGAGTAGGTCGATGTAAACAGGATGAAGAGCGAAGCAAGATACCTGGCGGTATGGGTAAGAGTCACACCATTCTCCTTTCTCTGTTGTATCATTGATTGGAAGTAACTGTATGAGAGAAGCACCCATCTTGTTGCAAGCATCGACACATTTCTTGAGGTCTGTGTAAGATCCTATGCCCTGAGAATCGTTTGTTCTAAGGGAGAAGAGAGGAACGTATATTCCCATTCCCTTAAACAAGTCTTTGTTTGGACTGACGAACCAGTCTTGGATATAGTTGATAACCTTTCCGTCTGACAAAACTGGGACTGGGCAAACTCTGTTCTCACACTCTTCCCAGATGAATGTGCTATTGTCTTTGTTCTCAATGACGTACTTATACTCGAATGGGAATGAAGATTTTGCAAAAACTTTGTTTCCTGTCCAAGCAGGGAAGCATCCATCTGCAAGAACTAATGAATTCTTTGGATCCCAGTTTCCGAGCTCTGGAACGTTTCCGACGATTCTGAGAACCTGATTTGGTCTTACATATGGGCAGTTTGTCGCGAAATATGTTTGTATTGCGTCTCCTGTCTGCTTGACAGTGATTGGTTCGCTCTTGACTGGACTTTCTCTTGAGTTGATTGCACCGACAAATGTTGCGCGGCTGAATGCGTCAAGGACGTTGTCTCTCCAGTGGAAGTGGTCTTCGATGTTGATGATGCAGTTTTCGTTGATCTCTCCTAAGACAAGCTTGTGGTTCTGCTCTGGTTCCCACTGTTTGTTGTCGCCATTAGAAATGATATATTTGTACTCGACGATTCTTGGATCTTTCGACTTTTGTAGTTCAACATCGACTGTCCAGTAGTCTAAGTTCTGCTCGAAGTGCATCTTTATCGACTTTTCTGAGTCCCAGTTTCCTAATTCAGGGATGTTGCCTGAAACGAAGACTTCTTGACCGAATGTTGTAGACACTCTGACGTGGAAGTGTACAATTACTCCATTTGATGAGATAAAGTTCATGTATTTGTCTTTCTTTGATGAAAAATGAAGTTAATTTTTTTTTAATAATCCTTTCAATATTTATATCAACAGAATCAAAATTGTGAGAAGTGGAGAAATCGATAAAAGCTTCTTCTCATAATCATATATACTGCTTTATCACAACACTGTCTTTTTATTATATTGAGAACCTTCAGGCTTCTTATGAACTCAAATCTTTTTCTGTGAAAATGACCCAAACGTCCAAAACTCGATGATATATATCTACATATGAATGTAATGCATTTCTTGTTGCATGCTAAGTAGTGTCAATGTGTAAACCTCTCAATTTTATCGTCGGGGAAGCAACACAATTCCCTCAAAAATATTGAAAAATATAGAAAATAAAATAAATTAAGATGTACTTAAAATGAGAAATAGATTATGATATTAGATTTTAGAAAAAACAGACTTTTGATATAACTTTTGAGAATCTCATATAAAAAAAAGCATTTAAAAATAAATTTAAATATCTTATTTATTTTACTATTGTAAATATATTCTGAGATTTTTAGAAAAAAACACTTTTCATAAGTATTCAATATTTGAGAATACGGTCCAAAAAAGAATAGATTCTTTTATATTCGCTTATATAAAATGAGACTCTCTATCAGATGCGAATGCCTGAATTCAGCACCTCTGATAGAGAGTTTCCTCTTATATAAGCGGATCTTTTTCATTCGTTTTTGTTAATATAAAAACATAAAAATCTACCAATATGAGAAATTAAACCCTGCGAGGTGCCAGTCTAGAACTGGCGCTTCGCAGGGTTTAATTTCTCTTGACAAATGACAAAACTTGTTCGCAATTGTGAACCATTGCGAGCAAGTTTGCCAGATATCTGGAAGGAATTGCTCCTTATGATATATGCATTGTAACTGTATATATCATAAAGAGCAATTCCTTCAATTAAACGCAAAAACTTTGGTGCAATCGTTGCTGATTGCACCAAAGTTTTCGAACTTTCCCGAGGGAATTGGAGGGTGAGAGATACATAGTCTATCTATGTACCTCCCACCCTCCAAATCCCACTCTAAATGGGAGAAACTTTGTTCGCATGTTATCTTATTCAAACAAAGTTTCTCCCATTTAGAGAAGGAATAGGAGCCTACCAGGCACTGATATATAATCAGTGCTTTGTAGGCTCCTATTCCTAATAAAAATTTGAAAACTTTGGAGCATTTGATTATTGTATTTTGTCAAGAGAAATTAAACCCTGCGAAGCGCCAGTTCTAGACTGGCACCTCGCAGGGTTTAATTTCTCATATTGGTAGATTTTTATGTTTTTATATTAACAAAAACGAATGAAAAAGATCCGCTTATATAAGAGGAAACTCTCTATCAGAGGTGCTGAATTCAGGCATTCGCATCTGATAGAGAGTCTCATTTTATATAAGCGAATATAAAAGAATCTATTCTTTTTTGGACCGTATTTTCAAATATTGAATACTTATGAAAAGTGTTTTTCCTAAAAATTTAATATAATGCTTAGCACAATATATAAAATTAAAATATCTATAATTATTTTCTATATCACACTTTTCATTACACCTTGAAAAGTCTTCTCAAACTCTATTTTTAATTATTTTTTAGATATATCTCAAGTGTGATTATTCAAAAACTCATATAGACTATATTTATTTTTTTCATTCAAAAAATTATATGAGAATCTCAAATTAACTTTCAAATTTTTTATTTTAAAAACATATTAATAATCATATTTTAAGATACTTTTTCGCCCAAAAAATAATCGTACTTCCTCGACGATTAATAGGCTCTCAATTTCTATCGTTGACACTACTTAGCATGCAACATTCTCTCTCTTCCGTCATTTTCCTACCGAATTTTCAATATTTTCAATGTCTTTCAAATTTTATTTTACATTTTTACATTTTCGTGTCAAAAAAATGCGGACGCGCAGAAACTAGAAATATGCAAAGCATTACTAATTTAAATACATTATCACTACTTTTCTCCAATAAACGTAAAATTCTTCGAAATTCTTGACCGCAGTAAAGTTGAACACGGTCAATGAGCAAATGCATATTTACACGCACTCACAAGCAAACTTCTCAATATTATAAATATGACTTGAGCTATATAAATTGAAAGAATGAATATGAAAATTTCAGATGTCGGAAAAAATTGATTAAAAAAGAGGCATAATTCAATTAATATCTTCATATGCAATTTTCTCGGTGCTAACACACTATAGCAATGTAAACATCTGAGATAAGGCAATGTATTTGTGATTTTCAATTATATCATGCCTAGTAATTCGGTTTTTAATAGACAAATATTGAGATAAATTAGGATTAAATTCAAACTCATTAATATTCAAAAATATCTCAAATTATCATATTGGTTCAAGATATTGATCTTAATAAATGAAAAATGAGAATATTATCAAAATAAAGAGTTTATTTTATTACAAATGTCGAACTTAGAATCCACCACGAAGATGAAGAACGAGATGGAGTTTTGCGTCCTTCGGGATAGAGTAATCCTCGAGTCTGTTTCCATCTTCAAGTTCCTTGCCATGGAAGATCAAACGCTGCTGATCACGAGGAATACCTTCTCTGTCTTGGATCTTGGCCTTGACGTCTTCGATCTTGTCTGCTGATTCGACTTCGAGTGTGATGCGCTTGCCTGTGAGTGTCTTTACGAAGAGCTGCATAAAGAAAAATGAAATGAGCTTTTAAGTAGGCAAAGTATTTTCCAAATTTTCCGCATTTTCTTGATTTTAGAAAAAATTTACTAAAAAAATCTTTTCCTTTTAAAATTATTTAGAATCATATTGTTAGTTTATATCCTAAATATTGAGAAGTAAAAATTTTTGATCAATTTATATAGCTCAAGTCATATTTATAATATTGAGAAGTAAAATTTTTTGATCAATTTTTTAGTTTTGAAAAGTGACTTTTTTTTCTCACTAATTTTTTCTAAAATCAAGAAAATGCGGAAAATTTGGAAAATACTTTGCCTACTTAAAAGCTCATTTCATTTTTCTTTATGCAGCTCTTCGTAAAGAAAAGCATAGATGATTAACTTCCTTCATAATATCACGTTTGCAGATTTCATCGATTTGGATGATCAATTTCTATTTATTTTTTATATTCGAATTCGAATTTTGAAAGAAACTCATAGAATATATTGAAAAAGGATCGGGATTTTATAATGACTGTTTATATTCGATTTCTTGAGGTTGAAAACTTTGAGCCAAAGCCGCTTAGAAGTTTAGATTACACCTTTAGTGCTAACGAAGCTGGAAATAGACACACAACATACTTTTACACCGAAGGACCAAAATTAGATTTCAAAAAATACGTCCTAGCAGTAAATATTACTAAAAAAGACTCGGAAATAATTCTTCATATTCAAGATGGAGATTATGACCTCGTCAAACAGATTGCATTACTAAGAGTTCCCCTTTCTTCACTTCCAAAAGACAGAGTATGTACCGCTTCTTTAAAATTTATTAACATTAGAATGTATAGTCCTCCAGAGTTCGAGATTATGTTCCATTATGATACAATAGGTGCCAGAAAATTCGAAGCTGATGACGATGAATTTGATTATAAGGTATTTAAGAAATGTTATGATAAGCAAATGGAATTTTTTAATAAGTCAAGAGAAATGAGATTACAGAAAATGCATCAAAAGCAATCAATCAAAACTCGAAATCTACAATCAAAGAAAAGACCTTCATCAATAAAAAATACGGAAGAAGAAGAATATGATGAAGGTGATGAAGAATGGGCTGACGTTCCTACCGATGAATTAGAACAGCAACATACTTTTCCACAATTCCGAGCCCCCGATTCAAGTATTTGTTTAGACGAAATTAACCTTAAGACAATTGCTCCAGAATTAACAACCCTGAGGAGTGTTTATGTACCACCACCAAATGTTGTTTTCAGGCCGCCACAGCAAACGGCTCAGAGCATAACACCATCTTTTCCTGCGCTGAATTCTCTTTATTCTCCATCAATGCAGCAAGGACAATAACATAAGAATTAAGATAAATTATTGTTTTGTTTGTTTTAATATAATATTATAAAAATTATATCTGAATAGATTTATATTTACGTCGATTTATTCATGATTCCATATGTTTCTTACTTGGCAAAAAAATAATAATTTTACATGACAAAAAAATTATATGAATCATCCTCGATTTGAAACAGTTCAAAGTAACGAGTTAACGTATAAATATCAACGACTAAAAGAAAAAATGAAGGTTATTAAGGCTGAAAACGAAAACTATTTAAAGATAAATGAATTATTACAGGGTGAATTGAATCAAAAATCTGCTGCCTTAGAAGCTTCTTCAAGATCATTCCAAGCCCTTAAATTACAATATGAAGAGTTACTCCAAAGATTAACAGAAATTCATTTTTCATCATTTTCTTCCTCTGCAAACTCAGACGTTAATATTAAAAAAGAAACTGATGATGAAGTAGTAAAACTGAAACAGATTATAGTAGAAAAGGATGCAATTATTGAAAAATTACAACATGATTTACTAAGTTATAAAAATAACGATTCCAAAATAGATCAAATCTATAAATTAATATTAGAATTCAAGCAAAAACGTGGAGAGAAGGAAAATGCTATTTCAGTTGATCGTCAAAAGTATATATATCAGTCGATCAATGATTTAATTACTATGCTCACGGAATCAGAAGCAAAACGAGAAAAGACTGAAAGGAGGATAAAATATATTTTAACTGCATGTAATAAATTAACTAAAATAGTTTCAGAAGAAAGAATTCGTATTACCCAAATCATAAAATCAAATGAGGCTTCTCAAGATGATGATTTTCTAGACCAGGAGTTTCGAAAATTAAGGATATTTATACAAAAGGCGAACAAAAAATATAATATTTCCAATTCAATCGAATTCTAATAGATTCTCCTTTGTTTGTTTTAGACTAAAGCTTTCTTCATGTTAATATCTTATCTATTTCATCGAGAAAGGGACAGACTAGCCCATTGTCACTTTTTAATTTCGCAAATGAACGCTTATGGAGTGGAGTTTTTGGGTAAATCTGATTTGCTTATAAATGAAATAAAATCAAAAGAAACCATATTGGCATTATATATATGCAAAAATAAATGATCTTACTTAGTACTTTTAAAGTTAATTTCAGAAAAATTTGACACAATGGTAGCATACATGGTCACATACAAGTGGTGTACAACCAAAATATAAGTTAGTTTAAACATATATTGCTATATCTCATGATCTTACTTAGTACTTTTAAAGTTAATTTCAGAAAAAATTTGACACAATGGTATCCGGCACATACAAGTGGTGTACAACCAAAATATAAGTTAGTTTAAACATATATTGCTATATCTCATGATCTTACTTAGTACTTTTAAAGTTAATTTCAGAAAAAATTTGACACAATGGTATCCGGCACATACAAGTGGTGTACAACCAAAATATAAGTTAGTTTAAACATATATTGCTATATCTCATGATCTTACTTAGTACTTTTAAAGTTAATTTCAGAAAAAATTTGACACAATGGTATCCGGCACATACAAGTGGTGTACAACCAAATCTTCGACTCGATGAACTTGTCATCGAGTTATATTCCAGTGTTGTTCCTTCATTCCTGATTAAGTTGCAAATTAAAGGTCTGGATTCAGAGAGAAGTGTTAAAGTTATCAAAAAAGTCACAAGAGATTTCGAAGAAATGACACAATTTAAAAAAGTCGAATGCATCAGTATGCTTGAAGCTGTTCAGAAAGGTCTGAAAAATGATACACTTGATCCCAACATTGTTTACTCAACATTAAAAATATTATTGCAAAGAAAACATTTGATTTAATAAACATTTAATTTATTATAATTAATTTTTTATTACAGTATAGTAAAAAATGCTATAAATAAATTATTATATTTTATTAAAATGTGACTTTTAATAGTAAGTGAATAAAATAAATCAGGAATTGGGAAAGAAATAAGGTTAATTAAAAATAATGAAAATTACAAGTTTAAGGTTAATGAAAAGTGACAATGGGCGAGTTTGTCCCCCACTCTCTATTTCATCCGTTTTTCGTTTTATCGTAACCTCTGCAATTAGCTCTTGGATATCTTGAGAATTAGATACTGAATCTCGAATTACTACGGAATATGAAAGAGATGATATTTTCCAAGTACTATCGTAAATAATTCGATTTTTTCAATGATATTTCTCAGAAAATTCAATGGAACCGATTGCGATCAATGTTTATTGCTTTATAGGTCTAAATGAAATATTTCAATAATAATCTGTAAACCATAATTGAAAAGAAGGATAAATTTTTTCTTCAATGACTTGTACAGTTCCTACTTCAATTGGGCCTTATCAATTCATAAGTAAAGTCGGAGAAGGCTCTTTTGCAGAAGTTTGGAAAGGCCAGCATATCAAATCACAACTCAAAGTTGCGATTAAAGTTATTAATAAAGCAAAATTTAAAGAACCGAAACATTTCACAAGATTCAACCGCGAAGTTGCTATTATGAAACAAATTGAGCATCCTCTAATAGCCCAAATATACCAAATCATGGAAGACGAAAATAATCACTATTTAATCATGGAGTTTGCCGAAGGAGAGAATTTACTTCAGTACATCAATGCAGATGGTAAATTAGCAGAACCTCTTGCACGCCAATATTTTATTCAACTCATTTCGGTTGTAGAATATCTTCATAAGGAAAAGAACATTATTCACCGAGATTTAAAGGCCGAAAATGTACTTCTTGACAGGAATTATAATATTCGACTTATTGATTTCGGTCTTAGTAACTCTTTTTCCTTGGATCATTTGAATCTTGAAACAGCATGTGGATCACCAGGATATCTACCACCTGAAATGATTAAAGGACAAACTCATACTACAGCAGCCGACATATGGAGTCTTGGCGTTCTACTTTACTGCATTGTTGTTGGACATCTTCCATTTGAGGACCCACAGATCCCGAAAATCCTGGACAAAATTGTCAAAACCAATCCATTTTATCCTCGTACTTTATCAGCTGATCTCTCAACTCTACTGAAAAGAATGTTAAATAAAGATCCAGATCAAAGAATTACTTTAGATGAAATTAAACAGCACCCCTGGTTCTCTGTTGATGCGTATAAGTATGTAAATGAACGTCTTTCAAGAACTCTTCCGATTACTTCTCCTGGAGAATTTTCAATTATATCTAAGTTCCAATTAAACGAAGATGTCTGCCAGAAAATGAAAGAGGAAGGTTTCAACTCTGATGGTATGGAAAACAGGCTGTTAACCCGCGAATTCGATGAGGAAAGCGCGATTTATTTGATGATGGCCAAAGATCGCTTCACTGATGAGATAAAGGATATAAGAGACGTTGGAATAAGGATTGATGGGAAGCGTGTAACTAGTTTCTTGAGAACTAGGGCTCCTTCTTTCGGAAGTGCTTCTGCAATTCAAAGTATGAATGATCCAAACAAGCATTTGATTGCGCCACGTGTAATGGCACGACCAAAGCAAGCCATCAAGCCTCTTAGTTCTAATTTTTAAATTTTATTTAAAATGTTTACGATTATTTAGCTTAAATCAAAATTATGTTATACCAATATGATTTTTTTCAACTCCAAATATCAATTCTAGGATTAAATTATTGATTCATTTTGAAATATTTTATTAAATAAATAAACAAAGCAGATAGAACAAACATATTTCTTCAGGACTTGTTGTATTTGAACTGTAGGATTATCAAATTGTATTCAATTTTTAATATTAAATAATTTCTCGAATGAATAAAAAAAACTTTAAAAAAGGAGTAAGTTATTAGTATACATACATTTTATAAATTGCAAGTAAGCGCGTTTAAACTAATTGAAAATATCAGTGAAAGTCTTAAAAGAATTTCTCTGAATAAACTGTACTTGAATTGTATTCCGCTCTTTTTCTATGATCTTTAAAATCTGGTCTTCATTTTTCAAATCTTGGATATTTCCTTCTTGAATTTTGAAATTATTCCATACTTTTGGCAGCGGTTTGTTTACTTTTGAAAAATAGTCTTTCTCCTTGACCATTCTTAGTGGTAATGTATGAAAATCAAATTGAAGTGAAATTGCAACGCATTTAGCCATGAATAATTTCATTTCTTCAACGGAGGAGAATTTCTTTATGATATATGAATATCTATGATCTTGGTAAATGTTTGTAATGTCCAATGAAAAAGTTTGAGATTCTGTAAGATCCACAGGAATGCCATAAATATAATAAATTTGATTGCTATCGAAGTCTGTTTCGTTATCTTGCAGATCTGAAAAGATTAAGCTTTGGATAATATAATCTCTGGTTTTTGTGAAATCAATATTGTCGGATGATTGAATTGTTTTGATATTACATGCATCTGCAATTAGAGTTTTAGAAAAGAAAGGCGATAATTGGAATATATCTTTTTTTAATGGACGATATTTTGAAAAAATTGCAATTTCTTTATTATTTCTTATTGTAAATATCTCTCCATTTGGATCGGGAAGTACTGGGTATGATTCATACCATGTGTTAATGTAAGAATAATACCAATTAATTGTATCCATTTTTTGTCAGATTTAAACACCACTAAAACTAAAGGTTCTTAACTTCAAGAGAGCATGCAATATTTATTCAAAATTATCTTCCATTACCACAAATTGGAAAAAGAAAACGCTTTGTTTGTTAAAAGAAGCATGCAACACCTCCCACATTATCCTATTATTACACAAAATCTGCAAAGGAATACCTGATTTATAAAAAAAAGAAAAGGTCGACATATATTAGAGAATACAAAACATAATATACAAACAATTTATTTCCGCTTTTTCTGCTTAGCTTTAACATTGGAATAGTGTGAATTGAATGATGGTTTAATGAAACTCGAATGCATTGTTCTAAATTCATAGGGGTGGTCTTCAAGTTTTTGTTCTAAGCCTTTCCTGCCTGCCCTGGCAATATAACTTCCATTTTTAGTTTTGGTTTCTACACCAACATAACTAATTAAATTAGGAGAGGCTGTTTTCTTTATCCATTCATCCCTATGATTTCTAACTTCTTGAATTGAAGTTGATGGCCTTGAATTTGCTTGTTTTGGCCGGTAATCACAAGGACCAGGAGTTAACTCAATATCTGGAAATCTTGGCACTATTGACATTGAGTTCTTTTTAGTTTTCACATATTCAACAACAGGTGGTCCATAAACGCCGGGATCTGGAACGTGATAATTATCAAATAATGATCGATCGATCTTTTTTGAAGGAGGATAAATCTTCTTCGCATTTGATATCCCGAAAATCTCAGGCATTGTATAAGTAGTGGATGGAGGAGATACAGGATCGATGACTTTGAATCGTTCGGTTCCTGAAAGAAAAATTCCTGATTTTTCCGCTTGTTCAGTTGAAAATCGTAGATCTGGTGTATGCATGACTGGTGAAGGAGCATGGAATGTTGTTTCTTGAATCCATAGTTCTTTGCCTGTTTTTGATTCAAATTCTGAACTACCCTCTACTGGTTGGAAATCGATATTAGGGCAGCGTTGTTTTGGTAAAATAGGCTTTTTTCTATTAGTCCATTCCTCGTGTGAAAGTTCGCCACTTAATGGCGTAGGATCGAGTGGATAATCTTCGGTAACATGTAATGTATGTTTTAATCTTGTTTCTGATGGTTTATACGGATAAGAAGCAGGACTTGATGGAAATGGATCTGTAACGAGTGGTGATCTTATACAATTTCGAGATATTGATGTTTGTCTTCCGGATGGTTTATCAGGGTATGGGTTATAAGCACCAGGGCCTAAATAAGACTCATCTTTGGTTTCTTGGACAAGTCTAACTAATTCCCCAGTACTTGTTTCGATATATCCATAATCAATATTTGTTGAATTTCTACGAACGACTGAGGAAGATCTTCTTGGTGTTCTTTCTCGACTTAACCGAGTTGTAATTTTATTCAAAACAGAAGGATCCCCAATCATTGATAAAAAAATGTACGTTAGTTTTGGAGCAAAAATTTCAACACCAGAAAACAAAAAAATCATATGTAAAACTAGAATTATATTAAGCAATTTTGAAAAAATGCGAATAAATTGAGGGATTTTAAATTCGAAATCTGATTTCCAAAAGATAATTCAAAATAATACAAAGAATCTTTTATATCTTATGGCAAATATATGTACTGGTTCCTCTTGAAGATCTTTGAGAAAGGAATGCCCGAGAATAAAAATATATAGCTAAACCTGCCCAATCTGTACTTGTATTCGGAAGATTTACGTTATTAATTAAGCCAATCTTCTTGACTATCGCAATTAGGATTTCATAATTGTGACTTTTGTAAGGATAATCTGGATATACAGGGTGAATCGAGAAATTATTTCATTTAAGAACTTCCTGTCTATACAATCATGTATTATATCATGGTAGAGTAGCGAAATGATCAACGCGAATAGTTAAATCGATAGTTATATTCTATTTAAATTTCCTTCATTAATTTGTTGATGAATACAAATATTTATGTAGATATTACTTAATAAAATTGCAAATATTACTCAAAATTTGTAGGTTAGTCAAGAATTAATAAAAAAAAAGATTGATTAATTACGTAGACCTTTTAGAGGTTAGAAGCAACAAATTCCCAGTTGACGTGGGCCCAGAAGTTCTTGAAGTATTCAGCCTTGCGGTTCTCGTAGTCGATGTACCAAGCATGCTCCCATGTATCGACTGTAAGGACTGGCTTGAATCCATCCTTGACTGGGTTAGCAGCGTTAGAGTACTGGCCGATTTCGAGTTTGCCCTCCTTGTTCTTGTAGAGGTAGCACCAGCCGGAGCCGAAGACTGTGGAAGCCTTGGCTGTGAATGTTTCTTCGAACTTCTCGACAGAGCCGAATTCCTTTGTAAGGGCATCAGCAACCTTAGCTGGAACGGCAACCTTGTCAGCAGAAAGGCACTTCCAGAAGAAGGAGTGGTTGAAGTGCTGAGCAACGTTGTTGAAGAGTGGGCCCTGAGCCTTCTGAATGACCTCTTCGATGGACTTGCCCTCGAGGCCGGAGCCGACGATGAGCTTGTTAGCGGTGTCAATGTAAGCCTGGTGGTGCTTTGTGACGTGGATCTCAACAGCATGCTGTGTAAGGAAGCCTGGAAGACCAGTCTTCAAGTAGGCAGGATGCTCCATTGTGAACATTTTGTTTAAAGTGATGTGAATATAATTTTGAAAAAATTCTATCATAAACTTCTCAATTGATAAAAATCATTCAATTCATTCAAAAATTTGAATGTATTGAAACATTGTTTTTTAAAAAATTTAATTCATTATTTCAAATATACATAGTTGAAATATGAGTTTAATTTTATTTGGTCAGGGAAGTAAAACGTCTCAAATTTTTTTAGACCTAATCGTTTTGAAAATTTTGATTGTCAATGTAATTAAGAAACGAGGTTAATTTTTAAATTTTTTATCGTTTTATTTGAGTGCATAAAAACGGATTGCCAAACATAAGGAGTTGGTGTTTATTAGATGTAGCTTGATATTTCCTGCGTAAAGAATTTTTTTTTATTTGTGATAAATAATTTTATCAGTTATGTCATGGTATCACTGCGTAATTAGAGCTTTAAGCAGGAATTCAAATTCTCTTTCAAAAATAATACATTCAACTGGCCAAATATGATTCAATCAAGTTTTACAGTGAATCGTTAAAATAGCTTTACTATTTTGACATCTGTGTATAATTTGGTAGATTGTTTCATGTTCAAAATTCAAAGATTCTAAATATTAAAAACAAAATCAAATATCATTCGCTCAAATGTATTGTCGATTAGAAAAAAACAAGATAACGAATCTTTGTATTGATAAAGCAATATAACTCAATGCACTTATATCCTTCAGAATTAACAATTAAATACCACTGTTCAATGCAGACATATATAAGTGATACTTTCAATTTTACCTTAAACTTATTAGTTTCGTAGTAGTTTTATTTTGTAAGTGCAGCCTCGATGATGAAAAATTTACTTTAGACAGAAATCAAGCAAGTCAGTAATTGCCTACTTATTATTCTATGTTATAGTGATCCATGATTTGTTATATATGTCACTACATATGCTAAGAATAAAAAGGAAAGATTAAAATTAAGAACTTCTTTTTAAAGAATGCTTGTAATTCTTATGATTGCTTTTTCGTATGTCCCATCTATGTTTTGCTAAGTATATTTAGTGCGAACTTGATATTCATTCCAAAAAATTGATATAATTTGAACTTTCTGATACATTTTGAACTTGCTGGATGAAGTATTGAAGAATATTCTCACTTTCGTATTCCAAATTTTTTTCGGAATTGAAGAATCCTTTCTTAATTTTGTAAAAATTTATTTTAATAATCACAATTTTAATTTTTTTTGGGCAAATTTTTTTCAATTGGATATAATGAAATTTCTTTGTTAAACTAGAATTTATTGAGTTTTAATATCGAATAATGTGATTTATTTTACATTTTATGTATAATTCAATTAAAAAGAAGATGATAATTATAATATTAAATTGTCTGTTTATTTTTTTTGAATTTAGGTATTTTCGAGAATTTCAAAATATCAAAGGTACTAAAAGATACAGAACTTGCAAATATAATAGTTATATCTCTCAATTACATAATAAACACATACAATTTATTCAATACAAATATCTCTTACGGACTAGTTGGGAGAACATCTATTTCTTCATCATTAAATTTATCATCAGTTTGGTTTTCATCAACTTTATTGAGTTGCGCTTTAAGATTTTCCAATTCTGCATTTTGAGCTTGGAATAACACTTTGTATTTTGTAAGTTCCGTTAAAGATTTGACAAGCTCATTATTTAAGAAAGAAATCTCACTTGTTAATTGAGCTTTCAAAGATGGATCAAGGTTATCCGAATTTTTTGCGTTCTTGCTGGATTTCGTTTGGTTGGGACTTTGAATCTCTTGATGTGTTGAAAAACTTTTAGATTGTTCGATCTCGTTTGATGTATTAGCAAGAATCTTCTTTATTCCTTCATTTTCATCAGATGAATTACCAATTAACACTCTTAAACGCGCAATTTCATAATCCTTAGATTCAACTAATTTACTAAGTTTTTGTTCTCTTTCTTTCACGGCAACTATTTCTGCTTGTAAATTTAATAAATTTTCTATATTAGTTTTGTGAATCTGCTCATATGACTGCATTTGCATCGCATCGATTTGGTGCTGCCTTTTTAATTGTTCATTTTCTTGCGTAACTTTTTTATTTGTTTTTGATTTCTTTTTTGCGTCTTTTGCAGTATCTTCATACGATTCTACTATTCTTTTGAGGAAGTATCTAATGTATTCATTGAAAAATGGTGCTTTCAGCAAATCAGATAATAATAATGAAATTTTGGCAGCTTTATCAGCATTCCAACCAAAATTGATTTTCCAGTGCTGTAAAGTTTCAAATAATTCAAGAGGTGTTAGTTTTCCTTTTGATTGCTCAAGTAATAAACATGCCTGATCAATTGTTACGCGCATATGATCCAGAATTCTGCATATATCATCTTTCTTGAACATATTGTAGAATGTTTTATTCGCTAAATACTTATCAATATTATTAGCATGCTCTTGATAACTCCCGATAGACATCCAATTTTTTATATTTTTATGCGAAAGCTCTCAATTTCAATAATTCATAAAAACAATCATGCTTAGCCATCTCCTAAAACTATCTCAATTTGGTCATATAAATGTTGATTTTTTTTTTAAATTGAAGATTTTTGCAACCTTGAAGATGTGCGGATTTCAACAATAAGTATAAAAAAGGTTATTGTTAATGAAAATACATATTTAATGATAAACACGCTTACAAACATTAAAACATTTGTGTAAAAAGACACAATACAAAAGCAAATTAAATAGATCTATGCTCGATGATATTATCCCATGCACCAACAAACAAATCCGTAGACTTCGATTCAAGTACAATAGAGTCATCATATACTGATGCGTTTAATTGGGAAATTGGAAGTAGCATGTTGGGCTTAGGCTGAGCTTGTAAAGTATTCAAAAATCAATGTAAACATTTCAATTTTTGCTCCCACCTCCCATTGATGAAAGTGCATAAGAAAGCTCCTTAATCATACCGATAGAAACAGCATTAGGGGCGCCAAATGGCGCTCGGTGATGTTTCCCATAAAAGCTTAATTTCAGGTATCCATAATCATAACCTGTCAGACGCAATAATTCATTAGCACACAATCATCGTTTCTCAACCAAGAAACGAAACGCACGATTGATTATGCTGGCCATTAAATTTTCATATCAAATAATTTACTACTTCAAGAAAAATTAAAGACTATCATCAACCAAAGCTTAAAATTCTCAGTGTTTACAACTCTCATACTTCGAATATGCATATTTCCAAAATAGCATGAAAATTTTTTTCATTTGAGCTCATTTTCTTTTGTTCTATTAACTAATACATGCAGTACAAGCTTGTTATACGTATACTTAATAAGTAAGGTCTTAAGGGAAATAATAAAAAACAATTTTGCTATTAATTATATTAAACAATATTTATTTGTAATTTCGTGATAATTATATTTCTTATTACAGAGTAAAGGTATTTGATATAATGTTTGCCTTACAAAAATGTTTCCTTTGTCTTGCCACCATAGGTATTCTATTTTGTCACTTTTTGCGCCCGCCGTGCCATGTATAGTTATTAATGAAACAGAGATTAAGATTTATCTTAAGATTTTTTTTTCTGAAGATAATCAAAACAGAAACTGAAAAAGCTTTTGCAAAATTAGATATAAAGGGCTAATATTACACGATATGGATATATTTATTTAAAACAATATTATCTTTGGCATTAAATCAGAAAAAACAGAATTGTTGTTCTTTATCAAAGATTTCGAATGTAAACGAAATTTTACAGACTCAATATTTAGAATACACAGATATACATTTACGTATTTCATATACAAACATTTGAATTTGTTCAGATCTTTGTGTAATTTATACATTATGATTAAATTACCCATACACTATTACTTAAAATATGAAGTTTTAGCAGATACTACTATAACTTCAGGAAAATATCTGAAAATTCATTTTATCAAAATCAAAAGCTTATGACAGAGATATCAGTGTTATGGGTTATCATCATATCGAATGATAATAAGAATTTGGACAAACATCTATTACTTGAAATTTTTTTTGCCATCAATAATTTGAAAAATGAAGAGTAAAAAGAATAAAATTTGAAAAAAATAAGACTGTTTAGCTTAAACGCTTGTAAAGCGATTAATATAATTTTCGTACTTGTTGCACATATTTTCAATGAATGAGTATTTTGTCTTGGCTTCTGGGCCACGACCGCGCTTTCTCATTCTTTCCATGCAAAGATCTGGTGTAGACTTAAGATAAATAACAACACCAGATGTGTTAGCAAGATGCTGGACGTCAGCTGGTGTAACATTCTTGGTACCGAAGATTGTACCAAGGATTTCGTTTAAGACAGCATTCGGGCTCTGTCCGTAGTTGTTGATTGTGATGACTTTCATGTCACCAGCAAATCCTGTGATTCCATACTTGTTTTGGACAGCACGTGCCTTGCTGAGAACTGTTTCATCGCCATCACAAAAGATCATGGAGCATTCTTCGGGGAGACGTTCAATAACGAAAACATCTGTCTTTGACTCAGCAAGTTGTTCGTCAAACTTGGCTAAAACATAGTCCTGGAAGTTGATCATTGAGATTTCACCACCGATGAGTTTGCCAAGCATCTCTTCGCCTCCTGGAAGATCGATATATTCATGAATGTAGTCAATTGAGAGTAATTGGGATAGCATTCTGCATTGTGTTGATTTTCCAGAACCTGTTGGACCAGTAACGACGATGGGGCACTTCTTCATCGTGAAGAGATGATATGAAGAGGGAGAAAAAAATTTCAATATGAAATCAAAAATTGTGTGGAAAATGGATATGTTTCTGAGGTCTATTAGAATAATAATATTAGATTTTTAAATCATTTTAAAAAAGACTTGTAAATTGTTAATTATTGAAATTTGTGGCTGAATCCGTCATTCAATTTTTCAATGCATTGCATACAATTAATCCAACAATAATTTTAACATTTAATATATTATTCAGTGTCATGCCTATAGCTATTTTATAATTCAATAAATTCAATAAAAGATTGGCCATTTTAATGCGAAGCTTCTTTCAATTTTCTGAATGACTTTGAGATCTGTATGAATTCCAACAATAGTTCCATTACATTCCTTAGATGATACAGACAATTTTTATTCATGCCATTTTCAAATCAACAATTATCTGTAATAATTTTATTAATGGCTTCAAATAAACAGGTTAATAATAATATACAGGATATATAAGAAATATCTTTCACAAATGGCTAATTTGTCAGGGGCCGTCAAAATGTTTATTGTATATTTTCAAAAACTTTATCAAATATTCGCATTATTTTACATTTTCAAATGCAATGATATGAAAACATTACATAAATGAAAATTTCTAAATTTTTGACAAAAACCGCTGCTAAAGTTTTATCCTTTATATACAATTTTGCCATGATATCAAACGGTTAAATTGATATTAACTATGTTACACATCATCAGGATTTTAGCTTTATGCTATTATTTTATGTTCGTACGAGTATTTATCGTTACATTTCTCTTATTTCTCCAAAAATCCATCATTAGCTACCGAATAGTAATTTTATCAACCATCAGGATACCAAACCGGTATACTACATACGAAATTCATTTCATGTTATTTTCTTGAAATTATCGGTTCAACACTTTTCATAACTTTTTACAGTATTCAATTTTTATGTTTCATCATTTAAGATTAATTACATATTTGATCGAATTTTTTGATTTTTATGAAAAATTTATCATTGAATTAAAATTTTATAAAAATCTGTATCATCTATTATTAATTTCAACATTTATGAGGATAAACAATGCTAATGGTAATATTCGTGTTGGCATATTATTCATAATTTTTCCCTTATTTTTTAATTTTACTTTGTAAATCCAAAATAGTTAGTGACAATAGCTTTACAATCGTATGTAAATATAATAGTCTCATATTAAATCATATTTAGCTAATTAAATTTCATTTTTTTCTAAATGAATGAATCAGTGCATTTTAACTTCTTATTCTACATGACTTACTCTAGATGCATTAAATCTTGTATCCATTTTTTTTGCTGCCAATTCAAGTGCAGTTTTTTCTAAACATTTCGATTCGATTATTTATCCAAAATATATTTTTTTTCTCGTTTTCATTTACAATATATTCATGATTTGTTATCTCCTTCAATATTTATCAGATATCAAATCCATAGTATAACTTGATATGTCAGAAAGTAATTCCCATGAGCAATAGGAATCGTGATAATTCACATAAAATGCTGATCTTATATATAAGATTTTCACTGACATCACAAATGAAAACATCAAAATCCAATATCAGATTAACCTGCTCTATATAACTAAATGAATATCTTTAATGTTCAATGAGCTATTTAATCTCCTTTCCGCCATGAAAGGTTTCCAATCTACCAAAGTCATTATATTCACTAGAATTTCAACCGTATAACAGTTAAAAAGTAAAAAGTTCATATATATTTGATTTTTTCAAAAACTAACATTAACATAAAAAATCACTCCTTAATTCTTTGTTTATATCTAAGTCACATGATAAATGATCTGTTTCATTCTTAAATTTTACAAATATCCGGATATGATTATGCAAAAAGGAGAGGAGTTTATCCTTCTTTATTTTATTCATAGTTTTCTAATTTTTACATATTTTTAATATCTTTTGGAGATACAGTCAGAGGTACTGTACAGGATCAAGTTGATCTGGCTTGAAAAATTTATTCTCTGGGTATTTTGCCAAACAGAGTTTCAAGGATACAAATAATTCCTGTTATAGAAAAAGAATTTTGAGTAGCACAACATTAGCATTTTTAGCTCCATAATTGTTATTTTTTAATTTAAATAATATAATAAGTGAGCAAAAATATTTGTATTTGATTGCAAAATTACTTATATAAAATTTCATCAATAATATGATCTTTTCTGATTTTTTTTTAAAAAAATTTAACCTTTTTTTTGATTTTTCTTTGAAGCTGAAATACCTAATGCTAAATAGTTTAATATTAATTGGAATGAAAAGAATAACGATAAAAATTTAATAAATTTATCGAATTTTCAAACAAATCATTCACGAAGTGGCAAATACAACCCATCCAGCAAGCATGTTAAACTAACTACTTTTCATTATTAAAGCATGACATTAGGAACTGATACGAATAAAAACCTTATCCAACAAAGGATTTTGGTTTTGAATAGAAATAATATCAAGTAAGCATATAATTGTTAATTAAGAAATATTACAGATCATATCAATAACATGATAAATTGAATGGGAGAAATTCAATATATCATACTCAATTCGAAATTTATTGATAAAATATATAAGAATTATGATAGTAAAATATAATTCTTCATGAATCCGCAAAGTTATTAAATTGATTTATGGTCAAAGCTAATTATCTATTATTTACTTGAAAATAACTAATTTAATTATTTTTATGTAATACTTCAGGTAAAAATTTCAATTACAATTTTTTTGAAGCTCATTTATTTTCCAGTAATTGATTGCTTTTAACTTATATACCATAAATTTCAAAATTCGAATTAAAAAATTGAATTTGATAATATCTCTGTGAAATAAAATTTCATCTACTAATATATCTGTTATTAATTTGATCATATTTATTACTTTTTTAAACAACGGTTATTTTTACCCTCAAATCGAAATGTTTTAATTTCTAAGCTATACTGAAAATGAAATAATATTCATTTTGATATATTTGTCAAAACAGCATTCTGTCAACACAATTTTGAATAGAGAGATTTTATAATTTTTCAATGCTAAGCAGGTTCGTATCCCTCTTTAGTGCTAACTTGGCTCATATCAAAGCAAATTCATTTAAGCAAGATCTTAAGGCTAAATACAAAGATCACAAAGTTGTATCTTATGCCGCAACGAGAATTTTGATGTACAATACTGTTGATTGTGAAGACAACAAACTTTATTTGATCTATGGCGGTGTGCCGTATAACTGGAAGTGTGGCCAAAACAAGAATCCACCATTGGATGATATCAACGCTGAACACACTGTTCCACAATCATTTTTCAATAAACTACAGCCAATGGTTTCCGATCTCCACCACCTTATCTCAGCCCCACACACTCTTAACGAAGCTCGTTCCAATTACAAGTTTGCAGAATTTGATTATTCCAAGTGCCAGAAATTCTGCCATGGATTGACATGCCAGACCAGCCATCCATCAAACCCCGATGATTATTCTTGCTTGTCCAATGACAACCAGTGGATGCCAAGAAAGGCAGATCGTGGTCAGGTAGCAAGAATGGTTCTTTACTTCTTCACTATGTATGATGATTACGATATTTCCAGAGTTGGAGACCTTAAGACATTCCTTAAATGGAATTCTCAATATGCTCCATCTGACCGCGAAATCACTCGTAACAATGTTCTTAACCGTACTCAAGGCAACCGTAACCCCTACATTGATCACCCAGAATGGGCTAATCAGGCTTTTGCCTAAGAATCTTTCTAACCATAACTAATATTTTGTCTTAATTACATAGAAATTCATAAACAGACTTCTTTCTCTTACGATACAGAATTTTTTCTGTATCACTTTATTTAGTTATTAAAATTTACGTAAATTATAAATTCATATTTTTAATTTCTTTTTATTTCAATATAAAATCTTTAAAAACTTGACTTCTCATCTCTCTTTATTAATTAGCCTTTTAGATTTTATGTTTACAACTTAATTTAGAAATGGCCATGATCGAAATTAGTTAAATATTTCGATTTTAATTTTTGTTTGGAAAACCAACTCTATTATAGAATCTAATACTCACATCTATTTTTTTTAATAATGATTCTGCGCTCTCACAATTTATTTTCATGGTTTTGAATCACCATAATATTACAAGAAAATATACCATGATATATGACTTTTCTTCATAAAAATAATGAATGAAGAAATAATTTCAAAACGTATACGTTGAAATTCATTCTTATAAAATTTAAGTCCAGTCATATCAAAGAAAACAAATATCCAAATAATAATAAAAACATATTGAATACCTCTTTCAATTTGTTAACATTATGATTTCACATACGTTATATTGGAAATGCAGACCAAAACGAATAAACTCTTATGCTCGGACTGATACAATGCATCTCTTTATTTTTCTAGTTATAGTTGTTCACCTAATTCCGCAAACGTGAGAACCTTCCTTTTCAAATTTGAAAGGAATACTTATTTTTAAGTTTAATAGCAGCATATATGTTTTCCTACCTATAAAAACTTTATAAAATTTATTTTATCATTACTGATTGATCAAAAAATTGAATTGAAATATTCATGAATTTTGCGAAGAAATTGATCGTTGGATATTCAATAATCAAAATCCTCATAAAATACCTCAAATTCTTAAATATTGATTTTTAAGACATATACAAGACAATTACAAATAAAATGTAATGCTTTTCTTTCAATTTGAAAACTTGAAAATTCAACTGAATTTTCGCTTCAAACAACTGGTATAGATATACTTCTTTGTCAAATTGATAAATTCACAAAAATGCAAATTGATAAAACAGCAAAAAACTTTATCTACTTATGTATTATTTTCATTGTTACAGATAAGAATAGCCCAAAATAATTTTCACTTTCAAATAATATTTCAAATATTTCCTTCAACTTAACTTCACAAAATATTTTCAATCCTTTTTCAAATATTTCGAATAAGAAGTTAAATGAATTTTTCTTTGATATTTTTATTTAAAAATGTTATTCCTCCATCCGCCTAAAATTGCATAGCACGTTGAACCAATTCAATTTTTTTTCTATTGGGCATATTTCAGAAACTTAAATGTCATCTAAAGTAGACCGCACAGTAATTCCTAAAATCAAATTCACAAGGGATGAAGATGAACGCCTTACCAATATCATTGAAAAGATTGGAACACAAGACTGGGAACTCATTGCGCATGAAATGAAGAATCGAACTCCCAGGCAATGCAGAGAACGTTGGATCAATTACATATCCCCTGGACTTAGTAATGGACCTTGGACCGCTGATGAAGATAAACTTCTTGATGAACTTTATACTGAATTCGGTTCTAGGTGGCACAAAATTGCGGAATATTTTCCTAATAGATCTGGAAACTGCATCAGAAACAGATATAAACTCAGACAAAGTCATGCCCAAAAGCAGCCTTCTGTTGAAGCCGTTTCTTCTGTAAAACCAATTATTGATCAACCGCTTTATTCAGAATTTGATGAAAAGGTTCTTCAAACAATCATATCACCTCCAACTGACACATTTATTGACCTCTTCAAATTTGACAAAAATACTATTGACGAAATTTTTGCCATGGAATTGTAGACTCCTTATGTTTGATCTCTTGCTTTTGTTTCTTACAATATCATGTTCTATGTTTGTTGTATTTAAGCTGTAAAATACATAAAAAGAGTGCTGTTTTATTCTTGAAAAAATAATGATCAACAAATTGGTAAAGAAATAAGTATTTTACAGTGCTTACAAAAATAGATATGCCTTTTTAGCATTAATTGCCTTCATTTTTCTTCTTTTCAATTAATGAAAAGTATTCGATGATTATTGGGTCTATGAAAGACTCTTTAGCATCCCATCCAGTCAAGAAAGAGACATGTCCACCTTCTTTGGTATGAACAATTGCCATGTTTTGGGATTCGTTGATTTCTTTGACTGGAAACATATATGGACGAGTAAATGGATCATCATCAGCAACTATAAATAATGTTGGTGCTTTCATCTTAGGAACTAAACCTTTTAAGTTAGTTAAATCATATAATTCTTTTCGATTTTTAAGTCCAAGACTTGAAACTGTAAAAACATCATCAAATTCGCCAATAGAATTTGTTTTTTGAGCTTTTGCTCTAAGATCTTCAGGAACAAATTGGTTTTTGCTGATCAAATGATGTAATTTAGACATAATGAATGAGAGGAAGTATTTCTTCATGATATATCCATTTAAGCACTTGTTGCAGAGATCCATATCGCATGGATTTGAAACAAGAATGACTCCATCTACTCGGCCATCTCTCGCTGAGTATTGTGCTGTTAAACAAGAGCCATACGAGTATCCAATCAAGAATATATGTGACGCTTGTGGACGAATATGTTCAATTATCTCTTGAAGATCGGTAATATCGTAATTATTATAAAATTTTGCGCTTCCTGTAAATTTCGCACCAGAGCAGCCTCTTGCATTCGCAACAACAGCTCTCCAACCATGATTTGCTACTATTGATAAAAGATTTGATACACATGGTTCTCTTGTGCCTCCACAGTAAGTATGGCATATCACAACTATCGGCATTTTGTCAGCAATTGTCTTTGGATTGAACCAATCTAAAAATGTACTTCCACCGTCAGAAAATTTGAATGGCTCGCGAACACATTCGTCATTTGGACGTGGTCTATCACGCATTCCGTAAAGAGTATGTTGGTAGTTATTAACTAGCCATGGAGTTGGTCGATAATAACGTTGAATAGTTTTCATTTGTTGCATAATTGGGGATAATTCGCCTTTCATGTTAAAAGAAACTACTGGTTTAATTCTTCTTGTCAATCTATACAAGGCATATAATAACGGGGTCAATATAATGAAAAGTAAAATAATGATCAAATACATTTATCAATGAATTCTATAAAAAAATGAAAATTTTGGGTTTAACTTGGTTCTCAAAGCTAGTTAAATAACAATACAAAGGACCAGTTTGGAAAATTTTGGTACTCAAGATATTGAATATAAAATATCGGTTTGCCATTAGCAACATTGTAAATTTTTTCCCCGTAACATAAAAAGTGACAAACATGAATTTGAAAGGGCATTGAAATTCATTTCAGAGACTATTCAAACTCATCTAACTTCATTTTTAAGTTAGAATGTCTAGCTGCCATTGCGGATGCCAAAACCAAGGATGCCCATGCGGTTCAGGATGCAATTGCCCACCAACATGTGCTTGCCATCGTGGTGGAGAATGTTGCGCTAAGAAAGGATGCACATGTGGATGCCTTCAAGGCGGAAAGTGCCATTGCCATGAGAATGGTGCAAAGTGCCAATGTGGATCTGGTTGCCAGTGTGGCTCAAAGTGCTCATGCGGTCCTGATTGCCATTGCCCACCTAACTGCGCTTGCCACAGAGGTGGTGAATGCTGCGCAAAGAAGGGATGCCAATGTGGCTGCCTTCAGGGTGGTGAATGCAACTGTGGAAAGTAAATCTTAAACTGATTTCGAGTTTGCACCGATTCTGTGAATAATAATGATTAATCACAGCACTTTGATATATTCAATCATTCAAAGATAAACACTTTTTCATGTAAATATTTATGCTGCTTTTTTAGGAATCATTTTTTTGATCTTATATGTTTCTTTCATATTTGTGCCTCACCATTATATAAAACATTAATGTATTAGACTGATTCAGCAAATTCACTTGGTTTTAACGAAATAACAAAAGATTTCGTTCCATTCATGAAAAGAAACATGTAATCCTTAGCGAAATCATTATAATTTGGGACAAACAATCAATTCAAGCAACTTCAGCATTCATCAGATGTAAAATCTTTTCTGTACGTTTGAAGAGATTTTTTCACAAAAATAGTCAATTCCTCAATCGAATTAAATTGGATTGGATGAAAAGTTCTCGGCGTTTTCTTACAAAATCACCACCGAGAAATAAGTCCGTCCCTTCATGTGAAACAAGCGCATCTCGTCAATTTGTTTCTTCCCTAAATATTTTTCATGTTGCAAGACATCCAATCGATGTTATTCTTAGAAAACAGCCTCGACCTATTACAAATCGTGGAAATCATTCAAAACCAAGAATACATTCAAAAGATAGACTTGAGCTAGCACGTGGAAAATCTGATAGACAATTTAATTTGTTTAGGACAATGTCTAAACAATTTGACGATTTAGTTTTAGTTCCAGAAGATCAAATACAACATGATAAAGAATTAATAGAGAATTTACTTCCATTTTCAAGACAATATTCAAAAGACTCGGGATTTTTCTCAAAATTTTTCCCAAAGAAAGAAGTAGAAGTTACACCGCCACTTGTTGAATCTTCTGATTCAATACTTTCTCTTCAAGAGAACAATAACGAATCTGATGAGATTGAAAAATCAATTGAAGAAGATCAAAATGAGCCAGAAAAACGTGTTATTATCGAACTTCCTACAAATCCCAGCGAAAATACATTGACAGACAATCAAAATATCGATACAACTAATGTCACCGACCAAAACAATGATAATGATAAAGACAATACTCTTATTAATTCAAACATACCTGAAATTACTGAAAATGAAAATAAGCAAATTAATTATCCAAATCAGCCTCTAAATAATACAGAGAATCAAGCAAATACTTCTAATCAAGACAATGCAAAGGATGAAAAAAGTCAAAACAATCAAAATTCTTCAAAACGAAAAAATTCCCCGAAAAAATCACGAAAGAAGTCACCCGATAAAAGCAAAGCGGATAAGGAAAGGGAAATTTCCAAAACGCTTAAAAAACAGATTAAATCAAAACTTAAATCTAAAAAATTGTCTTCTCAGCTTAACCAGCAACCTAAAACCAAAACAACTGAAAATAAGACAAAGTTGGGACTTAAGTTGATTCCAAAAGACAAAAAATTAAAGAAATTAAGATTACAAGCGAACAAACACAATAAAACAATCGAACCAACGCATCCAGAAAGATTAAGCAGTATAAAGTCAAGAAACATTACTGAATTCGAGCCAACACAAAATAACGAAACAACAAATATTGAGGAAACTTTTGTTGACTCAGGTGATTTAACTGACCTTAATATCAGTCAAATATCATCAAATCATCGTATTCCAAATATTCAGAGCTTGAATAAATTAACAGATTTGTTAAATGCAGTTAATCTTGAATATTTTGCTGCACAACAAAATCAAGAAGAATATAGCTTCCCTCATTCCAAACTATCCCAAAATGCAGACCAAAATCCTTTGTCAAATGTAAATTTCAATTTTGAGGATTCAAAAAACAGCATATTGAGAACAGAGACACACATTAGCAACAACAACTTGCCAAATAACGACATAAAAGCAGAATTTATACATGACTTTAAGCAAGATTTAGAAGAATCAAAAAATTTTATTCCTCAAATAGATTTGATTGGAGATTCATTATTCCAAAAAGACAATTACCAAGTTGATGGACCAACTTCAAATCAGAAATTCCCAGACACTGAAGATAATGAAAATAATTTTAAAATTTCTCAGAATTGGCAGTATTTTCCTGATAACGATATCCAACTAGAACAACTTAGAGATGAATTTCTTATTAATGACCAGATTGATGCTGATGATTTGGAATTAATACAAGATCTTATTAATATCGAAAATGGAGAATTTGAAGACAAGTTCAGCACTATAGAATCAACTCACATATCAGATACAGATCTTCAATCCCGTGCCGCCGATTTAATTTCAAAATATGAAGCAAAATTAGACTCCAAGATTACGTATCCACAGAATAATCAGGAACTCTATACAGATGAGACTACGAATGCACAATTTAATGAGAATATTTCAAAAGAAGGAAATCAAATTTTCTCTCAATACGATTTCTCAGACTTAGTAAGAGAACAAAAAGATTTTCTGGAACAATTAAATGCAATTCAATGTATTTTTAACTTGTCTCCTATTGAGAATGAAGATTTTTCGAAATGCAATGAAGAATTCATCTCAGATACCCATAATAATATATTCAGCAATGAAGATGACCAAATTATCACCGAAGATCAAAAAGAAATCCATTCAAATCCTGATTTTGATGAAATCCAGAAAATGCGTCAAACTCTAAATGATTTCTTGGATCAATTATCAAATCAAAATCCAGATCAACAGGATCCATGCATCAATTTATATGAATCTGAAAATATAATTTCTGATTTTCCAAAACTAGCTAATTCAGTGGATAATTTTGAAATCCCTACTATCAGCTTGAACCAAAATTCAATGAACTCCGATCAGATTTCAGAATGTAATTTTATCACATCTAATATTCATAAAATATCAGAAAATGATCAAATTATCATTGATAGTAAGCTTCAAAATACAATTCCTTTCATTGATTTCACATCCTTTGATGAAAATAGCGCCGATCAACTTAATTTCGAACAAAAGTCATCAGAAACATCAATAAAAGACGAATATTTGTCATCATTACCAGCAGTTATTGTTAAACCAGATGAATTCATTGCTACAAACAATGACTTTTATGAAGATTTCAATGAATTACAAGATTCTACCTTTAATCAACACAAATTATTCCAAGACATAGAAGAACAAATGATAGAAAATGAGAAATTTAATTCTATAGTTGCGAATATGAAGGAAATTGAAGATCAACTAATTTCATCAACAAATTCAATCAAAGATACATTTCCTATGTTGGATTTGATGAAACAACAGAACGAATTATTCAAATCTGAACTAAATGAATCGAATTCTTTTAGATCTGATAATAATGATCTCAAAGATGGAGAATTCTTCAATCATTCAACAATGAATAGACATAATTTATCATTTAAAGATAAATCAGGTAACAAAGAATTCATCAGACACATGGAAAGAAATCAATCACTAATAGATTCGTTTTCAACTGTAATAAGAGCTGTTGAGAGCAGTCTTGACATTTCAACAAGGCTTCAAAATGACTCCATTCCAAACATTAAATCCATAAATGATATAATTGTCAAAACTGAGACTATTCTTCCATTAAACAATGAAATCAAAGTTACAATTATGAAAGATAAATTTGTTAACTTCAAATTGACTGAAAACCAAGAAATCAAGGACAAATTTACTCAGATTTTGCCAAATATAGATTCACAAGAAGATGACGAATTGATTGACACATTCGCTAAGAGATTCATCATCAAAACATCAAATGAAGAACTTGACAATGAATTCCTTGAAAATTATGAAGAAATTTGTTCTTGTCTACATGAAAATGAAGAGTTGATTGATAAGTTTACCAAGAGTTATATGAACCACAAATCAAATGAAGAACTTATATATAGTTCTCAAGGAAATGAAGAAATGATTGATTTTATTACAAGAGAACTCCTGATTAATGAATCACTTGAAAATGATGAAGAAAACAAGGCTAGTTTCACCAATACATTTCTCCAAGAAAGTGATGAATTGATTGACAAGTACACAAAACAATTCATGAACAACAAATCAGATGAAACTGAAGAGGAGATTAAAGATAATTTCATTATTTCTAAAGCATATGAAAATAATGAAATTCAAGATAAGTTTGCTTCAGTAATGATGAACAATAATATTTCTGGGTTTAATAATTCGAAGCCTTATACTTCAAATGAAATAATCTCATCTGAAAATAATTATGAGTTTGAAAAGATTTTCAAGTCACTAGAAAACAATGAAATCCAAGATAAATTTGCAAATCAATTTATCAATTATGATTCACAAGAAGATGAAGAAATGATTGATAAATTTGCAGAGATTTTGATGAATTCTTTATCAAACCAAAACGAAGAGATTGTTGATCAAGTTACATTATGTTTATCTCAAAACGAATTCGATGAACAATTGATGAAAGAAAACAATTTAGCTAAGCAAAAGAAGATCATTTCAAGGGAAATTAACTTGAATGAAGAGGAAGATGAAGATGAAAGTCATAATATTGTCATTAGAAATATTGATTATATCTACAAACCTGATAAAGAAGAATTCCAAAAAACATTTTTATCAGAGTTCAATGTTTCAGAAGGAAACCATCAATTCATTGATGAATTCTGCAATAATAGCTTGCGTAGTGATACATTCGAAATCTCGAGAATTAATGAAGAGAGCATAATTGATGAATTTTCAAAAGAAAAACAGAGCTATTTAATCAATGATGAAGATAATTACATCATTGATCAAAACAATTCATTAAATAACACTAAGAGCTTTGATGATGAAATTCAGGTTAAATTTACAAATAGTGCCAATGATGTTATGTTATCGAATAATTCTCATTATCAAGACATTAGTTATGAAAAATCTCAGCATCAGTTTGATAATGAAGAACTTCCAGTTTCATATCAGACGAATTTAGTTTCAAATGACAAAAACATCAGAGATAATTATATTAATAATGAAAACATGTTGACTTCTAACAATAATTTCATTCAAATTCAAAATGTCAAAGAAAATGAATTATTAGAGAGCCAAAATAATGAAATTGATAATTCTCAGAATTACCATAATATTCGTAGTCGCAGTATTTCAAATGAATCATTATCATCATCAAATCAAACAAAAATTAATTCATCAGAATTTAATATTTCAAATCAAAACATATTCAATATATCTGACATTAATCTTATTGATCATTGCGAAATGAATTTCAGTGACATTACAAATTCCGAGTTTATTGAGTGCAGAATTAAACAAATTGATGAAGAAAAAGAAGATAATTCAGAGGAAGAAGAGGAAGATATTGTTGATTATTGCTCAAATATTCAGATTCCAGTTATTGAAACAGAAATTAAAGATGAAACTAATAAAACAAATCAAAACAATTTATACAATCCACAAAATGAAGAAGAGTTCATTGATAATACCTCAAACAAAGCATTTGAAATCTCTCCATCATTAAAGTCAATTCTTTCATTTGTCAAAGATGAAACACCAAACAACAAAACGCAAAATGAACACGGATTCATTGACAATTTCACAAACGAAGGATTTACAGATAAATTTGTTAATAACTATGCCTTTGAAGATAAAATACATAATCAGTCATTTATTTCTAAAGGAAGTAATGATTTAGAAATTATCTCAAATAGCATTATAAGATTTGATAAAACAGATATCAAAGATAAGTCATCAAGAAATATACATCTTGACGAAATTTCCTCAAATATCAAAACAAACTACACAATTTATAATATTTCAGAAAGAAATATTGTTAATGACAATTTATTCTTTGATTCTTCAGCCAATGAATTATCTTTTAATGAAGAAGGAAAAGTTCCATCAAATAATGGAGATTCTGACATCTCATTATTTGTTGATTCATCTATCAACGAAATATTTTCAAATGAAGAAAATAATAATCCATCAAATGTGCAATCACGCGATATCTCAATCATTGATAATTCAAATCAATCAGAACATATTGATATATTTAATCTACAAAACAATCAAAACATTTTATCAGAAATTCTTCCAAATGAATTCAATTTATCAAATCAAAATGATTTTGTTAATAAATTCTGTTACTTTGGAAATTGCAATTTCTTTGCTTTTGATCCAGATGAACAAATGACAGATAGCTCTAATGATAAAGTAGATCCTTATCATCAGTATTTTGTTGCTTTCTCTGATGAATATTTCTTTGATCCATATGCAAAAACTGCTGTTTCTTCTAATTCAGAATTTATTTTTGATACACAAAATATTATTGATCCATATGCAAAAACTGCTGTTTCTTCTAATTCAGAAATTAGTTTTGATGCACAAAATGTTATTGATATGGAATCATTAATAAACCCAAGCAATTCTTTGGTAAACTTAGAAGTATTGAATAGATTGGAAAGAAACCAAGATTTAATTCTTAAATTAGCAGAAAATCTAACATATTATCCATCATCAGCTGAACTTTTAGGAACAGCAATCTTAAATGACACAAACATTATGGATGAAGATGATATTTATATTGATAATTGCAATATTAAAAATCAACAAAGGAATTTCAAAGCAGATCTTATTCATTCCTTGACAAATGCTCAACAACAAGATAATGATCTAAGAATTACTCCAATGATTATTGATTTGAATCAAAATAATCTTTCAAAATTCCAAATTTTGGACAAAAGTTATAAAACCAATGATTTCAATGACGAAAACAATCAAAGTATTGAGAATTATTTGCTTAATAACCTCAATTTCAACGATATACAGGATTGGTGCCAAATCAGATTCAATAATTCTCCAATTTATATTAAGAACAATGATATCGTAGTATCTGATGAAACAATAGATGAAGAAGAGTTCCAATTTGAAGAAAGAAGTCCTCCAAAGCCTTCAGGCCTTTCTACAGATATAGAAAAAGAAACCCCACATATTAAATTCGGAGAAAATGTTTCTCCAGTCAAAAACTTTTGGGAATCAATTCAAAAAACAACATCAAAGAAATCTCAAAAAGTTCCACCACCTCTTTTAATCAACAACTCTCCACTTTCTCCTACTAAAAAGGCTCCTCCGTTGCAAACGAAAATTTCCCAAATTCCAGCACCGTTTTTAGAGACAAAAATTTCTCAATTTACTCCTCCAAGAATTGCAATTCCTTCTTTTATTGCATCTCCTATGATTAGGGAGAAGACAACTCCTAAACTAGAGAAGCCATTGATAAATCATTTGGACGTCTTCGAAGAATTGTTTCCAATAGAGAAAACAAACAATGAATTTCCAAAATCACACAAAATTCCAAAAGAAAAACTTGATTTTGGGGAATCAACAAAAGAAGAATTTAATGCAGAATATTACGAAAAAACTCTTGAAACTAAAAAAGAAACAAAAAGAAAGAAGAGAACAAAAACCAAAAAATCTCCAATCAAAAACAGAGAAATTAATCAAACTTTAGTTAATGATAGAATTTCACAGACATCAAACAAAGAACTACTTGATAATCTTAAGAAAATAGAACAAGATTCTAACGCCGAACTACTTATTGAACTAAATAAGATCGAAGAAACTTCAATCAAAGAATTAGTTGATAATGAAGAAATTATAAATGAAACAGAGATTCCACGTTTGGAAAACATTTTTACACCTCAAAAACAGAAATCAATCCAATCAAAATCAATGAATGAAGCTGATCAATCATCAATAAGTTTCCAGACTTTCTTTTCTTCAACTGCTTTTCCAATATCTAGAAGAAATCCAGTTGTCAACAAATTGTTTAAACTCATTATTCCGGAGATCAGAGAATTGGAAAATCCAGCTGAAGTTGGAAAGTTTGTATTAGATTTATCAAGAGAATTCATGACAACAAACTTAGTTCCATTGACACAAGAAAGAATCGATTCAACAATCATTTATTCTTTCGAACTAATTTCGAACAAAACCATTTTCTCAAAAATTTTGGCAAATGGATCATTAAATATTGAAAACTCAACATTTAACATCCAAGAAACACCAATAAATAATAAGAAGGATAGTATCATAATAGGAAAGAAATCATTTAAATTTCCAACACAACTAATTCTTGATGATGTTATGACAAATATAAAATCAGTTCAAACAAATTCTCCTGACTTTGTTTTAACAAAAATTTTGAAATTACTTTCATCAACTGATAGAATAGAAGATTGCATATACTCTCCTGATATGATACTTGCAACAACATTGCTATCTTTTGAAGGAATTGACAATGAAACAGTACGTTCTATTTATGATATTTTAGTTTCTCAAAATTATTGGAATTATTTCTTGAGAATTTTGATTTGCGAAGAAATTTCTTCAGCCACAGAACCATTTATGAGTTTAACACTTAGTAATTCAATCTTAGTTAAACTTCTACAAACATTTATTGCAGAAATTGATGAAGATGAGGATTATTTAGAAAATGAAAAAATCATTCATTTATTGAGATCAGTTTTCATCATATCAAATTTGATTTACAAAGAAAATGTTGCCAGTATTAAGGCATTGGCTAATTTCCTCAATTTGGCTAATTTAGAGAAGATAAATAATCAAAATCTATTTAATATGATTGATAATTGGATTACCATGCCAATTGTTTTGAAGAAAGAACATGAAGTTTCAGTTGATGTTGCAGCCATTAATCATTTCATTCTTGGCAACGCTGATAAAGTTTTCAATGAAATTTCCACATTCATTAATATGAAAAGAGAAGATCATCCACTCGTTTTTTCTGTTTACCAGAATTTAAGATACATTCTTGTGAACGATTATGATATTAACTGTCCGTTTGCTATTCATTTATAATTCAATTAATGTTTTATTTATATAAATACCTGTTTGTTATTTTGTTTATTCAATATGTATTTTTAGTATTTTTTAAGATTCTGCATATTTGACAATACAAAATCTTTTTCTTTCAAATTAATTGACATTCATCTGCTGAGATTTATGACAGTTTGATCAAAATTGTATTTTTCTCAAATTTTAATGGCTTTCTTTGTTTTCTTATTTAAATTTGAGTGCTAACGATAAGATTGAATGCAATTCTGTGTGTAATCCGGATCCTATTTTAAGGCTAATATTTTTTATGTGGTTGAATACTTTATTATCTGAGTAATTTCCTCTTATTTTTACTTGCATATAATGATAAAAGAGGTGTTACTTACTCAGATGATAAGGCAATTCTTAAATCTGCTCCGAAGGAACTCAGTGGAGAATATACAATTCTCCCTGAGTGTACTACAATTCAAGGCGGAGAAAGAATTGAATTAAGTCCATTCTACTTATGCAGAAATACAATTACATCTATTATATTTGGCAAAGGGAGTCTTTTGACATCACTTTGTTATGGATGTTTCCAAGATTCAGCCTTAGTTACAGTAGATATGAGCGAATGCACAAAATTATTAAAATTAAGCGATAGAGCATTTTATTATTGTCAAAAGTTACAATCAATAATAATGCCACCTTGCATCACAGCTCTTGGAAAAGGTTGTTTCGTTCGTACTACATCTCTCAAAAGAATTGATTTTCCTGACTCTCTTGAAACCATACCTGGTTGGGATAGCATTGATTCAAGTGTGTTTCCTTGGTCCGGAGTTGAAGAGGTTTCAATAGTTAAAAATTCAAATCTAACTAGTATTGGTTCAGATGCGTTTCAATCTGCACATTTAAAATATTTTACAATTCCTTCGAAATTGAGGGTGCTAGATGGATCAGTTCTCATAGGTTGTCCAATTATTAGTATTACTGTTGATGAGAGAAACCCATATTTCAAAACAGACGGAACTTCTATTTTTTCTGGATCAGATTTCTCAACACTTTTATATGTGAGCTCAGCCTTCGAAGGAACATACAATGTTCCATCATTTATTAAAACAATTGGATATTCTGCTTTGCGAAATACGAAAGCAAATAAAATTGTTTTAACATCAAATGTAACAACACTTAAAAATTGGTGCTTTGCTGGTACTAAAATAACTGAATTTGTTTTTCCGGATCAAATAACATCAATTGGATCCTGGATATTTGGATATTGTGATAAGTTAGTTTCAGTAACATTAAATGAAAATATGACAAAAATTACTTCGAATATGTTTTCCTATTGTTCTTCTCTGAAAAGCGTCAACATTTCATCAAATTTGACATCAATAGGTGCTGAAGCTTTCTCTGGATGCGTTTCACTTAAATCAATAACGCTTCCTAAAACATTGACAGAGCTTGGTGATGGAGCATTCAGCAATACTGGTGAAATTAAAATCACTTCTTTGAGTCCATATTTTTATTCAGAAAACTTCCTTATGTACAAAGACAATAAAGAAACATTGATTTTATACACAGGCTCAAATACTGACAATGATATTTCGATTATAAGTGACTGCAAAAGTATTGGTGCTCTCACATTTAATAACAAAAAGCTTCGAGATGTTACTTTCCAGAGCGAAGATGCTGAAATCAACATCTCTATTGGAAATCAGGCCTTTCAATCTTCTACTATTAGATCCATTATTTTCCCACCTGGATTAATATCAATCGGGAAAAATGCATTCGAAGGTTGTGGATCTCTGAAGAATGTTACATTCAAAGGGAACAAAATAAAATCCATTCCTAACTACTGTTTTAATAACAACCAAAATCTTGAACACATCACACTCCCTTCATCTATTGAGATTATTGGTGAGTATGCTTTCGCGAACTGCCCACTCATTGGAGATATTGGCATCTCAGGCATGACCAACCTGATTTCTATTGGTGCATATGCATTCTACTATAGTGGTCTAAGTTCAGCGAATCTTGCAAACAGTGGCTGCACAGTTGACATCAAGTGCTTCATGGGCTCATCAATCAGTGAACTCACAATTAGCTCCTCTATTCCTCAGCAGCTCTGTCAGTACTGTGTATCTCTTGAAAAACTCACTCTGAAGATTGGAGTTTCAGTGATCGGTCCATATGCATTTGATGGCTGCACATCTCTCCAAGGATTCACAATTCCTAGTACTCTTACAAGCATCCAAAGTTTTGCATTCCAGACCTGCACTTCTCTTTCCACTGTCTACATGAGTGGCGAATGCACCCTATCTAGAGTTGATGGTGGCTGTTTCTACGAATGCTTCAGTCTCACAGAAATCATATTGCCTCCATCAGATCAAAGATATCGTTTTGAGAACGGCGCACTCACAGACTACGATCAAACCAATCTCATTGTCTTCCTTCCTTACAGTGGAGTCAAGAACTTCATTGTTCCTATGACGATGAGAACGATTGGTCAATGTGCTTTCATGGGCAGTCCATCACTTATCAGAGTTTTCTTCAACGGCAACAATATCCAGACTATTGACTACCAAGCATTCAAAGACTGCAAAAACCTCAATCTCGTCTTCTTCTCATCATCCAGCATCAAAACTATCGGCGACCAAGCTTTTGATGGCTGCAGTCTTCTTCGCAAGTGCGGTTCTTTCTCAGCTCCATCAAATGCTCAGAAGATCATCATTGAGCAAGGTAAGATTCCTTCGATTGCATTCCAAGATGATTGTGGTTTAATGATTTCATGCAAATATATCCAACATCCCGAAATTTCATCCTCATATCTATATCCTTTCATATCTCTATTCATGTAATAAAAAATGTTTGTAATATCTTTTCAAAATAAATAAATAAATAAAAAGAGATCATTTTTACTTAAAAATGAGCATTATAATAATTATATTCTGTGAGAATCACGGACAAGCTGCATTACGTGATTGTTGAGCTTATCGTTTGCGATAAGATCTTCGAGCTTGTATGGGTAGCGATAACGCCACTTGTGATTTGGATCAGCAGGTATGTTGATTCTTTCAGCGTCAGCTGACTGGAGTCTCAACTCTGGGAATATTGAAGTGATATCCTGGAGGAGGAATATTGCCCACATTGAGTTAGACCAGATGTTCTGCTTGAGTATATCTTCCTGAACTTCGCAAGATAGTGTCTCTGGGCATGCATCATGCCTGAGGAGGACGTTGTACCAGAAGTTCTCTCTTGTTGCCTTTGTCTCCTCCCACCATCCGCGGAGTGAAGATGTATCGTGTGTTGATGGGCAAGCAACGGACAGATATCCGAACTTGTGGAAGTCATCGAAATCTTCCTCTGGTATCTTAGACATTCTCTGGACGTGGAGTGAGAGAATTGCAGATTCATCGATAGCTCTTATGATTCCAGCTGTGATCTGTCCGAGATCTTCGCCGCAGATGAGCATCTTTGTAGCATTCTTGAGGACGTTGAGCTTTGGCTGAGCCTTCTGGACCCAGAGATCTGTCATCCTCTCGTAGAAGAACTTATGAGCTTCTTCCTTGACACGCTGCTTGAGGCCTTCGTCGAGTTCGTTCCATGATGATGAGACATAGACAACAGGACCTTCTTTCGTTGGTTCGACGTGATCCTTGAGGACTTCTGTTCTCATGTGGAAGAATCCTTTCCTCTCTGGGTCTTCAATGAGGATGACATTTCCGATGAGCTGGAAGAGGCAGCATCTATAGTGTTCACGCTTCTCTTCAGAGAGTGTCTTGTCATTGTCGAGAGCTTGGGCAACATTCTTCTCGTTATCGAACTCTGGCTTGAATTCGTAGTAGTCATCTTTTGCATCCCAACCTTTGTTGTTGAAATACTTGTGAGAAACGAATTCTGCATCTTCGTGGAATTTCTCACAGAGGATGTGCCATCTGACGTATGGCTTTGTGAGTCTTTCGATATCCCAGAAGCCCATTCCGTTGAGTTCATCGCGCGAGAATGGGACTGATGGGAAGAAGTGTCCGAGGAGACCTCTTACGCATGTTTCGCGTGGGACCTCCCAAATTCTGAAGAATCCGAGGATGTGGTCAACTCTGAGCTGATGGTAGAGTTCTGCCATTCTTGTGAGCCTTGAGCGCCACCATGAGAATCCATCTTTCTCCATCGCTTCCCAGTCGTATGTTGGGAATCCCCAGTTCTGTCCATCAGATGAGAAGTCATCAGGAGGAGCACCAGCGCACATGTGGAGTCTGAAGAGCTGTGGAAATGCCCAGCACTCGACTGAATTGATGTTGACACCGATTGGGAGGTCACCCTTGAGTGCAACATGGTTCTTTGTTGCATAGTCGTATGACTCTTTGAACTGCTTGTCTGCGACGTACTGAATCCAGTAGATTTCGAGCAAATCATTCTTTTTCTGCTCGCAGACTTGTTCGAGCTCGGCTGGTGTGATTGTTGAATACTTTGGCCACTTGCGGAACTCTGTTGTCTTGTACTCATCTCTGAGGAGGCAGAAGAGGGCGTATGGTTTGAGCCATGATCCATTCTTCTTGAGGAACTGTTCAAGGCCATCTTTGACGAAATTATCCTTCTCAAGCTTGAAAATTTCCTTGAGATACTTCATCTTGAATGCGAATACTTCTGGATACTCAACTTGCTCGAACTTCTCGAATCTCTCTTTGGCTTCGACAATTTCCTTCTTCATTGCTGCTGGGATCTTGTCTGTGATAGCGAGTAGGTCGATGTAAACAGGATGAAGAGCGAAGCAAGATACCTGGCGGTATGGGTAAGAGTCACACCATTCTCCTTTCTCTGTTGTATCATTGATTGGAAGTAACTGTATGAGAGAAGCACCCATCTTGTTGCAAGCATCGACACATTTCTTGAGGTCTGTGTAAGATCCTATGCCCTGAGAATCGTTTGTTCTAAGAGAGAAGAGAGGAACGTATATTCCCATTCCCTTAAACAAGTCTTTGTTTGGACTGACGAACCAGTCTTGGATATAGTTGATAACCTTTCCGTCTGACAAAACTGGGACTGGGCAAACTCTGTTCTCACACTCTTCCCAGATGAATGTGCTATTATCTTTGTTCTCAATGACGTACTTATACTCGAATGGGAATGAAGATTTTGCAAAAACTTTGTTTCCTGCCCAAGCAGGGAAGCATCCATCTGCAAGAACTAATGAATTCTTTGGATCCCAGTTTCCGAGCTCTGGAACGTTTCCGACGATTCTGAGAACCTGATTTGGTCTTACATATGGGCAGTTTGTCGCGAAATATGTTTGTATTGCGTCTCCTGTCTGCTTGACAGTGATTGGTTCGCTCTTGACTGGACTTTCTCTTGAGTTGATTGCACCGACAAATGTTGCGCGGCTGAATGCGTCAAGGACGTTGTCTCTCCAGTGGAAGTGGTCTTCGATGTTGATGATGCAGTTTTCGTTGATCTCTCCTAAGACAAGCTTGTGGTTCTGCTCTGGTTCCCACTGTTTGTTGTCGCCATTAGAAATGATATATTTGTACTCGACGATTCTTGGATCTTTCGACTTTTGTAGTTCAACATCGACTGTCCAGTAGTCTAAGTTCTGCTCGAAGTGCATCTTTATCGACTTTTCTGAGTCCCAGTTTCCTAATTCAGGGATGTTGCCTGAAACGAAGACTTCTTGACCGAATGTTGTAGACACTCTGACGTGGAAGTGTACAATTACTCCATTTGATGAGATAAAGTTCATGTATTTGTCTTTCTTTGATGAAAAATGAAGTTAATTTTTTTTTAATAATCCTTTCAATATTTATATCAACAGAATCAAAATTGTGAGAAGTGGAGAAATCGATAAAAGCTTCTTCTCATAATCATACATACTGCTTTATCACAACACTGTCTTTTTATTATATTGAGAACCTTCAGGCTTCTTATGAACTCAAATCTTTTTCTGTGAAAATGACCCGAACGCCCAAAACTCGATGATATATATCTACATATGAATGTAATGCATTTCTCTCTCTTCCGTCATTTTCCTACCGAATTTTCAATATAGGGTGTCCAAAGGTGCGTTTAGCACAGCGCTCTATATGAGACTATTAAAGGAGATATATGCTGATTATAAATATATAATAAAAAATATGAATATATGTATATGATGAGTATGTTGTATTTTGGCGCCATGCCGGGATATAAAATGAATTTTGAGACAAGAGGCGGTTTCGCGGGAAATTTTGGCGGGATTTTTTTCATTTTTTTAATGAATCATAAAGAAAACATCCTCGCTCTTGCAAAAAAATGCAAAGACTGTAAAAAAATCTACGAGACATTGGTAAAATGCTTCGGTATGGATGCTCCTAGCTATTCCACTGTAACGTATCATGTTAGGATGTATCACTTCATGAACAAAAAGGCGCCCATCATAAAAATTGACAAAAAATCGCCGGATCAAAGAAAAATCAAAGCAATTCTTCAAGCGCTAGATGAAGACCCAAGAGCATCACTCAGAAGGATAGAGGAGATGACAAAGATACCACGTACAACAGTCAGTTATTATCTGCACAATTATTTGAACTACAAACTAGCGTATACACGTTGGGTTCCGCACAACCTTAATTCAGTTCAAAAAAAATCTAGAGTCCAATCTTCGAAAGAGCTCCTCTCTATATTGGGTGCGTATCAATCCAAGAAGTTTCGCTTTTTAGTAACAGGGGACGAGTCTTGGTTTCAATATGCAACAGAAGCCAAAATCATGTGGATCCCGAAGGATGAAAATCCGCAAACATTCCCGAAGAAAAAAATTGACACACCAATGATGATGTTGTCGGTTTTTTGGGGCGTGAATGGCATCATCGCAATTGATATTCTTCAAAAACCTAATACGATGAATGCTCAGTATCTAATTGACAATGTTCTTACTCAAATTATCAATTCTGATGAGTTTGAGAAATCCAAACAACAAAAAACAAAGTTTGCAATTCATTTTGATAATTCAAGAGTTCACAAAAGTCATAAGGTAATGAATTACTTGGTGGAAAACAATGTCAAAGTTGTTCCAAACCCAATTTATTCACCTGATATTGCACCCTCTGACTTTTATTTATTCGGCGCGCTAAAAAAGAGAGCTGAAGGACGCGAATTCGCGAGTCCAGATGATCTTGAAAATTTTGTAAGAGAGCAATTGAGCAATTTTCTCATGATGATTTAAAGCGTGTCTTTGAAGCCTGGATCGATCGCTGCGAACGCGTGATTGAATCCAATGGTGATTATATTTAAATAAACTTTATATATATGTAACTTGTTTATTTCTATTCGCAGTATTCAGGTTTGTGCTAAACACACCTTTGGACACCCTATATTTTCAATGTCTTTCAATTTTTATTTTACATTTTTACATTTTCGTGTCAAAAAAATGCGGACGCGCAGAAACTAGAAATATGCAAAGCATTACTAATTTAAATACATTATCACTACTTTTCTCCAATAAACATAAAATTCTTCGAAATTCTTGATCGCAGTAAAGTTGAACACGGTCAATGAACAAATACATATTTACATGCACTCACAAGCAAACTTCTCAATATTATAAATATGACTTGAGCTATATAAATTGATAGAATGAATATGAAAATTTCAGATGTCGGAAAAAATTAATTAAAAAAGAGGCAAAGTTCAATTAATATCTTCATATGCAATTTTCTCGGTGTGATCGCACTAGAGTAATGTAAACATCTGAGTTAAGGCAATGTATTTGTGATTTTCAATTATATCATGCCTAATAATTCAGTTTTTCATAGACAAATATTGAGATAAATTAGGGTTAAATTCAAATTCATTCGTGTTCAAAAATATCTCAAATTATCATATTGATTCAAGGTATTGATCTTAATAAATGAAAAATGAGAATATTATCAAAAGAAAGAGTTTATTTTAACAGAAATGTCGAACTTAGAATCCACCACGAAGATGGAGAACGAGATGGAGTGTTGCGTCCTTCTGGATAGAGTAATCCTCGAGTCTGTTCCCGTCTTCAAGTTGCTTGCCAGCGAAGATCAAACGCTGCTGATCATGAGGAATACCTTCTCTGTCTTGGATCTTGGCCTTGACGTCTTCGATCTTGTCTGCTGATTCGACGTCGAGTGTGATGTGCTTGCCTGTGAGTGTCTTTACGAAGAGCTGCATAAAGAAAAATGAAATGAGCTTTTAAGTAGGCAAAGTATTTTCCAAATTTTCCGCATTTTCTTGATTTTAGAAAAATTTAGAGAGAAAAAAATCATTTCCTTTTAAAAATTATTTAGAATCATACTGTTAGTTTATATCCTAAATATTGAGAAGTAAAAATTTTTGATCAATTTTTTAGTTTTGAAAAGTGACTTTTTTTTCTCACTAAATTTTTTCTAAAATCAAGAAAATGCGGAAAATTTGGAAAATACTTTGCCTACTTAAAAGCTCATTTCATTTTTCTTTATGCAGCTCTTCGTAAAGACACTCACAGGCAAGCACATCACACTCGACGTCGAATCAGCAGACAAGATCGAAGACGTCAAGGCCAAGATCCAAGACAGAGAAGGTATTCCTCATGATCAGCAGCGTTTGATCTTCGCTGGCAAGCAACTTGAAGACGGGAACAGACTCGAGGATTACTCTATCCAGAAGGACGCAACACTCCATCTCGTTCTCCATCTTCGTGGTGGATTCTAAGTTCGACATTTCTGTTAAAATAAACTCTTTCTTTTGATAATATTCTCATTTTTCATTTATTAAGATCAATACCTTGAATCAATATGATAATTTGAGATATTTTTGAATTTGAATGAGTATGAATAGAATGATAAACGTGTTCACTAAACATTAGATTGAACTATAAGTACATTGTGACAGAATGATTTATTCCAATTACATTCGAATATGGATATCTCCGATAATTTTTTAATTTGAATTAAATATTTTCTATTAAAGCAAAATTTAATATCAAACTCATTTAGCTTATATTTCAACATTGATAAAAAAAAGGATTAATAGTCATAATTTATCAATTTACTATGATTTCTCATTCTATTTCAGCAGCGAACGTCATGGTTAGTCCTATGTTAAATAATATATTACAGAGAAGAAAAAAAAAATTCATATTATCGAATCTATATTTACAAACAAGAAAAATCTAGGATGATTTCAATGCCTTTTTGGCCTTTTGACGACTTCTCTTTTTGAGCTTTTTAAGATATTGAGGGTATTCGTTATATCTTTGCCAAAAGAGACTAATTTGTGGTGTATCTAAGCTGCCGGTATTACGGTTTGTCGATTGTTCTGGTGGGGAGTCTTGGATGTAAAGAAATGAGCCATCCGAATCTAAAGATTCAGCGACCTCTGTAAATGAAAACGAACCCTTATGGAAATCAAGTGATTCATATGAAGATTCTTGAAAGCTTGGTGTGAAAGATTCCATGTATGCACCGAAATGGGATGTCGGTAAAGCTGATATACCAGTTGCATCAGGAAGGTCAATAGATTGAGGAACACCTGTGCTTTCTTTGTATAGTTCGAAGTCTGTGTAGAAACGCATACCCAAATCAGTCATTCAGAATATTTTTGCATAGATTTCATCGTTTTCAGTAAATTTATTAAAATGAATATTTATTAAATAGTATAACATTTTCACGCAATTTAATTTTCTGTCAAATAAACATTTCTGAACTATTCAAAATGCGACCTTTCGTTCATTTAAAATCAAATTTATAACATAATACATGGTACTAGAATATAATCATTTGAGGAATTGAAATCAATTAGAAAATTGAGAACTATGATTGTTCAGATTTTGAAAGGAAAATTCATATAAGTGATTGTCCCTTAAGTCAAAATCGTATAAGCTTATAAATTATATAATTGCTAAAATTCCTTTGAATTAACAAATCAATTTCATAATATGATCGAGCATCCGGAAAAAACCATCTACAGAGGTTATTCTCATAATTAGGTTTAAATTATTTATGTCGTAATTATCCCGATAGAATTTCTGAATTCTGCCGGTTTATTAATTCATAGTTTTGAGGTTAATCGAATAAATAACTCCATCTGATCGTAGGTCTGATGTTTTTGCCTTCAAAATAGAAATCATTCATTAAATTTTTTTTTGTTGAATTGGCATGATATTGATTTTATCAATTAAAGATACATTTCCCAAGTTAACTTTAACTGTACAGATGTTTGGAAGTTTCAATATTAAAATTCTATAGTTGGCTATATCTTTTCATTCAATATTTAGCTCATTTTATTTCGCTATTCATATAAAATGCAAGGCTCATGATTGCTTATTCATAGTATATCTCCTCTTTAAAATCAAACTGATGATTCGAAGAGCAATTGAAAATCATTTGAAATCAAATCAAGTTTTGCAGATTTATACTATGATAAAATGATTGATATAGATATTTGATGCTCATAATAAAGTATGGTTAGAGATAACAACAATAAAATTTTCATAAGATATTATCAAAATAGATAACTCATTTATAATAAACAAAACATACAAGAACGAATAAAATCAGATTCCTCATCTCTAGAAAATGGATCTTCAATCTTTTCCATCTGAATACAATTTGTTTCGTAACCAAGATTTGAAACATACGAAATTAATGTACCAATAAAATTATCTGCTATAATTATATTGGAATTAGCAAATTCTATAACTTCGTTTTGCATATCTTCTGTAATCATATACGATGAAAGTCCGGCCATTGTATAAACCATTACAGAACAATATTTTGCATCACTCCCATCATATTCTGAGATGACAATCGAAAAATCTTCTAAATCTTCAGGAACTGCAATTCTTTTTCCGAAACAACGTGAAATGAACACAGAAGCAATAAAACTTACCTTTTCTTCCAATAAATCTAATGCAATTTGTATTAATTTTTGCGAGTTATTGATGATATTCTCATTTTCAAAAATAATATTTGCAGAAAATAGAATTATTTCCTTAAGATCAGAGTAGCACTCAATTATTTCATCTATTTTACCATTTTCAAGGCATATTTTGAATATATTTGATAAAGAATCAAAATAATTATTATACTCAGGTTCAAAATCAAGATTTTGCTCAAAGAATGAATCAAATAGCTTATATATCCTTAAGAAATCTGCAATGCAATCTATAATATACTCACAATTTGGTGAATTATAGTCGAAATAATCGAGAATTCTTAAAAAAGCATTTTCTGGATTAGACAAGATATTTCTTTCAGCCATTTTTGAGAGGATAGTATAACAAATCGAGTAATTCAATTTTTCTGAATCAATTAAATTAAAAATCAAATCAGAGACGTCTTCAAAAGAATTCCCATCAGATAAATACTCATTAAGGAGTTCTAAGCAAGCATATATTATTACAGGATCATCATTTGTAATATAATGCTTAATTATTTCAATTGTATCAAATTTCTTTGATTTTAAGTGTCTCAGATCAGAAACTAATAGTATTGATGATGCAATGTAAGTAGGATTATCTTCTTTGAATAGTAATTCTTGAAACGGCTCAAATATATCAAATTTAAATTTCAATTCTGAAATGCAACTCCTGGCAAGATAAATTGATTGAACAGATGGATGATCTACAAGATATTTGATATAAATCAGTGGTGAGTGATCAGCCAAAGTGAGAAATATCTTTTTTGGAATTAAATTTGTTGATTTATAATTTAAATCAAAATTCTGGCGATAGCATTGCTCGAAATCACTCTCTCCTTCATATATTTCATATATATGTATATGCCTTATTATTGATTCTAAGAATTGATCCCGATTTTTTTCATCAATTGAAAAATTTTTTTTTGACAAAAATTCGCCAAAAAAATACCAAATTTCGTGTTGATCAATGACATCAGAATTCATTATCAGCAAATCAGGAATGATTTTCTTGAGAGAACTAATAAGTTTTGAGTAAAATCCAGTTGCTGCAATTTCTATGCTTTTATCTGTTCTATTTTGTAGTTCAACTAGTCGTATTATGAATAATGATACTTGAACAAACAGAGAATCACTGCAATCATCATTAAGTTTCGCATTAATTATCTCAAAAACTAAATTCATTGGTGAAGGATCTTTTACGAAGTCATTAATAGTAAAATCAATGTTTTTTCTTAAGATTTTGAATATCAATATTGTTAAAACTTCATCATGACTTTCAATAATCGTAGATGTTAAATTATAGAATCTTTGTAATTCGATATGTTTGTTAAAAATGGAGTTAGATTTTTGTAATGAAAAACACAAGTTCATCAGTTTCAGACCAAGATGAATATGGTCATGTGAATTACTTTCTGAAATCAAAGTTTCCGTGTAATTATAAAGAATTTCTACCATTGAAAGAGAATCATACTTTAATAGAATGTATTTAATAACTTTGAGCAATAAGATACTTGCATTTGGATCTGAATCTTGAATAAAACTAAATAAAATATTAGTAATTTCCACATATTTATCTAGATCAGTTATAGAGTTAATGAAATCTATCATTATGTTTTGAAAAATCTTCGCATTTTCTCGTTTTTCGTTTTGAGCATTGAAAAGATCAAGAATTTGGGCAAAATTGTTTACATCCGATATAATGTTATCGTATAAAGCACGTGATTGTGTTCTTTCTGTTTCGTCCTGTGAATTCAGAGCATTATAAATATCGATAATATCCATTCAATAATAAAAAATGAAAGCATCTAATGCACAGATTCATTTTAAAACAAGAGAAACAGATATTGAACCTTTAAAGCTCTATAAAATATTTAATCAATATCTTTGTTTCATCTAATTTATTGTCCAATGTGTTCGTATCTATAACATAAAGCTACAAACTAAAAATGGTGATATAATGTGATGAATAGCTTCTATCAATTCACATAAATGAGCAAAATCCATTTACAAATTATTACAGATTGCGATATTTTCTAGTGAAAAACCATATTTTCTTTAATATAATTAGTATTTTAACTATATAAACATGCTTCGCGCCGATAGAATCATCAGTTTATCGGGAATGCGCGCCGATAAAATTTAAGTATTATTGTCACTTTTTCAAGCTCCTTCTCGATGTCAAGCATGGATACATCCGATATAATCGAATGCTTGATTGAGAACGGGAAAGTTATTTCTGTAGATGAAAGCGCCATTTTTACAATAAAACATCTTGATTTGGTTGATTTGGAGAATTTCCAATTAATCACTGAAATTGTTAGAGAAAAGATCTCCAATTCAGAACTATTGTTCGGGTATTGCCATTTTCTAACATATTATTTCTTTAAATCATCCACAAATTACTTAACAAATGAATCAAATTCTCTTTGGACCATTTGCATTGACATTCTGAAGATATTGACAGATCAAAGGCAAATAAATATGGTTGTAGAAGGTCTGTACAATCTCTATTTGAATACAAAACAATTAGATCCGATGATATATTCTGCCATTCTTGAAACAGATTATCAGAACCAAGTTTCTAGGCTACTCTTACTCGAATCGTTCATGGATTTCATCGACCAGCAGTTTTTCACGAATAATGCAATTGAAATTTCATTATTGATCGATCAATACTTCGAGAATGCATCGAATCTACAAAAATTTCATTTCATTCAGATGCTTAATCTATCACGCCCAGAATATGCATGGATTTCTAACGAAACAAACTTGTTTGAGCAATTTAAATTTTCCATTTGCGAAATATGCCAGGAAGAACCATATAATCCATCAAATTACAGTAACATGCTTATTTCTGTTAACTTAATCCGCAAGATTTACCCCTCTCTTTACATTGTCGAAATTCCCCAAATTTCTAGTCTTATTTCTGAACTAGATATGGACATTCCGACAGAAGAAACCTACAGAATACTAACGAAGCTCTTACTTTTCTTACCAGTGATGCAGGAATGCCAAGTTCAAAATTATATTTGGAAATTAATAGATTTTGTCGAAAATTACTCTGAAACAGACTACACAAAGAAAATAATGCACAACATACGTACGTTTTCTCGTCAAAACTTCGAGGAAATTTGCATTTTTCCGATAATCGAAGCAATTCAAAAAATTTCTAATCTTAATCAAAAGATTGAAGCATGCATACTTCTTTTATCCTCATTCCTACCATTTTTCGACATCGAATCCGATTTAATTGACTACATTCAGACAAAATTTAATTATATGATCACGAAAGGCAAATACCACAGCCTGACGGTTATATTATATGTCCTGAATATGTCTTCTTGCATTACATCCATGAAAAAATCCAAATTTGACAACTTATTTACGAATTTAATTGAATTGTCATCAATGGACGAATATTCCCATGATTCTTTAAAATCCATTAAGCATATTATCCGTAATGGCATGCTAAACAAGTCAATAATCCATGATCTCCTTAAATTATATTCCCAAATTCCATTTCCAATGATACAGAAGTACTTTTCAATGCTTTGTGATGTCTGCGAGAACTGCGACCAACCACTGCTATCAGAAATGCACGAATTCCTTTCCCAAGTCATTTTTAACGACACAGAACCATTGAAAAACTGCGGACTTGGCCTTTTCACGTACACAGAGATCTGTTTGAGGGATTACGAGATAGACATGTCCTTGATCGATGCTTCTTTTGAGATAATTTACAGTCTTTTGTCATCTAATGAAAATGATTTGGTAAAAACGGGTTTAGATGCGATAGACTTCCTCTGGATCATCTATTCTAACTATGATGACCTTGATTTGGAGGAAGAAAAGGAAAAAATAACGTCAATTATGGAAATTCTTCAAATAACTTTGACAAACGAAGAATTCGCACAGAAAACACTTGAAAACTTTATACATATTAAGAATGCATTGTTTTCTAGTGATGATACCGTTCAACTTCCTTTTATTCCAAATATTGAAAATTTAGAAAACGTTTTTTCAATGGAATCTGATTCTGTGAAGGCATTTTGTGGATATGTTATCTCCCAGTATGGTAATTCGTTCTCTTTAGAGCAATTAATGCATTTATTTAATATTTCTGCAAAAATTTCGCAGAAAAGCGAAACTTGCCACTTAATGTATTCCGCATTAATGATAGGATCATCAATTCTCCAGCAATATCGCGATAATCCAACGAATTCCGAAATTATTGATTTTATTGAAAAGGTTTTCCTCGGCCATTTCAAATGTTTCCATGGCAGTCGCTTTTGTGACTATGTAGCCGAATCATCTGCTTTATATTCAGCTCTAATTGAGCTTTCTAAAGCAGGGAATGATATTTTTTATGAAAAATTATGCTCAATCATGGAATATCTTGACGAATCATCATTAGAATATGCAAGAGATTGCATAGTTGAAACGATTTCAAGCGGAAGAATCGTACAAGACAAATTATTGGAGAATTTCCAATATTTTACTTCCGTTTTGCAGAAAAGATATCACGATGAGCATGCCATAACAGCGATACTACCGATATTGATGACAATTTACGATAGAGCCGAAATCAAAATGAACGTAGAATTATCGAAACTTCTTTTCGATCTTGTAATCTCGATATTTAAAGAGTTAAATGTCCAAAAAGATTGCGAATTCTACGAGGATTATTCCATTTTCTTGGCTGATGCGATCATCTCAATTTTATCGCAGTCAAAAGTGACCGATAACGTAGACAATTTGGTTGTCAACCAAGCCTGGGGTGTTTTATCGAATTCTTTGAAGGAAGATGTCGATTCTGACGAAGATGAGTACAAAGTTGACGTAGAACGAACACTTCTTAATGCTCTGAGCATTATAGAGAACCCATACGACCCTGATCAACTCGACAAATCCGCAATTTTGTTTGCATGTCTGTCAATAATTTGTAATTCGAAGAACTCCGCCAAGATTGGAATATCATTTGATACAGAGAGCTACGCAACTGAAGTTTTAACAAAGATTGCAAATACAAAACCGCAATTATTTAAGGAAATTTTGTCCGAGTTGAAGACGTGCAATCCAACATATGAAACAATCATATTACAGCTCCTCAGAATAGCATGAGACGTAGTATGATCTTCACATGTTTTTTCATTCCAAAAAAAAATTTATACTTTTTTATATTAAGAGTATTTGAATGTTAATTTATTGTTTGTATATATATGTTTGTATTAAATTTATGATTTATATGAATTTGTCTTTTTAATTTTCTCAATTTGATTTGTTCACATAGTTTTCAGCTTGCTAAACTTAGACAATAGGATCCACGGATAGAAATATTCTATTTGATACATAAGAGTTGTCAACAAGTCTTTTTTGCATCAAATTTGAGAGAGATTCTGAACCTAAGAAAAAATGTAAACTGACGAACCAAAATTAATCCATGATTCTATTCATACATCAATAGCTTATGGTCGAATGAACAGAAATATTGAAAAATTTTCACTAAATTTTTATAAGTCGAAATCTTTTTTTATGAGTGGTAGGAAAGCTTTGGCCCAAATAGCCAAAAATCAAAATCAAACACAGGTATTTCAAAAACATACTAGAAGAGAAGGATGTTTTAGTACAAAACAGAAAAATAAACAGGAAACAAATGATGATTCTTTAATCGCTGAACTTGAGAGCGAAATTAATCAACAGGAAGATATGCAGGAAGCAGCAAAACAATGGGATGAGAAGTATTATCAGATTAAACTCGAACAAAATATTAATGAGTTAAATAATCGATTCCAAGCAGCCATCAATGAATACAATACACTACAAAACGATATTGCTATTCTCAGCGTCCTTAATGAACAATATTCTCACTATTGTTCACAACTCGCTGAATTATACAATTACGCAAAGAAACAAACGGAAGAAACTAAGGACGATAACTTCCAACAGAATATAGAAAACATGGTTAACCAATTCAATATTCCTGATGAAGATAAATTACCTGATGTTGAATACCAAATTCGAAACTTTGACAACCCATGTGATGCTAACAACATGTCAGAATTTATTGAAGAGTTCAGAAACCTCAATAAAGAAATACAAAATCTCCAAGAACAAAGAAAATCAGATACAATAAAGCTTGAAGATACAAAGGATTCGATTGAAAAATTGCATCTCCTAATCAATCTAAGCTTCCAAGATCTCGGCTTGATTTCTAATGAGTAGTTTGGTCTTACTTATGGAAATTCTGAATCTGATTCTTTTATTTGCATAATAAAGCTATATTATTTATATCTATTCAGTTTTTGCTCCATAATCATATATCCATTACTTATATATGCTTATAAATTAAAGTCGATATTTGATTGAATGATTCAAATCGAACTATATGATATACTTTTAATCACATTAAAAATAATGCATTGTCTTATCTCAAAATCAAACATTGCTGTTTTGATTAAATCATCTCAAATTTAATTTTATTACTGTTCATTATAATACTTAAACTATCCCATAACATACTTACAAGCCATAAAACTATCATGAAAAATGATTAATTAAAGAATAATTTAATTTTATTGAGTAAATTAACAAACAAAATTCATATAAAGATACTATTGTTAATAGCTATTGTATTCATTGAGGGTTTTTAAGGTATAAATATAAAGAAACTAAAATCTGGGAAGATTGGAGGTAAATTCCATTCAAAAGAAGAATTACAAAGAAGGAAGCATTGGAACCTGTTATAAGAGAATCAATTATATGGAGAATAACTACAATATGCAAAATTGGGAGCACATTAATTCCAAAAGCGAGAGGGCCGATAGATTGCAAGTAATCCTTCATATCCTTTGACTTTTCATCTTTAGGGGCTTGTAGAAATGGAACTAGAATGTAAATTAATTGATATTGAATAAATTTCTTTGAAACAACGAAATTCAAAGCGCATTGTATTGAGGATGAGATAACAAGGAAGTATATAGCAACTTTGAATCCTCTTCTCGATGAAATAAAGAAGAATAATACGAAAATGAAAACATTGATGTAATTCCACAGTTTAATTAAACAAACACTTTTCTGAGAGTAAAGGGATTGTAGTATTTCGTGAAATTCTTTGAAATTCAAAAGTTCTGCTGAAGGATAATTGAATTTATTGTAGTTTTTACCGGCAATAATAGGTCCATTGGAAAATAGTATTGATTTTATAACTATTATCAAGGCTAAAATAATGAATTCTCGGTTGGATAAATTGAATTTTTGAAAATAGATTAAATAAATGAACAAAATTAATGATAACGACATGATAACGTGTATCATTTTGATAAGTGATAAATATCCTTTCATCACTTTCATTAATTTCAAGATTGGATAAAGAAGTAACAAAATTATCAAGTAGAATAACAAAATATCGGGTTTCAAGAAGTTAAGACATTTGATGAATGAAATTGCATATAAAGCAAGGTAAATTCCAGGGATGGAAATTAAGAAGAGAAAATCATCGACGAAAGGTATATTAAAGAGTTGGTATCCTGTTAGACCAAGGTTTTTCCAAGCATTTTGATCTTTTTGGTTCGTAGTTTGCTCTGGTTCAAATTTGAATTTAAAAATGTTGAAAAATTTGAGTTTATGGAAGAAAATTGCTCCCAATCCGAGGGTCATTTTCCATGCCATTAAAATTATGAGTGCATGAGGTACAATTCTCTTGATAATTGATATAACCAAATCTAAGCTAATTATAAAATATTTTTTTATCGTTAATTCAAAAAATTCAAAAAATGTTCCGTGTAAATCTTTTAATTTCTATCAAATTTTGATAATGAGGCGGAAATGATTTTAGGAATATTAATAAACAACAAATATGAAAGACACAATATTGTCATAAACCAGATCTCACCACAACTTACTTGTTTCTCATATTGATTCTAATTAGAAGCTGATTTTGATTTCAATAAAATTTACCAAACGAGTTAATAAAGCAATTTATAAGCACAATGGAATATATGATCATTGAAATATAGGGAAATGCTTTATCAGATTTTATCAAATATAGAATTTCAGAAATTTATTTGATTGAGCTAAATTGAGTAATATTTAAACGGATATATAAAAGTTATAATAAATAATATATTTATTCTTGAACAATTAAAGAAAGAAATAAAAATTAACAATTTTTTATGATCCAAGTGGTGTAATACAGACTTTTTGCATTCCAATGACGATATCTTCTCTGATATCGAAGAAATTAATAGCCCAGGAGACAGTATAATCTGAGATATTCTTAAAAATAGTATTTTCTAATGAAATATTAGCTGCTTTGAGTGCTTCATAGATCTGCTTTGCAGTTAAGATTGTTTCAATCAATATTCTTTGGTTTTCACTTGTGAAAAAATGTTTAAATAAAATCTTTTCTTTTGCTTCGATATTTACCATTCTAAGCATGTTGCATCCGTCAATTATGTTCGTAATAAGTTCATTAAGAAGTAGAATTCTGTATCCCAATGGAGAATTCAACGCCAATTCCAAAAGTTTCTTGCAATAGTCAATGTGAGGGACCATGACTTCAGGAACTTCTTCGTTATCACCAGGAACAATCGGAATGGCCTGTACATCGTAAATTGTTTCCATGAAATTCTTAATTGAGGGCAAATCCTTCTTAAATCCCGCATTTAGCTTCACAATGATGATCGGCATCTTTATCCATGGGAAATCAGAGAATTTTGACATAAGTGACTTCACATTTGACACAAAACTTTTCGGATCGCATTCTGTGAGGGCTCCGTAGTATGCTCCATACGAGGATTGAACAAATGAATAGTTCAGACCATCGGTCTCTTCATCAATGATACTTAAAAAGTCGTTCATCTGATTTAAGACTTTTTTCATGGAAATGACCTGTTTGAACTGTCTGTTTCTCTTCATTGAAATATTAATCAGCTTTTTGAGAGCGAAAACAACAAATTGTTCGCTCTGATCTCTGCAATGATTATCTTCAATGTAAATCGCGATTTTATTGATCACAGGAACATCCTCTTTCTCAGCTTCATTCTGTAGGAACGCGAATTTCCTTTCTTCTTCATCGGAACCGACGAAATCCCGAATTTCTTGGATATTCGGTTGTTTCGGGATAGAAAGGTTCACAAGTGATTTGTCAAGGTTCTTGTCCTTTTCTGAGGTCGCTACAAACGATAATGTTGTTTGTTCGCATTGAATAATTTTCAAAAAGTCGTACATGTCTCTGGCGATCATTGTAATGTTGTAGCAACGCGCCATGCCGATATCTAGTCTATTTGGAGTGGACTGGGAGTATCTTTGCGGTGCTAAAATTTCTGCAAACGAATCTACTTCTCCTGCGCAGTTTTCGCCGAAAAGAACATCGAAACAATGCTGAAATGTATCTGTATCTACAAGATAGGATAGGTATCTGTAGTGGTTGACGAAAGATGGAAAAATAATTTTTTTCAAGAAAAATTCAACGGCTTCATGAGGTGAAATTGATACTAATCGGTTCAGACATGTAAATTGGTAGTATGCAATCGCTGAAACTGTCTTCAAAACTGAGAAAAATAAATTATAAATTTTTGTTTTGTCTTTTGACATGATCATATGGGAATGTACGATCAGTTCATAACGGAAATGAGTCCAAAGAACATTGTGGAACATGAATGAGCTGTCAAATAATGATTTGATGAATTTCGAGCCGATTTCGAAGTCGCAAACGTCCAAAATAGAGTTGACGAGGGTGCATGCGTATTCAACTGCACGTTCATCTGTAAAATAGGCATATAAAGATGGAAATAGTTGATTAATGAAGTTATCTACTTTTTGTGGATTTTCTTTAAGGAAATTCATAATATTATCGACATACTCTGTAGGATTCTCGTAGAATATTAGGATTTTTCTAGAAATTTCTGCACTTTTACCTTGTAAATTTAAAAACTTTTGATTTGTAATGAATTTAAACTGTTCTGGTATTTGAAGACCTTTTTGGTTTCTTAAGTTATTGAATACCTGATACTCTATTCGATACTTGAAACACTTTGAAAGCAATTCTGTGTGTGCATTTCCGATTTCTGATTCGATTTGAAAGAAAAGTTGTGACTCTTTCATTTGATCATCAATCAAAATGTCTTTATATTGTTGATAGAGAGTTTGAATCTCTGAAGTTCGATAGTTTTTACTCATTTAAAATTATTGTTTGGAAAAATTATAAGAAAAGTGACATTTTAATTATTCCATTTTCAATTTTTTTACCAACAACATTAATTCTATGCCTGGTTTGAAAGTTTTTATATATGATAAATAAAAAAACTGACATCTTGATAAATCTGATTTGATGGTTGTCGATACAGACCGTTTGGTCGGAGAAAATTCTTAAAACGGATGAGTTTATTTATTTCTCTTAATTATGATTATATTGCCGAACATATCAATGAATATATTGACAATGGAAGTTTCTTTGATATATTTGACGAAGAAGATATCAAAGGAATCATGGAACATTCAAATTTTACTCCAAATCAATACGCTGATCTTCTCAGACAATTTGCTTCAACACTTAATATAGAAAGATTATTTATATATACACGAAATGCAAAAGTATCTGTAAAAAGCATAGAAGATGCAATTTCGATTTTGAATTCAGCCAAAGAATACATGAAATTCGATGTATTTGATGGAGTTATTGACATTTTAAAGAAAAATGAAACAGAAATAAACTAATATACAGAAACAATCAAAAATCTTCAAGAAAAATTAAATGAATTTCAAAATCAAAATTCCATCAATGAAAATAATAATAATTCGAAAGAAATATTAGCAAGAATCGAAGAACTTAAGAATTCAAATGATTTCGGAAGTGTTTATAGATTCCTCGATGAATTATCTGCTTCAGATAATCATCAGATGATATTAAAATCATGTGAAGAAGGATTATGGAAAAAGAAAACTCCAATGTTTGGTTCTAATGTTCTTCATGAAGCCTGCTCGAAAGGAAACCTCAAGCTTGTTAAATCTCTTATAGAACGCGGTTGTGATAAAGAAGTTAAGAATAATTATGGATATACTCCACTCATTTGGGCATCAGCTAATGGACATCTTGAAGTTGTTCAGTATCTTATTTCTGTAGGATCAAATAAAGAAGCAAAGTTTAATGAAGGATATACTCCTTTGATTTCTGCATCAAGAAATGGCAAACTTGAAGTAGTGAAGTATCTTATCTCTGCAGGTGCTGATAAAGAAGCAAAAGAAGATAAAGGATATACTCCGCTAATTTATGCATCAAAAAATGGTCATCTTGAAGTTGTTAAATATCTCATCTCTTCTGGCGCTGATAAAGAGGCAAAGGATAATCTTGGATCTACTTCACTTATGCATGCAGCAAAAAATGGTAAACTTGAAGTTGTTAAACACCTTATCTCTTCTGATTACAATAAAGAAGCAAAAGATTGTAATGGATGGACAGCTCTCATTTGGGCATCATTTAATGGCCAACTTGAAGTTGTTAAATTTCTTATATCTGCTGGTGCTGATAAAGAAGCAACAGATAATCATGAATACACTCCACTTATTTGTGCTTCAGCTAAAGATCATCTTGAAATCGTTAAATATCTTATATCTATTGGTGCTAACAAAGACGCAAAAACAATTGGTGAGGAAACTGCCATTATAGTTGCCGCACGCAATGTAAGAAGTTATCTCTTATCTATAAAAGAATAATTTTTGTTAAAATCAAATATTCAATTTGTTTAACTTAAATGATTATAAGCGTTATGATATGCGATTTCATTTTTTAGTAGATGAGTGATCAAAATTCAAATATCAGACAAGGTTGGATACTATAATTATTGAAATTAGATTCTTATCACGGTAACTTTTATGTAAAGTAAAAAAGACACTTTTTAAAAGATGTTTAAATTCAAAATATTACTGCATTTCATGTGGTAACTCTATATTATCACTATATTTTTATTGACATCTGCACCATGTGAAAGGAAATATATGCATAGTGATGGAATGTTGGTTCATACGACATATTTAGTATATATGGTATATATGCAATCTATGCTCTTGAGTATATGGCTTAAATCTGGTCAGAAAAAAGTGTCTGTACCTTTGGCAAAAATGTCAAAAAATAAGATGTAAACCCATTTTCCTTCGTAAGGTCTCTTATTCAAATTTTTGATAGGGGTTCACTCAATATTGAGGCAGAAAAACGATAAGGAGACTTTATCTAGGAAAATAAGATGTATTTTAGCCAACTTTATTAATTATAATTATATTTTTTATTTACTCTATAAAATTATAAAAAAATCTATATTTTAGTGAATGTATTGAGAAAGAATTTGATTAAGTTCTTCATCGAGAGTTCCAGAAAGTTGCTGATTTTCATTCCAAACAGACTTCAAAAATTCAAATTCATTCTGAGAGTCGAAAGGCAAATGATAAGGACAAATAATTCTGAAAACAGACTCATCATCAAGATTTTCTTGTTCAGAATCACTTTTATCCCCATCTTCCTCTTCATTTACATCAATCTCTACATCTTCTCCTTCACTGTTTTCTTCGTTTTCCTCTTTTTCTTCTGATTCATCTCTTTCTTTCAATTCAAGCAATTTAGGAATATTTGAAATAGCAATTGGAAATGCTTCTTGTATTCCTATCCTGCACAAACACAACAAAAACATAAAACATGACTTCATGTCAACATATGTTGTAAAGAAAGTGTAATTCAATTTTTTGAGAAGGAAGTCAATTAATTCAGTGTCTTCTCTCAAAAATTGAATAGTTGTAATGTCAATCAAAGCATTTGATTGGAACAATCTAATTGAGCCAACAATATCATGTTCCTTTATATTGTAGCCTCTCAAAGAACTGTATTCCATTATTTTATGGATTTGTTCTTGAGCGAAAACCAAAGAATTCGAATCTAAACCATAAACTTGAGAAACACAAGTCATCAAGAACAATGAATAAGGAAGGGATTCATCAGTACATTCCTCTGGATTGTTTCTTATCACTTCACGTGCGAAATTGACAATGTTTAACACGGATTCTTTGAATTCTTCATTTTGGTAATTTTCTGAACTTAAATCAACAACTAAAGGGTATAAATACCAAACAAAACTCTCCATGGAACATGTGACAACGGATTGGAATAGGTCTCCTTCTTCTTCAAAAATGGAATATATCAACATGAAGGATTCATAAAACTCTACAGGATGAGATTTGAAATTCATCGAGAAAAGAGCGAAAACAAGGAATAATTTAGGTAGATCGAAGTTGTTTGTTAATGATTGTAATACATTTGTAAGGTTAGTGAAGACAAATGTATACAAATTCTCTAATAATTCTTGATTCTTCCTGTTTGGCTCTAAAATATCGAAGATTGATGATAGGGAGTCTTCGATCTTCGATATATTCTCTGGTTCAATCGATTCCGAGCTGAGTTCTGTGTTAATTAAGTCAATGAAAGCTTCAATTACGGCTGCAGCGCATGTATTCATGGCTTCTGGGTTCTTTTGGGCTAAAGTAGTGATAACACCACTCAATGCTTTCATCCTGATGATCTTTGTCACTTCCATGATTGGAGATAAAATTGAATTCATGTCTATATCGTTTACAGGCAGTTTCTTTACACATGCAGCGAATATCTTAGCTGCATAGACTATAATTGTCGGCTCATCGGTCTCAGATACTATTGCTTGCAGTCCAATTTCAGCTCCTCTGTGGTAATCATCGAGTGGGGCCAATTTTGAGTACAAATTGAGAGCAGAAATTAATAAGAACGTTGGGGAATCACTGACGATTATTTGTTCGACCAAATTAACAACTTCTGTTGGAATTGGGAGATAATTATGGAAAGGAGGCATTTTTATCTTGCGTGCACGGGCTTTCTTCTTCTTAATAGCATATTCCGACTCTTGTTTTACTAATAATGCTTTGACTAAAGCGGTTATTAAATATAATTTTGCTTCTATTACGTCCTGTGTGTCTTCTTCAGTGGGAGTTATGTGTGGAAGGATGACCTCATAGCTGATATCATGTTTTTCAACCAAATCTCTGATGATTGTACCTGAAATAAACCTGGAATTGAACGTAGCAGGGTAAGGACCGAATTTCATGTATTGGCCGATGTAGTACGATGGATTGTTGATCGTTTCGAAGTAGTCTGTCTCAGGAATTGTGGCAAATCTGATCAAAATTGGGAATAATCCTTCAGATAAGAAGTCATCGTCAAGTTTGTAGAAGATTATGCTGTGTAATATCAATGATAGTGGGTGGGAAACTGAGAATGGCTGAGGAATTACACAAATTTGTTTAATTGTATTGATAATTATTGGAGCTAGCTCTTGTTTGAAGTGCTCTGCAAACGACTTCTTGATATCTGAAGCATTTTTGGTGTTTGTACTGAATTCTACAATTAATTTGTAATAAAATTTTGAAAGTGCGATTTTCATGTTAACAATTTCAGTATAGTTGTTGTCATTTTGAAGTAAAGGTGTAAGTGTTTGCACTATACTGTCTATTATGTTGTTTTGCAATGGAATTTCTGAAATTCTCACTAATTTTGAGAGGAATTTAACATATTGTATTGAGAAGTTCAAAGAATTCCATTTGTTTAAGTCTTGAACGGCACTTTCTTGGAAAGTTACTACAAATTTTTCAAGGAATTTTGTAATATAAGTGTTTCCGAATTCATCTAATGGTTTATCACGAATAACTTCGAGCCAAATATTTGCAATTTCAGCAATAGAACACATTTCTTCAAGTGAATTGTGTTGTTCTGTGGTAGAATAGATCATATCAACCCACCATTGGTCATTTTCATCCATTGTTGGTATAACTCTGAATAAATCGACTAAGACATTTCGATGCTTATATGGAACTACAAACAAATTCTGAATTAATTGCAAAATGATTTCATGTTTTGTTTCTGGACTCCAAAACTCGGAATTCCAATGTGTTTTGACTGCAATACGTATTTGTGCAATTAAGTTAGTCATGATGATTTCGACGTGATTATTTTTGTCTTGTAAAGAATTAAAGAGAATTAACGCAAAATCAGGATTCTCCTGAAGTTCCATAACTGCTTCTGTAATGCGTTGAACAGTTTCGGCATTGGTTTCTGTAAAGATTGAAGGAGTAAATTCCATGATTTTATTGAAGATTTTGGAACAAAAAGTGACAAATATTTGAGCCCTCCAAAAATCCTTGAAGAATAAAAATCTTGCGAAATTTGTTAACAAAGAGCCTCTCAAAGTAAGATAAAATATCCATAGTTTAACTCTAGAAATCTACTATATTTAGTGAAATTTATTCTCAATCTAGATCATAGAGCAAACGAGCAACATGTAATGTGTGGATCTTTAAGTTTTACTACGGGAATGCACAGCAAGAATGACTGTTTAATAAATTTCTGTAAATAAATTTGGATTTCCTCAGTTAATATATCTATTTAAGGTACATTAGTTTTAAGGTCAGATCACACTACAGTAAGTATAAAGTTTTCTTGGTATATAATATTCGAATACGAAGGATTTGTCAACACGATCATCTTATATTCTAAAATGATTCAAATCGAATGTGTAGTGATGGTATGCATCTAGCGTGCATCTCCCAATTTTATTTTTAACTTGGAATTTTGCCTTATTGGCTGTTGTTTTACTCACTTTTGCGATACACGTCAGAAATTTCAGAGGTCAACTCAATTTTATTATCTTTTAGTAAATGTATTGGTATGATATTCATGAATATTTTTCATAAAAATTTAAATGATTGGGCAAACCCAAATTTTAGCTAAAAGTGACAGGGAAAAAAACGTTTAGTATTAAAAAAAAGACCGATGAGAGCTTCGTTCGAAATATAGAGGGAACTGAGAATGCGCAACCATTCTCAGGGAATATTGGATGCTATTCCCGTTCCCTCTGTATGGAAAATTGAGGTTTTCAAAGGGAGTTAAAATAATATCAAATTTATACTAATTTACTTCAAAATACAAAAGTATTTGACAGCTAAAATTAGTTACTTTAGCAAGCCTATCAATACCCTTTTACGATTATTGCTACTTTTTCGAAATAAAAGTAAAAACAAATTTATACTAATTTACTTCAAAATACAAAAGTATTTGACAGCTAAAATTAGTTACTTTAGCATGCCTATCAATACCCTTTTACGATTATTGCTACTTTTTCGAAATAAAAGTAAAAACAAATTTATACTAATTTACTTCAAAATACAAAAGTATTTGACAGCTAAAATTAGTTACTTTAGCAAGCCTATCAATACCCTTTTACGATTATTGCTACTTTTTCGAAATAAAATAAATTTATTATCAAAAACCTTTTTTTTAGTAAAAATAAAAATGTTATTTTATATCAAGTTTTTATTCATAAATTTTTATAATGTTGTATAAATTTCATTAAAATTTACGTACATATTAAGGTACTTATCTTCTACATATATAATCTTCATTAGATATATACATGATAAATAAAATTCATAAAACATTAAAAATCAAAAAATTAGATGAACCCTTGGCAATTAAACTTTATTAAATAATAGTTGTTTATAAATTATATTATATTATTATTTAATATTATTTTGATAATGAAGATTTTATTTTGCAATAATATAAACGAAATTTTTTACCTTATGAACTTTTGATGGAAATATGCAAATTTAAAATAATAAAGAAAGCCGCGAGCGAAGCGATCGGCTTAGTTCGAAGATTTTGATTCAAATCTTTGCTGATCTGTAATTCGCGGAAGCCGCGAGCGAATCGAGCGGCTTAGGTCTAAGATTTTGATTCAAATCTTTGCTTATATTCCTTAAATTCTTTATGAAACTCGCAACAGTTCCATAAAAAATTTTAAATTCTAAACTGTCGAAATTACCGATCGGTATCACACCCTTCACGGGTGTGTCACTTTTAGCTTAAATTTTCCCCTACTCCAAATTACGCTAATTCACAAAAGTTTTGGCAAAAACCTTTCAAAATATTCGAAATGAAGTTATATACCAATGTTCCAATAGATGATTCAAAGCTTCATGATCAGAAGCTCCAATCAGAAATAACAGATGAAGAGTTCCAAGCCTTGTTTGCTGTCCACGAACTCACACGCAACCAAAAGATAATTAGGTTTGTCTTTTGGTTAGTGACCCTAGGACTTATCAGATTTATTTTAACATGTCTCTTCCTTCTTGTATTCGATATTATGATGCAAATAGTTGTTAAATATAAAGATACATTTAAGACACCAAAAGAATTTAAGAAATGGGCTCATAATATTTCAAAACCAGTCATCAGAACTGTACTATTTTTATCAGGCATTGTTCATATTAAGAAAGTTGGCGAGATTGATCCAGAAGCTCGCGCAATAATTTCAAATCATATCACAATGATAGATATTGTCAACATCTTATACTGGGTACCATTTACAATTGTTGCTCATACTGGACTTCGTGGTAACCCATTCATCGAACACTGCGCCGCTGTATTTGATACAGTATTTGTCGATAGATCAAAGACACAAGGCGCTACACAACAGATTTCGGATTATGCAGAAGATCCTACAAGATTACCCGTTGTTGTGTTCCCAGAAGGTAAGGTTACAAATGGCGACGCTTTACTTGCTTTCAGAACAGGAATTTTCGTTTCTGGAGTACCAATTCAACCAATTACTATCAGATATCGTTCATGGCTACCGTTTTTCGACGGCCAACAGACACCTTCTTGGCTTGAAGACAATGTTTTCATGTACTTCTACCAATTGTACGCAATTCCTTTCATGACATTCGAAATTCACTTCCTTCCAACTATCCATTCAAAGAGAGATGAAACCAAACCAGCTGATCGCGCAATTCAAGCACAATTAGCTATGGCTAACGATCTCGGTTGCTTGGCTATTGACCGCACAAACAAAGAGATCTTCCAGAAACCAAAAACAGAATAAAGATAAAGATATTTTTTATGAAGAATATTAAATAAAATTTAGTAATTAAGTTTTTGGAACCGGCTATTTTAACTAAAAATCAAACAGAAACACAATTGTTATCATGTTTAAGTAGTATTTCCTTAAACCAATTAAATTTGTTAATCAATTTTCATTTGTACTATGCTTAATGAGATTTACCAATTACATAAATAAAAAGTGACAGTTTTTATGACAAATTCTCAGCTCACCATCAAAATATGCTTCATAAATATATGAGAATAATTTTAAATTTGGTATTCCAGTTAGTTATCTTTTGATATTTCGTAGCTATTAAAGATATAAAGCTTATGTATATAGTGTTAATGCTGTATATTATCATAATTTTAGGTTCTATTTTGGTTGAAGTTGAAATTTCTCAAAAAAGTGACAAAAATGCTCCTGATTTTTGCGATTATTCAATTTCTGAAAACATTTGATTCAACAGATTATGCAAACTTAAACTTTTACCGCATGATCGGTCTTGAAGACAAAGCAGATATATCAGAAATCAAAAAATCGTATAAGAAATTTCTCCGCAACAAGAAACATCAGATAGATCCAAGTCCTAAAACCAAAAAGTACCTAGAAACAATAGAAACAATTTATCACATCCTAGGAAGTAACAATTCTAAGCCTCTTTACGATATGTTTGGAACTGTGTTCTTAAACTTGACAGATTTAAAGGTTGTCGGCTACCATAGCGATGAAGGACTTATGAATATGGCAAAGATGTACGGAACAACCATTGATGATATGAATAAATTTGGTGGAACAATTTATTACCCCATTGTATTCGATTTAGAAGATTTTTATGACGGCGTTACAAGGAACGTCACATCTGTTCGCGTCGTCGAGTGCAGATGTCCAGAGAAAAATCCAAAATGCCAAGAATGCAAACAAAATAAATTTGTTGACGAGATTTACGTAAATCAAATTACACTGCCAAGAGGTGCTCCAGAATTCTATCGTATTTTGGCTGGCCAATCTGGCGATACTGACGTTGCTCGCGGTGCTTCCGATATTATTTACATTGCTCAGTCAAAACCACATCCACGCTTTGAGCGCCGTGGCCGTGATTTATACATGAACCTTACTGTCCCTCTAAAAGAAGCTTTACAAGAGGATTCCACAACAATTATCGGAATTGATGGACTTTCTATACAGGTTTCACTTGTTGATGCACAGGATGGCAAAGTTGTGATGATTCCTAATGAAGGACTTCCAGATTTCTTCTTAAAGAACCAACGTGGTGATTTATACGTAACATTACACATAGATATACCTAAAGAGTTATCAGACGAACAAAAACAGAAGATTTCCGAAATATTACCAGAAGATGACAAGTTTTATCTCTAAAAAATGTTTTTATTTTTTTATAATTTTTTCAATTTTTTAATTTTTTTAAACTGAATATAAAAATGTATTTCACATCTTCGTAATTTTTTAAATCATCATATAAAATGAAATGAATAAGTTTGATGAATGATTTTTTAAATTTTATATGCTTGCTTAATTTTGAGATAGTGTGGAGCCAAGTGATAATAATGTGTCAGTTATATGTATGCTATACAAAAAATTTCAAAATTAAAATAATTCAATAATATTTTATTTGATAAGTACAAATCATTGATAAATAAAGAGATTGCATCCAAGTGGTGACAATGCATTATAATTAATTTCAATCTACGATCCCTAATTGTTCCTTAAGAAAAGACTTTGTTTTGAAGGCCCATTTTCTTTTAGCTAAATCAAGAGCAGTTTCCCCTCTGAAATCTTTAGAATTGATATCTAAGCCATTAGATATAAAGAATTTTACAATTTCTACGTTATCTTTCATTGCTGCCAAATGAAGTGCATTCCTTCCCTTTTTATCTTTTGCATTGATATCTGCACCTAGAGATAAAAGAAGTTCTACTATTTCTTTTTTGTTCGACATGGCTGCTAAATGAAGAGGTGTTCTTCCCTTTTTATTTTTTGCATTGATATTGGCGCCATGTGAAATAAGAAATTTCACGGATTCTTTATTATTCCTATCAACTGAACAGTGAAGAGGAGTATCTCCTTTATTATCAGGAGCATCTATATATGCTCCATATGATATAAGTAGTTCCATTGTATCAAGGCTTTGTTCGTAAGATGCATAATGAAGAGGACTCTCTCCATCAATCATTTTCAAATGCATTTTGGCACCATGTGAAAGAAGAATTTCTGTAGCTTCTTTACAATTATGAAATGCAGCAGTATGAAGAGCAGTTTGCTTATTAACATCTTGATTATTGAGCAAAGCACCATTTGCAATAAGAATTTGCATAATTTCTTTACTATTTATTCTAGCTGCCAAAGCCAGAGGAGCTTCGTCCCCATAATCCTTATCATTGACCATGGCTCCGTGTGAAATAAGTAATTTTGCAGTTTCAATGCTATTATGTTCTGCTGCATAATGAATAGGTGATTTTCCGAATTTATGTTTTGCATTAACATCTGCTCCATATTGAAGAAGTAATTCTGCTACTTCTTTAGAGTTATGTTCTGCAGCCAACATAAGAGGAGTGATATAATGACTTTCTGGAGAATCTACATCTACACCAAGAGCAATAAGAATTGCGATTACTCCCAAACAATTCTTTTCTGCTGCTAAATTAATTGGACGTTGTTTACATTTATTTTGAGCATTTAATGCTAATATAAACTTTCCATTAGAATTGAATAAATATTTGAATAATTTATAGTTGTTGTAAATAGCTGCATAATGGAGAATATTCTGACATTCATCATCAACTTTAGCTATATCAACTACATGGCCAACAAAAAGTTCATTAATTTGAGGAAAAACGCCACACCATGGAATGATTGAATCTTTATCATAATGGAACATAATAAATGCGGCTTTCAAGTTCTGTGAATGAAGAATATAACTCAATTCTTCCTCGGGTATACTTAACCCTTTAATATTCAAAAGATCTTTTTCAAGAATATGCATAATGAAATCGTTGTTATGACATTTAATTGCATAATATAAGCATTTATAGTCTGGTTTTTGAGTCTTTAAACATTCATTGATAATATCTGTGTTTTTTCCAACAATGGAATTATAAAGAGTTCCCTGTGTTATTTTGAAATTAAAATTTCTAAGAAGAAAATAAAAAATGTTAACAGAACCGAAATAAGCACATGCATCAAAGAGTGAAGGGCTAGGATACATAGGGCAACGTATCTCTATACCTTCTAGTGAGTTTTTGGTTGCAAAATCTTTGAATTCATCAATTTTGTCATATATAACATAATTTTCGACTGGAGTTACATCTTTGGTGTAGTGGCTAAAAATTTCATATTGACAAACATCATTAGTTTTACAAAGATTCTCAATTAAACTAAAAATAGAGAGTGAAAATCGTCTTATTGCTAAATTGTGATATTGATATTTAGAGGAAATTCGATTGAGTAAATTTAGATAATTGTTTGAAGATCTATAGTTGTACCTTGCTGCATTTGATAAACCAAAAAGAATGTTTTCAATACAAAAGTTGTATTTGTCAATTAAGATAGTTGTGATCAAATTAAAAACTTCATCGATAGATTCACTAGCTTGCAAGCAAAAGAGTTTTTCATATGTTATTATGAAATCTTCATATTGCTTCAAATAGTCGAAATTCATGAAAGAGTTTATTTGAGGACAAAAATGGAAAGTTTATTTTTACTGGCGTGCAGCACCACTAAAACATGTTATTATCCTCATTATGACAGTGAATTAACATCAGGAAATATTTATTGATTTTGTAAGTTTTATTTCCAAAAACATATGTTTAAACAATAAAGTTAATTTAAAAGTTTTAATCATAATTTCTTTCCCAATTGAATATGAGGTTCATAATAATCAAAAGATTATAAATAACATCTATTTATTTCATATAACAAAATAAAATTATATTAGAGTTCATCAGATTTGTTATCAAGTGAAACATCATCTTCATCATCTGGTTCTACAATGTAGAAGAAGCCAAAAATAGTTCCAAGAATTGTTATAATTCCATAGAATAAGTACAAACCAAGCTCTCCAATTTTAGACTCTTGCATAGCAGGAGAAGCATAAACAATGATAAAAGAAAAGAACCATGATGCCATTCCATTAATCGAAGAAGCCATTGGCCTGACAGTTAATGGAAACATTTCAGGAGAAGAATACCATGGCATCGGAGCAAGTCCAAGTCCGAAACCAAATTGATACAAGAAAATTAAAATTACGGGGAGAACATTGGCCCAATTGTACTTTGAGTTAAATCCAAAGCATATTAAAGAAGATGCACATGTTAAACCTGAGATTGTCCACATCGCTTTCCTTCCTAATGTTTTAATTAAACCACCAGACACGAAACAAGCAATCAATTGGGCAAGCGTAGCTATGACTGATTGTATACCTGGTGTGAGACCTTTTATATTTGCTTTGGCAAAAATTCCGGCTAAATCTGCAATAATTGCGTTGATTCCGGAAAATTGCTGTGTGAACATAATAATCATAAGAATAATTAGAGGCCAAACGTATTTCTTCTGGAATATGGACTCGGCAGATTGATCTCCTGTGTCAACTTTTTGTTCTTTGAAAGCTTCAACAGGAATTAGCCAAATTAGACAAAGCTGTAGTGTATGAACGGCAGCTGAGAATATGCACATTGCTGACGGCTTTTGGTATTCTCCAATCAAGAAGTTGACGATGGAACCAATAACAATAAAAATTTGGTTAAATGTTCCGTATAAACCAGTTTGTTCAACTGGTGCGACTTCTAGTAATAATAATGGACCAATAGATGACATTGCGCCAAGCATGAAGCCTTGAAGAATTCGGATAACAAATCCCATCCAAAAGAGCTTCTCTGTCATAAATATGAGTATAACCCATAAAACTATACTTATGATATTGACTATTGATGTTACTAATCTTCTTCCTAAACCAAATTTAAAAAGTATTGAGGGAATGTATGGGCCAATAGCTGCGGTCAATTGTGTAATTGCAACAAACAATTTCCACTGACTAGGAAATTCTTTCCAATTCTTTTTAAAATACGCTGCAGAAGGGGATGGATATCCAATAATTAGACCAAAACATAATGGTGTTAAGCAAACAATTGCTGCATAGTAAAGCTCTTTTCTGAAGAGAGAAACCATTGATAAATTCTATTTCTTTTTTAGGAAATGATTGATTCCTAAAATCGCGCTTTCAATTTTTCATATGTTTACAATTTGAACTCCAACCGAAACTAAAAATCCAGCTAAATTCATTGAAATACAATTTCTTATTTTTTCAAAAAATAAATTTTCAATGTTCGGATCCGAAATGTGAATCCTTAATTGTTATACCTAATTAGCTGTGCGCTATCAACTATAGAGATGATATGCTGCTTAACATTACTGAAAATCATGCATATGATACAGATGTTCCGGTAGATGATTTCATAATTCATAATATTTCGATTTGCAATATTAGAATATTTATATTTTTTTGAATTGATATCATTTCTCTTAGAAATCGTTCACGTTTATACATAATTTAAATTTGATTTTTTATTAGACCTAGTTCCAGATAAATCTCCTCTTTTCAGTTGTAACTCTAACAAATTTATCATTAATTCATTAATCATTTTTGAACTCTGGCTTCAAATATAAAATCTCATTTTTGATATTTAAGTGCAAATGTTATTTGTAATATCAAATTAGCCTTAAAAGGTAGGCAATTTTATCCAAACAATATTGTCTTATGAGATTAGAAAGATCAGTATATAAAAAAAATAATCATTTTTATATAAAAAGTATATTTACTTCAAACTACAGACACAAATCACTGTTTCTGAGTCGGATCTTCAGTTTCTCCAGGAATTCCCCAGAGTTCTGAGTCATAAACAATCTTTCCAACGGAGGCGTCAATTGGAGGAAGGGAGTTCTGCATCTCCATCGGAGAGTACTTTTTAACAACAATTTTTTCAGAAGCAACAGAACTAACCCAGTCAATGAAGTGTCTAAAGTATGGCTGTCCCTTGTATGTTACTGGTTCTTTGCTTCCCTTTGCGTAGAACTCAACAACAGGTTGATAATCAGACTTGAAATACGTAGGCATTTCATTCATTGAGAGGTTGTAATAATAGAATTTAAATGATTTAGATTCAATGACAGATTCCACTGCCTTAGGGATAGCCATGTAATATTCACCTCTTGGCATTCTGTATGTACCATAAACAATGACAATATCAGTGTCATGTTCGTTTATTGTCTTGCGAAGATCGGAATAAACTAATTTATTCGGATCACCACCACTTTCATCGGAAATCATGTTGTAACTCTGCTTTCCATCAAGAATACTACGAACATATTGCTTCAAAAATGGTAAATCATGCATCTGGATGCTGTTTATAATAAGATATCTTAATGGCCTTGTTTCGGAACTGTTCATAAGGACAAAATAAGGTGGTGGGAAGTATTCTATCTTGCCAATCTCTGAGAATATGGTTGCAACACCTGAAACAATTGGGAAGAAATAAATATCTTTATATGTGGAAGCCAAAGAACGTAAAATTTCCATTTCGACGGAGTCAAGATCTTTACGACCTGATAAAACAAATCCTCCGCAGAATGGTTTGTCTTTGAGGTTGACTTTTTGTGGATTTACGATTGATGTTTTCAGATATGACTTGTAATTCTTGTCTGCACGAAGAATCGTGTGATCTGCTGATCTGTAAATGTAAACGCCGGATGATACTTTGATATCGAAGACTGCAAAATTTTCAGAAGTTGTAACATAGAAATTTTCGTTTGGACTTAAATAATCTGGCCTTGATCTGATATCAACACCAATAATTGCGGCACCTGGTTGGTTGAAAATTCTTCTGAGTAGCTCCGGATGGAATAATTCGATAATTGCAGGATGTGAAAGGTTTTGGGCCCAGTCATAGAAAAGAATTGGCTGTATTGGGCCAGTTTCTGCTACTTCATTGCTGTTCTTATATCCAATTACGCATGGAAAAGATATACATTGGCCTTCTTTTGCAAGACTTGGGCTAGCACGACGAAATTCGATATAATCTTTGAATGATTTGTATCCTTGTTCAATAAAATCTAAGTCTTCGTCTTTTTCTGCAAAAATAATTGCTTTTGTTCCAGATTTTTTGATGAAATCTTGATATTCATTCTGATTAATATATGGTATTGTATTTCCAAAACCGATTAGTCCTCTTACTTGATAGTATGCTAGAGAAGTGAATAGAAACATTTTTGGCAAATTGTCAGATTGTCAACAAAATGTCTTATTAGTGAATTTCGGAGTTTAATATTTTCACACATAAACTAGTTTTGTGGTAATCTTGCAAATTATCCACATCTGCTTGGCAGATTTGACATCAAAAATTGATAGGCTCTTTATAAATCATCCATTTATAATTCACTTTAATATACACGGAATTGCTGATTATGTTCAATCATTCTTTTTCGATTTCTAATTTTTTTGAATAAAATTTTCAATTCTTTTTGATCAGACCGTTAAAAACATATGCAGCATTTATTATTTAAGCACATTAAATAGATGAGCAGAGAAAATATGGAAATCAAAGAATATTTATCAAAATTACTGCATTTTTGTAGCTATTCATAAAACAAAGACAGAGATATGTTTACATTCGAAAATTAGATTGTAAAACCATCATGATGCAAGATGTTGACAATGATTTTATTCATTCATGCTAAAATCCTCCTAGAATACAATTAAAACCGGCAAAAAATGTGTTTCATGTTATTGTGAGTATATATCTTAAAGATAATAGATGATTTGTTTGTGAGAATTCTTGAAATTTTTTTGGCGCTCGAAAAAGTGACGCCGCTAAAATGAAAAAGCAATCTTCCTTCATTGGAAGATGCTTTCTAGCTATGATTCATTTGCTCATATTATTATACTCATATACTAAGTTCGTGTATGACAAAATTGTTCGCAATTCTGTCGGAAAAATAGTAATTACAAATAAATCCTTCACACATTTCAAAAAAATGCCATCGCATATCGGAATTGTATTCAACTCAGAGCAAGTAGATAAATATGCTAACAAAATACAAGAAGTTGTTGATTTGGCATCTTCAATCAAAGATGTTCATGAAATTTCGCTATTTTTTACCAAAAATACCCTGAAGTTGAACTTTATATCTGACAAAATTAAAGTATTTACGCAAGATTCTGTAGAACAAGCTTTTATACAAGAAATGAAAAAACAATCTCCAATTGGAAGCAGTTCAGAGCCATTTAAATCACCACTTGATGTGGTCATATTCTACTGCAGAGTCCATTCTCTTTGCAACTTCTTCCCGTGGAGATTAGACTTATGCACGCTTGTTTACCCAGGCGATATTAAAATCTGTTCAAAATACTCGTTCTACCATTCAATTGCAGAGTATCAGAAAACAGAACAGAGATGTGGAAAATAAATTTTAATATTTTGTTATTTTCTGTAAATATATTGTTATTATTCTCACTCATTCGTTTTTATATTGATTTTTTATCCTTATAATGCCAACATCTAGCTATTTTGATATTTTTTTACTAAGTTACGCTCCCAAACTTGAGATACATTGTCAATCTATGATACAATAGTACAAGTAACTCGAACTATAAAAGAATCTAGCCTATTTGAAAGAATTATACGATCTAATTTCAATGAAAATTTAATTTTTTTTTGTAATTTGAGTTTAAAAAGGTCTAGTTTATCTATAACTCATTATTTAAGTCCTGTACATTATGGTAATATTTAATATTTGGAGAAAAATATTGAATTTTATTTTATTATTGCTATAAAATTCAGCATGAACATATATACTATTAAATTTGTAATGTTTTAATGATTATCTCATATGAATGAATCTTCAAAGAGAAAGCAAATACAAAATCATCTCTAATGAACTAAGTTTTGGTGGTATCATGGAGTAATCTTCTATAATATGATAGACCATTATCTGTAATATACATTGGAATTCAAATAAAAGTTGAATTTCTATCCGAATTCAGACTTTCCTTTATAAAATCTTTTTGAATTGAAATTTTTTTATAAACGAATACAATGAATGACAATGAAAAATGGCTTTATGAAATTAATAAGAAGATTGCGGCATTGACAAAAATAGTCTTTCAGCTGCATACAGAAGCAACAGATAGAAAAGATGAAGTTGCGCGTATGAAAGTACGTTATGAAGAAGAACTTGATCAAGCTTTCAAAGCTTCACAAGATAGAATCGAACAAGCACAGAAAGAAGTTCAAAATTACAAGCAATCAATTGAGAAAACTGTTAGACAAGCATATGAATCGGAATTTAACAAGATCAAAAAGCTTTACGATCAAGCAAATGATCAACTTAACAGTAAATCAAAGAGTATTATCGATAATTCAAACAAAAGATTAAATCAATTAAAGAAAGAAGTCGAAGACCTCAAGAAAAAGGCAGATTCACAGTCAGCACTGTTCGACAATGCCTCTAAAGAGCTAGAAAAGATAGCAGCAGATACAGTTGCGAAAATTGAAGATAAACATAAAAAAGATCTTGCGAAACGTGTTACAGAAGCAAACAAGAAGTACAATCAACTTGTTGTTGCTACATCAAAGAAAGAAGAAGAACTCAAAGCTCGTTTTGAAAAAGAACTTCAAGATCTTAAAAATCAATTAGCTGCAGGACAAAAGAATCAAAGTGAAATGCTTTCATCAAAGCAAAAAGATATCGATAGTAAAATCAAAAGACTCGAAATCACCCGTGATCTCGTTCAAAGAGGAGTTGATGAATTAAAACAATTATTAGAAACACAGAAAAAGCAAGTTGAAGACAAACTTAAACAGATCCAAGAACAAAGACAAAGACTTGCCAATCAAAGTGAGATAGAACTACACGAATTAAAGCACAAAATGAAAGAATCTCAAAATAATCATGACCAAGAAATGGCAAAAATACAATCAATGATTGACCAAGCACAAGCAGATCACGAGAAAGCAGTCAATGACCTAAAATCACAAGTAGAAAAAGCAAAACTCGAACACGAACAAAAACTCCAAGAATTGCAAAAACAATCGAAGAATTCTGCAGAAGATGGTGAACAGAAAAAGAAGAAATTACTGCAGCAGCATAAACAAGCAATGGATGATCTAAAAGCCAAACACGCGCAGTTCGTTTCCGAATCAGAAAAACGAGAACAAGAGTTACAAAAACAACTTGAAGATTTGCAAAGAAAACACGAATCATCGATGAAAAAGATCAGAGGAGATATAGAGAAAGAAAAGAAATCTCATGCTGATAACATGGCAATGTTAGATACACAGCATCAACAGGAATTACAAAGACTTGCTGAAGAACATGAAAAAGAAATGATGAAACTTAAAAAAGAATATGAAAACGCTTCAAACAACTCAAACAGTTCTTTGAAAGACATTTTAGACGAAATAGAAAGAGTAAGAGAAGAAATAAAGAAGAAAATAAAAGAAGGAGAAGATGAAATAATAAGGAAACAAAAAGAAAGACAAGAAATGGAAGAAAAACTAAAATCAGATCATGAAAAAAGAATGTCAGAAATTAAACAAAATCATGAAGAAAGAATGAAGAAATTAGATGAAGAAACTCAAGCTAAAATAGATGAAATGAACAGAAAACACCAGGAAAACATGAAAAGAATAGAAACAGAAGCACAAGAGAAGCTAAGTCGTGATTCTGCTGCTTTAAAGAATGAATTAGAAAGTCAAAGACAAATTCAACTTTCTGAATTAAAAGCAACTTGGAAAAAGAAAATTAATGAAATTAAACAAAAAATCGAGTCAAGACAAAAAGCTAAAGCTGATGCAGAACATTTCTTACAAGAAGAAACTGCGAAAAGACAAGCAAAGATAGAACAACTTCGTCAGGAACTCGAAACACTTAAAAAGAACTGGGCAGAAGAAAAAGAAAAAATTAATAAAGAATATTCAGAAAAACTCGAAAAATTGAAGAAAGAAAATGAAGAAGCAGAAAGAAAAGCTGAAGAACAAAGACGTCTTAAAGATGCAGAATATCAAAAAGCAATAGATGATCTCAAGAAACAATTGAATGATGAAGAAGAAAAGAAAAAGAAAATCATTTCTGATTTGGAACAAAAAATTCAACAAAAAGAAAAAGAAAATGAAGAAGAACTTAAGAGACAAAATGAAGAAATCGAGAAGCTGACGCAAAAGAGACAAACCGAAATCCATGAATTGGAACTTAAGATCAATGATCTCAAAGCAGAAACAAACAAGAAAGTCCAAGAAATCGATGAAGAAAAGAAGAAAGAATTGAGTAAATTGCAACAAGAATATGATGAAATAAAGAAGAAAGGAGAACAAGAAATAGAAAGATTGCAAAAGCAATTGGATCAAATAAAGAAAGAACATGAGCAGCAGCTGAATGAAATCAAAGCTAAAATAGCTAAAGAGGAAGAAGATGCAAGACAAAGATTAGATGCAATGAAACAAGAAAATGAAAGAATTTTGTCAGAAATTAAGCAAAAACATAAAAAAGAAATGGATGTTTTGAACGAAGAACTAAGGAAACTACAGGATGAAGAGTGTGAATTAGAGAGGAAACATAATGAGAGATTAGCACAGCAACAAAGAGATTATGAAAATAAGTTAGATATTCTCAAAAAGAAATATGATGCAGAGAAAGAGAAAATTACAACTGAAATCGCAAAAATTGAGCAAGAGAAGAAACAAAGAATTGCGGAACTTGAAGAAGAAACGAGAACATGGGAAGATAGATATAATAACAGAGAAGCAAGACCTGAAGATCTAGAAAAGATTCAGAAATTGGAAGCGTTGATTGCTGAAAGATCTGCTGCAATTGAAAAAGTACAAAGTGAACTAAAGAGATATCAAGCTGAGTTGTTGAACAGAGAAACAACTTATAATAAAGTTTTCAACAACAAACCACAGGTAAATGTTCTCTCGGCATTGGAAAGGAAAGCAAGAAGAGATGCAATTATTGCTGCGGCAAATTCGACTTCAAAACTTCCTCCTGTTAAAGACTCACATGATTCTGCTCGAAACAAATGATTAAATTGTTTTATTATTGTTTTTATTAAAATTTAACTGTTTATTAAATGTACAAATTCTTTAAATTAAATGAAATAGAATGTTCCTTAATTTATACATAATAGAGGTTATGAATATGACAAATTAAAATAATTTTTGAACATTAAACAGCAAATCATAATATTTAAGGGCGATTCTAGATCAAAATCTAATTTTTACAAGTGATTTTAAAAGTATTGCTTGAAAAATCTACAATTCCGCTATCAGAACCGAAAAATATGGAGTAGAAGTTGAGATATGATAAAAAAGAAAAATATATAAGTAAGTAATAATAAAAAAAATGTTTTAAGAATAAAACAAAATTAAAAAGAAAATAAAACAGGATATCATATAGATTTCTTATAATGCGTGTGTTGCAACTGCGATAGCGTAACCAGCAGCAGCTACTGCAGCACCCGAGAGAGTTGCGAAGAAAGCGCGTGACCAAGCTGTGTGGCTGAATGACTTAGCGAATGCTTTGATCATGAATGAAGGTCTGCGCTCATAGTGGTGGACGCGAGGGATCTTTCTATCCTTGACGCCGCAGAGCTGGTAGATCGCCATCTGTGATGCACGGACTGAGTATTCGACTGTGAAGACGACATCATCTGGAATCTCGATGAACTGAGATGTGAATCCGATGTTGACGCAACCCTTTGGAACTGGGAGAGGTCTGTCATTGCGGTGTCTGCACATGAACTGTGCTGTGATGAATGGCATGATGCATGGGCGGCAGATTGCGTTCTTGATTGTGCTCTTGTCGAATCTAAAGTGTCCGATGAGTTCTTCAAGAATCTCTTCTCCTGTGCAGTCAAGCATTCTCTTGTGGACGAAGTTTCCGACTCTGTCTGGGAAGAGACCGTATCCCCAGAAGACTTGAACTGTTGAAGGTTGGTTGAGGAAGTGTGGTTGCTTTGCAACGACGATTGACATGAGCCAGTTGCTGTCCTTGAATGTGACGAGAGCGCCTGTGCCTGGTTCATTTCCTGACCACTTGATCTCCTGATCAAAGAAAGATGTGTCGTTGTTGATTGTGACTGTGAATGACTCCCAAACACTCTCTGGTGCACAGCCGAAGAATGGTTCTGGATCACCAAAGTCTTTAGAGATTGTTGAGAGCTTCTTCCAGAGTTGCCATGATGTGCCGTCTTCCTTTGTGAGCATCTTAGCTGGTTCTGTGTGTGTACCGACGGATGCTGCATCTGTCATTGAGCCGTTCTGGACAATGACGATGTCTTCCTCGCGAAGATTGACTTTCTCTTCTTTGCCGTCTTTGTCTGTGATTGTGATTGACTTAGCAACTTTCTTGTCTGTTGCTTTGTCAAAGTCAACATCAATGTCTGTAACTCTGTACTCGTTCTTGAAGACGACACCCTTAGCGCGAAGATCTTTCTCGAGAGGAAGGATGACACTGTCGTACTGGTTAAGTTCGCTGCGTGCAACACCTTCGAGTGTCTCGATGCGGACGAATTCGTGCATGAATCTAAGGAGATATCTTCTGAACTCTGCTGCACTGTGCCAAGGCTGGAATGCGAATGTTGTTGCCCACATGTACCAGAAGTTTGTTGTGAAGAAGTGTGGAGCGAAGTGTTCTGTGATCTTGCTGTCGCCGAGCTTGTCTTCATCTGTTCCACAGAGCTTGAGGAGAGAAAGTCTATCATTCATGTCGAATCCCATAGACTTGACGTCGTATTTCATCCTGTTGTGATCAACGACACGAGCGTTGCTGTGTGTCTTGTACTCGTGTGTGAACTGGTGGAGTTCGTCGTATGCACTCATCTCTGGATTGTGTACTGACTTGATATCCTTGAGGAGATCTTGTAAGCATTCGTATGTTGGAAGATTAAACATTCTTCCGCCGCGGATGACGTATCCTGTTTCTGCGTTACCACAGCCATCCATTGAGCCTCCATTAACTTTGAGTGCTTCGTAGATCGTGATATTCTCTGGTTTGAACTTTGCATCTCTGATGAGGAAGAAAGCACCTGAGAGAGAGCCGATTCCGCCTCCAACAAAGAAGGCTTTCCTTTCACTGTTGTTAACCTGCATGGTTTGCTTAGACATCTATTTCCAAAAATGAACTATTTTCTTGCTTATTTATTTCTTATCAAAATTTTTCTATGTATTCCTCTCAATCAGCGGATTCTCTCTCAATTCTCGATCAAAATAAATATCTATAAAAATTTTTTAATATAAATCAATATTTATTGTTATTTTATTCATTAGAATAATATAATCATTATATTTATATTCAGATTTTCCTCATTTAGCGGAATATTCTCAATATCCCGATCACTTTTGCTCAAATTTTTGTTGAGTTTATCTTCTCAATTGATATTTCAAATCATTATTACTTGCATTGTTTCGAATTTGTTAGACATACTGAGATATTAATATTTTGCTCTCTCGAAATTAGTGTAATAAAAAATTTCAATTTTATTTTTCATATTCAAATGGACTGAGTGTTAACATTTAACATTTTTTGCTAATTGTCGTCAAAAATTAGGCGTAAAGCAAAAATTGATATTTCATATGGTTTTATGATAGATAAGCATTATATTCCCACTCATTATATTCGTAAATTTTGAGGTTTATCCTTCGCTTTTAAGATCATTGAATTTGATTTTTATATAAAATAGTTATATATTAGAAAATAATATGAGTTTATGTGATATTATTTTTCAGAAGATTTTGTGTTCTTCTTCAAAATTTTATTTTTTATTAAAAAGAATCTTTACAAAATATACATTTACTTTAATTAATATTTAAAAACGTGCTCTATCAAAAGTTCCAAAAATTCAATATTTTAGCTTTTCTGAGGTGTCACTTTTGATGAATTTCTGTTTACAACAATACATTTTGTAAAAAATAAAAACAATTTCAGAAATTTCATAATAAAAATTATAAGAAAAGAATAATAAAAAAGCTACTTGCAGCATCCACCTTTATTCTGCTTTTTATTAGCAGGTTGAGTAAGATCGACAGATTGGATCTGTGCGCTAATTAGCTCGATCTTGTTTATTAATAATGATAATATAAATAAAAATGTCAAGTATTTCTATCAGATTCTTATTTCAAGAAATACACTGACAATTTGAAGATATTTCAATTTTTTGGTGGTAAATTATGTAATCGTTATTGTTAAAAAGTGACGGATAAAAATTTTAAACTCCTACGAATTTTCAAATAAAGTAATATCGCTGATAAAAAGTTTAAATACAATTAAAGTAGTTTTTATCTGCTTCATTGTACAAGACTGTAATGTGATCTCATTTGAAGTATTTTGGATTTAGAGGTGAAATAAATTGACGTATTGCACCAGTATGTTATAATATGTCGCTTTATAATAAAATAATTATTATAATAAATTTGATTTTCAGCGACGGCGCTACGCGCCTTTTAGCATTCTGGGCACTTACGTGCCCAGAATGCAAGCTTGAGAAATTTGAAACTTCGTTTCAAATTTCTGCCTTGATGTTATGTAAAAAGATTTTTTTGGGAAATTGAATGTGAAAATAAAACTTAGTTTTTTGTGAGATATGGATTTTTTTAGAAGATATTAGAGATCTAAGTCTCAATTTATAAAAAATTTTAAAATTGAGAGGAATTTTAATGATATTAATTTATTTGATATTTGGATTTTTTAGCAGATTTTAGAGATGTCATTCTCAATTTTTTAAAAAGCGGTTAATGTGTCGCGAGCATGAAGTCTAAAACGACAAATACTGAACTTTTTTAAAATTTGATTGGACAAATAAATTATACATTATATCAGCATTCTAAAACAATTAATAAAATCGAGTTTGGAAAATCCAAAATTTCAAGAAAAGTGACAAAAAATGCAAAATTGCCAGTATATGAGATTTTAATGTTACCAGAATTCACATACCATACATAGTCTAATATTCATAATATAAATGAATTTTATTGACATCAATAAATTTGAATCATGGAGTTGATAAATATTAATAAGTTAATACTAATATACATACAAATGTGAATCAATATATATTAAAATTATCGAGTTTTAATTTTTGAGTTTTGAATCTCCCGAATTTCCCATACAAACATATATTAATTTTATAAAATATAGAAATAAAATCAGATTCTACTATGCTTTTTGAAATGTGTCCAGGTGTTTGTATATATATTAATTTCAAAAAAAATTTTAAACCCCTATTTTTATGTCGAGTGCTAAAACTCGAGAGTCGGTCAAAGTTGCAGTCCGCGTAAGACCGATGAATTCTAAAGAAAAGAACGAGAAGTATTCAAATATTGTTAGAGCAGATAAAAGGAACTCATCAATCTATGTTAAGAATCCACAAGGCTCGGAGCTTCAGTTTACCTATGATTTTGTATATCCTGAGAACACAACACAAGAAGAAATTTACGAAAATACCGCCGCACCAATCGTTGCAGGAGTTTTAGAAGGATTTAATGGAACAATTTTTGCTTATGGTCAAACAGGCACTGGTAAAACATACACAATGGATGGTATAGCCGATGACAAAGAAAGACGCGGTATTGTTCCACGTGCTTTCGAGCATATTTTTGATTTTGCAACTGCTAATGCTGATACCCACAAAATTGTCATATCAGTTACATATGTCGAACTTTACAACGAAGAAATTCGCGATCTTTTAATTTCATCCAAAGAAAAACCAGTTCCACTTAAAATCCATGAAGATCCACAAAAGGGTTTCATTATTAATGGTGTTAAAAGCAGACCAGCCAATAGCTTTGAAGAGCTTTGTAAGATTCAACGCGTTGGTTTTAAGCGTAGAATGACTAGAAAAACTAATATGAATGACGATAGCTCACGTTCTCACTCTGTTTTGACTCTTACAATCGAAACTCTTACCGAAATTGAAGGATCTCAGCACGTTCGCCAAGGCCGATTAAATCTTGTCGATTTAGCCGGCTCAGAGCGTATTGAGAAGACCAAATGTGACAAAGATGGTGTCATTGAAGGCATTTCCATCAACTACGCTCTCATGGTTCTTGGTAATTGTATTTCCGCTCTTACAACTAAAGGAACTCTTCATATTCCATACAGAGATTCGTCACTTACAAAGCTTTTACGTGATTCTCTTGGCGGAAATGCACGTACAGCTATGATCGCTAACATTGGTCCTGCAGATTTTAACTTCAACGAGACAGTTGCTACATTAAGATACGCGGAACGTGCCAAGAAGATCGAGAACAAGCCATCCGTCAACATGGATCCAAAGGACGCCATGCTTCTTGAAATGCAAAAGGAAATGCAGCGACTTCAAGACCAAATCAAAGGTGGTCCTGCCAAACCATCTCCAGAGCAGTTGAAAGCGATGGAAGAACAGCTCGAAAAAGAAAGACAGAAGATATCGGAATCAACATCCATGGAAGAAGAGCAAAAAGAGAAGCTCAGCAAGCAACTTGAAAAGAAGAAGAAGAAGATTGAAGAAGAAAAAGCCAGGTTGGAGCATCACCAGAAGAAACTTGAAGAAATGTCAAAATATTTAGTTGGCGGCCAAACAAATCTTGTTCAAAGAACTAAAGAGCAGGAAGCAGAGATCCAAAGAGCCAAAGAAGCCATGCAAAAGAGAGTCGAGAAACAGAAGGAAATCGAAAAAGAACTTAATGATAAAAAGCAACAAGCGAAAGATTTGATTGCACAATGCAAAGATTTGAATGACAAGGTCAAGGTTGTTAGACAGATCCATAAGGATATGTGTGATAACTATAAGAACTTGCAAAACAAGTTCCCTGAAGTTCAGAAACAAATTTCTGAAGATAGAGAACAAATTTCTGGTGAAATCGAATCATTGCAGAAACAAATCGCTGCTTTGACATTGGTTATCGATAATTTCATGCCAGAAGAAGAAGCAAATGAAGGAAAGAATAATTTCGAATATGATAAGGAAGCAAGAAAATGGATTCCTAAAGAAAAATCTAAAGAAGAAGTTTTGAATAAGATTACAAATGTAAAACGACCAAAAAGTGCCAACGGTTTGCCAAGACCTACATTTATTTCAGGTGGAAAGAAGTTGTCACAACAACCTGCACAGGATGAAATAGAAATTTTGAACTTAGAACCAATGCCTATTGAGAGTTTCGTAAAAGATGGACCTCCTATTATAGATCTCGGTGCTTACGAAGAAGAGATTGAAAAAGAATTCGCTAAAGATGATGAGGCTGACTTAGAAGTTGAAATACCTAATAATTTACCAGGATATATGTAAAAATTTAATTTTACTTTTTATCAATTTTTCATTCTATAACTGCTTTGACATTGCAAGCTTAATGTTTTTTAAGCCAAACTGCGGATCGTTCGTTTTTCCTATAGGAAATTTAAAGTATCCGTTTGGCTTAAAACTGGAGCTTAATGAGAGTTTAAATTTGAAAATTCGATGCTATGGATTTCCCAATTTCTATAAATTACCGATAAAATAAAAATTTCAAAAATATTCTTATCGAAAATAGGCAATTGATTTTTTCAAAAATAGCATTATGCATTTAAGAAATGAAAATATGATAATATCGTTTCAAACTATGACATAGCATTTCAAAGCTATACTATTCACACAATTTCGGGTCCAAAATTGAATACCTCGTTCACAATTTTTCTGAGGATATTGACTCGAGATTTTATAACTACTATACGTTATCTGATATTGCCTTAATTATTTTTACCCAATATAGGCCTGTTCATGCGGTAACCAACGGTTTAATTCCGTGGAAACCACATAGCGGTATAGTTTTTGAAAATTGCGGAATAAAAATATACGATTTTTTTTTTAATTTTTTCCAAGGAATTTCCACTGCAAGTATTGAAAAATAAATGTCAGAATAAACAATTTTATACTTTGTGAAAAGCTCATTATTATATAACACTAATATCTGGGGCTCTTTTACTTTTAATAACAAAAAATGGATGATATGGTATTTTATATATAAAAAAATTACCACCAATAACTTTTAAAATTATGTCTGAACGAATTATTAATGTGCGTAAATACAGTGAACTGAGAGATATCTAAAAGTACCATATTGATATATTTATTGCGCTGTATCATCTAAACACCGAAAATGAAGAAGATTTAAACTCGATTTACAAAAAGATAAAAACAGAATTGATTGATTCACGGAAATATCTCCCACGCAACATTATAAGAGATATTTTAAGAATTATTCCGTATAATAACCGCTATACAAAGTCTTATTTGACACTCGCAAAACTTATTCTTGATGATTATCATGTAACAGTAGTCAAAAATATTAATGTAATTACTAATTACCTGTTTTATATAGATTATGGAATTAAATTAGACGATGAAGCTTTTTTCAAGTTATTTACATCTGAAAATCTCCATTATAATTCAGAAAATACAATTAATAGTGCAATTATGAATAATGACTTAGAAAGATTTATCGCATACACTGAAAGAAAAGATTTTAATAAGAATCAAAAACTGAAAAGTAGATTATATCCAACTACTGATGAATTATCATTACTTGAATTATGCTGTTACCACGGAGCAGTTGATTGTTTCAAGTTTTTAAGAACAGAATTTAAATCCAGAATAACTCAAACCTGTCTTTATTTTCTTTTTTAGGCAGAAATCAAGAGATCATAAGTGGGTGTTTGAAATATCAAACACCAGATGAACATTGCATGATGTATGCAATTATTTCACACAACATTGATTTTGTTACATTCTTGATGAATGAACACAATTTAAATATCGATTTAGTATCTTGTGGCGAATACAATAATCTTGACACGCTTTTAGTTTATTTCGATCAAACTAATGACATTGACACATGCTTTGTTTATTCATCGATGCTTGACATTCCATCTCTTTGCATAAATTTCCTTTCACTTGGTGCAGATATCAATTCAACTGCTAATAGATATAGGTGCGATTCTTATAAAACAACTGCTCTTCAATGTGCGGCAATTAATAATAATAAAGAATTAATTGAATATCTAATTTCAAAAGGGGCAAAGATTTGGAGAAACGCTCTTCATCTTGCAGCAATAAATAATAGTTACAATGCAGCAGAAGTTCTTCTTGCACATGGTATTGATGTCAATATAACAAATGACTATGGATTAACAGCTCTTGATTATGCAATAACGAATAATTGCATAGAAACAATAAAATTGCTTTTGCGTAATAAAAAAGGACAAACTGCTCTTCATGATGCAACAATAAATAAGAGTAAAGAAATAATTCAATTCCTTCTTTCACATGGTGTAAATATCGATGAAAAAGATGAAATGGGATATACGGCTCTTCATTTTGCAGTAATTGCTAATAGTAAGGAAATAATTATACTTCTCCTTTCATACAATCCAAATGTCGATGAAAAAGATAAATATGGGAAAACTGCTCTTCATTATGCAGCAATCTATAATTACAAAGATATGGCTGAATCACTTATATATCATGGTGCAAATATCAATGAAAAAGATAATTATGGGAAAACAGCTTTAAATGATGCATTAGGTAACAATAGTAAAGAAGTAATTGAACTCCTTCTTTCACATGATGCAAATTCAAATTCTTGAATTAAAGTTTTGACGAGAAATAAATAATACCTTATATAATATGTGTTTTAATAATATTTTTGCTACATATGAATACAGATGTATTGTAGAAGTAGATTTTAGATTAATTTCTTATTACTTTCTATTTACTTTTTTCTATTTACATCTTGATTCTTCTTTTAGAGATCTTTTTTAGATTTTGAAACAGTGAAAAGATAGAGTATGATAAATGTATGCTATGTTTACGTTTATTCATAAAAATATCAATTCTATCATAGGGAAAAAGAAACTTTAAAATTGAATAGTTGTAAACTTGGATCGTGAACCTTGAAATCATCAAATTAATTCTTTCATAACTATTGAAATTGAATGCTTGGTAAATCCATATCCTTCACATCGATATATATTTGCAGAAAAATATTCTATAAGTTCTTACAAGTCACTTTCAATAGGGAATATATAAAAAAATATCGAAAATTGCTAGAAAATCAAATAGTTCAATAGAAAATTGTAAGCTATAGTCAATTCGCAATGCAGTAGAATTGATCGTTCAAAAATATTATGGAAAATTTTAAAAAGGTATTAATTATCGAAATCTTAAGAGATATATATAATCATGATTTATTTCATTGTCTGAACGAGCCACTTAAGTCCGTCGTCAAGACCGTCTCCCTTAATGGCTGAGCAGCCTTGAATTTGCCACTGACGGTCACGGATGTTGTGAAGTTCAAGTGAAATTGTGATCTGATCTGGTGGAAGAGCTGATGCAAGATCTTGCTTGTTTGCAAAGATAAGAACGGGAACACCTTTAAGGTTCTCGTTTGAAAGAAGTGATGTAAGCTCTGTGCCTGTCTCCTCAAGACGAGCTTCGTCGCAGGAGTCAACAACCCACACAAGAGCGTCGGTGTTCTCATAGTAGTTATCCCAGTACTGACGGATGGCTTTCTGGCCACCAATGTCCCAAACATTGAATTTGAAGCCTTCGGATTGAATTGTTTTGACGTTGAAACCGCGTGTTGGTGATGTTGAAGTTGGATCTTCGTTGCAAAGGTTGCGGAGGATAGTTGTCTTGCCTGCATTGTCAAGACCAAGAAGAAGAATACGGCTCTCGTTAGCAGAGCGGCGCATCTGCTGAAGAAGACGAAGAAGACCCATTCTGTTGAAAAAAAAACTAACGCACAAACAGACCTTTTCAATTGTAATGAAAATGGAGAAAGGATTTTACTTCCTGATTTGCTGATTTACAAATTGCTATACCACTTTAAAGAATTTTTCTTTAAAGAACATTCATCAATTGCTTTTCCTAAAATTCGACGATTCTTCTTTCTTTATCTTTGATTAATGAAAGATTCTACATCGAAACAAAACAGACAATAGAATCGATTACATCATGAACAAACACAATAAAACAAACAAATTAAATATCTCATATTCTCTCACTCAAATATTGATATATTTTTCTCAAACAGAGATGATTTCTAGCTGTTATCAATTTTTAATAATGTTGAGTCTTAATCTTTATTACCACTTGTCTCATAAGTTCGTTTCAAAGATGTGTATTTGAATGAGAGTTTATCTAATTTTGTTGATAATAGGCCAGCATGATAAATCAGTTTTATAGCTAAAGTCCATAACACAAAAATTGTAATCAATAAAGAAATTCAAGAATATTCATTTGTTAAGCTCAAAGAATTATTAAATACAAAGAGTGTAATAATTATTTTAAATCTACGATCCCTAGTTGCTTCTTAAGAAAAGATTCTGTTCTGTAGGCCCATTTTCTTTTCGCTAAATCAAGAGTAGACTTTCCATTGTTATCTTTAGAATTGATATCTAATCCGTTAGAAATAAAGAATTTTACAATTTCTAAGTTATTTTTCATTGCTGCGAAATGAAGTGCATTCCTTCCTTTTTTATCTTTTGCGTTGATATCTGCACCTAAAGATAAAAGAAGTTCTACCATTTCTTTTTTGTTAGACATGGCCGCTAAATGAAGAGGTGTTCCTCCCTTATTATTTTTTGCATTGATATCTGCACTTAGAGATAAAAGAAGCTCTACCATTTCTTTTTTGTCAGATAAAGCTGCTAAATGAAGAGGTGTTCTCCCCTCTTTATTTTCTGCATTGATGTTGGCGCCATGTAAAATTAGAAATTTCACAGATTCTTTATTGTTTCTATCAACTGAACAGTGAAGAGGAGTATCTCCTTTATTATCAGGAGCATCTATATATGCTCCATGTGATATAAGTAGTTCCATTGTATCAAGGCTTTGTTGGAAAGATGCATAATGAAGAGGACTCTCTCCACCAGTCATTTTCAAATCTATTTTAGCGCCATGTGAAAGAAGGAATTCAGTAGCTTCTTTACAATTAGAAATTGAAGAAATATGAAGTGGTGTTTGCTTGTGAAAATCCTGAGCATTGATCAAAGCACCATTTGTAATAAGAATTTGCATAATTTCTGTGCTATTTTTTCAGCTGCATAAAACAGAGGAGTTTTCTCATCATAATCTCTATCGTTGACCTTAGCTCCGTGTGAAATAAGCAATTTTACTGTTTCAATGCTATTATGTTATGCTGCGTAATGAAGAGGTATTTTTCTGAATTTATGTTTTGCATTAACATCTGCTCCATATTGAAGAAGTAATTCTGCTACTTCTTTAGAGTTATGTTCTGCAGCCATCATAAGAGGAGTAATAGAATGACTTTCTTGAGAATCTACATCTACATCAAGAGCAATAAGAACTGCGATTACTTCAAAACTATTCTTTTCTGCTGCCATATTAATTGGACGTTGTTTATATTTATTTTGAGCATTTATATTTAATATAATATTTCCATTAGAATTGAATAAAAATTTAAATAATTTATAGTTGTTATAAATAGCTGCATAGTGGAGAATATTCTGACATTCATCATCAACTTTAGCTATATCAACTACATGGCCAACAAAAAGTTCATTAATTTGAGGAAAAACTCCACACCATGGAATGATTGAATCTTTATCATAATGGAACATAATAAATGCAGCTTTCAAGTTCTGTGAATGAATAATCTCACTTAACTCTTCTTCAGGTATGCTTAATCCTTTAATATTCAAAAGATCTTTTTCAAGAATATGCATAATGAAATCGTTGTTATGACATTTAATTGCATAATATAAGCATTTATAGTCTGGCTTTTGAGTTTTTAAACATTCATTGATAATATCTGTGTTTCTTCCAACAATGGAATTATAAAGAGTTTCTTGTGTTATTTTGAAATTGAAGTTTCTAAGAAGAAAATAAAAAATGTTAACAGAACCGAAATAAGCACATGCATCAAAGAGTGAAGGGCTAGGATACATAGGGCAACGTATCTCTATACCTTCTAGCGAGTTTTTGGTTGCAAAATCTTTGAATTCATCAATTTTGTCATATATAATATAATTTTCAACTGGAGTTACATCTTTGGTGTAGTGGCTAAAAATTTCATATTGACAAACATCATTAGTTTTACAAAGATTCTCAATTAAACTAAAAATAGAGAGTGAAAATCGTCTTATTGCTAAATTGTGATATTGATATTTAGAGGAAATTTGATTGATTAATTTTAGGTAATTGTTTGAAGATTTATAATTGTATTTAGCTGCATTTGATAAACCAAAAAGAATGTTTTCAATACAAATGTGGTATTTGTCAATTAAGATAGTTGTGATCAAATTAAAAACTTCATCGATAGATTCACTAGCTTGCAAACAAAAGAGTTTTTCATATGTTATTATGAAATCTTCATATTGCTTCAAATAGTCGAAATTCATGAAAGAGTTTATTTGAGGACAAAAATGGAAAATTTATTTTTACTGGCGTGCAGCACCAATAGAAAAAAATTTCGCGAGTTAACAATTTTCATTGGAACAACATCACAGTTAAATTCCAGTAAAACATACAACGTGAAATATGTTATCATATAATAGCTAATATCTCATTGTGAAATGTATTTCATCCTTAAATAGGGATACAGTTTTAAAATCAAACTGATAAGGTCGACAAAAAAAAATGCGAAAATTAAAAACGACCGTGTGAGTACTTTCTGAGGCTCTGTTTGTCAGAAAGTATATATTTATAAACTTTCTGACACTAAATTTTTTTGGTCTTTCAAAGTTTTTGATGTGGTGGTTTTTTGTGTCAGAAAGTATTCAATTTTCCTCTCAAACGATGTTTTTTAAGAGTGTACTTACTCCCCTATGACATGGCCTTCAATTTAGATGTTTAAAGTTAATTTTCAATGACTCTGAACGCCAGTTTATGTCAGAAGATGGGCATAAGTACAGCCTTAAAAAACGCACAATTTTTTTGAAGACAAAATATATAAAAAAAGACATTCATATAAAGTTATAAAAAAAATCTAATTAGTAAAATAAAAAATAATTTTTTACTGGTCGAACATCAAAGGAGCGTCCTTATTAAATTTGTGGAGAACATCTTCAGAAACGGAAGACTTCATTCCGATGTTTTCTTTTGTTCTTCTTTCCTGGACTCTCTTTCCGATGTCTTTAACTGCCAACTCGAACTGGTTCTTTCCTTCGCAAGTGTGCAACATTTCTGCGATGTCGTTATTGTTAATGTTTGGAATTCTCTTCAAAGCAGCAAGTAAATTGTAGTATTCGTGCTGCAAAGCGTCTTTTTCTTTTCTCTCCAAGTCTTTCGGCAAATCCTTCATATTGTTTGCAATGATTTGAATCTTTTCAGATACAACTTTCGGCTGATTCAAACAGATATTTGTCAACAAACTCATTGCCCTCAAAATCACATCAATATTCACATCTTTCAATCCGTTAATAACAGCATTAATTGAATTGTTATCGTCAATTTGACTCAAAACCGTCAAAACCTCCGATCTTGTTGCACTTCCAATATCTTTCTTAATTGTTGACAAACCTAATTCTACTTCTATTTCATGTGTTTGATTGAACAATGACATAGAAACAAATTTCTTCACGTACTTGGAAAGATCAACACGTTTGTTCTGCTCCAAAATATAATTAACTGCAGAAACTAAATAATATGATATTAACGGTTTTTCTTCATTCAAATTCGAACAGAGTTTGTCAATTATTTCAATGTCATTTACAACATTCATTTCTCTGACGAAATACTCAATGGCGTGTGAAGAAATCTTAGCTACTTCTTCATTGGTATCAGTGCATTTGTCGAAAAGTGACATGACAAAACCGTTGTCAATTTTTGCCAAATTTGCCAAAGATTTTGCCAGTGGATTTTCATTTTCTTCTTTGATGTTGTTTCTATCAGTCAATAAGAAGTCAGCAATTTGGTCGAACATCTTTGTCTTTGTCTTCGTCTGTTTAGTCAATGATTCCAATGCAATCAACCATGTTGACAACTTCTCTTCTTCTTGTTTAGCTTTCTCCAAAATCTGACATTGTAAACTTTCTGACAAAGACGATATGGAACCGATAGAAAATGCAGCAGCAGCGAATACTTCTCTTTTCTCAGTTTGAGAGTCAGTCAAACCGAAAATGAAGTCAATGGAGTCCTTCAAATCAGAGATATCCTTTCTGGCACCAATTTCACCAATAATTCGCAAAGAAAGTGGTTTCTTTTGTGTCACTTTTTGTTGACAATCTTTGACAATTTTTTCTGTCAAATTGGGGTTAGAAACAGCAGCGATTGCGATGATTTCCGCGAGATTTGGAATGTTATCATCATCATCTTTGACTGAATTTGTGAAGTCAAAAATGAAGTGAAGTGAATTATCCAAATCTATTTCACTCATTTTGGCAATCAATGATGCAGATGGTTCTATAATAATTTTGTCAATTGTTGATGTCAAAACCGTTTTAAGTGATGGCAAAATTTCATTGATGTCACTTTTTGTTTCAATAATTTTTTTAAGAATCAACAAAATGTATTTTAACGAACCACTTTGAGAAGTTGTAAATGCGATCTTGAGAGAGTTGATCAAATTCTTTTTATCTGTCATTTGTTTGTCGTTTTCCAACAAACTGAAGATGCAGAAAAGAGATCTGAACCTGTTTGTGTTGTTTTGTGACTTAATTTCATTGATAATCATCTGACAACACTCCGAACTGATGTATTTGTACTGTTTGGAGACAGTTACAAGACTCAATGCGGATAAAACATTAGAAACTGCAAGTTGGTCGGCCAAATAACTTGAAATTACTTCAACTGCACGTTTTGTGAGGTTTTCGTGGTCGAAGTTTGCGGAGAATATGGCCAATGTACGTGATATTGTCACGACAAGCTCTTTCTTCGATGAGTTTTCGATGCAATAATTTGCAAGATCCGAAATCTCCGGAGAAAGTGGTCTGAATGACTGGAAAAGGAGGGATGCGGCTTCTATGCATAGGGACTCTGCACAACCGGCCTTGGAACAGTCTAAAACAGCTTCACAGCAGATATTGATGAAAGAATCAGAGCAATAATCGAAAGAAGCTGCTGTTTCGATGCATGTGACTAATGCTGTGGCAACGCTCGAGGTAAGTTTGCCTTTGAATGCTGAAATTGGAGTCAATAAGAAATCTTCGTCAACTAAGCCAATAACGCGGATAATTGGAGAGAGGAGATAAAGGATATCATGAGCAAATTGAGAATCAGGAGTTATCTGTTTGTTGATCGCTTGAATAATTGAGATTTTGTATTCATCAGTTAATTTCTTGTTGTAAACAACAAACATCTCTCTGACCATCTCAAGAATATCTTTAAGGGATGCGATATCGCTAACCGCTAAGATTCTCTGGAATAATTCGATATCTTTGACGATTTCCAAGAAAGATTCCTTTGCGGAGTGCATTAAAGCAATACCAAGTGCTGCTGATGCCTTGCGAAGTCTCCATGTGTCATCGTCGATGTCAATTTGTTCATCATTTGTCAAATCCATGTCGTCGTCATCATCCATGTCTTCTTCAGCAAGGATAACTTCATCTTCAACCATCTGTGATGACGAAACAACACCTGATGACCCGTAAATGATGTATTTTGTAAATATCGGAATTGTTTGATCGAAAAACTGGGCCATTTCCTCTGGAAACGCTCTCCACATGGTTGCTATGGCATTGATACAGTACTCTTGTTCCTTGATTATGTCTGTAGAGGAAGAATCTGCAATATCATCCTCAGTAGAAGCAAAATCATCGATATCGTCGTCTTCAGTCTCATTTGTTGAGGCAGAATTGAAGACTTTGATGAATAATTCGAACAATTTCAGCAAATGATTTTCAAAAGCGACTGGATTCGCTCCGATTGAGGTAGAAAGGATCAAAATTGGTGCAGGTGTCTTGAGAATTTCTTCCTGGAGTAAGTTGTCAACACAAATGTTGATTTGTTCTTGAGTTGCGTAAAATGACCAAAATTTAACGAGAGAAGAGATCAAATTGAGGTAATTTGCTTCTGTAGAGTCGTTAAAGTTCTTGAAGATTGGTAGGAACCTATCAATAGTCGATTGGATCTCGTCTGGATTGAATAATGATCCGATATTTTCTAATAATGAGGCAAGAATCTCAATAAGACAACGTGTGTATTCATCGCGTGGTACTAAATTCTGGAAGTATGGGAAAATTGTCTTGATAAGCTCTCTGCATCGCTCATAATTCATATTTGAGTGATTTGTCAATATTTCTTTGATTACTGTGCATAATTGTGTTGTAACGTGTGATCCTTCTTCTTCCATTGTTGTGAAAACATACTTATACAATGTTGGAATCAGTTCTAAATCGAGGTAATATGTTGAAAGAACAATTGTTCGAAGGGCAGCGTTCTTTAACTCGGCGTTTTGTACAGCAGCGGCACCAACGAGTGTACTAATGAATGATTCGGCCTTACTTTTGTCTGTAAATTGAATTTCATGGAAATGTTCGAATTTTTGCATGATTGACTCTAACTCATTGATAGCATAATCCTGATCTGGGTTGTTCATCTGTTTTCTGAAGCTAATAATATCAACAAGCTTAGTATCTTGATTATTCATTTAATTTTATAAAAAAAATTCTCCAAATGAAAAAAAATTACCAAAAAAAAAGTCAAAAATTTGGAAAAAAGCATGAATTGATGAATATGCATTGGGTTGTTAATTTGGGAGATAACACGTATGTTCGTTATCACAAAACCATAAAATAACACTTAAATTTTCGCAAATTCCAAATATTCAAGTAATAGTAATCAAGCTCACATAATTGAAAAGTATTGTTATGTTGGTTTTAATTCATAAAATATTAATATTTGTTGTTATATTTTTGAAATTTGATAAAATATGAAGGAAAAAAGTATGTTGAAATGATATACTATTGATAAACATCATGTTTTCAACCTGAGGAGATGCAAAATAAGTATTTCTAATTGAGGCGAAAACGATAAATCTCATTTTGCCTCTCAATTTTTCTGATCCTTAAGTATTCAATTTTCACTGCTTCTCTCATCTTTGAAATTTGCACAATTTTTCTCCAAAGTCTCAAATTAAGCTTCTGATGATCTATTCTATCTATACCCTAAATGTGAGTCCTTTATTAAGTCTAGAAATGGTGACTCAACACATTAACTTTTTTTACTTTTATTTTATTTTTTCCGGCATTTTTCATTATGAGTCATTCCAAGCCATTTAATTGGAGATTTCGAGAATTCTCTGGCAATCAGCATCCAAAAATCTTTGTGATGATGTCCAATGTATCATTGACAGATAATGGTATTACTTTAAACCGAGAAAAAAAAGATCAGCAAAATAAAATTGAATACACAAGTAATGCCGGTGAATTTTCATACTATGTAGCAGAATTGTTTCCTGTAGGCATTGCAATCTTCCCTGACAGAGGAAATTTTGATATCAAAATTTCATTCAGCGATTATCTCAGCATATTTGTTAAATTAATAGAAAAAGATTCAAATCTTATTAACTATGCGATTGATTGGGCTTGCATTCCACTCAAATCAGATCAAAATTCAAAAATTTTGGAAATAAATGATTTTAGCTACAAATCAATTAAAACCGAGGACTTACACGTAAGTAGTGATTTCAAAACCGTAATTTGCATATTTATTAATTCAATTTTATTAATTTCAGATTATTTTTTCAATAAAAAATATAACACTTTAACAGACGTAGAACGAGGCCGTCTATTACATATGTGCATTAAAGCATATACAAATCAGGAACTTTTGCAAACCTACTCACTGAATTTGGACAAATTATTTGATATTATAGAAAAAAAATCAGGAAAAGATTTTCATCCAAATCCATTCATTACTTTCCTAGTATTTTGTATCAATAATGATCATAAATATTATACATCTTTAAAACTTCTACTCAATGATTTCCTCAACTATTGTTATGATTCAGAATCATTATCTTTAGCAGTTTCTAATATCTCAGGCAATTACTCTCAAATTCCTTTATACCATATTATCCATATATTTACGGAGAATATTCCAATGAATGTATCTCAAGATAAAAAGGTTCTGGAAATACTAAAAATTCGTGACGCATCTGATGATGACGTAAACATTTTGAGTAATTCGAATAAAGATCAATTAATTGAGCGTAATAAAGCAATTTTACTCTCAAAACTTGAGCGTTCGTACTGTAATTCACTTGATTATATTGAAAAATTTCTTATAACAGCAAAAACTGGCCCTAAATCTAATTTTTCGCAGTCACAAATTAAAAGCTTACTTGATGCGAAAAGGGAATGTAAAATCATGTTGAATCAAATCTACAAATTCAACAGTTGGGATGATAAATCTCTATTCATGTACGATTTTGTATTTCCAGAGCATGCTCACAAATGGCGTATTATGTTTAGAGGCGATTATAATATTCAAACAATACTGCAAAATATCAAAGAAGAGGGTTTTACAGAAGACAAAAATAATAGAGATAATCAGTCAGCTCCGATAATCTCTCACATGTGACATTTTAAATAAAAACTATAATTATAGAATTATTTTAATCTCGAGCTCATCTTATTCAATTTTGAATCCTTTACAAATGTTCCTTCAAATATTGAAATGTACCTAAGATAAATGCAGCTTTAAGGCTGCACTTACGCCCATTTGACATTAATTCAAATTTTTGACACCTGGGGTGAAGCGTCATTGAAAATTAACCTTAAACATTTGAATTGAAGGCCGTGTCATAGGGGCGTAAGTGCACCCTTTAAAAAAACTGTATAGATACCTTAAGAAATAAACTTTCTACTTTTTTTGACATTCTCTTAATTTTTTTAGATTTCATTGTATAAAAAAGTGACAGAGAGTGGGGGCAAGATTGAGAATTGCAATTCTCACATATTTGAATGCATCGTAATACTATTTGGTAATTAAATGCCACTGACATTTATAGGGAAGTAGAGGCGCATACTATTCTATAAAGATGATATCTATTTGTTCTGTGAAAAATCAATTTATCAATTTTTCAAAAACGCCAAATATCAAATTACAAAAAACTGACATTTGTAAAATAACAAAGAGGGAAAAAATTATCTGAAAAATGAATAACTTTACAATAAATAACTAAAAATTATTTCTTTTCTTCCCCATCGGAGTAAGTATAGTAAGTATAGTAAGAAAAGCTTCCTTCGCCAGAGTAAAAACTGTATGATTCGAAATCTGATTCATCCTTGTGTTTCTCTTCATGTTTCTTCTTATCGGAATCAGATTTCTCTTCTTTAGGTTCTTCTTTCTTTGGTTCTGGCTCTGGTTTCTTTGAAGAAGACGAAGATGAAGAAGATGGTTTGGAATAAGAATAAGAAACCGACTTTTCCTCCTTTGGCTCATCTTCTTTCTTCGGTTCTGGTTCAGGTTTCTTTGAAGATGATGAAGATGGTTTGGAATAAGAATATGAAACAGATTTTTCTTCTTCTTTTGGTTCTGGAAGAGGAATTACTCGTTCTTCTGAATGTGATGGTTTCGATTCGGATACAGATTTCTCTTCTTTCTTTGGTTCTGGTTTCTTTGAAGAAGATTTCGAATAAGAATAAGAATAAGAATAAGAATAAGAAACAGATGGTTCCTTTTCTTCCTCTTTCTTTGGTTCTGGTTGTGGTTCAGGTTTCTTTGGAGAAGAAGATTTTGAGTATGAATAAGAAACTGATTTTTCTTTTTCTTCTTCTTTTGGAACTTCGACAGCTGATTCGGACTTTCCTTTAGTACTTGAACTAGATGAAGAAGATGATGATGACTCTTCTTTGGCGTTTTCTGGTTTTGGAGTTTCTTTTTCTGGTAATTGAGGCTGCTCTGGCTCTTGCTGTGGTTTTGGAGGAGCTGGAGGTGGTGGAGGTGGTGCAAACGTTGGTTTGTTTGGAATAATTGTAATTTTTGGCGCTGGTTTTCTGTTTTGGGCCTCTTGTTGAGCTTTTTTGTTTGCTTCAAGCATTCTTCTGTATTGGATGACATCGAATGTTGTGATGTTCTTCCTAATTAAGCAACTGTGCAATCCGAGTAAGAAAGTAATGAAATATTCAATGCCAAGGAGCATAAATAGAAGAAGTCCATGGAAAACGTACCATACAGCAGCTGGTATATGGTTCTTAGCACCGTAGAATGATTCAGCGTTAGCTAACATCGATCTCTCGCCGTTTTCTTGTTTCATTGCCATTCCCATGATTACGTAAATGGATAAAGCTGATTCTACAAGGGATGCAAGGTAAAGGAAGATGATTCCGAATAGGAAATAGTTGTAGTTATCACTTGTAACGCAGTTATTTAAGAAAAAGCAGTGATGATCAAAATCTCGTCTACAAAGATTGCATGAACGGCAGTGTTTTGCTTTTAGCATAACAGTCCTTTTACACCATCTGCATTTTTCCGCATTCTTTTTAGCATCGTCTGGCAAAATTGCAGATCTATGCTTTTCAATCTCGCAACGAATGAATAAGAGGTTGAATGTTATCCAGCAATAGCAAAAGATTGGTGTGCAGATGATTTTCTCGGTTGTGTAAAGAGATGGAAAAATGAATAAGAAATAACCTAAAATCATAAGGAAATAACCAACCCATGACAAGATTTGCTGATTGTGTAATGGCCTGGTAAAGCCATTCCTTGTGTTAACAAGTGGTGCCGGAGGGTCGTTATTTTCCGACATAAGGGTGCCCTATAGACGATAGCTCCCCCCCCCAGAAAAAATAACCTTAAATAAAACCAATGCTTTTCGAGACCTATTTTGGTACCTCCAAAAACATTTTTCTCGGCAAAAAATCAAGTTGATGTATTTTGTTTTGTCATCGTAGATACTCTAATTTTCGCCCAGTAATGTTATATAAAAGGAGCTTTTTTGTCGAAATGCAAAACAAAATTGGCCGTTAATGTGGTGAATTATCGATTTTTGGTACAGCATACTTTCTTATCAATGAATAAATGCAGCTACTTGATAAAAGAGTCTTCAAAAGCAACTTTTGAAAAAAAATATTCCTTATTTACATCAAGAGCCGAATACTTTTACGATGAATATTAATAAAATTTGTCGGTATTTATTCTTACAGATTATCAGATCACAAAAGCCAAAAATTGTTTATTATTTTTTTCAGAATAAAAATTTCGAATGTATCAATTATATCAAATACATACATTTTATTCATACATTACAAATGAAAGATTTAATTTTTGAAAAACCTAAATTTTTTCGAAAATCAAATATTTCGGTGTATTATATGCGCCTTTGTTTAAATTATTCGCCAATTCCTCATCACGAATGTAAGATATTTTGGTATTCCAAAAGAGAATCCATGAATTGATGTTTTCGTCCAAAATAATAATATTATATTGTCGACTGTGATAAGTTATTATGGCTACTAGTTTGGATTTTACAGCTGGATTGTTATTCCATGTGTAATCATCCAATGGAAACGTAAAACCAGCAACATCAATAAAAAGATAATCTGAAAAAGTAGGAGTAACTTGAAGTTCGTTATTATTAACAAGAGGAATGTCAATTTTATCTGTAAATCCCCAGCAGAATTTTTTGAAATAATCAATAAGATCTAGTTGCCTAGCTTCACATGCAAGCGATTCTTGTAATTGTTTGAAAGCATCAATTGGATCAGCTTGATGTATCTTTTGCCGTTTCGAGTAAGGTGATACAGATAAGTAACATCTGCATTTTCCGAAAAGTTCCGATTTGTGAGCGATAATATTTCTTTGTATATTAACTGTTGCTCATTGGGATTAGAGAATAATTCGTCAAATAGTTTGTGCATTAATGGTCGAAATGTAATAAGTTGAACAATAACGGCAAGAAAACTGAGATTTTTTCCAAGCTTGATACCAAGCTTTTGTTTTTTAGGCTTATCATGAGTTTTTCTGAGTGTCTGTGGAAGTTGTATCAAATCAGGATGAAAATCTGCTATCATTTCAAGAGATGGTGGATTGTGGCTGAGGACGTTAAGATAATTGATTGCGTTTATCTTAATTTTCTCAAAGTTATGAAAATCAGTAAAAGCTGAATTCATAATTTCTTTTGCTTGCTGAGAATCGTAAACTGCAACAGCCGAGATGTTTTCTTCATTAATACGAATTAAAGACGAGTACGTATTATAAAGATCTTGTTTAAATTTGGATAATAAATTTTGGAATTCTTGAGGATCATCTGGAATTTCCTTCGCCTTGAAGAAAAATGAAAACCTTTTCCAATCTGGTGGTACTTTGATATCGGAACCAAATATAGATTTTTTGTTGAATTTTGGATAATCTGTTGGAAGTGAAAGATTTTCAGATTCTGACGGTTCTTCATCCGCTGGCGGATCCTCATCGTCAGTGTATTCAATTTTTTCGGATCTGGATCCATCTTTTGACGGTTTATGAGGAACTAAGTCAGCGAATTCTGGGTCAATTTCATCTGGAATGTAATGAACGCATCTGTTATGATTTCTGTAGTTTTCCGAAGTTCTTCTGATATGGTCATAATCGGATTTATTTTCGAAATTTAATATAACTTGTAAAATATCTTCATCAAAATAAGAATCATCTATACCCATTAATCTTCTTAGTTTTGTCTTCCAATTGTCTTCATTATACGCAAATACAGAAACAAAAATTCTGGCTGGAAATCCAATAATCCAACGAAGATTTTTTGGGACTAAATGGGCTTTCAATGAATTGAAAGCTTCGTTGAAATTTGTATGATATTGTTTGCTGATTCTTAGAAACAATGGAGCAATATTTGTAATAATTTCTCTTTTTTCGATATGCTCTGGTGATTCTCCTGGATATCTATTAATTAATCCCATCCATCTCTGAACCTTTTGCTCTGGTTTTAATGTTGGGCATGCAAAAAGGATCCTAAATATTTTTTCAAATTTAGGATATTTAGTGACAATTTTTGAAAATGCTGATTTTATCACATGATTTGGATCTCTTACATGTGATAATTGTGCACCAGAATTCTCTATCATTGTTGAATCTTTAACATCACCATCTGAACAAAAAACTTTTATTTTTTTCCATAAATCAGATTTCAACATATCACGTAATGCATAGCTTTCCATTAATCCTGGTGAAATTTTTGGTTCAACCAAAATTTTGGGACTTTTGAATTTTATTAATTCTGGATGCCTTGAAACTATTCTAAAATCTAATATTTTGTTTGTATTTATATCTATAAGCGTAATGACGGCATGTAAAGCATCGCGCTTAGAACTCCATGCGCAATCTAATGAAACATTAAATTTGTATTCTGAATCATGTTTAAGAATTTCTTGTATATTAGCTTCACAACTTGCTGTTGCAACTTTCTCAAGATCTGGCAATATGCTCTTTAGATGCGCAAGTAATGTAGTTTCTGTTGGGCAATGAAAGTTTAGGAGTGATGCCAATTCGATGTGTTTTGAAAATCCTGCACCAGATATAAGAGAAATGTAAGTATGAAGATTCTTGACAACGTCACTATACGGAACTCCAGGCTTAAATTTGACGTTGAATATTGTTTCTTCCTTAACATTTGATTGTGAATGATCTTGTTTTGAATTAAGCTGGTTTAGATTAATGAAATGCGAAAAAGGTTTCTTATTTGAATAAACAGTCCGATGATAGACCCTTTTTTGGCAGTCATCAGCTTTATATGTTATTAATATCTCTTCAATTGTGTATCCTTCCATGATTGGAATAGAATACTCCATAGGAAGAGCTAAAATCCCGCCAAATTTTACGGTTTTTTTAATACAAAAGCAATCAAAGTGAATAAAGCAAAGATATATATTGTATTTAATCAGTCAATTGATATTGGGTAGAATATATGCTCAATATTTCATTTTTCAAATTTATTATTTCAAAAAACCAATAATTGGCGACATTGTTTACTGTAATAATTGTTTTTAATGAAAATACTATATGCCTTCCTTATTTTCTTTCTTTTTTATTTTTTTGAAAAAATCAAAAAAACTCGAAAAAAAATCAAAAAATCAAAAAATCGATGAATTCTCAACGTAATTTAAATCTTCAAAATCGTAGAGATTGGTCATAATATAACTAAGCATTATGATATGGTAAAGTTCAAAAAATCTCTCTCTTGAACGAGATAAAAGCTTAACAGAAATAACCTTAAAAGTGCTTTTCTGAGGGTGGTCTATCGTCTATAGGGCACCCATAAAAATCTCTGAAAAATTGAAGAACTCCTTTTTGAGTTGACAACTTTTTTAGTCGCTTCAGAAAAGATTTTTTATTTTTCGCAAGGAGAAATAGAATTATCTTATTGAAAGTATAATGATGGAAGTCAAATGACATTAAAACGGAAAATGCTAAATTCTTTGCCAACTCTGATAAAGCTAAATCTGAATTGAGCACAAGGTGGTTACAATTTTATACTGTAGTAATCATCAAATTTGCAAATATGCCTGAAAATTATAGCAGATAAAGGAATTTAAAATGCAATTTCATCGCATTGCATCACCTACGCAAAAGTTGTCTTTTGTTCAAATATTCTGTGTTATGTTAGTGCATTTATTGAGCTCATTCTCAGGCAGGAAAAGATGAGACTAAATTTAGCAATTTCAGCTTACACCAGCGCGCAACTGCTATCAATAATACATGACGAGTTGATTTATTTTTTAATTTCTTATTTAAACTTGAGCGTTGTTGATAAATTGGATGCAATATCGTGTTTTTATATGGATCCTGTTTTAAGGTTAAATCTTTCAATATGGTTGAAATCTTTAATTTCTGAGTAATATCCTTTTATTTTTTCTTGCCTATAATGATAAAAGAGGAGTCACTTACTCAGATGATAAAACAATTCTTAAATTTGCACCAAAAGAACTCAGTGGAGAATATACAATTCTCCCTGAGTGTACTACGATCCAAGGAGGTGCAAGAGTTGAACTAAGTCCATTCTACTTATGCAGAAATACGATTACATCTATTATATTTGGCAAAGGAAGTCTTTTAACAACACTTTGCTATGGCTGCTTCTCAGAATCAGTATTAGTTACAGTGGATATGGGCGAATGCACAAAATTATTAAAATTAAACAATAAAGCATTTTATAACTGTACAAAATTAAAATCGATAATAACGCCACCCTGTATTACAGCTCTTGGAACAGGCTGTTTCTATAATACTTTTTCATTACAAAGGATAGATTTTCCTGATTCTCTTGAAACTATTCCTGACTGGGATAGCACTGATTACAATGAATTCCAGTCTTCAGGAATTACAGAGATTTCAATTGGCGAAAACTCTAATTTGACTTATATTGGAACAGATGCATTCTCAACAACTAAATTGAAATATTTTACAATTCCTTCAAAATTAAGAATGCAAGATGGATCATGCTTCCAAGCTTGCCCGATTATTAGTATTAGTATTGATAAGAGAAATCCATATTACAAAACTGATGGAACTTCTATTTTTTCTGGATCGGATTTTTCAACTTTATTCTACGTAAGTTCAGCGCTTACTGGAACATATCAGATTCCGACTTTCATTAAAAGGATTGGTAATTCTGCTTTCAGATATGGTAATATCAGTAAAATTGTTCTAACATCAAATGTGACATCTCTTGAAAATTGGTGCTTTGCTGGTTCTCAAATAACAGAATTTAAATTTACAGATCAAATTACATTTATTGGATCATGGATATTTGGATACTGTAAAAAATTAGTATCAGTAACATTAGATGAAAAATTGACAAAAATTCCTTCGAATATGTTTTCAAATTGTTATGCTCTGAAAAACGTCAACATTCCACCAAAGTTGACATCAATAGGTGCTTCAGCTTTCTCTGGATGTAGTTCACTTAAATCAATAACCCTTCCTGAAACATTGACAGAACTTGGTGATGGAGCATTCACTGGGACTGGCGAAATTAACATCACCTCTTTTAGTCCAGCTTTTTATTCAGAAAACTTCCTTACATATAAAGACAATAAAGAAACATTGATTTTATACACAGGTTCAAATACTGACAATGATCTTTCGATTATAAATTATTGTAAAAGTATTAGTGATCTCACATTTAAGGATAAAAAACTTCGAGATGTTACTTTCCAGAGCGAAGATCCTGAAATTAACATGACTATTGGAAAGCAGGCCTTTCAATCTTCTACTATTAGATCCATTATTTTTCCACCTGGATTAGTCTCGATTGGGATAAATGCATTCGATCGTTGCGGATCTCTGAAAAATGTTACCTTCAAAGGAAATAAATTAAAATCCATTCCTAACTACTGTTTTAATAACAACAAAAATCTTGAACACATCACACTTCCATCATCCATCGAGATTATTGGTGAGTATGCATTCGCGAACTGTCCACACATTGGAGATATTGGCATCTCTGGCATGATCAACCTGATTTCTGTTGGTGCTTATGCATTCTTTTATAGTGGTCTGAGCACAGCGAATCTTGCAAACAGTGGCTGTGTAGTTGACATCAAGTGCTTCATGGGCTCATCAATTAGTGAACTCACAATTAGCTCTTCTATTCCTCAGCAACTCTGTCAGTACTGTGTATCTCTTGAAAAACTCACTCTGAAGATCGGTGTTTCAGTGATCGGACCATATGCATTTGATGGTTGCACATCTCTCCAAGGATTCATCATTCCTAGTACTCTTTCCAACATCCAAAGTTTTGCATTCCAGACCTGCACATCTCTTTCCACTGTCTACATGAATGGCGAATGCACCCTATCTAGAGTTGATGGTGGCTGTTTCTACGAATGCTTCAGTCTCACAGAAATCATATTGCCTCCATCAGATCAAAGATATCGTTTTGAGAACGGCGCACTCACAGACTACGATCAAACAAATCTCATTGTCTTCCTTCCTTACAGTGGAGTCAAGAACTTCATTGTTCCTATGACGATGAGAACGATTGGTCAATGTGCTTTCATGGGCAGTCCATCACTTATCAGAGTTTTCTTCAACGGCAACAATATCCAGAAGATAGACTACCAAGCATTCAAAGACTGCAAAAATCTCAATCTCGTCTTCTTCTCATCATCCAGCATCAAAACCATCGGTGACCAAGCTTTTGATGGCTGCAGTCTTCTTCGCAAGTGCGGTTCTTTCTCAGCTCCATCAAGTGCTCAGAAGATCATCATTGAGCAAGGTAAGATACCTTCGATTGCATTTAAAGATGATTGTGGTTTATCGAATTCATGTAAAAATGCAAAGCATTTTGAAATTTCAGCCTCATATCTATATCCTTTTATATCTATGTCTATATAATAAAAAATGTTTGTCCTTAGTATATATATATTAAAACAATAATGAGAAATTTCAAGTGTGTCTGGAGAGAGTTATTTCCGAATGCACATATGATGTTTTTCAACTTTTTCAACTTTTTTGAAATCATTCGTTGTTATATTGATGAATTTTTTCGATTTGTCATAAAAATTGAAAAAAGTCAAGGAAAATGATAGAATAAATATGCACATTTTATAGGCAGTTCGAATGATCATCCAAACAAAATATTTTCAAATAATTATTATTTATCCAATACCCTACTTTCCCAACATTTAGAATAAGGTTATTGCCCTAAAATTCAGTTATAGACACTTAGGAGAGCATTTAAACCATGATATTTTGGCATATGATAGAGAAACATCTTATAAACATTTTCAGTATGTTTTCCTATAAAATAACGATCTCACATGAAATTACTAAAATATCAAATTTTGATTTTCACTTTAAAGTTGGGAGAATACTCTACAGTGACAGGGTATACAATTTTAACCTTTGTTTTGATTATAAATAAAGTATTGATAGAGATATGAGTTGTACAGAATTATACACGTGTGTTTAATCAAATGTAAGTTGTGCAACAATAATGATTAGCTAGATAGTATATTAAGGAACTGTGATTTATGATCTAATTCAATAAGATGTAAATGATATTCAAATATATTAAATAAATGCGAATGTTCAAGATGTGAAATCGGTTAGTTAATTGTTGTATATAGATATTTTACTGTGATTAATGAATTTTTTAACAATTTAAAATTATCAAATTTCAAAATATGCGCAATGAGATAATTTGAGAGTATTTTGAGAACTGAAGACTTATGATTTAGTGTTTTTGAATAAGCACATCAATATAAAGATAGAAAATAAATTGAGATATAATTTTTTTGAAGGTATTAAAGGGTGGAGGTAGTAGGATAAATTTTTAATGTTCTATACTTTCATGGCAAATAATTAAATAGAAGTAAAACTTTGTTTTAAGAATTGAAAATTTTAAATAAAAAAGGAATGTTAGTAATGCTAATTTATTTGATTCCGGGGGACACCCCGGTTATCAAATATATTTATTAAAATGGAAAATCTTCACTTTTCGAAAAAATCGAAACTGCAAGGATCTCTGATTCTCGATATGATAATTTATTTGATTCCGGGGACGCCCCGGTTATCAAATATATTTTAGAACGGAAAATCTCTCACTTTTCGAAAAAATCGAAACTGCAAGGATCTCCGATTCTCGATATGATAATTTATTTGATTCCGGGGACACCCCGGTTATCAAATATATTTATTAGAACGGAAAATCTCTCACTTTTCGAAAAAATCGAAACTGCAAGGATCTCCGATTCTCGATATGATAATTTATTTGATTCCGGGGGACACCCCGGTTATCAAATATATTTATTAGAACGGAAAATCTCTCACTTTTCGAAAAAATCGAAACTGCAAGGATCTCCGATTCTCGATATGATAATTTATTTGATTCCGGGGGACACCCCGGTTATCAAATATATTTATTAGAACGGAAAATCTCTCACTTTTCGAAATTTTTTTTAACAAAAATATGGCATTCTTAAATTATAGTTACATGTTATTTCACAATCATTATCATTAAAAAATTCAATTATTCAAGTTGTTTTGTCCCGACGGTTTTTACGGTTATAAAAATGGTTGCGAACTCAATCCATCAGCAAAATGTCGGTTGGGGTGCCCTTCTTGGCCTCCTGAGTACTCACCAAGATACCCCCAGCTCCCGCAAAACACCTCCCTTAGGTGAGCATTAACTGATGACATGAGTTAACAATTCTACAAAATCATCAAGCATGAAGGTTTATGATTTATAAATCAAAATCTCAGAAACTGCTTGACTTTGCAAGTTGCTGTCTTTACCGGTTACTCTGCTGCAATCTCTTTTCTGATTGCAGGCAGAGTTCTGCATCCTGAGGACATTGCCTTGCAGATATGCTTGTAATCACTACGTGAGCAACTTGGTGTTGCAAGTTGCTGTCTTTACCGGTTACTCTGCTGCAATCTCTTTTCTGATTGCAGGCAAAGTTCTGCATCCTGAGGACATTGCCTTGCAGATATGCTTGTAATCACTACGTGAGCAACTTGGTGTTGCAAGTTGCTGTCTTTACCGGTTAGCTTTTTTTGAAGTTTCTTCGCATCTTATATAAGCTCTAGATCAATATTTATCATCAGAATTTGCATCTCATAAAGCACGATATTAATCAAATAGGCAAATTTCATTCGGAGTCTCTCATTAAATGAGAAACTCCGAATGAGATTTGCTCTAAGGTAATGTACTTGTTATGCTTGGCCTAGAAGCAAGGAGGAAACATGTATATGGTTTGTTTATACTGAAGTTATCTGGAATTCTCTCAATTGAGGATTCAAATCCAGATAACAGCAGTATAAGTTAATATTGTTGTGCACCTCAGGTTGTTTATAGGCCCGAGAACGAGAAAAGAATTTATGGTGTGAATTGGCTCGATATATACCTACGCTCTGTAAAAAATACGTTATATTTTCTTTCATATGAGAAAAATGTTTTTCTTTTTTATAATACTATGTGCTTTGTTACTTCATAAATTGTCTATTTTTCTTATTAAAACCTATTTTTTCCGTGTGATTCGGAATCTACGCATTCAAAAAATGCGTTTTCCGCTCTCAGAACGCGAAAATATGAACTACATGACGAGATAAATCGATTTATTATGTTCCTAAATATTCTCATTTTTCAATCTTGCTCAATACTCAAAAATAAGCAGACTCTCAAATAGAGAACATAAAATAACTCATATTTATCATATTAAAATTTTGAAAAAGTCTCCCGAAAAAATCATATTTCGAAAATTTCGAAAAAAATAAGTACATTTTTCGCCAAAGAAAAAAGAAAAATGTTTTTTTTTGAATTTTTGATGATAATATGCACTCCTGACGGTCGCAGTGTCTCATTCTGGGAGACATTGCCTGTGCATGTCTCCCAGAATGGCATACTGTTCCGCATTCAAGTTATGAATGCGGAACTTTGACCGACAAGAGTGCATTGTGCACTCTTGTTGGTCTGCATGTGTCATTCCGGGAGACATTGCCTGTGCATGTCTCCCAGAATGGCATACTGTTCCGCATTCATAACTTGAATGCGGAACTTTGACCGACAAGAGTGCATTGTGCACTCTTGTTGGTCTGCATGTGTCATTCCGGGAGACATTGCCTGTGCATGTCTCCCAGAACGAGACAATTTATTGCAATCAGAATACGATTGCAAAACTTTGACCGACAAGAGTGCATTGTGCACTCTTGTTTGTCATCCACTATGATACTTAGAGAAAATACTTTACTTACATTATTTAAAATATTAATTTCCCTATTTAATATTTATTTATTATTTTTTGTGCTTTATATTCCCTATGGCATGTACTGAACTATTTTATAGACTCTACCGAGCTATCTCCACATATAAACATTTGACAATAACACATATATACTCTCTTCATATTCTAGTCTCATGACATATTATTGCAAAAGCTATATTTATACAGCATACCTCATAAAGTCTCATTATATCCCTATCTAAGCGTTCAAAACCTATTTTCCCCACGTAATCTGATTCTTCAGGCTCCGCTGATTCGATTTCTGCTGTCAGATCGTGAAAATATGAATCACATAACAAGATAAACACAAATCCAAAATAATAATGTTTTCTTCAAATTGACTCTTCCACGATATTCATATATTTGTTATTAATTCCGTTTTCCCTTACAAATGTATTTAATTTTCTGAATAATACGTATTATAAAATGAATATCTCAAAAACTAAATTAAAAAATTAATACTGGGTAATAACTAGATATATTGTGACTTTTTGAATTCACACACTTTTGGAAAAAATTGAATTTTTCTAAAATGATGTTGTTTGAACATGAACTTAAAGAGTTTTTTTACGTAAAATATCAAGTTGGGTAACTTGTGTTTATCTTGTTATGTGATTCATATTTTCACGATCTGACAGCAGAAATCGAATCAGCGGAGCCTGAAGAATCAGATTACGTGGGGAAAATAGGTTTTGAACGCTTAGATAGGGCTAAAATGAGACTTTATGAGATGTGTATAAATATAGCTTTTGCAATAATATGTGTCATGAGACTAGAATATGAAGAGAGTATATATGTGTTATTGTCAAGTTTATATGTGGAGATAGCTCGGTAGAGTCTATAAAATAGTTCAGTACATGCCATAGGGAATATAAAGCACAAAAAATAATAAATAAATATTAAATAGGGAAATTAATATTTTAAATAATGTAAGTAAAGTATTTTCTCTAAGTATCATAGTGGATGACAAACAAGAGTGCACAATGCACTCTTGTCGGTCAAAGTTTTGCAATCGTATTCTGATTGCAATAAATTGTCTCGTTCTGGGAGACATGCACAGGCAATGTCTCCCGGAATGACACATGCAGACCAACAAGAGTGCACAATGCACTCTTGTCGGTCAAAGTTTTGCAATCGTATTCTGATTGCAATAAATTGTCTCGTTCTGGGAGACATGCACAGGCAATGTCTCCCGGAATGACACATGCAGACCAACAAGAGTGCACAATGCACTCTTGTCGGTCAAAGTTCCGCATTCAAGTTATGAATGCGGAACAGTATGCCATTCTGGGAGACATGCACAGGCAATGTCTCCCGGAATGACACATGCAGACCAACAAGAGTGCACAATGCACTCTTGTCGGTCAAAGTTTTGCAATCGTATTCTGATTGCAATAAATTGTTTCATTCTGGGAGACATGCACAGGCAATGTCTCCCGGAATGACACATGCAGACCAACAAGAGTGCACAATGCACTCTTGTCGGTCAAAGTTCCGCATTCAAGTTATGAATGCGGAACAGTATGCCATTCTGGGAGACATGCACAGGCAATGTCTCCCGGAATGACACATGCAGACCAACAAGAGTGCACAATGCACTCTTGTCGGTCAAAGTTTTGCAATCGTATTCTGATTGCAATAAATTGTTTCATTCTGGGAGACATGCACAGGCAATGTCTCCCGGAATGACACATGCAGACCAACAAGAGTGCACAATGCACTCTTGTCGGTCAAAGTTCCGCATTCAAGTTATGAATGCGGAACAGTATGCCATTCTGGGAGACATGCACAGGCAATGTCTCCCGGAATGACACATGCAGACCAACAAGAGTGAACAATCCGCTTTCTCCTTTGAAATCCAACATTCTAATCACATCTACATTAATAAATTGTTATAAAATACTAATCAAAGATCCAATACAATTCTACTATCTTATTCACACATTACCAATGTTAATACCTCTTATAACTTAAATTATTTCATAAAATTTGTTTTTATATCTTATTATTTTCTCATAATGCTTCTAATACATCTCTAATTTCTTACATTCAAACACCAATATCGTCATACTATCATAAGCACTTAATTTTTTCAAAATTTTAGACTTAAATTTGAGCTACATTTTCATCATCATTTTTAGCCTTAAGCTTCTATAAGGTTATAATACATTATCGTAATATTCTAATATTTATGATTCTTACTACTCAATTCAATATAATCATATAAGTCACTCATAATCAGGAGCATAATTTAAAAATCTATAGCTCATATTTTGACAATTATATATATAGATGATGCATATTGCAATTCCGGTTTCAACACGATCAAATGTCAAACCATGATAAAATATATATCAATTTACAAAATATCGATTAACATTAGAATCCATATCTAATTCCATCAATGCACAAGTTGTAAATGCTTAATTCATCTTTGAGAAACGTGAATAGCACAATTTTATAAGATTATTTGTTGAATATTTAAAATATAAGCCAAATCGAATCTGCTGTATATTACTTTAGTTTATAATTGAATGTTAAATGTGCTCAGATAAATATTTGAGTCAGATATCGCATTTTCTAATTTCAAAATTTATCTCATGAAGTTAGAATTTATTTGATCATACAACATCATATTAGTCAAACTAGAGTTCAATCGCGATTCCAAAATGGAACAATTGCTTGTTTTATCAAAATGTTAAAATATTAATCTAAAAAACTTAATATCTAACCAAAACATTCTAGAAATATCATATATAGGTATATGCAATCTAAATGCACACGAAATACTGAAAATTAAAAAGAATATTTATGAGATTATTAAATCTTATGCATTTCAATGAAGAGTCGATAATTATCATCTCTATAGGTTATATATCAACATATGAGTTTTTGGATTGACCACTACTATACTAATGTGATCAAATTAATCTGATTTCTTGAATTTTCATTTGAAGCATTCGCAGTAGTAGGAGTACCTTCATATATTAACATATTAAAAAATTGCGCCCAGATTCGCAGTTTAATCATGATTTTAAGATTGCATTAGATTTCGAAATGCAGAAAAAAATCACTTTAGATTCCCTTCAAACTCTAAGCATAAGCATGTCTCTATATGAGGAAACTATTTGAGCTATTCATTTGGCGGCCCAAAAACTCATGTTGCCTGAGCGCAGAAAATACCAATTTTTGGACCCTGGGTAGGGGGTCATGCATGTTTTCTAAATGTTGGAAAAGTAGGGTAATTTGATGAATTTTTCATTTTTTAAAATAATATTATATTCTTTATTTTTATGCAGTAATTAATATGATTTCAATGATAATTATCATTATTTCTTGACATTTGAGTCTGATAATCTCATTGTCAGATTACTATTCAAATTAAATTTATCGGCGTGAATCGTTATACAGAATTTTAATAGCAAGCTTGTTATCATTTCAAAATAATTAATAAAAAAGATAATTGTACTTATGCCCATCTGAGTCTAATTATGTTTGACATATAAAGTATAGTTATAGTGTGGATGGACTCATAGAATGAGTTGAATATCGAATGATTGGATTTTTGTAATATTAATATTTTTTAATCCCTAGTATGCCATTGTTTCATACTAATAACGTGTATCAATTCTATTTCAATGATCAGATAAAGCAGAAGCAATATTCTCAGGTAGAGGTGTATCAACTAAAAATTGAAAACTGAAAAGCCACTTTTTCTCACTTTTTCCCTCATTTTCGCCTGACATTCTATTGTATTTTTAATCCATTATATAATAACATTATATAATCTTTAATTAGTTGATAGCCTCCCGCCTGACATTTGACGCGGCAAATTAGAAAAGTGTAAAATTTTTATTACGAATGGGAATGTGAACTTTCATAGGGAAACCTTCTTCAAAGAACTTTTTATCAGCAAAGAATTATTTCAGAATCAGACCATACTTACAAGTCTTTAATAATAGTCCTTGAAATCGAATTTTTAAATTACAATTTGGTAGCCGAATAGTATTTTCCGTTTATTAGTTCATATTCAGAAATAATTTACAAGAATATTCACTTTACACCACATAAGATCCATTACAATTGCTAATATCTATCATTATTTTATAAAAAAACATTGAGGCTATAAGTTTGACATACGTCCTTCACAACGCGTATTATATAAGTTGAATTCTCCCAAAAAATAATTACTGAACAAATTGTATATTTAACTTAAATTATCTTTGTAATTTGATTAAGTCTTTGACAGAAAAACGCTCAATATTGCTAATATAGTATTTTCAACTTGTTGAAAATGTTTTTATGCATAAATTAATTTTTATAATTCCAAATTCTAAATAGTAAACAATATTTTTATACATAAGGTGCAATTTTGAGAAAATATATTACTATAATCAAACTTTGTAGAATGGTTATTCCTTAATAAAGGGATATTAGTTTCACGAAATATCAAATATCGATGAGCAAAGTTTATATATATTCTTTTCTATCTATTTATATGCATTATTCAATATATAAACAGGCAAATATTGAAGTAATGGTGTAAATTTAATCTGATGATCCAGAAAATTATGAGGTAGTATATATGTACAACTGCATTATTAAGGTGCCCTATGGATGAACATTAATGGTTGAAACATGTTTAGCTTAGATATGATGGTTCGAGTTGATACACTTCTTCTCAGGTTCCACTTTTTTGGTCTAAAAATGAGTTTCTCCTTTATAAAAATAGCAATGTTATAGTCTAATTATGCAGATGATTACAATATGAAAGATCCTGAGTCTGATAACTTTTTTGACATATTTACGTGTCAATTTTTTGATCTTTCTTTAGATGGAAATCAAAGGGAAGAAAGATTTAATTTTTTCTCTTTTGCATTCCACATCTAAAGAACTTGCAGCAGCTTTTGTTGATTCTTTTAAAAATGACAAGAAATGGAAAGAAAAACTCAAATCAAAACATTTCTGTCAAATGCATCTTCAAGCATTTATATATGCGTTATATAATGAGGACAAAGCTGAAGATACCATCAAAGTTTTGAGAAATTGGCTACTTAATGAAACTGAAATCGATTTCGTTCCAAATGAAGAGTATAATGACTATATAACGCAAATTATATACTTGCTTCCGGATGTTTTGCAAGTAATAGAAAGCAAAAAAGCCTTCAATTTAATTACTATTTTTTCAAATTTTGTTAATGATGTATTCGAAAATCACTTAAAATACCCACAACGAAAATTGAATAAAGTAACTTGGTACGTTTCGATGAAAGCGATATTCGAAATAGTTAATCAAACACAAACAAGTAATATAAGCCAAAAATTCATTGCTTTATTTATTAAATACTATTTCATCACTTATTTAGATAATATGCAAAGCAGAGAAATCATAGAAAACTTCTTAGAATATTTTTCCAAAGGAAATGTTCAAATGGAAGTAAAATTACGTCAATTCATCAGCAGTTTATTCAAGTCTTTCTTCAGTTTTCCGACAGATCCCGTAGAAAGAAACTTTATCGTTCATTCTTTGTTTGTTACGCGAGAAATGCTGAAAGACGACAAAAAACTGGGCGAATACTTCTTCCAGATAGGTATTGATACTATAATCTCAAAGTTTTCGAACCTTGACGATCAATATGTACAAACTTTCAACTTAGATTTTGTATTTGAAATTTTTTCAGAGTCAATATTCAATTCTACGAGCGAAATGGATGATTTTAAGCTTGCTGATAAAATTAATAGTATTGCCAAGCTTTGTTCTCTTGTTTCTCTCGGTCAATTTAATGAATTATCGAAATGGGAAAAAAAATTCATAAAATACCTCAAAGACCAATTCCTACAAGTCATAATTCCTAATATAAACAAACTGATTGTAAAATCTCATGTAGGAATCGGAAATTTGGACACAAGATTGGCAAATCTCATTGCCAGGAAGCCGAACATTGGTTTTGAGCTCAAGGAAATCATTATCAACCTCGCCAGTCTATCAGAAGCTCATTGGATCTACACATTGACGAATTTTATTGAAAATTCTTATTTCCAAGTGAGAAATTTCATCAAAGAGATGAAAGACTTCAATTCTGGCAAGGAAATGAAGGTAGACTTCGACCACTTAGTATGCGATTTGCAATGCTTGGTTCATTGTGCTTTAATGAACGAACCGATTTTATTATGCAACATTGCTCAATACATTGCTTACGAAAACATCACAAAAGAAATGCATGATTCTCCGTCATGCTTGAAACCGATCCTGATGCTTCCTTTCGCTAAATCAAAATTAGTAAATTCCGTAATGGAGATTTTCAGGCTTCATTTGTCTACAAGAGCCAATATTAAGAAATCAGAACCATATATTATATCTGTTTGCATTGTTTTCATTGAATTATCTTATAATTCGACTTCATTATTATTTGATCCTTATTCCTTTTCGAATCTCATTGATATAATGAGCATAGAAGATCCTCATAACGGCAAGAGGGCTTTTTCCGATGATTTCGTGGAATTAACCCTTGATAATCTCCGAACAATTCCAACTGACCCATCAATAGCAAATGAGTTATTGAAACAATGTTCAAAGGTCAAGACATACTCAGTTTGCAATAATTCGATCCTTACTTTCGGCGAAACCGACTCAAAAGATAAATATATTGCAATAATTAGAGGAAGATCAGGAATTAAAGCGTTTGAATTGAAGAACATCCCTAATGATCCTAAAAACCAGAAGCAGGAAGAGCCAAAGAACAAGATTTTGACTTATTCTGAATTAGGACTTGAAAAACCTTCAATTCCGTTTGAAGAATACCCTCAAATGCCTCCTTATTCTATAGATAACCCCGCAATCACGTTTTTGATCAATCTTTCTGCGTTTCATAACATAAAATATGTTGAAAACCCAGATTTCACAGAATATGACAAAAACTGTGAACCTCTACTTTACAAAATATCGTTTGTATCGTTTGATAACGCTTACAACGATCTCCATGTTTTTGATAACATTTCAAAACAAATTCGAAGGACAGCGAGGGCTTCTTTCGAAGTTGTATACGAACATGATGATGACGCGATCATAACTGTTGTTTTCATGAACTATTTGCCAGGATTAAAGCTTTTGGTCGACGAATCAGATACATCGAAGAAAATTTTCATTTCTCCTTGTGGAAACTTCTACAGAGTTGTTTGTAATCATAGGTTCAATGAATTCGAGCGAAATATTAACGCAAACAAGAATTCTAAAGATATGAGTATAAATGACTTCCCAATTAGAAGATTTTCGGCCAAAAACTGTGCAGAATTCATCAGAATATACGCATTTCTTTCAATCTGCTCTGATGGTTATGAACCAGAGAAGAAACTTCCGAAATTCGCTGATGACATGATGAAACAAGACAAAAGAAGAAAAGAAGAACTGGCAAAGCTGATGAAATTAGGAAATGCATCAGTAAATCAAGATCCTATTCTTGATGAACTGAATGAATTACCAAATTTGTTTTAAATACCGTTTTTTTGTTATTATAAATATCTTCTATATTTAAATTATTCATAAATAGTTCTTTGTCAACAAATTTAAGGTATAATATTGCGTTTTTTATTTAATTGAATATTACAAAATAAAAATCCTCTAAGAAGATATGTCTTATATTGTTAAGCATTCAAAAACTCCTTTTTCGACAACATAATTTATCCGATTAGCTCTGATTCTAAAATGAAATTGGTTTGCAAGAGGTGATTATGGAATAATAGCTCTTCTTATTGCAGTAAATAATATTAGTAAAGAAACTTCGAAACATTTTCTTTCATGTGGTACAAATTTTAATAAAAAATTAAAAATGGAGAAACTGCTCTTAATTATGCAGTAAAGAAATTTGAAAAAAGAGCAAATTGATCCGTGCTCGATTTTATAATCTGGACAATACCATGTTAACATTAGTAGAAATTAATGAAAAGAAAGTAATAATCAAAAAGTAATGAAATAGTAGAATATAGATAGGTTGTAAGACACAATGTGTCAGCCTAAGTCGAAATTCGAGATTTTTCAACAAGCATACTAAAAAATATTGATTTTGTTACAGTATAACTAAACAATATAAACAATTTACTACAAAAAAATCTATAATAAAGTTGAAGGATAAATTGCAGTTGTTTGATTTTGGCGATTAGAGTTTCCCAATATCTTTCTTTGGCTAATTATCTTCTCCTGTGTCATGTAGTGCATTCTATTTGAAGCGTTTTCTATATCTTGGTCTGTTCGATTGATTCTTCTCTCTAAAGCAAGCATTTCGCGAGTTCTAGCCATCCAAATACATTCAGATAGCTCTTTATCAACTGACTCATCGTAATAAGGCGGTCTTTTCCTAATTGGTTTTGGTGTTTTAGATTTACTTTGTGATTTCTTTTCCGAAATCGGTTTTTCATCATTTTCAGAGTCTTTTTCATTCAATTGTTGTATTCTAGAGCGTAACATGTCATTAGTATTTGAAACTTTATCTCTGATATCGTATATCGCATCTTCATCAATGTTTGGACTGGAATATGTATTTAATTTGCGTTGGTATTCTAAGATGAGCTTTGCCTGGTTATCCATTTGCTTCTGCATTTTGTCTAAAGCGACTTCTTGATCTCTTTTCATTTCTTCAATTATATTTTCGAAATTTTTATCATTGGTATTGTTTTCTAAGTAATCGATTTTCTCATGCATTTCCTTTAAATCGTTGTATGCTGAATCCCAAGTCTCTGCATCGGGAACCAATGAAACAAACTTAAGATTAATGGCTTCTAGCGCATCTGCTCTGTTCTTTTGATCTAATAGTTCTTGTTTTGTACGTTCAAGTTCTTTTTCCATAATATCAAGTAATTTTGCTTTTTCTTTTCCTTCATCTTCGAGTTCTTGTATGCGTTTCTCACGATGTTCTTTGTTTTGAACAAGAAATCCAATTGATTCTGCTGATATTGAGCTTGTATTAACTTGGTTTGAAGAAATCGGACTTTTTATTTGAATTAGATCTTGTATTTTAGCTGTAATTAAGCGTTTCAACTCTTCTTCGTCATTTTCGTTAATGCCTAATTGATCTGCAATGGATTTCAGGAAATTTGATAAATTTTCTGAATGATGAACAACGCTTTTCTCATGTTCAATCATCAATTCTGCATTAATGTTATCACTGTTGCTTTCTTGGATCTGGTTATCTGTTATTAAGTCAAAATCTTCCTCTTCCTCTGTTTCGAAATCAAAACTTTCTGTGAAGCTTCCAGTATTTTCATTGTCTATTGGTAATGCCTTTTCTAATGAATTCGTTTTTGAATCGAGTCTATTCTTGGACATAATTCACAAACGAATTTTTATTTTAGGGGCAGTAACTAATAACACCCCCAATTAAAAATAAGAGTTCAAAATTTTGTCACTTTTACAAGGATTTTAATGATTTTGGTCATTTTTTTCTTTTTGTTCTCCTTTGGAGGAGCCAAAAAGAAGAAAAAGTCGAAAAAAGACGATTCAATTTTTAATAAAGTGAACAATGAAGAAGAAAATGTTGCGCATTTACCAAAAAGAACAGCATTACCAACACCAACGCCTCTTGCAACATCCACACCATATCCTACACCTACTAAAACGCCAATAGAATGGAAAAGACTCGTAGATTTTGACAAACTCAAACCAAAAGTTTTAGCAGATTTTATAGACTTTGTTAAACCAACACCATATCCATCTCCTACGCCTGTTCCACCTGAAACACCTGCCCCAACTCCATATCCTACGCCATCACCATCATATAACAAGTATTGGTATCTTTACCAATTAAGGCCTCAAGAAGACACTAAAATCACTGATGAATACGACAATATGCCATCTACATCGACTTCTGCACACAAACCACATCATTTTACACGCACTCCTGTTGCTACTCCCGCTCCTACAAAAATTAATTTGACAGAGCTTGAAGAGCATGGTCTTGATCTGTTTCAAATCAAACTAGGTAGTGATTCAGACTATTACAATGAGAATACAACAGATCATTTCCCAGATGATATATTTTTTGAAGGAAAAACGCATAAAAAGAAAGAACTTGCAAAGAACAAGAAGAGAAAACGCATTTATAATACAGATGACAAGATTACATGTCATAGATCTGCAAAATTAGTCGATGATACTTGTATTTGCCAATTTGGTCTTGTTGGCGATGGATACAATCAGTGCATATTCCCTAAGCCAAGCATAGTATCAATCAAGCCAAGGAGGTTGAGTTCGATCGTCAGAACAAAAGTTACGATCAAATTGGCAAAAACGAAGTTTATCCCTCAAAGTGTCTTTTGTATGGTCGGGACAACGATTATTCAAGGTGAAATCATCAGTGAAACGAAAGTTCAATGTGATGTAGCACCAAGAATTGGAAGATCAAGGCTAGGAGTATCATTTGATGGCAAAACATGGGATAAGGAAAAGATTCCTATTATATTTGAAAGAAAATTTATTGCTTTCCTTAGAATTTTTATTAATTTTTCCAATACTCTCATTGTATCGGTTATTATTATAGGATGTGCAATTTTTTACAGATTTTATTATCTGAATAAGGTTGCTGAACGAATTTTGAAAGAAATTGAAGCTCAAAAAAGATTAGAAGAAGAAAGACGAATAAAGATATCAAAGAGAAGAAACAAAGCTAAAAAATTGTCTGAAAGAAAGCAAATTCTTCAAAATTCTTAATATATTGTTAATAAATTTTGTTTGTATTTTTTTATTTCAAAAACAAGACTTTTTCTTTTATACAACCTCATGTCAGATTGATATAATGTTACTAGAACGAACTATGATCCAATTATCAAATCCAATATTACTAATTTTGAGTTTATATGGTTAATTGCACAGTGGAATATGTTTAACTATATATGAAGATGTTATATTATGAATATTGTATTGTTTTATGTTGATTGCTATTTTTTGATTTCAAATGATTTCTTCTGTTTTCCGCAACGCCTCGGATGTTAAATTAGGAATATTAAATATGCCAATAGACCTAGTTCTAGTTAGACATGGTGCCGCCGAAGGAAATATCGCTTTTGCTCAAAGTAGAAAAGGTAATGATGAATTATTTACTGATAAATTCATGGAAAGACACGAATCAAAGTGGAGACTTACACCAGAAGGAAAGCAGCAATCAATCATTACAGGAAATTATATAAAGCAAAACATTTCACCGATATTTGGCGCATATATTGTGTCAGAATATATTCGTGCGATGGAAACAGCAGCACTTCTCAACCTCCCTAATGCTCATTGGATAAAAAATGGTTTCCTTAGAGAGAGAAATTTCGGCGATCTTTCTGGACTTTCTTATCGTGAGAGAGAAGAAAGATTTTCACGTGCACTTGAATTGAGAAAACGTGATGCATTCTACTGGAAACCTCCGTCTGGAGAATCTCTCGCTGATCTTGCTTTAAGAGTTGATTATATCATTGGTTCTATACAACATATGTCCCTTACACCTAGTTCGGTTATAATAGTAACACATTTCAATGTCATGCAGCTATTCCGTACAAGAATTGAGAGAATTAGACAGTCTCATTTTGAAGAAAAATTAATTAAAGTTCCAGAAGAGCTCAAAATCAAAAATGCAGGAATAATTCATTATACTCGTAAGAATCCAAAGAACGGAAAAATCGCAGATACTTACCACTGGAGAAGAATCATAACTCCTTGGCATAGAAAGCTATGCAATCCGCCATGGACGGAGATTAAATATGGATATCTTACAAATGAAGAAATTCTTAATGAACTTGAAGATAAAAACAAGGTTTCAATTAAGAACGAATGAATAATATAATATTTTGTTTGAAATGTTAAAATAAATACTTTAGTAATTACTTTACTTTCTATTTTCATGATAAATGTATATATTAAAACATATTTTATGATGAATTTCAATTTTATGATTTCAATTTCGATATCATTCAAATAATTTACAGGAGAAAGTGATCAAATAATAAATCTAAATTCTTGTGCACTATTTAAAATAGTAAAAAATCTTTTATTTTTGCAATAAATTAAAAATTAATTTGAAAATCATGAATTTTTTTTAATGATTTTTTAAATATTTTTTGAATTCGAAAAATGAAATTATGAGAATTAAATAATATGAGCTAAAAAGCGATGTTTTAAAATTTGATGATTGAAATTAAAAAAGTGACAATATAAAACGGTTATGGCTGGACATTTCTCATAATGGAAACAGTCATTGAACACGGTCTTCATCAGATTAACCTTTCTGGCAATGTTGCTAAAGGCATCAGATGCACAATCAAAGCTATTCTCAAGGGCAAAGCTCGCCTTGTCCTTTTAGCCGACGATTGCGAAAACAAAGACTACAAGAATCTCGTTGCCGGTCTCTGCAAGAAGCACAATGTCAAACTCCAGACTGTCGAGAAGAAGGAACTTCTCGGTAGGGCTCTCGGTCTCACCCATTTCAAGGCGGATGGTTCCGTTCGTCGTCAAATGAATTGCGGTGCATGTGCGATCATCAGATACGGCTCTGTTGATACTCAGGAATTAGACGAATTCCGTAAGGCATTCGATCCTGCTGTGGAAGAGCAAGCTTAAAGATGACCATATTGTTTTAACGCATTCACGTGCTCGAGAACCCTTGAGTACTCAATTTTTTTTACTTTTTTTTTCAAATATATATCAAAATATTTCATTTCTGCTTTATATTCCAAAATCTAATTATACATAGCTTTCAAAATTTACTGAGGGAGTAATTATGTTTTCCTTTCGTATTTTTTGATTGCTAATTATCATTATAATTCAAAAATGAAATTTTAGAGTGTAATTTTATTGGCATATTTTTTGCTATATTGATATTTTGTATAAGTTTTTAAGTAATTTTGATTTAGAGTTGAGTTTTATCGAATGCAAATCAAAATTATTTTTGTAAACAATAAATAATAAATATTTAGTATGCAAAACTTACATTAAGATCTAATGAAGATAAAAGCAGATTAACAACAACAAGAAATTAGTTTTTTTTTTGCATATTAAACATAAAAACCTGGGTATTGGCAAAAACATTTACTACTCTGAAATGCTTTATATTCTTAAGCTGAAATCATGGGCTGTATCGTTAGGGTTGGCTTTAGTTTTGATATTGTGATAAAATTTTCGAGGCTTTTACGTGAAAAGGAATTGATTCCTACCGCTCAATCTGCTTTCTGTTGAGTTGCTTTCGAAGTTTGGCTTTGTGAATTTCGATCTAAGTATGATGACATTTTTTTGCGATTATTTCTTTTCTGCTATGTATGATATATTATTGCTATGTATGATATATTATTGCTATGTATGATATATTATTGCTATGTATGATATATTATATCTGCTGTATGAAATCATTAATGGTTAAAGCAAAGACCATGATTTCGTATTAGTTCAGAAACAGAGAAAGGAAGTTCTATTTAATGATTTTTTTATGTCATTTTTTTTATACGCAAAATCATTTTCAATCTTCAAGGATTGAATTCACATATTCAAAACGAAGTTAACAATGAATTGTACCAACTGAATAACTCTAAAACAAACACAAATTATATCAAAACTCAGTTTAAATACGCAAAATTCAAGAAGAAGAAGCTCATGGTCAGACTACTTTGGCGATACTACTAAACTAAACAAAACAAATGATGGAGAGTCACTTTATAACACCACCGGCTCTTACAATTTTTATGTTTTCATTTGTTTCTTCGAAGACTGTAAAGACAACGGTGCAATATACATTTCAAGAAATAACGAAATCTGCACATTACTTGAAGAAACCGCATTTAATAACTGCAGTTCCACCTCAAATGGTGGATCTCTTTACTATAATTGTCAAACAGACGGCCAATTTGTTCAACGACGAACTTGTTATTATAAGTCAATAGCAATATATTGGTATTTGTCATTTTGTCAAGCAGTAAAATCATCGGCTTCTAATAAAAATTACGCTTTTGAAGTTTCAGTTTCTGAATGCGGTGAAAATGAAACAAAAGGAAGTTCTACAATTGCTATTGGACATGGTGATATTCATATTTCGAATTTCAACATTACAAACAATAAATGCAGTCAATATTCATCACATTATAGTGTTCTTGATGGTAGTTCAGGATCCTGTAATTTTTCGAATTTCGAAGGAAATAATCAAACTGATAGTCAGTCACTATATTTTTGGAGTAATTCAGATTCATTAACTCAAACAGTCTCTTACTGCAATGTTATTGGAAATAAATGCGAAACAGACAATAATAAAGTTCTATTTAGTTGTTGGTACACAACTAATGTTGATCACTGCGTATTTTTAAGAAACACTGCAAAAGACATGTTTCAACAATATTATTATAGTTCCACTTTGACTATTTCAGAATCATATGTTGACCCACAGTCAGTAACAAGTACAGTAGGATCTGTTACATTTACTGATCTAAAACAAAACTACGATTTAAATCCTATTTCTAATTTTTACACCGAAAATTGTTTCATCGATAAAAATATAATCTCAAATAATATATCTTATCTTTCGAAATTTTCAACAGCTGCATCTTCTGTATTATTTTCATCAAAGAAATAAAAATTCACCATTATGAATATAAATTATATGAATTTCACTATTTTTCTAAATGAGACATGAATTAATATCCTGCTGGCGGATACACAAGGAAAGGTCGTTACTATTATCGTAGAGGGCAAGAAAATAAACGTCTTCCTACTCCCTACAATACTCATCTACATTTTCGCGAAGTTAAGTATATAGGTGTTGAGTAAAGTGTGCAACATCGAGCGGTACGAGATGGTTGTAAACAATATTATCTTTCAAAATTTAGAGATAGGAAGGGTGGCTATAAGAGCTTGAAGTGAGTAGCAACCGATTGCCTAATGACAGCGGAGAACGTGGGAAACACAACTATAGACATAATCCTCAATGTCTACAAGCCACGTGCTAAAGTCACAACCTCCAAATTGGGGAGTTGCAGTGGAATACACATTGATTTCATATTTTTTTCGTTCTTTTTGCTCAATTTTTTCTCCTTTTTACAAATTATGTTCAAGGTTTCAAAAACAATATTCTGCGTCTAGGCTGCTCAAGTTACCAAGGATACAGTTTAGAATTCAGATGCGTCAATGATCACTGCTCAAAATGCAAATATATTTTAAACTACATTACAGATGCATATAAGGAAAGTTACATAATCAGATACTGTCAGAAATTAAATGATATTTGCATGCATAAACCAGGTATTGAAATTAAATAGCAGATTCTATTATATCTAATCATGAAAAAGGATAGAAACATAATTTCTTGTTTGGTAGAAGCTATTAAAAAACTTTAGAAGAGATTTCGTATTTCCCTATATTTCATATATTTTTCCTGAAAAATCAAAAACATCTAGAACTAAATGATCATTATTGCAATCATTTTTGCCTGTTTGGATTAATTTGAATGATATAAATTTGTCATCTGTATTTAATGAAAATTTAGGAACTTCTCCTTCTCTTATATTTGAATGATTTACTTCATGAATGACTTTTGTTTCTCCGTTAATAGTAGTACCTTCAACTCTCCATGTTTGAAGATGGACAGCACTCCCTGACTTAAAACATACTCTAATAATATATTCAGTAGGCTGAATTGCATAGTTTTGCTTTATCTTCCATTGAACCCATGAATTAGGAATATTATTTGTTAAGAAATAAACACCATCTCTATATTTATTAATAACATCAACTGAGTGACCACTAGAAATAGATGATGCAGACATTTCGACATTGCCGCTTTCGAAATAATTAGTAACTGATTTAAATATTATTTTCTTTCTATCTTTAGAGCTGCGATTCTTGATTCTCAATAATGAATCACCAAATGAGTTTACAATATTCTGGTAGTTATTCACATTTGTTAAATTTTGGATATCTTTAATAGTTTGTTCATTACAGAACTCAAAATAAATGTTTTCAATCAATGGATAAAATTCGATGCTTTCTTTAGTAAGAGAAATGATAAAGTTTGCGAAAGAATCTTCGTCATCAAGTTCAAGCTTATCATTGCTAAATAATTTTTGAAGAATGTCAATTCCAAGTTTTTTCGAAATTGATTTGAGCTGATCTTTGTGAATTTCATAGAAATGTGATGAAATATAATCAATACATTCTAAAATCTTTTCATTTGACGAAATATCGAAATAAAATTCAAGTAATTTAACGCAATTATTTTCGTCAATTTTCATTTGATCAATAATGTGTGTTTTATATAAATTTGTCAGTTCTTGTATTTCAAGAGCCATTCCGATATGAAAGAGGTCTTGCAAAATTGTTTCGTTGCATTCAATTTCTGTTTTATTGTATTGAAGAATATCTTTTATAATATTGTACGTATCTGCTGATTTTACTTCAGTTTGTATATTAATTTTAGCTACATCATTATCTAAAAGATATTGCGAATAAAATGTTTGCGAAATTGCAACTGCAAATGACTTTGTGAGAACAATTTCAACATTGTTAATTGTTAAAATAACTTTGTCATGTGCCTGGTAGTTATTGATTCTCTGCAGAATTTGGTTATTGAGTTGAATCAAAACCATTTTTTTTTGTAAAATTTTCTCTTCGTGACTTAAATCTAGAAAATATACTTATCGATATGTTTCACAAAGATAAGGTCGAGGTTACATAATTATTGTTAGTAACCATATGTCGCTTATAAACAACAGACAAAGATCATCTAATGCTTTATTTCAGTCAATGGTGACTTTCGGAGATTTTATGCTGCTTGTAGAAAGAATTCATGAATAATTTTAATTTAATTTTCAATAGTGAAGTCTTCTAAGTCATCTATTTAATTATCTTAGATATCGAGGGTTAGATAAGGTATGAAGACAAAAACCATGATAGAGAGTCTGAATTTGCAATGATAAAATATGTAAATATACATCACATCAATATTTTTAATAAAATAATTTCAATAACAAACAAAAACAAAATCAAATAATCAAAAAAATCAAAAAATCAAAACAAAGTAAAAAATAAAGAAAATTATTGAGAAGAAATTAACTGTGGTAATGGATTAAATGTCTGTGATTGTGTATTTCCAAGTGAAATATCTCCATAAATGACATTGCCTTCACTACCAATATGTGCTGTTGGTGGAAATCCAAGTTTGACTGCTTGTGAACGACTGATTTGTCCAGTGACAGATGTACGCGGTCTTCCACAGAAAAGACAAACTTGACCACGCTTTCCGGCTGAACACTGTGTTTCATTTTGGCTGCTTTTGATAATTTTAGCCAGTTCTTCAACATCTTTCAATGATGCGAATCCGGAGATATTTGATGCCAATGTGTTGACGTTTTCGTTCAATCCGTTGATGATAGTACGGAATTTGTCAAATAACCGTTCAACAAATTGGCGGTCGACCTTACGATCAAGAGAACTAAGACATTCAACGTTGGTCTTCTTAAGATCGTTACAGTTCTTTTGGTAGTTATCAAAATCAAATTCTTTCTTAATTTGGTTACAAACTAATGAAACAAGCTCGTTCTTATCATAAGTGTTAGGAACTTGCATCTTCTGAATCTCAAGCATAGAATTACTTGCTGAAACTTGTTCTGAAATCTGACTACTAGTTTGTGATGTAGAAAGAGGTTCATGGATGTTGTTATGTGACTCCAAGATTCGGATCCTTGTGATCAACTGTTTGATCTTACGGTGGCAATCTGTGACAACAGTGTTTTGTGTTTCAAATTTCTGTTTGAGATCTTCCAGTTGTGAAGGATCGAATGTAATAGTAGCTGTGATAGGTTGTGATTCTTGTTGTTCTGCAGTTGTTTCTTTACGATTGAATGAAACTTTTTGTGATAAATCGCGTTCGTTGATTTCGGGATGTTCGTCATCGGAATTGTTATTAGTTTTAGATGTAGATAATCGCTGGATTTCTTCTTCAAGATTGGTGACTTTTGTAAGTAAGGTGTCGATATCTGCTTGAATTGAATCAAGAAGAATGTCGTTTTTAGGTTTCGTTTCCGTGGACTTGATTTCTTCATGGCCCTTAGACAAAATAATGTACTTTTCGTAAATACTTTCGAGTTTTTTGTTCATCGAGTTTATTTGCTTTTGTTGATTCTGTAATGTATCATAGCCATGGTATATACTGTCTGGGATCTTCTGTTCATTCGTTATTTTGTAGAGATCTTCGATTTGAAGGTTTACGTTTTGAATTTGTTCGGAAAGTGATGTTTTTTCAACACCGATTTGGAATAAGCAGCCATCAAACTGTTGGTTAATGTATTTCTTGATTTCCTTCTTGTCTTTATCGATTTGTTGTTTAATTTCGTTGATATGAATTGAATTTTCTTGGGAGTTATTATCAATTGTATCAACACGGCCCTGTACATATGCTTTTTCACGATCGAATAATTCTTTCGGGAGTAATAAAGGAATTTGCTTTTCAAGCTGTTTAATTCTGTTATCTTGATTTTTGATGTGCACATTCAGCATTTGAATTACAGAGGAGACAGACTTCATATCTAACTCAGCACGGAGTAGATTATCATTCTGTATAATGTCATTCAGGTTATCTATCATCTTCTTGTGCTCCACAACTTTACAAAATTGCACGTTACTAATTGCTCTTAAATTTTGATCCGATTTTATTAGCATCATTAATAAGTATAACTAATAAACATATTTTTCTCTGACAAAGTTAATTTTATGCATAAATGGAGAAATTTTGAAATCTTTGTCAATAATTCTTCCATTGATTTTATGATCGATTAAACACTTCTAGTACACAAATTAATATTCATTTATTTTTGATTCATGATTTTGTAATTGAAAAATGATTTCAAGAAAATTACGTAGAGAAATAAGGATAAGCTATCAGAAAAGCTTATCTAGCTCTACACTAACCTAAAATTAACGTACTTCATAGGAAATATAGAAAATAAAATGCTCATTTAATCTTTAAGCTTCAGTATATATTTTTCATATTTCGTTATGGACAGAATAGTTATATGGGGTAATGTTATTTTAGTCAATGACTAATATCAAGGGAAAACAATTTTCGTGAATTCAATTATAGAATAATTCTTACAACAAAGCATTAACTATAGTTTTTTTAGTTATACACAGTTTCAGTCAGTTTCAATTTATAACTTTTTATTAAACAATAAAGAAAATATAAACATAAATTAAATGATGCAGCATCATATGAATTAATTGATTTCAAGAGTTCTTATGGTAGTCTTTTCAATCATATCTGCAACTTGCTCAGATGTTTCTTTGGCGTTCTTTTCACAATAATAACCAAACTTTGATATGTGTTCCCATTTTCTCTTTTCACGAGCCATGAGATAATATCCAGCTTTGAATTTTCGATTCTGCAATAAAGCATCATCAAGTAATTTGGATTTCATGTTTTCCTTGGCTTCAACTCTTTGTAATCTAATCTCGTTAAGTTGTGCATCCATTGAAAGACCATGATTTTCTGAATCTTTATCTTCAATTTCATTTTGAAGTTCAAAGATTTGTGTTTTCAGTTGAATATTTTCAACTTTGATTTGTTCTAATTCATCTTTTAGTTCTTTGATTTCTTGAAGGTATCCAGATGATTTTCGGCTATATTCATTAAGATCCTGCATTGATTGCTGTAGTTTAGATTCCAAAGAGAATACATTTTGGCTCAAAACTTTATTCTGAGTAGAGTAGTAATTAATGCTTTTTGAATTCAGATAAATATCTTTTGAATTTTGTATCTCTTTCTTCAAATCATCATTTTCATTATTTAATCTTTCAATCAAAGTTGTATTGGCTAACAAAGAAGATCTTAACTGATCATTTTCTGATGTGAGTAGACTAATTTTCCTTGAATTATACTCACCTTCTTTGTTAAGTTCTGCAATTTCATTATAAAGATTTTTGATTTGATTTGAAAGTTTAGATTCATTACCTTTAACTCGATTATTTTCCATTTCTGTTTGATTGCTAGTTTCTGCGAGCTCAGCAATCTTTTTCTTAAGTTGCTCATTTTCTTCAACAAGAAAATTCTGCTTGATTTGCAGCGAGTTAATTAGACTTTGCTGATCAATACGACTTTCTTTTTGAAGATTATTAAATTCGCGGTTTGAATGTGCAAGTGACGATGAAAATACATCAATAAAATGAGAGTTCTTTGTATAAAAGTAGTTAAATACATATAATGTTGTTTCAAGTGTGCTTTTGTTGGATGATCTTGTTAGAGAAGTTGAAATTAAAGGTAAAAGTTGCGTTTGAACAGCAATTTGATCGAATCTAGATTCCCAATTTAGATTTTCTCGAATACATTGGATAATGAGATTGCAAAAGTAAATGGAAGATATCAATTGTGAATCTTCAATTAACTTCATGAATAATACGAAAATTTGATTAGAATTCTCGTTCAATAAAAGTTTCTCATTAACTGATAATCCATTAGACATCACATATGTCATAATAATAAAAACTAATGATTCAATCTTCATTTCTGATAATGTCTGAAAATTATTAATGAGCATTTGCAATGAATCCGCAAATATATGAGATTTATTAATATCTGAATAAAATTCTGGCTTATTTAATGACAAGAGCTGTAAGAAATGTCTAATTCCTACAGCAATAAAATCATATTGAGTGTCTTTCATCTTGTTGAGTAATTCTGTAATGTATTCTGATTTTTCTACTATAAATGCAATTCTTGAATGGTATGTTTTCATTTCAGTCAATAATTCAATGATATTATAAGAATTGAATCCATCATTTTTCAAAACGCTAGATAAAATAAGTTTAAGATTATTATCATCAATTTCATAGGATTCACATAATTCAAGTATAACTTTTGAAGCCAAAGAAGTTGTTGGAAGATATAATGATTCATTTTGCAACATTCCAATTGCAAAGTGAACAAAAATAGAGGCAAGTTGCCTATTTTGAGATAATTTAACATAGGCTGCAATCGAAGACAACTGAAGATAAATATCTTGAGAATTTGTATACTTTTCAATTCTAAAAAAGAATTCAGAGTAATCCGTTCTAGTTTTCATTACACCTATTGAAAATGCATGGTAATTTAAGCATTGTGCAATAATTGCACAGCCCCAAGCAGATAAATTCGAAAAGTTGAAAATAAATTTCACATGATCAAATAAGTATTTACACGATTCTTGTTGAGTAACTAGTAATGAAGGAGATGAAACAATAGCGTAAATGAATTTAACAAATGGAAGTAATTGCGTTGCATCGACCTGTGAATATTCAGTATAATCGATATTATTAAAAATTCTATGTAAAATCGATTCAAATTGTATGTTTGTTGCAAGAAAATTTTGCATTTCTGGACTTATTTGCGAAATTTTTATTAAAAAATCGAGAATTTTATCTTGATTTGAAAGCTTTGGAATTGATATGATTTCTTGTCCAATTGTAAGAAGCAGGTCGTGAACTAATGCAAGAAAATGCTGAAAATGATCTAAATTTTTGTTGATATATTTGCAAAATTCGTTCCAATCTAGTAATTCGATAAACAATGCTAATTTTCTTTGCATTTCTGAACTACTGATAGTAGCATCTGCTAAAACCGGGATTATTTCTAGTAGAGATTTGCTCATTTTTAAAAATTTCTTAACGTACACTTCACAATTGAAAAATGAGTTTTCTATCTTTAGCTGAGCATCATATCATTGCTTGAAATGCAAATTGTCAACTGTTATTAGATATTTTAATAGTGTAATAAACAGAAATTCATCAAAAGTGACAGCTCTCAATTTTTTGACATTTGTAAATTCTAAATTGAATGAGAAAAATGAAATAATACTAAGCATAATACAATATTCTAGATTTAATTATAATTAGGAAAAAGTTAGTTTTGAGAGTATTTTTCATAGGCATATAGAATGAAATCTTCTGAAAAATAATATCACATAAACTCATATTATTTTCTAATATATAACTATTTTATATAAAAATCAAATTCAATGATCTTAAAAGCGAAGGATAAACCTCAAAAATTACGAATATAATGAGTGGGAATATAATGCTTATCTATCATAAAACCATATGAAATATCAATTTTTGCTTTACGCCTAATTTTTGACGACAATTAGCAAAAAATGTTAAATGTTAACACTCAGTCCATTTGAATATGAAAAATAAAATTGACTTTGATTAAATGTTTTTATTTATCATGCAATTCTTCTTGCGACCAAAGATTTGAATAAAAGTTCAAAAAATAAGATAGCTTAAAAAATAATATACGGTAGTGCTTACTAATAGATGAATAGTATATAAATTCTATTAAAATGGATTTGATCCAAAAAAATATATAAAATTTGATCATAAATAAAATCGTTTTAAATTACTTCTTCATTTAAATTATAACAATTATTTTTGATTTTATATTTTTTGAAATTTGCTAAAATATTTTTTTCAAATTGCAAGTAGTATCGCTTTTGCATGAACATTAAGAGAAAAACTATAAAATTAAATAAAGCCTCAATAATATATTTAAAATATAAAACAAAAAATACAAAATTAGAGTTTCAATCTCCAAATGTTGACATTGGTTGAAGTAAAGCATTAGATGATCTTTGTCTATTGCCTGCAAGTGACAAATGGTTGCCAACAATAAGTCTGTAATTGCTGGATTTGTTCAATTCATTTCCATTTTCTGAAGATTCAGGATTCAACAAGTTTGCAAGCGAATTTGATCTAACAGAGAGCCTTGGCAAGTTCTTAGTTGGATTTTCTCCGTCTTCTTCTTCAAACGGAGAAATAATATTATGATCAAATCTAATTGTTGCTTGGTTGTGTGATATTTCACTAATCCTGTATAGAGGAAGTCCGGAAGCAGTTGGAACATCACGAGTTAAGAGTTTTTTGCCTGCCAATGTATTTCTTGCGGAAGAGAACTTTTCGTATTGAATCCAAGGATGCCCTAGTACCTGCTTCAAAGTCCAGCGCTGGGATGGCTCTAGAACAAGCATTTTTGAGATTAAATCTTTGCAATCATCAGATAAGTAACTTGGAAATGTAAATTCGCCGTGAATAATTTGGCTAAGCATTGCCGATGTATTTTCTGTTCTCCAAGGGTGTTCTCCTGTAACAATTCCGAAGAGAATGACACCGAGTGACCAAACATCGCTTAATCTGCCATCATATGCTTTCCTTTGGATGATTTCTGGGGCAGAATATATTGGTGATCCACAAAATGTTTGCATGAGCGTTGATTCTTCAATAAATCCGCAAAGTCCAAAATCTGCAACCATAACTTTAGGGAATTTATCGATAAGTATATTTTCTGGTTTTAAGTCACGGTGAGCTATGCCATTAGAATGGCAAAACTCTACAGCTTGAACAATTTGATTAAAAACTAAAGCAGCTGTTGGCTCATCAAGACGCTTTTTAGAAACAACGTAGTCAAATAATTCTCCTCCATGACAGTAATCCATGACAAGGTAAAAATTATCTGAATCATCAAAAAAGTCATGAAGAGCGACGAGTCCAGGGTGCTTAATATAAGCCATTGCATCAATTTCGCGCTGAAATTCTCTCTCCTGCTTTTCCGTTTGCAGATTTGATTTCGGATAAACTTTTATTGCATAGGCACGGCGATCCAGCTTATTAAATACTCTAAATACTGTTCCATATGCACCATGCCCTACTTCTGCAAGTACGTTGTACTGTTTTATTGATTTGGGCATGTTGACAGTTGTTTTCTTCGACATTGATAAAGTTTGTAAAAAATTTTCTGCGTGATAAACGCAGTTGATATGTTATAGAAAATGTTTAATATTATAAAATAAAATCTCCGTAGAGGTAGGGCAACGATAGAAAATTTTTGGAAAAAAAGTTCGGAGATCTTAAACGTATCATATTCCCTGCATGGTTTGGTATCTTCCGCCATGCGTTGTGCCAAACATATTGACACTTTCCAATAATTAATTTATGGTATGAGTCACAGAGTTAGATTATAAAAAGAAAGTAAATAATTGCAATTAGAAATCATATATGTCGGAAATCAAATGTTGATGAGCAGAAACCTTTTACTCATCATAAAAGAGATAAATCACTAAAGATTTGTATACATTAAAATTTGATATTTGGTGCTCGAAAACTGTCTGATGGGACTCCTCCAAAATGAACCAATCTATCGCTGAGGACCAAATTAGATGATGTGGATGGTGTATTCTCTAATTCTAACTTAGGAAGAATGGGAACAAAACGAATGACGACAACAACATGTCAAACATAGATTAAATATCTATGAATCAATAAAGTATACGTGCATTGAAGGTGATAACGATCACTTGAGGCTTATAACTCTTTGACTAAATTATGCAATAATTAAATATAATCATTTTTATATTTTTATACTGATAGTAATTAATATACTATCCTGCTTAATAAATGGTATGATCAAATTTGTTTGAAAATTTAATTATGTATATGAAACTATGTCTTCTATATAAAAATCAAAATTTTCGGACGAACCTAGATTGAACCTTTATGAAAATCTATCATTTTTGTTAATTGAGTTAATATGAATCTTTTACATATGTATATATAGCATTGATAGCTTATATAATCATGGTTTATTCCATATTAACATATTTTTTCAGTTAAATTTGTTAATAATATCATGTAACAAATTAATTCAAGATTAGAATGTCTACAAAATGCTAACAAATAAGAACAAAATACGATTTCTCGACTTAAATTTTAATATGGAGTAGTTTTTCGTTTAAATCTAATTAAAAATGAATAAAAACTTATCTTGTACTATTTTCATTCAAAGATTTTAATAATGTAAATCATGCATTTTCATAATTCAGTACAGTTCTTTTTAGAATTAAAGTTGATGAGGATGATATTTGTGATTTAAAATAATTTGTTAATGTTCACCTTTTATTCATCACCTTGTGGTATGCCCTAAAGCAATAGCATTATCAATTCTGCTGAATTGATCAACTCAAAATTCCAAAAAAAATTCAAAATTTCAAAAATGAAATTAAACAATTTGAATTTTCACATGAAAAAATCAATTTCGAAAAAAATTTGGAAAATCAAAGTATTTGATAATTAGTCAAATAATCAATTTACATCGTTTTTACTCATAAAAAACAACTAATTTTTGATTTTGATATCATATTTGATAAATACTCATTCCAGAGTTGACGTAATGTATTAATTATTGTTAGAGATATTGCTTTCGCAGCAAAATTCTTATTTCATGAAAGAAAAAAAAATGATTTTATTCCAACAAAAACAAGTAAACAGATGAATGGAAACGTACTATATTTTCATAAATGTAGTAATCAGCGTGTCAGCTTTTGTTTATCATGTTCGAGTCAAAATGTATTAACTTGTAATAAGAAATATTCGAAGATTATATGAAGTATTGAGCATTCTTTGTAGAAATATTTGTAATTCATTACTAACATATATAATAAAGTTGTTTTTTTTTCCTTATTGCAATAATTTTGTCTGATTTTAATAACTTTTCATGTATACGAGTTGTGTGAATATGCATCATAATATGCGTAAATATACTTATTTGCGACGAATAATGTGGTTGCATAATGGAGGTGCTAAATTTTGATTTTTAATATGGGGCTTTGGTATGTATAATCATGTTCTTATCTCAACGTAGGAGTATTGGTGCAATATGATTAAAATTTACGAGGTTGATCTTAAATTGAATAATTCTGGAGTATAAATCACAATGCAGCTAATTCTATGTTAAAGATAGATACAGATTGTAGTAATCAATTAGGGAGTACAAATTCATTCTTTCATTTCTGTCGTATTGAGCAGAAAGGAAGAGATCATAACCCTAGGAAAAAAAGCCCAAATTTGTCACTTTTCATAGTACGTTAAACTCAATTCGCTCGGCGAATGCCGAGCACACGTACTCATCATTCAACATAATATTCTCATTCTTTGGTTATTATAGTGCCAGACAACACAAGATTTCAAAGAATTACTTGAGTTTTCAATTAATCTTAATCCGATTTTAGATTTATCGAGAACTCCATCATCACAATCACATACTTCAGTGCGGTAACTACAATTATCCATATACAGAAGGAAGTTCTTTTCGAACAACTCATTTGGAGTCTGTTTTGGAAAGAACTTCTTTCTGTCCGACTTAATTTCATAGTTCCTGATCAACCAAAAGACAGAAACCACACACTATCTACTTAGGAAAGGAGTTCTTTCTAAATCTTCCTTAAATTGAGATTTTACGAGAGATAACCCTTCTATTGCACTTAAAAATGAACATTTTGATATCTTTAGTATCACACATGGTCATATATAGTATTTCATCTACATGAATACATTCATCTTTCGAAGTCTCTCATTAAATGGGAGGCTTCGAAAGATGAATCGTTTTATTCATACAACTTTAAATCTCGAACACATTTAGAGAGTGAGTATATCATTTTATTCTTGTTTTGAGTTTATTCTGATTCAAAATTGCAGTGAAAACAGAAGTTCACACATCATATCTGAATGTGAGCTCATCTATACTTATACGATCTCAATACCTCCACTCTAAGCATAAGAGGTGAAGTTATATAAAAATTATCAGATGCGTTGAAGTCTCAAAAGTATTGCCTGAATGCTTGTTTCATATTTGTCCAAGTAGTTTCAATGAATAAATGTATTGTTTTTTATAATTTCGATTTATTTTTAGAAAATATTCAATATAAACCTTTATTGTGTTATTTACATCTCATAAATTCTCTGTCTAAATCATATAAAAGCGCGTTTTACCCCTATGAATCAAGAAATTCATTCAATATTCATGGTATATTTATTAAATTTATACGATTTACTAATAATCAATATTATATCCTCATAAATAGCAATATATTTTGGTAATCTATGATAATCATATACAATATTTGAAATCAAATTTTCATTAGTTTAGGTTCCTTGTTAATAGTAAACCATTATATTTATTACTAATAATAAAATCTATATGTCGTATTGAAATTCAATAAAATTACTTATTCGGTCCAAAAAAACAAATTAGATAAAATTTTTCTTTTTTTATGTAATTTTTGTTTTTCATTTTTCTCAAGATCCTAAGTTATGTTCTAACTTTTGACATCATATCCTATCATGCTAGGCTATATATTATAGCATATCCAAAAGGCAAGGAAATCTATCAGAGAAGCCTTTTTGACCTATCGTTGCCCTACCTCTATCTCCGTTTATTTGGGTCTATTCAAAAATTTCAATAAGCAGACACATTTTGAATATGTAAATTTGGAGAATTATCGACACATTTTATTAAACTAGGGTTATTATTTGATTTAAAATTTATTAGAAATTTCATATTCACACAGAATTAATTATTAAGTCTCATCATACTTTTCAATGCTCGATTTTTAAAAACTGTTTAAAAATGGAGCTTATATTGAAATAGTGTAGAGACTAAAAATTACCACAGACTATTTCAGAGGATTAAGTTGCCACTCAATCCTCTGAAAAGTCTGAGGTAATTTGCAAAATTCTGAAGACAATAGAAATGTTAAAAATCCAAAATACTATAAATATTGGTACAAAGAAAAATTTAAATAACAAAACACCTAACTAAAAAGTGGCAGATAATTCGCAAAGAGTTACTTCAAAAATATATCATTTTCTCTCCATATAGGCGATAAGAGGATAACATAGTGGTTCATTAAATGATTAGTGTCATTTTTCTTAGTTCATGATCTAATCATATACAACGTGTAATAATTTATATGTACTAACTACAAGAGTGTGAAGGGAGGATTAAGACTCTCTCAATTTACGAACGTGGAGCCTTACGACTTAAAAATTGCAATTTCCATTCTATTATTTTTTTTTGTGATTCAAGCTAATTAACTTGAATAGTTCAATGACTAATAGTAAGATCTATTACATACTATGATAAATGGCCACGGATCTAAAAGGAAAATTTCTATATTGGGATACCAAATAAATTCATTTCAAGTCATTTATACAGACTCTTTACATATATTCATTATAATATCAAGGAGTGTTTTTTATGATCAAAATGTGATAGAGAATTTTTTACTCATTTCTGGTCGATTCACGTTTTTTGTGATTGCCCATGCATATGCAAACAAAATGTTTAACATTTAGATAAAAACAAGAAATATCAAGACAATTCTTAATAATTTTTTATGAATTTAACTCCTTTGGCTATCATATTCATGACAAAATTTCAGTTTATTGCATATAATATCTATATGTATTGTTCGAACATCTTTTCTTCTGATTAAGGCATTTTGCAAATTCAAAATGTAAACTATTGAAAAAATATATCGTTTTCAGAAAAATATTAATGAAAATTTACGTCGATATGAAATGCAATAATTTTCTTCAACGCCAAAAAGTGGTTGAATTAACCCCAATTTGACAAATTTGACATTTTTGACATCGTCTAAACTCATAGAATTTTCTGAGTTTGAATCAAAATTTTTTTTAAAAAAAATAGTTCAATGTTTTTCCTTCTTCTCCTTCTCGGATTCAGTAGAATTCATAGTAAGTACCATCATAGATATCCACATGTATATCATCGTAAGAGTATTCCCGAATCTGAGCCCAATCTTTTCGGCTGGCTTGGAAGAACTGTGGGCAAAATCGTTGGAGGTGTCGGATCAGCTATCGGAAGTGTAGTTAAAGGTGTTACTCATAAAGTTTCTTACTTTATTTCCCATTCATCAGAGTCTATCTATGCACTCCCATGTAAAATTGTCCAATTTGATACGAAGACAGTTGAAAGAGATTTCAATACTAATGATATCACTAGCATTGCCAGAGATATTTCCAACGATTTTAACCTCGATTTCTCCAAAGTTCAATCATTTTTGACAAAATCCAAGTTCATGATGACCAACAAGCAGCTTTTCAATACTTTGAAATTTGATAAGCTCTCAGACAAAGATCACAGATCTGCTCAGTTAGCTAGCACAGTTATCAAAGTTACAAAATCTGGAAACTCTTATGCTGCTAAAGCTCGCCAGATTGGAACAACAGCCAGTATTGAGGCAAACACTTTGAAGAAGTCAACATCAACCCGCCTTTTCTGGTCATCATCCTCATACTCTTCTTCATGGCGTGCTTTGGACGGAAATGTGATTACAAATATTTTCAATTCCTGCCAAGGCCAAATTGCTGGCAAGCTTAATGACTACAGAAATATTTAATTTCGTAATTATAAAATTTTTATAATTCGACTTTTCTTTATTTTAACATGGTTTTTAAAGATTTTTGTGAATGATGTATAACACTTCGGTTGATTTGTCATATTTGTGAAATTTCAACTTAAAATTACACATCAAATTCAGTGTGGAGGTACTTCCATAGGATCTGATGGTTCAAAACGTTTTAGATACATTGAGTCAGTGGTGCCAGCAAAAACTTTTTTATTTATTCAAATTTTTGACAAATGGCGTGAAGTTTCATTGAAAATTAACCTTAAACATCTGAATTGAATGCCATGTCATAGGGGCGTAAGTGCAACCTTAATTATGATTAATGTACCTAGTGAGAGGCAATTGCACAACTCATCCGACAAGTTTTTAGACAAGGATCCTTCAACTGATGAAATAATAAGGAATGTCACTTTTATTAGCTCGATAATTTACCTCTTTAATCTCACAGAGTTTATATATTAAATACAGTGAGAACACCACTGTTTCGATACCAGATGATGTTACAGATTATATCAATTACAATAATATTACAATTGCCGAGAATTTTGAAATTATTCCAAAAGAATGCTTCACCAATTTCATTAACTTGCAAAATATTACACTCCCATCGACACTTACCACTATTGGTGACGACCCTTTTCTTCATACAAAAGTTGAATATTTATTTCTTCCAAAAAACGTGCAAAATATATTTACTGAAAGTTCATTTGATAGAATGACATCACTTGTTCATTTTGAAGTTGATGAGCAAAATCCGTACTTCTGTTCTATTGATGGAATTTTATTTTCCAAAAATAAAACAATACTTGTGCATTTTCCTGCTGCTAAAAATCTCTCAATCTATACTATCCCTACTTCTGTTACTATTGTTGGATATGGAGGTTTTTGTCGATTAAAATATTTGAATTACGTTATAGTTCCAGACACTGTCATAGAATTTAAAGGAGCAAACTTTTATTCTAGTGATATACGATGTATTGATGTATTTAGATATAGAGGACAGCCAAAACTAATTTTTGGAGGATGGAGTTTTCGTGAATCAACATTTCAAGAATCGAATATTACTTATATATACTCTTCAATGATTTGTAGAACTATTTATATGTTCAATTATAATAACTACCGATTATATGATTTTATTTTCTTGTTTATTATATTTGACACATAAATATGTGATTTCTATCTTGTAACGATAAAATATTTTGCATATAGCTTTATTTGAGAAATCCTGAATTATATTCTTCGAAATCTGTTATTAATTAATGCGTTAAATTGATAATCTTGCCTTTTCTCAAACTATCTACCTCAAAAGATATTAATATTCTTACTTATATGTTAACATTTCTTTCGATAAATTTGATTTATATATATTGGACCCCATAAGATCAACATAAAGTAAATCATAAGAATGATATGCTTTATTACTATTCATCTCGCATAAAATTAGTAATTAGAAATTCAAGGTTTAGATTTTCTTGGTTTTACTTTATTAATATAATGGCTGGGTGCATCACCTTATTGTGCCTTTATCCGGGAAACGTTTAACAGCTAAGTTGTTATTTTGAGCACAAATCGAGATAAAAATGTTTTTTATAAAATCTTCGTTTTGTTTTTCTTTTCATGGATCCCAACGCTAAAATGAAATTAGCGGCCATTAAAATACAATCAGTATTTCGTGGGTTCATGTACAGAAATAACATCAAAATTGGAGTGAAGAAAAACAAAGCTGCAACAGTAATTCAAAAATGTTTTAGAAAATTTCGAGCAAGAATGATTATGGAACGAATGAAACAAACCATATCAATGGGAAGAATTCAAAAGGCAGTCTCAGTCGTCAAGAAAAAGCATGAAATTCAAAAAGAGATTAATCATCTAAAAAAATTCGATCATATTCTTACATATTATCCATCAAAATCACTCAATAATCCAGAAGGTATGCCTAAAATACCAAAAACTTTGACAATGTCAAATCGTCCTAAATCTGCTGCACAAAAAACACGTAAATCACTATCTAGTAACATTACTTCCAGTGCAAAGACATCAAGGAAAGAAGTATCTGACTCAAATCCAAAAACAAGATCTTCATTAGTTTCAATTAAACCAAAGAAGTCGAGAAAGATGAAAACAATCATAGATTTACCGCCACCATGGCATGACAAAGATCCAAAGCGTGTTTCTCAATCACAACAAGATGAATTAATGTTTCAACAAAAAGCAAACTTTGCGTGGGCAAAACAAGAGCTTATTCCAATATTAATGAAACGATCTGATGCTAGAATGAAATTATGTGATGATCTATTTGCAAAAAATGAAAAATTCAAAAACAGAAAAGTTGGAAAATTATTTATTCATCTTATTCCACGTGCACAACATAATTTACCAATTATGTCTCCACAATCAATAGAAAGAATCGGAAATACAGGTGTTTTTGCAATTTCTTCCCTTAAAAAAGCACAATATTTTAAAATTTCAGGAACAATTGAAGATACGAATCCATTTTCATACTCAATCTCAAAAATACCATTGTTTAATATTGTTATTAATCCTTCTAATGGAAATATTTTTGCAATTGATTGTCATTGGAATCTTTGTTTATTTGAAGGAAATAAAGTAGTTTTTCAACGAAAATTAGATGTTGGAGTTAAAATACCAATGCTTGAAAACTTCTTTTACTTTGATAAATTCGGATTATTATGGATTAATTTATTTCCTCAACACGGTGACTTAATTTGTGTAGATCCTTTAACTATGGAGACACATTATAGAGTATCATTTGCTTCTGCCTCGAAAAAATACAATTTTATCACTGTTTGCAAAGAAATCATTCCTCTAACGTTAAATAATACAACTATTGGATTTGCAGGCTCATTTAGAGATCGAGGATTAGTAATATTCTCTTTTGACTTCGTACAGTCTAGAAATTTCCATAATTCAAAACTTTCAAAAGATATGAATTTGAAACAGATAGGAAATAGACTTTACACATGGTCAAGCAAAAGATTTATTGTAGCTTATGAGCTTAACCCTCAGATTCCATTGATAGAACCTTGTAATTTTGTAGATAATCAAGATAAGATTTTAGCTCTTGAAGGAATTGTTGATCCAGATATCTTGGTAGTAACTTCTACAGCTAGTATCAAAATCTACTTAACAAAGAAGAATGAATTTCAACTAAATTATCCATCAAATAAAATGTCTTCTCAAGAATTGAGATTTGCGAACAAAATGCTTGGAAATCCACAGTTTACTCAGAGTAGAAGAGAATTTTCTCTATTAACAATTATACCAACTACTCTTTTTTTCAAAAATATTAGCATTACAAAATTTTCTCAAAAATTAGCTTTCCTTTGCATGATATCAGTAACAGGAACTGTTTTATCATATGTTGTCTCATTGGAATCCTTCCAAACTCCTGCAATTGAATTTGATGGCTTTGATTACACAGATAAACAAGAATTTGCTAAGTTGGCTGTTCAAGAATTCAGTAGGATATTCCCAGAAATGCAGCAAATCAATGTAGATTACATTTCTAGAAAATCAAAAGCTGAATATTTTGACAGTAAGATCATTGCTGGTATGCTTTCGTTAATGTTTAGTGAATCAAAGAAGAAATTCTCTCTAATTGATGCAATACAAGGTGTTGATTTAAGATCTTCCAATAAATATCTCACTCCTATACCTCCAAAATGCTTATCTGTCTATGAAATATTTCATTTCTTCATGAGAGCAGATATTGTTCCTGCTCCTCTTATGACATTTTCTTCTTTTTTGATAAGATTTTGTCCGGATAAATTGAAACCAGAAGGAGTGGCTCCATGGTACATTGAAAGACCACTTCCAGTAGTAACAACCGGTGCTTACAATGCTATTTCCGATCAATTCTTTACAATTAAAGAAGTTAGTCAAACAATTGAAAAATTAAATCCAGTTTCAACATTGAAACAGCTTGCCTCTAAATATGTTATATCAGATATAACACAGTTAACCACCAAAAAGCTTTCTGCAAGCCAATCTTGTTTAGTTGGTGATCAAATTAAACAATTGAATAAGAGAATTGCGAAACTTTCTAAGCTAGAAGACATTGTCAAACATGAAATTCTCAAGAGATTGCTTTCAAACATCTACGATCGCCTGGTAAAACAAATGAATCTAAATACAAGTGCAGAAACCGAAAGTTTGATGCTAAACAAGATTCGCCCACAAACATCTATGGAGATTCCAAACGAAATGAAGCAAAAATACGTTGATAATCAAGATTATTATCAAACTCCAAACAGAAATCCTCTTTTGGAGATCAAAAGACACAAATCCATTTATGAAACATGGTCAACAACCAAGTTATTTGGCAGAGACTCAGATAGCCACAATTTTTTGATGAAATGGATTTTGCCAAGAGGATATTTTGATAATAATGCTGTTTGGAACCATTTCAAGTTTGTTTCTAATCTTTCCAATGCATCACATTTCGTTTCTACCCATGTTTACGGCCACAAAACAGATGTTATTAACAAAACTACTCATTTAGTGGTAACTCAGAACACGAGAAGTCTTCCTTTGAGTCATTTCCTTACTGTTCATTCATTCCTTGGCTCAACACAAAACAGAATTTCAACTGCAAGAATTATAATTTCAAAAATCTTGCAAGCATTGAAGAGATTACATGCCAGAAATGTTGTTTGTAGGACAGTTGTTCCATCAAACATTTTCATTGATTCTGCAAACAATACAACTCAAATTGGCTCAATTTTTGACTGCCAACACCTTCTTCCGAACAAAAGTTCCACTGTTTTACCACTTCCAAGTGATTTTGCTCAGCCATCGAATCCATTTCTTCCTCCAGAATATTATCATAAACCTCAATACGAACATACAACGAAATTTGATGTTTGGCAGATCGGTGTTCTTCTTTTATATATCTTAACAGGCAATTTACCGCCATCTTATGGTACAGAATTGCTTTCGAGGTTAAATCAAAATGATATTCCGAAAAGAGTTCGTTTTACACACGATTTCAACCTCGAAGAACCACCTTTATATCCAGACATTGGTTTCTTTTACGATTGGATGAAAGGAGCCACAGTTGTTCCTCCAACAGAGAGAATGTACGGCGAATGCGGCGAAATTTTCTTTGTTTCGGAGCTAAACAATCCTGCGACATGTTTAGACATCGAGTACTACAAGTTTGCACCATTAAATTGCAAAGAAGACCAAGAAGAACTCCATAAATTGATAGAAGTCATTGGTTTGTGTTTGCAATTGGATCCAAACAAAAGACCTACAGTACAAGAACTCATTAAGTTCAATGTATTCGCGTCAAAAGGTGCAAGTCCTGATTTACTCGAAGAATACACTGCTTATCCTGATCCGAGAATTTTTGTTTCTCAATTTTTCAATCCTGTTTTGGACAATTTGACAACGAAAAACTTTTCTTTTGCCATTGGAATATTGACTGCATTGATCTTCAACGACGACATGAGTGAAGACGACATTGCTTATTCTTTTCCTTTAGGCAAGAAAGCAAATCTTTCTGTCATTTCTGTCCTCTTCAAAAATCATTTTCTTGACATAATTGTCAAATTTGTGATTGAAAATTTGTCAAAAGAAATGTCAAAAGAAAATGTTGCATACGGATCATCATATAACAATGACATTTTCAATGACATCTACAAGTTCTTTGACAAGTTCTTGAAGACAGTTGAACATGGTCAAGGACCTTTGATGATGTATGTAAATGACATTGTTCAAAGTTTGTATGAATTATATTGTTGTAATTCATTGATGAAATATGAAACATCTTTTCAGTTATTGGAGTCTAATGACTATTACAAGGATTCTTGTTGTTTGTATATTTTCATGCACAACAAATTATATAATTTGATTTTGTTTGCTGCTCAAGGTTCTTCTTATATTGCTAATTGCATCAAGAAGACAAATGAACACAATGATGCTTATTACGAACAATTTATTACATTTTCTAACAATGTTTATTCATTGGCTTATTCCGTTGTTTTCGGAAATGAAAAGCAGAAATCAAACACTATTAAAAACATTGTTGGTTTCTGGAATAACGGACAAAGTTTGCCAATTGTTAGATTGTTTATTGATTTCAAAGTTCCTCAGAAAATTTTTCAATGTGTCACTTTTGATTCTTCACGAAATGATGCAACTTCTTTCTTAATTGCAGCATCGAAGACAACTTTGACACATGAGGGCTCTTTTCCTCATTATTACATACAATTAATACTGAGGAATATCATCATGAAATCTGCTTGCATCATATTTTTGAGAGATCCAAATGCAACTGACGGAATTCGTCAGCCTCTGTTGGAATGTATCAAAATGTTTTCTAATTTCAATAGTTTACATGACACGATGTCACTTTTTATGACTGATATTATATCTTTTGTTTCTGAGAATTCATCGAATGTTTTGTTTAGATCGACCATTGAGACAATTATTTCGAAGTGTTCTCCGAAATTGATGGAAGCAGTTTACCAATCTCAGTATTTGCAGAAGATTTTCAATGTTTTCTCTATAGAATATGTTCCAAAAGTTGATCTGAGAGTGTTCGCCGAAGAATTGGATATCAATGATAATCTGGAACTCACGAAACGTTTGTGCGCTTTGTTTTATTTGAAACAATCAACTTTACCAAGTGAATTTTCAAATACAAAGTTGCCTTTGTTGGAAACAACAAGATACATGATTTATTTGCTGCAAAATATTCCAATTGAAGCAGAAATGATCCTGAAAAGGCAAACTGCAAATCAAGAAAACGATCAGAAAGGAAAGAATTCGAGAAAAGAAATTTCATTTTCTCAATTTTCTGCAAAATCAATTTTGTTGTTCAGATTTTTGTTCATTTTATTCAAAAACATGATGAAAGCAACTCAAAACAAACCTCCTAATGATATTCTTCAGTTTGTTTCCAACAAATTACAAGAGGAAATACCAAGAAGCATTGAAAGTGAACATCCATCTCTTTATGCTCATCATTGTTTGAGACAAATTTCTTTGTATTCAATTTTGAGAATTTCTGACAATAAAATGGTCAATTCATTAGTTGGACAATACTTCAATATCATTGTTAAAGATATACAAGCATTGTCTAATCTTACTGAGCCGAACATGATAACTCATGTCACTGGTTCTTATTCATTACTAAAATCACAAAGAATCGAAATGTTGAAAAATTTATTAATTTTCAACAACAATGCAAGTGAAATGATCCAATACATTGCATGCAAGATGCTTAATAACGCAACAATATTCGAGGTACCAATGTGGACTAAATTAAGAGATCAGTTGATGTATCCAATAAGAATTGAAGCTGAAGCAATGTTTAGAATTGTAATTCATCAAAAAAGTGACATTTCTCAAAGTTTTGCTTATATTATTGAAAATTCGAACTTTTTGGAGAATGAAAGGAAGTTATCTGATATGCCAAATAACGAACCTTTAGTCAGTTCATCATTAAGAATATTTAACACAATTTTTTCAAGATCCGAGTTATTTACGCAACATTTCTTGAAACAATGTTCTGCAATGAAGGATTCGTTTACTTCAAGGTTCAATCCTACATGGATCGATGTATCTTTCCTTGATTTACTTCCACCGAAGAAACAGAGTAATAATGGAAGATCTCATAAGAATTCTGGATTCAAAGCTGATTCTTGGAAGAGACCAATAACAACATTGGATGGAAAACCGAGTGCACTTGTTTTTGCTCCTGGTTCAAAGCCAGTTACTATAATTCAAAAATAATTGTTTATTTTATTTGTTTTGTATTTTTATAAATATACTATTTGTGTATTGCGAAATTATTTGAATAATTAGTAATTCATGGGATTTTTATTCTTATTTATACGATGGATTCGAGTTGTTATAATACTATGCTCACATTACCTCATGAATAATTTTCATTTCTCGAGTAATTGAAGTACTTTCAATTCACATCTGTCAAATTTACTTACAGGTCTGGCATTCTATAAATCTCTGGGTATGTATATAATTTGTTGAGTACATTCTATATATTGAAAATAGCTTGATTTGGCACGAAAATTTTAATTAATTTTGATGTAAAATCTGCTATCCAACTCTTACTTTTGTTAGAAATGATATTCTTATCATCAACCAAAATGTTTTATGGCAAATAATTGGAAAATTATGAACAGTTTAAATCCAATAAAATCCGTTTCAAATCAATTCGAGAAAAATGATGGAATATTTGATCTTTGTATTCAAATTATAAGATACTTTCTTACCCATATTAATCAGATTTCTTCATGGCGAGAGGTTATCATTCACTAAGAGATCTGGCCAAAAATCTCTTCGGTGATATCATCTCAGAAGAAGATTTCAACTCAGTTTATACACGAGATGGAGTTTTTCTTGAAGATGTTCCATTTGCAGCACAAACTCATGTTTATCGAGTTAAAACGCAATTCAATAAGGGCGATGACAATAGGTTTAAAATGACACTGGATCTTACTAATCCACACCAAATAGAAAATGCAAATGATATTACAAAAGAAGAAATGAATTCATTAATTAGACCTGCTTTTGCAAATGCATACTTATACCAACAAGGTATTTCACCTACAGAAAAAGCTCTTCGAGCAGTAAATCACATGTTTCCTATTACAGAGAAAAATATTCAAGTTAATACGAAGAATAAAGGATACGATTTAGAACAAATTATTGTCAAAGAGAGGCCAGATGAATACTTTGAAACAATTAAGCAAAAAGCTAAATCAAATTCTACAGAAAAGAAATGTTCTACAATTCGAGATAACATTATTGATGCTTGGAAGCTTCTTGAAGAGTTCTTTCCAAGAGAACTTCCTATCTATAAAGCAAGAGTTTACACTCCTGATCCAAAATATATTTCATTACAAATGATTGAAAATGGTTCGAAAATTGCAGAGAATTGTACGTCAACATTAGTCAAAAAACGAAAACCTTGCACAGTACCAAATCCATTTTCGAAGCCATTTGAACTGATTTTGACAAAAGAAAAAGTTGATCAAGTTATCACAACTTTCTGCGATAAATTTGATTTTAAGAAGAACTTCAAGATGAATTCTGCACAGATCGAGCAAATAAGGCAAGTTTTAACTCTTGGACTTGTTCCTCGACTTTTTTATCATTTGGCAAAATACATTCATGCAATTTTGGTATTGGGTATTGAAGATCTATCTAGTTACATTAGAATTAGAGCAATCTGGTATATGTGTCAAGCAAAATATCCTCCAAATGATGAATTATCAGTTTTATCTCCAGTACTTGTCATGTTTAAAGTATGTAGTGTCCTCATTTTTGCTACAGAAGCACCAAAATATTACATTACTAATCAAAAGGATATGGAAGCAACACTATTTAACATAATCGAAAAAATGTTGAACCCATATCATTTATTTGATTCAATGAGAGACCAGCCAAAGACACAACATGCTCCAAAACCAATACGAATTCCAACCGGAAGGTCTTTAGCAGATATTATTAATTTAGTTGAAAACCATCAGTTACTTGAAGAAGATGGTATCATTGCAAGAGCTATGCTTAACCAGAATGCTCCAATGGACCTTCTCAAAATACTGTCTAATGAACCATGGGGAGATTTAATCCAAGAAGAGATCGAAGAAGAAGATACAAGAGATAATATGCTCGCACTTCCAATTCAACGCATTATTCAATAAGATATCATAGAAATGAACTGGAAAAACCCACATCCTGTATCAGATTGGATGAAAGTTGATCCAAGCAAATTGAACCTCAAAAACTTCAACAGACCAAGCAAAATAGAACCATCTGCCAGTCTTAGAAAACTTGCAACACTCCCCAGAACTCCAGTCACAAGAAGTCAAGTTGATAAATCATTTAGAAGGCAGTCAGCTGGAATTAAAGCAAGAAATTCTCTTCCTTCTGACTTGAATATCTTGCCATTTTCTAATTCATCATCAAGTCTTTTGGTGGAAGATGACTTGAATGCTTTTTAATTAATAAATTTGTTTGTATATTTCGATATTTTTAATAAGATATTTTTCTTTGATTTAAGTTCCATAAGTTCATTTCCTCTTGAGACAAAAATACAAATTTTTATATAATTTATAAATCTTGTAAACATTTGTTAATGACTCAAGATGTAACTTGATGATCTCAAAACTCAATTTCTAGCAATTTAGAACTACCGAAACCTCCACTAAATATGTTTTACAATTCAATCCGAAGAAATTTTAAAATTAAGTTATGGATATCTAAATTTATTATTGCCTATACTATACCTAAAGTCAGAATCATTATTTCAAAAGATATGAAGCTCTAATTTCAAAACTTTCTTGAAAATTCATTCTCAATTAGAAATTATATAAATCCAATACTTATATGTATGTTAAATATATCCAATAATCATAAATATTGACAATAACAACTGATATTCCAAATGTTGGCAAGATATCAATTAGTTTTCCTAAATTACCTAATAACTTGCACAAATACATAGGACTATGGATAAAAATCTCAGTTCGTCATTAACAAACGAACTTTGTTTGTTTTGTCGAAAAAAAATCGAACAACAAACGAAACGAACAAGAAATTCAATAATTTGCATGACGCCGATTCATCATAATTATATAAAAAAATGTCATTGAGAAGTTACTGTCTTCATAATATTGCCAAACAAGAAATTGAATAGTTGTAAATATAATTAGTGACTCAATATAATTTCAATTTGAGAATCTTGTTATATACAGTCTAAAAAACCAAATAAATCATTATTTAATTTGTCCGTCCAGAACCTCTTAAATATTGAAAACATATTTAATTTAAAATACTTTATTCTAAATATAGATTTAATATATTTATCACGAATTCATAATTTTACATATTGAAAATATAAAATCTCTCAATAATTGATAATAGAATCGACGATAAAAACCCTATCAACTGATAATTTTTCTTCAAAAAAAGAATTCAATAAAATGAATTCTTCTTTTAAGCCGTTGCTAAGTATTGGTATAAGTTATATAGTGGACGTATGCCCTCAAATAGCACCAAATGTATTACAGTACTTACAAAAAATTTTAGACGGCTTTATAGACGGGAAAATTAGTCAATACAACGCATCTCTTGAATTTTCTAAGTATATTGGGAATAATACACCTATCCTAAAAATAGCTCGCGTTTTGACCGTTTCACCACAACCACTCAAAAGCATTAATGAATATCCAGCTGAAGCTCAAAGCTTTTTATTAATGAAAAAGTCTCGTTCATGGAGCGAGATTGAAGATATACGTCTTATAGCAGGTATTCATAAATTTGGTCTTGATGCTTGGGGAACTGTAGCTTGCTTTGTGGGAAATAGCCGAACAAAAGCACAGTGTTGTCAAAGATGGACTAGAGGTCTTGATCCTCGCATTACAAAAATGCACTGGACACCAAAAGAAGATGCTGCTCTCCTTCAAAGTATTTCAAAACATGGTATCAAGAGTTGGACAAAAGTTGCAAGCGACATACCGTCAAGAAGTGATGTTCAGTGCAGGTATAGATATCATCAACTTGTTTCAGGAAATCCTCAAAACTCAGATTCTCCAAATAATCAATCATCTTCAGACATGCCAATTCCGATGAGTTCAAATGAAAAGAAATTAAACGAAATCACTCCCGAAAAAATATCTCAGATTATTAATGAATCAGTAAATAAATCACAACCTGAAACTCATAATCAAAAATTCAAAATACCTTCTATACTTGCGCTTGTGTCGCAGGCTGGAATGAAGCCAATTACGATTGAATGATAATCATTTTTGAAATATCAAGATAACTACAATATATATGCTCCATTTGATTTGAATGCATATAAGAAATTTAGTTGAATATTTATTAATTCTTTATTTTGTTTGTTTGATGAACAATAAAAACGATATATTATGTTTTGCGTTTAAAATGGGAAAATTTTTTCTAGTTCAAGTTATGCTAGTTATAATATAAATTCACAGCCGAGATTGATACTGTAATAAGAATTGGAATGGCATTAGATAATAGTAATGTTTTATTAATATAAATAAAGAGGTTTGATAGGATTCATGCAGATATGGATAAAAAGGCTTTCTTGTATTTTGGATTTACAATATAAATTTCTAATTACATGATTTAATTACAAAATTTGGATTGACAAAATTAACACAAACTTCTAATTTTCGTAGTTTGCTTTAAGCTATGATAATTGCTAAGTTATTCAGGAAAAATTTTTGTAAAATTAATTTAGAAGCAGCAATCGCAGTCAAAAGGACATAAAGGAGTTGTTCCTGCTTTAGGATTATCCATTTTCAATTCTGCTTCTGTAAATATTGGAAGGCCATCTTCAGTATATCTGCGTTTCTGCTTTGATTTCTCCATAGCTTCCTTGAGGGCTGCATCTCTAGCAACCTTTTCTTTTTTAGCTTTCTTAATATTATCAAACATTTCATCTAAATCTACATCTTCGTCATCTCCTAATTTGCTACCTTTAACACCCATAATCTTGTTTCTAATGACTTTTGCTTTCCTTAATAAGATCTTTACTGGATATCTTTCGCGTTCTTCTATTTGTTGTTTCTTTGCTTTTTCCATTCTGATTTTTGACAATTTACATGGCAAAAATATTTCCTGAATCTGAAAAGTGAACGTTTAGGATTTGGAAAAATGGATGAGCAACGCAAACAATTGAAAGCAGTCATGTCTACAACGCAATTAACACCAGAACAGAACGCATATTTAATTTCCATTAAATGGTTTAATGAATTTAAGCGAATTATAGGTTTTGAAACTGATATCGCTTTAAATGAGAAAATACCTGCTATTGATAATAGCGGATTACTTAGAAATGGCCTGCTTAGACGAGATATTCGTGAAAATACAGACTTTGCCATTTTAACTAAGCCTACATGGTTATTATTGAAGCAGTATTATGGCGGAGGTCCTGATATCGGTGTTAAAGTTGCTTACAATCCATTAAAACATCAAAATTGCGCTATTACTAGGAATATTGCTTTGTACATTTTGTATCAACAGCAAAGAAAGCAATTTTCAGTTACAACATACGAAAAAGTTAGAGAAATTAAAGATAGAGCTTTAGTTTACTACAATTTAACTGATAAATCGCTAAATTTATACGAATACAACAATAATAATATCGAAAATAAGCTTGAAGACGATAAATTACTTTGTGAATATGCTATTTTAGATAATCAACAGCTAATACTTACAACAGCCCATTCTAAAAAGAAAGAGGAGCCTCAATCAATTTTTTCATATTTTTCACAAACAGGAACATGCACACCTGGTACAACAGGACTCAACAACATGGGAAATACGTGTTTTATGAATTCTACTTTACAATGTTTGATGCATATTGAACTACTTGCTAATTATTTTGCAAATACTCCATGGCAAAAAGAAATATCAACAACAAATCCTTTAGGTACAAAAGGTGAACTATCGATTGCATTCTCCAAATTACTCGAAATCAGTCAAAGAGGAAGCCATTCATCATATACACCGAGTGAAGTTCGAAAGGCAATCATAAAACATGCGCCAAATTTCGATGGATACTCACAACAAGACGCACACGAAGTTTTACTATTTATTCTCGATGGAATTCATGAAGATTTAAACAGAATCACGAAAAAACCACAAGTTGACGTTGTAGAAGGTGATGGAACAAACGACAATGAGACAGCAATCAAGGCCTGGCATGCTTACAAGCAAAGAAACGATTCTATAATTGTTGATTTATTCCATGGCCAACTTAGATCACATTTGAAGTGTCCAAACTGTCAAGCCGATACCGTAGCTTTTGATCCTTTCGTTTCCCTTTCTGTTCCTGTTCCTCAGAAAAAAATTTTATCTCCAGCTTTCATTTTTTGCCCTGCAGACCCAACGCAACCACGCAAGATCATGCAATTCAACATAGACATGTCATGGTCACCACTCCAAACTAAGAGATTCATTCAGAAATCCGAAGGACGAAATTTGAATTTAATTTATGCAGCGATCAACCATGAACAGACCGAGATAACATATACTTTGTCACCTTATAGACCACCTTCCACTCATATTTTGTACGCAATTGAACTTCCTTCGACTGATAAGTTATATGCTCCAGTTTTCTTGAAAGAAAAAGAGAAAGGATGGATCTGGGATGGTGACACTCCTATTGCTGGACCTTTCCTTGTACCTGTTCTTAAGCAAAATCCATCAGAAAAAGAGTTGAACGATATAATCTCAAATTATTTCTCGTTTTTATTCGATACGAAGAATCCAGATCCACAAGAGATGTATGATAAATACGAAGAAACACGTCAAAAGTGGCGTTCTCTTCGAGATGACAAAAACAAGTTTGAAATTTCTATCAGATCCAATTTCTTTGATAGTGGCACATTCACACCACTCACAAAGATGCCATGCCTTACACGTAGATGTGTAGATGTCATTGTTAATCCTTCTTGGATGACAAAAGAAAGTGGATTTAAATGGTCACTTTTTATTCCATCACGAATCAAAGAATTCGAAGAACCTGTTGAAGAGAAATCAATTGATTTGGAGAAATGTCTTGATTTATTCTCTGAAGAACTTGTTTTGGATGAAGAAAACAAATGGTTTTGTCCGAAATGTAGAGAATTTGTCCAAGCGAGTAAGAAGATGGACATTTGGACATCACCAGAGATATTGATAATCCATTTGAAGAGATTTGCTCAAATTTCTGGATTTTTGACGAAAAATGAGACAGAAGTTCAATATCCTGACGAACTCGACATGAGTCAAAGAATAATTGGACCTCATAATGGCAGCTGCAAATACAAATTAATTGCTGTTTCAGAACATCATGGAATTCTTGGAAGTGGTCATTATACAGCACACGCAATGGTTGGAAACCAATGGTATCTGTTTAATGATAGCAGTGTTTCTAAATGCCTTAGAGATATGGCACATACGAAAGCTGCTTATGTCTTGTTTTATGCAAAAATTCATGAATAGAATATATTTTTATTTTGTTTGATAGTAAAAAGAAGTGTATAGATTATTTGAAAATCAAAAATTGAACAATATAGAAGTGCCTCCACTCTGAATATTAGGGTAAATGGCTTGATACTCAACTTGTAAACATGAGTCTAGTAGGTGATAGTAAATGCCTAACTAAGGCTTGTACTAACCAATTTATAATAGCTATGACAATAAAAGTGCACGTTTAAAATCATTTTGGCAGATTTGGGCCCTTAGCTTTTTATATTCGCTAAATCTTCAGCAAGATTCTTGGGAAGAATATAATACAGGAAGAACAAATTATATAAATGTCAATAAACCAGAACAAATCACAAGTAACTCTGATAATTATTTCGTAAACAATGTCAAATACATTAATTTTTACGGATCTAAATGCATACAACTTGTAGGTGGTGACTCATATATGGTAATTGTAAACACAAAATTTTTACGTTGCATTGGAGATTCATATCGCGGAGGAGTTCTCCGATTTGAAAACAGTTATCGAATTATGCAAAAGAACATTTGTAGTGATATATCGGGCTTTATAAACAAATCAATAGAGAATATGGGATCATATTGTTTTTTAGCATTAAATAGTCCCGATAATAATCAAAATTTAACTATGGAATCATGTTCATTTAGTCGCAGCAATGTTCAACGTGCTGTCCTTTATTTATTTTCTGCCAAGTTTCAGTTTTCTAATATGAACATTTCTAATGCTATTCATTCAAGTTATATCACTCAATATGATTATTCAAGACCAACTTTTAGTTATTCACAAGTAGTTAATTCAATTGCAGGAAGTTATTCTATTTTAAACCATAGACAATTAAGTGGTACTATTTCTAATTGTAAAATTATTTCAAATCGAATGGCAAAAGCGGATACAGGAGCAATAATTCAAGCAACAACCGGATGTCAATTAACTGTTAATAATGTAATTTTTTAAAATAACTTTGCAAATTATTTATTTTCAACTGATAATAAATCTAAAATTACTATTTCTGATTATAAATCCGAAAATAATAACCTAAACGGAACTATAGAACCTAAAGCTGCAAATTATATAACAATTAATAGCAATAATCAAAATTTTGATAATAATCTCAATCTTCCTAATTTTTATTGCAAATATATTTCAGAACCTCATGATTATCATGTAATCTTTCATAATAGAAGAAGGTAAAAATTATATTACTAAATAAACATCTTTTCTATCTAATTTATTACAATTCATTACAAATGTCTAAAACCATCTCTTCTGCAACTCATTTTATATTATTGCAATGAGGAAAAGTTCAATCGAAGAATTAATTAAAAATAAACATCTTTTCTATCTAATATATTTTCCTTGCATAATTACACATATGTTATAACTATTGTATTGTAATAGTAAAAGGCTATAACTATACAAGATTAGTTCAATCAGTTAATAATAGCTTTCAGATCATATAATGTCATAGTTTGGGGGTTTACATTAACTAATTCTGCATGTGGAAAATGATCCTTCACAAAAGGCATTTCAATTTAAATTAGATATTTGATAGTGGTATATTCACACCACTCACAAAGATGCCATGCCTCACAATAGATGCGAAGACGTTATTCTAATATAATGAAAAAAAATAAAATTTAAAAATCAATAAATTAACCTAAAAGTTTGGATCTTTATGCCCGATAGCTAATGTTTCTTAAGTGCTATCAAAGGTAGACCAAGCTCAGAAGTTTGGATCTTTATGCCCCCTTAAATCTTTAGAATTATATTCATCTGAGAGGCTATTCAAATGAAAATAAGTACCATAAGATTTTTTTAAAAAATTGCGAAAATTTTTTGCTGGTCTACCTTTGTGCTATCATTTATAAAAATTTTCTGAGCTTGATCGTAGTTCAGAATTTTCCAGGCAACTCATACAATTAATTCTATGAGTTTCTCTATAATGCAAAATTATTGCATTACTGATGTTGTTGATAATTCATTAATAAAACGATAAATTACTATTTAAAGAACCGTCACTTGTCATTTCTCTCAATTTTCAAACAAAATAAGTTTCAATTTTATATCATTTTCGCTCATTCTTCAACAAGATTCATGGGAAGATTATAACACGGGCAGAACAAATTATAATAGTGTAACTACATCAAAACAAATCACAAACAACTCATATAATTACTTCGTAAACAATGTTATATACATGAATTTTTACGGATCTAAATGCATACAAATAGTAGGTGGTGACTCGTATATGATAATTGTAAACACAAAATTTTTACAATGCGTTGGAGATAATGGACGCGGAGGAGTTCTCCGATTTGACAATAGTTATCGAATTATACAAAAGAACATTTGTAGTGATATATCAGGCTTTATAACACCAGGAATGGGATCATATTGTTTTTTAGCATTAAATAAAATTTCTAATGATCGAGTTCTGACTTTTGAATCATGCTCATTTAGTTGCAGTGACAATCCTCGTGCAGTCATTTACTTGTTCACTGCCAAATTTCAGTTTTCTAATATCAACATTTCTAATGCTATTCATTCAAGTTATACCACTCAGTGTCATAATAAAAAACCAACGTTTAGTTATTTACAAGTAGTTAATTCAACTGCTGAAAATTATTCCTTTATGAATTTTAATCATTTAAGTGGTTCTATTTCTAAATGTAACATCATTTCAAATAGAATGACAATTGGGGGTGAAGGAGCAATAATTAAAGCAGGTAATAGTGGCACATTGAATGTTAGTGCGATAATATTTAAAGATAACGTTGCAAGTTATTTATTTACTGCATATTCAGGTTCATCAGGATGGGCTAAGATTTATATTTATTGTTATAAATCTGAAAATAGTTATCAAAAAGAAAATATTGATCCTTCTGCTTCAGTAAACATAACGTTTATGAGTGGTTATCAGAATATTGATAATAATCTTAATCTTGCTAATTTTAATTGCAGATATATTTCAAAACCTTATGATTATCAAAAAATCTTTTCAAATAGAAGAAGACAAACTTAGATTCATGGTTAAAGTCTCCATTGCATACACTTTCCATAAAATTGAGAAAAATTCACCAAAATTGAATTGGAGGCTAAATAAGCATCGTTTCTATCTAATTTATTATCATTCACGACAGAAGGAGGAAATGTTGTTACTTTTTTGAAAAGTGAAAACAGCATATCCCCGATGTGAATTTGGATAGAATTGTGGAAATTGCGTAAACAAATGCACTAGTGTGGGATCAATAGTTTTGCTTCCCATAAACTCCATAATATTACTTCAAAAATGAGAATAAAGATTTTTCAAAAAATAATCTTTTTATAAAACATTTGTGATAAAATTTGAGATTGTATATCATACTATGTTACTTTGGGCATTTAATAAAACAATGTTATCAACATGAAAGTTGATACCGACCGTTAGGTCGAAGAGAACCTTAAATTATAAATATTTATTTTTTGATGGAAGATTTAGAGATAAAATACAAAATAACACGCTACACGAATATTATCAAAGAAATACAAAACTGGAACTCGACAGAATTTGCTGAAAGACAACAAGTTTTAGCTTCTTTGCATGAAGAATTAGAAAAAGAAATCGCAAAAGAAGAAAAATATCAAAGCACAATATCGAAAAAGCTTGATGAAATAGCCGCACTCAAGTTAATGATCTCAGAAAGAGTTTCAGATACAAATGGATTTTCAACAAAACTTCCTAATTAATTGTTTAACTATTTTCCATTTAACAAGTCTACATTCTCAAAGAAGGGACTTCCTAGAAAGAAATTCAAATTGTATCGAGCAAATTTTAAAATATCATCGAATTAATTTTAGTTTCAGACTTTGCAATGATCTCTAATTAAATTGGAGATAATTGTACTATTATAATACCAAAACATTATTAATTGTTTTGTAATATAAAAATAACGATTTCCGTAAAATACAAGTAAACTCTTTATTAGTAATACATTGATATTTTTTCAATTATAACTCGTTCATATAATCATGCTTAGCTTCCTTCTTCTTGAGTTTCTTTTCTTTAATTTTTTCACTTTCTTTCTTAGCTTTGAGTGCATCCATCTTCTTTGCCTTGAGTACTTCATCATCAGAAGACATTGCGTCGAGTTTCTGGAACACATCGTAGTCTTTTTCGTTGTATTTGCTTTCACGAACTTTTTCTCGTTTTGTAGCATCGGAATGGATATCGAATGACTCAATTTCATCTGATCTGATGCTGAGGAAAGCCTCTTTAAGTGCTTTCTTTGCGTATTCCTCGTCATCAGTAACTAAGAAATTTCCAAGGATTGTTCCTGGGCAGCTCTGGAATACGTCAATGCCAAGGAAAGTGAGAGACTGGAAGTGGCCAAATTGTGGATCTGGTGTTGGTTCGACTTCAATCATCTTTGGTGTCCAAAATCCTTTGAAATTAGGGTTTGGAATGAAGCGAGGCTTCCATTCGCCAATGTAGTCTGGGTTCTTGATCATTGGTGGTACCCATTCCATTGAATCGTCGAAAGATGGAGGTCTGAACGCATCTGGGTCTTCTATGAACTCGTCGTCAACCCAATCTGCTGGTTTCTTATCATTTTCATCAATGATGTATTCGATATCATCCCAATCGGCTGGTTTGACGGAATTCGGATCTGGAATTGTTGTAACTTTAGGAATATCGAACAAATCTTGTAATTTTTCTGATATCTTAGTTTCTCCGTCGATCTTTACTTCGACTGTATTGTTTTTACGTATGATTAAAGTGTATCCATGTGTAAGATGATCTTTGTTAGCGTTGAGATTATCTTTTATTGTGTAATATGAATCATTATATCCGATCGCAACCTTGGTTTGATGGAGGTTAGCACCACAGATATCTGGGCCAAACATTATTGAATATTGCGATTCGTTTGAAAATTCTACTTGCTTATTCGGCGGTCCTAATAATTTGATATATGCTCCTGCACAATCTATGTACATATCAAGACGTACTGTGTATTGAATAATCAAATCTTTATCTCTTGTATCGAATGGCTCTGTGAAATTTGAATAAAACAAGTAATATCTGTGTGCATCCATTGTTTCAAGTCCTCTTTGCTTAATTTCATCTGCATAATAAGTTCCAGCAGAAGATCTAAATTTTCCAAGTAAAACACCGCGTTTTACTTTTTCTGGACGAGACCAGTTCTTTTCCCAACCTGGATCGAAATGTTCTTCAAGATAAACACGTGAAAAACAATTGCTTAATAGAAAAACAAACATTTTCGACCAAATAAATAAAATATTTTTTTTCCTCATCGTTTTACATTTGTAAAATATATTTCCTATTCAAGAGGATAATTTTATGAATTTGCTAGAACTCCTATGCCTTTACTTATTTTAGAATCTTATGAAACTATTGACTTAATATTGTTGTAAACAGAAATTCAGCAAAAGTGACACCTCAGAAAAGCTAAAATATTGAATTTTTGGAACTTTTGATAGAGCACGTTTTTAAATATTAATTAAAGTAAATGTATATTTTGTAAAGATTCTTTTTAATAAAAAAAATTTGAAGAAGAACACAAAATCTTCTGAAAAATAATATCACATAAACTCATATTATTTTCTAATAATAACTATTTTATATAAAAATCAAATTCAATGATCTTAAAAGCGAAGGATAAACCTCAAAATTTACGAATATAATGAGTGGGAATATAATGCTTATCTATCATAAAACCATATGAAATATCAATTTTTGCTTTACGCCTAATTTTTGACGACAATTAGCAAAAAATGTTAAATGTTAACACTCAGTCCATTTGAATATGAAAAATAAAATTGACTTTGATTAAATGTTTTATTTATCATGCAATTCTTCTTGCGACCAAAGATTGAATAAAAGTTCAAAAATAAAGATAGCTTAAAAATAATATACGGTAGTGCTTACTAATAGATGAATAGTATATAAATTCTATTAAAATGGATTTGATCCAAAAAAATATAAAACCAAAAATAATTGTTATAATTTAAATGAAGAAGTAATTTAAAACGATTTTATTTATGATCAAATTTTTATATATTTTTTTGGATCAAATCCATTTTAATAGAATTTATATATTCATCATATAGTAAACACTACCGTATATTATTTTTTAAGCTATCTTATTTTTGAACTTTTATTCAAAGCTTTGCGCAAGAAGAATTGCATGATAAATAAAAACATTTAATCAAAGTCAATTTTATTTTTCATATTCAAATGGACTGAGTGTTAACATTTAACATTTTTTGCTAATTGTCGTCAAAAATTAGGCGTAAAGCAAAAATTGATATTTCATATAGTTTTATGATAGATAAGCATTATATTCCCACTCATTATATTCGTAAATTTTGAGGTTTATCCTTCGCTTTTAAGATCATTGAATTTGATTTTTATATAAAATAGTTATATATTAGAAAATAATATGAGTTTATGTGATATTATTTTTCAGAAGATTTCATTCTATATGCCTATGAAAAGTACTCTCAAAACTAGCTTTTTCCTAATTATAATTAAATCTAGAATATTGTATTATGCTTAGTATTATTTCATTTTTCTCATTCAATTTAGAATTTACAAATGTCAAAAAATCGAGAGCTGTCACTTTTGATGAATTTCTGTTTATTACAATATCCTCCCAAATATGCTAATTTCTATTGTGATTTTCGGAAAAATTCAGAAACATTTCTTTATTTAGATAAAAGCGCATAATATACTTACTGCCAAACTTATATAGAAATGAATCTTGAATAGGATATGATTCATTACCAATGAATTAGAATTCCAATTTTTTGAGATTCAAGTTCAACCTGTTCTAACAGAACAATGAGCTACATTGCAGTTAAATAATATAATTCATACAAATAAATATGATTTTCATAAGATTCTAAAACGTTTTGAATGAAATTCTTGTATGTAACTAATATTAGTTAATTTGTTTGCTTGATAATGCATAATAAACTTATCTGAAAGAGTTTAGCTCAATGAAACAGCAAAATTATTTTTTTAATTCCCGCATTTAAACAAATAAAGATAAACTAAAATGAATATTTAACTAGAGAAATTCTAGTTAAAGCTTATTCTCCTCTTTGACTTTAATGCAGGAGAAAGTAAGATTTGCGAAGCAAGATGAACAGACTGAGAAGACTTGATACCCTTCTTTGGTGCAGACTGAGACTTTGCATGGAAGACAGCAATGATTTCCTGAGCGGTCGGTCTGGATGGAGGATCGATATTAAAGCATTTTTTGAGCATTTGCTTTATCTCGAAGTCATTTATAGCTGACTCATCGTAAATAGAATTTAAAATGCTCTGAACAAGGTTAGCTTTTGTATCTGCCATCCATGGATACTTTCCTGTCAGGACATAATAGATTGTAACACCTAAAGCCCAGATATCTGAGCAAAAAGCATCGTATGGGAGCTTTCTGATGATTTCTGGAGAAAGAAACATTGCTGTTCCATGAAAATTCGTACTGTTTTCATCTGAAATGACTTTATTCGCCAGTCCAAAGTCGCAAATCTTAATCCTGCCGTATTTATCAACGAGGAAATTCGATGGTTTAATATCTCCATGAGATATTCCAAAATGATGACAGCTTCCAACTGCAACAGCCAATCCTTGGCATAATTCAAGCTTCTTTGTAAATGTTAACGGATGGTACTGTTGAATATATGTTTCAAGAGAGTGAGGGCAGTATTCCATGAGAAGATAAACGTAATTATTGTAGTGGAAGTGATTATAAAGTGGAACGATATAATTACTCTTGATTTCGATCATGGATTCGATCTCCATATCATTGAATTTGGAACCAGGGATCCTTTTTATTGCAAAATTCATGTTATACTGATGGCTATAAACAACGAAGATTACTCCAAATGTTCCTTCTCCAATTGTTGTTATATAATCGAAACCAAATTTCTTAAAGAACTCTGTATCAATAGCCTCCATAGTTCAATATGAAAAAATTGAATTCATTCACAAAAAATTTTATTTTATTTGACCGTGTTAGAATATCGAATAGTATATGATTGTACGTATGTTTATCCAGAAATGACACAAAAAATTGTTTGAATTAGAATTGAATTTATTCTTATAGAAAACATTTTATTATAATTTGATATTAGCCTAATGTAGAACAAATTACAATAATGAATAAAACGATGTATTCAAAAATATAAAAAATAACCGAAAAATAAACTAGCAAAATCACTGTTATCTGATAAAATGATGGACAAATCAATATCGATTTTTGCCAACTTATCAATTTTAAATAAATCTCTTGTCAATTTAATTTCATTCAATTTCGGATAAAAAATTATTTGTGAATTATCCTCCTCATAGGTAATTAAGCAAATATTCCGATTACATATCAACTCAAATAAAATTCATGAGATTATTTTTTTCGATCGTTATTTTGAATCTAAATCAGATCCATAGCATAAAGAGTAGAATTATTTTAAGATTATCACTTGCCTGACTATAACCTCACATAATTTGTAGTTTTCTCTAACTTTTATTGTTTTCTAAAACTATAATTAGACGATAGAAAATTTTGGTTGTCAGAATTTCACTCTAAAAAAATGTCTCAAGTAATTACTGTTTTTCCAGGCGGAGAATTCTTTAGTGGAAGCACAGATGCTTTTAAAGAACGTGCACTTGCATATTTCAATGAATTTTATGACTATACAAATAAATGGCAAAAAATTATTGAGGTATTAAACCATAATTTATGTTTTGTTGACGATGGAGCATTCGACTTATCTTGGAAAGAAGATATTGAACGCTTAAGCAACGATAAAGCTTTTCACGACAAAGTTATGATAAATCATGACTTTTCGGATGTTCATGAACCGTTGAAAAGCTTCTTCGAGGACTCTGTAAAACTAACATTAGACAGATCACAGACGAGAGAACCCTTAAGTACTAAGAAATATACACAATTAGCTGCAAAAACAGACGAAGACAAAGCACAAGAAGTTCTTTTATTCACAAATGCTGTACAAACACTATTCTCAACAATTTACAATCTTTCATCACCGATTTTCGAAGATTTTCCCCCTCATAAACAAGCTTTAGAATTATTAAGCCATTTAAAGCCATTTGAGAAGATTCCTTTGAACAAAGACATAATAAATCTTGTAGATGTAGGTGCAGGACGTGGTTATCTCTCAATTTTCCTTTCAGATATTTTGAAAATTCATACAACACCGATAGAAGCATCAATAAACCATTCGAGACAACTACTAGAGAGAATAGAAATGCATGCCAAGTCTCACAGAATCAATATTGATAACTTTTCTCGTATGAAATTATGTTGTGGCTTTGTTACAAGTCATTCTACAGTTCCAGGCATTCTTTCGAGTGCTGTATCATATGAGAAATGGGCTTCCACACTTCTCAACATGTACAAAGACAAGCTTGGCTCATATTCAAAATATCTTTTGCCAAATGGCATCAAAGAAGAGCCATTGACCCCAGAAATCTTTTATGGCGAACAAAACGGAAAGCCTCGCATCATCCAAGGTGAGCTTGCCGTTGAAATTAAAGATGGAGAATATGATTTATCCGAAAAAGAAGTTTTTCTCGTTTCTATCCATGCCTGTGGTGATCTTAGTGTTGTTTCCCATGAGATTGCGCTTTCAAATCAAAAATGCCGCGGATCAATCACAGTTCCATGCTGTTTCCAACATTTGTCCAAAGGAAATTGTCCGCTATATGAAGTGAACAAGCGGTTGAACCATTCTTTCTTCAAAGATGATGATGTCAGAAGAAAAGATTTCCTGAATCACGCTTTATCTACTTACGATGTTACATTTGAGAAGCGGAAAGAGATCATTGATGGATTTGTTCCTCGTGAGATTGTTTCCGCATTTGTTCCTCCGAGACAAAGTGTCAAAAAGATACAAAAACTCGAAGGAGAAACAGAAGTACAAAGAATCATCAGAATTGCGAATATGTTCGATCTCCATCCAACAGAGAAAGAAGTGGAAGAAAGGATTGCCTTCACGTACAGAGAAGTCTGGAGATTGGAGGCACAACAGATATTCAGAGAATTCTTTGGCCACGCATTTGAATCTTTCATTTTGATTGATAGACTTCAACATTTCGTGGAATTGACAGAGAAAAATGGACAAAAGTTTGTAATAGGAATGTTTGATTCAATGGCTCCTGTTAGTCCTAGAGCTTTCATGCAGTTCACATTAAGAATCGACTAAAATATTCATTATCTTTTTGTTTGTATTTTAATTATTGTTAAAATTTAAACAAACTTTTGACACTTTTTTATATTTTTTGATGCTATATTGTTCAATGGAGAATTCTTTGGTCACACATTTGATCTAGCTTCAAATTAGCAGTTAATTTTCCAAACGAAATAACTAATCTTTCATTTTGATTGATAGACTTCAACATTTCGTGGAATTGACAGAGAGAAATGGACAAAAGTTCGTAATAGGAATGTTTGATTCGATGGCTCTTGTTAGTCCTAGAGCTTTCATGCAGTTCACATTGAGAATCGACTAAAATATTCATTATCTTTTTGTTTGTATTTTAATTATTGGTAAATTTAAACAAACTTTTGACATTTTTTTATTATTGTTTGTTGTATTAGATGAAAAATGGGTAATAATTGATAAATGGAATGTTCTTGGTAAATTTACACAAACTTATGACACTTTTTCGCTTGAATCAGTTTTTATTGAAAATCCGATAAGATTTTGCTAATTCTCAGAAATGCATTAATAGCTCTCCTTTCGTTTAGATCCTTCATTAGGCTACATTCAATGGATTTCATCTTCATACAATAATTCATTGAAGTGCAAAACGAATTGATAATCTTAATATGGATAGTTTTATATGGATAAAAAGGGTTAGATTTTTGAGAGATAATTCAATTTTCATAAGATTATCGAATGGTGTAATTTTTAATTGAGAAACATTCAACTCTCTGAAAAATCTGATGACCAAAATTATTTATCAATGATTATATAATGTTGATAGAGTATTATTATACTAATTATATTTTGAAAGAGTTATCAAAAAGCCGCTCTATTTTGACCACTAATTATTAATTTTTGTTACGCATTTTCCAATTAATGGATTAATAATGTTCACATTAATACTTGCCTTTTTTAAAGGACGCAACCCAATACCAGTTGATGAGGTACTAAACAATCAAGAGTTCATAGAGGATGGTGGAAAAAATCATGACAGTGCAAGAAAATTAACTTCTTCAGATGGAGGCAGAGCAGTAACAATTTCATATAATGCAATCGACGACAGTATGACAATTGAAAATGATTCATTTTCTAATCATTCTGATCAAAATGATATTCCTTTCAAAAATGGGTGTTCTAAAATTCAACTAAAAATTTTAAATTTCGATCAGAGTATAGTTAGAAATTCTCGGTTAAATATCCGAGGAAAAGTTACGTTTGCTGACGGTTTAGAAAGGCCGTTATATTTTCACTTCAACATTGATGAGAAAGAATTGGAAATTAATGGTTATCTTTATGACAGTAAATATAATGAATTCAATTTGACAATAGGAAATTTTGGACATTTACAGATCGGCAAGCAATATCACCAGATACAATTATATGCAATTACAGATGATGGGTGCCAGTCAGAAATATGGAATTCAAGTATCGAATATAAATTTAACCCTCCTCAATTGCATATTGATTCAATTTATCAATATCAATTTACTAAAAATCGTGATATAGCGATCCCGATTCATTTAATTGTTAATGACACTGATGGTGTTGGAATTATCGGTTTATATTATAGATTCGATGATAGAACGGAGGAGCCTTTGAGAATGGATAATATTCATGATTTTGAATTAATATCATTTAATTTTGATATACCATTTCCCAGTGATCTTAAAGAAGGAAATCATGATATTTCAATATATGTAGTAGACAAAGATGCCATAAAATCTAATGTGGGAATTTTCACTTTTATGTATAACTTTGAAAAAAAAAAAAAAAAAAAAAAAAAAAAAAAAAGGTAGTGGGGCTTCCAGGCACTTCGTGCCTTCTAGCCCTGAGGATGAATGAGTATAATGAAGTTTTTTTTTTCTTGGGGGATGGCTTCCAGGCACTTCGTGCCTTCTAGCCCCCGAAGATGTTTAGTATAAATGAAGTTTATATTCGGAGGGCTTCCAGGGGCTGCGCCCCTTCTAGCCCCTAAGAAATTTTGCCCAAGACCCAAGAGGAGGACCGAACCCCAGCCGACCAGCTGTTGACTTTTTTGTAGAGCACTCAAAATAGTATAACTTTGTCCGGACAAGTAAGGGTCTATCGTCGCTACAGGAAAAGTTACAGGCGTTCCAAGGAAGTATACTTTGAGAAGCCTTTTTCCCCTTATAGAATGAGATAGGACGGTTATTTTACAAAACTGACAACACTTTGACCGAGTAGTTTTTTGTGCTGAACAAAAAGTGTCATATAAACATCTGTCAAAAGCCGCTTTTTAACTTCACTTAAAATGCCACGTAAGCTACGTAAGAATATACGTAAGAGGAAGGGAGCATTGAAACATCCAAAAGTAAAACTGACACCACAACAACAGTTGCAACAACAAATGCTGAATGACCCCACTATGTTGCAACAAATGTCAAGCAATCCTATGCTTTTAAACCGAGTTGTTGGTGCACAGAGTGGAGGTTTAAGAGCGGCACTTTTAGCGAAAATGGCAGGCTATGGTGGAGCTGCAGACGGAACAGCCTATAACCCTCAAAGTCAAATGAATTTGAGTTCACTCAAAAATCAAATAACAGATGTCAAAAAGTCAAACATAGACATACAGAAGCAAATAAGTGAAAACGAAAAGAAACTAGAATATGACAGACACACAAAGAAACTCAATGAGTTAAACGTAGAGAAAAAGAAGAAAGAAGAACAACTGAAAGAACTAAGTACAGAGGAATATGCGAAAAAAGTGTCAGAAAAAGCAGCAGAAGTAGCAAAAATGGAACAAGATGTCATAAATTTGAAAAACCATACTACTCAATATAAAATACTGAAAGATGAAGAGATAAAACAAAAAGCCCTGAAGACATATATGGATAGCGATGAGTATAAAAAAGAAGTTGAAGCAAATGTAAAGGCAGAAAAACTTTTACAGTTGCAAAACCAAACCGTACAGTATGAAAACTTAGCACAAGAAAGTAAAAATAACGACGCGGCTATGCAAAAGGCAATGAAAAGCGCAGAATATATAAAAGCTAACAATGACTGGTTAGATGCCCAAGCCAACGCCAAAGCAGCCCAACTTATAGGGTCAATAAGGACAAAAATACAAGCGGATGAAGACAGTTCAAATGAAGCTTTAATGAATGCTGACTTTAAGAACGCCTTCGAAGCTCTTCATAGTAAGGTGAAACTAGTGAACGACTTCTCATCTGGAAAGAAACTGAAGTCTGAAGGTTTCGACAAAGAGTTAAGAGAAGTAGCACAAAATATGACGAAAATAACAGATGCAGCAACGAGACAGGCAGTTCAAAGTGCCTATGACGCCGTTAGAGCAACTGTTGTGAAAAGTCAAGAAAAAGAGTTACAACAGACCAAAACAGACCTAGTAAATGCTTTCTTAAAAACGAAAAGTCAGGTAGGACATTACGCTGCAGATGGAACATATGTGCCAGCTGGTGGAACTTATATACCACCAAACCCTCCAAGAGAAGCACCTGCACCAGGACTACCTAGAACATTTACATCGTCACATGGACACAGACACAGGCATGCACAACAACCAGCACAACAACCACCTCCACAACCAGCACAACAACCAACACAACAACCAGCACAGCAACCAACAGTTCAAAACCCTGCACAACAACAACCACAAACAGAGCAAGGACATAAAAGAAGTAGAGAACAAGGAAACCAAGAATTCTTAAAAATGCTTAAAGAAGAGTGTGGTTTCCCAGATACTGTTGACTTTAGTGACAGATATAAAGAAGCTATTGGAAAGTTCAAGGATGGAAATACTGACCCGAACCTATTTAGCTTTATGGCTCAACACCAAAACGGATATAATCTCAAACCTGGAAAATACAAGCTCGCTAAGGGATATGATTTAATAGCATATCATCCAAATGACATGGATGAATTTACTCCGAGATATTTGATGTCAGAGCTAAATGACAATTCAACTTTCGTCATGAAACGCGTAAAAAATAGAGACGGAACGAAAGAACAAAAGCTTATGAATGCGGATGACGTAGATAGGGAAATTGTTGAAAACGGTCTCGGAATATATGAAATGCCAGCAGATGAGGTACAAGAAACTCCACAGGAAGAAGTTCAGATACAACCAGACATGGAAGAAATAGTTCAGCAACAACAGCTAGAAGAGCCTGAAGGAAACGAACAAGTCACTCCTTTGGAAACTAACTTCACAGAACTAGATGAAGATTTGGAACAGCCGAAAAATCTTGACCCTCAACAAGAGCATGAGGTGAATATGGAATCTTTCCAAGAGTCTAAGAAAGATTCGGCTGACATAGTAGAAGAATATCGAAAAATGTTTGCCGACATACAAAAGACTCCAACATCAGATGAAAATATCCAGCATAGAATGGAAGAACTGAAAAAAAATGTACACAAATACAACAACCCTTTTTACTTACGAGCATTTAACGTTCAATCTTTGGATGAACTCGGTGAAAATAAAAGGTTAAATTTCAAGAAAACATATAGAAATGAAACATTGTTTAAAGTTCATTCAGAACCTAACCAAGATGGAAACAAACCTACTTTTGTTTCTGCAGACGATGGAACTACAATGAGATGGGGTCATAAAGCTAACCCAGATAGGTGGTTCATAAACTTACAACCTCAATTCCAAGAAGTTGTAGACGCAATGGAAGTCAATGGTGAACGAGATATAGCTGGTATTTTAAGCGCGGCTTTAATGCCATTGAAAGATATGAAACATGCAGATATTTTGGACCAGTATGAAATGAACATGGCTGATGGAAATATAACACCTGACGTTCTAGAACATTTATCTCAAAGAACTACACAGAACCATAGAGATGGTATATTTGGTGAAGAGTTTAGAAAGACAGTTAGGGAGAGAGAAGGAAGAGAACCTATTGTACATGACCTTGCAAACGAAAGTTTACAAAATGTCATAAAAACTTACTTTGCAGACAATGAACCGAGAAGGGATGAATATTTAAGTAAACTCAAATGGACAGTACCAAATGAAATGTTAGTATTGAAAAACATGTTCCTTGACAAAATAAAACCAACTACAGAAATAAACGACGCAAGACTGAAAGATTGGGTAAAAGCTTTCCCATTCACAAAAGATATAGTTGGTAACATGGAAAGAAAACCAGAATGGCTACAAAAACATATATTTGGAAACGAGCATATTCCATATGGACAGGCACTGTTTGAAGAGCTTGAACCGGAAACTCAGGAAAGAGTCATGCAAACAATACGCGAAGACTCAAATACAGACTATGACAAACTCTTTCTAGGATATAGGTTACCTGAGATGGGCGACCAGAGCCAAAAGGCAAAAAGGACATGGGAAATTTGCAACATACTAGATGAACATAATGCAAAGATGCAACAACTTCAAGCAGAGGGCAATGAAGGAAAAAGAAGAGTTAAAAACTCAGTCAGGAAGAAAGTAAAGCTTGTCCACGTGGGTTCTATTATGACATATAAATCCAACTATTCTATATTTTTACTCATATGAAATGTACGCCGCTCAGAATATAACGCCAACAGTTTTGGATGCTATGAATGGAAATGTTTCCGAATGGTATAACGAATGCGACAATGCCATTAGAAGGTCAGAAATAGTTCCTGGAACTTACGAATATACAACTGCTGTTTCTTATGGAAACGTAGGTGAGTTTGGAGAAGGTTCTTCAACAACAGTAGATATTGCTTGCGACAGGTTTCATATAATTTCTATTGACAACTCTTTCTTATACGTAGAACAAGACATTGAAATAAAACCTTCTGCCAAGTTGTCTGACAAGAAAGGTTGCAATGGAATTTTCTATGTCGGATACCAATATGCTCCAGAAGTTTTCATGGGATATAAGATATATTCTAACTCTGACTTAGTTCAAACAGTAACATGGGCAAACTATGAATGGTTCGCTTTGAGAAACTCAGTACAACCACAAGCTAGAGAACAAACAGACCAGTATGCAACTATTGAGAAAATAAGAAGACTTGACCCTAACGTTCCAGGAGTTTATGTTAACCTTTCTGGACAAACTGCAGCAGCAGTAACCAAAGTAAAACTGAAACTTAGAGTTCCTTTGTCATCTTTCCTCATCTTCAGGTTTTTAAGATACTTGCCAAACTGGGCAGGAAAAATTTCTATTGAACTTACTCCAAGCAAAAATAACTTAGTCATTGCACCAACACAAGACCCATTCACTCTTACAGAAGTAGTGGGAACAAATAAAATGTCATTCGCCGACTTTTGCAAAAACAAAGTTGACTTAGACTTTGGTTTCTCAAACCTCAACACTGAAGTAAACTATTATTTCAATGCTGCTGGAGATGCTTGGGACCCAGTTAAGTTCACATGCGAAAAGTTTGAATGCAAGAGAATAGAAAGCAGACTTGCCGTTTATATGTTGGACCCAGATATTTCAAATGCTTTAGCTGCCAAATATATTGCAGTTCCACTTATGTTCCCTATACACCAAATATCTGTCAAAGACTTTGCAGGTGAAGTTGGAAACCAAAGTGCTGACCCAGGTGCAAGAACAGATATTGCTTTAACAACTGCAATGAAACATGCAGATACTATGTTTGTACTGTTCAGACGAACTATAAATGACTATTCTTGTTTCTACAACCCTGGTATTAAATATCATATAAACATAGATGGCAAATATTATCCAAGAGAAGAATATTCTACAGTTGAGGATATGAGGTCATACAACTTGACATTAGATGCTATGAACTTTAACAACAACTTCACAACAACCATTAACCCTGAAATGCAAAGTTCTATTATGCCATATGTGAAAGTATGGACTCATACAGGAGGTCAAAAAACTCAATATACAAATGGAGACCGTTCAAACTTTTGGCTTGGCATTCCATTTGCTGACTCAGAAGACTTTATGGGTGGTATTTCAACTGTTGGTACTGTACAAATACAATATACTGGTGACAGAGACGGTCCAGATGAACTGAGAGCAAAGAAGTTTACAAAACCAATAGCACTTTTCACGGAAGATGCTCTTTTGAAGATTCGTTCGATGAAACCTGCTGGGCTCCTCAGATTGGCATAACGACAGCTTCCATCGAGCAGATTTTGGCAGCAGGTCAGTAAGTTGTTCTTGAACTGACTTCTCTCCGTCAAATATTGACAGTACGCCAGTTTTGACATAATATTGTAAGATAAACTTACCTTTAGAAATATCTGTAAGTTTTGTTGTTATATTTTTGTCAACGTCAAGAACTTTCACTATCTCGGTTATACCAACTTTCTTTGCTTTATGGAAATATTTTGGTTCAGCAAAGACTGCTATTCTATAACATTTACCATTGTTTGTATAAAGAACTATTCTGTCAATGTATTTGTATTGTTTGTGTGTGTAAACTTTGTTCTGCTTCAATTCAAAGAGATACTCGAATACGTCCATCTTTTTATTCTAAGTAAAATGTCATTTCCGAAAAATAGAAGCGTAAGTGTTTCAAAAGGTTTAATGGCGGTGGCAGATGTGAAGTTAAATTCACCAACTCAAACAAACAGTCAAAGTGTTGTTGTCAATGTCAAAGAAAGAGATGTTGAAGTGGGGAAACCATACGAAGACGAAGATGGTATAACAATAGTTCCTGTAAAAGAACCAACATACCCTGAAGTTAGCAGAGACTTAAGTTCTGTTGCAGATATTCGAAACGACTACCAACAACTTAAAGACAAACTTAAAACTCAGGAGAAGATTTGTCAGGCTTTGGGTATAATGTTAAACTTGGTCGAACACAACCCTGTAAAAGTGAACTCATATGTCATTGCACCTCATGAAGTTTTGAAAGAACTATTGAAACTTTTGACAGAGGCAGACGATATAAACATCAAAGAAATAGAACCTGACATTGCTTGCTGTGGTGTTTCATATAATGTCATTGACAAGATATACGTTATGAAAGGAGGTGAAACGTTGAACTTAAAATATAGTTTCCCAGACGTCATAAAAATATTTGACGACCACAACATTTCATTAAAATTTATTTGCTAAGTAAATGGCAGAAGACATAATGGTTTATACTATTACGACTAAAAACCCTGAGTCATATAATTCTATAACAACAAACTTACAAAGTCCTCAAGGACGATATTGTAAACTAACCTTAAACACAATGACGACTAAAGCCTGTTTTGCTCTTTTGACACCAGAAGACTTTATTGTTGTGAATGGTAAAAAATACTCCTTTGAAGATACTTACTCAGATATACCACCAACAGGTTTTGTTGACTTATTTAATACTTTAAGGACGGGTGTAACATGTGCTGCAACTAGAGCAGGTTTCATTATGTTTGGATGTCCGACTGAGTTTACTATAAACGATATGAGCTATAATACAAAACTTATTTCTGGTTTTTACTACCAACAGTTTCCTATAACAGGAAAAGGTGTCATACAAGGAATGTCTATTCCATTGACATTAAGCACACCAATCTTATATATTGTTTCAAACTTAGGTTCAAAGTGTTATTCGAATGTCGACAGAAACTACTATGACCAAAAGATACTTATGCGTATAAACAATACTTTCTCTGCTGGTTTGCCTATTGTTCATTCGAATGCAGAATTTTCAACCTTAGTGAACTCAAACACTTTGGCAAGTATAACGTTGACATTAGTTGACGCAAACTTTGTTCCTGTAAAACTTTTATGTCCTATGTATTTGTCAATGACGGCAGAAAGTTTCGAATTGGAAGATGCAACTGGTGAAAGTATTGTATTACAAGAACAACTTCAACAACAAATAGCTCAAGAACAACAAATGCAACAAATGCAACAACAAAGTCAAGAATAAAAAAATATTTTTTTTATTTTTATAAAAATGTACAGAATAGATGTTTCAGATTTTTATGACTTCCAAGCATTCAGAAATATGTGTCCATTTAGAGACTATAACAAAGCAGTCGAGAATTTGAAACGTTTAGTCATTTATGTTGACTCTGCCCCAGAATGTTATGTCATGAAAGAATGGGATGTTGTCTTTAACAAACCAAGAGCAACAATAGTTTCAGAACAAGAATGTAGACAGAAACTTAAGAAAATAAAAGTCGTACAAGTTGGCATGAAGATGTTAGATGCTTGGGATATCTTATTGTCAAAGTTAGAAGATTTTTCAGTTCGAGGTATAAAGTTCTATACACCTTCTCCAAACTTCTATTCTATCTTCACTGGATATAAATACGAACAAGTAGAATGGAAAGAAAATATTATAGAAGCTTGGTTAGACCATGTCAAAGAAATTATATGCAATGGAAACGAAAAGGTTTATGAGTATATCTTATGTTGGTTTGCAAACATCTTACAACATCCAAGTGCTAAAAATGAAACTGCTCTCATTATAATTGGAAAACAAGGAACAGGTAAGAACACATTCTTTACAGATATCTTATGCAAACTGTTAGAAGGTTATTCGAATCCGAATATGACAAACTTAGAAAACATCTGTGGCAAGTTTAACTCCTCAATAGAGAATATGAAACTTATAGTTTGCAATGAACTTCAAAGTATAGATACAACAAAAGTTTTGAACTCAGATGCTTTGAAGAGTCTTATAACAGACAAAGTTGGAGTTGTTGAAAGAAAGTATAAAGACCAAAGAGTTTGTGAAAATGTTGCAAACTTCATTATGGTTTCAAACAATGCTGTTCCGATGAAGTTAGAAAGTTCTGACAGAAGATATGTAGTTGTCAGAACGTCAGATTCTCATATGCAAGATACAGAATATTTTGACGACTTAGCAGAAACTTTGACATCTGACTTTTACAACCACTTGTTCTCATATTTTATGACATTAGATATTTCTAAGTTCAATCCAAGACAAATTCCATATACCGAAGAGAGACAAACATTGTTAGAAGCAAACAAGAGTGTATATGAACTGTTTATAGATGAGACTAACTTTGAGTGTTTAGATGAAAGGTCATTGTACGACTCGTATAAACAGTATTGTCAAGAATATGGTTATATGGCAGCTTCTAAACGTACATTCTTGGCAAACGTCAAAAGTCTTTTAGATGTTCAGAACGGCGTATATACAAAGAAAAATTTTTATGAGTAAATTTTAAAAAAAATATTTTTTTTATCCGATAGAAAAGATGACAGAAAAATTAACTTTTTACATAGCGCCAAACCCTTCTTGCCCACATCTTTTTAAGCCACAATATATAGACATAGAACTAAATAGAGAAAGCGAAATTCTACAAACAGAAGAAACATATAGAGACTTAGATAACGAAAATGGATATGCGCTATTCTGGTTAGGTTGTCCTTATGAAATGTATGAAAAAAAGGCTTTATATGAAGAATATAGAAAATATTGTCATGAAAACGATATAAGACCAAGCTCTAGAGAAAAATTCTATGCTGGTATAAAACATCTTTTCGAAGTTCGGAATGGCAAATATAGAAAGAAATAATTTTTCTGAGTAAATTTTAAAAAAAAATATTTTTTTATTTTATTTGAAATGTACGCTGAGTTTGTTGGAAAAGACTGTTGGAAAACTTGTTTGTTAGATGAGAAATATGAAATTCACTGTTGTGAGTCATTTGAAGTCAGAAACAAAAAGACAAAAAGAGTTTTAAGCGGATGGGAGGGAAATGACGGATATGCTATGATGAATCTGGGTGGAAAACACTATTTTAAACATGTTGTCATTGCAACTCATTTTATACCGAATCCTAACAATTTACCTTTTGTAGACCATATAAACCATATAAGAAACGACAATAGACTTGAAAACTTACGTTGGGTTACTCGTTCTGAAAACATATAGAACAAAAGCAAATTTAGAGATATTGTATTCGAATTTGTCGACGAACTAGAAGATGAAGCAATTGAAATTACAGACTATGGCAAGCATACGTTTGAGTTTTACTACTATAGCGAAGAACAGGACTCTTTCTACTTTTATACCGGCGTAAACTATAGAAAATTACTAGTATGTTTTACTAAGGAAGGCTATGCTTATGTAAACACTAGAGATACAGATGGAAAACACGTTCGAATACTTCTTAACAAATTCAAGAAGCTATATGGCATACCATTTTAAAACGTTTTTTTAAAAAAAAAATATTTTTTTATCCGATAGAAAAGATGACGAAATTCATCTCAGTAAACAAATATATGTCAGGACTTAAAGAAGAACTAGACCCATTCACATATTTGAATGTTTACTTCTACCATTTTGAAAAGTCTTCATTCAGCAAAGTTTGGAACATCGAACCAGTTAAGTTTGCTATTGTGACTAAAAATGGTGCGAAATTTGAAGACTTAGACATAGAAGGTTTGTTAGCAGTCAAAGAAAATTTTGACAGAAGGTTCTCAAACCTTAAAGAAGGCAAAGCATACAAACTTGTTATACCTTATGAACCAAAGAAAGCAGACGACTATGAATATTATGAGTCTAAGATAGTTGAAGTTCAAGGTAAATTGGGTAAAAAGATTTTAGAGTCTAAGCCAGTGTTTGCTCCTAAAGAGGAAGAGAACATTGACATTGACCCAGAAATGTTCTAAAAATAAAATTTTATTTTTACATGTCAAATTTCTTTTTCTCTGGAACTGGTTCAGGTTCTTTCTTCTCTTCTTCTACTTTCTTTTCTTTCTTTTCTCTCTTCTTCTTCTCTGGTGGAGTTATGTCAAATTTCTCCGAACCATATTTATGTAAAAGTTCTTTGTCCTTTAATAGCTCTTCTATTCTGTTTTCTATTTCATCTTCAAGAACAGCGCATGTGTCTTCTTTGCATTCTAAGAACTTTTGTTGGACTTCATCTTTCCAAGAGGCGTCATCTCTGTCAACAAGTCTGTCATTGACAAACTTAAAGACT